TAGGTATCGTAATTGGCGCAATTGGAGCAATTAGAAGGCACATGTGGGATCTTCACCTGAACAAAGTAATTAGCCAGAAGAGCCTCTATGTGAGTCAATTTTATAATTATTTATAGCCAGCCACTCATCCAGAGACAGGTAGCTTGGCTGAGCACAATTATTACGTATGATAGTTATACCGTGTGTCATTCAGGACAACCCAGTATTCTGATTAATTGTCTGGTCCTTGCTTAGAGTATACATTTGGCACCTAGACAACCAATTGCAGAGGAATCAACAGAGAAATGGCCTCTATATTTCAAATTAGGCAGCTGTACTCTGCAGGTCTAATTACAATGTCTGCCAGATTGATTACAGCTGTAGAGAGTTGCCCTGGCCACTGTTGACTTATGTACTCTGCTGCCATGTCCACACCATTTGTAATCTGGCCTAACAAAAGTTATTCCTATGTAGATGCAATAATGTTTGTTTTTAGAAAAATACCGGATGTCCAAATCTTATCATTGTTCATGTAACGCTTTTCCTGCCACCTCACTTTCGGGAAACTCGTCCTCATATGGTCCAGCATGCTACGTGGGCCAGTTGCGTCTTTATTGTCAAGCACACCAGAATAAGCCAGTACAAATACGCCAGTACAAAAGGCCAGAATAGTTGCTCCACTTTGCTCCTGTGAACGCACATACTCTAGAACTGCTTCTTCCGGGCGTTGATTTGGATCTGTGCCCGGGATGAAAAGGATATCCAACTTCCCAGGAGCAACTTTGGGATCGTCTATGGCGGCGGTTATGGATATCTGGAGGTTGGGAATTGTTCCTGCTGTAGAATTGGGGCCGATGGACGAAATGTAATGTATCTTGATGTCTTTTGCTGGAATCGCGGCGTCAATCAACGTCTGGGGTAGATTGTTTGCTCGAATATAATCTTTGGACATCATAGAGAAGAGCTCAATTGGAGAAAGATCCATGAGTTGGACGGGAGGTAGAATGAGTACACCTATAGAGAGCATGGTAAGTGTCTCTAGCAATTGTCATAGAACTGAGCAGTATAAAAAGCAACGAATCCAAGAATGTTAAAATACAGTTTCCTTTTCGTATAGTTGTTGCAGGCTTTTAACGTAACCTTAGGTTGTATATAACTTTAGTAGAGTGTTTCTTTGTAGTTGCAGTCTACGGTTGCCTGTGGAAGTCTACAGGTGGTCTAGAACGACCGCCGGAACAGAATATCGGATATCGGATGCATCACAGCATCCGTTCCGATACCCTGATCATCAAAATATTACTAACAAATACTGGCAATAATTCAGCGGACGAAAATGGGTACTGGCTGGTAAGGATCTTCCTGGAATTATTGAAACAGCTAGACATGAATTCGCGTGCAGCCAACATATTACCCTCGGATCACACCCGTGTTTGTATAATGGTATTCAGAAGTCTAAAATATTCTCTACCTATAGAACTTTGCTACAGACCAACTGCTATTAAATCAATGTATACCTTTATAGAAACAGATACGATGTCTAGAAAACCTTTTTCGGCGCAGATGTTACTATGCGAAATTTCCTGTCTTGGAAATAAAAGTGCCTGGGCCTATTATTGCAATACTAAGCGAACTTGTAATGCCTGTACTGATTATTCTGCTCGTCTCTTGTTATTTAATCTACAACAGCAAAGATTCAACTAGCTATGCGATAAACACCTCTAGCTTCCCTGAAAAGAAAGATTTCGGTATCTGCGACGTTGAGATAAGGCCGAATTTGTAATCACTTTGGAAATACCTACAATAATGATCATCATAGCATCTTGTCTAAGAAAAGAAGACAGGGGGCAATGAACCATTATGACGCCTGTGTCGGATACGTAAATAGGACGCGTAAGCAGTTTACATAGATTTGATTAGAAAGCTGTGGAAATCGTATCTCTTGCTCCAATTCACACTGGCACACGGTTGAAAGACTTTGGAATCTTTTCTGCCAAGAGAGGTCTTGGCGGAATATACTTCTCCATTTGGGTAGCCAAAGCATTTAGGCATGTCTGTATATTCAATTGAATCTTATGCTAAGATGTTTTACACTTTTAATTAAACATAGAGATGAACTATTGCGCAAAGAATGGAGCATGAAATCTTTAGTTGCAGTATTGGATTTTGAAAGCGAAGCACGCCAGCACCTGGCACGAGGTATAGAGGGTACATAACTGTTTCAAAGAGATGAAAGCTTGTATGCAGAGGAAGAAAAAACGATACAATCCTTGTATTATCTAGAAATCACCTATTGGTGATTCTATGAAGTAGGGACCAAGTTCTCCTGTGTCGGTATATAGAGCCTTCTGTCCATTGCCGTCATGGCATTCCGACACTTACCAAGCCAGTCCTCCTATTATTATGCTTGTCTTTGCCTCTTTACTGGCTATGTCTTTGACATGGCCTGTTATTGCTCTCACTGCTCCAACTACACAGAGTAACAAACGATATTCTTTCAAACGCAATGGAATTTCGTACCATGGTTTCGAACACACAGCAACAGGCTCAAAACTTCAGTTCGTCAGCAACTCTGGAATCTGTGAGACCACTCCGGGAGTTAATCAACATTCGGGGTACATATCTGTTGGTAAAGACATTAAGATGTGGTTTTGGTGGGCTGAGCCATTGTTCATCACTTAGGCAGCGTGCTAATGTGTGGAAAGGTTCTTCGAAGCACGGCAGAACCCATCAACTGCACCGCTTGCAGCCTGGTTTGGAGGGGGCCCTGGGTAAGACAGCTTTCCCTCGGATCAGTAATTCAAAGTCGCGTGCGACAGGTTATGCTAATTTGAATGTCCTTTCGCCTTATTCAGAGTCTCTAGCACAGCTTCAGCGCTAATCCATGGCCCGTGTAAATTCGAAGGCAATTCATCCCGAACAACGCCGATAAACAATACTTTCAGTCTAAACAACTACGCCAATATGCTGTACATCGATCAGCCTATTGGCGCGGGGTTTTCCTATGGGAACGTCAGCATTAATTCCACCGTGAATGCTGCTCCCTTCGTGTGGAAGTTCATACAAGCCTTCTATTCATCATTTCCAAAATACAAGTCGCGAGATTTTGGAATCTTTACAGAATCCTACGGTGGGCACTTTGGTCCGCAATTTGCAAAGCACATTTTGGACCAAAACGAAGCTAACACTGGCGAGCCCATTAATCTTGTAGCACTGGGTATCAATAATGGGTGGTTTGATGCAGCGGTTCAGATACCGTCTTACGTCACATTCTCCTACATTAACACGTATAGGCCTCTCATTCAAAGGAAGCAATATGATGCTTTGATGGGTGCGGCTATGACTACATGCGTTCCAGCTCTTGAGCAATGCTCAATCAGTGGAACTGATGCAGACTGCGTAAATGCTAACACCACATGCTATACACTGATAGAGGACCCTATATACCAGAGCGTCTACTTTAACTCTTACGATGTTCGAGAAGGCTTCGATGAAGCTGGACCACTTAATTCTCAAAACGATCGCTACTTAAAGAGCCCAGAAGTTATGGCAAAACTTGGAGCACAAATTCCTTTCGAATCTTTCTCAGTAGATGTGTTTTACAATTTTTCTGCCACTGGAGACAGTAAGCTCTTCATCTGCATACGGCGAGCTGTGCTTACGAACTGTTTTCTAGTCCAGCGGTCCTTTCTCAGCACCCTAAGCGAAGTTGTGTCAGCCGGCGTAACTACCCTGATCTGGTCTGGCGATGCAGAGTAAGTCTCTCCGTTGATGCATGTGTTGCGCCCAACGTTACTGAAATGTCAAATCAGCTGGAAATGTAATTGGTTTGGAAACTTGGATGTAGCCGACCTGATTCAGTACCCCGGTCAATATGAGTTTACCAACAAAGCATTAATGCCATACACAATAAAGGGAAAGGAAGCAGGCACATACAAATCACAAAAGAATCTGTCCTTCTTGAGAGTCTACGACGCAGGTCACGCTGTTCACTGGTATCAACCTGAATTGGCACTTCAAGTCTTCATGCAGACAATGAAGATGGAACCCGTTCAATCAACGTAGGATACATATGAACTTATCATGGTGGAATCGAATCCGAAGGGAAAAATTACTCGAAGACTAGTAAATAGAGAGACTTGCAGTAATCCAGGTTAGGGTTGAGTAATGTCTATCTGCTCTACTATAAAGCTAGATAATGATATGGACGTCTTTCCATGATCTCTACTTCTTCTCTGCAGCAATTTCCTTGATCAACTTCATCACCTCATCATCAGTCAGGTTCCTTACGCCCAACAACTTATTATCATCCTGCTGCTCCCAGCGAGGGGAGTAGACTGTACACGACCACCGAATCATATCTCCGATAACCTGCATGTTGATGGTACCGGAAAGCATACTCTCTGCTGCAGCTTTTAGTGCTTTCTCCGCATCAATAGTCGATTCATCCCAGCCATCAGCCCCTAGGCTATCCTTGGCGAGGTCAACCATCTGCTTCTGACTCTTTCTAATGTTTGAAATGTAGCAAGCCCGATTCTCTGTTTCCTGGGGTTTCGCAAGCGCATTGACCACTGCAGTGCCGACGGACGAAAGATGTGTCCACGGAAATACGTCAGTGCCGTCATTTAGGTACTGAACTTTCTTGTTGTGAATGTCGATATTGATGAAGCCAGTACGCAGGTTCCAGTCTAGGAAGGCTGCATTGGAAATGGTTGTATACGTAATCTTGCCCTCAGCAGATAGCTTCTTCAGGTGCTCAAAAGCCATATTTTTTCCGTGGAAAACCAGTGGAGAGCGAGCTTCAGCGCTCTGGACATCGGCGCTGAACTCGCCTGGAATGACACGGTATACGCCTGCAGCAGCTGCGGCATCAATGAATCGCATACCAAGCGTAGAGTCCGGACCAGATGTTGCATCGATAAGAGCATCTTGGCCACGGAGTGCTTCGGTGATGGCGTCGACAGAGTCCGTGTCGACGATCTTGATTGACACGCCCTTGGGGACTGACTGACCGTCCTTGCGAGCAATGACAGTAACATTGAATTCGCTGTCGTTGACAAGGCTAGCTAGGACAATAGAGCCAAGACTACCAGTTGCCTGTGTCACGTCAAGGGTTGATCTCTCAGTTTTTCCGGCAGTGGTAAACTCACACCTGCAAGCGCGACATTCTTGATGACTTTCGACATGTTTTCAATGTCGAAAACAACGATATCTTTGACAGTGACGGAATCTTTTCTGTGATGGTTGTCGGAAATGGAGCCGTAAGTATCTCTGCTTCCAAGAGACGACCGAAAGGAGATAGAAGAATGAAGACGGAAGGTTCACTGGTTCTGCAATATGACTTTTAAACAAACAACAAACGATAAGACGTGAAATGACATTGGTAATCTTCTTACGCGTATGTTACCGTAGTACAGCTGCGAACTCACCTTGATCACAAATAGTAAAAGATTGTTACAAATCCATACTTGAATTAACGGAACAGAAGAATTCCATGAAGCCGGTACGGGATCGGACTGTTCACATACACTAAGTTTTAGTCATACCAAATACGGAACCTTGGCGATTTATGTATCCATATTAGTCGCTAGCACCATTCCGTCCTACAGAGTAGCGTCTTCTAGACTTGTCTTGAAAGAATATGCCATTACCAAGCTTTACAAATGAATGGGTTAGTGAAGGAGTTGGAAATGATGCTTCTCCCTGGACGACTTCAGATATTCAAGATTGCAAGACTCACGAGGCAACCACTACTTGCTGCCTTGAAAAAGAAATTCTACTTCCAGTCATTGTCTGAGCGAGCAGGAAAGTAACTATTAGATATTCTAGTAGCAATTCACCATGAAGTACATCCTTATCGTTACCATGACTTAGCACGATTGTCGCTGACTTGAACAGCAACAATTTCGAATCAAAGAGCAACGCTCAGTATTACAACTTAGGAGCATATCATCGAGTAGCAACTTCAACATCTCAAGACGCCCAGATGTGGTTCGACCGAGGCCTCGTTTGGTGTTATTCGTTCAACCACGAAGCGGCCTTGGACTGCTTTTGGCGTGCGATTGACCTTGATAGGAAGTTTTTAATGCCCTATTGGGGCGTCGCCTATGCTGCCGGCCCCAACTACAATAAATCCTGGGGCATGTTCACACCAGACGATCGTGAAAGGACTGTTGCAAAAGCACTGCGTGTTCTGGACCTTCCTGAAGAAGCCATTCTGAATGCTAGTCCTCTGGAGAGAGCACTTGTCGCGGCAGTTGCTACTCGATTCCCTTCAAGTGAGAATATGATTCCTAAAGATATGGGGTCATTCAACGAGGCTTATGCCAAGGCCATGCGCTCGGTATATCAAGACTATAGCGATGATCCAGACGTCGCTACTCTATTTGCTGACGCCGTTATGTGCGTTCGTCCTCGTGCGCTCTGGGATCTGGATACTGGGGTTCCTACAGCCCCCGATGTGGTTGAGGCAAGAGTGGCAATGGAGAAGGCATTGACATTGCCCAGTGGACGTAATCATCCAGGCCTTTGTCATCTGTACATCCATATGATGGAAATGTCACCGTTTCCTGAGGCGGCCCTCACCGCGGCGGATCGACTCAGACGCATTGTCCCAGATGGCTCTCACATGCAACATATGGCAACTCACATCGACGTTGCATGTGGAGATTATCGTCGCTCCGTTGATTCCAACTACGACGCTATATTCTCTGACGACAAGTATTTTGCCAACGTTAAAGTGGAGTCTCTCCTGTACACTGTTTATCGATCACACAACATCCACGCCCTGGCATACGCTGCCATGATGTCTGGTCGATGCGAAGATGGTCTCTACGCTGCGAGGCGCTTGCCCCAGATTCTCACAGAAGAATTCATGTCGATTAGAACGCCACGTATGGTTGATTGGACCGAGTGGCAGTTGGTGACATTGCCACATGTACTGATCCGTTTTGGGCGTTGGCAGGAAGTTTTAGAGCTTGCATTGCCAGACAACCAAGAACTGCTCTGCGTTACAACAGCCACTATCAAGTATGCACGAGGCATCGCCCTGGCAGTACTCGGACGAGTTGAGGAAGCTCGTGTCGCCAGAGATGCCTTTGAAGAAGCTCGCAATATCGTCCCTGAAGACCGTAAGTACGGTCCAAATGCCTCTGCATCATCCATTCTAGCTGTCGCATCTGCCATGCTTGAAGGAGAATTGGAGTATCGTGCAGGAAACCACACTGAGGCCTTTACTGCTCTCCGTCATGGCATTGAGCTCGAGGATAAACTCCCATATGCTGACCCACCACTATGGATGCAACCTATTCGGCATGCTTTGGCCGCATTGCTTCTTGAACAAGGCCGTTCTGAAGAGGCAGAAGCACTTTACATGGAGGATCTGGGTTTTAGTGCAAGCCATTCCCGGCGAAAGGCACGCCTGAATAATGTATGGGGGTTGCATGGTTTATACGAGTGCTTAGTTAAGAATAAGAAGCATGACCAGGCCCATACGATCCGGATCCAGCGTGATATCGCAGTGGCCACATCTGATGTTGCCATTGGGGCCTCGTGTTTCTGCCGACTATCAGCTGCTAAGGATGATGGCAAGTTCTATTCAAATAAGGCTTAACGATATAGAAAGCATCCAGGTTCCATATTAGATTTAGAATTACGTCCAGTGAAAATTTCACTTGACATAATTCAAACATTTATATTCTCTAAAAATTACATATCTACTCATTGTCGGTATAACTAGAAATATATATGAGGACTCCGGAATGGAGATTGCCTCCTGATTGGAGGTTCTCAAGAGATTTAGGTTGAAGTCGTGCTCAGAGGTGCCTTGTAAGCTTTGCAGACCGTCAAAACTACCTTCGATACACGTTACTGTAGATTACATCTATCGAGTCCTTATAGATGGACTGAGTTGATTTCTAATTTGCCGGCAAGTCCGCTTTATTAGCATATCATTTCTCAAGCAGGGTTCGGGTTCCGATTTCTAGAAGTACTATTCCCAAGCTATGTATACCATGCAGCGCGTCACAGTTTGCAGTAACTCTTCTCTCACCGGCCACTACATCTGGATGTAGAAAGAGGATTTCTGGCATCCGGGCCACGCCCATGCTGGCCCGTGCCACGTGGTTGAACACTCTGGACCGCGCAAAGCCAGAAGTACAAGGTTCCCGTGTACAACGAGGTAATTCTGTCGATAAGACGCTATCTAGCTAAGAAAAGAAAATAATGTTTGGGCAGATTGTCTTGTATAACCAGCCAGAAGCTATCAACGAGAAAAGAGATTCTGGAAGCACAGTTGCAAGATTGAAACCCTAATTCAAGAGCTAGAACTGGAGTGCGGTTCCTCAACACCCCATATAGTGGTATGAATGTTTTTGGTGCTGCTGCCATTATTGCCATTTTGGAACAGGCCAACAACGATAAACTGTTCCGAAGCGTGCAGCTGCTGGGTCTGTAAAATAGCCACTTAAAGTAAGGCGCCAAATTGTGAGCGTTGGGAAGACAATGCAAGCATTCGGGCGAGGCTCTCGATCATGGTTCGCAAAACGATCATGGAAACTCTCCTCACGTCCATTCCATTGTATGTGTACCATTCGATGACAACCTACTTTTGCTGCACGTCGTTGATAGTTTAGTCCATGTTATCTGATAGGTAGCTGTTTATGTTTCGAACTATAGGCGGAGAGTTATGGAAGTCAATGTTGTGTCTATGGGGCATAGAGTTGTTAAATGCATCTCCTGGAGGTTCAATTTCCAACACAAGACATTGACATTTCTTTTAGCATGGCACTTCCATCTCAATGATAAAATTCGCAATAGCAAGACCGATCACTGTGTGGAGCATATATCGTCAGAGAGACGTGACTGCTGGAAGCCAGTGTTATAAGAGTTCCGATGTTTTCATATCTGTATTTACGATTACTGCTTCCGCATATACAAGAACCGAATTTCCTTGAACCTAGCACCTACGCTCCTTTCCAGCGCTGTTTCTATTACTTGAGAAGACAGCGTCTTATATTCTCCTTCAAGAGAGCTTAGACTAATAATCGCAATATGGAAAGGGAAAGAAAACTCTGCAATGCCAACGAAGTTCATTGCATCCTGCGAAAAAAAGTCCATACTTTGTAGGATGGAAGTTCCTACTTGAAAAATTGCCGTTACAGAGTGACTGTCTACCAGATACTGAGCACATGTATGCATGATTGCTTCCTTTAAGAATGGGAAGCCTTTCTCTAGTTTCCGAAGTTCGATGGCACAGATGATCCAGAAAGCCCAAAAGTGGATCAGACTTGTGGCCATTATGAGGTCTGCAAACCAAGTCAAGGCCTCACCATTGACAGACACAGTTTCCCAGCACAAGGGGTATCCAATTACCTCCTGCAAATGAGAATACCATTGATTCAGGCGGTGCATGATGTGGATAAGGTTTAGACCAAGACCTTTTGCCATAGCATTTGCAGAGGTTGGGTTATTGTAATTGAGGCCGTCAATTTTCTCAAGAATGGCCGGAATATGACTGGCCTCGCTTATGAGTACCTGGAAAGGCTTCGCTCGTATATCTTGAAAAGGGACATCGTCCCACTCCTTCATGGCCAGGAAGGTGGATTGCCGATTCATTATTGCGTTGGTAACCTACAATGTTCTAGCGGCAACCTCTAACATGTAATCGGTCTAAGGGATCATAATTACTCACAAGAATTGGCCTTAATGCAACAAAAAGTCTTTGTGAGGAACCAATAGAATAATGTTTTGGTCCGCAATGGTAGATTAGATCCGACATGCCCTTGACATGGATTGAAAAGTTCGGGGGAAACTTAGAGAGAACAATCTACTCTGGGTATCAGCAAAGTCTCTGAGATTCCTTTCGGGACCGTTTCTACCTCAGACATGAGCAAGCACATGGTTGCAGCTACTAATCGGTTGCAGAGAGGGGTTATGCTTGTTTCAAGAGCTCTTTTAATTGCACGCATCGATGATAACTGCACCTCTAGTGCAGATGATACTGGAGCCCATCCGCTTTCACTCCGAGCAAGAATCGATTGTCCAAGTGCCTTTATGCCTGGCGCAAGGAAGTCGTCAACCCCGTGGTCATTACTGATTAGCGCAGGGAGAGTCTCTATCCATGAGCAACACATCTGAGACGTCGAAGCGTCCTGGAGAAACAATGGACTTGTAGGTAAAAGATTCTGGACGCAAAGCGAGATAACATCGCTCAGGGGCCACGTCAAATTCGGAGGAAGTGAATTGTTAAGCTGTCTCGGCCTGTCTAGCTGTGATCCGTTGAATTCTTTTGTGCTCTCTTCAGCTTGTGAATGTAGCGCCACGACTGGGGTACGAAAAATGAGTGGCTTAAGGTAACCAGGACACTGAAGACTTCTGAACGAGCATTGGGAACAAGCTGGCAGCTTGCCATCACACTGCTTATATGAGCTACTACAATAACCGTTTTGGGCTCAGATATGGTATTGCTTACGCCTAATCTCCGTTGTCGACATGTCTGACACACGTTTGATTCCCGGGTTCTCATCATTGATACATATGAACGGCTGCTTGAAGACTAAAAATGAAAAGATGTGATCTTACCCCGTAGGCTGCTTTTTATCTTGGCGGAGTAATTCCCCGCAACTAGATTAGAACCGGAAAAAGAATGGCATCGCTGCCACTGCTGCTAAACTGTTTCAGGACACATTCTCCGCCAAGGCTACTGATCACTAAGCTTGACAGAAGTCCTGCAATAGCTTTTCCAACATTTGTCAGGAGTCTCCAAGGGAATGCGAGTTTGCCGTAGCTTACACGTTGAATTTTCTTGTTGTACATTTCGATGTTGTTTACTCCGCTCCGTAACAGTCTGTAAATTCTAATCCAAGAAAAGTCTTACTATTAATCGTCGTAGTCGTGTAAGTAATCTTTCCTACTGCAGCAAGCTTTCGGACCAATGCATACGTGTCGTTTGTTTTTATAGCAAAAGGAGGTGGCGAACACCCTTCTACCATGTAAAGCCTGAAGGACCAAAATCAACCCGAGTAGGTAATAAATGGTCCGGTTCGGACAAAACCTTGGACATAAAAATCAGTACTGATAGCTTAGCAATATTGCTTATCCATTTAGATCTTAATCCAGTCTGGAATCCTAGTTTCAATTTCAACAGCTCTGTTATATTTAAGAATAACAATTCTGCCTCAACTCAAGCTCAATAAGTCTTCTATCATCATGCCTGACTTATCCTTAAAGGACATAGTAACGCATCAGCTTCTAGAGGATGTACATCGCTTCTGGTTCTCACATATCGTTGATGCCGATCATATAATTGTCCCTGACGTTAAAGACGCAATCCCATGGTTTACTCAAAGCAATGCATATGATAGTGCATGCATGTAAGTATTGGCCCCTCTCGTTGCTTGTTTCACTGCTCTGCACGATGCTGATTAAAATTCAACGGCAGTGCCAAATTTGGCTCACAACTCATGTGTCTCAAGTCTCTCAGCATCAGCGGAAGAGATATCTTATGTGCGGCAAATCCATCTACATCCTTGCACTGGATGAGCCTTATTATCCTTCTCGACCAAATTCCACGAAACTGCTTTCGAGAAAAGGACGCATGCATTGCATTTAATGTATTTGATAATCTGGCCTTGTATGTTGCACTAAAAGCCATCGAGCATGGCATTCCAGAGCAGCCTCTGGTGCGGAACAGACTGGCATATCGATTCTGGTTTTACATGCCACTAGAGCACTCAGAGACTTTGGAGATGCAAATAATGGTAAAAGAAGAGCATGTAAAAATGTTCCAGAAAATTTGGTCGTTCATGAATGATCCGGGCGACCAGAATGATACGGACTTTGTGTATTGCCAAATCGTACTTCACCAGAGAAAGACACAATTGGAAGACTTTGAAAATACACTACGCAGAATATGTAAAGACCATGAAGAGGCAATTCGACAATTCGGTCGTTTTCCACACCGTAACAATGCCTTGGGTCGAGTATCAACAAAAGAAGAGTTGGCATATCAGCAGGGACAAAACTCGTAGTTGTAGAATAAAGGTCTTTTCAATATTGTAGTGTAGCAGGATAGGGGAGACTATTCCGGGATCACGTGTATGGGGGAAGGTACTAGGCAGGGCATAGATAGATCGATTAGGGCTGCTGAGAGAGATTAAGGCATCATCTACCTGCCTTCCGAGGCCTATCGACAGAGTCAATTATCTACTTTTCCTACCCATTCACCAATTGCGGGTCGTACCTGTGATGCTCCCTACTACAGAGGCGTCTATACGCGACAATATATACGTTGTAGCCTAACATTAAGTCTGCCGATTCGCAAACCTTCAACGCTTGCTGCTCTGAATTTCGACGATATTGATCTTCTACGATCATACAACCATAAGGAAGATTTCCTTAACTCGGGTCTTCCAGAGATTACAAGCGTTCACTAGAGCTGTTTACGTACAGGTAGATCTCAAGATAGATAGTCTGTGTGTCTCAGTACATTGTACAATCTGCGTTATCGGTAGTAGAAAGACCTATCTGGCAGGTGAGATTCTTGTGTTTTCCTAAATATGATCATTGTAGACATATATCACGGTAGAAAGATCATTTCCGAATCTACGATGATGAGAGTTATCGAAACATCGATCAGGAGTAATGTAAGGCGAGTAAACTCTTTAGATTGGTGCCGATCAATCTATTCGTGATGTGGAAGCTTCTTGATTTATATTATTCCAGAGAAAATCTTGTTACATAACACTTCATTCAAGCCCCGAGCCCCGATTCGAACAATATTGGTAGGGTTATGGTAATCGGCCTGTCCGATCATTGAACTCAAAAGTTGAACTATTATCGTTCGAAACGTCCATACTATATGACGACTTCCCCATTGAAAATGACCTGACCTCTGAAGAAATGCGTTGGTACAGATGAAATAAGTGTTGCCGATAAGCAGGGAGTGCAGAGCCAATAATAGCTACCGTTGGCTCGACCTGAGATGGAAGCCAGAAAGTGTAACCAAAGCTGTCCCATTGTGGCGGTATCACTCGACTCATTTGAGTTTTGAACCCTTCAACAATCAGTAACTCACTTTCATAAATACTTCATGAACTTACAGCTGGGATCAATGTTGCCTGTTCTTTGCCATTGGGTAACCCACACTGCAAGCTTATATGATGCCGCGACACATGCCCTAGTGACTAAATCAGTCTCGATAGTATACGAAAAGAACATTGAGCGAAGCTTACGAGGTACCCAGAGCGAAGATAAACAAAGCACCAAGACGCCGTCTCAGCGGCATACGTAGACCCATGACTGGATAGATAGGGATAATAAGCAGCAAGATGTCCATCCCAAGACTTGCACTATACAACGCAACGTTATAATCGTAGTACATCTGATCACTTTTACAGTGATCTTTCCTGGTAAGAATGTGCCATGTAGCGGACAAAGGGGTGCATATCAGTCCTGGGATGATGGAAAACACGGCGACATATACTGCTGTCAATGCAAGGCATGCCCAGATGACCCATTTAATGATAGACTGGGTCTTCCCAAAAATGCGCAGATAGAACAACAATATCGAGACCCTAATTGCCGCTGTCATGGCTGGATAGATGAACGCAGTAGCAACGATTCCCTACCACTGTTTGTCAGCGTCATTCTGAATGGCGCACGTAACACGTCATCATATCTGACAACTTGCCTTGAACCAAATTACATACTCCGGCATAGTTATTTCCCACAGGGGCTTCCCAGTTCCTCCTCGTAGGTTACAGTATACTATCATGACGCTATGCCCGACATATAGTAGCTAGTAGACTGGAGTGAATACATGACGCATACATTGCACGATGAAGCCACTCACCAGTGCGGGTATCATGGCCCAATCATCGTTCCCGAAAGATCTGGTGTTCTTTCGTATAATCAGACGCCCTATCGATATTCCCGTTGCCAGAATCATCATCACAATGACCGAAACTGCTACATCGTAATGTTTGTGTACGTCATTGATTCTAGTTGGAGGGGGAAGTAGATTGCTACTATCCATAGTATCGCATTTGCTGAGTCGAACTTGAGAATGGATCTCAATCATAAGAGAGTAAACACTCCAGGAGAAGCTATATGTAAAGCATCCCTCCTATGACCCCAGGACTATCATGTCCGCTGGTGTAAAGATCTATCGTAAGGTAGGGTTCGTAGAACTGGTGTGTTGCCAAGAAAGTACGGACTTCGGCAAGAACGTGCAGGACCATATTTAATATCTAAGTGCGGGACGACATGTTTGTCAATGAAATTGCATCCTGGACCGTTCCGTGTGGCACAGATCATCACTGCATGCATGCAGTTGCTGACTGCATGGATTTGGACCCCAACTAATATACACGGAAAACAATTAGCATGCGGGAAATAAAGGATTAAGTCCTTTGTAGAGATACAGAGGCTACATACTATATGTACATAAGGGAGGCATGATGCTAAACAGGAATGATGGTAGAGAAGTACTTGATAAGGTTATCACACACGTTTCTAAAAATAACATAGTTCTGTTTACAGTATCCATGTTGACTTGCAAGTACATTATCAACACCCGTTCTTGAAAAGAAACGCCATCGTCAGAGTAGACCAAGCAAGTCGTTCCTGAAGAGCATATTGTGGCTTGGCCTGTATCCGTGCGTCACGCCTGGACTTCTTTGTAGCGTAGGTGAGATAGACTACACCAAGCGTGTTATTTGAATAGAAGAGGTCCTCTACAATTTTGACCATTATCTTATGTCCCGTCAGTAAGCTATGCATCTTTACTTCCTCTTGCTTTTGCTACAACATGTTATAGGTGCAATGACGGCAGCGCATCCCGTTTACGATGTTCAATCTGGAACTTTGGACATTGGAGTATTCGCGGCTTCTCTCAGTATTTCGTTTGATGTGGAGAAAGAAGTCATCGCCATTTTAGAAAACCTCATCGACCTTGATATTGCGTCTACTGAGAGACAACACAATGGCCGTACTCTCGCCGCGCGAGTACAAGCAAGCTGTTCAATATTCAAAGTAATCTTTGGATCGAAAGCCTTGGTTGAAGAATCTCTAATCGCAGATTTAGTCAAGAGTAGTTGGTGAGTGATTTGTTCATTCGAAATCTTGCCATTGATTCTAATAGAATCCAAAAGGTCGCAAACTTGCTGGACGTCTCCAACATGTGTACTTAGGGTGCAAAACAGCACACAAGTATCACTTGCCCTAAAAGTAATCACCTTCCTAAGAGTACGATTCGCGGTTCGAAGCGGGGGCCATTCCCCCAACCCAGGCTGGGCTAGTATCGATAAAGGGATTTTGATCGACCTTCAAGACATGAATCAAATCAGCGTCAGTGGCGATCGCGGAATTGCAAGAATCGGACCTGGCGCTCGTTGGGGTGAAGTATATCAATTCCTGGATCGGTATAATGTAACAGTAATCGGAGGTCGAGTGCCTGAGGTCGGCGTTGGTGGGCTGATGCTAGGAGGTGCGTTGTCTATTTTGTACATTGTGCAGTAGCTTGTCTGACTGCCCTTCAGGGGGACTTTCCTACTTCACTGGGGAGTATGGGCTTGCAGTCGACAATATTGAGAGCATTGAGGTCAGTACACCAGGCTCTTCGAGATGCTATCTAATACCTATCAGGTTGTCCTTGCAGATGGGAACATCATTGTTGCAAGTCGTTCATCGCAAAGTGACCTCTTCTGGGCTTTGAAAGGTGGAGGGCCAAACTTTGGTAAATATTAATTCTCTATTGTATATCTTTGATTGCTATCGCTAATATATGCCTACAAAGGTATCGTGACACGATATAATCTCCGTACAGTACCGGTAAAGAATATTTGGTACCAGATGATGGTCTATAGCACTGAAAAGGCACCCGAATTACTGGATGCATTTGCAGAGTGGCAGAAATTACCAGATACTAAAGGCTCGATAGCCATGGTCGCGACTCTCACTTCAGTTATAGTTGGCTTGGTTTACATTGAGCCCGTGGAGAGGCCGAAAGTGTTTCAGGGTATCTACGATATTGAGCCTCTTGCTGTACCAGTTCCCTCAACTATAGGTACAGTTTTGGATTTGAGCCAGATATCGAGTGCTGATATGTCAAAACCTGCAAGGTTTGTTTGCCGAGCTCGCGAATGTTCAAAGTTCTTCCTAAGTCTCTTCAGGCACGATTATCGGGGCGTCAGCAGCAGAGTCGACGCAGACCTATATAAATCCACCTTTCGGTTCTGGAAGCATCAGGCCACTACAATACGCGAGGCCACGGGTGCTAACATGACATTTGTACTTCAACATGTTCCGAAAAACGTGGTTGATAAAGGAATAGAGAATGGCGGCAATGCACTTGGTCTAGAACCTACTACCCAGCAGTGTCAGTCTCTTGTAACCTACCTCAAACACCTGCGAAGCTAATAGTTGAGATCTAGGGTGGACAACACTTATCGATTGGGATGACCCAGCTGATGATGACATCGTTAGAGAAGCCGCAATTGCCGTCAGCGAGAAATGGGTCGAAATCAGTGAAACCAACGGCTCGAACCTTGATTTCATATATATGAATGATGCCTCCCGAGATCAAGATCCATTAGGCACGTATTCAAAGGACAGCATTCAGAAATTACAGAGAGTCGCGAAACATTACGATCCGTCCGGGATTTTCCAGACACTTCAGAACCATGGATTCTTATTGTCTGCTTCTGTTCCCAAGGATTAAAGGGCCTTCAGCAGGCAGCAGCCCAAGTCATGCATACAATTCATCGATATTTATTCTGTTTCATGTTGGCCTTCCGTTTTATTTCTACGCGTCCCTTGTCAATAGATAGAAGGGAATACTTTCAATGATCTTGACATGCAAACTATTCGCGATCATCAAGAAGTACACCGCGACGCAACCCAACTGTCATGAATTTACCCTAATTGTACCCAAACGTGCCGCTGGCTATTAAGGTGCTATTCTATAAATTGCCGGTGACACAACCATAAACAATATAACACCTTGCAGCAGAGTTCGCTTCAGTGGTCGTAACGCATTCGAACCTTGCCTCAAAATTTTGAATAACTATCGATGCAAAGTATCAACCAAGATAGCAATTGTGATATACAGCCCGAGTCGGATGTTGAACAGAAAGATCCTCCCTCCCGAGCTCGGCTTTTGAAGATCGAGGTGATAGAATTGGTATGGCACGCTCAATGCCCAAAATCCAATACCCAAGTACTTGAACAGCATAGAACAACCAGATCGCTCACAGCCAAGACCGAGTAGAAGTAATGATGTTACATTCACTCCCAGTAAGAATGGTTTGATAAACGGAATTCCCAGATATTGGGCCAAGGATCCAACTCCAGATTCCTTATCTCCTGCAATGTCTTGGAAGCCATAGCAAGTGTCGTAATATATTGTCCAGGTAGCGTATGATAGAAATGCTGGAACACAGACCGAGAGATCCAGACGTTCCGGTATTCCAACTCTAGTTTGTACAGAGATCCATCCGATAAAAATGGGCCAACCTACTGTCGGGGCCAGGACAAATTGTGGCCATTGTATGTATTGTTTTGAAAGAGGGTACACAAATGCCAACCCAAAGCAAGGAAGTACCATGTAAAGGGAGTCAATGCCGAGCAGAACATGAACAGCACTGCTAGCAAGGAATACTTGTGCGATGAACCATAAGCGCGCAGTAAAAACCGAATATCGTCCAGAGGGCAACGGTCGCGATGCAGTCCGAATAGCGAACCTATCAATATTGGCATCGACAATGTCGCTACACGTGGGTCTATTAGCATGTGGCCTGATATTTCAGTGTCTATTTTCCGACCAAGTCTAGAAAATTTCCTTGACCCAATGGAAGGACGCTTTTGCAGCCTTTGGTAGTAGTAGTTGTAAGAACACCTGACTGCACTTACTTCCAGGTACAGAATGCTGCATGAATTATTGTCATGCAACACCAGTTATATATGACAAGTAAGAGCAAATTTCCTTGAGATATCTCCAATTGATAATGATTGATAGCGAGAGAAAGGCCCCAGACTTCCATGAGGTGTTAGCCTTTACTAAACTTTTCACTCCTTACAAGAAGCCATACTCACCAGCAGGATAACACGCAAGCCAAGATTCATAGGTATCGAATCTCGAAAGTTGCCACAACGGTTGCAGAGACAATAGTTTATCATAAACAAATGTCATTTTGATGATTGGGTAAGTAGGCTTTGTTGATGGAAGAAGAATGTCAACATGTGCTCCTATCCTACTGGGCGTCATTGTACTAAAGAGTCAACACCGTGTCTTCCTGACCAATTCGAGACCACATTAGACTCTTTTCCCACAGTAGTCTCTGCATGCCTTCATCCCTACTTGCATTGGAGCTTTCTGCCTTCTTGCCCATGACATAGTATCCATCTTGGCCCACATATTGGGATCCAACTGCTAAATCAATCACGTCCTTTGCCGCATCTGCACACCTTCGGAGACTAGGGTCCAGCCATCTAAGCAAAGGCTGGAATATGTTTGCAATGTATACCTGGATGGACCACATCCGGGGTATGTCTGCGCTATTGAGCGCTCGAGAGTCCAGGAGGGCACCGGGATCCACTGCAAGCGCCGATATACCCTTCAAATCCTTGCTCTGTCCAAGAATAAGCTTACATTCATTGGATATGGTTTATCTCCTTACATTTCGGAGTTTTCTATTCATTTCAAACATCGTCATCACTATCACCAGCTTCGACAAACCGTATCTTTGAAATCCACGGTCGATGACCTCTTCTTCTTTGTCCGGTAGAGGATGCGTAAGATATTCAAGATCAGCAGGCAATACGGTAGGATATCTTTGCAAAGCTGACTTCTGGTGACTATCGCTAGATAAGAAAACAATTCGTCCTTCTGCGTGATCGAACGATCCAAGAAGCTGCAGCACCATCGCAAAATGAGCAATATGGTTAACAGCCATGGATTGTTCGTAACCATCCAATGACAATTTAATACCACCATTTATCGTCCAGCTCATAGCGTTGCAGATGACGGTCGCAAGAGGTGGAATTTTCTTGGTTGCAATCTCGGAGTTGATCGTTGCTGTGAATTGACGGACAGCTGCGAGCGAGGAGAGGTCAAGTTTGCGGATAGATGCATGTGCATCTTGAGAATGATCACGGACAATCTTTCGAAGCTTTTCCGTGTTGCTGTCTTGGTCGGAGTCGTCTCTAACTGTAAGAATGACGTAGCTTGTGGGATGCGTTGAAAAGAGTTGATGAACGGCTGCAAGACCCAACGAGCCATTTGCACCTGTGATGATGATTGTTCCCATTGTCAGTTTGCCAGTCCGAGATATTCCTAGCACAGAGAGACCTTGTGGCAAATAAATATGCGACGTATATGCAAGCAACGGGCCGCGCAGTAATCCAATCCCCGATCACCTTCTTAATCCTGCTTGATGTGAAGGACGATTGCATCACATCAGCAACGGGAAAGGGTGATTGAAGGACCATAATATAAACTAGGAAGACAATATCGGTTTGCGCGTTATTGTCAGCAATAACCATTTTCGGGACGAACAATGAACCAAGAACGGAGAATTCCGGATAAAATATGCACGTCGCGTACACCCGAATACAGATATATTGAGGCACAGTAGTGTTGAGATGTCCGAACCTGCTCTATCAGTCTCCACTCCTGTAAGACGGAGTACAGCTTCCAGATTTGAAGTCTTTTGGGCCGTGAATCTGGAGGCTATGAGCAAGGATGTCAGAATTGACTTCTTAACACTTTCGTATTGTGTCTGCCTAGTGAAAAACTAAGAAGTGCGCTGGCGAGCGAACACTGTGTGCAATTAAAGAAACCATAACATTGTCCAGGAAGCGTGAGTACAAAAGTTCATGGTCGGTGTCTAGAAGAAAAAATAGGCAAAGGTCGCGTAGGTTCAATCTTTCACACATCATCAATCATCGATACGTACTTACCAGAATCCTTATTACCACAATGCGAATTTGGCTTTTGTTCTCCTCCTGCGGTCTCCTTGTAGCTACGACGAGGACATCGAACGTCCCTGCTACAAGTCTTTGTGAGGCCTGGAAAGGCAGTGATCCTGCTAATGTTTCTGTACCAAATGAGGAAGAATATGAGATCCTCAAAAACAGTAATTGGTTAGTATCATCTGTGAAGACAACACTCATACTAATGCCGAACTAAAGGTCACCTGTTGCGCGGCGACAGCCGGCTTGCATTATCAGGGTACAAAATACGGAGACATTAAAAGAATTATTGCCCCAGCTTGTAGAGGCGCAGGTTCAATTTGCCATTCGGAGCGGGGGGCATATGGTAGTCCCCGAAGCTTCTAATATAAATGACGGAGTATTGATCGATCTATCGAGGGTGGACGCCATCAAATACAGCCCTCGTGACCAAACAGTACTGGTTGGCAGTGGGGCACGATGGAAGCATCTATACGAGGTCCTGGAGATGTACAATCGGACTGCAGTTGGGGGAAGAATGGCAGACATCGGCATTGGTGGTTTACTACTTGGAGGTATTCACCGCGACGCAAAATATTAGCAGCTTGTCCTAACTGTCATCATAGGTGGTCTTTCGTGGCTATCAAACAAGTATGGGCTTGCATGTGACAATGTAGTCAACTATGAAGTACTGTAACATGCCGCTACGTTATGCGAATAAGTACTAATCATGATCTGCAAAGGTGATATTGGCCAATGGAACTATTATCAACGCAAACGCATCAAGTTCAAGCGATCTCTTCAGAGCATTGAAAGGGGGTGGAAACAATTTCGGTAAGTAAAGGCTTATATTCCCTGTACAAGACGAAAGTAGCTCATTGTAGTAGGGATTGTCCTACACTTCACTCTCAGAACATATCCATTGCAACGTGTATGGGGTGGCACCAAGTTTTATGCACATGAGCAATTCCCCGCATTAGTCGCAGCGCTGGCGCGATACCAGGCTGCACCGATACAGGATCCCGATGCCAATGTGATGATACAAGGACCGATTACAAACTCGAGCTACGGAATAATTTTGACCTTGGTATATAGCCAACCAATCGAAAATCCTCCAGCTTTCAGCGCCTTTGAGGGCATTCCAGTTTTGTTGGATAATACGGCCATTCGAACCTATGCCGACTTGATAGCTAGTGCCAATGAATCGGATATAAGTCAACTACTTAAGTATGTTTTGCCCGATTCTAATGCCTGCATCCTTCGCTCATATGAATGAGGTGGGACTTTCGTACTGCAACCTTTGCTTTGAATGCCACCCTCTACAATGAGCTTCTTCATATTACTACCGATTCGCCAGAGGTGGCGACTATCTCCAAGCTTAATTCGGGAACCTTCGTGTTCAATCTTCAGCCTATATCCACAGGGGTCGTTAAAGAGGGAAAGTTACGAGGCGGAAACTCCTTGGGGCTTAGCGAAGAACCGCAAGTATGGGTAGAATATCTGACAGCATGGTCGGATGTCAAGGCCGATGATCTAGCGTACTCTTCTGCTAGATCAATCCTCAACAGGGTAGAACAGGTTGCACACAGATCGGGCAATTATCACCAGTACAAGTTCATGAACGATGCGAGTTGGGATCAAGACGTCATCGGTCATTATGGTGATAATAATGTAGCTTTCCTCAAGAGTGTACAGGTAAAATATGACCCGGGGAGGACATTTCAGTCTCTAGTAAGAGGTGGGTTCAAGATTCCCACTTGACGAGGCATGTTTCTTCTGCAAATCTTCGACCTTTAATTTCGCCGACGAATCTTGAGTCTCAGGTCCTGGTGAATCCATAGTAGATATGCCTCAGAGTGACCAATCGATGTGATTTCGACTTCGAACCGCCGATGAAACTAGTTCTATTAGTTGAGTTCGAAGTGATGTTTCTTACTGGGCAGAAGTAGCTACCTTAAAGATAGTTTTCCGAAGTATCATCATTCCCAATATCTTTCCAAGGCACCTTCTATTCCCATAACCCCAGGCAAAGTCATACTTGGACAGATGCATTGCCCTATCAGGGTCCTCAATGAATCTCTCTGGGCGGAAAACATCTGCGTCGTGTCCGTACATGTCCTGGTTTCGTCCGAGTACCCATGGCGAGCACCCAATCTCTGTACCTTTAGGCACAAAACCGATGTTACTCCCCAAATGAATGCCGCCCGGCTTCACGTATCTTGGCAAATAACTTGTTACTGGAGAGTCCATACGTAGTGATTCCCGGATGCAAGCATTCAAGTAAGGTAATGTGGCCAAGTCGTTGTATGGTACAGTTGATAAATCCGGATTATTAATTGATGACATATGGTTGGTTGTATCATTTATTTCTCGGATCAATTTCTCGCCGCAGGACGGATTTTTCGAAATAAGAAGAATTGTAGCCCGGATTGCGTGTGCGACGGTCTCGCTCCCCCCGAAGCTGTCCAATAATTTCAGTCAACAATGTTGCAAGCGCCGAGTCGTAAAAACCTGATTTCACATACAACAAATGTGTCAGATCCTCTTTAATTTCTTCTGTCCGCATTGCCGAGCCATCTGGATTCACCGCTTGGTAGATCATGCTGGTAAGGTGTGTCAGTTACGGTGTTCCAATATCTGACATACATGCATATGAAGGGAACCCACTGATCTAGCAGCCTACCCTTACCCGTCCTTTCAGTAGAGCTGCAAAATTGTTCAATGAGGCCATCCCGGAACTATTTATGCAGTCAGCTTCAACTGTTTTTTCTCCAATATGTACTAACCTGTAGGACCTGTCCAACTGCAGTTTTGTCACCTGGTTGAGGCATCAGGAAATTCCCTATCTGACCTTCAAAAAGAATGGAGCGGAGCCACGGCATCCTTGCTAGACACTGTGTCATCTTTGCCCCATCCCTGGGAGCCTTGATCAGATGCATGAGATAGCTTCCAGTCTGGTCTACATGGCTCATAGGTACTCCCGTCAGCCGGATCATGTTGATGTCGTGTCCCAGAATACTTTGGATTACTATCAGAGAGATGCGAACCTCCATTTCACAACATTGGGGTGCTTACTGAGGCCATTGAGTAAAGTCGAACTCCATGCCTTTGCTTGCATGTTCATCGTCGAGTTTGTGTATCCATGCCGCGATACTCTCGTTCAATAATTTCTCATCTTGAAGTATCGCGTCCAAGGTAAACTAAATTGGAGGTTTTCAATCGATAATAAGGGAGAGGTGCCCGAGCATGCACTGATGCAACGTGCTTGGACTTACTGGTTGCGAGATTCGCGTTCTCGCAATTCTATGAGTTTGCCATGTCTTGCTCTCGATGATTCCTTCAACCCCTGTAGTTGAACTGTTGTAGTGAGGAGTCTTTTCGGATCGATGATGATAGATGATTGGCAAAAGTATTGGGTTATTAACGAGCAACAGATTTGGCTGCCATCTTACAACAGGACCTGATAGCAATGTTAATATGAGAAATATTCTTCATTTCTGTAGTCACACCATATTTCTTGTGTGCCTTTAGAATCAATTCATGCTCCTTCCCATACCAAAGGGCTGCTACTGAATAGAGCCGGGTAATTGATGCAAGTCGGGGTCCAGGGAAGTTTCGAAGAGGGTCCCGAAGCCAGTAGAAAAGGCAGCAGGATGTAATGGCTAGGGTTGTAAGGACAAGCAAGAGTGGCATCATTACTTCCTGTTCAGTGAAGGTTGTCGAGTTCAAGGCAAGGCACAGGAAAGTATTTATAGGGCAAACTTATAATCTAAGATTGCTCAGCAAGTAGAGTAGAGGTAACAGGGGTCAGCCAATTCACCGGAATGCTGATTACGTAGGATAGCAGGCAAGTACACGACTGCTGGTTAGGGGTAGGCACATCAGCATGCTCGGTATCGTATTGCAAATTGTACAAGGTATCCTTCCACGATTTCCCTTTGCATTGCCCTCCGCACAATCAGTCTATTGGTCAGACAATTTCGCAAGAACACACACCAGGCTATATGCATGCCTGCTATCACTTCTACCACCTTACTACGCAGCAGGTAATATTTAGATGCTCGGTTATACGAAATTCGACTAGATTTATAGATGATTGCTTCATTGTAGGGTCTCGCCTGCCTCGCGAGCTAATCTTCGTTCTCGTTCGTCTGGTTTAGCCTCATCATGGGCCTCTTCCCTGATAATGATGGCAGAGGGTGAAGTCGGTTTAGGTAGCAAATTACATCAAGGTAGTCATTTGCGATACAGCATGATAGTCTGAGGCCGCTTGGAAGTCACTATATAGATAAATGAATGCGGTCGGAGACTCTAAAGAGATACATTAAAAGCTATAAGTCTCACAATGGCGGATACACGAGCCATCTATCTAAACAATTTGCTCAGTCTAGATTGAGCTTGTAATACCCACTTCTGTAGGAGTATCTCTGTAGTAACCAGCAAACATATCATTCTTGTCGCAATTGAGTGAAAACGGGACGGGCTGTTAGGTTTGTACTCCAGTCACCCCGAATCATTGCTGTGTGCAATCATGACCTCAGCTCAGCTTTGCTCACTGTAGTCCGTTATATACCCCCATCATTCTAACATTCCTCAATAGGAAACTAGAGGTCGGGTTAGAGTTTTAGGTTTAGCTTATCTTTGCACTCCCATCCTCTCTGTATGCTCCCTTTGCTTGTTCTTCCAGCTAGATCATCCCTAATAGTACCTCGGGCAGTAGCGTTCAAAACCGAGGCTCCACTGCTCTCGTAGCTTGCCAAAATTGGAACTCATTTGTCTCAGAATCGATCGTTGAGCCACGCCAAGTGGACTTCATTTGGCTCTCATGTTGCACGGCACAGCCTATGCACAAGAATAGGCTCTTGGAAGCACAAGTTAGGTGTGCCTCTATTCAAATTTCACTGGCTATTTGGGACAATGCGCCGTTCACTAGTTGTGAAGGACGATGCGCTTAGCGGTTTTGAGGACCATACGCTGCGAAGTGGTTTTGAGGGACGATGCATGTGACATGGGTTCGCGTGCTTAGGTACCTTATGATCCCTGCGAGGGCAACTTGCAGGTGCGGGGAAGGGGAGGAACACCCAGATCACTCGCAAGATAGCATAGACTCATTACACAGGCGGCAGGAGAATACGACTTAGTCGCCTAAACAAAGATGACGGAGAAAGGCAACGAGGTCGTTCCGAGACATCTCAATACAGACCTGACCCAGGAATATTGATTCTTTAATTCTTTGTTTATCATCCCTGTCGGTTGACCAATCCTAGTTGCGGGGACGGCCAGTCTTCACCCAACATCAGTGTTGCCTTTTTCTATACTGTCGGCGTTCGAGAAGAAGAGAGAAGGCGGTCAAAAATCGCTCATATGCCCACTACCTAAGATTCCATGGAACAAAAGGATTAGTTCAACATCATGCTCAGCACGCTTCTCATTATTGCTATTTCTCCACTTCTTGTTCTTTTGACCGTGCGATCACGAAGGGAAGTGATGGAAAGTATCGACAAGGAGCTCATCGCTGAGCCCGATATTGGAGTTCCAGCATCTAGCAAAAGAGTTGTCCGGCAATTGCAAAACTCTTTAGCTGGTTGTGTTCTATTGCGCTCGAATACAGATGCCTTCAACGTATCAGCCAGCAATTATTTCGCTCAGCAGTCAAACACAACAAGACCAACCTGTATTGTGCGCCCAGAAACCGTCCAACAGCTTAGCCAAGCTGTAGCCATCCTTCACCAAGAGTTTATGGCTCGAAAAGCGGATGAACATGATAAACCCAAAAACCTGGGATTTGTATCGCTCAGAAGTGGGGGACATTCTTATTCCAGGGCCTCCGCCAGCATTGATGGTGGAGTGTTGTTGGATTTAGATCACTTTTCCGACGTCACGATATCAAACGACGGATGTTCAGTCAGAATAGGTACTGGCGCTCGATGGTCTAAAGTTAATCAAGTTCTTGAGGCGAAGAATATTGCCGTCCCAGGTGGGAGGAACGGTGCTGTTGGGGTTGGCGGTTTTACTCTAGGAGGTAAGCTTTGCTTCAAGTTGCAACTTGAACTTGTCCCTTATTGTACTGACAAAATTGTTTAAAGGCGGTATATCCTTCTTTTCACAGAGGTGTGGGTTCGCTTGCTCGAACGTTATCGAGTACGAAGTAGTATTGGCGTCTGGACAGGTGGTCATTGCTTCTGCAACAAGCAACCGAGAACTTTGGCGTGCCCTCAAAGGAGGAGGTAGTAATTTCGGTATCGTCACTTATTTCACTTTCCGAGCCTTTCCATGCAGTGATATATGGGGAGGTTGTCTGTTCTCGCCAAGTTTTGAGTCTTCTCGATCGATTGACCTATTTCATAAGTTTGTGGGCAGAGCGGACCCTACCAATACCGGTGTGGATTACGACAATTATGCATCTGGGCCAATAGTTTGCTTCTGTTTTCTTCAGCGACCTGGAATGGAAATAATATCGACATTCATCACTTACACAAAGGAGCCCCCTTCCGCTTTTGCATGGCCGACATGCTGGAAGAGCTCTGGATTCAAATCAGTTTGGCGATATTGGAGCACGGTGAAACAGCGTACTTTGGCCAGCGCATGTCAAGACTTGGCTATTGGCGAAAAAGCAGGCCTAAGTCAGAATATCGCCGGAACAGTTATCAAAAATGACAAGGCCACGATCGAAGCAGCATACAAGTTCTATCGAGAGGCCTGCACCGAAGTCAAGAACACCAGAGGCAAAGGCATTCGATTCGTTTTTGTTTTGCAGCCGCTCCTATCTACCTGGATGCACAAAGGCGATCCCAATTATCTTGGGCTCGATAATACGCTGAATGAGCCGCATGTTCTCGTAAGCTTCAGTCCGGTATGGACTGATGTGAAGCATAATGACTTTGTGGAGAACCTCGTTCGTAAGACCATTGAGAAAATAGAGGGATATGCTCGGGATCATGGAACATACCACCCTTACAAATACGTTAACTACTGTGCAGCCTGGCAAAACCCTTTTGAGAGTCACGGCAAGGAGAATTTGGACATCCTGCGAGGAATCAGCAAACAATACGACTCTGAAGGATTTTTTCAACATGCCTGTCCTGGTGGATTTAAACTTCCTGGCCTAGAGAGGCCTTGAGATACTACCTTCTGTAAAGCTTATTAGCATTGCGAGACTATCAAGCTACTTCAAACATGTTGCTACTATTGTAGATGCATTTACGTTATGTATATTTTGGACAATACAGCAGAGATTAGTTTTATTCTATCAGTTGTTGCGATAGGAACGGACAGAATAATAGACTTGAAATTCCGATACAAGCTATATCAATACTCAACAAGTATATATGTAACATTTATAACAATGTTAAGCTACAAGAGTTTGTATAAATCACAGTATTTGTATTCTAATAGGAGCTAAAGCGCTAAAGAAAGTTGTATTTAGTGATGTAAAATATCTGACCTACGCTAAAGGAGTAGACTCTGTATTTCATATACTGATAGATATATAGTAATGATCGACTTTGAAAACTACAGAAAGAATAATAATGATCTCTAGGACGATAGTTACCAAAGGCAGTGAAAACGGGACAAGATAATGCCCCGATTTACACTCTTGCTACCATGGCTACCCTACTCCTCGCGCGCTCGTCGTCGTGCCTCTCGCCGTGCTTCACGACGACGTGCTGACCGTCGCGAAGCTCGGCCGCTGCTTGTGTTTCCGGCGGTAGCATTTTCAGCAATCCTGTCGGCTTCGTGAACGAACTCAGGTACCAACGTTGCTTGCAATACGGTGGGATCACGAAGAACCTGCTGCATTACCTCGGGGGACTGAAACATATTTGGATCGTCGGCTGCGAGAATTTGTGACAACCTGACGATCTGATTGTCCCCTAAGATAAAGAATAGCTCAGCACCGCCTTCCTTTGCCCACCTCGTCGGGATGTGGAATAAAGTATTATGAATATCAGTGCAATTTGGTGGGCAGTCGAGGCTGAAGGTAACCTTTGTCGTAAGGAACTTTTTAAAACGATTTGGATCCACAGGCATAGAGGATTCCATGACATTTTCCAAATTTAGAAGGTGCGATTTGTCAACCAAAATCATCACTTTGACGTCTGGAGCGCTCATCGGAACAGTGAAATCTATGATGAACCCAACTGAGTCAACAGGAATTTGGCATACCGGACAAAGGTCTTCGTTGACGTCACCCTGCTTGCGCCACTCATCGTAACAATATTCATGGATTGTATGGCCACAAATGGGCAGTCCCTGTGCATTGACCACAGTTGGCGATGGAGACTGAAGTTGATGGCAGAGAGGGCAAGTCCAATCCTGATGAACCGAACTTTTCGAGCTACCACCATTCTCGTTAAGGCTGAGACGACCTATGTCATCTAGAGAAGATATGCCACCTTTAGAAAGCATATCCAACAATTCTGGTGTCAACTCTTCGAACATATCCGGAGTGCTAGACTCTTGTATCTCGGCTAGGCTGATCAACTTGGTTGGTGCCAAAGCAAGGAACATTTTAATAGGCCCAGTGACATTGTTCACCATGTCAATAATCATGTGCTTTTCTTCCCTGTGGTCACTGGCAGATTCCTTGTTCGGGTTCTCTACAATATGCCGATGGGTGCCCCGGAATCGCGTTTCGTCCAGATCGTGGGAGGATGCAAGCGCGGTTTTAATGTTTAAAAAACGATCAGTGTCTGCAAGAATGAGTAGAACAACTTTATCGTCGTTGAGAACCTCCGACACATCGACAATCATTTCTTCCTTATAGTACAAATGGCGACATAGCGGGCACGAGTCGTTGCCGCCGGCGAACCAGCTCCTAGTGCACGTACGATGGAAACGATGGCCACATGTATCTAGCGCAATGAATCTGGTCTTGTTTGAGGTAGCGTTGTCTTCTTGGCAGATAGCGCAGTTCCAGTCGTTATCTGTTGGCATCTCGATGTCCTTGAGACATTTATCAAGAAAATCATCCCTTGACGGAAACTTCAATGCCATGATGATAAGCGAGTTGGTAATGAAAATTTAGATGAATTTTCCGATTGAAGTGTCAGTTAGATGTAACGTTTGCTGAATTGCTGAAGTTGTGCTCCTGGATAGAGAGGTATGTTCGAATGTTCTGTTTTTGAAAGGTGTAGAGGTCAGAACTTATATACACTGAAAATAAGACAATGGCAAGCAGGCATTGTTTGTGCTGTTGATTGAAACCAACGATTTGTTGACAATGCTTATTGAATAGTGCCAATCATATGCAATTCATGCTGTTGGCTAGACATACACTTTGCAAGTGTTAGAACAAGGGACAATTCCTGTCACCTATACTAGCCAGAGGCCTGAGTGGCCTAGATTAGCTTAGTAGGATTACATAATGCTCCCTATAACACTAGCTGAGGAACAATGAGTTTCCTTAGCGATTCGTCTCTATCATTTGGGGATAATAGAATTGACTCTATCTCACTATTGCTAATTGCCAACTTCCAAGTGCCTTACCAACCTATCCTAACAGCAAGTCTCAACCTTACAATGCCGAGTTGGCAACATCGACGTGTCTACCTACAAGTATGTGAAATGAGTACCGAATTATGGCACAGTGGAGTTCTCGACAAGGCTGGCTAAGATTGTGAATATACCTTCTGTAAGTTTGACACAATGCCGTGTTGCATAGTTCTTTTGTTATAATTCGTGGATGTTTGTATACTAGAACAACGAAGACCCTTTATTCCATTTTTCTTGGGAGTAACTGGAAGGAGTTAATTCGAAGCTCAACACTACAGCAACAGATATCACAATCTTGAGATTCAACAGACCAGTTTAACTCATGAAATACTAAACTTGACTTCTGTAGGAGTATCTCTGTGGGTACCAGCAAACATATCATTCTTGTCGCAATTGAGTGCAACCGATCGATTCTTCAATGAGAGTCCTGCAAAGCCATTGCGGCCTGCTAATAAATGGGGAATGGCCACAATCAACCGCAATGACTTTCTCGATCCGATGTTGGCCGCTGGCTTTTGCAGTCTCGATAAGGTACTCCGCAGCAGCAACTGTACTAGGTCTATCACTTGTGCATAGAATGTATGTTGTCGCGATAAAACGCCAGGCGGCAAATGTCGTTATGCTCCAAAAAGAACCAAGGCTTTGCGGACGAAGATCTCGCACCAGTTCAGCAACAGATCCGTCATCGATGTCTTGATAGAACATATTCTTCGCGTCTTCTTCGCGAACGGTGACAATACCAGACTGATTGAAAAGTTAGTTTGTCTACCAATAAGATGTAAGGTTACCATACCTCCAGGTCTGTTTTCATTTCCGGAACCATATTGTTTCGCGTACCTTGGGGCGAGTGCTGAAATCCCTCTGGTACAATGAATGCAGCAATGTATACAAGCTTCACGACGCCCCCAAAAAGACCTTTGCCAGCACAACTTGCTTTGTCAAGGCCTTCGAGAGCGGTGCCTCCTGTCATTCCACTGAAACTGTGCATGACCACAACTACATCTCGGTCTCGAACGAGTTCTGAGATCGTTTGCCGAATTTTCTGAACATCCTGGGACCAATCTAGTGTAGGAGGATCGGAACCAGATGAAGGGAGAGACGGCGTAACGCTTTCAAAACCTTCACGACCAAGCTCAGAAACAAGGTGGTGCCAACACTGTGGGCTGTGCCATGCGCCATGAAGGAGAACAAAAATTGGCTTTGGCATGATGCTATGATATAATGAACCAAGCAACGCGGCAGCTGCGAGATTAATCCGTGATATTGGACAAGTATCACGGAGTTACTATGTTGAAGGCTGGCCTACAAAGATTCAAAGAGGATGGTGAACCAGACAAAGTATCGTGGATAACGCTTAATAGCTAACTCCAAGCCAAGTAGTTTTAATAACGACGAAAACGTATGTATAGTACATACTGCAGAGAATGCCCGGAGATTATTGGTTGTAGCACTATGTTTCTCATTTGTCATATGTCCCTCAAGCGAAGGACCATTGCATATACTGCGCCTCCCACGTCTGTCGAGTATATTGGTTCATTGACTTAATAGGGTTAATGATGTAAAACTTGCACGTTCTCGACTCGGTATGCTGCAGTATTGACTACGAGACGCCACAATTAGTGTGCGGCACGTTCAGGCAATGCAAACGATTCACTGTGTAGATAACCTTTGCGCTTGAGCCCTACACTTACCCATACACGCGTCAAAGAAAAGACCGATAGAGTATGATTCCAGCCATCCGCAAGCGCTATGGTTCCTCTACTTATCAGTGGCCATATGCTTTAGTCCCTCGCGTGGTCATCAATCTAGTCCTCCGTATCACGCGCCTGCATAGCGGTCGGAACCGCCAGACTAATGATCATGAGCCATTCAAGGATCGACGTATGATGCCAAGATAAAGTCTCAGCAAAATCAGTCTGCAGCGCATCAGAAGCAAATTAATGGACACACTCTAGTATGACGGTCACATTGTGGCTGATGTAGTGTGGTGTGGTTTAGCAAAGTCATGATCGATAAGAACTTGTCTATGGGACATGGATGCAAGGCATGATTTGATATCCCCAAGAAAAATTAATACTCGTTTAAATAATGATTTGATGAAAAGTGAGCATTCGGTCTGTAAACCTTCGTCCAGTCATGCAGCAAAATGTATTGTTTTCCAGGATTACGGTCGAGTCGATGTAGGCCCTTGTCCATTGGCGACACTCATCTTTTATATCCGCTTGCTTCATTCTAAGCAATTCAAAAGGCTAGACCAACAAGCACAATATCCGCCAATGAATCACACTCAATCTAGAATTTTTGATCTATCGTTCTTCTACGCCTTACTTTGCTAGTAGAGTTCTGATCGGACATGTTCTTTGCCGGCTCCCTGTCATCAGAGGAAGCAGAGTAGACTCACTCCTCAACCTCTCCCATCTCTGCCTAAACATCAACTACCTTTCTCACTTACATTGCGTCTCTCAATCATAATTTATAATCCATTCTCAATTGCCAAGGGTTCAATGCGAAGAGTTCATAGACCCCATGCCCGAGTCATTATTGGGGGCCCGATAATGAATTAATTATGAACACAGCACTAAAGCCTTCCGCGTTTTATTCCAACTGGATAGCTATCATCATTACACAACTTCGGTGATATCCCTTGTCTAGCGTACCAATGACATACCTTCAAGAGCTACTATGGACTTCTTCTTTGTAACTTATCTGACTGCATCCGCCTTCGGTTCAATGATTACTTCAATCGCCAGTGGATATTGTGTGGCTCGGCATATAACTAGGTACGGTATCTACTCTTCCTTTTTTCTTGTCTTCCACTTTCCTATCATTTCGGAACGCTGACTTCGGAATTTCGGTCCCGAACCGGAACCTTAAACGACAAGATCGGGAATTCGACCGTTCTAGATATCTTTACGGCCAAGATTTATTTCGTGATAGTTAACTTCAAAAGAGTGATCACGGCGCGATTGAAGACTAGCGAAAGTGAAGTTAAAATATAGTTGAATGTTCGATTATCATGAATGTGTATAAATTGGCCTGAAAATTAAGAACAAAGTCCCATTATTACGTCCTACAAAAGTGACTTCAACACTTTCGGGGGCGTTGTGTGTAAATCCTGTGAGGAGGTTTTTGAGGGGGTCTTTGACAATCGAGTCTCTTCTGGGTCATACAACGGATCTCCTACAACGGTAGCTTTGATGGTTGTTCCAAAGTATTCCACTTCGACCTTGTCCCCCCGCTCTAACCCTCGAGGCAGCCAGGCATATGCAACAGGTTTGCGTACAGTAAAACCGAAAGCAGCGGTTGTAACGTAACCCACCGCTTTGCCTTGGTAGAACACAGGTTCTTTGCCCATTATCATGGATTGACTATCGTCAATGGTGATACAGGCTAGACGCCGAGCTGATGCCCTTGTTGCAGCTGATCTCAGGGCGGACTTGCCAACATAGTCATCCTTCTTGTTTTTTTGGACCGCATACAACGCACCAGCCTCATAAGGATTGTGTTCGGAAGTCATATCGGAGCCCGTGATTCTAATACCTTTTTCTAGCCGGAGGCTGTTGAATGCAGCACGACCAGCGGCGATCAGCCCGTGATGTTTGCCAGCTTGCCATATCATGTCCCATAACCTTTGCCCAAAGTCAGGTGAGGTCTGGATCTCCCATCCGAATTCCCCAACGAAAGATTTGCGGAACAAGGTTACGGGAATTCCCGCGATGCTTGTCCTTTTCACCGTCATGTAAGGAAAGCCAGCGTCAGAGAAGTCCTCCGAACTGACTTCGCCTATGACGTCTAGCGCTCGAGGGCCCCAGAGGCCCAGGCAACAGGTACTACCGGTAATGTCTCGTACTTGGCACCACAAGCTTGGACTGCGTTGCGATTGCTTGCGAGCATGTCGTAAGAGATAGGCCAAATCGGTGGCAGTATTGGCGCCAATCTGGAAAAGGTGATCTCCAATTCTCGATATGAACAAATCGCTCAAAATGCCACCCTGGGAATTGAGAAGCAATGTGTGCGTGATGGTGCCAACGGGTTTGGAGATGTCGCTTGTAGTGAGGTACTGCAATAATTTCAAAGCTCCAGGACCGTTGATTTCGAAACGATGAAACGTCGTCATGTCATAGACAGCAACTGCATGGCGTGTCTTCCATGCCTCGACGGCGGCGATCGGTGAGTAGAACTTGGATGACCATGCATCTCGCTGGACGGGCCGCCATGGATCCGGCAAAGTCTTCAAAAGGTGTTCATTCGCTTGATACCAATGTGGCCGCTCCCACCCACCTACCTCCAGAAAGAATGCACCCAGCTCTTTTTGCCGCGCATGAAAAGGACTGACGCGCAAATCTCTTGGTGAAACCTTTGGTGCTAACGGATGGATTATGTCGTAAATTTCGACAAAGTTTTGCTGTGATGTCTCACTGACATATTCCGGACTTAGCTGGACATCTTCGAAGCGAGTCAACTCGCACTCAGCAATGTCGATGCTCGATCGGCCTTCGGTAAGGATCTCTGCAACCGCGCGAGCTACTCCGGCCGAATGTGTCACCCAAACAGCTTCCGCAACGTAAAACCCATCAAGGTGGGGAGCTTGGCCAACAAGTGATCCTCCATCGGGGGTAAAAGAGAAAATACCGTTGAATCCTTCTGCGATTTCCGTCTCTCTAAGGGCGGGAAGCAGCTCCTTTGTAGCCTCCCAGGCTGGGGCGAAGTCTTCGGGAGTAAAGTCGAGTCTTGAGGGCATGTTCTTTTCGTCGACATGTGCGCTAGTGACGCCTAGAGAGGATGCAACGATCGGCATGGGTCGGTGGCCGTAGTAGCCAATTCCATATTGCTCACCGTGCTCGCGGTAATATAGGTCTTGATCCTGGTGTCGTAAGATAGGGAGCTCTGCATTCATGGCATTAATTCTTGTATTGGCTTCGCGGCCAACTAGATGCGGGACAGCTGTAGTCTTTGCGTATTGGTGCGCCAATGGAAGGAGGGGAACCTTTAGTCCGACCATGGCTCCGATTTCTACACCCCAGAACCCAGCGCAGGAAACGATTATATCTGCAGGAACAACTCCCTTGTCGGTTTCCACGCCCGTCACATGACTGTTCTCCGTTTGAATTCCTGTGACAAGCGTGCTCTCGAGATATCTCACTCCAGATTGGCGCGTGCTCTCGATAAGTATCTGCGTTGCGCGGGCTGCTAATGCCAATCCGTCACTTGGAATATAAAGTCCACCGAGGATGAGCTGGGGGTTTAACGAGGGGTACTTGTTGATGCACTCGTCTGCACTGATGATGTGCGCCTCAATTCCCCATGACTGGGCATAGCCATGCTTGCGGCGGAGTTCTTGGAGGCGTTCCGGCGTCGTGGCTACTTCGAGACCACCAAGCTGATTGAAGCAGCTGGTTCCGTCCTTCTCAAGTGCCAGCAGTTTTTCAACCGTGTACTTTGCGAAGAGAGTCATTGTCTTTGAAGGATTGGTTTGAAAGACTAGACCGGGAGCATGTGAAGTTGAGCCTCCAGGCATTTGTAAAGGGCCTTGCTCGACGACTGTGATATTCTTCCATCCTCGAGAGACAAGCTCATCCGCAAGGTTGGTCCCCACGATGCCAGCACCGATAATGACGACACGCTTTGAAGTATCCATCCTGATAGTGTCAAATCAAGAACGGGTGAAGGAATATGGTAGTCAAATGAGAATTGTTTGAATAATTGAGCAGAGAGGACGGGCTTAGGAGGGCATGTCGAAACTCAAATATATGTATGGGGAAGTCTATCCAGTATTCGCCTATATCGGAGAGCCGCAGATAAGCGTAGGCGGGTTCAATGTTGAACTTGCCAGACGCAGGCTCTCTTGTGCCGCGATCGAAGTGCGTCCGCATCCTCTAAGAGGTCCCCGACGGCCACTTCGTTGGACAGGCGGGGAAGCAGCTTGGGAATGACAGACGACAAGGACCATACGCACCGCACATGATCGAGGTTGTAGCTGTGGAGTTGCAGTAGTGAACTAAGGGTATGATAGTGGAAGTGGAGGGGGTGGAGTGGAGTGGAGTCCATGCTAAGCAGTGGGGATATGATAGCCACATTGAGACTAGCGTCTTACTTGACATGATTTGGTAGTTCACGTGTCACTAGTGGGCACAGAGAGATAAATACCTGACTGCATCCATCCCCCCGGTTCCGTTCCTCCAACCTTTCTGCATCGTCACGGTTTTGTCTTCGTTATCTCATCTCTCCTGCTTTTCCCTCTTCCTCTCCCTCCCTCCTTCCTCGACACATTCAAACACACACATACGTACACATCAGTTCGTTCCCAATTGATCGTGTGCATCCTATTCACCAAGTGTTGGCATGTCACCAGCATGGCCTCCCGTCGCAACACGATCAGTCTCAGATGAATCTGAACTGAGTACATAGCACGGTGGCGGTAAGCCATTATACAGGATTAATACCACAAGTTTACTCTTGCGACCGATCTCTTCTGATCATGACTTGGTGATCTACCATCTGCGACCAACAATGCGATGACTCCTTTGCGACAATGCTCTGAGGCAACCTTTGCGACAATGCCCTGAGGCAACCTTTGCGACAATGCCCTGAGGCGACCTTTGCGACAAAAGGCCACAGCTGCCGCTGAAACCATGCGACAAATCCCAGGCCTTCACCAGCCAAATCCTTTTCGACAAATCCCAAATTCCTTGCGACAGAGCCTTGCAAGAAACTCCAGACCTCTGCGACAGAGCCTTGCAACCAAATTCTGCAACAACAGCTACCCCTGCGATTGAATAAGCCTATCGAACAGCCCCTGCGAGAGAATCTTGCGATGAATTCTTGCGGCATGTTGTTTTCTTCCGAGCAACCTACCGACATGAGATCCCTAGCAAGCCACGTCGTTTATGCGACTTGCTGCACACCTCTGCCAGTGCGCCTAGCGACAGATTACCTGATTGTCGTTGTTGCTGGAAGACACGAATGCAACGCCTTCTAGTGCCAAGCTCCCGTTGATCATCATTCTTCATGAATGCACAAGTTTGGCAGAACTGCGATATCCGATGCTACCGTTCTCTCAACCACTCTGGGTGAGGATTACCTTTGCTTGTTCCCACCAATAACGGTGCGCCACGGCAGTTTTACTACCTTGTTACCCCGCACCGCTCCGAGACATTCGCAGTCCCAAAGAACCAGAGAATTGCCTATCTGTTGTTCCACAATATATTGGGTGTGGAAGCTGAAGAGAATCGCCGGATCAAATCTCTCAGAATGGCAAAAGATTGCGGAGCTGTTCCGCCAAAGATATGTTTTTTTTAGAACATACTTTCAGGCCGGATCGAGATTACAATCTGTCCGGCAGACCTACTCCATGCCATCCCTCGAGGAGTGCTCCAATGATGAAGACGGGACATATGATGGCTTATCAGTGTCACCTATCTAAAGATCGCCCTCTACCTGCCAGAGCATCCGCGCATGCTGATCAAATCCACGATGATAGCAAGCGAGCAGTGGGAGACAGGATAACGACGATATCATTCATGATCTTGATTGGTTGATAAGGCAGGTGGTTGAAAGACAGTGGAACGAAGATATCGGTCCGATCCTCATGCTGGGTGTTATCTGGAGCACTCCGACTCGAACTACCCCCCGCATATGCAGGACTTATCTCTATCCCCGCATTTGCGGGAGACTTTGCAAGAGCTATCGTACTCGCTTTGATAAGGCAAGAACCGAAAATGAAAGATGAAGACGCGACGCTCACTTGGCCCTAATGTTGAGAATGCGCCGTTGTGGGTTCGTTGCAGCACCAGTTGGCACTAGTCTTGCCAGATGTGGTAATCTGATCCAGAAAATACGGTAACTGGTCTGTGCGATCCAGAAGGGGCTGAAGCTAGAACGGTCCCTGATGCGGTCACGATGACAGTCGCAGGAGTACTCAGCAACGCGCGACGTACCGAACCACCAAAACAACCCCATGCAGTCGTTAGCTTGTTGCTCAGAACCTGGACCTCTGGCACAGCTGATCGGCTTGGGCTTTGAGAACGACCTAGGATCCATGGCTCATGACGGATAGAGGGAGTCCGATTACGTTCACGCACTTGACTGGCCGTCGAATCAGGGTCGAATGAAACGAGATGGAATTGCTTACCCCATATGGCATTGGATTCAATCTCATAGATTAGAATACCAACACATTCGTCAGAGTATATAGAGGTCATCATGTTCGAGCGAGAAATAAGCAACACATTATTATTCGAAATCATTCACTTTCAGTGCCGCCTTATCGTCTTCCACCATATCTTTGTTGCCAGATCCTTTATTCTAAAAGCATCATTGACTCTACATCACACTTTCACCATGGTCACTGGCTTGATGAGATATGTCGGCCTCGGGTCTCAGACACCCATTGAGCCACCACAGAAGACAGCCATCCGTGCTCTGCCTGGAAACTGGTACACCTCAGAAGATATGTATCAGTTGGAAAGGCGCGCGATCTTTTCACGCAGATGGCTCATCCTCACACACAAATCGAGACTCCCAAATCCTGGTGATTGGCTTCGATATAAGTGCGCTGGCTACGACTTTATTGTGGCAAAGGATCGATCCGGCGAAATTCATGCTTACCACAATGTTTGCCGCCACCGAGCCTATCCCATTGTCGAACAAGATAGTGGTAATGCGAAGATCTTCTCCTGCAAATACCACGGATGGTCGTATGGATTGAAGGGTAATCTTGCAAAAGCCCCTGGCTATCAAGACCTCCAAGGATTCGACAAAAGCAAAAACAGTCTCTTCCCTATTCATGTCAGACTCGACGTGAACGGGTTTGTTTGGATCAATATGGATTCCAAAGAAGTGCCCGAAGTGACGTGGGAAGAGCAATTTGACAACGTCGACAAACAAGAACGATACAAGGAGTTCAATTTTGATGACTACGACTTCAACCACAGCTGGACAATGGAAGGCAACTTCAACTGGAAAATTTTGGCTGATAACTTTAACGAATGTTATCACTGCAAGACTACCCATCCCGATCTTCCAGATATTGCCAATCTGGAGACGTACGACGTTCATGTCAAGGCAGATCATATTCAACACGATCCGCAAACTTCGGAAGCCCAACGCGCCGCGGGTTTAGGAATCAACTCTACTTATTACTTCCCTTATGCCTCTATGACAGTTAGGTAAGTCACTGAATGCTCGCGGTCATCTTTGCAATCGTGCTAATGTATTGTTTCGCAGTCCACACTTCATGTTCATGCAGAAGTTCATGCCCAGCGGTCCCACGAAGTCGGTCATGTACTATGAAGTCTGGAAGAATAGAAATTCGACGGAAGAACAATTCCAGCCTCTCAACACCATCTACAAACGCGTGATGGCAGAGGATAAAGTCTTGTGCGAGCGAGCACAAGAGAACATCAACTCTGGTGTGTTCATCAATGGCGAGATGCACCCGCACATGGAGAAGGGACCCCTCTTCTTCCAGCAACGATGCAGGGAAGTCGTCATGGAACACTTCCAGCGAGAGAAGCAAGCAGGAAAGCAGATTTGGCCTGCGAAACAACAACTCGAGAAGACAGGTAACTCTGCAATCAGCAACGATGATGTTGCGTTTTGCGAGGGTCTGGCTTGTGGAGATGAGAAGAGTGATCTGGAATGGTGAGCAGACAAAGAGTTGTATGTGATTATTTCAGAACAAGATACGGGTTTGAAAGTTCGAAGGGGCAGCTGGAACTGACTCGGAAAGAAAGCATGGTAATTGCATAGAAGAGCGGCATCCTTACTGAAGAACGATTTCATATTGGACGTATTTCAGGCGTCATTTGTTTTGCATGGCGTATTCATATTCATTAATGATCTTTCTTTATTAGGGTTTCAGCAGATTTATATCTTGATGACCGTAGCCTGGGTACGTAGACTATTATGCATACCTAGACTATCCAACAACGGCACGAGTGTGCCTTTCCTTTTTATTACTGGCTCTCCCTTCACACTTTCGCAATTTTCATATTTTTGCCAGATCCTGTTACGGTGACAGCCGAACTATTTATCGTAGCCTAGTGACTATTCTCATTGTTGACAACCATAGAGCAATTCCAATCCAGTCACCGAATATACATAGAATCCGGGAGACTGTATCAGATAATGTCAGTAATACTGTACTTATCCACAGATCATAAGGAACACAATTTGCGTAGTATATAGATCAGAGTCGCGGTTGCTTATCTGATTTTACATGCGTGCACTATCAAATGATGAGCTAAGACTTGAAGTTGATACTGAGCTGTGTAGATCCAGCCCCTAGCGATAAAGCTGGCAAGTGACCTTATCTTTTGGGAAGACTACCATGAGCATTTCGTATGGTCGAGGTTTTGTCTTGGTTTCTAATTCAAAGCCCATGGCCGGCTACATGATTTGTGCTAAAATAATACCCCCTTGTTCTATATGCAGAGAATCTGCAAAGCACCCGGGCACGAATGGGCTATTTCTTTGAAACATTCGAACAACCGCGAGGGCCCAAGCAGTTGCCTTTCAATCCCTTTTATGAGCCCTAATGTTGATCTTTGGTTGTCTAAGCCTTATCTATCTAGCAATCACTAGACAAGGGGGTTCCCACTCATGATATCAACTTTAGGGCGCTTGATGCCCAACGTCAGTACTCTGTACGAAGTCAACAATACATCCATGATAAGAGTAGGATAAGAATGGTTGCTTTCCTAGGAAATTGTCACGTCTGATCTTATCCAGTGTTGCGCCTGAAGAATTAGATGTTATATGAATCTGGATTGAATCTCTTCGATATTCAAAATTTATACACAAATTCTGTTTTTCATGATAGCTACGACTAGATCTGTACACTATAACCCTGTCATATTATGGGATTGGGCGTCCAAAAAGTTCGATGCAGTATATCTACCCGAGTACCACCGAAGTGACACTACACATGACGCTATTGAAACGGGCCTCACCAAAATAACTCTACACAGATTTACCTCCAGTTCAATCACCCCATGTGAATGGTCATTTTAAATCTTGGAAAGATTTTGTAAACATGGACAACCTGTACATACATTGTCATGGTGGGTTCAATTCTTCAACTTCTCCACATCTATATTCTCCATTTGAACTCCACTGGAATTGTAATCCTTGGTGGCCATCTCGGAAGTGAACGTAGTTGTTGGTTTCCAATGCGATGACTTGCGGGGTGTTGTTTCTTGCAGAAGAAGATCAACCTGCTCAAGCGAGAGGCCTAGAAGACGTTAGCTCTCTTTCAGTACCCAGTCAAGGATCCTCTGCACTTACCCTTAGTCTCGTAAACCAAGAAGTACGCCCACAGGAGACAAAAACAACAGAGACCACCCCAGACGAAGAAAACCTTCGCGCCAAGATTTCCTTGATCCTTGTCGACCATATAAGGTGTTATAACGGCGATAATACAATTCCAGAACCAGTTGGACGACACAGACATTGCAACACCTCGAGAACGCATCGGAAGGGAGAAGTGCTCCCCAACGACAACCCAACATCCCGGACCCCACGTAGAAGCGAAGAAGAATATGTAGAGGCAGATGAATGCGATCTCGGCTCGAACAGTGGATGGGTTATTTCCATCGATGGTTCCAGCTATGGCAATGATAAATTGGCATACAATCATGCCGACGGCGCCCCAAATGAGCAGCGGACGGCGCCCAAATCGTTCAATGGTCCACAAAGATATTGGCGTAGAAAGCACATTAACCAAGGTCGTTATCAGAGAGATAAGGAACGGGTTTTGGATCGAACCTAGGATACAATGTCAGTCACAGACTCTCTCATCATCATTCTTAAAGACTTACCGAGGTTCTGGAAGAAAACAGTGCCAAAGTAGAAGATGAAGTTGATGCCAGTCCATTGTTGCATCATCTGTGCGGAAACACCCAGCAATGTCCGGCGCAAGTTCGAACCTGGATCACGAATAGACCCCGTGAAGCAATTGAGCCAGCTTCTAATATACCCAACGTCATATCCAATGATCTTCATCTCATATTCATGGTTCGCGACGATTTCAGTAAGCTCCTCTTCGATGTAGTCGGAGTCCTCCGGTTGTCCTCGTAGTCGTGCTAAGCTTTTTCTAGCTTTTGGAAGATTACCACGCTTAACAAAATACCGAGGTGATTCAGGCAGAAAGGCAAGCCCCAGGGCTGCCAACGAAATTAGCTGGAGATTTCGACACGACCCAGAAATATGAGAGAATCATACCGAGTATCAGCGCCCAGACCCACTGAATTGCGATGGGGATGCGGTAGCTTGCAGAATTGTCCATGTTTTGGGTAGCATAAACAACACAACTTGCAAGGAGAATCCCGACAGTAATACAGAACTGATATCCGCTGACAATCATTCCTCTGACCTTTTTTGGTGCAATTTCAGACATATAGAGGATGATGATAGCCGATACAAATCCGACACCTAGACCCGCAATGAGCCTTCCTGCCACAAGGAGGTTGTATGCCGTCGAAGCAACTTGAAGAACCACCCCAACAGAGAGCAAGGAGCACCCCGCAATGATAGTGGTGCGACGACCAAACAGATCTGCTAGATCTCCTGCCATAAGAGAGCCAAAGAATGTACCAGCCGACAGAATAGACACAATCAATGACTGCTTTGATGAGGGGATATGGAAACTGGCAATCTCCTGTGGGCTTGCATCTGGACCTGGGTACGGTAATCCGGCAAATTCGTGCTTGAAATAGGCCATACCCATCACTCCGCTAATATACCCTGAGTCGTATCCAAAGAATATACCACCGAAGGCTGCAAATGCGCACATCATGTAAGCCTTGAAGGTGACTGGAGCCTCGATGCGCTCGACATCGATTGGCCCGCGTGGTGAGACAGCGCCGCTAGGCATGACTAATATTGATAGAAAGATATAAGAGAGCTCTAAACAACTGAGCCTGGTGTGCAGAAGCGTATCGAGTACTCAATCAGGGGGCCACGGCATGGCTTTATAGAGCTGAGGGCCCATGGCCAGTGGGCTAAGCAATCAATCCAGAACCTGGGGTTTTCTACCATTTCCTGGATCTCCGACATATCTGGAAACAGCCAGCGGGGGGGAAAGTATGGGGAATATGGGGAAGGTCCATAGTTCGAGTAGTCGGGCATTCACTTGTGATTCTCTATCTAGCCACTTATGGCATGGTGCATTTGGGTCGCAATTGACAAGTAGGGACAAGCGCAGGAAAAAGTGCGGAGCTACTGTATAGAGACCCGCCGCCCATCGGGCATACTCCATTTGTCTCCCCCGCTCCGCATTGAAACAAACAACAATTTACTGACGATGGTCGGAGATCGAATTTCAGGTTCGGAGATACCGTTTTGCGCATCCACTCCGCTGCACACAGAGCATACACTTCGCTATCGCCTGTTGCCTTTGTTGTGTTGATCATCTTAGTATAATACGTTTTTGTATAGATATTGTGTAGAGCATGAATATAAAGACCCTTTGCCTGAAAATATTCAAAAAGGGTCATCGGTTTATCAGCAATCTATTCAGGCTACTTCCGAATATCTGCAACTGCTACAATGGGTTTGGCTTCGAATACGGTTATGGCATCAAAATGCTTCAAATGTCCCACCTTTCTATCTGGACGTTGCCTAGGGAAGGGTTCACCTAGCAGGAGTAGACGACAATTAGCAACAGATGCAACCCCTTTCACGCGACGAGACAAACAGGAAGGGGATATATCATCCGTTTTCACAACGTTCTCTGGTAGGAAGGCTCAGCCACTGTCGGAGAGGTTTCGCGACCTGAAGCGCAATCTCACCGCTGGCTTTGAGGATGAGATCCAGAGATCATGGGATAATCTAGTTGAGGTTCTGAAAGCTCGAACCGAGGAAGTGGCAACCAAACGAGATTCTGTATGTCAAGTCGAGCTGAAATCTCTTGAGTAGGCGACACATCTGATCATGATAGATTATCCCACAAATCAATTTCACAGACATTCGAACAGGTTCCGTACATCCATCAAATATAGACGCCATTCGCCGAACTGGCGTCGCTGTTGTTCGTGGAGTTATTCCAAGAGATCTCACTGAGACACTGCTGGCTGAAGTTCGCGAATACTTTGCAGTGAACACGTTCAAGGGATTTCCTTCCAATGCAGACAAAAAGGTAAGCTATTCACTGCTCCTCAAGTCTGTTTGGTACTAAATGCAGTCAGGTTGTTTATGAGTCTTACTGGAGTCCATCTCAGGTCAAGGCCAGGTCACATCCTAATATGCTTACTACACAATCCTGGATGAGCCAGCTATATACTGCTGGTGTGAACCAGAAAGGTATGGGTATCGTTAGGCAATTACATGCACTCGTGATTGCTAACAGACTATAGTTGACTTGACAACTCCACTCTCCTATTGCGACCGAGTGCAAATTCGCCCACCGGGCGATAAACAATTCTCACTGTCCCCTCATGTGGATGGTGGTGGAGTGGAAAGGTGGGAGGATGCAGCTTATAACCATGTCTATCGCAAGATTTTTCAGGGAAAGGTACGTTTAAGTGCATTCGTTTCCTGTAGAGCATGGCTTAACGTGGGAAGTGGCAAGAGTACGATCCATGGGATCTATCCGGTAGACTTGATGCAAATATGAATATGTACGACGGTCCTGGTGGCTGCTCGGTATTCCGGACATTCCAAGGCTGGCTTGGATTGTCTCAACACGGTCCTAATCAGGGTCAGTTCGGTATCTTTGAATTGTGGATCTAATCGCTGATGAATCAAGGAACATTGGTTGTCCATCCAATCTTACAGCCCTCTACTGCATATTGGATGCTCCGGCCATTCTTCAAGCCCACTCGAAAAGGATCCTTAGATGGGTGGAAGTTCTCCCTTGATGATGAGGACGGCAATATTCTCCTTCATGGAGCAAATCCTGGAACCGCCCAAGAACATAACCCTGATAATCATCCTCATTTAATGCTAAGCGAAACCATGATACCATACCCAACAGTAGAGCCTGGCGATACTGGTAAATATCCCATGAAAGTATCTTCTCCAATGGTGTTGCTAATATACTTAGTTTTCTGGAGCGCAGACACCATCCATGGCACAGAGCCTGAGAATACAGGCAATGAAGATGCTTGTGTTTTTTATATTCCCTCTGTGCCATTGACCCCGAGTAATGCTGTATGTTTAAGCCTTCGTCCGATCCCGACATTTGCGCTAACTTTTCAAAGCAATACATAGCACTACAGCGGGACTCTTTCCTGAAAGGAGTTCCCCCTCCCGATTTCCCAGGTGGAACTGGCGAGTCTACTTTCTCCGACAGAGCGAAAGTCGAGGACGTTGTAGGCGAATCTGGTAGATCCGCAATGGGGTTAAGTCCACTCAAAGTGGATGGGCAGGGTGGAAAGCAGGAAGCACTCACGAGAGAGGTCAACAACATTCTCGGTTTCTAGACCTGCCTGCAGCTTCTAAATTTTATTTGTGTCTGAGATCAGGATGGGGTTCCTTAGACGAATGATACGAAAAGAACGTTCCCTTACTGGCCCGATAGATGATTGTGAAGACATTGACGAGTATTGGATACCCATTCTTCATCGCACTTTCACAGGTCGGTCACTTATGCTGGGAGAATACCTGGGTCAGCAACATATGTATCATCCAATTCGACTTTAGAGAAATACGAATGTACGAGGATCAAGCCTCTCGGGTTGATGTGTGACAAGATCTCAAGCCACATAGTAAATACGAGCATGAGTAGAATCATCCAAGATCATGGTCAAGTACGTGTCCATCACTACATGTATTATAAGTGTGAGAGAAGCGCGCTTCTTGGTATAAACGCCTGCATGCCAGCTTTAGTAGGCTGGCTATACGTTAATGTATTCAAAGGAAGGTGACCGAACATGAGCTACAAATCGCAAGATTGGATATCTCAACTCGCCCAATGAACGCCCGCAAATGCAATTTCAAAAGGCCTGCAATGCTCTGCCATGATGTTGACTATCATTGCGCACAATCCACTTCAAAATCTGAACCAGATGTTAGCATTAAGGTCCGAATCAAAACTAGTTGGACGTACCTAATCTCATAATTGCCTGCTCTTGTCATGTATCGTACCCATTTTACGCTACTGTAGTTGCTCTTCTCGAAAACCTTTAAATAACGGACGAGCAAACCGGAACTTGTGAACATAAGAAGGGAAAAGTTTAGGCTCAGCGGCGGTCTACTCCATGCCTTTTGGTTTGTCATACTGGTCAGACTAGCCTCAGCGCTGAGGACAAACTCACTCTGTCCGGTGAAACGGGGAATCTTCCACACGATGTTGTTGTGCTCTGGTTCATACTTTGCCTTGCCTTGGCTCGTACGCTCAGTGATACGTGCGGTGTTTAGAGGTGTGGGGATTCGAACGACCACGTTGGTAGCGAAGAGTTTTGAGCCGTAATTTGCACGAATGGCGATGCTGTACTCGACCTTTGTCTTCCCTATCTCGTTGACAATTGCGTGTACCTTGAACGGCAAATTGACGTTCTCTGTGGCACGGTATCTCATCAATTCGAATTCTCCGTCGGGCGGGATGAAAGAGATGATCCTATCAGTGTCGAATTTCCCGAGCTTTACACACTGGTGAAATTGGCAGTCTTCTAATGTCACACTTCCTGCTGCTGCTCGTGTTGCTTTTGCGCCGGCCCTGTTCCCGCTGGGTTGTTGAAGATTGTCCTCTCCAAGCGTCAACCGATCGTTGAGGCCGAATTTGCACTCGGGGGTGCCAGAGAGATAAGCTCGCATGACGATCTGACCATTCACATCGGCTCTAAGGACAGTCCCGGTGGCAGACATCAAAAGATTCACATCCTCAATAACGTCGACGAAAGCCTCATTCTTTCGGTATTTGATATCGGCGCGCCGCCAGGAAAGAGCACCTGTCGCCTGCATGGTGATTTTGGAAGAGTCCTCCTACGCCTTGTTAGCTCGATGCCTGGTCTAGTGATGCTCCTAGACAGCGTCCGTACCATTGCCCGTTCTGATTTCACTCCTTCCGTAGTAATATACATCTTCAGGGTGTCGGTTTCAGTGTTCTGCGGGTATCCGAAATCCAGTATCTCTGACTCATTGTATCAGCGCAAGCTTCAATGCCCTATTAGGTGCATCTACGCACCATCCAAAAGTTCATATACAAGCACAAAGTTATTCTTGACGGCTTCCTCATCGAATTTCCCAAAGTATGCCTTTCCCAGTCCCACCAGCCGATATAGGAACTCAAACACCAATGCCGCATTTGCGTTGCTCTTCGTTACGGCCACCAAATATATGTTCTCGTGTTTTACATGGCTGAAAGTCGTAGATCCTAGGGTGAGAATAGGAGAGCGAACTTGAGCGTTGGAGATGACTTGAATGCGGAAAACGTCGGCGAGCCGCGGGCGGCAGTCATTACGGAAAGCGCGGAAGATGAGATTCTCCCCTTTCTGATTGAAAATCAATATACCGGAAAGCATGGCGGATGCTATGAGGAAGTTATCGATTGCGGGGTGGAAGAGCGGCGGATGGTGTTTTTGGTGATGTACGAGTAGCTGGAGCTAATACAGGGGTGATGGGTTCTTGCCATACCTATTCCGGTAAGATCGGCATGTTGTTATACAGAGAGTTGGCACGTCAGGCTGGCCACCTGCTAACTTTGTTGTATGTTCTGTACCTAGAGTGTCTATTTAAGAGTGTACTATAGCTAGTAAATAATCTTGACAGCATTTAACAACCCTTGCAAAGGCAGTGTTGTGGACATAAAACACTAGCAGATGGCCAGCCTGACGTGCTAATACTCTGTATCGATGCTTCCTGACACAATACAACAAGGCTACACAGCGCATTGCTTGACCACGTAACTAGGGACCTGTCTATCTACCTCATAAACAATGGGTGCAGATACGCCATTTCTCTATGCCTCGTCGGCTAGGTCTACGAGGGCTGATTTTGACAAACCTCAATTACACTTAGCAACCAAATCAGGGGTTCTCGCGGATGGTGGGTTAATTGATTCAGTCCGCTCAACTTGCAACCGCATGGAAATATGGCCGTTCCCGTTGAAGACTATTTTGTTCATCAGGACGGCTTGTGAAGGAACACTCGAATGGTGCAAAATTACAACAAGGATTCGCATATTACATGTTTAAGTCAATTAATACTTGAATATCGCACTTGCATCGCTGCGTATAGGTCATCTAGGCCGCGAACACACACAGCACATGTGGATTGTCGAGCGCTTGCTCATTCGCTTTTGTCTGACGCATTGCTATTCGAATATTTATCGACGTCGATAAAGTTTCGATATTCTATGTGCGGTAGTCGCCATTGATAGTGACATATTCGTGACTAAAATCACAAGTCCAATAGACTGCCTCTTCTCCACTCTCGTTCTCGCTCAGCCGAACCAATATTTCCAGATCCTCTGCCTCAAGAATTTTACCCGCCCTCGTCTCATCAACCTGCTCGGGCTCGCCCTTGACAAGCAATTTCAGCTCCTCACTTCCATCAGTGGGAACGAACGAGACGGAGGTTTCGGTTGGCACTACGGATGATACTCCCTCCGCGTAGCCAGTGGCACAGAGAATACGACCCCAGTTTGCATCTTTGCCATACAGGGCGGTCTTGACGAGGGGAGAGCGGGCGATGGTCGATGCCACGCGCTTGGCGTCGTCATATGAGGCAGCATTTGTGACCCGAATTGTGACGAACTTGGTAGCGCCCTCGCCATCACGGACGACCAATTTGGCGAGGTCGATGGCAAAGTCTGTGAGTGTCTTTTGAAGGTGGTTGAAGTCTGGATGTTGAGCGGAGTCGATTGTGGAGCCGCCAGCGGCGCCATTGGCAAGTATGGCCACAGTGTCATTCGTGGAGGTGTCGCCGTCAATCGAAATACTATTAAACGACTTCGTTATTGCAGATGTCAGGAGGGTCTGGAGCGGCGCTGGTGCAATAGGTGCATCGGTACAAATTATGCCCAAGAGTGTAGCCATGTTTGGGTGGATCATTCCCGCACCCTTAGTCGTGCCAACAATATGGTATTCCTCTTGTGATGAAGGCAGTGTGAAGGTGCGAGACAAAAGCTTAGGGAAAGTGTCAGTAGTACAGATCGCCCTCGCCGCAGATAACCAGTGGTCATGGGTGCCGCCAAGGTTGTAATATGCGGTTGGGACTTTGCTAGTAATCTTATCGATGGGGAGGCTGAAACGATCAGTAAGATGGACTCGATGAAATAATGGAGTGCATACCGTTGTCCAATGACGCCGGTGCTCATGACGATAGTCCTACTACCCTGTCCATCGTCCTCGCCATTACTCTCTTCCTCAAAGCATTTGTCCGTTTGCAGTCCCATTGTGATCGCATCTTCAATGCCACCCTTGCCGGTAACTGCGTTGGCACAGCCTGAGTTAACAACAACTGCCCGGACTCCATCGCCCTTCCTCTTCTTCAGTATCTCCCGCGACACAGTGACAGGTGCAGCCTGAAACTTATTTGTAGTAAACACAGCGGCAGCAGAGCATGGCTGGTCGGAAGCGATCAATGCAAGGTCGTCGAATCGTGTATTGCTTGGTTTCACGCCGACATGTGCGCTTCCAGCCCTAAATCCGAGGGGATAAGTTCCGGTTGTCGGAACATATTTCCTCTTCGCTGCGGGGATCGCTCCTTCGCCTGGCGCAGCGTAAGTGCGGATCTGGGGTCGGGTGCGAGCGAAACGTGTGGAGGGAGAGATGCGTGACAGAACGGAGGGATTGGCTCGTGCAAGTGTCATTGTGCTGCATGATAATTAGTAAAATCCTTACAATGGATGGATCTTGCTGGTATGCCTCAGATATGCCTCGTTCTGCGGTATATCGCACTATTTTGGAGCGCTAAAGAGCTGCAATGACGCAGTAGTACTGGGAGAATGAACGTGGCGTAGTTGTTCGTGTGTGGCCACGATTTGGGAGGTAAAGGATATTATATAGTCATGGCCTTCATACTTACAAGATATGGTGACTCCGGTAGAGGCTTGACTCATTCAATTGAGGGATATCCGCTCCGCCTCGCAAATGTTAGTAGAGGTCAAGTCAACAAGTGCGGAGGTCGTAGGAATTTCGGTGGAGACGATAAAGTAAAGCTCGCCGCTATCGCAGCCGCGCGCGCTTTCCTGGAGTGGACTAGCGGCATTTTCTGACTCTTGTAACACGTCCACGGATTAAGAATTGTTGCAAGTTCGCTATTACAATCTGAAATTGCTGTAGACCAATTCAATATTAATACGAATTGCTTGTTGTTTATTGTCATTGTTGCAGTGAATATCTTATATACATCCGGAATTGTGGAAAGTAACCCATGTTGTATGACAATAGTCTTGCAGATATGAACGCTCAAACATTACATATGTATATTTGACCAAATTTCACAGCAAATGCGAATATAATCGCACACACATGGGAACCATAACACAGAATGATCAAGACTCGCATTTTTGCCCAAAAATATCGCAATGTTTGGTTTCCTAGTCGACACTTACAACTAACAACCCATTAAAACGAGAGGTGCCTGCCAATCAATCTGGCCTATCTGCCACTGAAAGAAAAAGAGAACCAGGAAAACAACAAAAATAACGTATAGCGCAATAGAAAATAAGATCATGAATGGTCGTTACTGTATGCCTGTATAATTCCTTCCAAATTTTGCGTAATGAGAAAGGGGAAAAACGTTGATGTAAATGCAGTATGAACTTATGAATAGAGGGTGCGCATCTGTCCGTTTTGGTATGAGAAGATCGCTAGCGCTGAATCTCTAAGGAATATTCTTTCTTGACAGTTGCAGGAGAAGTGGACGTATTGGTGGTGTGCTTTTGAGCTTCAGGTGCAAGTGCCGGCGTAGGAGTTGTCGATCGTGAATAGTGGAGATGTCCAGATATCGAATCAGCTGATCGGGCACTGTTAAGAATATTGAATCAGCGACTGAACAAACATTGTGTCCATGGCTCATCCAGTAAGGAGTTGGACGTTTGAATGGCCACCAATAGTCTGTTGAATGCGTGGAATCTGTAGAGGTAGGGCAGAGCTGCGTCCTTATCAAATTATCAATACGGATTCCTTTCGGGGTTAGACCTGCTGAAGACTAGGCAAAGAGTGGGATTTTCGATGACCGAAACAAATTGATTCTGTACAAGCCGAATGGCGAGTCGGGCTGGTTAAGTACATTATGGCGCTCGCAAGAGTCTGTCCTGTCTGAAACGTAACGGCGGAAGATTGGATTGAATCCCGAGCATGTGGTATGTGGTGATAAAAAGGAGATCTAGGAATGAAAATGGAAGAAAAGAAGAAAGAATGGGCACCCATCCTTCCCTTCAAGAACTTTTCGGACTCAAGCAATGGCACGGCGAAACTCCCACATCTCGGCATATCCTGGCGGCAGGTCGAAGCTCCTATCACCCAATGGGCGGCAACATACGGCGACCTTTGCTTGTTAAATACTGCCTGTTAGGCATCCTTTATGGAAAACCATCCCTCCTAAGGAGAGTCGCCAATTCCTTGCGGCTACAAGCTGCGCGTTACACTAAGCCTCATGCTCGGGAATGTTGTTCGTTGAACCAGAAGGTGTTCCCAGAGTTTAGGAGTAAAGGCCTTAGCAAACATTTGGCTAGTGAGCTCCAGGCTGCGGAACAAACGAAGTTCAAGTCCATCCTTTCATGTGGTCTCCTGGTGAAGGCATAATCCGGGTGAAATGGTTCCGTGACAAATAATGAAAGGTGTTCCGAGACCACTAGGGTTAGGCTCCCCTGCCACAAGTCCCAAGTTGTTCGCCATTCCTAGTTAACATTGGCTCCTGAAGTATGTTCCGAGGACCAGCGAGGATGATATATCTGGTGTCGATGTATGCATGGGATTTCCGGTATTTGTTGCAACTTGGAATGGGCCCAGCGCCTAGGTCAGCCTCAATGTTCCCTCGCCTAGAGCAGCGCATTGCATGGTCCCCAGTAGTCATGCGGCTGTCCAGTTTAACAACGGGCATTGACAGGTCCAAAATGTACAGGAAGAAGATCCAGGAGGGTATATCATCAGAACTTGCCCATTAAGATTGGGCCATCCATAGGCAGTCCTTGTCGATCCTTTGAATAGATTACTCTCAGCACTTTTGCAGACAGCACTTGAGCTATCGTGCTCCATGCTCCGTATAGATGGTACTACTCGATGAAGATTAGCTCTAACAAAGCAATGGCGAGCCAATGGGATCTGATTTCACCTTGAAGTCCCCACGAAGGAGCGGCGCATCTTCGTGTTTCTGTTTCGGATTCTGGAAGGTCAATCTGAAAGCTACTAGGTCTAGCATTACAAGCAAGTGCCATGAAAGGTAAGACTCATGGCAGCATCAATTAGTATTAAATCCCTCCTTATGGCTTTAGGCTCCGTTTGAGTTCTGCGGTTGAATAATAATAGGTGTGTACACCGAAAGGAAAGGTCCAGCCCAGGCAATGGATTAAATAGCCTGAACTCATGAAGGGGCGCGCTCAAGGGTGTTTTTTGGTACGTGGGCCTAAGTGGTCCGAAAAGAGGAGTTAAGAGATCTCTTGCCTTGGGCTGGACTGAACTGGGCCAAAGGGGGTCCATTGTGGTACGGAGGAACGGAGTCATCTATCCAAGGGCTGAACGTTCCTGTCATGAGTCCTGGATCAGGGTTATGCATGGAAACAGGATAATCCAATGGAACTTCCGGTGGAGAACCATGAATAGGGCCTTGGAAGACAGATTGCGTACTATTTTCGTACATGCCAAGGTTCCATTGTGGAGAGATTCCAGATACGTACATTGATTGGGAGTCATTCATTTCCCGAATCCATCCCGTCTCGACTGACGCAATGGTAGGTGTGTGACCTTGACTAGGTTGATTCTCTACACCGCTGTGCTTGATTCCTAATGAAGAATCCCGCGTAGTATGAGTCTGCCCATTGACACCCACAACTTGCAGGTCATCCTTTGGCCTCTTTCGGGCTTCATCTTGGTTCCGGAATGCGGGAGAAGATCGTCTGCTTCGTTTAAGTCATTGATCCAGTGCAATGGCGTGAGATATTGACATACTTTCTGGTCCCTTCGCAGGTCTCATTGTCCAGATTGATGTGCTTGGCCATGTCCGTGAGGTGAGTACACTGTAAGATGTGAGACCATGCTCTAAAGGATGAAAGAGAAACGATAATCGTTGACTACTTTTGCCTTGTTCCTTTTACACTTATCACAGGCTCCCAGCTTTCTTGTCAATTTGTATTCTTTGCGCTCTTTGGGGGTCATTCTTCTCTTTGTTTTCATCTTAACCGGTTTACCGTCATATTGATTGAAGAGGATTATGCTCGCGGGTTGTTGGCTTGCAGTTGGAGACGGCACTGTCGTATTTCCAGTAGCTGCATTCTTTTGCCTGTTCTGCTCTTCGACCCGTGGTGATCCGATCGCTGAGACTACTGGAGAGTCATGCGAATTTGGACTAAACTCGGAAGAAACCTCGCGATAGCTACGGGACTGACTGATCGGAGTTGTCGCAAAACCACTCTCGTTTGACTCGAGATGAGATAGCTTCTGGTCTTCGACCCGCATATCTTCCAATTCTTTTTGGAGATACTTAATCGCTGCCATGTGCTTCCGCTGCCTCAGGTTCTGGCCTTCAGGAAATTGCAGTCTCAGTTGATCGGCAAGCCTATCCGAACCCACACGATGTCGAAACTTCAATCCATTCCATGGTGAAGTATGGTCGTTGGTGTCTGCATAACGGTCGATGACATCTAGAATAGACTGACCCTCCTGATCATGGACCATGTTGGGGGTACTAGGTGGAGTGAGTTCGATCTGCATGTGTATGGAAAATGGGCATTGTCGAGAGATGGATAACGGGTCTTCGGCCAGTAACTGGGTCTCGCCCTGGTCAGCAAATAGGAACGTGCAAAGGAATTAGTTTCACACAAGCCATATGAGGGATGCGTGAAAATCTGAATAATATCCTCTCTCGAGAAGATATCGAACAGACGCATGCAATGTGTAGCATGAACTACAAGAGCTTATGGAGCACAATGACCTACGATCTTTGTTGGATAGGAAGCAGAACTACGTACACAACTGTCTAGCCAGTCCAAGTGATGCCTTAATCGAACGCTGAAATTGGTCTTAGGGTATACGAAGCAACAATAGAGTAAAGATGAACTCGGCGGGGAAGTGGGCTACGGTCTACACAAATACAACACCGTACAGATGGCCATGCAAACCCCGGCGACGCGGGTAACTGCTTCAGCATGCACTCAGCTCGAAAGAGTGCTACCCCGAAACTTACGGCGTCCCGAAGTGGTAAGAGATCTAAAAGAGATACCTATCAACTAGGCTGAACATGGAAAGATTAGAATGAGGTACGGTGTCCCCTCGTGGGCTAACGCGGAGTTGGTACAGGCATGTTGGAGTGCGGGACGACCATTTGGCGATGCTGATTGGCGACTCCTGGTATATGTATCATGGGCACCTGGGAGACCAAAATCGAGATAATTCGCGTCGTTCTGAAGGACCACGCGACACGTATACCCGGTTCCTGTATCCCATGTCGAGGCGCAGACGGCGCAGACGATTGGCGATGGGTGGGACGTGGTAATCAGCCTGGGCTGGCTGTTGGGCCCCACCACAGGAACCTTGGGCATAGTTGCATGGTAAGCAGTCGATAATGGTGACGATTTTACAGTTCAGATGCGCATTTGAGTGTATGGCACATCAAGTCAACCAACCGAGTCTCTGCTACTAGGCTGCTTGCTCTTCTTCCCGAATTCCGTGGCTTCATCGCGGTTCCCTTCTGTTGATTGCACGGCTAGCTTGGTATATACCCTGCTCTAATCCCTACACCGTAAGCTGGCAACTGCGTTGTCCACACATCAGAGGTCAATGGCTGAGAGGTTATGGCGAATTATACTTGTAATATAATGGCAGATACGGGACATGGTGAAGGGATGTCTAGGTAGCCGTTGACTCTGCAATGGGTAGGAGTGGAAAGTATGCCAAGGAGCTTCTCCCAATCGGGAGACCGTGATGAGACAGTCCTCCTACGATGAGAACTACTTTCACGGAACCCAGCAGACTTTCAACACGGTAAACTGATTCTATGAGTGATGTACTCGAGAATCTTTAGAACCTTTTCATCCTCGAACCGTCTTCCAACCAGCTGCAAGCTAATTGGCAACCCATGGAATTCCTGAGGATCATACAGCTTTGAATTAGCCTCGTCAAGGTCACTGAGGAACTTCCCTCTCCCTTCAGGTTTATCGATCTCCTTGTTTACCTTGGTCACCGGAAATACAGCGCCTGGATAATCAAGAAGATTCCATTGGCTGGTATACCACCAATATTTGGCGGTGTTATGCTTTGGTGCTACTCCAGGCCCAACTGGACAGAGAATGGCATCGACATCAAGGTTGTTCCAATGGATGGCGTATTCCTTGCGATAAGCCTCACGCTCCTCGAGCCAATAGGTTAGTTCGCCAACTGTAAGCTTCTGAACACATGGATTCTCCTTAAGCATCCAAGTAGAGAGCGGTCGCCAGGGTTCACCGGCAGAATCGATGGTTTCAGTATCATACTCACCTCCGTCAGTATAGTACAGAGACGCCAATATGGCCCATGCCTCATCGTGTAACCGAGCTGGGAAGTCGACCACTTCGACGTTAATCCCTCGGAGCCGGTCTGCCACCTGACGCAGTGCACGAGTGATTGGTGGGTGAGGTTTGACCACATCGTCATGCCACAAAACTCCAATCTTGAGCTTTTCTGTGAGAATAATTTCCCTCCACGGTAGCGGTATCAACGCAGGCTCTGTTCGCCAGGGTTCTGCATCGATGATGGTCTTCATGAAAAGGTGCAGACCAGACACCGTAGTAGACAAGGGTCCTAGAACAGACTCCACGGTATCAGCGCCTGCCATCATATATCCCCATCCGTCCGTGGGGATTCGGAAAGCTGTGGGCTTAAACCCATATATCCCACAGTTGGCAGCGGGACTGCGAATACTACCGCCCACATCGCTGCCTATGCCAAGACATGACCCGTGAAGTGCAACGAGTGCACCTTCGCCTCCTGACGAGCCGCCTGAAGTGAGATTAACATTGTACGGATTGACCGTGACTCCATAAAGGTTCGAATCTGTTTCTAAGTGCATCATGGTCTGTGGGATTGTCGTTCGGCAATGAAACACCGCGCCAGCAGCGTTCAACAGCTGCAAAATATGGGCATCCTCCTTAGCGATATTGTCCCAGAGACCAATGTATCCTGTGGAGCATCTCAAGCCTTTGAAACCAATATGCTCCTTCACGCTGATAGGGAGGCCATGTAGCGGCCCGATCGGCTTGCCATGTTCCTTGAGATAGACGTCGAGCTCTCCTGCTCGTTGCAAGGCCAATCTAGGAAGCAGTTCCGTAAGGCAGTTCACCAATCCCTGTGACACGGCTGCGCGCTGAAGATAAGCCTTGGTCACAGTTACAGCAGAGAGGTGTCCCGATGCAAGGGAGTCCAGTAGCCTGTCAGGAGGCAAGTCGGTTATGGAGATTGTGGTCTCGTCCAGTAATCTTTTTGGCAATGAAGTCACATCTTTTGGAAGTTTTTCTGGGAGGCCCGGTACAGATGGAGAAAGCTCAGCAATGGTCGAGTCACGATGAGCTTGGGCTTCACTGGCGATGGCCTGCCAGCTTCTCTTATTGGAAGGCTTCTTTGGTGGCATCTTCAATAATGCATAAAACACTGTCACAGCCGCAGCCAAATCTCGCTCGTTGAGTGGTGATGATCGGTCTGCCTTGGTGTTTGCTAGAGTGATGGGAGATGTCCTGGGCAGAGGTCAGATCAAGACAGCACTTCACATGGTGGGGGTAGGTAGGTGTTTGGAAAGCGGCTAGTTGATAGGCTGTGACCCTTCAGCGAATCCGGCAGCAACATGACAGGTGGTGTATTACAGCAATGATGGGAAATTTTCTGAGTTGGTAGATACAACTTGACTTGGTCCATGGAAATTTTACTACCTACGAGTCTCTAGCTTGGTTATGGTTGGCTACCTACATGGTAGGTAGGCATTGGTGCTCTTGACTCGTGGTTGATGGAAAGGGAGGAGATCAACTCTGTTCGGCTTATCGATATCGGAGCGCAATTAAATTTTCCCGCTATTGGCTTGTGAATGTTTTGGTCGCGCCTTTTGCAGAATCCATCGTCAAACTCGTCAGAACAACAAATCGCAATACCAGAGCGCAGAGCCGAGTTCTTTTCCTTCCATTATCTCTTTGACAAACTTGGGTACGTTAGAGTGCCACATTAGTGTACACTAGAGCCAATGAATATTTTGTTTCGACATAGCATTCTCCAGTCTAGCTCACTGAAACATTATTCTGCTACCTTTATCACAAGCTGCCTTCATCGTCCTTCTCTGCTTGCTACTCATTTGCCCACGCTGTTCATTCACTCACACTCATCAGCTTCCACTTATAACCCTCAGCCCATAGGTCTTATGAGCATGCCTCCGCCTCCCAAGAATAAACAGGGCCAGTCAGGTCGGAGACGGCATCCTTACAGGACAAAGAAGCCCGCGAACGACGCAAATTCCACGACCCCTGCCCAGCAACCCAAGCTATCGAATGACAACAACGATGCGGTGTCCCAGCCGGAAGTTATCGATGTAAAAGGACTTTATGGAAATTCTGCTAGCGGTGGTGAAGCTCGGCCGTTCTCAAGCTTGGGCAGGACATTGGATCAGTCATTGCTGAATGGCTTGAATAGAATGGGATTTGAGTAAGCCAATCTTTCCATGCGAAATTTGATTGGGGACATCTATATTCCTCGAAACTGCTTTCCCTGTTCTGCGTGCCTGTCAGACTACACACAAGTGAACCCTGGAAGAAGTGGATAGGATTTGACTGCTCAAGATGTTACGAGCATCATATACCCCTTAAGCTTTGCTAATACTTCTCACTAGATATATGTCCCCTGTTCAACAAAAGGTACTCACGGAGCTTCCTTCGCTATCGTCCGACTGTCTCGTGCAGGCAAAGACCGGCACGGGCAAAACGGCCGCCTTCCTACTCCCAGCCATCCAAAACCTACTGAACGGGAACCAACCCAGGAGGGGGAAAGTCGGTATCCTTGCTATATGCCCTACCCGAGAGCTAGCCCTCCAGATAGCGAAAGAGTGCGAGGGTATTACCGCATGCATGAACAAGAGGATAGAGTGCCATACCGCCTTCGGGGGAACATCGAGAGCCAGCGCCCTTTCGAAGTTTTTGAGAGGAGATCCCACTGTGCTCGTTGCAACGCCAGGTAGATTAGACGACATTCTTGGCGAAGAAGAGGTTCGCGAGCGTTTTGATGAGCTCAAGACTGTCGTTCTCGATGAAGCCGACCGCATGCTTGATCAAGGCTTCGCTCCGGCCATATATAAGATCCTTAAGCATCTTCCACCGAAACAAATGGCAGGATGGCAGGGCATGTGCTTCTCTGCAACGCTGCCTGAGAAGGTCAATGACGTGGTTAAATGTGTGCTCTTCCCAGGCTATACATACCTCTCCACAGTCGATCCCAACGAAGCGCCAACAGTCGATCGGGTTCCGCAGTACTCCATTCTTGTGCCTACCGCTAAGGAAACATTCACGGCGCTCTATGCACTTTTGGAAGCCGAGTATAACCAGTCTCCCTCCGACTTCAAAGTCATCGTTTTCGGTACCACAGCTAATGGAGTGGGTCTGCTGTATGATCTATTCAAAGCCGCGCTGCCTCAATTCAAGCTCTATGAACTCCATAGCCGCATGAGCCAAGGCTACCGCACGCGCACATCGAACGAGTTCAAAGAGGCCGCGAGCGGGATTCTATTCGCATCGGATGTAGTCGGCAGAGGAATGGATTTCCCCAACGTCGGCCTCGTCATCCAAGTCGATCTTCCCTCCTCCCAAGAACAGTACATTCATCGGGTGGGCCGAACCGCGCGAGCCGGTCGCGACGGGCGTGCAGTTACCATCTTATTCGATAACGAGGCTTTCTTCATCAAGACGAACCCTTCCCTGCCAATCAAGCCGTATCCTACCGCACTCAACACCACACAGTATCAGGGCAAGCTTGACGCAGCCTTCGCGCAAATCGACGAGGAGGCTAAGGCGAAAGCTTATCAGGCCTTCTTGGGTTACAACAAGACGTATATGAAGAAATTGCGCCTGGATGCAAAGGGTCTGGTACAGATCGCCAACGAATACGCATTTGCCATGGGTTGTCCCGAGCCGCCGATGATCGAAAGGAAGGTTGTTGGAAAGATGGGATTGAAAGGTGTTCCCGGACTCAACATCGGCACGAGGAAGTAGAGCATCCGATTGTTGATTGAGCTGGACAGGTGGTGAAAATGGGCGTTCGAAGTAACGCGGAGTTAGCAACCATTACCAGAGAACCAGGATACCCCATACATAAAACATAGACATAGATGAAAGCTTCTCATTCACACATCCATTGCTTTTACATGTACATTGTGGAAGATATTGAATTGAATTGCGCTCGATGGCTAAATGCTTACGTACCGTACAAGACGGTACAATGGGTACTAAAAAGGAAACTATCCGCCGTGGGACATGTCGAACCATCATTCAAGGAGTCCTACCATCGCCGAAGGGTATATGTAGTGTACAGTGTGTTGTTTCCAAAGCCCAGACTCCGTCCTCCGATGCGGGGACTCAAAATCCCTCAGTACAGAATGCGCCAAATCAAGTGAGTATCTTGTATCTACAACAAGAGATGAAGTGGAAACTTGAAGAAAAAATTGCGATCGACTCCGACTGCCGTCATGCGTCTCATCGAGAGACTCTCTACTGTAATTTCGTTGTACTCACACTAAGAAATCAGAAATGCTCAATCGCTGGACCGGATCACACACAGCCCAGCTAACGTGTGTCTGGTCTCTATCGATACGCTTTCTTCGCTGCAATCCTTACAGCCTCCCAGTCATTTGTTTCTATGCCGTCTCCCATGATTACATCCACACTTTGTGCGTCCTCATTCGCGTAAGGCAGTCTAATCTGACTTCCGAGATCTGCATCCGCGTTTCCGTAAGGAAATCTAACTTGACTTCCCAGATCTGCGTCCGCGTTCGCGTAGGGTAATCTAGGTTGACTTCCTAGGTCTGCGTCCCTTTCGGCTTCGCTGGCGGCATACCACTCATCGAGCACTTCGCTGATTCTTAGGGGCGAGGGCCAGGGCGAGCCTTCGTTGGCTTGATATCGTGGGCTAGGGACTTTGATAGAGGGAAGTCTATGGGAGCCATTGCCTTGTCCCTGCAAGCCGGCTATCGTGTGATCGACTGGTGATTCAAAAACATCTTCGACACCGAGAGAGGCGCCGAAACGGCCGGCTTGCATGTCCATGTCTGCATGCTCGACATATTGTGTTGCATATTGTGTCGGGTATTCGTCTTGCAGTTGTTCTCGTTCAGCTCGGGGATAGATGTCAGGTGCCATACCACCCTCCGGTAGCATGTTTGGTGGCATTTGACGGTCGGAGTATGGACGGTACTCCATGTCTGGTGAGGTATTTGTCGAGGTTGGCGGGAGTGGGAATGCCGCAGTGAGTGAAGTATTGGTTGGTGATATGTTGGATTCGTATGAACGCGCCGTCGAGGGTATGGCGTCGAACTTGGTCTCTGTGAAACTCGGAGCGCGGTCCGCGATTAGAGTGGTTGCAGAGTTTATTGTTCCGGGGTGAGCTGATATATCTGCAGTAGGCGGCATATCGTTCGTCGCATTGAAAGGACGACTGATGGTTGGTGTAGAGCGAGCTGAGGAGGTGTCTGACTGTCGCCTTCGATACCAGAGATACGCAGGGATACAAAGTAGAAGAAGACCTATGAGAATGCTGGCTACCGCTATGCCCGTGATACTAGCTTTGGAAAGACCAGTTGGAGGCGAGAAATGTGATTCCTGAGGAACGCTCGATGCGTCGGAAGAATTTGTTGAGGTTGTAGGACCCAGGCGATTTGTAGCGGATTGTAAGTCTGAAGATTTCCAGTTGATCTGAACGAGTGGTGCAAATATCTCCAGACTATCTATCGTTTTCGAGCCCACGGCAAAAGGAACAGCGAATCCAGGAACCTGTCTCTCTACCCCACTGCTACACACTTTAACTTCCAAGTTTGTCAAACTGGCAACCTGGCGGCACGTTTGAAATCCTTGTGATGGGTCGGTAGCACATGTGTATCCCGTAGGACAGCAGCCGACTGCGGTCTCTCCAAGGACTAGAGGAAACTGAAATTCGCCATTGGCCATGGGTCCTGGGGTGATGGTAGCACTTGTGCTTTCTCCGCTGCTCGGACGAGCAAATCCACACGCAGAAACATATCCTGTTGGACATATCGTCCCTGGTGAATAGAAGCCCAAGCCTCCAAAAGTCTCAACACCAGGTTGCAACGCCGCTGCTGTTACTGAAGGCCAACACGATATGTTGTCGACAGGCCCATCATCTGCGCATGATTGACCCACTCGCGCGATGCCAAATTGTGGTGACTGCAGAGCTGGTCGGGTACAACTCGGTGGAGGTATGAATGCGGTGCTCAGAGGTCCTAGGTTGATGCGTGGTCTGGTGCCTGTGGCGACGGGTGTTGGGGATCCGGTAGCTGTTGCCTGCGCTGAAGGTTCTTGTCGGCGATGATGCGGATGCTGATATGCCGATTTCGCGATCAATGGACTCATCTTCTTTGGAGAACGATCATATGCTGTACAAATTGGAAATGCATGTTAATGTGAAAGTGTTGAGCAGCGCATGGGGAGAAAGGGACGTTGGAGGTACGTTTGTGCAGTCGTGGTGAGAAGCAAAATTAGGAATTGACAGATGCTGTAGGAGTAACAGAGGATGGAGGAGTAGTGTAAGGTGAATGGCAGGGCAACTCCTTCGCCACGGCACGAAGCAGAACGGACAACCGGTCTCAAGATCTTAGCATGGGAACGTTAGTGTGGATCGGATTCTGGCGGTTGTCCATTTTGCTGTGTAACAGCTTGTATCTGAAGGCTGTTGGATTTGATTTACGAGGCTGAGAATTACAGTAGCTGCTGCTCTACATCAGTTGGAGTCGCTAAACCGGGCGTACCCATTTTCAACATTGTTATTGTGACGATGTATGAGATATTGCATGAGTAGGCGCATTCGAAGCCAGTGTGAAGTTCATGATTGAGCAATTGCAATTGTTGTGGTCCAGTTGCAAATAGGGAATATCCCGCCGCAGCGTCAGCCAGGTGATACCACTTGACGGCATTCGGTAGCTGAGTTACCTTCTCAGCATCTGTTCGTGTATGAGAGATGTCGATGAAGTCCGAGAATACACATGTTGGGTCAGGTACGCGGAGCAGAGGAGGGGACGTGCACGGACTGAACGCCCAGTCCCGTGTCCCTTCCCATGTTCCGTCAGCGATCCAACGAACGCCGTGGCGGAGTGTTAGACTGCCATCTGTAACAACACATGGCTCTATCGTCGAATGGAATCCTCGTACTGGAATTCTCCGATAATCGACCTGCGCCGGACACTGAACATAGACCCACGTGTATGTGCACCTTCCGGAAGGTTCGCTATGAGTACTAGACAGGGACCAGACGATCTTGGATCTGAAACAGGGACCTAACAACCAATGGCCGTGGTGCCAAAGAAGTGAACGAGAAGACACAGCTGCTGATAGGTGTCAAGGTACATAGTGACAAAAAAAGACAGGGTTTCACGTGGAGCAAAATCAGACGACGCGTCATGGTTAGGAGAGTTGGGATAATGCGATAGATAGGGTTGCCATTTACGGTTATAATTCCTTTCTTTAACTAGTCGAGCTCCTCTAGTATGTTCTGTGGACTTGTTAACACTCGAGTTTGAAAGAAGAGATAAAAGGCCATAAAGACACACCAGCTATAACATGAACCACACTCATCCGTCCTTTGCAGGTTACTAGCAGCACCTGTGGCTGCTTCGCGGTATCGAAACGCTAGCACAGCAGTCGAGCAGCCACAGACCCTTGGGCGATAGTATGCCCAGGCGGGCGAAGACTGCTAGTTGTATTATAATGCCCGGTATGGAAGCTCTGGAGAGGCCGGACAATTCTTGGGTCTCTTTCTGATAAGCACCGATCTCGACGTGCTTCAATCGCCAGAGGAGCAACCACGGCATCCACAGCTAACACATTGTATCTCCTGATCCTCTTTCAGCTGCTCTTTGGGTACGCGACAGATGCATGTCGAGCGGAAGTTTGTCTCTTTAGTCTGAATGCATCTTAAGCAACACAACTAGGAGCGTGTCAGATAAAAGTGTCTGCTATTGAAATCGCGTGCGCAAGTGTGTATGGCGAACTTACCTTCTCGTAACCCTGCTTCTTCCACTTTGCGATCAACATGGGATCCGCGTATCCGTTTTTGAGCAACCAGTCGTACAACTTCTTGTCGATGGCCTCCTTCTCGTAGTAGAGATCGTAGATGTATCGTGAGCGCTGGTGGGTGATTTGGAAGATGGGCCATGTCATTTCGTATTTCTTCTTGCCCTCATGAGAGGCGTTCTCAGCATCCTTCATCTTGTTTGCGAACTCCAGCAGTGTATCTTCGATGTCGTCGAAGCCATCTGGTGGAGGCTTGCGGCCACCGCGTACGGTTCTTACTGGGGGCATGTTGGTTTTGTTTGGCTTGTGGCTAGGACGATGATCGTGGAGACGCAGAAGCGTATGTGGGAGACGAGGTTAAGAACTTCACGGTGGCGACGTGGTTCTTAGTAACAGTGTTGTGGTTGTTGTTTTCAGTGAATGAGAGTTGTTGGCGGCGACTTTCTCATAGTCTTCTCTTCGTTGGTTGGTACTCACTCCTACATCATCGGCAACTTTTAACGCCGCCCTCCCCGCCAAGCCCAACCCGGATCGCGCTAAACCGCAACCCACCACCCGAGCCTCATCGTCAATTCGTCAAGTTCGCGAAAGCTTGACCAAAGGCCCTCATTTGAATCTGCGTTCGAAGCTCCCTACACCGCAGCCATGGTCATCAATCCCACCTACCTCGCCCAGAGGACGCGATCCTGTGAGTCATGGACGAGTTTTCGAGGACCGGAACGCCTGCTAATCGAGATGTAGCTGTCAACTGGAGCGATGCGAAACGTCGAGTTATCCACTCTTACCGGGACTGGCTCCGTGCTGTATGTTCAATTCATTATCTCTAGACTCCGAGGATATCTTTTTGCGAAGGGTTCATGTTAGAAGAGGAGGCATTGGACTGGATACGGGTTCTTGTGGGGTGTTTGAATGACACTGGGGGCTTCCAACACTATCGAACCTTCGCAGTAGAAACAGACATTCTCGGACGAGCAGCCACTAACTCGAGCCATTCAACAGGCCCCGGAGATCCAGCAGATGTACACACTTAACCTCCCCGTGAGCACGTTGCGGACGAAAGTCCGACAGGAATTCGAGCGGCATCGCTATGTGAATCAATTAAAAACGGTGGACGTGTTATTGTTCAATTCGCACCAGGAGTTCCAGGTACGACATATCCTACCCTCATCTTCCCCTTCCAAAGGTTGTTGTCGGCCATTTGAACATGGAGCTACACGATACACCTGGTCAGCGCGATTTACTGCGTTGTGATTGGCTGGCGACAACCTCTCAACCAAGAGAGTTGTAGAACTCTGCTAACGACGATGGAAACTAGGAAACATTGAATTTCTGGAAGCAAATCTCGCACGTATTGAAGTATTTCCGAGCGGAGGAGGAGCCGAACGCCCATCTACCCAAGAACTTCATCAATGGGTTCTTGGAGGGACGGAATTAGAAGGATGGAAATATCCAACCAACAGGGAGTTCCGACCCCAGAGGAAAGGAATAGAAAAGAAAGATTCTGTATATAAATAAGCCTGACAATACCAATTCCGTTATCCGCCTGAACTTTCCCATGCTTCCCTGATGATCTTATACGTGAGTCACGGAACTCATCGGACAATGTAACCATTCATTCCTTCCATATCGTTTTGAATAAGATCATTTTTTCTATGATTGATATAGTACCGTCTAAACAGAACACCGTCATCCATTGCATTGCCACTACGAACGTAGTCGACAACAATAGTATTTCTTAACCCTTGACATTCAATATCGAATCTACCAACATTCGTCACTCGTTCAATACAAAACACCCTTAGTACTCCTGACCTCGCCCTCCCACTTCTGCACAACAGTAGTAGCCTGCCTGATCGCGATCGCCAGGGCCTTGAACGCGCTCTCCGCCCTGTGGTGGTCGTTCTCGCCCTTCAAGACGTCGACGTGCAGCGTGACGGCGGCGTTCTGCGCGAAGCTTGCGAGGCAGTGGCCGATCATCTCGGTGCTGAGGTCGCCGACCTTCTCGCGGCGGAAGCAAGTGTCCATGTTAGAGGCGAAGTAGGGGCGGTTGGAGAGGTCGATGACGGCGCGGGAGAGGGCCTCGTCGAGGGGTGCGTAGGCGTAGCCGAAGCGGGTGAGGCCTGTGGAGTTGGCGAGGGAGTTCTTGAAGGCGGTGCCGAGTGCGAGGCAGGTGTCTTCGGCGGTGTGGTGGTCGTCGACTGGGAGGGATGTCAGTGATTGTTCAATGGGACGGAGGGCCGTTCCAAAGGATGTTGAAAGGGAGGGTTTGGGGACGTACTGTGCAAATCGCCTTTACACCTGATCCTCAAGCTCCAACCTCCGTGTTTTGCAAGTGCATGCAGCATGTGGTCGAGGAAGCCGATGCCGGTGTCGACGTTGATGGTTTGCGACTTGGAAGCTTGCGCGGCGTGGTCTTTCACCTCGCCATTGGTGGATGCGGCATTGTTGGCAGCATCGATCTTGTCCCAAAAGTCTGATTGCTCGAAGGGCAGAAGCTCGCCGCCGTCGATATTGAGGGAGATTTGAATCTTGGTCTCGTTGGTATCGCGGTTGAGGGTTGCGGAGCGGGGCATGGTGGGCGGTGGTGATGCTGGAGATGTGACAGTGCGTGTATTTGTATGAGTAAGTCTGTCTGCTTGAGAGGTTTTTCGAGGGTGTAGTCGGTCGCAATTGTTGTTGTTGTCAGAATACAAATTGATCCGCCACTCTGTTCCGCCAAAAGAAAAAGAACCGTCCCAAATCCAATCTACGTACTTTCCGAGTAATTAAGTGACGCCAATCAGCGAATCGGCGTGGGGCAGAACAAATCAGCCCTAAACAGTAGCAGGCCCGCCAAGATTTCCCGCCGTCGACCGCCCCGCTAAAACTTTTCGAAGATTGACTCTGTGTATGTACAATCCAAGACAACACAGCTTTCAATCACTCCATTACAATCACCACTGCATACCACGGCGAGCCGATTTAACACCAATTGAATCAATCAGCGATTCTAGTGCCTCAACATCCTCGAATTCCCCAACCTTACGCCGCGCATCTCTCCACGTAGACTCAGTTCTCAAAAGCTTCACAACCTCGCACCCAACAACAAGCTCCAATACAAACACAAAGAGCCGGAATACCAAGCCCAATCTTCCCGGGAGCGAAGAATAGAACGAATCTTTCAGATAGACCCCTAAAAAAAACACGATACCCACAATGCCAGCGCCGACATTAGAGCCCCAACACCCCACACACGACGCATCGCACGTCGAGATCGTCTCCTCAGAAGACCTCATGGAAGAAATCGACGCCCAAGTCGACCGCGACCGGATCCGCGTCGTACGTTTCCCTCTTCCCTCTTCCCCCACTCCTCCTCCTCCTCCTCCTCCAAATCCCCATACCAAAACCCCTTGAACTAACTCTACAACCCATAGCTCCCCGGCTCAACCCCAACATCCGCGTCCTTCCAATTCGACAACGAAGACCACACCTTGGGGAACGCGCTGCGCTACGTCATCATGAAGAACCCGGACGTCGAGTTCTGCGGGTACTCGATCCCGCACCCGTCCGAGGCGAAGCTGAACCTGCGCATCCAGACGTACGACGACGTCAGCGTGTACGAGGTGCTCGAGAAGGGGCTGCGGGACCTCGAGGGCCTGTGCGACGTCGTCGTGGATACGTTTGCTGAGGCGAGGAGGGAGAAGGATGCGCGGGTGTCGTAGTGGAGGAGATGGGTTCGGTGATAGCATGGGATTGGCGTTTTTTTTTTTTGGTGCGTTTCTAGTTCTGGGGTTTTCATGAGGGTTCCCTACCGTGTGTGGGAGATCTGAGGAGGGGAGGAGGTTTAGAGGCGTTTCCATGTGCATCATATTCCCTCCATCAGCTCTTCGTATATCAAAAATGAAGATCTTACTCTCTCCGTCTACATCTTCTGGCATTGAGCAAGAGGGTGTATACATGATGACTGTCAACAGAGAAAGTGTCGTGGTTTAGGATTGAATGGGGTTGCCTGCCCGTCCAATTCTTTGACCGCATAATAGTATCTTTCAGGCTTCAGTGGAGAAATACGATACCCAGGTGTGTTTCTTCCCATGTCCCGGCAACTAGTCAAAGGGATGTATGTTCGGACTTCGGATCACGAGCCAGTGATCTCTCTCAATTCCAACCATTCAAATCACGTACAGAGCAATGAGACAGCCATCATATAAACTTAGTAAAAGGGTACTTAGAATTTTTGATGAGCAAGCAAGCAACGATCATTCGCAAGATGTGAGACCATTAACACTTAGTCTTTTTCCTCGAAAGATCACTTGACTACGGACATAGAAAAAAAGAGAAATTGATCTCCTGGAGCTGCAAAACACGTGTTGACTCCGAATTCCATTCCAGCCATCCATCCATTTAATTGTTGAACAAAGAAACTGTCATCTCGGGAGGGAAAACAAAAGGTCATTAGGCCGAGGCACAAAGGTGGTAAAGAAAAGGTGCACAGTGATGTATAACCTGTGCAGGGGGGTAATCGATGAAGAGAAAAATCCACAAAACAAGACTTGGAAAAACAAAAACAGGAGACCCATTGCGCACTGTGGGGAGGAAAAGTCCATACAAGCCCCGACAAAGTTTACACAAGCAAAATAGCTTTATGTACGGGGTGAATCCTCATGGCCTGAGCCTGATATCGAAAACCAATGCTCGCCCTTCCGTTTGTTTTGCGCCAGGTTTGGGTGTAAAGAATTAAATCCATACTAGGATAAGACGCTATCAGAGGGCCAGCCAGCAGGTCAATCATGGGTATCGTGGGTCGTGACGTCGTGACATGAATCATCCGAATGCCAAGGGTGAAAAGGCAAAGGTGAATCCAGAAGGATAAAAAGATCTTGTTCAGAAGCGCGTCAAGTACGCGTTGAGGGGAAGTAATCAAGAAGCCAACTCGTTACGTCATCAGAAGAGGACATTCAAGAGGCAAAAGGAGGTCGAGGTCGTAGAAACGCGTCTAAAAACGCGTCGTGGTGCTGCGTTGGAGACTGGGTCGAGGTGCTTTGGATGGCGAGCCATTGGGAGCAACGACCGATGCCCGGGCGCCAATCTTCTCAAAGCCCTGCAGCAAGTCGATGCCAGGCTCCGACTCGTCGCTGTGAAGAAGGTGGAAGATGTCATCATCATTATTGGTCTGAGGCATCTCGGTCGTAGCAGCACCACTGCGGCTCGGCCCAGCCGGTGGAAGTGGGAAGTCAGTGAGAGCATTCGAAGCTAGAGGATTCGAGGTTACGCTCTTCTTGGGTGACTGCTGACGCGCAGGAGAGAAAGCAGGAATGTTGAGGAAGGGAGACTTCCAATTGGGAGTGGGCGACATGTTTGGCTTCAGGCCAGTGATGTCGGCAAGGATGCCTGTGGTGGTGGCAGCACGTTCCAGTCGCGGACGCTTGGCCGATCGCTTCAGGGGCGACTCGTGATACATATCGCCGAAGACGTCAAAGGTGCTCTCGAAGCCTTCGCCCATGAGGTTTACGTTCTCATCGTTAGGAATGGAAACAGCAGGGCTCCAGGATTGCGAGTTATTAGTGTTGAGAAAATTAGCGTCGATCCACATGGTAAGGTCCTTGTCGGGCGAACCACCGACGAGCTCACGCATGCGCTGCCTGTGGTTGCGAAGGTTCGTGTTGGGCGACGCCGAAGCAGGTGGCAGAGCAGGACGCTTGAACACGATTGCGGGCGTTAGAGGACCACGTCCTTCCTTGGGGGGAGCTCGGAATGGGGACGAGATGAGGGCGGCGGCAGGCTGCTTCATATGGGGGCGGGTCTTCGTCGGAGAGTCGTACGAAGAGCCACGGATGCGAGCAATCTCCTCCTCGGCGCGGCCACGCTTGATGCTGGGTCGATCGTGGTCGGCCTCAGAGGTGAGGAGTGGTCCGAGGGGGTTGCCTTTGATGGCCGACGACTCGATGGACGAGTAGTAACCACTATCACCGAGGCCATTGAACTTCCTCTTGCGTCCGCCAGACCGACTGCTGTGGGCAGGGAAGCGTGGTGCACGAGGCGGAGTATCGTCACGCATGCTGCGTGTGACGGGTGGTGGAGGTGAGGAGTGAATGTCGGCCGGTGGTGGTGACGATGGGATCTGACGTGGAGGAGGCATCGAACGTTCCGGATCCTCCCCGTCGTGGATGCCAGAATCGGAACAGGGGATGGTGGCGTCCGAAGACAGCTCCGTCTCTTCGGGAAATTTGCTGGAGTCAATGCTTTTGACAACACTCATGGGGGGTGGTGGCAGACTAGCCGAAGCTGTGGACGGACGGACCAGGTCACCAGGGTAGGGGAGGAAGCCATCCGGATTAGTAGGACGTCGAGTGGACTTGACCTTGTGGTATTGCTTCTCGAAACCCTGATTGATGACCCAATAATGACCCTTTCCTGGGTCGTCTTTGGGACGCTCCTGCTTGGAGAAGGACTTGCTCAGGCTGAGGTTGTGGCGGATGCTGTTCTGCCAGCCCATGTCGGCGGTGTTGCGGTAAAAGGCAAAGGTGTCAGAGATCCACTTGTAGATTTGGGCGAGGGTGAGGCGGCGGTTCTGTGCGCGAAGAATGGCCATTCCGATGAGATTCGCATAGCTGTATGGTGGCTTGGCACCGTCATCTTCGACGGATGGCATCTGATCAGGTTCGGGCAACGAGAAGTTCTCGTCGCCGAGGGCATCGCGGGCGGTGACCTTCTGCTTCTTTGATCTGTCGCGGAGGGGCGCCGTATCGGTGAGGGTGCGCTTGTGGCCTCCTTTGATGGGTGGCTCTGCGGCGGCGGCGGCGGGAAAGTTGGCGAGGTCCGGCAGAGGCTGGCTTGCACTGGTCGCGTATCTGTTCTCTTTGTCGTAGTTGAAAGAATTGAACATTGGCTGCCTGTTGCCGGCGGCGGCCGCCATGGCGTGAGATTGCCTGGGGATGGGTCGCTGAGCCTTCTTCAACGGCGCGTCGGTGCGGAAAGACTGCTCTTGTGGAGGGGGAATGGAGACGATGTTGAGGCCCTTTTCGGCGAGAGCGGCGGGGGGTGGTGAGCTGGAGACGTGACGCAGTTTCTGTGGCGAAGGCGCGTTCTCAAAGGTGTGCGGAGGCTCCAGGAGGGTGTGATGGTCATACGACACGTCGGTGACTGAGCCGAAGGCATCGAGGAGGTGAGGCTCGTACGCGGCTACGTCGTGATGATCATTTGAGGCTGAAGTTGAGGGGATCGGGTCTTGAAAAATCTGCAGAGGGGGTTGTCGACGCGTTGTAGCCATGGCGAGGATGGCCGACAAGGTCTCCGAGGACCTTTTTCTGAGTAGGTGAGAAGCAATGACGCGTAAAATCGCGTGTGGGAATGGGTGATTTTATGGTTGAGGTGGATAATGGCCGTCGGTCCGGTGAAGTTGAGGTCGAGGTTGGCGGGAGATTGCGATGACGCCGGACGTGTTCGGTACGTGTATAGGTATAGGTATGTGTGCGTAAGAGAGTATGGTCCAGGAGGATATGTCTTTTAGGTGATATTGTTACGAGCAAAAGGTCGGTGCGAATGTGGATTCGAGTTTTGGCGGTCGAGAAGATGTCGGGTTTGGTTTGATTGTGAGAGAGTGGGTAGTGCGGTGGGTGGGTAGGTTAAGTGATGGAAGGAGGAGAGGTCAGAGTGAGTGAGAGAGGGGGGGGGGCACGGATGATCCAAAAGGCTAGTAAAAGAGAGTTAGAAAGGAGGTGATTGATGGATGGATAGGATAGGATTGGATGGGTATGGATGGGTATGGATTGGATGAATTGAGGTGGAGAAGTGGGTAATGGATAGGGTGAGGTAGAAGAGAAGAGTAAGGACACGAAAGGTACGGGTAAGGCAAGGAAGAGAGAGAAGTAGAAGCGAAAAGGATGAAGTTGGTGAGAGAGTGTGTGTGGGAGTGGATAGATTCGGAGAGAGTGGGAAGTGGGAAGTGGAGTTTACTAGTTGGGCAGGGGTGGGTGGATGGGTTGTAGGCTAGTGAGGGTGAGAGAAAGGAAAAAGGGCTGACTGGGTCGAGGGAAGGGAAGGGGCATGGACACAGTGGATGGGACACTCGAGTACCGTACTTTTTGATAGGCACACGCACACCCGGCCTGGGTTGTTGAAACAACTGTGTACAAGTACTTGTACCTGGCACCTCGCACCTCGCTTGAGCCTCTCAGTCGATTGGGTTGGGCTGTCTAGCTGGTTTGCTGGCTGCTAGCCGGCCTGGACTGGGCTGGCTGACTGCTCGACGGCGCTAATCTCTCTCTCTCTCTCTCTCTCTCTCTCTCTCTCTCTCTCTCTCTCTCTCTCTCTCTCTCGCTCTCCAGAGTACGGACTATACTTCCGGTGATTGTATTCAGGTACCCAACGGACAAATAAAAGGAGAAGGTGAATTAACTGTGATGAGATGATGCTATGTGCGGAGTACTCGCAGCACGCAGCAAAATTACTCCGTAAAAAGATCAGACAAAGTTGTTAGGGGTGAATTCTCGTGGTATCTCGCAGGCAATACTCCGTATGTAGAACGAGAAGAACTCGTAGAGCGAGTAATGGGATAGCTCTCGGGCAGACAGAACAGGTCAGGTCAGGTAAACTCAAGGATCATTTGAGTACGGTTATTGATATGGGTAGGGATGGGTTCAAGTTTTTGATTCTATCCAGTCCAATCCAGTCAAGTTGCCAGGAGCCCGCCAGGGTGGAGGATTGCCGGACTGGGCGAGGAATTCATGCAAGGAACACACACGCCTACACTGCATGCGCCAGCAAGTAACACTGCACTGAGATAGTAACTATGTACGGGCATGTATGCAGTATGCAGTAACAAGGAACATACAACGAGATAACATGAGAGGACAAGACAAGTCAGGAAACATGCGAACCATCCACTCACCTATACATAGATACCTCACATAGTTACGGAGTAAGGTATTCAACAAGACAGTCGGAGAGACAAGTCACTCCCACCGACTTTCAGGTAAATACGAAACTCTCAATTACGAGAACTAAAGCAAGGAGAAGAATCAAACCACATGATATCTTTCACCAACGAAAAGAACAAGCATTGACCAATAATCTCAAACTACAAAATGGCTTCGTCATTCCAGTTATTTCATCATCTACAAGTACTAATAACCCTCCGTGCTCATACTAACCACGAGTTACCTCGTACTAGGTACTTACCTAGGTACCTAGTATGTGGTCTAACGATGCTCCGATCGATCGTCAACCTTCTCCCGCCTGGACCTCATTAATGGTATGAGTTACGGAGTACTACTACAAAACTTGCTAAGACACCCCTTTAAAAGCTACAGCCTCATCGTGAACATCAACATGAAATAGTCACAATGAATGCCATGGCCCATGAACATCATCTCCATCGTGATCGGGAATCTTTGTAGAGATCTTGATCTTGATCTGGACAGGAACAAGTACACGGTTACCCTGTCTAATCCATCGCCTAGTCTACCCTTTTTCTTCTTCTTCTTCTTCTTCTTCTTCTTCTTCTTCTTCTTCTTCTTCTTCTTCTTCTTTTTTTTTCTTTTTATTTTAATTTTTCTTCTCCTTTTATTTTTATTTTCAGTCTGCATATACTCCGTACTGCTAGTATCATCGTCGCTAGCATTAATCAATTCTGCTGCATCGTTACTCCTTGCACTTGTAATTGTGACTGTGTACACTTGGCACCGGCCAGAACGGGCAGTCACACTCCTCACTCACATCACCATTACACAGAACAGAACCAACCGTCTACACAGTAACCCCTCATCATCAATGATGATAATAATCTATGGTCTATCATTCAACAGACCTGTCCACCAAATTCTTTCATATGCCTCACCCTAGATCAGCCCATTCCCCACTAACCTTGCTGACGGACCGACGGACTGACCGGTCTCTGTGTCATTTTCTTTCTCTTCTTCGTCTCATTCTCTTGTAACCTCGTTCCTTTGTGCCATGTATCGTGTACTTTGAGAGCCATCATCCTATCGACCGGCTGAATAAAATAGATTCTCGACAGCAGATAATACGAAAAACTTCTCGTCCTTCGTTCTTAGTTTCCGTTTCATTTCCATTCAATAATCCTGCTCAACGCGTCGCGAACGGCTCGAGTCCCGGTAAGCGCCCAGTTCAAACCAGCCCAGCTGAGACAACGCCACCATGTCGCTCCTCTTCTCGAATCAGCAGTTCCGAACCACTGCACCACCACCCTCACGCAGCACGACATTCATCTATCCACGACGTACCTATGTTCATACGGGATGGATGCATGCATGCAGATAGCAATTCTTCTCCTAGTCGCACTGTGCAGTCCCGTACATACGAGTACATACAGTAGCCACATACTCGTAGGGTTACACATCACCACCCAGGCGGGGATCATCCCAACCGCTGCGACACGAACTCACGACACGCCAATCGACAGCCTATCGTATCTGTCCGCCCATATCGATATGATGAAGATGATGAACCGTCAGGCCCACCTGCTACTCCACTCCACCATCTGCCATGATCCATCTACTCCGTATTGTACAGACACCAACACTGAATAGGAACACTCCGTAGTTACTGAACGCCAGCACCGTTTTCTTTCCATCTCCGACCTGACTCCCACCCCAACGCGGATCATCCCAGCCATAACTCATCCGCTAGAGTTATCTCGTAGATGCTCTCCAGTTCATCTTCGATCTCATCATGACTGCCCTATGCCTCATGCCTTGGCCTTCCGGTCCCTCTCGGCAATTGCATTATCCTCCTCTTCTTACTCACCCTTACCCCCCGGACTCTTGTCATTCATATAACCAAGAAAGTAAGGTTCAGTCTAAAGCCATCAAGGTTCACCATGGTTGGTTTACTTCTGCATCGCGATCTCGTTCACGGTAGAAGCCCAATTGCCGATAACTAACGAAAACAACGCGTCCGTCCTCGCATCTTCCACACACCCACGCACATCAGGTCGCCCCTCCTGTCATCCGGCCCGGTCTACAGTAGCAGCCAACGCGGTGAGGGGTAGCAAATGCTGAGATCCTTTTATAGACACAAGGATTCGGCTGGCGCATGTGCAACTTCGGTAGATAGCTCTCACCAAATATCCTACTTTGACCACTAGACAGTAGATACTGCGCTCGCGTTCTTGATTTGACGCGACAAACCGCGTCTAACAACGCAGCAGAGCCTGATTTTTTACGTCGGCATGTTCTTCGCGATGGTATAATCTCAATTGTTCGCGTCATCTCTCTTGACCTCCATCAGGCGCCCCGTTGTGGGCAGAAAATGGGACACGCGGCGCGGAGGCTCTTCCGATGATCAACAAACAAGGAAAACCGATCAACATGCGGGATGCGGGGCTATGCAATGTTCCCCATCACGAACTCACATGACAGATCATATCTGACACCAACAACGTCGGATCCCATGTTCAACCAGATGCAACATGCACGCCACAGCCCTGTCTGCATTGCGTTGCTCTCGATTCAGCTCAGCTTCTACAACAATCCCCCCATCTCCTTGGTGATAGCGATGCTCTGAACAAGCATGTGTTATCGAGCCGGTCAACCTCACCGTCATCTAATTGCAAGATTGCCATCTCAATCCGTTTCTGGCTCCCTGTGTAAACTCTCTTTACTGATGTCTTGGAAGAATTTCGCCTACCAATCTCTCCAGATTGAAATTGTGGCTGAACGCCGTCAACCTTGCTGCCAGGAGCCTCAAGACATGGGCCAGGCAAGGGAGGTGATGATTCTCGGAACCATCGCCACCCTGATGCTGCGTGTTGCTTCTGCGACAATCATTCAATCCTCGTTGCTGTTGAATTCGAATGGACCCCATTCTTTGCCTACTCTTCACTTCTTGCATCATCTATCTCAAAGTCAACGCAGCTACGTACCTAAGTAGTCACATGTACATTCCTGAATTCAGCGTTTTCAAAGTGACTTACATCTCCTCCCCTAAGTCACTCATCCCTTGACAGTCTCATCTCAATCTACCAACGTGAGGCTCTAACCGACTTGTACCAGCCACGTTCTGGGCATGTCCATAGAAGTCTATTGGTCTTGCCGTTGGGTCGGTCAGTACAACACCTGTCGGTGCTGAGCCATCGCTCTCTCTCCCTGAAGCGCTCGAGGCAACAGTCTTTCGGTGCTTGCAATCTTGCCAGTTCCATGGAGTGGGTATCGTGGTGCCCAAGGCTTTGATCCAGTACGTGATGTTTTCGTCGGTGGAGAGTCATTTCATCGTATTGATCTCTAGGAAGCTAATGATAGCTAGAGCCTACACGTTTTCTGTCAACATTGAACGCTCGGCGGCGTTCACGGATGCGACCATCATGGCTTCAATCCATCCCTCAGGTGTTTACCGGAACCCCTTGTGCCATTGGAAAGCGCCTCAACTGCCTCTTCCATCAAGCCATCGACACTGATATGCTTGTTGGACTTGGCCGGAGCCCGCCTATCGTTACATGTGTCGAAAATCAGCTCTGTTTCTATCGGAGAGGCCTCTTCTCGAAAGTTTGCGCCATGGACCAGTGATGGTTATAAAGACTGGTCGTGAACATCAAACGAATAGCATCGAGCAACTCACATTCGCTTTACATTCACTCGTTTACAAACGCTCTTTCAGCCTTCGTTAGAATGATCGCCCCTACCGTTCTCGCTGCTCTTCTGGCAGCTGTCCCTTCAGTCCTCGCCCAGGCAGTTCCGGACATCCCAGATGTGACTTCTTCCTTCACCCGCTGCACCACTCGCTTTGGCTATCAACCTCTCCCAACTGGCACGGCCGGCGTGCCAACCTGGTACGCATACACGACGACCACCCATGTCGCCGTTCTCACGTACACCACTCGTGATACGGTCACCTCGACCCCTGATGCGACGACCTTCACCAATGTCGCGACCACTACTCAGGTCGTGACCAGCATCACAACGTCGACCCCGCCCGCAACCACCATCCCGACTCCTGCAGGCTTCCTTCCTCTCGTGTTGTTCTCCATGCCAGAACCCACCGCCGTCTCTCGCGTCAAGCGTCTCCAGTTGGTCGACGATGTTGCTAAGCGACAGACTCCAGCGGGCTACACCGGTGGTTACATCATCAACCCAGACGGCACAACATCCAGCCTCAACCGCGTGTATCCTCACCGTGTTCTCTGTCAGGTTCGCGTTACCGTCAACACCACGGATATCATCGTGGAGACTGCCGCTCCAACCACTATTGTCCTTCCAGTCTCCACTGATCTCGTCCAGTCCACCAGCACAGTCATCACCACGACTACGATCACCGAGGTCGTGGCTACGCCCTCTGTCTATGCTGCCTGTGCCGCAAACAACGTTGGTAAGTCTCGTCATGTGCATACTAAAGTTAAACTATGAACTGACAATATCACAATAGTGGACCACATAACCGACCGCGACGGCAACAGGATGAACTTCGACCGCATCGCCTTCCGCCCAGCCCAGGGATTCCCCATCGAGAACGAGCTCGTCACCAACACGGTCAATGCCGTGAACTGCTGCATCGCCTGCCAGAACTCCCCCAACTGCGCTGGATCCTTCTTCGTCCCCTCGCGCCAGGAGTGCCACCTCCGCTTCACCGTCGCCCCTGTCTTGAACGCCACCTCCCCCTTGATCCCAGGCGGCAACGTCACCCTCGGCAATGTCGTCGGCCCTACCGGCACCGCCATTCTGCCAACTGGCACCTCCCTCACGGTGCAGACCCAAGTCCCCGCCAGCTGCGCCAAGGGCAGCGACACCCTCTACTTGGGTACCATCCGCGGCAAAAGCGAGCGGGACTTCCCCAGGAGGTTTGCCCTCGCCTTCTCCAACGGCCCCTGCGGCCGCATGTCGGTCAGCCCCATCCGCGTCCGACAGTAAGCATGTACATGTCTGGAGAAAGAAAACAAGCTATCGTGAAGATTGTAAAACAGCGCGCGCGCGAGGGGGTTGGATTAGCTCGGTTTGTATTTGCAGATATTTCGGAGTCGTGATCATTCCTTCTTTTTTTCCCCTTTTTTTTTCAACAATGCCGACGTCCATGTCGTTCCTTCTCTCCACTTTCCCTCGAATCCATGAAGAAGCGTGGGAACGTGGGTTTGTTTTTCTGGACTGATTTGGTGGCGGATACTTATTGGATTCTTATTCAGTAAATGAGCGGTTTGCACAATCCTTTTGTTTCCCGGTGTGCTTCTCTAGACATTCCTTTTCTTGTGTTTCTTGTACCAGTTGCGTGGAGGTGATGGGAAATATGTGAAAATGGCGAGACGCAGCGTAGAGTAGTAGTTAGTACAGCGGCTTAATGTAAAACAATATCTTGTTGGGGAAAGCACGTCTTCTTCTAAGAAATTCCCCTTGGTGATATCTCTTCTAGCTTCATAGCCCATACAAAGCGGATGAACAAGCACATACGACCATTGGATTCTGAAAACAGGGCTTCCCGTTCGCTCAGCCATACTTAAGCAGAATACCGGCGGACTAGTAGTTGAGTGGGTGACCATCAGCGAATCCCCGCTGTTGTATGTTTTTTGTCTTCTTTTTTTTTGTTGCCAAATTTTTGGCGGTGAGATGGTGGTGGTGGTTGTGGGTTGTAGATATGGGTGGGTGACCGTACCATAAACTCATGCACGACCCGACGAGAATAATCATAGATGTATTTTTACTATCGTGATCTTGCTGATAGAAGTGTAATTAATGTCAATTACGGGAGTAGAGAAATATGTTGTTTGAATTGACGTGCGTCGGGCAAGTCTTTTCACTAAACAAGGAAATTGGTATGAACATTACAATATATTGGTAGCGGGATACTTTAGACTTGAATCTCATTTATTTTACAGAGAGGGATCCTCCATGCGGAAACAGATTAGAAAAAAATAAGGAAAGGGCACATTAGTACCATATGCTGTTCTTTTTCCGGGAGCTTATCATCAGTCGGGTATGAGTTCTTGTTCGCTCTATTGGCCATTGTGATATTGGGTGTAAGTACAATGACCACCAGGGCACGATAATTGCCGACAGAAGCTGCTGCTGATACACGATGATTTCCATTGGGGAAAGAATCACATGAAACATAATTCAGGCTTGCTCAATTCATCACCATCAAATGCTCATGACAGCGCTCATGGGATGTAGTCGGACGTCGAATTGCCCAATCAGTCAACTACCTCGGCTGTCCAATCCCGTGGTTAGCGCGAGAAAGGGGAGTTTAGCTGTACAGATGCATGTCCACCTCACCAGCCTCCTCCGCAATCGCGTCCCGCACCGCACGCATCCCCACCGACCCTTGTTCACAATTGCAGCTTCCCCCGGTTTCTCATCCTTCGAGGGCCTGAGGTGCAAGCTGTGATATTCTTCTGCTCCTCTCCCACCCATTACCCCTTCGACCATCGCCTTCTCCCCCCATCGAACAATACCGCTGCCATGATATCATCAACCCGGAGCTGGTTCCGACGGAATCGAACAAACTTCGCCATCGGCGCAGGTGTCCTCGGTGCTGGCTATCTCGCCGGACAATATGTTCTCGGCAAAGTGAGCGAGGCACGACAACGCATGAGCGAGGAGCGGATAGCTAAAGAAAAGTAACGTTCCCTCGGCCCCAACCGCATGCTCCTTGGAACTTCTGCTAACACCGTCACCCCTTTCAGCCTCCGACGTCGCTTCGAACAGAACCAAGAAGACTGCACATTCACCGTCCTCGCCATCCTCCCGACCGCCACAGAGAACATCCTCGACGCCGTGCCCGTCGAGCAGATCCTCGAGGAGCTGCAGAAGCACAAGGCGGAGCGATTGGCGCGGAGCGTTGGCCCTAGCGAGGTGTTCTCGAGCGCACCGCCCAGCGTTGCGGATCCCAGCGTCGCGGACGACGATGCGAAGAGCCTGACGAGCTACCAGAGCCAGAGCGAGAGCTACGTGCACGCGAGCCAGATTGCCGATGGCGAGAACGCGAGCACGACGGGGAGCGGCAGTGCCGAGGTCGCGGCTGAAGGTGCTGCGAGTGGCGAGAAGAAGACGAAGAAGAGCAAGGCGCAGCTGTGGAATGAGATGAAGATTAGCTGTATGTGATTGAACGGACATGATTGATGAATGAAGATTGGGGAACAAAAAACTGATTTTGTACTAGCTATTTCACGAGCATTCACGTTGCTGTATACGTTGAGCTTGCTCACGCTCCTCACGAGGATACAGCTGAACCTCCTCGGTCGACGGAATTATCTCGCGAGCGTTGTCTCGCTCGCCACACCACATTCTCAGGAATCGAAGATCAACCTGGAGAACCACGATGATGACAATTTCGACCACGCCTACGGCAACGACTTCGAGACGAACCGACGGTATTTGTCTTTGAGCTGGTGGTTGTTGCACCGCGGCTGCATTGAGTTGATTCAGAAGGTCACGGCTGCTGTCAATGAAGTTTTCGGCTCTTTGAACCCTAGGGAGGAAATCACGCTTGAGAGGCTTTCTGAGATGACTCTTGAGGTGCGGAAGAAGGTCGAGGGTGCCACCGAAGAGCAAAGGAGGTATGCAAATGTCTCATAGTAACTTTATTGACGACTTACTGACTCGATGTAGGACCTGCAAATGGCTTCCCTACCTCCTGCCCTCGCAGGATCAAGAGGCTTACGTCCTCCGCGAGTCCGGCATGTCCGACTCTGCTTCCGGCCTCACCTCTACTTCTCTTCGACGTCTCATTGATGAGACCTCCGACCTTATTGACTCGCCATCTTTCACTCATGTTCTTACCCGCCTTCTCGACTCCGCTTTCTCTCATCTCATCGATACCAAGATTTCACAGCTGTCTTACAAGATCCCCCCCACATCGGCCTCTACCGCCCGCGTCCAGGAGATCGTTAACCCCTCTGATGCCAAAGCCAAGGTGGCGAATTCCCTGGCGGTATTCTGCAGACAAGCCCATGCTATTGGTACCGGCGCCAACAACGAGTACCTGGCTGCCATCGAGAGCGTCCGAGACTTGGAGGCATTCGCCGCAGTCGTGTATAGCAGCAACTTCGAGTACGAGACTCCCGAGGCCGGAGCATCTGCTAACACTGCCACTGGCCCCGAAAGCGGCATGCAAAGTGCTGCTGAGAGCGCCCGTACTAGTCTAGTCACAGATGTCGGTTTCGAGAGCGCGTGGGGCAAGGCTTTAGCCAAGGAGGACGGAAAGGCTTGAAGTCGAAATATATGTTCATCTATCCCATGTCCCCTAGTCTGTTGAGTTTAAGTAGATTTCGACGTTACAAGCATGGCTATTGGTCTTTCTTTTTTCTTGTACGATATTTTCATTATGGGCGGGCTACTTTACTAGGGAATACAGGGGTTGCACGGGGGTTGACTGAAGATACCCGGCTAGGACTTGCACGAATACATCAAGATTATTATATTCATGTCCCATGAAACAGTATTGTATTGAGAACCCCTGAGGTTGTGTCCAACGTTGGAGAAAGGTTGGAGATGGCTTTGAATGTAGACATGTGACCAGGATGAATCGATGACGTCAAACATAGTCGTATTACCCAAATGTCGAATGGACCCACAGACATCATGATTTCACATCGTCTGGACTAATTTATAAATTTTGTTATAGATAATTTTGGAAATACCTGTCTGGAAAGGAGTGGTGTAATTCTTCCTCAATTGGCGCATTTTGCTAGTCTATCCCCATACTGTTGCTAAACAGTCAAACATTCATCACTTCGACGATACACCTAAACATCATGGCAGAAGCAGAATCAAGAGATAGCAGTGGAAAATATGCATATGCAACGTTGCTAACGCGACCCTCATACCTGGCCGGTGCCATTCTCCTGGCATACACTCTCCATGAACATTCACCATCCACACCTCTGGTTATCATCTACACCCCAGAGACTCTCCCAGAAGACAGCGTCTCCGCTCTAGAAGCCGAGAGCCGCCACACGAACACGATACTCTACCCAGTCGAGCACCTACGAATCCCTAAAGTCGCGGACGAGAAGGACCACTCCACCGGCAGCATGGTCGCAGAGCGCTTCATCGATACATGGACGAAGCTGCGCGTATTCCAGCTCGACGACCTCGCGCTCAAGCACGGCTGGACGAAACTGTGCTTCCTCGACGCCGACATGATGATATTCAAAGACCCGAGCCCCGCCATCTTCGCCCCGGACATCGACCTCAAGGACAACGAGCTCCGCACCACGCACGTCTGCGTCTGCAACCTCGACCACGACGCCTGGGCGCCCGCCGAATGGACGCCATCGAACTGTGCCTACACCTCCCTGACCCAATCCACCACCTCCTCATTATCATCCCTCGCACCAGTCACTCCCCACCACTCCACCCGCGGCATCTTCAACACAGGCACCTTCGTCTTCCGCCCCACGGCATCCATATCCCACCTCGTGATCTCGACCTTCGCCTCGACACCCACGTCGAAACTCCTCTCCTACAAGTTCCCAGACCAAGACTTCCTCAACGAAGTCTTTGCCTCCTCGTGGCGCAGCCTGCACTGGAGCACCAACGCGCTGAAAACCTGGCGGTACTGGCATCAGGAGATGTGGAGCGATGACGAAGTGAGGGCTCTGCACTACATCGTTGACAAGCCATGGGCGAGGAGGGTGGCAGAGGACGGGGTCGCGGGGTATAAGGGGTTGGATGGGCCGACGCATTCGTGGTGGTGGGCAGAGCATGAGAGGTGGGAGCGTGCGAGGAGGGGGGAGGGCGAGACGGAGGAGATCAGGTGTGTTGGGAGGTATGTTGCTTCTGAGGGGGTGGATGATGAGGAGGGGAAGGAGGCTTTGAGGGCTGTTGGGGGCGGAGCGCAGGACTTTGCGAAGAAGTGGAAGAAGGGTGACGACGATGGGGATGGAAATGGGAGTGGGAATGAAGAGAAGAGTCACCACGAGCCTCAGCCGAGTTCCACGGTGGATCGGGAGGGGGTTGAGGGTGGCGAACAAACCTTTGGGAATGGCCCCCATGGTCCTGTCTTGAGGAGACCCATGGTCGGCGAGCGAGGACATGGCCGAGTGGTTCGTGGAGGATTCGGCCGCGGTGCGAGAGGTTCGAGCTACATGGCGGATGGCTAAGTGATAGTTGGGGCAACGGTGGCATGCGCACCGCAAGGGCATTTAACAGCATTCAACTCAACACTATGCGATTCAATGGTTGTATCACTGATTGAAAAGTTGAGTTTTTGATCTATCTGAATGGTGAATGTGAGTAAAGCCCTGATTACACCAAACTACTGCTGATTCAAGCCTCCCAATAGGCTGTTTATCAAAGGGCCACTCCAACTCCAACGATGTGGTGAGACGGTAGAGGCAGCGATGAAGGCAGATTGCTATCCCACACTACTCGATTTTCCAGACGAAGTTCCGAAATACCCCAATGCCATAACTGTCGAATCTCAAGAAAAGTATGCCAGGCATGACAAGATAATTGTGAGAACGTATGATGTCACCAGCCTCAGGAATGAAATGATGCTAGGCAACGTTCAGTGGCAGACCTACTCAAGTGAGATAAGATCATGGACAGGCACATTGGGCCTGACTTCCTCTTCGGAGAGGGCCACAGTGTCGTCATCGGACAAGCTGATATCACTGACGCGATCTCCGAGCCTGTTGGTGCTATCACTGCTCGAGGAACCCGCGTTGCTATTGTCATCCTGACTGCTAGAAATGATGGGCGTCGGACCATGAGCAGGACGACCTACGTGGAGACTCAAGGTGTACGGATTCTTGGGATGGGTCAGATCAAAGAGGTGCTGCACCTCAGGCTGCTTCGGGTCGATAGTGCCGCTCTTGAGGCCATCGAGAAGGAGTTTGTCCTTTACTGCAGCCGCGTAACCCTCTTTAAACCCTTGTTCGTGTCCAGCCACATGGCCCTGCTCGCGGCCAGTGAACATTCCAGCCGTCATGCCATTTTCGTAGGCTTCCCTGCAAAGTGTTTTCCCAAGTTCCTTCTTCACTTGGGCCCTGATTTTATCCTCAAGCACAGCTGCAGCACCCATGTCCAACAAACGCTCTCGATGCTCGATCCGCATTTCCCGGGCCTCAAAATTGGCAGCCATAGCTTGCAGCTCAATCGTTTCGGCGCTTCGTGCGGATAGGCCTTCGTTAATTCCCTGGAGCTTGGCATAATGCAGCAGAGTATGATCGATTTTGAACCCTCGACGTTCCAGCTCATATTGGAGCTGGACCTGACCGGCGACAAGAAAATCGGCGCGAATGTTGACACGCTCTTTCTCGCGTTCAAACTCAATCATCTTTTGATCTAGGTCCCGCTTTTGTTTGAGTACTTCTCGTTGCTTCGCCAGGATATCGTCGACGATTGGGCGGAACCTTTGCTGCACAGATTCCATCACTTCCTCCTCGAAACCCTTTCTGGCCGCTTCGGTCTTGGATCCAGGCACAGCATGATCTGTGGACTTTTTGGCCTTTTTGGGGTTCTTTTTGTCAGCATTGCCCCTGCCTTTGCGTTTGGATTGCTTCCCAACCTTCCTTACCGGCGGCTCATAAGCTGGATACTGTTCTTGAGGTGGGGCAGGAACAAAGTCCCCAGGTCTCTAAAATGTGATCAGAAGTGACATTACAATAAGATGGAGGGGAGACATCTTACACCATGTCCATATGGAGTATATGCGAGAGTGATCTCACGACCATTAGCCAGCTTGATAGTGGAACTCTGTCCTGCTGTACCGTCGGCAGACGGATTGCCAGGGTTGTAACCATACTTGAACTTTTTAGCATAGCCTTTTTCATTGTGAGGGCATTTTGAGACCTTGGAATGAACAGTGAGCGAATTGTTATTGACCACACTGTCCTTGTTGGAGCCATCTTGAACAGCCGACGATGTATTGACGGGTCCGACCGTGGCGCCCATTCCGTCGTTGGTATCGGCCATGGTTGATGGTCGACTGTCGTCAGTTACCGTCAAGTTGATGGCTTCTTGAAAGTGAGAGGAAAGTAGTATGGATAGTGTCAGAAGCTGAGCAAAGAATTGAAAGGTATATATAGTTAAAGGCTTGTTGGTTAGAAGCGGTGTGGAGAGCCCTGGCTGTCGAGGAAGGATTGTGAGAATCAGTTGAAGTTTGGGGCGGGGGTTTTGTACCTTTGTAGCATTTCGACTTCTAGGTGAGGGTAGCTCAAGTAAAGTCGGCCTGTTATTTGGAGGTCCATCTCCTTGGCAACCGATTTGATGATGGCTACGGTAGACATCAATACAGTGTCAAGGTGAAGGTAAAGGCGGGATACACGCGTTGGATACGCGACGTGACGCGCGTAGGTGTTGGAGACTTCGCCATTGCCCAAACGCCATCTCATGATTCTCTCGCTCTTTCCTCTCATTGTTTCCTCCTCTCCCTCCTGCTCTTACTTATTTTCTCTCTCCTCCCTTCGCTCTTCGTCCACCATTTCTGTCTTCGACACCAAAATTCGGACTTACTAGGACGAAGATTTGGCAGTGAGAGTCCTTCTCACTTACTCGAGCTCTTTGTCGATCGAAGTCGATAGAGTCCACTTCAAGTCCTTACTCGGCTTCGCAGCTCTACCGAGCCCCTTAAGCGCTACCACACTGCCCGAGCAGCAAAAGGGAAACAGCACCGAAGTCCCTCGCGTGTTAGTATCATGGAAAGGGTCCCAAATACCTTAGATCCAGGTTTGTGTATCGAGTATCCGGGCGTGGGTGCGAGGCATCAGGATACCTTCTGCATCCGTTGCGGATTCAAGACGCCCCTCGACCACCGACTGGATCCTTTCAAATGTACCTTGGCCTGCTTTTGCTGTGGTCAGAATGCACATTCTGGAAAGGTACGCATTTACCCCATCTAGTGGGTTAGGTAGGCTGACAATACTGATATTTCACAGGCATGTCCTAGAATGGTTCAGGAGGTGAGCCGCTGGTGGTGGCGGGCAAGAGGCCTCCTCGGACCCCTCCCAGGAGTTCCACAGGAGCCTAGAGCCAACTACAAAAAGTGTTCGCTCGATGAGATTATGTCTGCGCCACCCCCAATTCTCCTTGAAGTAATTCGTCAAAGAAAAGCAGTGCCAGAGGATGAATGGGCAATGCTCGAACAGTCCCTCCGTGGCGTACAACAAATGGCGGAGGGCGCAAGCAAGGTTTTCAATACCGCCAACCGGTTACAACACATTTTGAACCCTTTGAGTGGAGGCATAGACAAGCTAGCTATTGCTGCGTTCCGATCCGCTGACCTCATGTCGCATCTCCTTTCACAACACTTCAAGAGCATCCTGGAGCGCCGTCTATGGTCTGGATCTTTGGGCTCTAGGGTAGAACCATTCCTCCAGGACGACTTGGAAACGCTGTCGGAATCAAGTAGCATTTCATCACGGGGACTACCCTCGGTTTTCTTTTCCGATAAGAGGCTTATGATGCAGTATCCTGGCTACGTTCCCGTCAGTGCAGAGCCGCCACAAGCCACAAGAGCCCCTCGAGACCACCAACTGGATTATCCAACTCTACATCTGATCCACCGCCGACCAGAGCAGCCACAAGCTGCAACGGCCCCTCGGGACCGTCGAATGGACTATCCAAATCTTGATCCGCTCCACAGCCGACCAAGCGTTGCCATCAGCACAGAGCAGCCACAAGCCTTAGTCCCTCGTAACTATCAACCAGGTTACCAAGATCTTCCTCTGGATCACAGGCGACCAAGTATTGCCGCAAATTACAGAGCATTTGCAACGGAACATGACAGAATATATCAACTCATCAACGAGCAGCGGGACAACGTCCAGGAGAGTGTACAAAAGGCTAGAGCACAGAAAAGACCGTTCGACATGCATGAATCAGATCGCAATACCCTTTCGTTCCCGTGGGAGATGCGCAAGCGACTGAGGACTACGAATGCGACAGCTTTCAACCATGGACGATTGACTCCTCCATTCTACTTGCCTGTAGGAGAAGGATCAGAAGAAGGAGAAATTGTTGACGAACGCACACAGAAGTGGAACTGAGGACATCTTCAATCTTAAAGGTGATTAAATGGTGACTGACAATTGGGTCACCATAAACTCAGGCTCGATGTGTGGAACAATCACCGACTGAAGCGTATGACACGATTATTTCATTGGCATAGAGAGGAAAAGGAAGGCGTGACGCACAGATTCCAATATTCTCCAAAACCATGGTAACTTAGTGTGGTGTCCCAAATTGGTGGGGATGGTGAACTTTCGTAACAAAATGCGGTTCCTGCCCTACGCTCCATGCCAATGTTTCCGAATCCACGTAACTACTTATATTGAAAATATTGAATTTCAATACTCTTCAAATAAGTTGCACTTTTTGTGTTCGTCTCATGCTCTGGTATAAAGGTGCCCAGCCCCCCTCCTCGTAGTACTCGTGCAGTGGAGTTTATGTGGTCACACAGTTGATATCTTCCATAACTTTAGTCATTTGGAGCGAGAGCCCGCTATTATTTCCTACAATATGCATGGAAAAGTACGAGCGTACGTTCGAGAAAAGCGAAATGCTCGCCGAATGTCTAGAAATCTACGAAAGGGATTACGAGAAGGAGTGCTGGTGGGTTTCTGGTCTTTTGACTTTTGCCTATCGTCTTCTAACATTCATAGGACATCCCGGATCCTGATGAAGCCAACATGCCCGTCCCGTTGATCGTGCGCCGGATTCAAGAGCTTGAAGGCTACATGCGAACCCAATTCGCGAACCAAGAACGCCAACGAAACCTTTTGAAGGCAGAAGTGAACTATGGATGGGGGGAATTTCGCGAATGCCTCCGCGCGGTCGCAAAATTCATCTTCAGTAGCGTTCTCGCCTCCGTCATCGCCATCCGCTTCTTCTCTGGCATGGCAGTGAGTTTCCTCAGCTCCATTTCGGCAAGACATTACAGAAAACATGCTCGAACTATCAACAACCCCCGCCGACTCGAGGATCGTCGGGATTCCGTAGTCGGCTGGTTAGTGCGCCGCTGTTCACTACGGAGAGATCGAGGACAGAAACTTGTCGGACGCTGCAGCATGCTTGGCAACAAGGCAAAACTCGCATGCCTTACTGTTTTGACGGAAACTTTCGGGGTTATGAAGGAGTTCACGAGAGCGTGGAAGGGTCCGGGCGATGTCTAAGTACTATCAAGGAACGCTGATAAGGAGACGGGCATCACTGAACAGAATGAGCATATTCGTCTCTGTATTCCGTCTCTGTCAGCACGTGTTCGGATTTTTGTAGCCTGGAAGCGTCGATTTTAAAACAATCCCCTTGATCAAACCTGCCATTGGGGGATATTATAGACTAGAATACTGATACTTAATGAAAGAAAACACGCTACGATTACATTCCAAGGATAGAAGTCAATCTCCTCGCGATTACACTGCCCATCAGATTTTGCAGGACATGACTATCAAACCCAAAATCCTTGCTACCGGACCTCGATTGGTTTATCGCAGCCGCACGATCATCTTCCTCGTCCTCGATGGCTTCCGGGAAGGGAGGGAAGATGTTCGTGCGGACGGATAGTCAATCGTGTTGCATCATATCCAGCTCCTTTATTGTTGCAAACTCTACCCCAGCTTCACGGAACTGTCTCGTTAACAGGGGCGCTGACAGTTCGTAGGCGGATTTGATGTGGATTTGCTTTAAATGCGGCAGGTGCCTGTGGCAGTCTTCGGCGAGATCCCACAAAGCGAACGCCTCGTCGATCCGACAATCTTCGTTGTAACCGTATTCGGACTTTACAAGGAGTGTGAGGTGTTCGATATTTGGAGGGAGTCGGTCGGAGATTCGGGTTGAGAGCTTTTGGTCGGGAAAGTCTAGAAGGGACATCGCATTTGCGAGGAGACTCGACTCGCACAACTCGACGCATTTCAATTCGAGAAAATCTCGTAAGCTTCCTAGAGGCTGGAGTGGAAAGTCTTCCGCACAGAACCGGACCTCTCGCGTGTCGAGATGAAGGTGTTCAAGGCTGGTTTGGACAGAACATAAGGCATCGTAGAGATCTGGTAGATGAAAACCCACACTGTTCAGGTACGCCCACGTGCACCCGAATCTCTTAAGATGAGGGGAGGATTCAGCAAGGGAGACGAGATCGGAGAAGTCCAGGATGCACTCGGAAATATCGATGTCTTCGAGTGACTTGTATTGGCCTGTGACGAAACCAGCCGAGCCACTGGTGATCCCGCTCGCCTTTAGAACTTTGAGTGTTGGCACTGTAATCAAAGCATTACTAATGCGACGAAACCATGCCGATTCCTCGCCGAGACCATAGTCCTCGGTATGAATTTGTAGGCACAGTGTTTCCAGCTTCTGAAAGCCGTGCGTGGACATCTCGAAGGGTGGCTGCTTATACCGTATGAGGTTGCGCCAGAGCGAGACCTCTGCTGTCTCGAGGCTGACAATGGAGAGATGATTGAGATTGCTACAGAAACCAAGGATGGCACCAAAAGTATCGAAGTAGTCTTTAACCATGTCAGTGGCGCCGTACAGTTCCATGTCGTCATAAAGGCCATTTCCATGGTAGTCCCAGAGGCGATTTTCGGCATATTGCACGTACGCGGCGAGATGACGCCGTTGAGATACTGTTCTGAGGAAAAGGCATAGAGGTTTGAAGCCTTTCCAGGTTGTCGTATTAATGAAAGCATTATATAGAATGGGCTCCGCTATATTTTTGAATCGTCGAGAGGTTAATGTGAGTGCATAAAGGGTAGCCTGACGTTGAGTATTTTCACATTGCCTAGCTCTTTCTTGTTTTTTGTCCTTGAAGGCTTCTGATTGTGGTTCATAGCTCCTGATGGCATGTAAATGCGAGAATGTGTATAAAAGGAGTTCGTCTGGAAGGTTCATGGTTGAAAACTGCTTGTTGTTTAGCAAATTCACGAAATCTGACGTCTCATGGAGGAGTCGAAGTTATTATCAATAATGATGCTTTCTGAAGAGACGGAGGGACAAGATGTGAATAGCCAAAAGTCCGTACGGTATGATGAGGGTACGGACGTCCGTGTCTCTAAACCGCAACTGTATGACGTCCACGTGAATGCGCGCCACACGCTAAACCAGATGCGACCCTTAGAGCTACCGTCTAACCGAATAATGTCAATTTGTTACACTCTTTACTTTGCATGACATGGACGGAGAAAAGGGGAATATCTGAGGACGGATGTATGACGCAGATCAGGCCAGAACAGACAACGGTCGAGATTATCGAACGGTCTCCATAGTCTCCTACCATCATTAATCCACTATTTTTGTACATTTGAAGACGCTGCGGAGTACATCTAGCGAGCGTTCTAATAATTAATATACAGCGCGGACGTTTGCCTAATGATTTGGCTTCCAGAGTCCAGCAGGTTGTCCGACATCAGCAACTACCTGCCTGGCCTTGCCAGTCTCGACTTCATATACCCATCCTGTCACCCTCACACCTTCTTCAACCGCTTGTTCCCTTAGCCATTCTACGTCCTCCTTAACCGCCTTCTCTAGGTCAGGAAAGGTCAAGAAATCAAGGTTCTCGACCTGTCGCGCCGCCTTATCGCCTTTGTTCTTCCTGACCAAGTCGCGCGCCGTTGCATCGTCGAATGTGAGCATTCCGCAGCCAGTGTGCTTCACGATAAGTACTTCTGTGGTCCCTAGAAGCTGCTGTGATATGACGAGAGAGCGGAAGGCGTCACGCGCGGATGCGCCGGCGTTGCGTATGACGTGCGCAGCACCCAGAGGAATCGCGAACGCGGATGTTGGATCGATACGGGCGTCCATGCAGGTTACTGTTCGCGAGAGCGATGTAATCAGTACATGTAGACTAATTGCGAGAAACCAATTGCTAGGTCATGGACGTACAGATCGCATATTTCTGGCTAGGAGGGAGTGCGAGGTCGCCCTGCGTGAATTGCGCTGCGTACTGCGGATTTCCTTCGACAAGGTTCTGCTCGCCCTGGGAAGACATCCTGTTCTGGCTGGCTAAAAGTTGGAAGGGAAGTATAGGTACGACCGCGGACTAGGGTATAGTAGACTGCAATTAGTATTCAAGTGAATGTCATTTTGAATGCCATCGTGGCTACGGAGCTCTTATATGCAGAGGCCGTCCCTTCCAAGCCTGCCACGCCTGCATTGAGGAGTTGGCCTGAGCTATCACAGCTTCTGTTTGAGATGATCAGAAGCGGTCATAGCGGGGTAGGATGGCGCAATATTCAAATCGGCGACCTTGAGGCGCAATTGACCAGCTTTCAAGCAACTCATTCTGTACAGTGGCTTCGTCAAAGCGGACAAGGAAACAGAATGCGGTATCATCATGGAGTGGATGGCTATTCACAGTTAGAGACATGGGACATGAACCCTGAATGAGGGAGGAGGGGAGACCAGTCCTTGGCAGATCCAACGCCTAGCCCAATCAGGCTAGTCATCGATCGGTAGCCTGATCCTCCGCATACATCTAGCAAGCATCATCGTGGGTGCGTGGCCATGGAAGTGCATGGTCATGCAAATCCTTCCTTGGAGTCTTCAGAAATGACACTACCGGATAGGCTGGGAACTTTGGAAATCGCGAAACAAACCTCAAATATCTCCTTGGACGAATTGCCTGTGGAGCTCATACTCGAAATTCTCAGCTATCTCTCTCCCACCAGGGGTTTCTTCGTTGACGAAAATGTCGAACAAGCACGCCAAAATGAGAACGAACTGATATTGAAAAGTCTACACGCTCTTACAGTCTCATGCAGACGTCTATACAATGTAGTTCAACCAATCTTATGCAAAACCTTTATCCTCCCAAGGAACAACGTGAAAGCACCTCAGCAACTGGTACGAACGTTCATCGAACGGCCCATATCGAGAAAGTCCCTCGAGTACATCGAGATATATAACATGAATGCTTATGCCTCATTCCCAGAAGGATTTGAGCAGGAGGCCTCTAAGGATGTCTCACTGGATGATATCTTAGCCCAGGTAGAGAATGTCTGGCAGCCTCGATTCCACACAGGGCGGATGGCGAAGGAGACATGGATGCGACAGCTAGTTAGGTCGTACGGGGAATCCATTCTTACGTCCATTGTCCTCCTTATTGCACTTGCGCCAAACCTACTCGACTTCGCCATCATGGAGAGGAGCATCAGTAGCGACTATCCAGCGACAACATTAGCCTTGAAGAAGTACCACAATGATCGTTCCGGATTACGCAACCTGTGGATCAAACAGTGCCCTTCCCGAGCCCCGGCGCTTGAATCCTCCTTCCAGAAATACGTCTTCACGAAATGTGTACGTGCGAGTCGTTTGCCAGTTTCAGGGTGCCTGTGGTTGGGAAATGTTCACGATGCTACTCCGAGTCCTTCGCTATTCCACCAGGCATATGCCCTACCCGAGATTTTTGGCGTAGAAGAGATGACTCTAGATTCCTGTGAGCTCTCATCACTGGAATTGGACGCATTACTCAAATCGTACACCAACTTGCGAAGATTCACATGCCGTTGGGGGATTCATGATGATCGCGTACGACCCCGAGAGATTGACCTCAGAGCTCTCAATAAATCTTTGAGCAGACATGCAGAGAGTCTTGAAAGCCTTGTTCTGGATACCCTGGACTCTGGTTGGATGGTCACCATGGATCAACACATACCTACAATCGGATCCCTTCGTCACTACACAGCGCTTACATACATCCATGTATCCAGCCTTGTTTTGTTTGACGATAATATCGATGCCGGCAATGAAGAGGTGCCTCTTTGTGGCCTATTGCCTCCTTTTCTAGAGGAGATAGTCATACAATCGGAATGGGACGAAGACCTAGAAGAGAATTTGCTATTCCTGGTAGAACACTGTCAAGAGATGCTTCCCCATTTAAAGATTGTAGATTGTTCATGGAGACCAGCCCACAACAGCCCTAACACTTTCCTGTTATTGGGGCTGTTTGACGGAGCAGGGGTCAGGTTCAAGATTGACTCTTCTAATCTTCCGCCGGTTCGAGAGAGGTGATCAATGGATTATTGTAATGCTCCTTAGACGTAGCTTACCCAGATAAATAGGTCGTAATCATGAAAAAATTTCCCTTCAAAAACCACGTTCAATATGCTAACGCCATTATCTTCTCTTTCCTGGAAGCTTTGCTACCGCTCGCGGAAAATTACATTGGAACATCTTGAGTGAAAACCTAATAAATACATACTCACTAGAATCAGAGTGTAACAGAAGTCAGGTCTGACTTCAGTCATGCAAAAGTGAAATTCTGCCTTTAATCTTACCACCCTCTAAGTCCTTCAGTACACTGGGGAAATCTTTTATTTTCCCATCTTCTACCATTGGATTCAGCACCCCTTCTGCAATCAAGCCCAATGCTTCTTCTAGATCCCTCACTTGTCCCCCGTAAGAGAAGATGATTGATAGCCTCTTCCTGATGCCAACCTTCATGTGAACCGTGTTATCGTGACTCAACGTTCCCACGCACAGCATTCTTCCCGCCCGTCTCACGATATGTTGTGCATCGCTGAAGGTTTGCTTCATTCCAACAAAATCTGCAATGACATCAATCTTTCCTTCCCATCCATTCTCCCTTACCCAATCCCTCACATCTTTCCTAGTGGGAACCACATCCGCCTTGTCCACTCCTATCTCCATCGCATCATCCAGGTTCTCTTGCTTAACATCACTCACCAATACCCGCGCGCCGATCGCCCTCAAAATTTGCAGAGCATTGAACCCTAAACCTCCCAGCCCGAACAAAAATACAACCTCTCCCTTCTTGACTTGACCCCGCCTATGTATAGCATGGTAAGCCGTTGTGACCGCGTCCGTTGCGACCGCTGCCTGACTCGGGGTGACCCCAGTAGGCACCTTCACAAGGCCCCGAACCGAGATGGCCGCATACGGAGCGTAAAAACCATCCTCGCCTATCCCTGAGTGATGCGCCCGTTCGCATAACTGAGGCAGGTCCCTCGCGCACTCAGGGCACTCGTTTACATCTTGGGACCCGCATCCTGGAACGGCGAGGAGAGCAACCACGTCGCCAATGGCGAATTTCCCCGCGTACGGAGAGGCTGGGATGTCGGAACCTAGTTCAATGATGCGTCCGCAGCCTTCGTGGCCCAGTGTGAATGAGTCTTTAAACCAGTGTGGCTGCACTTCATTGGTGAGGAGGTTGTGGTCGGAGCGACATACTCCTGATGAGAGAAGCTTTATTAGGGCACCGTTTGGGGGACATGACGGCACGGGAATGGTCTCCCATATCTGAAATAATTAGTCAAAAGTTTGATCATATCGAGAATTCATAAAGTAAGAGGTGCCAAATTACAGGTTCCATCTTCCCACGGTGTTTACGCCATGCTTGCATTGATTTGGGAATTATCTCTGTCATAGTGCGGGTATTAAAATTCTTTCGGCAGACTCGGGTTGTTCTTGTTCTTCAAGAAGTGGTATGAATATGTTCAGCTCTTTAACACTGCATTTAGATTCAAGAGAATAGTAATTTGTAAGATGAATTCTTTGCTGTGCATTGAGCGGATGGAAGCTTTACATTGGAAGCACCGAGGCATCCATCGTTACCCCAGACGCTAATCGGAATTGGGTTTGCCGATCTAGTGTCCCGCATCCTCATTACGCCACCTGGGGGTTCACGCAGAGGAGCGTCTTATTATTCCAATTACGTTCCAGTCAAGCTCTCAGTCGAAGGGGGAAGCCGGAAATAGTCCTAGGAAGGCTCGTGAGGTTATTTAACTGACTACAGTGACACTACAGAGGGTAGAATAGCATCATATTAAGAACACTTTCTAAGACTTCGCAATATTACTTTTGAATACTAATTAATAAAATATTATTTGCTGGATACAAAGGTGCTTGTGATGATCATGACAACAGTGGGTGGCCAGGACTATTTCCGACTTCCCCCTTAGGTTGAGAGCTGTGAGGACTGTTCTCGCTCGCGCAATAGCAGCTTGGTGGGAGATAACTTTACCGGGGCGGAGTATGGGCCTAGGAAAAGCAGTTAGTTTTAAGGTCATGTCAGTTGGAGGAGATGATATGCACATATCAAGCTAGGGATGAAAAAAAATATATCGATGATATGCTATGTTGATGTGTACTGTGTTAGGTCAAGAAGCATCGATATAAGTACATGTCACTTACCGGAAGGAAAATGCGCAGGAGCGTTCTTAGTGGAGCCTTCCTGAACAACCGCTAAGGTGATGGCAGAGCTACAGAGGGTTGGCACGTCGGGCTGGCCACCTGCTAACTTCATGTTCAAGTGTCTACTTAAGAATGTACTGTAGCCAGTAAACAATCTTAACTGCTTGCGATAAACCTCGCTAAGACACTGTTGTTGTAGGCATAAAATACTAGCATGGGGTCAGCCCGACGTGCCAACCTCTGTACATTTGAAAGGATGTTTAAATTTGATGACGCATGTTAAAAGGAATTGTGCATTATATATTAGAGTTGTAATGCGCAGGCAGATTATTATAGCGCATATGAGAGCAACTACGATTGGAACACTACAAAAAGAATGAAAGTAATATGTAACCCAGCAGTATAAGATCGAACCAACCGACCATGTACTTCACATCAAGATCTGGATATAAGTATTATAAAGGGCAACACCAGAAGTTGACCTCAAATGTAAGCACCTGGACGTCAGAACCTCCCTTATACACAAGAACTTCGTTATAGCGTTTAACCTGTCGGAGTTGGAAGACGAGAATATAGTAGGAAAACGTTTATAGACCATAGAATATGGAATATAGTGTATATCATAATACATTCCAAAAGCGTTGCAGTTGATGAGCGAATAAATCAAATGCATTTATTCATCATATCGGTTATTAAACAAGTACCTTCGCGGCTACACGACTTTGATATCAAATTTGCCAGTAGCGGCTGGTTTACTCAAAGCCCAGTGGATGCCTTCTTCAACTGCGAGATCCCACTGCTCGGAAGCCTTCAATGCAGCTCCAAACCTCCTGAATCCATGAGGAACACCTTTGAATAACCTCGTATCGGTTGGAACTCCAGCTTCGGAGAGAAGTTTTGCATACAGCAGACCCTCGTCCCTCAAAGGATCTAGACCCGCAATTCCAAATACAGTGGGTGGTAGTCCTTTGACCTCTTCAGGCTCAAAGTTGACTGGGTTCAACTTAGGGTCCTTGAAGTCAACTTTCCCAACCTTCAGAAGGTTAATGAAGAAATCAATCGTCTTCCTCGGAAGTAATGGTGCAAATTCATTCTCTTCATAGGACGTATATGATGGATTCTTGAGTTTCTTTGCGGGGCCCTCTGCATACGTGTCAAGGTGCGCAGCAGGTGGGATAATGAGAATCTGTCCTGCGATCTGTGGCAACCCGTTCAGCACGTCACTTGTCCCGAGGTGTTTCTCGAGCACAAGAGCCTCGGTAAGTTGCGCGCCTGCAGATACACCACCAATGACAACCTTCTCGGGGTCGATGCCCAACAGCTCCGTGTTCTTGTGCAGCCAGACGAAAGCGTCCTGTGCATCAAGCCATGCGGTCGGGTAGACATGCTCAGGAGTGTGGCGGTAGTTGACATGTAGCACCACGACGCCCGTCTGGATGGCCGTCTTTGCGAGAACTGCGTCCTCGCTTTGGATGGAGCCGAAGATGAAGCCTCCGCCGTGGAAGTAGAGGTAGATTGGTAATTGCTCGGTTTTGTCTGTCTTGACTGAGCGGTACGATCGCGCTTCGAGCTTATCTCCATCGCGGGTGGGAATGGAGTAGTCCTCGACATGTACTTGAGATTTGAGATCGTTGAACACAGATTGCGATACCTCTGCTCTCTGTTTGTTCACGGTTTCGCGGAGTTGGTATGGGTCGATGCTTGTGTCCAAAGATGTCGCAGGCAGTGTCTTCTCGACTGCTAGCCATTCCTCCGAAGGGCCGCCGTAGACGGTGAAATCGCTCATTCTTTACTGTCAGTAATGGATTCGGAAAACCCTTGAAAAAAAGAAACCGAATAAAGTGAGGCTATAATATAAGATATGTGTGGTGAGCTTGTTACGCAAGACAAGGCGTAGAAGTCGCAGGAAAGGTTATACGGGCTCACAATACGTGCGATGGTAGATTTATCATCTCATCTGACGCAACATACTCGTAGTACGAGTAAACGCGATTGTCGTGCCAGGATGTACAGCATACTCTTAACCAACGGCGCGCGTCAGCTTTGTCTAATCTACTAGAGAGATCGCTACCCCTCTTCTCCCCCTCCTCTAATTCGATTGTTTTGGTCTGCCCCTCGATGGATCAAATCATGGGCTGAAATGGTTCGTGTTAGGAGCGAGATACCTCGGTAAGTACCTAAATTATACTGTTAGTCGACCCATTATGTACTACAATTTGCCTGACATGCAGTCTTTGCAACCTTCAAATACTCTCATGATATTTCTTCCAATAATGGATGGATCCATCTAGTGCACTGGCATAAAATTATCGTGTTTGAACCGAATGAAAACAATAGGCAGGTTTGAAGTATTTGCCCCGGACTATGGAGATCTCTTGAAGCATGCTATCTACAACATTTGTTCACCACTCCGGAATTCTATCCCCATAACAATAATGGACCGACCATGCGTGTATGGGGTTCTACCTCGTATTGCCCATGGGGTTCGCGTATTGCATCCGTTTCTCGTCTTTTGTTTTCGTCTGCGCCTGCACTGCATCGGCATCTGCCCCTCGCTAACCCGCAAGTAGCCTTTCGGTAGAGCGAATTGGGTTTGCCGACATGGGACCGGCAAAGGATGGCGGAATGCTCTCCGCAATCGGCTGCACTCCAATTCATTGACCCCGTAGATTATTTTGGAGTTTTTTTATGGGTTTTACCTACGAGTAGATTTAAACTACCGTCGTATGTACTCATCCCGGTCCGACAGATAGTGCTGTTAAATGTGGAGAGTAACGGTAGAATCGGCAATGGGGAACTGCACGCTTTCACGTGCCCCTGTGCCATCGGATATCTTCTGGGCAAGGTAAACATTGTGACCTTATTCCGAAAACAACCCTTCCGACGACACAAATTTTTGGAAGACCTTGTACTATACTTTGAGAGCTTTTCATATCGTAGTAGCATCGAAGCCTGGATTGGCGTAAAAGGGTCAGGTCTCCCTTCTAATTTACTGTTTGCCTGCATTACATAGGGGATCATTACCCAGATCATAATATACTTCACCCAAAGCTCCGCTCGATAGATACACCAGCATGGCCGACATACCCCTCACACCACCATCTCGAGGCCTCGATGGCAAAGTCGCTATCGTGACAGGCGCAGGCTGCGCGGGCGACGGCATAGGAAACGGCCGTGCTATATCCATCATGCTCGCCGCAGAAGGCTGCAACGTCCTTTGCCTGGATCTCAATCTCGAATGGGCCCAAAAGACCGCAGAGATCGTATCGTCTCAACCGAATCGTGCGAAAGCAATCCCCGTCCAAGCAGACGTCACAAAAGCAGCCGACTGCGACGCAGCCGTACAGAAGGCCCTCGACGAGTTCGGCAGGCTCGACATTTTGATCAACAATGTTGGGATTGGCGGTGCGGCGGGCACTGCAGTGGAGGTCGACATGGAGGCTTGGGCGAAGGGATTGGAGATCAACGTCTCTTCCATGGTGCAAATGGCGAAGTACGCAATTCCAGCGATGGTGAAGAATGAGCCTGGTGCTGGGGACATGCGAGGCGTAATTGTGAATATGGGATCAGTCGCCGGATTGAAGGGAGGAACTCCGCATTTATTGTACCCTACAAGTAAGGGCGCGGTTGTGAACATGACAAGGGCGATGGCGAGTCATCATGCTCCTGATGGTATAAGGGTGAACTGTGTTTGCCCAGGAGTAAGTTTCTAATAGAATATGCCACCTTCTTACTTCTCGCATAGCTAACGTCGAATTTACTAGATGCTTTATACACCTATGATGTACGCAAAGGGTATGAGTGAAGAAGCCCGAGAGGCGCGCAAGAAGAGAAGTTTGCTCGGTACAGAAGGAAATGGCTGGGATGCTGCTGCTGCGGTTACCTTCCTTGCAAGCGATCATGCAAGATGGATGACTGGGGTCGTTCTACCTGTCGATGCAGGGGCAACGGCTGCAGTCGGCATTGGTCTACCTAAGGGGGCAAGCGTAAATGGTTAGAATGTCTGAATGGATGACTGCCAGGTATTTACACGAGATAAGAAGCCATGACAGAAAATACGAAGCTACGATAGTACATATGGGGAGCTCCATGATGAACTGTGTGATGAATGATTTCTACCCAATAAGACAATATGACATTGAGGAGGACTATCAAGAGAGCGAACATATTCGGTCAAGTTTTGTGAACTGAACAGATATCGGTAAAACTGATTTTCGGTAGAGATTTGGTTTCATTATCACTACTTTGTACATAATTCCTTGCAGTATCCATATATAAACAGTCCCGCCTCTGGGAGGCCAATGCCCCCGATGACTACATTCTACAAGATATACCTGAACTGGGGGTTCTTCTTATCGGTCAAATCATCGTCGTAAGCATTGTCGAATCCTTCTAGCATGCCGGCTTCATCACGTTTCTTATTCTCCCAGATACAGTAGTATCTATATACTACGGCTAGAAGGCCTGAAATGATGGCTGTCACGGTTACAACAGTGAAGCCTTCTGGATAGCGTGGGGCGTCTGACGGCTTGAAGACGAGCGGTCCAACGACATTGCCTATGATACTGGATTAGTAAAACGGAGAGACAGATAGAAGAACACAATGATGGAAGACATACCCAAGCAGTAGCCAATGTAGATACCTGATGAAGCAACCGAACGCTTCGTATATCCAGCGGTGTTGGCAATTTGCAAACCCATAAGAACTGCATAGCCGCCTCCAAGAGAGGGCAGAATATAGCAGGCGAACAGCAACCCTCCCGTAGCGTTCATCGGTAGTTTCCAAAGCAGCAACGCAGCAAGTGTTGTCATCAGCTGGCATCCAAGGACGCACCACGTGCGGATGTTGGGAAACTTGTAGCATAGATAAGGTACGACGAGGAAGAGGGTTCCAGCATAGGCGCCCGATGGCATGACGAGGAGGAGTGAATTGAGGGTGCTGAAGCCGAAACTGTTGATTATGAGGGGAGTGAAAGTGGAGATCGGACCGTTTGCAATCATGCTAAGGAAGGCAGATGCGAAGACCAGCCAGAACCGAAGGTCGAGGAGAAGTTCGACAATTTGCTCGACTTTGAGATGAGTATTTCGCACACCAGAATTGTTTGATCGGAGTCTTGCAACAGAGATATAGCGCTGGCGCTCGTCGAAGCCCTTGGCCCGGACGGGGTCAGGGGGGAGCACCCAGTTGAGGGCGACACCCCAGAGTATGGTGATCGAGCCGGCGAACAGGTACATGTATTTCCACGATCTCAAAGGCCCCTTGATTTGGCCAAGTCCGTAGTTGAACAACGGGGAAAAGATAGAGACATAGCCCGTGCATGAGTACCAAACACCCATGCGCAAGGCCTGTTCATCCTTTTTGTAAAAGCTTCCCTATGTTCATATTAGTCTCGTCTATATATTGTCTATTGTCTGGCTTACATACCACAATCATCATGAACATAGGACTGATACCTGATTCGAGGAGTCCGAGGAAAAATCTTTGGGCATACAGAGCCTGGTAGTTATGGCACACCGTCGTAAGGATAAGGCAGATTCCCCAAACAACAACAATTGCTGATGCTACTCTTTCGATGGGAAATCTCTGTGCGAGAACCATAGCCGGATACGCGCCGACGATAAAGCCTAGGTAGAAGATAGCGGCGGAGAAGGAATATCGGTTTCCGGTCGTCAGATGAAGTTCAGTGCGAAGACCAAACAGCGCCTATAGAACAAGATTAGCAAAGACTTAGGAAGTACAAGTACAGAGTCAGATGATCAACTTACCGCCTGTGAAAGCATAGCCTTATCGTAGTATTGCAACCCATAGGTTATGCAGAGAACTGGCAGCAACTTCCAATCGATCTTCCTCCGCACGATTTTCTCTTCCTGTGGTGTCCATGTCTCTTCACCATGATAGGCGGTAAGCACTTTCATTGCCTCATCCTGATGGACAGTATCGACGGTCTCCAATTTGTGGCCAGTTTCTGAGTCAATCTCAGGAGTAGGAGTGATCTCGGTTTGGCCATGATGGGCCTTCTCGATGTCAGTCATGATGTGTTGACGATGATCGAGATGAAAATACTATGAGGAGAACGAAAGAAAAGAAGTTGAGACGATGCTTATTGAATATGCATGAGGGATTCGAAGTGATCGACGGGGGATGAAATATATGCAGAACCAGGTCATCGGTTCTCCCTATGCACGGCAAAACAACCTAACCATCTTGGCTGCCCACAAGTCCGGGGTAAATTATGCGGAGCCAGAACGTGCCCTGTGGAGACAACGATATTGCTTGCTGAGAAATGCGTCGGAAAGTGAGTGTCAGGGAGAGACCAGAGCCATTCTGACTCGTAGCGGATGGCCAAGATACACTAGGTGTACTGCTTTCGGTTTACCGGTGGAGGCGCTTGGCTAGAACAACCATCATCCGAGATCGCGGATGTCTGGGGGAGATCCAGACTGTGCATTTTAGAGGTAGGTCACTGATCTAGTAAAACAAAGGTGTTGAGCTGATAACATCCAGAAGTGTTCTTATTTGCCTAGGGGTTTGTTTCTTGTACGCGAGGCGAGTTGATTTAGGTGTGGAGTACGGTACGAATACGGTCGAATACTCCATACCCACAACGCGGGGTCTGCCAACAGCACACTGTCTCAAGATAGATTCCAAGAAAGAAAGAAAACCTTTGGAGTCGGATACCACATCTTTCACATAACACAATCATGACGAGCAAACCAAAACTGAATATCCCTTCGGGATCCATCGAGGTTGGTGTGAAGCTCATCAATCCTGTCAACTTTGGGCCTGCGATCATCGAACGGTTTATGGCTCCGCCAGTTCCCGGACTGTCACAATTCAAGACATCGCCATCATTTTCATTCTTGATCGAGCATCCCTCAGGACGGAAGCTTGTATGGGATCTCGGCATTCGAAAGGATCATCAAAACTATTCAAAGAAAATAGCGGACTACATACCTACTACCAAGTATGACATTCAAGTTGATAAGAATGTCGTAGACATTCTACAAGAGCAAGGAATTAGCCCAGAAGAAATTGAAGCAGTCATATGGAGCCATTGGCACTGGGACCATATCGGTGACCCATCTACATTTCCAAGCAAAGTAGATTTAGTGGTTGGGGCTGGTTTCAAGCAGGCCATGCTTCCTGGTTATCCTGCAAACCCTGACTCCCCAATTCGAGAGAGCGATTACACCGGCAGAAATCTCCGCGAAATTGAGTTTGAGAAAGGGGGCCTCAAGATCGGACAATTTCCAGCCTTCGACTATTTTGGCGACGGATCTTTCTATCTTCTGGACAGCCCAGGGCATGCCATCGGTCACCTGTGCGGTCTTGCGCGTACAACATCGAGTCCTAGCACATTTGTTCTCCTTGGGGGAGACATTTGCCACTATGCGGGAATCTTTCGGCCCTCGAAGCATTTACCAGTTCCGGAATCAATATCACCTCATCCCTGTCCATCTCATTCCCACTCTAGCTCTCTCTTCTGCCCAGGAAGTGCATTTAATGACTTACAACAGTCTAGAGGCCGAGCTCCAACAGACACGCTTTATGACATGACATTTGGACATGATGTTCCATTGGCAATAAATACAATGGGATGGTTGCAAGAGCTAGACTGCGACGAAGACATCTTCGTCATTATCGCGCATGACTCTACGGTTAGAGATGGCGTCGACCACTTCCCAAACAGTTTGAATGGCTGGAAACAGAATGGCTGGGGCAAATCTTTGAAATGGGCTTTCTTTCGTGACCTGGAGATATATTGGAAAGTGAAAGGGGTGGTTTAGTGCGCCCATAGTGCTGAGATAGACTCTCTGCGGACCACCGATTTCCAGCATGAGATATCGATAGTACAGAGGGCTGGCACGTCAGGCTAGCCCCATGCTAGTATTTTATGCCTACAACAGTGTCTTAGCAAGGTTTATTGCAAGCAGTTAAGATTGTTTACAAGCTACAGTACATTTTCAAGTAGACACTTTAGGTATAGAAGATACATGAAGTTAGCAGGTGGACAGCCCGACGTGCCAACCCTCTGTACATCCCACTGTCATCGTGACTTCGACTGGTCTCTTAGATGTTGTAATGGGTAGTATACCAGTGTACTTGATACAATAATTTATTGCAGCCTACATTGCTAGAAAATTGGTCTTCTGTACCAAACAGCCATACAATTACACTTTATTACAAAAGCTCACAAAGGTCAATTCTGGGGTCCCCGCGTACCGCTATTCTCCATGTTTTCCCCAGAACTCCAGAATCGATCGTGGTCCCCGGAAAGTTGGTTGGTTTTCAGCGGGACTTCTTCTTTCCGTATTCCACCAGATGCGCACCGTCTTTGTCGTGGCTGCAAGCCACCTGGCCAAGTAACGATTTCGAATATACCGCGTGATAACCATCCACTACCGATTGAGAAATATGCATCGAAATACTTGTGAACGGCATCGGTTCTGATAATGCCGATCGGCCCGACAGGGAAACTCGATTGGTGATAGCCTCAGATTCGCCCACTAGGTATCGCTCAAAGCGTTTTGCCGGCTTGGGGCGTTGTTCTCCGCGCGATCCGCCTCCACTGCGGGGAACGCTTGCAAGAGGGAGTCAAACTCGTATCCAATTGAGCGTAATCGGGTACAGGATTTGTCGAAGTCGTAGTTAACTCCGACAAACAGCGGCTGGCAATGGCCGAGGCTGCTTTCTGGGGCCGAAGATAACTTGCGCGCGTTGGACAGTTTCCTGGGGACATTTTCTGCCAACATACTTTATTCTTCAAGATAATATCGCAAACTCGTTCAAAGGCTTTTAACCTTTTTTACTCACAGCCATCATCACATTGTTACAGGATACCGTCATGGTTGGCCAACTCAACGGCTCCGCGCCAGCAAAGCTGGACCCAACCCTGGACTTCGATGTCCTGATCATTGGGGCAGGACAAAGTGGAATGTATTCGCTTCATCGCATGCGCCAAATAGGACTCAAAGCACGCGTCCTTGAGGCTGGGTCTGGAGAGGGCGGGACCTGGTTTTGGTATGACCTCACGTTCCTAACAAATATATTCTCAACTGACCTGTGTAAAGGAACCGTTACCCTGGCGCACGCTTTGATTCCGAATCATACTCCTATATCTTCTCATTTTCACAGGAGCTTCTTGACGAATGGAACTGGTCAGAGCATTTTGCCGGGCAAGATGAGACTCTGAGATACTGCCAGTACTTCGCTAAGAAGTTCGACTTGAAGAAGGACATGCAGTTCAATACTCGAGTCGCATCAGCAAAATACCAGCAAAGCACAAATTCATGGCTTTTGACCGACACAGACGGCCAAACCTACACATCACGATTCATCATCACCGCTATGGGCATCCTAAACCAACCTACACTGCCAAATATTCCTGGAGTCAATGATTTCAAGGGTTCTGCCTTCCACACTGCTCGGTGGCCATCCGATGCATCTGCTGTAAACGGAAAGAGGGTTGGAATCATCGGAACCGGAGCCACGGCAATCCAAACAATACAGGAGTTGAAGAAGACGGTTGGATCACTTACCGTCTTCCAACGAACTCCAAACTGGACAGCTCCTCTGCGGAATACAAAGATCTCTCCGGAGGACATGGAAGGAATCAGGAAGCGATACCCCACCATCTTCCAGGACTGCCTTGATTCTTACGCTTGCTTTATTCACAAGAGCGACTCAAGATCGGTGTTTGACGTATCCGAAGAGGAGCGAGAAAAACGGTGGGAAGACCTCTACTCCCAAGCTGGATTCTCGAAGTGGCTCTCGAATTTCTATGACATTGGAACCAACCGCGCTGCAAATGAGCTATTCTCCAAGTTTGTGGCAGACAAGATCCGTCAACGAGTCAATGACCCAATCACAGCCGAGAAACTCATCCCTAAGAACCATGGCTTTGGAACAAGAAGAGTGCCCTTGGAGGGTGGGTATTACGAGGCGTTCAACCAGGACAACGTTGAGCTTGTTGACATCAACGTGAACCCAATTGAGAAGATCCATGAGAAGGGCATCAAGACAAAAGACAAGGACTACGAATTTGACGTTATTGTCTACGCGACCGGGTTTGATGCAGTGACTGGATCATTCAACGCTGTTGATATTCGTGGTATTGACGGTGTACCACTAAAGAACACATGGGATGGTGGTATCAAGACCTATCTTGGCTTGACCGTCCAAGGATTCCCCAATATGTTCATGATCATGGGGCCTCACCAGATGTTTGGCAACATTCCTCGGTCAATAGAATATGCTGTTGGCTGGGTAGCAGACTTCATTGAGTATGCAGTGAACAACAACATCGTCACCGCCGAGGCAACCGAAAAGGGGGTGCAAGAATGGACTGAACACGTGCACGAATGCGCGAAAGGATTGCTTGCGAACGAGGTCGACAGTTGGATGACGGGTGTCAACAAGAATGTCGAAGGAAAGCAGACTAGGTCTATTGCGCGGTACAACGGACCCGCTCCGGGCTATAGGAAACGTTGTGACGACGTCAAGGCGCACGATTATGAGACGCTAAGATTAGTTAAGGGCACTTAGTCACGATATGAGTTCTACGTATTAAATTATATCATGTTAGCGATTAATTGAAACTCTCCAGTGCTTGCACCATAGCAGATTATTATGTAGAATGACGAGCTGAAAGTAAGCAAAAGATAAAGATGAATATTCGATGACACCTGGACTTGATTTCTGCCAACCGTCAATATCAATCTATGTGCTGATCGTTTCTTGCTTGTGGAATATGTTTATTATCATTCGAGTGCAGGATTAATCATGCGACAATGTCATGTCGATGCCTACTGTTATTGTAATTGCACCAGGCAAGGTTCGCACATTAAACAGCACCAAGTGTAGCTGAGTCGATACATTCATATTCAACATCATATGTGATATCAGAGAAGGGTTATTTGTTTTGTCTCAAGCTCTATCAGCTCCGAGAATTATTTTCTTCCTTGTGGCTATTGGCTCATTAGCCTCTCAATAAGCCTTTATTCTTTGTAGACTCTCACTTTGTAATCATCCCTCCACTTATCCTCAATGATAACTAATTGACTCTCTTGCGTCTTCTTGAAATATCCACCATGGCCGTCCTCGTCCGTGTAATCGTCCTTATCGATGTCTTTGAAACCCTCCTTTGCAATAGATCGTGGCGTGATCATGAGAGACTTTCCGTTCACCGATTTGTCTGTCGCAATGCGCATCATGCAGTTCGCAACGTCTTCTTGTTCGCCAAACTGGACGCCGTGCTCTATAAGCCAGTCTTCATATTCTTTGGTTCGAATGGCTGATTTAATCCAGCAGGGAGCAACATAGTTGATGCGAATCCCTTGCTCCCACGATGATCGTCTAGCTGTGCGCATGAAACCACGAAGGCCATACTTAGTAGCGGTGTACTCCCAATTTCCCTATACGTATGTCAGTAATCGATGCGTAATTTGAATGACGCTAATCAAAGAACTTACAGGTGAGTCTATCCAGCCAACCATGCTGCCGGTAATAATGAAGCATCTATCCCGGTCCTCGTTCTCGGGTTGTTTTCTGAAGTAATGCACCGCAAGCTTCCATGTAAAGAAAGTTCCTCTGAGATTTACTTCGACAATGTTCAAGTCGGGCTTTGTAGGCTCGCTGTTCGGGTCATCCAAATTCCAAAGGCTGTCTCCGCTGCTGCGGGATATGCCCGCATTTGCAATGACGACATCTACGCTACCAAACTTTTGCCTTGCAGTCTCGAACATAGTCTTCTGTTGTTCCCAATCTCGAATGTCAACTTTCACGAAAGCGGTCTGGTTCGGGCTGTGTTTGGAGTTCAACTCCTTCTCAATCTCATGGCCGCGGTCATTTACATCGCCGAAAGTGACATTGGCTCCCGCGGCAGCAAAGGCACGCACACAGGTCTCACCCATGCCATTAGCGCCTCCTGTGATGATGACAGATTTACCACGAGCATTCGATGTATCAATAGGCGTAGTGTGGTCTAGAGGCCCAGTGTACTCATATTTAGGGATAGGCATGATGTAAAGATGAAGAGTGGAAAGGTAGGAGGGGAGAGGGTTAGAAAACGAGAACTTGGTTGAATTGAATAAGAAAAATAAACGGCCTTGCAATAATAATGCAGATAAAATCTAATTGTACTTGGGAAGCATCATTGTTATCATTGTCTACCCCACAGTATACAGTCCATAGGACCCCGCGATACGCACGCTAATTACATTGAGCCACTATTATGGAGTCTTTCGGTTGTTGGACTTTTGGACGGCACTCGGTAGTCCAGATTGGGAAACCCATCTTGGCATTATGTTGGAACATTGCCACGCCCCTGCCTCATCATTGCCGTAAACCATTGGAATTGATCATAGGACGAGTACCGGAAATCCATTATCCCCGCATAAGTTTGGCTCTAGTAGCGGCTCTTCTCACATGGCGCGAGCCGCGGTGTATCGGCTGGACGCTCTGGAGGTGATGTGATTTTCGGCAAGACAGCTCCTCCATTCATCGCAATTAGCTGTGTTGGGATTATTCCTCTTGCGCTTGATCGAACGATCGGGACCTTTTCCGCTCCGAGGGGTTGTGATATATCACTGGAGCCGTCAAGTCGTTTACTTTTCAAATTTCAACATCTCTTGACAACCTCAAACGCGAACTCCAAGCCCGCGACAGTGCGCGTTGTAGTTCCGTCAACATGACCGTATTCCTCGACTCCCTATCCTCAGGCCCCAAGTTGGGAGCCAAACCCGTCAAGACTATGGTGGACTCTATTACTGCCCCTGCTTCAGAGGCTGAGATACCGACTGTCGACGGTATCAATGGAATTACAGATTCCAAACCAATCCCCAATGGCACCACAAATGGTGTCAAGGATCCCAAAGTCACGACAAATGGTGCCAACCACACAACATTTGACCCCTTCAAGCTGAAGCAACAATATGCATTCACCAACGAGAAAGTTCGCGTTATTACCATCGGTGCTGGTTTCTCAGGTCTTCTTATGGCACATAAGTTCCAGCATCGCTTCCCAGAAATGGAAGAATTCGTCTCGCACACCATCTACGAAGCTCACAGCGAGGTCGGCGGTACTTGGCTCGTCAACAACTACCCGGGCGTTCAATGCGACGTCCCTGCACATATCTACGCATTTCCCTTCGACCCCAACCCAAACTGGTCAAGATTCTACGCAAGTGGTGCCGAAATTTTGGAGTACTTCAAAACTACTGTAAAGAAGTGGAACCTCGACCGTGACCTACAATTAAACACGAAGGTTGTTGCAGCCGAGTGGAAAGAAGATCTTGCGCAATGGAAAGTGACCGTGGAGAAAGACGGCGTGCGACGTGACGACTTCTGCCATGTATTGATTTCTGGACAAGGTGTTCTTGTGTAAGTCTGATCCCCTTCAGCATACTTTTACGACCACCCTAAACCAAAACTATAGTCACGAGAGCTGGCCCAAGATCGACGGGTTTGAGAAATTTAAGGGTCACATCACACACTCTGCAAGATGGGACCATAGCTACGATTACTCCAACAAGCGCATCGCTGTCATTGGAAATGGCTCCTCCGGCATTCAAATCGTTCCTCAGATGGCCAAGCTCCCTGGCACGACCGTACAGAACTTCATCCGTGGTCCCGCCTGGGTGTACTACAGGGCCCCACCTTCGAAGCATCTCGGCCGTGAGGTCGACGACCCCAATCCCCAATACCTAGACTCCGAGAAAGAGCAATTCCGAGACCCCGCATACCACCAGAAGTACAGGAAAGGCATTGTCAGCCGAACAAACAAATCATTCTATATCTTCTTGAAGGGCGAGAACAACGAGGCGGGCATGAAAGCCGCGAGCGCACAGATGGCCGAGAAGCTGAACCACGACAAGCGGCTATGCGATATGCTGATTCCCAAATGGGAGTTGGGATGTCGACGTATCACACCTGGACCGGGTTATCTCGAGTCCTTCCTCAGGGACAACTGCGACCTTACCGACAGCCCAATCACCGGAATTAGCGAGAACGCTGTGCACACGGCCGACGGAAAGACCTTTGAGTGCGACGTCAGTAAGTTAAATCATTTATCGTCCGCCCAATACTTTGTCTCTAGTCAACCTCTAACAATTTCATCTAAGTTGTCTGCGCCACCGGTTTCGATGTGTCCCACCGTCCGCGATACCCTATGATCGGCCAGAATGGCATCAACCTTCGAGAGAAATGGGCTGATGAGCCAGAAAGCTACGTCTCCGTCATGACTCCCGACTTCCCCAACTACTTCATGATGATGGGACCCAATTGCCTCGGCGGCCACGGCTCCCTGGTCGAGTCCTTGAACTGGACAGGCGACTACTTCGTCAAGTGGATCAAGAAGATTGCGAGTGAGGAGATCAAATACGTCACGCCGAAGCGATCCGTTGTGGATGCCTTCATGAAATACGGCGATGAGGTCCATAAGACGCTTGTCTGGACCGGCGGTTGCACATCTTGGTACAAGCGTGGTAGAAAAGACGGCAGAGTCACTGCATTGTTTGGTGGCTCGGCCCAGGTTTTCAACAGGCTGTTGAGCGATATTCGAGGCGAGGACTTCGATATCACCTACAAGACTGCGAATCCTTTCCGATTCATGGGCAATGGGTTCACCGAGTTCGAGTTTGATGAGAAGAGCGATTTGTCCTGGTACGTTGAGATTGCTGAAGAGGCTCAAGGGAAAGGTCCCGAGAGGCAACAGGCCAAAGCAAAGGCATTGAACGGTCACATTAACGGATTGGCTGCAACAAATGGTGCATAACACCTTGGCTCAGGCTAGATTTCATTACAGCGCAGATACCTAAGTAAATAACAATACATTTCACATGCAAGATAGTACAATGCGACATTTTTTCCACTTTCCAGCCATCAATGATGAAGTGGGATGTCTGTAAAGGCCATAGCATAATCAGTGAAAGGATCAAATAAGTCCTGATACTGCGCAAGCAACGTGTCGTGAAACAGCTCATTGTTCGGTGAAGGGAAACCCCTTGTCGCCGTGCCTTGTTCCCTCCCGGATATTAGACTCGCAGCAATTCCGTTAGTCGATTTGGTGACGAAGGGAAAAAAGCGCATCCAATCGAAGTCGTTATCCTCGTCGTCGTGATTGGCCATAGAAATAGCGCCTAATCGAAAGGCCGCGTCGTCGCTTTGCAAATTATTCGAGGCCGAGCTGTCGTTCTGGTTCTGTGCCGCAAGAGCTATAATGGACTCTGGTCGTCGCAGGCGTTCAATCCCAGAGGCAATAACATTTGCGGATGCCCACATAGTCTGTAGCTGCTTAACTGTGTGCTGAAGGATGTCGAGGTCCTCGTTGGCGAAACTTGACAGATGTTGTATCCGGCAAGCTTGAAGAAGAGCAATGGATGCTGTGCCAACATGCCAACAAGTGATCGCCATCAGAAACCTAGAATTCCCGCGGGCAAGAATATCTTTCAGAATCCTCGCCGTACAAGAGGCAGCGAGAATCGCAGGTGGCAAAGCCTGCGGTAGATGACCGCTAGATCGCTTGAGATGTAATATGACAATGGTAGTCAGGTAGAAAAGGTGCAGCTGGTGAACATCCCGATCGAATGATTGTGTCCTTGAAGCATCGATCCGCAACTGCAATCGCGGTGGCAACGAATGTACCCAATTGACCAGTTCTTCCCGGAGCTGATTGGGAAAAGCGCTTGTCGTCGCCTTTTCTGGTTGTAGTAGGAATTTGGCGATGCGGCCGATAATGGCACAAAGACGAACCCAGTGGATGAATATCTCACCTTGTCTTTGGCTTCGCGCATCGCCCCCAAAGTCCAACAAAGTCGGTTCCGCAATGTTGCAGTCGTCCGGATCGATAATGATAGGTTTGCTTTGGCAGAGAGCAGTGAGTCGCTCGCGCGCAAATGCGGTCCACCAGATCTTACGCCTCAAACTTAGATCCAGTGCAGCGCGATTTGGGTGTTCAATGCCCGGTTCTCGATGTATTCCCATCTGTTGTGCGTGCCGTATGATTACCGAGGTCCACCACCACGAACTATGGCGATGTACGCGTGAAGGGGATAAGGGAGCCCACCAGTAGAAGAGACAAAGTGCCTTCAATGAAGTCAAACTATCAGCTTCCTCGTCGTCGTAGAAGATAGTTCTAGCCTTTTTGTAATACGCCTCGGGTCCTTCGTGGGGCAGGAGAGGAGGCTGGATATGTGACGCTGCAAGCGCAAGAGCGTTGGCCAAAAGCGGCGACCGGGCGATATCTTCAGACAATGTGGCTTGTTCGAGTACTGGACACCATGTATAACAATACTCAAAGTACGTCTCCGTGAAAATCTGTTCAAGATCCGGGTGCATTTGAGAGCTATACTTGTGCTCTAGCTGGGCGACGAGAGCCTGATTATCGGCGTCGTGCTGATTTTCGGGTCCATATACCTGGAGAAAGCCAGAATCCACATCACCAACCTGTGTTGGAGTGGTATCGGTGTGGTTAGTCGAGGGCTTATGTGACTGTGCGGGAGAGTGGTCTTGAATCTGGAATGTATTCTGTGGCGAAGGGTTGTGATGAAAATTAGGGACGTCGATGTTGCGAACTGCCGCAGGCATTGTCTGTTGAGGCCGTTCGAGCGCTCCAGATGCCACCTGAAAAGTGGCATCGGCAGCAAGGAGGGCATCTACGCCATTTGATATTCGAACAGTGTTGTCAACAGGGTTGTCGTTCCCTATGGGGTTCCCAATCAGGAATTCATCCTCATTGGTGGGGCCAGTGATGTGCTGCTCTCCATCATGCCGGGCACCTTTCCGCCTCTTCTCCCGTTTAGAAGGCCTAATGCGGCATTCCCTGCCAGAGGTCGAGCAGTTGCTACAGTCGTTATGGCCTTGACTCTTGCGAAGCTGGATATTGCATTTGATCTTCTTAGCATGGCATGTAAGACATACAAGCTCGGCTCTTTTCCGTTTGGGTTGATGAGAATTGAAGTGTAACCAGTTAGAATCTGATGTCATGTCGCTGTATTTGAAGTAGGAGGTGGAGAAGTGATGGATGTAATTAGTGGTTCACATCCGGGGAAGTCGAAGATCAAGGGTGGGGTATCACGTGACTATATCCGTGATGAGATCTACCCAGTTTTACAACAACGTCCACTGAACGCTCCATCACGCTCATCACGATGGTACTGGTACAAATGGAGAACGAGTAATAATTTTCATCAGTTTCAAGGTGTTGGGCAGTCATGAATACTGTCTAAGACGCGGGCGCTGAAATGCATGCTCAGATATGAACTCAGATGATTCGTCACATACCCATTACGCATTAAGCCTCCTCGGTTGACAACATTATGATTTACAGCTTCACACATATTCATAATCAAAAGTACGGTTCAACATTGTTTCAAAAGATATAACCCTACTGCTGAGTTTCTTTGATTCAGCCCATCCTAAACCCATATCTAACCCTTGTTCAGAGCTTTTGGAGGACTAACTCAGATTGTGGGTCACCAAAGAACTACTCGTACTTTTCACTCATTGCCTAGCTAGTACCAGGACCCAGAGGCAATATATCAGCCGAATTCCAGTTGTAGTCCGGCAAAGGCCAATCCTCTTTATCCACATAAGACGAGCCTAAAAACTCCTCCCACACAGGATTCTTTCCATATTCCGTGTCAGGCCCGACTTCCCGTTGCGGGTCGTTGAGAGGAGGCATCGGCAAATTTTGCGCCATTTGCGGAGTTACATTGTCCGACGTCCAAGGGAATTCCTTTTCCTCGTCTCCTTCTTGAAGCATGATTGCACCAGGTCCCCATGGCATCTCGTCCCGGGTCGATTCTGGCGTGATCCAGTACTCGTGCTTATCATAATTGGGCTGCTCGACCCGTTCGAAAGCAGGTGATAATGACATTTCTTGATTTACAGGACCTTGCATTTCCGGCCATTCCGTTGGCCACAGAAGATGGTGGTTACCCTTCCCAAGGACAGTGCAGCCTTGTACATCGGTGCAAATATCTTTAGGACCGGTCAGACTGTGATGGTAATCGTCATCGCTGGTCGTCGTGCATGCCCTTGGTTGCTGTTTACGTTAGATCAAGATCTCTTGTTACCTACCGGTTGGTATGGGGGGGTTCGAGCACTTACCATTTCTGGCCTACAAAAGGCTTTGCATCGGTATGAACGCAGCTGTTGTCCCGTATATTTCCGTGTAAGCATACAGTTACGCCAACAAGGCCAGACATGAGGCTGCCCACAGTGATATTTAAACCACTTCATCCTAGTCCTCATGTCATGTAGGGATCCTATATACCGAGGCTTGAGATTGGGAGATGATGGTCTACTCTTGAAAGATGATTGATATGCGGTAGGGTCAATACGTGTCATTCTGCCACTATCTAACGTGCTGGAACGCAGAGGAGCCTCGACATCTTCAGTCTGTGTACGGGGAGTTTGAGCGACGAGGATAAGAGCCGAGGATTGTGGAAGCTTGACGAGACTTGTTGACTGTGGAAGCTTAACGAGAGTTGTTGATTGCGGAAGCTCAATGAGAGCTGAGGTTTGTGGAAAATGCACAAGGGCTGAGGATTTTGAAAGTTGCGCAAGCACAGGCGCGGCAAAGAGCGCCGCATGAGAGAGGCCCCAAAGCCGAAAAGGCGTCATGTTTGTCGTATCAAATGATGGGATATTCTTCGTGTGTTGGTGTGTTGGTTGTTTGGTGCAGAAATAAGGAGCAAGATTCACTTCTTTATATGTGTAAGGATACAATTTGCTGGACGAAGGTGGATATGTTGTCTGTTATCCGATACCAAGGTTGAGCGCAGTATTTTCCAGCATCCAGTGCGGCTAGTTAGTAAGGAAGCTCATAGTACCATCAAAAAGTTGCATCTCACCAAATTTGGATTCCAGCCAGGGGGTCAACGAACCCAACAATATTTCCTCCATGGTCCAAAAGAATTCCATTCATGGTTGAATAATCTGATCTCCATGTTGTGAGCGTGCGCGCATTTTGTCGGGCCCCAATAGTTCTCACATCCAACAAGATCTTCGGCTCGCACGACTACAAGTCTTCGCAGCTCCTATCCCAACAATACTACGATTGTCCTCAACTTCGCAATTGAATATACATCGATTTGGACTGTGAAAAGATCGCTCCAAGGAATGTCAAGGGTGAAGAAAGGTGACACTAAATGTCGGAAACTTGGAAATGCTGCATGGTGGTTGTCGGTGGCAAGACAATAAAACCGACAGAGTGGGACTCTGTGACTTCTAATGATCTGAATCGTGGTGAAAAAATAGCCAGCTGCCAGGAAATATTATTGCAAAGAGCGCTATCCGATGAACACCTTACCATGGTGTATTGAAGTAATCCCCTGGCTGGTCATTTGCTCTCGGGCCAGCGGTGCCAACCATGCTTTCTCCAGTTGATCCATAACTCGAGTCCGTAAACAGGTCTATAATATTCACAATCGACGCTGAGTCCGTGAGCCACTGGTTGTCGGTAGTTGGTGGCATCCAGCACGAAGTATCCGCCGATTCTTGATGTGCGCTTTTCAGGTTGTACTCGTTCCCATACAATGGATCGCCAGGCGGAGCAATGACGGCAACATCAGTCTGATGCTCTACATCTTCCTTTACATGTGAGTCATGTGGTACATGAGCAGGTGGCGTTGGTTGACCGCGGGGGACATGGCTGAGACTGAACAACTCCGGCATAGATATGCTACGAGCATGCCGCTCCTTATTCTCGATGGCTTTGACATAGTCCCTTGCAGAACTATACAGCTTCTGTAAGATCCTGCCGTATCTCCTGCCCTGTCTGGTATGCTTTGCAAAATATTTCAAGATTGCCTCAGCTTGTTGGATTGCTTGCTCGTTATCACTCATGCGACCAAGGCGGCCTGCATGTGCTGAACAAAGGGTAACTGACGCGACAAATACCCAAGCGCTAAATAAAAGTCAGTGTATCATCCACGGAAAATATCGCTTGATTAGATATTCTATGGCTCTTACATTACCAAGACCATGTTGCCGAGTAACATGTTCGCTGTTAACAGCTCGTGAACGAGCTGGATAGTGTGTAGTGCGGATTCAATTGAAGTCAGGGCACCTTGATCAATATCTGTGCCATCCTGTGTCTTGTTCTTGTCCAGCTGTGACCTGTCAACCACCATATCTGACGCCTCCTCATATTGTCGCCGTATCACGGCTAGGAGAAACGGACGAGTCAATAGCATCATGCTGAAATAGTAGCTGCACGCTACGTATGTGTTGCGTATGACCTCCCTCTGGGTGGGCCTCTCTGGATTCTCCACAGTACGAAGTTCTGGGGGGATATTCGAAGTTGATGTTTGTAACTCCTGGCCAATGACTTCTAAATGCTGCAACGAAGGGGACCCCTTGGTGTAGATTTCATCAATGATTCGCTCCAAGATAGAAAACGCTTTCGCTGCCTCCATGAGTGCTAGTTGCTGATTTCTATCATTATTTGGATCTATGCTTGCATCCAAAGGCTTTCCGCAGGTCGAGTCCATCGTCATGGTCAACGGCGTTCTACCCATCATGCCACAGAAGAACAGATCCTGGTAGCGCAGAGACCGCCATATTCGTGTTCTGTGTCAATACGATAAGTACTTATCCGCAGGAACTTTGCAAAGGCGGTAATGCTATCTGCAAAAACATTAGCTTACCTGAGTTGGCTATCCTCTGGGAAAGTTGAGTTGATATCGTCCCTATGTATCCCCAACGATTTGGCTGCACTGACAGCAATTCCTAGATTTAGGAAAGACCCATTTCTTTGCGAGCAAGCTAGCATATAGAGAGAGATCAAGACGAACGTCTGTACTGTCTCGATGCTTGGCTCTTCTGTGAGCTTGAGTAGCGCTATTTGCCTTCCATGGTGATAATAATACTGTGTGAGTTTCAGATCTAATGGCGATCCACTTCGTGACTGCGCTGCATATGCTATTATGAGGAGTAAGACTGCCGTTTGTCCAGGATCTGACAGTGTGCCATCTCGCCAACTACTGAGCAGTTTATCTACCTGATGTCGATCGATGATGTCGAGTATTCCACATGACTAGAACGCGGTCAGAAACTCCCTCGTGAAAATCTGTCAACCCTCACGCCTTACTGCAGTGAAATAGACATCTACAAGCTCTTGGAGATCGTCAAAATTTGATATGTCTTCAGTGGTCAAGACTTCAGTTTCCTCAGGTGGAAATTCCTCAATGGCTGTAACTTTGGAAGGATCTCCAGCATCCGCAGATGCTCCTATCTCTATCTCGAGCAGGTTCTGAAGCTGGCGTACAAAGGCGGGAGCAGCAGATTCACCGAGATATACTAGCAAAGAACAAGCAGTCAGATCAACGTCCGCTGGCTACACATCTTAACAATATAAATGAGGCGCACATACCTACTCGTCCTCTCGTATCGTAGAGGGTTTGCGGAACAGCCGGAGCATTTACTTCCAACACTGTTGCCTTACTGACATTGCTGTTGAGGTTCGGCGACTGCCCCGAATGATTGCTAGGCGGTGCAGAGAGTGTTGATTCATGAGATAACAAGGTAGGACTTTGTTGACTACTAAGAGGCTTTGGAATTCGACGGCGGTGGCGTCCGTAAGAACGTTCAAGTGAAGAGTACTCGCAAGACTCGGAACGACCTCGTTTGGCACACTGCGCACAAGGCATTGTCGCGTCACACTTATACTTGCCCTCTTGACATGGTATACACGCTTTGGCTACTCGCTGTCGACGAGCCTCGGTAACCTTCGGACGAGGCATTCTCGTGTGGACAGCGAGTATGTATTCTGTCAGAGGATGGGTGGCGTTACATTGAGTGACTTTGAGATAATAGCGACGAGGCTCAGGTTAAGAATGTCGAATACGAATTCATAATAGGTACAAGGCCATCCACTGTTGTGCCAATTAAATGATGCATTACTTCTAGGTACGGTATATGATAGCCCGCTTAGTAAGTACGTTAGCATGGCTAGGCGGTGATGATCTTAACGTACTTGAGTTAGCATGTAAGACAGTAGTGAAGTATTCAGCAAGGGTATCCCTAGCCGAGCCCCTCACAGGTGGATATATATACAAAAACAATCAGACCGAATCGATTCATGTCCCAATGAAGCGCCTTTCTCCTTCAAATTGTTTCAGGCCTTTTCAGTAATCGTCGGGAATTGCTTGAGCCATTCCTCTGTTATTCCATCATATTCCGCCGGTCCGTACGGCTCCGTCAGGTCCTTCCACCAACTGCTCTTCCTCTTACTCTTAACGCCAACGTCTTCCAGTAAGGTATCAATGTATGGAAGGCTGTCAAAGACAATGTCTGGATACCTGTCTCCAAATCCTCCTGTTATGGTCGGCCTCCGAATCTCTCCATAAGTGCGATGAAGAGCGGTGTTGTGTTTAATTCTGTTCAAGTCAAGCTCGTTCCCTTTAAGGTGATTAATTCGTCCACCGAAGAATGCTGTGATCCATAGTGCCTGGGCTTGCGCGACAGCTATTGCATGGGGTGAAGAATGCGCACCAATGAACGCAAGATTCTTTTGCTTGATGAAGTGCGGCTCTGACGGTACGACATGACGGTAAAGCTCGAGTGATTCGTTGGAAGGCACCGTCCGCGATTCAGGGAGCTTTGGCGCATTGGCTGTTCTTCTTGCTATTGTCCGAAGGTATGGGACACTTCGATAAACCTCCTCCTCCAATCTCGCTGCTTCGGCCGCATCATATGTCTTAGGCTTGCTCAGAATGGGAGTGGTTCCCAAAACGTCGATCTTGATAGACGGCTTTGGCTTCCACCCAGTACAGTACACCAAGGCGTCTGCTTTTAAGGAACTGCCATCTGATAGTCTGATCTGATCCTCCGACATGGAAACAGCGTCGGCGATATGAACCTTGATCTTGCCTTCGCGTACCAACCGGAAGTAGTCCTCGTCATAATTGTTGATGCTGACCGAGTTGCCGACCCAGAAGGGTGTCGTCCAAGGCTCCAGCTTTTTGGTTTCAGGGTGATTGGAATATCCATTTAGATATCGAACAAGCTTGTCAAGCACATTCCAGAACAACAGACAGATGGAAATGCCAATAGTAGTGCGATGTAGGAATCTCTGTACCAGGCCTTCTCCGTGGTATGGCGTAGGATCGAAAAGCGTGAAGATTCGCGTGCCAGATAACGGGCCAAATGAGAACTCGAGCGGCCCCAATCGACAAACACTGGGCCATAGATAGCTGGGGCCGCCACCAGATGGTCGAATCACCATGTGCGCCTGTGCTCCAGCTGTTGCAGTGAGATAACAAATGTCCCATGATGACTTGTTGCCGCCTATCACAACTACGTCTTTGCAAGCATCCAATCTCTTTCTCTCTTTGGCCATTTGCTTTGCGTGTATCGCCAATCCCTTGAACGAGTCTGCGCCCGGTATTGAGGGTATGTTAGGTTCCGATGTGATGCCAGTGGCAATGACGAGGCGATGCGCCGTAATTTTCGGAGAGTTGCCAGTCGTTCCATCCAGGAGTTGAATAGACCATTTTCCGTCATCCCGTTGGGTGGCCGACTCCACACTCGTTCCATAGCAAATGCACTTATCGATCTTGTGAGCTACACTGACCTTCGAGAGATATTCATGCACAGCAAGACCGGGTATGTGGCTTCCTTCTGCCTCTCCATACTCTGCTGCTGGCATAGGCAAGTCGCTGAATTCGTATGATCCGAAGGCATTGTTTGTCTTCAGTCCAGAATAGACCCTCTCTTTAGCCCATGTACCGCCGATTGACATGGCTTTCTCGACAATGAGAACGTTGTGATGAGGGTTTACTTGAAGATATGTTATTGCCATGGACAGGCCATGCACTCCTAAAAAAAAAGCCATTACCAACTGATACAACGATCAATGATTAACAGACTGGGATTGTTACCTGCACCTACGATGACAAGCTCATACTCCTTCTTGAGCTCCATGGTTGATGTAAGCTCTAAGATGTTTCACAGTCCAGGGTTCTCTCGGTGTTCGAAAAATAACATGTTCGTCTGGTTCGTTGCCAGAAAGTCGCTTAGTGGGGTTTCGAAAGCCCTGGTTATGCGAAAATGTTGAACAATATACACACAAGAGGAAATTCAAGATTTTATGTTGGTTATCGTAATGTTGACTATGGACCTTTAAGTGGGAGCTTCGCTTTCGTCGGGTAGTTACAAGGTGGTACTTCGGAAACGTACCGGATACGTATCATCTCACCTACCCATCAGCGGAAGTGTCGAATGGACAATCATGTATAATCAAGACAAGAGTATCTTGGTATGAGACGGCATTTCTACAACATCTCACGGCAGTTTTACCATTCTCCGAGGTCCAGAGCGATACAATGTCTAGATGCTGTTCGTTATTGTGGCTGCTGGAGACCTATATTGTCAATGTTGGCTACACGGAACGGCACAACTGCACGCACACAAGTTCCGCAATCTAGGTTTTCAAGGTGCATGTTACACGAGAGCCAGCCTATCCATGATATCGTATTTAATTACGTGACCTCTGTGTCTAAAAAAAATACTTCGCGACCAATAGTCAAGTAAATCGGAGTCGGAGTCCATCGGACCCTTTTTTTGAGGCGGAAGTAACATCATCAGGGTCCCATCTGGATCTTAACGCTAATAGTGGGGAATCTCACACACTTACAGTATAGGTTAGATATCCGCCAAAAATCAATCGCCAGATCTTTAGTTCTGAGCCTTGTAAGTTGTGGCTAGATTTAGACACAGTTGGACTTACTAGATACTAACTTGATCAAGATGCCTATTTTTAAGGGCTTCGCGATTGCACGTGGGTTAGGCTTCCCACGTGTTTCCATTCATTTGGGAAGGTGTTTGTACTTCAGAAGGGCGCACTTCGCCCATCCACAGATAAGCGTCGCTAAACGGTGAACATATTGATGTAGACACAGCAATGTAACACTATGCTGGATTACTGGGCTCTACATAAACAAAGATTCCCTAAATCTACAGGACGCTGCAGTACAACTTACACGCAACTCTTCATTAGCTACAGCAATACCTTCATAATTAGCAATTTGTCACTCACTAGTATAGTACAATTCCACATCCATCTCTCCCCATAGATTTTCCACCATTCGGTGTCACAACAATCAGCGCCATCATGGACCCCGTATTAGTCACTCCACGCCTGAAACTCACGCTCCTATCGACGTTGGAGCCGGGTAGTCCTGAGTTGGCTTTGGCGCATGAACTACGAAGCGATCCTCAATCTACATTCTGGAGGTACTTCTTTCTCCCTTCCCCAATTCTCCTAGCCTGATCCCTCAAAAGAGGAACCAAGCATCATGATGCTTCTTTAATTGCATTACTAAACAAAACTAAAACCTGCCCCAGTCCATACGGAACCGCAAAGACAATCGAAGACACCAAAAAAGTGTTCGAGGGCGTTCTCAACAAGAAACACACCATCAACTACCTAATCCACAGATTTGTCAACCCCAGCTCCAGCAATGATGCGGACCAAGAGCAGCGGGAAACCGAATTCATCGGACACGTGACGATCTGGCCCCTCGGCGCTGGAAGTCTCCCCTTGCCAGAAAACTTGAGCGCGCCAGCCGCCGAGTCAGAAACTACTTTGTCAATGGAGGTGGGGTACATGTTTCTCCCCAAGGCATGGGGAAAGGGGTACGCGACGGAGTCGCTGAACGCCGTGTTTGGGCTTTGTAAGAGGGAAAGGGGGTTCTGGGCGCCGTATGAGAAGGTGTATGTCAGAGCGCTGGTCAATGATGAGAATGCGGCGAGCATGCGGGTCATGGAGAAGGTTGGGTTCGAGAAGAGAGGGGTGCATCATTGGACTGGGGACAAAGTCTTTCTTGCAGGGAAATGGATTACGGAGTGTGGTATCGCGATCTATGGTACGTACTTGGTCCAGGACTGAGAGGGCCGCTTTGTTGTCGCAGCAAACTGCTATACCGAAAGATATCCAGCACTAGGCAAGACGACTTCGGCAGATAATGGGAGGCACTGAGCCGCAGACACATTGTGTCAGGCTTATTGTGAAGCATGTCAGATCTTTTACAATTGACATGATCTCCCAAGAGGTTACCACATCAGGCACTTGGAGGGATCTAAAGAACAGTAAATAGACATCCCCGTGTGTGCAGAACGGTGTTCAATTGTATGCATATCCAATAATCATGTATACCTCGCCACTGCTGGCGATATAAGGTGGATGCCTCAGACAACGCCGATTATATGATCCGAAGCGGTTCTCCCCATCTCCTGTATGCAGCAATAGAACGAATTATCAATTATTAACCAGCTAACCTCCCTTCCTCTCTCCTGCAACGCCTTCAGCACCTCCAGCGAACTCGATGTGTTGAACCTTTGCCTCAGGCCGGGCCTCTGCTCTCTTCGCACTGTCTTCTGCGTCACCCATTTCGACGTCACGGACTTCGACCGGGCCATGTTCTGTCGCGCCCTGAACAGCTGGCGCCTGTCCTTGGCTCTCCACAAGATCCATGGAATCCCCAGCGATCGTCTCGCTCGACGCATTGCTTGCGCCAGCCCAGGCGCTGAACCCGCCATTAACTTCACACATCTCCTCAATACCGCTAGTGGGTTTTTCGTTGGCGGAGATGCTTGGCCCTGCTGACTGGGCACGACTCTGTTGTTGATAGAATCTCTCGGCGGAGATGTTTTCAAAGGCATCAGGGTCACTATTATGGTCCTGGTAGGGTTTTGCATCAGGTTCCTCAGCCCAGCTTGAAGTAGGATCCCACGGTTCTAATGAACTGGTGTAACTCGCATCTGCGTCCCAGCCTGAAAGAGGTTCCAAATTACGATCGCCTGTCCTACCAAATTCCAGGTCCGTTTGCAGTTCCTCCTGGAATGAAAGGTTATCGGCTTTAACGAATCGGTCCAGTGCGTCTGATAGGGGAATTGGATCGGGTGATAGGGCGGCTTCGCTGGCGTAGACGAGAAGTGCAGATCTATTCTCTTCGCTCGCTTTTTCGAGGACAGAAGATAATGAGAGGCGCTCGCGGAGAACGTATGCCAAATCCGAGCCAGGAGTGGAATATTCGACGCGCCACCATTCCGTATCACGATCGTTGGTCTTCGCGTTTGGATGAAGGAGGTAAACGACGTTTGAATGTGTTGATACACCACAGAGCTTGTACGGGTGCTTCATTGACATCTCAGTATCCTGTTCGGTACCGTCACCATCTGTCTTCGCTGGAGATTCCTCGTCGCCATCAACGAATGGCGCCCTGAAACGGCTTGACATATCGTCAAGACTCTTGCGAGCCTGCTTCTTCTGTTCTTCTAAAGCTAGTAGCTGTCAGCAAATTATAACACACAGAGATGTCGATGAGTTAAAGTCGATGAAATGAAAAGGCGAAAACGAACCATTTAGCTTCCGTTCTATGCTATCGTACAGCGACTGCAGCTGCGTAAGTATCGTGGCATTCTTCGGATCATGTATCAAATCGTCCGACTTCTGCTGGAAAGCCGCCATGCTACTCTTGAGCAGCTTCAATGTCTCCATTTTTTCCCCTGGGCGAATCTTCTTCGTCGTGTGGTATTTTATCTTGGCGGCTTCTTCATCAATTTCTTTGATCCGGGCATCGCATTGTTTGCGCTCATGCACCATCGCGGCAATCGCCTCTTTATTCTCCTCGAGGTACCTGTCTGCGTACAGGGTGGCTGGAATCTTGCAATCGAGCTTGCCCTTGGCATCTGAGCTTTCTAACCGGAAGACGAGCACGTCACTAGCGCTCTTGATGAAAGCGGTGCCAGCGCCGGCAACAGATTCGAACAGGTTCTCATCTAGAACATCGTAAAGTGACATCTTAGTGCCGGGCTCGTGGTGGATAATGTTGGCATCCAGTAGAGCCGAACTCTGTTCCTGTCCCTCAGCGCTGATCACAGAGCGAAATACACCGTCCAGAGGTTTGGATGTAAGATTGTGATAGGCATCTCCCCATTTCAGTAGAAACGTGAGAAGTTCATCGTTGGGGCGCTCGGTCATATCATCCCTCGCCTTCTTCCATGCGTCCAATTGCTGAAGTGCACCGATAGACCCGTACGCTCTGTCAGTACGATCGAGGAAGGCCATCAGCCTTTGCATCTCATGTATCAAATCCAGGTCATGCGGGCTCTCATCCTCAGAGTCGAAAACCACTGTCGCTTTCGATGCTGTAGAAGACCCTTTCCACCAATCCTCGCCAGCATGGTAGCTACGTAGGGATATTTCCGGGGCCAGCAGTGCGTTCCGAAACAAAGGGATCGTGTGGATGATAGATATCAGCGAAGGTAGGTAGTCCCAATTCGGGGTAGGTTTGATGATCGCGGGACCCTCCTCCTCGCGCTTCCGCTGAACTGGTACTGCATCTGGAATATATTCGGTGCTCTTCGACACCGGAACCATGGCCCAGCTATTGGAGTCGTAGACCTGGTCCTTGTTTGCTGGTCCAAACATGGGTTTTGAGTAGTTAGCATTATTAATTACGCCCAACTCTTGTCCATTCTCGATGCCTGCACTTCAGTCAGCCTTCCGATCATCCTACAGCCTTGTACAACACATCGCACTGACTTTGTATGGGCACATCGCCGGTTCCGGGAGTGGCAGCATGCTGACTCGTCCGCGACGGAGGTCGACTGGGAGCAACGCTATGCGATCCGTTGAAATTGTCTGTACCGGGTGGATAGTCAATGCGAAAAGCTGCCAAACGTCAAGGGTCAGCCACCAAAGTTCCAGAAAAAGTTCACCCAGGCGGCGAAGGGTATTGCGATAACTTACAAGGAAGGCCACCAGGTTCGGTCTCACCATATCGGTCCGCCGAAAATGCATTGGGATCGTAGTTGTTGTTTTCGGGCTATAGACACCCACTCCTTAGCCAAGACCCTCGTCTCCGCACATCATGCAGCGTACATACCTGTATTAGGCCGGCGGGGTTGTCCAGGTTGTCATAGAACTTGTTAACAGCAGCCTCCACGCTGCCTTGTTGTCGTAGGACTGTGGCAGCAACCTCGCGACTGACTCCATCCCCTATGAAAGCTAAGAATGTATCAACGTCTGCCTCTGACACCACCATGGTCGCGATTGCGGAGGCGCGGAGGCGCGGAGGCGCGGAGGATGGCGTTACGAGGACGTGGAATGTAAAGGTCGTAAGGATCTCGTAGATTGGGTGGGAGAATGTCTTTTTGCGAGCGATATTCGGAAAGGTGGCCGTGAATGTTACGTTGTTTGTCAGTATGAGTCCGAGGCTGTGAGTTCAGATCTTTGGATCTTTCATGCCAGGTGCGCTGTCCCACCCACGGAAAGGCAAACAAACGTAATCGTAACTGGAGGGAACGAGGCTGGCGGCTTCCATATATTTGGCATGCGACTAAGAAGCGATATGAGGGAGCTGGTGCTGTTCAGCGGCGATATTGCATGCTGATAGGTGGGGGTTACAAACACGCACCAGCACAAGACAAGCACAGGCAGGTCGAGCTTGAAGCTTTGATGTCCCACCATGTGATGACGCTGGGGGTGCAGCGGTCCGTGCCACAGTTAATACAGCCGCATAACCTTAAGTTGACCCATCTCCTCAAGTGCTGTTAAAACCACAACATTGAGAAACTTGCAATTTCAGATTACTTTTTTCGAATAAATAGATTAACGTACAAGAGCACCTGCCCTTGTTTCAATTAACAGCAGCGGTGTGCTTGAAAGCTAGGTCAACTGAAAAACGTCCAGCATCTCTTACCTACCTAACCACTCTTATAGCAGCAAAAAGGGAGGCAAGTAATTAACATAAATTCATTCAAGAGAACAGATTTGGGAATATAACTAAAAATCCATCACACCACTCACTGCTCACTATCACCATCATATAAAAAAACAACCCCAGACTCAAAAGAAAGCAGCCAACCCAGCAACCCCAATCGCGACGCATATCCCCACCCCCAAGAACCCCGTCACCGGATCCCTCCCTTCCACCTTCCTGACCCTCAGCCCCTTGAGCGCCCCCAACACGCTCGCAGCACCCGTCTGCTGGCTCGGTATGCTGATCGTCCTAGTCTCACTAGCTTCTGCCTCGTCCGTCGTCGTTGCGTCGTCGACTTCGGCGGCGTCTTCGCGGACGGGATGGTCACTCTCTGCTGGTGGAGGTGGCGGGGCCGATGAGGCTGAAGGAGTGGTGGATTCTGAGATGCTGAGTGACGGCGGTATGCTAGTGGCGGCGGACGGGGAGATGATGTCTGTGACGATGATCTTGTCGACTGCGTGTGTCATTGCGGCTGGGCAGTCGTAGTTCGTGAGTCTGGGAACGGGCTGTTTGTATGCGCCGCAGTAGCGGGAGAGGAGGATGGAGCCGGCGCATACGGCGGCGGTGTGGTCTTGACAGTGCGATGTTAGGCATCTGGATGATAAGATTAGTAGGGTATGAGTCGACGGGTTCCAGATTGAAAGGCGTGGAGTGCAGGTGCGGAGAGGGGGAGTAGAATGGAGAAGGAATGAGGGATGAGGGATTCCGTTGCGTACCCTAACCCTTGATTTGCAACACGACATGCGCAACCCACGTCGTTGTGGCGGCATCTTTCGAATTTCACGGACACAGATGAGGAACAGGAGAGATAGTCGCTACAGAAAGGTGAGTCGCCTGTTCGATGCTTGTCATAAGAAGACGGTCGTACTATGCAGCTGTACCGGTGGCGCAACCGAGTCCCGCGACTGAGGTCACATCTGGCGGATGCTTGTTGTCGCGTGCCTCAAGCGCAATTGCTCCTCGGAGCTGACTGTCAATCGACTCGCGAAGGTCATGAGAATCGTGCGCGAGTACGGTGTGGGTAGTAGCTAGGATGCTAGCGATGAACTGGAGAGCGTGCATTTTGGCAATTGCTCAGCGAGCTTTTAGAAGCCGTTACGTCTGAGGCCCATGGAGATTGGCGTCGAGTGCGCGGACCTGGCACTGTTACCTTATACTCGATGCATTCCATGTCGTGCCCTAGACCCAGCCATGAGAGCATCCCACGTCGTGGCGCCGCGCATACTGCGGTAAATTGGACCGACTGGAATGACCTGAGTAGCCCAAGAGACTGTCATGTAGTGACAAAGGGGGAACGATGATAAGAAGAATGAAATTTAAATGCAAGGTACGATATCTCTCTTAAAGGCCACAATATGTTAGCGAATAATGGCGGAGTATCCTTCTAAGGGGTATATTTTATCAAAATGCGTCACCAGACAACTCTTCCGCTAAGGCTTCCAGTTCCTCCTGCCTAAATGGCACCCAAAGCCTCTCCGTGCCCATAGCATCTTTCCTGCTCTCGACCATTTGATGGTCATGGAATTCCTTAAGTAGAGTCCTGAACCCAACCTCGCTCGAGCAAACGAAGTCTTCCACGGCTTTGTGATACAACACGCGGTACTCGACACCCTGTGATGATTCTGAGGAATTCCGTGCCGGATTTGATTTACTGCGAGGCGTAGCGGTAACATCGTCTTGATCCTCATCAGCGTCGCCGTCCATAAACATCAAGCCCAGTTGCTCGGTGACAAGTATTCTGAACAAAGAGCGTGCATTCTCGGGCAAGGAACGAAGCACGAAACCAATGCCATCTCTGCCGCCTATCCTGCGCCCACTTCGTCCAAGTAACTCGTTGACACTCTCTACTACGTCAATCTCGGATTCGTATGGCGCGAATGTGGTCGCATCGTGGAAGAGAAAGTTGTACTGCGCACTCAAGCCTACGTCCCACAGTAAGGGAAAGTTTGGAGTATCTGCCGTGCATACGAGGTTGATCGATGGATGTGACACAAGCGACGCCAACATCATCGGTGTAGGGGATTTGCGAAGGTGTATGGAGTCGATCGAGTTTAGTATGATGGGAATCGGGTGTGAGGGAGGATGCGCAGTGAGATGTTCCAGAATGAATTGTAATAGCGATGTCGGCTGATTTGGCATTTTGGTGGATGACGGGATGGCAGTTGAAGCAACGATACTCAGAATATCTTTTATGGTGATTCCTGGGGAGTAACCGTTAATGACGGTGATCGCTGGTCTCTTTCGTGTTCCTTTGTACGGCGCCTTTCCGGCTAGGTGCTCGTACAGATGCGCCGTGAAGCTTTCCGTCAACGACCGTTTCGACCCGTATCCATAGAGGCAGATGTTGAATCCTTCGCCCAACTCGAAGATCCATTGGTCGAAGGCGCGCCGGTGCAGTTCCAGTAGAAAGTCTCTTTCAGATTTGTGGTTCTCAGCAACTGATTGTATGGCTTGGAAATATTCGTCATGATTGAGCAAGCTGTGGCTAGATAGCGTGTTGGTGGACGTCTGATTGCCACCCGGCCGATTCTGCCAAAAGTATTCCTCGTGCGCAGGGAGCGTTGTGACTTCAGGGGGAGTGGGTTCTCGTATTTTCCGTGGCCTTCCTCGCGGTCTGCCGGTGGTGCTAGGTTTGGCGACAGCTTTCCTCGGTCGGCCTCTTCCACGCTTCGATGGTGTCTCTGGGACAGGTATTTGAGCCTCGACAGCAGCGACCTCTTCAGCAACACTGCTTTGGGGAGCCTCAGCCTCAGCCTCAGCCTGAACCTCGGGAGCCTTTTCTTTGTGTGGTGTTCGCTCCTCAAACTCTTCATCGTCACTCAGTATCTGTTCTGCCAGTGCCTCATCTTCCTCCAGAACCTCATCATCGCTGTCCACTCCATTCAATGTCCGCTCAAAGAGTCTCCTGTTGCTCTTCCGCCGCGCGCTCCGATCCGCATTGCGGACGATCGTAGGTGTGCCATTGGAAATATTCTCGTCGGGCGATTTCGTGGGGGTGTCAAAGACGAGCTTGCGATTCGACTTCGGGGTCGTGGTACCATTGATTCCATTGAAAAGGTTCGTCTTCTTGAGAATCGAGCGCGGCGTACCGTTCCCGGCTACGGGGCCATTTCTTCCTCGCCGGGACGGGGTGTGAATCTCAGGGACATCGTCTGCGGATTCGTCCTCCTGCAGCGGCTGCGCTTGGAGTCTTTTGGGTGTCAGATGCTCCTCCTCGTCATCGTCGATGTGTTTCCGTTTCGTGCCGACCATCTCACAGTGGGATCAAAAATTCGGAACGAGTTGCTTAGGTAGACGCGTCTTTGGGATGGTTAGACGCGTCCGTCATGGAGGTCGGCGAAGCACTATATCCGATGGTCTTGGCAAATCCCAGGTATTCTATATTTAACAGCGTAGGGTACAGCGAAATAGGTACACCTTTGTTCTTGTAGGGTGACATCTGCACGGAATACTGCACCAGTGGTCAATCTCCCGTGGTAGGATCTGGGACCGGCATTCTGGAACCGCGATACGAAGGAAACAATGGTTCGTTGTCTCGGATCTCCTGACCTTGGGCTGACCACATGTCAAAGTGTAGGTTGTAGACACTCGCAGATATCAGCCTGTCAGTCGGAACCCTATTCTCTATTGCACGACGTCATAGATACTTGGATACCAACCTGCTGCCTATTGTATATACATGAATAAAATGCCTAAATCATCAGATATGGCAATAAATCGAAGGTGGACGGAGCAGTACACCTTGGGTGGATGAGCACATGTTCCGCCTGATGACTACACCACCAAAATGTCGCTGTCCGGCAGCCTGCATCTCTGTGTTACCTGGGCTTCCTCTAAGCCTGAATCGTCGACAGAAATATATTCAAGTCCGAAGCTGAAGATGTGACCCCGAAAGAGTGGCATGCAGATACATGATGATTAGCACCTTTCATCTCATATCTACAAACCATCGGTACCGATGGCCACCGAACCATGGGAATCGAATCAACAAACAAACAAACAAACGGACCGCACACCCGTGCAATTATGTAGCTTATTATGTGTCGCATATGCAAGGTGAGGTCAAGGAACTACAGCAATCCTGACACTAGCTCCTAGCGCTGCATAACGATAGTTGCTGCACTCGTTTGCCAAAGCGGAGTATATCAAGTGCTGTGGTTTGATCACAACTATGATGCGTTTCAATGGAAATGACGTATTTCTTGGAAGGACAAACACGACGGAGGAGGACACCGGCGTGCGAACGACCCTAGGCAGCAGTTTAGATTTCTGGCACGTGGATATGAACAGTCACAGTCGAAGGATAGGCACATATGATGAATGTCTCATGTCTTGCACAGCGTACGGACGAGTAGAGTCAGGTGGCCAAGGTGTTTCAGATGGTTGAGGCGTCGCATGATTGCGAGACTGGGAGGTCGGACAAAGATGCGCAAGGTTGCGGTAGGGTGATTATTGCAGAGTATGATACATAGTGCTCGTTCTACCGTACTCATGAGGTGAACGATACCAGCCGGTGGGGAGGACCATAGACATGTATCCATCTAGTTGGAGTGGGGCGCATAGGCTGGCATGGTATGCTGTGTGACGAGTGCTATGTGCGATGGGATAGATAGAGGGACAAAAGATAAAGGACGCGTGGTTTAAAGAGTGCAAAGGCATAATTGAATTTGAAACCCATTTGGAATTTAGTACTTATTTGGATTTGTCCTATTTTCCTTCCAATAAACTGCAAAAGCGATTTGCTTAGCATGATGATCTCATCTTTCGGTTCTGATGGATATATTGCCACATAAGAGTTCGGAGCACTCCGTCAAGGGACATTCAAACTGATATCTTCGAGTAGGTACCTACGGTCTACCTAGTGAATATTCAGAAATATGCCTCGTACTAAGAAGCGGAGTATAGCTCCGTCGGTCTATTTGTGCTATCCTATCTTACTCATACAGTAACTAATAGTTACCCAAATTCTCTTACTCTTACTGTCTTGGTCACCGGCCCGACAACAACAGTAGCGCAAGAGGGACGGGAATACGGAGAGTATGGAGTATACTCAGTAGAGTAAGGATAATCAACATAATTCTTTATGTATTTTATTGGCAATTGGTGGAATCCATGACCTCGTTCTCATCGGTATTATCTTTTTTGGAAATCTCCGTACAATCACGGAATGGACAGACAGTCAGTCACAGTAATACTACGCCTTGAAGTATCAAATGGAGTGGGAAATCGGCAGAGAGGCCAGAAGCAAAAGCCAGAAAAGCCAGAAAAAGCCCCCCAGGAACGGCAGCCATTAATAATTGCCTGTACATACCGTAACTACTGTAACTACTGTGTAGGTACCCAGTTATTCCCCCCATGTTCATGTTCATTCCGTCTCCATTCCACATCATCCGCCGTCCCTCCCCCCGGCTCTTTTTTTTCTTTCCTTCCTTTCTCCAGCTAAAACTGTCTCTCATTCCTCACCCCACCACCCCCATCCCCCATCTACCACTACCACTATTACCGCTACCACTACCACTATTAACTACTACCACCTCCCACCACCCACCGACCACAAAAGATCAACCCTCCCCCCTGGTACAACCACAACACCACCCAAACCATTCTCTCACTTTTCACTTCCACCTCGCCACATCTCCCATTCACGTAAACCGACAACGCATACCAACTCCCCACTGTCGCAAACCCTCCGAGTAGATTCATCCGCACAAAATTCGCGCGTGTGGTCGAATCTCAAACAGGTTCAGGCGCGCAGTGCCAAAGCGGGGTCCTTCCTGCCCCGTTCCGTCCACCCAAACCACTGCTCACCCACTGGACAAAGCACGGCGACGACAACGATAACAACACCAACAACACCTACGCAAATGAGAATATGGAACCAAGAAGGCCTCCAGAGTATATTCTAGAGGTCTTCGCCGACTCTGCCTGTGTCAAAGACGTCGTGAAAGGTAATTCCTCCTCCATCCGGCCCTCTGCTTTCCCGTCTTCCTGCACAACCTCCGCCCGCTGACACAACACCTGGCTCATAGCAATCCTGCACACGATCTTCTTCCACCGATACTTCACCTCCATATCTCCCCTAACTCGCGACCTCCTCGATCTGACTCTACCCGCCATCGACGACGTTGATCTGGAGACCTTGGTCGACCAGCGTACGGCTGCCCTGGTGCGCGCCATTGAAAGCACCCACCAACAGCGAGGGAGAGGCCAGCTGGTCGTGCAATTCTTCGAAAAGAAGAGAAAGCGAAACTACTTCTTCGGCAAGGCGGACGAGGAAGTGTGTTGGGAGCAGTGGACGTTGGATGTGACGCTTGCAACGCCTAGGACTGAGACTGGTGAGTCGCACCTGCAATCGCGCATGAGATCATTCGTTTTAGCCCGAGGACTTCTACGTAAAAGAATATGTTTCCAAGATTGCCATGCTGACATGTTACGATTGTAGACGTTCTCAAGGTCCGCCGCGCAATGGCCAAATCCCTGCAAAAGGCTGCCCTCAAAATCGTCAACATTGTCAATCAGTACAAAGACCATATTCCCCCGATCACGACCACAGACCAGAATCCTTTTCCGTATCAAGTCGTTGTAAACCCCAAGACAGCATCCGACACGTGGGGCCCTCGAATGGGGATTTTCTAGAGTGAAAAGCTATACTTCGACAGAAAGAGAAGGATCTCTCAAAGGATGACACACCTGTAGCGAGTGTCAACCCATGTACATACACACGACAGCCGAGGAGAGCAGTGACGACGAAGTTTTGTGCTAAAAGTGGAGATGTTACGTCCATGTCGACGCGAATGACCCCTACGATGATGCGAACGGGAGGAGAAAGAGAAGGGAAGACGAAAAGTTTCTATGGACTTTGGGAAAAAAAAGTATCTGTCATTACCACGGTTGTAGAGGATCATCCGGCGTTCGGTCATCTTGCACTTCTATTCAACATTATGAAGAGCAGCGAGATCAAAGGCCCTTTTCCGACTTTTCGCAACAACAATAGCAACCACCGTACGAGTACAATTACTCCAGACTGTCTGGCATTCTCGGCACAACCTTGGACGAACCGCATATTGAATCTCGCACATGGATGGTTACATTCAGTCACAACTGTCAGCTCGAACGGACCGCTCCTAACCGCCTTCGGAATTGATCGGAAATCTGCGGAATAAGTTCTTACGACTCGAATTGCCACCACCATCATCAACCTCACCACGGGTACTCTTGTCTGCCACCACCACGCCTCGCTCTACATAAATACTCATACAACGTCTTCAGTGCGCGAACAATATTCCGCTCTCATCGCTCTCTCCTGACGCCCCCTTTTCCTTATTTTCTTTAACCTTTCAACTGGAAATACAACAAACGATGCCTTTTCCATGCATGCATGTCACGAAGAAGATACCCACCCCAATATACATAAATAAGCAAATGAATAAACATTTCCAATTCAGTCCAATTGGCGAACACACATAAATGAATTGTCGTGACATATATTTCGAGTGATTGATTGGTTGACATTCCATAATCTCAATGCTTAGTGGACAAGATACACAAAACTACGACTATAGGGGAAACATAATTCACCGACATACAAATATATATTGTAGAACTGACACCGATTAGACATATGACTGTCCAAGAATCGAAGTCAATTCGCTCAATCGTGCAAATTCATATGGATGAATCTATTCATTGGATGTACCATATCGATAATATAAATATGTATATGCATGTATGCTTTCAGTTCCGCTTTCAAATCGCTTGGTACTGCTAAAAATAATGCTAGTTCAAATGCCATAAACCATCAATCAATCCATGCTTCATAATGATAATCCCGCCCTGAACGGCAAGACATCACATCACCAATGTCCCTAACTCCCCACCGTCCCCTCCGCCCAACCAACCCACCTCCTAACCACCTCATCCACGCCCTTAACCCCCTCCCTACTTGCCTCGACCTCAAACCACTCCCTGTGATCTTTCCCACACGCATCACACTTCTTCACTACCCTCTTCGCGCCGAGCTCGATGTGAATCAGTCGCTCTACGCGGTGCGCGTGCGGGACCTTACGCACGGCCTGCTGCGCGGAGGACGACGAAGACGCGTGGTGAGGTGGCTGCGGGCGCTGGAGGTTGCCGTTGCCGTTGTTGATGGCGCCGCCGCTGGCGCTGCGCTGGTAGGAAGTGCGGCGGGAGGCGGAGGGCGAGGCCTGAGGGGACGGAGAGGGCGTCGACGAGACGTAGGGGTAGAAGCGGACGAGAGAGAGCGCGTAGCCGCATTGGCGTGTCCATTCGTTCATTCTGCGGTGGACGTTGTTGGCGCGGCCGATCTTTAGAAGGATAGTTTGTGCGTCGGTGGGCGTGTTTTCTGCGGCGTTGGCGGTGACGTTGGAGCGTCGGCGCGGTCGGGGGGTTGGGGAGTTGCTGTTGCGGACGCTGTATTGGCGGAGGACGTCGGAGGTTCGGCGGCCTTGGTCTGGTCGGGTAGGGGGTGCGAGGAGAGTGGAGGCGGTGGTGGATGGTGCTGGGCCGGAGGATTCGGGCGTCAGCCAGAATATGTAGATGTAGCCTTCGTCGTCGTGCGGAGAGATTGGCTTGGAGAGCTCGGAGAGAAGTGCTGCGGCAGTTTGTGGGGGGAGCGAATGCGGTATGTAGGATATCAATGGCGGCGGATCTGCTGGATCTGGTTTCTGTTGGGGAATAGGTTTCCGAGCGGGCAAAGAAGACGTCGGACGGTTATGCTGTTGTTGATACTGCTGTTGCTGTGGTCGAGCCTGGGGAGTCTGCATCGGGTTTTCAGACATGTATTGTCCACTCTGCCGGTCTGTCCTCTTCTTGTGCCGGACGACTTCAACATAGTCATCGTCATCTGCCGTCCCGCAACACAAGCTAGACCAGAAGCTTGATTGTTTCTTCTTTTTCTGCTGCTGTGGTTGGGTCCGTCCAGGAGGTCGCTGATTCAGGACGTCACTAGGCACAGACATAAGCGGTCCCTGTACCCGATCCCATGTTGGTGGTCGATTGATTCTCCTAGGTGGTCGTTTCGACGATGCCGCGCCAGACTGCCTCCTTTGCTCCCTTCTCCTCCTCCTTTCCTCCTGCGTCTCCGTCCTCCCCTCCTCATTGACCTCCAAGACCCCAAGCTTCGCCACCAGTGTATCGATGCTACTCCTGTTCTGCAGCTTGAAAATCTGCGTGTTCTGCCTCTTCAGTCCCTTCCCATTCTTGTTTGCATTCGCACTCGCGGCCTGAACTGCTTCTGCCTCCGCTTCCGCCTGGACTAACTGCTCCGCCTGGACCTTGTGTCTCCAGCAAAAGAAAGCTGCCGCGCCTATCTCTTCTTCATCGTCGCTGTCCCCAACTACCGACGTTACGGCAAGGACTCCATTATCGCCCGTTGCGTTCCGTATAGCATCGAGGTCGAGTGGGTTTCGGCACGGCCGCCCGAGCTTGGTTATGCCTTTGCAGGTCGTCGCGGCGTTCTTTGAATCGGAGCGTGCCAGGAGGGCTTCCGGGGTCTGGCCGGTGAAGGCCATGGTCGAGTTAAGCGTGGCCTTGAGAGTCAGGAGTCTGCTGAAAGGAAAGAAAACGGAGGGAAGCTGCAATGGTCATTCCGTCAGTAGAGCTAGACTTTATGAGTAAATTGCGGTGAGTTGTTCTGCAGGGACAATTCACAGCCACCCCACGTTCACGGAGAAGGGAGGGATTGTCAAGGACATTGCAAAATCACAATGAGCGAGTGTGAAGCGAGAGAATTGGGGAGAGAAACCAGGTGACTTTGCATTCGAAGAGGCTATGTATGTAATGCGCAATGATGTTGGCGCTTAAGCAGGCAGACGGGCAGGCAGTCAACAGCAGGTTGGAAGAAGCAAAATTCCGGATTGGGACTAGAGGGACGGGCCAGGGACTCGGGATACCCGCGGGGCTGGGCGTGGCGCAGGGAGAGTGTGGCAAATTGTGGGGCCTGCACGGGCCATACAAACAACTCTAACGCATCCAGGAGCAAAAAACCTGCCAGTTCGGGTCCCTTATGAGTAAAGTTAATATCATTGTACGGAGTACTATCTCACGTATAAGTTCCATCGGAAGTATACTCGACTCTTGCCTTTCAACGACATGTCCTACCGTTGTTCTGTCGGTGCCCTGTAGGATGCCTCGCTCATATCCTACGCATATCCCGCACTTGTCACTCATTCGTACTACATCTGTCTGTACTAAATACCTGAATATTGTCTGAAGAAGTTACCTAATCATAAATAGATAATGGAAATCCCTTTGCTATATGTAGTTGTGCTGAAAGATTTGATCTAGCCCTTGCCGTGGCGAGTGAGAAGTGGCCTTCGAAAGCCATTGCCAGCCTCGATTGCCACTGTCGTGATCGATTACAGTGCCACCATCAAGCACAAGAACGAATGCCGAACAACAAGAACCTCGCGTTTATCTGACTCTCTACTTCCGCTTATACTGATCCACATATAGTATTGATGTATTTCACCTTGAACTCGTTGACTTTTCCAAATTGATCGAAGTAGGTGCTGTCTTCGCAATGGATAGCCGAACTTTTGTATGCGGAAAGTCAACTCCTAAAAGCTTGCCGGCCTTTCGGCGTTGCGTGGAGTTTACGTTGAGGTCTACGAGACGCGAAGTGTTATGTCTATCAGTAGCTATGTCTGACATATATCATGCTGCACTGGTGTTATTTTTGAGTTTTCAGTGATCCCTAAATATTCAAGTGAAGTGTGGGGCCAATTCATCTAAAAGTTGTTATAGGGCTGGCATACAGGTATATTTCCCTAGCCAACACCTTTGGATTGCTTCTCCAAAAGGAGTTTTGTCCGTTGGAGGTAATTTCGCCCTATCCAGCCAACACTCATTGTCAAAGTAATTGAACTTGAATTCCTCCCAGACGGCAATGGAGTACATGAGCTACCACTTTGAAAGCACTCTACTCACAGAGTAGCTCGATTATCTATTAAAAGATTTACTACGTGGTAGTGGAGAGTTATAGCCTCGTATTCATTAGAGCCTGAACAGCTGAGCAAATCTTGCCACATGTGCCGATACTGCAATGATGGAACACAACTAGACAGAGAAAATCTAATGCTACAATTGATTGACTCTTCATAGCGGTTCATTCAACATTTGTGGATTGGGTAGTTTAGGCTATAGCAAGTACTCTTTATTTTGTGTTGGGGGTCCACAGCTTTGGAACTGGAAAGTCACATAGTCATCGCACTCGACGACTCACAAAGACAACCACAACCACGGTTATGTTGAACCTAGGCAGACTTTTGCCCACTACAAGATCAATGCCACCTGTCCACTTTCTACTATGAAGTAAGTATATGTACCTCTCCCAGCATACTTACTTTCACACCCCTAAGGAAACTTCTATCTTAAGATGCCGAAGAGCCACAATGATAACGCCTTTCCCTGGGCCTCGTTGCCTGCAGATATCCGACTTTTGATCCTCGACGAAATCTCAGACCAGAAATATCGCGGCTGGTCTGTGTGCGCTGCTGTCTGCAAAGAATGGCAGGCCATCATTGAACCGAAGAATTTCTGCCAACTCGCGTTGAAGACCTCCTGTTTGGACGAGTTCGAGTACCTCGTTATCCGACAAAGGCCTCTTGTCCAGCACATCTGTCTCAATGTCGAGCTTCCCCGATACGCCTGTCCCACTTGTCAACAAGATGTAACGGTGCCCGAGGTAACGGTGCCCGGATGTACCTCTGATATTTTCTGGAAGGCTGTTCTAAGGCTCTTTTCTACACTAAGTACGTGGCAGCCTGCAGGCCGACTCATACTCGAACTGAACGCATCTTCGCCGAGTGACTCAGAACATTGGTTCAAAAACTACTGTTTTGGACCTGGGCATGAAGATATTGGAGACTGGACCCAGCAAGAGAGAGCTATCAGATGGCATGACCCAAAGCACGGCTGGGCTGATGGCCAGCAAATTCAGGCTCCCGATCCGTCCGCAATATTGCGCATCTTCTCCCCACTCTGCTTAGACGTGCCCCAAAATCTCCCTGTTGTTCATGCCGTTACAGGCTTTCAGATCCATCGACAACTTCGACATCAGCTTTTTCCGTTTGTACTGAAGGCATTATTGGAGAAACTCCCTCGGCTAGAAAGTATGGTCTACGAGCTATGGCGTGTTTCGCTAATCCACCACCAGATTGCAGATACAAAAGATGCAAAAGGTAAGTTGAACCCTATATTGAACACCTCTAATTTCCTTCTGACCTCTTCGTAGAACTAGCCAATATAGTCGAGGACGTTCTTCCGGAACATGTCAAAGAAGTTTCTATCTTCAAGGACTTCAATGATCAACTTGAACTGACACTCGATAACGCTAGGTCGTCTTTATACCAATATTTAGGAGTTCCTCGTATTATTACCTCAGCTGTCCACCTGGCGCTTTCCAAAGCGTTTGCCAGGAAAAGTCATAACTTGGAGCGTCTTTCTATTGCATACATGATCGACGCCCAGCAGCTTTTCATCTCATGCCGGCAGATGCCGTGTACCTGGAATCTCTTGCAGTCATTGACACTCACATCCTCCATTCTGGCTCGGACTGCTTCTCATCAAAGTATTTATGCACTGTTGCAAGATGCTAGTTTGACTGCGTTGAATATGCCGCAACTCAAAAGCATGGTGCTCTGGAACGGTGGACAGGGACAAGCATGTGCGGTTATCTATCAGCGACGTACTACCAATGGACTGGCTACACTTACATGGCGTAGTACATGGGATCTTGAGCTTAGTCAAGATGTTGAGGAGTCTTGGAAGAAGGTTGTCCCTAGCTCGTGCTGCCTACTGTTTGAGAAGGAATTATTACGAGACGTTGATATTCGGTCACATGGCGATGCAATTCATCACCTGCGTCTGTCAGATAGAGTCATTGATCCAACATCACTACGCCAAATACTCCAGGAGGGAAGGATGCAAAGACTGGCATAATCACTGCACATGCACTTGTTTGTACTGTCACTAGAAAGCTGCATGGACCTTTGACCCAAAATCATACATTGGCAAAAGAGAAAAAGCATTTAGAATTGGTTCCTTGGGTTCTTAATAATACAAAGAAATTGATATTATGCTATTTGTCCTCCCCTAAAGCCATCACTGTACCATAGTACCTCCCTTGCTGGCATTGACTTCGTTGATAAGCCCGCGGTCAGGCTTCGCTACTAGATGGCGCAGCCAATCATCCTGGAAAAGAAGCGGAAGGGATCAAGAAGTAGAAGCAGTAGTCAAATCAAATGATAAAAATAGTATGAAATCATCATTGGGAATTATTTTCAGCGAGTAGCCGAGGTCTGGGCTCGATCAGCCAGCTACGACATATCTCAACAATTTCAGAGTAGCGCACGGAGTAGTGAGAGCCAATCGGTTCTGCGCTACTGAAAATTCGAATTCAAGGCCGGCTAGCTACTCAAAGCTTACAATTCCGCTGCATAATATGATGTTACCTGAAGTTACAACACAGATACTATATCTTTTATTGTTTGACTTACTATCTATTGCATTTCTTTTACAATTCTTCCATCAAATAACGACAGCATCGGTGGTTTAGTGGTAAAATTAGCCGTTGCCACGTGATCAATCAATTCGATTGGTTTACCGCAACTTCGGCTAGCCCCGGGTTCGATTCCCGGCCGATGCATTCATTCAATATCTTTTTTTTGCATGTTTGATGCATTTTTGTGGTTGTGCTGTCGTGGAATGTGTTTTTTTGCCTGTTGGCGGTTATGGTGGCCCGAGCGTTCATATCCGGGTACTTGCAAGCCAAATCTACCTAGCTCTCAGCCTAAGGGGGAGGTCGGAAATAGTCCTAGGAAGGCTCGTGAGGCTCTTTAATTGACTACAGAGACATTTTAGAGGGTAGAATAATATTATATTAAAAATTCTTCTTATGGCTTTGCAATATTGCTATTAAATTTAAATACTAAATGCTATAATATTATTTACTAGATACAACACAACAGTGCTTAGGTGGTGATCATAATTGTACAATAGTGGTGGCCAGGACTATTTCCGACTTCCCCCTTAGGTTGAGAGCCTAGGTAGCGACGAAGAAGCTGAAACCATCAGAGTCCCACCAACCGATGGGAAGGCTGGCCCAGCCGGAGGGTGGCAGGTGAACCACCAACGATATGCTCGATACAAGAAGATGGACGAGAATGCACCAAGTGAGATGCCCAAAGAAACGAAGGGGGCAGTGGAGCAAGTGGATCTCCTTGGACGGACCGGAATGCTCGATGAATTTCACCCAGATGATCCTTCTAGGGCTGGAAGACAAGATCAAAATAGTAAGACTATCTGTCTATTACAAAGTACTTCAACTCTGTTAATCCATGGGATACAGACGATCACACCAAGACCACAATAGCAGTGGCACATTACTTCCGCAATCACGAAGTTCCAGCAAGGACCTTCACGAGTATCCACAAAGGAATTCCAGCCGGGACTGTCAAATACGCATACGAAAAAAGGAAGTTCAACAAAAAAGTACGACGATGGCAAGGAACAATCTGCACCGAGTAAGTTAGTTACTATTCTTTCGTGGTCTATCATTAATTAATACTTAACAGTTATCTATACCAGCATGCGAAGACGTTTTACAGAAAGAAGAAAGAAGCAACAAACTCAGTTGATCTGCTTAAGCTCACAAGGAAACCTGGCCATCATCGAAAAGCTTTGGCCTTCTAGGGCTAATGAACGGAAAGTCATTACGCACCGTATGTTTAAGCCGTTCGTACCTTATATTGACTTCGACGCTATCTTTGAACCACCCGATAATGCGCCACAAGAAATCAGGAAGATCTGTGCACGCTGGAGAAACTTCATCAAGCATTGCTATATTCGCGATATGGAAGGTTCGCTTGATATCCGTGTACGGGCTCGCCATGGTGGCGAGGAAGATCATACCCGTAAAGAAGATTTCAAATTCTTCCGCTATTGGAAGAACTTGATCTCGGGGGGTATCATCATCGAATTCCCCCCAGTTGAAGATCTTCCGGTCAACATAGACCCGGCAGCAAAGGCTCGTGACGTCGGATATGAGGATGTATCTGATTACGAATTCGATGACAGCGACGCTGCATACATAGGTTCTGGCAACCGAGCAGCCATTTCGGTTTCTGAAAAAAGTTGGAGAAATGAAGAGCGTCGGAGGGTCACTTCAGGATCATATTTCACTTTTAGTAGCCGTGAGTTGTAACAACGAAATAGGTCTGGCGCTGTGACCCCGTCATTCAAGATTCTTCTAAACAAACATTATTTAGCACTCAGCAAGATCCCGTTCTACCAATGTACTTGATTTGTTTTCTGACGTAGATTACATCAAAGGGAGAGGTCATAAAGTTTCCATAATTTCAAGAATATGTTAGTCGTAGGTCAGCCTGCTAACGGCAATCTCTGCTGCCTTTGCAGTACTTCAACCTGATTTTTGGCTGCAAGGATAAAAATGACCTTTTGGAGTATTTATGGTAGCCAAAGTACCACATTGGCAGTATCCATTCAAACCTCTAAAAGTCTCGCAGGGCCGTTGTTAACCATTGGGATCCGATCCGGCGCTGATGTTCAAAGATCGGCTTTACAGCCATGGAGTCAATGCCTCGGCTCCAAAAGGCCACCGGTTAATGCAATACGGCAGATAAAATGCTTTTGTGAATGAGAGTGGACCTTTGATGCCGAAAATTGAACACGACGCGTACATGTTCCATGAGGTATCGCGGAGTAACATTGGGTCTGAGGTGGCCAAGGTCGGTAGCAGAGCGATAAGGAAACGTTGAACGGGAATCCAGTGGCATCTACCATTCTCCCGTAACCCGTATTCCCACCTATGTATTCCTCTAACAGTCGGATGGCATTAATATAAGACTGTTCGAAAGTCAGTTGTACATTCTCCAATGTATGTGATACCCCCATTTCGATGAACACTTGTTCGTGCCGATGGTGTCTTCCAAACATACGGAATACATTGTCACTGCCAGAGTCTATTCCGAATGCTGACATGCTAAAAGACATATCTCAAGAAGATTGGAGTGTTGCACTGGTCACTTCAAGCATCACGTTGCTTTAAATTGACGATGTATAGCTTCGCGGAAGAAGACCCACTACCATAACCTCTGATAGTCACAAAGATAAACCCTTAAGGCAATACACTGGGTTCAAATACATGCACACTTTACCAACTGTTCTTCACGATCCGTCGGCAGTGCAAAAATCATAGCCGAATATTGGTTACAGACTTTACATGGCAGTATGTTGTCGCGTATAGACGCCTCTGTAGTAGGGAGCATCACAGGCACGACCCGCAATCGGTGAATAGGTAGGAAAGGTAGATATTTGACTCTGTCGATAGGCCTCGGGAGGTAGGTGGATGATGCCTCGAACTCTTTTGGCAACCGTGATCGATCTATCTATGCCCTACCTAGGGCCTTTCCTTATACACGTGATCCCCGAATAGCCTCATCTATCCTGCTACACCACAATGTAAATATGCTTTCTCCACGGTACATATTCCCTTCGTCCATATATTCCCGCTGCTGAAGCAGCACTGCAGAGTCAACCAGCACCAGGCCAGGTTTCTCAAATTCCCCAGCGCCCACAACATGAAACAGTTAACAGAGCAGAGTAAACTCTCGAAATCTACCAGCTGCATCCTGCTGTACAAATCTCCTGTACTAACAATCTAGTACCTGGTAAGAATATGTACCCTGTTCAGATAATTTCCATAGATATCATAGTAATCGACTGTGAGATGGACTCTTCGATCACTCCTGCTGGTGTGTGAGGCCCGTTACTGATTGAGCAATTAGCTACGTTCTCAATGCTCTAGAGGAAGTGGGACTTGCACGACAATGGCTGTATAAGCTCCTGTAGGTGGTTATGCGTACGATTCGACTTCCCGCTGGATTCTTGCTCTTTTTCGGGGGTCGTTCGAGAACATATGTTGAGGGTCGAATGAGACAATGACCGGCATGGTGACAGCAGGGTTTTAGAGTCTTTTTGTAGTAGTTGAAAGAAATAAGTAGCAGAGATGAACAAAAGGTATCAGAGAATTCAGATGTGGATTATAGAGAATAACACGGAAAGAGAAGCCTTTTATGTTTCCCGAAGTTGTGATAACATGGAGCGCTGTGTTAGAATCCATGTGCTAACTATTCCTAAAGGAAATTTGGAACCTAACGGAGCGAACTTGTGTGCTACGCCGCAAAGAAGCAGACATAATATGCTTCACTATCTTATAGTCCTGTGGTCGTTTTCAAAACTTTCAGGGTGCTTATGTCTTCATCCGTTTGCTGTTGCGACACCAGGCGTAGTTCGATTGGAAACCTTCAATGATTTTATTCTGGCATATACCTCTATTGAAGTAATGCATTTCATGGCACTGCATAGCAATTCAATTAGCAAAATGACACAGCGTAGTGTGGTTGAAAGTTTTGTCTGCTCATGGAGACATCCCGTGATGCAGCGCAGAATGGGCTAGTGGGATCCGGCTGATTGATGCAGTATCGCGGCACAGAGACACCTACGCAAGCGTCAGCGCGTAAAGTTCATCACTTGCGAGTATAAAAATGGATTGAGATGAATTGAAAGGACGGATTGGCACAAATCAAGGCTTCGATACCAACCACTACAGCTGCCAGGCCGCGACTCCGCCTACACTGCGAGCATAATTATTCTTGAATGGCACAGGAATGACACTCTATTGACGCAGTATCGCGGCACAGTGACCCCTCGCATGCATCCGCTGCCCAAGAAGGGAATATTGGAGGGTAGCACAACTAGTTAAACGCGCGCTCTGGCAAAGCTAAGCGGTGGTGGTGTTAATAGAGCCGCGGAGTTGTACACTACAGCCCACGCCCACGTCCGCACGAAACAATGGTTCGCGCCGACGTCCAAGAAGTTACGAAACCTTAAGAAGTCTATTTTAAGTTGATCCCTCTCCCTATTAACTACCTTGATTGCACGCAAAGTGACTGCTACCTCTGTACTCAATTGTATGCATGCCATTGTTGCCCGCAATCTTGTGCTTACGGGTCACCTGGTTTCCCCAACCTCGTCTGCCACTCTTGCAACAAGGTCTTGCTTTTTCCACTTCTTCCGTTGCCATCACCTCGCCATGACCTCTCCTCCCCCAACGCCTCCTGCAGAGGTGCCTTCTGATGAACAGTTTTTCAGATTCAAAGAAACGGGCGCGCCTTGCGAGGGGATTGAGGAATATCGGCCTGGAGGTTTTCACCCAGTCAATCTTGGAGACACGTTCCATGATGGCAAGTACAAGGTTATTAGAAAGCTTGGAGCCGGTTCGTTTTCCACTGTGTGGCTAGCTGTCAGCACAGGGTATGTTTCCTACATTCCCATTTCCCTATTCCTTGCCTCTTGCTTGTGATTCGTATCTCTGACACGAACTGCTGCCATAGCACACCGCGATATGTCGCCCTCAAGATAATGATTGCCAAGGCACCTGGTACGAACACGGAGCTCTGCATCCTTGATCACCTCTCGAAACAGGCACCTGGAGACATCAGGGCCCAGCATGTCACTGCACCTTTGGACATCTTTCAACATCAAGGCATTAACGGCAAGCATCAGTGCCTAGTGTTCGAGCTTATGGGCGGAACTGCTGCTTCAGTAGTAGAAGAATTACCAGAGAACAAACCAAAGAAGTACGGAAAGAGACAGAGGTATCCTAAATGGATGGCTAAGAGAATACTTCTCCATGGACTCCGTGGCCTCGCCTTCCTTCATCAAAATGGTGTGGTGCACGGTGACGTCCAACCAGGCAACCTGCTCTTCTCTATTGCGGACATCAGCCCTACAGAAGAAGAAAGTCTAAAGCAGGACGAAGCTAGCACTGCAGTACCCGTGCATAGGGTCGATGGGAAGGCTGATAGATGGGCGCCGAAGAATCTGTATCTGAAACAGCCGCTATACGATCGCGTGCAAGTTGGTCCAGAAACCTGTGTAAAGCTGTCGGATTTAGGATCAGGTGTGCCGCCCCACAAAGAAGCACCCTACAGACATAAGACTGTTGCATTCTAATCACATATAGCTTTCTGGTTGGCTGAGCGTCCTAGCAAAACGGTTACACCTATTGGTCTCCGCGCACCAGAGCTAATTCTCCACCAATCGTTCGGCTTGGGCATTGACATTTGGAGCTTTGGATGCCTGATATTTGAGTTTTTGACGGGAAGGGCGCTATTCGCCATCGGGGTGTTTGGTTGCAGTCAGAAAGCTCAAGAAGATGCGGATGATGAACACCTTATCCAGCTCAACGACGTTATTCGACCTCTACCCGACTCTATGATGACTGTTTGGCCGCGCGCTAGCAAGTGGTACACACCTGACCACCAGCGCCTACAGCCACACAGCGACGAAGAGCTAGATAGCGACGAAGAGTCATACAGCGACGTAGAGCCGTACATATATCCGTCTCTCGAAGAGCTCTTTGCAGAGGAAAAGTCGCCCGAGATTGATGATGAGGAATCCGCAGTCGTGTGCTCACTAATGCAGCAGATCTTTGAATACGACCCGGCAAAGCGGCCGTCAGCGGAAGATCTGCTCAAGCATCCTTGGTTCTCAGAGTAAATGCCACCCCCTGTAGAAGGAGATCCATTAGGGAGAGCAAAGTACTTGTTCGATGTGGTGCGAATACGAATTTCATCAGGGGTTAGATGATTATACTTCGTACAATTAGATATGGTTTGGTATCTATTATGATCAACCACTTCATTCAAGAATCAAACCAAGTCGAGCAGATGGTGCGAATGTGCAGTACTGTTGAAAAAGGCATGATGTAACTCCACCAGGACCTCAGCCACCACGAAAATCCATCCTCTGCAAAAAGAAATTGTAATTCATTATATTCGTCCAGGTGTCCTTCTTGGCGACTTCTATCGTTACTTATGCACATTATGCTTTCCTCATATTTTACAGAAATTCTGCTGCTTCCTTATTTGCAGTATCATGAAAAGATTTGCCATGCCATCTGGTCCTCATATGTTGTACAGAAAATAGTAGAACTGAAATTTGTGTTTGCTTCGTGTCAGGGAAACTTAGATCTCACCGAGAAGGAGGGCAGGACTATGCCCTCCCTGCCTATTCACTACCAGGCCCCATGGGGCGGTAAACAACCTTCCCTTTCACCTTCTCGATCTCATCCTGCTCGAGTCTCCACTTCCTCCCCTTTTCACTATATCGTTGGATGACAGCCCTATACGACCGTAGCTGTTTGTCCAACTCCTCATTTCTGGAAGAAAACATGACTTTCCTACGATTTGTAAGTTCCTTGTACCTGCGGGCCGCCAGTTCTGGGGATAGCTCTTTGATGTGGTATTTCAGCTCCCAGTTGTCTTCCGGTGTGAGTTTGCGGGGTCGCGTTACAGGAGTGTCGTTTACGCGGCTACTTACGGACAGCATCCAACCAGTGAAATGCTCGGGGACCGAGGACGCGGGATCTTCTGGGGCGGCGGCTGGTGACTCTGATGTTTCTGATGTTGCTGATGTTTCTGGCGATGCTGCCGATTTTGGTGTCGAGTTGGAGTCGGTTTCTGGCTGTTCACTGGAAAGGACTGGCTTCTCATCGCGGATTCCGTGGATATGTTCGCGCTCGAAGGCTTTGACGAGCTCGTTCTTTTGGCTCTGAATGGCGTCTGCTTCTTCTTCCGTGACTGGCTCTGCGAAGACGTACATGTAAGGCGTGTTGACCTCCGTCCGTGTCTCGAAATGCAACCGTATAGACTGTGGTCATTAGCCAAAAGTAAAAAGCGACAATTACTTAGGAAACTTACGGATTCTGGATACTTCTCTATAGAGCGCTGGAGGAGCTTATCAAGAAGCGAGATACTGAGCTTAAATTCCTGATCGCCCAGGCACGTGTCTTGCTGGCCATGAAGTACTCGATCCATGTCCGACAGGCTCAAATATTGGAAGCCAAAAATGCGCTCGATGTTATGATAGGCGACAAATATACCATCCATGCGGCCCATGCGAACCTGCAGAGAGTATTTGAGCATAGTTGCACGAGTCATATCGTAGAATTCACGCTCGAAGGATTCCCATTCGCCTTGATCATAACGAAGTTGGTATCCAGCACCTGTCTCGTACTGCTTGTGGTCCATGCGGATCGAGACCACGGCTCTCGTCTTTAGATCAAAAACGCCTGTGCCCGGTAATCGCGTGTCGTGAGCGTCCAGTTGTGAGCGCATGAGGAAATTTCCAAGCTTCGAGTAGTGGAAACAACGTCCAGAGTCATCTTCTGTGGGGGCTGCGCCGGTGTTTGTGCGGCGAAACTTCTCAAATTCATCACGTGAACTAGTGAGAAGCTTTTCGAGGGAGTGCCCAAGCCAGCTCATGATGTTGGGAGTATCGTAAGCCTTGTCGGCATCAATCGCGTAAATGCCATTCTTCCTCCTGAGGAAGATGGCGCTCGGCCCCCTCGTGATCTTAGAGAACTTCCCCAAGGCAGCTTCGCTAGGCTCGTGCTTCGACTTCGGACTCGTTACACCTTTTGAACTAGAAGAAAGTGGAAAGTTTCTAGATAATTGGGAGAGCAGCAGCGGCCGATTATGGGACAAGAGGAAATGGAAGTGCTGCAACGCCCCTGTCATGCTGGATGTGGAACCGGTGAACTTGGTACCTTCTCTCTCCGTGATTGCCAGCAATTCCTTGTCCTTGGACGAAGTCTTGTATTCAGTGAGCGCGCTGTAGTCGAACTCGGTGGCAGGCATGATCTTCTCTAGGTAGGGGTCGAAGTTGTAGACGCGAGATCGGGGGTCCTGGAGCCGGTAGACGCCAGGATTGAATAGGACTCTGTCAAGCCCGTAGGACAACTTCGGTATTGGCGGAATCTCGTGGTCAACGGGCTTGAATTCAAGACTATCGGAAGTAATGGTCTCGGTAGGGAGCGACGCTAAGGGATCTTTGTGCTTTTTGGGCCTTTCTTCAGCTTCTTCAACCTTTGCGGCATCTCCTGATCTCCCGCGTAGCATAGCCTCTTTGAGAGACAAGGCTTCACCGGCTCCGGCATCTTGAGCTTTACTCTTAGCCTTTTCAGCGGCTCTCAATGCCTTCCGTGCGTCACGGGCTTCCGCTCGTGTAAGTCTCTTCTTCAGTTGCCTCCGCGAACGATGATTCAGGGCTGCTCCCTCTGCTTTTGAGGTATTGTTTTTGGAGGGAACTTTCCGTATGACTTTAATCAATTTGTCGATTGCGATGTTAGGGTATTTGGGCTTTCTCTTGGGTTTTTGGAGCGATGCTGTGGTGGAAAGAGGTCGGAGGCGTGGAGGCGCTATCAAAGCGCGCGTGGAACAGAGAGGGCATATCGAAGGTTGTTGCCGTGGGGCTGCTCGAAGGAGCTTACGAGTTAACATAGAATTGATGAGGATGTGGGGTAACAATGGGATCAGTAGCGACGCGGAACGTTTTGATCACGGCCGGTGCGCGTGGGCAGAGCTCGGCGGCAATGATGTGATTGATGAGGTCGTCGTAATAGATTGATACTGACAATTCCTCATACGAGGGTATCTTGATGGTATGAGACTAAAGAAAATTATGTCGGTGTTTCGGAATAACTGACAGTTCCGATCCTTCCGACGCTCAAGATCACATGATCACGCACGAGACACCAACAAGGAAGAAATTACCCAGCCACTTTGGGATGAAACGGACAGAACATGAAACCATCAACATTACACCATAGGTACTCGACCTTGTCCTATTTCAACATCATTAGCCTACCTTGGTGTAGGCCAGTCACTATTGCTTGTATACGGTTGTACCTCGTACTGTACCGTATTGCAGTATTCTATCAATAGATTGACCTAGCAAGCGAGCAGGATCCTCCCATCGATTGGGGCACACGCACTTCGTATCCCCATCGCATCTACTACATACAAGTACAAGCAATAAACAACGAGTACCGCGGTGATGAATCGTGAGACTCGGGCTAGGAGAGAAACGTTCCATTGAAAGACAATGGGTGCGGTTTATGCAGCATGACATTACATTGTCTTGCCTTGCCTGCAACCTGAGACTTGAAGGCTTGTCAGCTTGCCTTGAGGGCGGTACCATAATAATCCTGGGCAATTGAGATCTGCAAGGCGACGTAATCACCATCTCAACCGCAGGAAACTCGCGTACGTACGATCGAGTCGAATCGCATCCTGACCTATTCCCTGCCCTGTAGGAGGGGATTCCCACATTCTCGGTCACATCAAAACGGGATCGACCTGCTGGTTGTTCCCATCCGTTCTCCTTGTCATTCTTCTTCTGACCGTTTAATCATCCTTCTTCCATTTTCGGGACGTCGCGCGCATCGTTCGTTATCTTCGTTTCAGCAATAACATTCATTCTTGTATTACCGCAACCAGCTAACTGCCCACTTCTCCTCTACGCCTCTTCCCAAGTCCGTCACCAACAGACACCTGTCAATTGTCAACACGCCCTGTTTGGTCTTCGGCCCTGACACCCTGAGTATTATTTTTGTTCCTTTGCTTGATTGCTCCGCCACGCGCTCGGTCCTTCATTGGTTGGGCCCATCAACCGGACTACCCGACCGAAACCTCCAATCGGTGGGTGGTCTTGGTCTTGGGGTGTGCACGTATCCGGAGCGTGTGTGCGTCTGAATGACAATTGCGATCAACTGTTTTCTCATCTCCTTCAATCTTCTCTTCTTTTCTCACCTCGCCTCGCTTCCATCCACTATGTTGACAGCCAACTTTTGCGTCCTCGCTTTCACATGAAGACTATCGGATGCGGCTTCAGTCCAGCTTGATTCGGCCCTCGTCTCCCCACACCCACATCTCAACCGCGTGCTCTCTATCGCGCTTATCCACGCCCGTCATAAGCTCCAACGGCTAACCTCTCATGCTTGTCGCATTGGGCCGCTGATTGGCCACGTTCAACCTCACCTCTCCTGCAACTACTGTGAGCTCGCCTGCTCAACCCTCTCGTGTCACTACTAGTACTCCCTCGTCCCTCCCGTCCCTCCGAAACCTCGAAAGTCCCGCATGAACGTTTCCTTTCTTCGCTGAGCTCTCGCTGAGCTGCGTGTGCGCTGCAGACCATCGGGTCTCCCACACAATGACCAAGGAAAGCAAGCGGCGAAGCATCTTTGGGCTTTCCGGCCTACAAAGCTTCAAAGATGACCAGGAACCATCCAATCTGCTACGAAAGCGGAGGACTGCCTCGATAATGACAAGCTTGTCTGCAGTGTCGACCCAGTATGGCGACGACGAGGCAGTCGACGGCGCCTCCGCGACCACACCCTCGCCTTCCGCAAGGCCCTCGATCGTGCGCAGCGCAGGCAATCGCACAAGCGCTGTATTCAATTCCCTCAGAGGCAGTCCCCTGCTAGATGGCGAGGAATTCGTACCTACACTCGCAAATCGTTCCCGTACTCTTTCGAACAACTGGGCTATACCGGACGACCCTTCGCGGAGCCGCCAAGTTCTCCAGCATGGTGAGGTACAGACAAGTAGCTCCATGTTTCGAAAGAAGAAGGAATACCTAGTTCTTACTGAGACCCATCTGATGAGATTTAAAAACCAACCCAAGGCTACCGAGGCTTTCCCACTGTGAGTGAAGCTTGCCATGAAATGTGAATACCTTTATTAATTGACATCCAGAATCGTCCCCTCTTTCTCGCGAGCATCGTCTTCATATCGACATAGTCAAAGTCCCTCTGCCGGTTCCTACGAGTTCCCCTCTGCTGCATCGGATACATCTGGTGATCGTGATCTTGGGACCCCATTGCGCCAGATCGTTGCTGTCCACCAGCTCGACGATGGTCGGCCACACTTTGCCTTCGAGATTGCATACCTTGACGACGAGACGAACCACGCCTCGTCCATGACTTTGCAATTTGGAGACGCAGATGACATGCATAGATGGCTTGCCAAGATTCGAGACGCAGCTAATCGCGTAAGGCTGGCTGACTCGAACCCCCTGTCTGCATACAATTCGCATCTGGCTGCACGAGTAGTTGAGGCAGAACGTGATTATGTACCCCCGCATTATTCCATATACAAGGTTGTTTCACGTCCTTTGGCGAAGCCAGGAACAAGGGCGTCATCCGACGATCTAACCAAGGCGCTCTCTGTCGTATGTTTTCTTGCTATTGGCGTGCATAAAGTTCACATTATCCCACTGTTCAAACCTCCTTCGCAACGATCGTCGAGTCCATCTCTCTCCACGCAAAACACTCAGTCCTCGTATGGTGTGCTGAACATTACCGAGCTTCGTGTGAGCGAGGTAGACGACAACTTCGAGCTAACTTTCAGGTGTGTCCTCTAATTTGATTGATCTTTCACTGCTTACTAAATGTCATATCAGACTACCTTTTCAGAAGCCCAAGGTCTTATATCTTGCCTCTCTAGCCTCCCATGACATCGCAGTCAGACTGCGCTATGTTGAGGAGAATTTACGCCCCGAATGGGAGTCCAGACCGTACCAATTCATTGTTCCTGATGCCGTCAAACATGATATTCTTCGACAGAGCAGTCCCCGGCCGATTGACCAGGATTCCCTTGATCGTCTTCTCACTGGGTATTGCATTTCGTACAATGTAAAGCCTGAAAACATTCGGTACCAGATCACTTATCCCCAGGAGGATTATCCACGTTTCGAGCTATTGCGACCGATCGCTATAAGGAGAGATCACTACACTGCATTGGAGCTACTCGCAGTGATGAGGTCATTGCGATACAATGAAGGATTCGGGTCAATATCCTTCAAGGATGTCCCTCTGGATGCTCTCAATGGTGTGTTTGACGAGTATGGAGCGGAACACGTATGTGCCAAAACGAAGCGTGGGACTCCTGTTCGCTTGGATGCCGGGGAGTTGAATCGGTCATGTCTATTGGTTCAGGAGATTCGCGCTCTAGCAATAACGAGTCGAAGATTGCGGAGGCTTGACTTCTCAGCATGCATTACCAGGAAACCTAAAGATCACATGAGTTCTTCGTCCAGAGGCCGTGATATGGGTTGCGGCATTGTAGAGGCCCTATTCCCGCTGTGCAAGTACCAGACTACCAATGTGGACTGGATAGCCTTGAACAACATTACATTGGGCGATACGGATCTGGACTATTTGGTTGCTGCGGCAGTCGAGAGGTCTTGTCACCTACGTGGCCTAGAGCTGAGTGGGTGCGGCTTGACAGATCGCACGTTGTCTCTCATTTTAGACTCTCTTCGGTCACAAGAGAATACATTCGAAGCCATAGATCTGTCTGCAAATCCCGTGCGCTTGTCGCCAGCTCTTTTCGACTCGCAGATCGGTGTTTTTGGTTACCTCACCAAGCTCAACTTGTCAAATCTTGCTCGCAGCTCAGGAACAGAGCCACTTATCTCAGTCGAGACCTTCCAGGCCTGGCGATTGCAGGAGTTGATCTTGAGTGGGACTTCATTAAATCCAGCCATGGTAGATGCGATAGCTAGGTGTGTACGATTCCTTGAATTGGTCTGAAAGCTGCTAACTATCCCAGTTATCTTGTTAATTACAAGCAATCGAAGGCATTGACCGAGTTAAAGCTAGATCATTGCTATCTCACTGGTCGGGATATTGCATATTTGCTGCATTCGATGACCGAGGTCGCCGGTCAAGCTCGAGAACTACATTTCGACATCAGTGAAAATGACATCGAGAAGAATCTTGACGAGCTCACGAAAGCCATAGCGAGCGGACTCACGCCTTCACGGCTATCCGTAAGGCTGATTGAATTTGACGAGGAGACGGATTTCCGGAAGATGATCCAAGCATTGACCGTCAACAATACTATTCGGCAATTGGACATATCGCGAGCTTCGTTGCCATCCGACGCATCTGCCCCCACGACCGAGGCTCTAGAAAAAATGTTCGCCGAGAATACTTCTCTGGAGTGGTTGGACATCAGCGGTGAAGACTCTCGCTTGGAGACAACGAAACTCGGGGTGGGGATCAACAGGGCACTGAAAGGTCTGCAGTATAACACAACTTTACAAGTGCTGTACATCAGATGTAAGTCCATCTGGATGCCGTTCTAAGATCTATCACTGACAAAATACAGTCCAGAAGCTTGGTTTGCAGGGTGCAAGTACGCTGGCTGATGTTCTCAAAGTCAACACAACTCTACGAGAATTGTATTGCGAAAATAATGGCATTGCCTTGAGTGGTTTTACCGACTTGGTCAACTCATTACATCGCAATACCACCCTATTATACCTCCCATCAATGCAAGAAAGTCGACAGCTTGCATTGAAGCAAACCGAGGATCAAGTGAAGCAAATGCAAAGCGAAAACTCTCCACAAGCAAATGGCCGATCGACATCCGTCCGATCTAAGATCGCGAGCAAAGTGTCCGGAAAAACCACGCGAGAGCGTGCTCCGTCAATGATTTTGTCTGATCAGGACATCAAGGCCGCCTTGGGCTTGGTCGATGAGAGCTGGAGTAGGCAGGACTATCGGTTGCAACAATATCTCCAGCGCAACTTCAATATCGCAAACGGCATCGAGGTAGCCTTGGAGGTTGACGAGGAAGAATTCGAGCGTCCGGATACCGCCCTCAGTATCAGTAAAATTGTCGAAAAGGTCACAATCGATACCACCCCTACCGTGGAGAAAGACCTGCAGCTTGGGCTTGAGATAGAGACGCAGAAAAAAGAACGGGAGCGACGCGGCACGTTGACTTCGATTGAAAAAGAGATCCAGATGTCGTATGCCGAGAATGTACGAGCATTCAATCGGAATCGACTCCCATCTTAGCGGCACACGGAAAACTTACATATTCATCCTTGTTTTCGATTTTATTGGGGGAGAACTTGCATGAAAACAGCATTTGGCTTTTGTGTTTTGAATAAGTACGTGGTCATGTAGATCTATTTTGCATAGCAGCAAGGCGTTCAGTAAAACGAGGCAACAGTATCGCGGGGGTGGCGCTTCTATGGAGTACACTGTGGCCTATCATCATCTGGAAGGAACTTGGGTTTATATGCTTTTATGATGATTTGGGTTCTTCGAATTATGCTTACTGCTAGTCATCTTTACTTTATGTATTTTGGCTACGTTGACAGGTGTGGAGCAAGCATATATCTCAGCGATTCATAGCTTGCAAAATGAGAAATGCATGCACACATGCAGTACAACACATATGCGCAACCTAAGGTGTTTCTTCAGCCATACACTGTGCTTGCTGTATGTACTTCAGCCGGGTTCCAACAAAAAAGCAAAAGATAACAAATTCACTCGTGACCGTATTGTACAAAAGCAGTAATCTGCTGGCAGCATAGGACCATCTGATTGGACGGCTGATTGGACTAGCTTCTCATGCCACCCCACGCCGCGCGCTGCCGCCGAACCGGAAGTGCACTCTGCAACTTGACATCACCTAATTATCCTTTAGAGTGAACCCCCCAACTCCAATACAAGACATCAACCAGAATCTGCTTCTTATCATACTCAACTCCACAATCATACCGTTCAGAAGTGTCGAGAGCAAAAAGAAAATCCTGAAGCACTGGATGAGGACGATAATCTGATTACACCATGACGCAGCCACGCACCCACGCAAGCCTAACAAAGGACCAAGAGACAAACGAGGCGGCGTGGGAGGCATCAAGAGGCGCGCTTAGTGGTGCTACAAAGGTACGTTTTGATGATTGCAAGTTGCTGCTTACTCTCTATTACTGTTTTTTTCTTCTTCACTTCCATTTTCATACTGAGAACGAAAATTTCTTTCCTTTCTCTCTTTCGTTCACGATCGTACGTTCTGCACGGTGTCCGTTGAGACCATCGGCATCTATCGGCACGCATCAGACATGCCGATTGTTTCTATTCCTATGAGGAAAGGTCTCGTGTGGTCTTACCATATCAAAGCATATTTATGTCTTTCTCATTCGTTTATTTATTTCTGACCACTACATGCCATGCCTCTCCTACCCACAAGCCGCGCAAAGATGGACACATGCGATAGAAGTTGTTCGATTTGCTAACGATGATCTTCACGAGTAATAGTGGGGTGCGTTCTTTGCAGCAGCAGGAGGCGTCGCATATGCCTTTTCTCCTTTGTATCGGGGATTGACTTTTCAATTCAAAGTGTGAGTTTCCGTCACCTTCCCTTCCGCATGTTCAAGATCGATATTACGAACATCGATCTATTGGTTCGAACGATCTCACCAAATCCCAATCAATTTCTTTCCATGGACACGCACCGGAAATGCCTCATAACTGAATTCACGAAAAAGGTACATCCAAATGTCTGGAATGATCCTGGGCTCGATGATCGAGGCAGACAAGCGCATGATACAGTACGAGCACCGTATCCGACATCAGAAGAGGCTAGCGCGCGACATGGAGGTCTGGAGGAGGTACGAGGAGGATTTCGAGAGGAGGGGCACGCCTGGTGTCGGCGGAGAAGGGAATGTTAAGGGGAGGGTAGAGACTGGCGCCCAAGGGGAGGATTGAGGGAAATTTGGGCCTGTAGAGGTTAGGGACCCCTTTCTGGTGTGAGTGGAGGGTGTAGGGATGGAATTGTGGTGATAGACTGGGAAGATGGGGATTCGTTATCGAGGAGGACATTTGTATTATAGTTTCTGCATTTTGGATTTTTTATCTTTTTTATATCAGAATGACAATATCTATGGTCAAAAGTACGAACAGGATTATTGGTGGTGTTGTATATGCAATGTTTGAATTGAACTTGGCAGAAAAAGTCGACAAGACATGATCAGTTCTGATACAACGACATGCAAAATGAATGAAGACCACTTGTTCATCAAATTAGGTCAAATTGATTCGCTCGTGCTCTCGTTCATGACATACACAGTATGAAGCTTGGCAAGAGCTTGATGAAGCTATGACCATTTTGGACCCCACTTGAATTGTCGGATCAATTATCAGCCGAATTGCGCCGCCGCCATTTCCGATCCTGCCAGATTGTTGTTCTTCATTTCTCTTCCTTTTCTTCTTCTTCTTCTCTAGGCAGCAACCAGCTCCACCACTCTCGCTCCTTTGCCAGAACTATAAAACCGCAAATCGCGCCCCCAAACCCATTCAACTTACCCTCCAATTCCCCACGTAGACTACAGCAACACATCATGGCAGACGTATTCTGGCAGCTGCCGCCCGTTACAAGGTATGTTGTCTCTCCGTCTGTCCCGCATCATCGTAATCTTTGGAAACTAATATCTGCATAGAACAATAACGGCGGGCGCTGTAGTTGTATCTGCTCTAGGCTACTCGGGCATGATCAGCTTGATGAAATATGTCTTCATCTCTGAATATGTCTTTACCGTGAAGATGGTGCCACAGCTTTGGCGACTTGTGACGTCCTTCTTGATCACCAAGCCCAAGTTTGCCATCTTCATGGACCCGTACTTCCGTACGCAACCTCACACCTTGACATGATCTACACAAGCTTACGTCCTGCTAGTGTATCAGTATGGCAGTGGATTAGAGACCGAATCTTCTCGGTTCTCGCAGCCTGGCGACTTTTTTGTCTACACGGCTTTCCTCATGTCCGTCATAGTGGTAAGTCATTGCGATTGTCGACTTATATTCTCTTCCATTACCCATGTGAGGACCGCACAATTCGAAGTGCCAAAAATTCGAACAACATTCTTCTCCACCTCATACATCTGCCCGCTCAGACTCAACTAAAAACTATCTGTTCCGGTTCCTGGAAATGAGGAAGATCACCCTTGCACATCCCGCAGTTCCACGAGTTAAAATAGGGGCTGCGTGTGGTGTGTAGGCATGGTGGGATCGTCAATTGAGAAAGCGCAGCGAACGCTATGAATTTCGCTGTGCGATTTTTGGCCCCCTACATACTTACATATGTTCAACGTCTCATATGTTCAATCTGCCGCGCGTGAAGGACCAAACGATGTTGAGACTAGATACTGACGTTTGTCCAAAAGTTCGTCGCAGGCTACATCCTGAAATCGTTCACCTTTCTGCAAGCCCTGTCGCTCGGTTACGCATACACATACGCGCAGGACAATCCTACTCGTCAAGTGTCATTCTTCATCGTCAACTTTGACTCCAAGTTTCTCCCGATCGCTATGCTCGCATTGACCTTCGTTATTGACGGCCCGGACGCTGCGTTGACTCAAGGCACCGGTCTCTTGGCTGCACATTTATACGACTTCCTGACAAGGATCTGGCCCACATTTGGAGGAGGCAGGAATTATATCTTTACGCCAAGGATTGTGAAGGGCTGGTTCGGCGGTCGCCCTGGAAGTACCCAACAGAGGTCTTACGGCACTGCTACCCAAGGAAGGCCAGCTGGCGGTGATGATACTGCCCGCAGCACTGGCAGGAGCACTGGTTTTGGAGGTCAATGGGATGGAAGAGGCCCTGGCCATAGGCTTGGCGAGTAAATGCTGTCGCGCGTTTGCATCTCGTTGGGATTAGAATTGGAAGCAAACTCACATACATTGGAGCATGAAAATGCACCAGAAAAGCGGCATAGCGCTTGATTGAATAGCAAAGCATATACCATGCAATAAATTATCAAATACTCACTACCACATCCTCCACTTGTGCGAATACACAAACTCATATCCACAGAAGACACGGTCAACATAGAACTAACACGACTTCACTTTTCGATTCCCCACGCACATCCATTCATTTGATCCATCACTTCGCCAACCCGCCACTCCCCGCCGGATTCCTCGGCCCATCCACCGCCCTCTCCACCGTCCCCGCGATCCCATCCTTCGAAGCGTCAAACTGCCTCCCAATCGCCCCTTCCTTACTAAACGGCCCGCCGATCTTCTCGCCAATCTGTCCGAACGCCCCATCCGGGTTGAACTGCTTGCCTATGGCGCCCTCGGAGGATATCATGCTTGGGTTCTGTAGCGGCGGACGAGGAGGTTAGTGAGTGGTTGGTTTAAAGGGGGGAGGGGCGTACTTCGTTGGGGATTGCGTTTGTGGAGGCGTTCGCGCCGAGTTTGTCGGCGGTTGAGAGGGGGGCGTTGGGGTTTGAGGAGGAAGATGCAGACATTGCTGGTTCTTGAGGAAGAGATTTGTACACTTTGGTGTGGTGTTTGGTGAGGCTTGCTGTTAGGGATGATGAGGTTGCTGGGGTTGGTTACGCTACGAGTTGGACGAGGTTGGTGGTTTGGTATATATATGTGTGAATGTCAGTTGAATCTAGTGTACCTCATGTGCATAACCGCTGTTTGGGTGGATGATGCATTCAAGCGGGAGATGGTCGAGGGTGGTGATGTCATGATTTTAAGGGTTCAGGCGAAAGTCGTCGGTGGAATCGGTGTGTCGGCGTGAGAGATCTATGATCTATTTTGAGGGTGTATGATGCATGTTGTGGAGACTGGACGGTGGGGAGAGTGTGCGAAGTGGTAGCTGGGAGTAGTGATGGGTGTGGTGAGTGAGTGGGAGCGGCGAAACGATGCCACCTTGCTGGTAGGTATTCGAGAGTTGGACAGCACTTGAGTAATATTTGATTAAGAAGTGGTTAAAATCAATATCCACAAGTTCAGAAGTACAGGTCGCGATCTGGATTATAGTTTTGAATCATGCTAGACTGCAAGCTATTGGGTATAAGCGCTCACTCCCATTGCGCTCCTGCATCCGCACACTTCGCCATATCTCCGTACAACTATCGTCGTGGCTGGTTGCTACGTCCCTTCGAGATCCTTGGGAAACTGAGTGGAATTCTGAGCTTGGCTATGGAATGGTTGATGCCCTCTGCCTTGGAGATCTTGAGTTTCTGTTGCTCGGTCTGAGTAGGCGGGTTGACTTTGCAGCCAATCTCTTGGAAATATGCTTTGATACTGTGAACAGTCAGATTGTGATCTTCCAGTGCAGGCAACTCTTAGCTTACTCTTTGTTCTCGATCTTCAGATCATCGCGGAGATCATTTACATCGACCTCGAACCCATCGACAATGAGCGCCGCCGCGGCTGTATGTGTCATGAGATTGTCGATGTTCCATCGGGGCATGTCGTTTTGGCTATGGGGAGATTAGTACAGCAATACTATCGAACAGGACCTGTCAACTTACGCAGACACGAATTTCCTCCTGATGGAATCTACGACGGCTGGCGGGATGTCATCACCCATGGCCGTAATCAATTTGTCTTTTGGTGGCACGTTCTTAGGTCCCTTGCCCTTGGTTCTCAACGCGGCATTGAAGTTTACGCAGAGCAAAATGAACTTCAGAACCTTGAGCTTTTGAACATCCTTGTTCTTTGCCAACTTCAGTATGCGCCGAGCAACATATTTGCTTGCGACTTGGACTCCCTTGCCCTCCTCCGCTGAATCTAGCCAATCTTTGATCGGAATAAGAGCCATGAGCTCCTTGCCGACGATGGTGTCAATCGGGTACACATCTGCAGGATATTCGGCAGCGAGATTGGCCTTCGGTCGAGGTTTGGAGCTGTCCAGTTCAGCCTCTAGTTCCTCCTTTGTTGGCATCTTGCCGTTCGTAGCATCCATGCCTTGCATAATGGCGTCTGCGACGGGGTTCTCTTCAGTGGGTTCGTTGGGGTCTCCTCTGGCGATTCTGTTCGCCATCCTCTCTTGAATAGCCTTCTTCGACTTCTTGGATCCAAATTCGGCTGTGAGATTGTACTTCTTTTGCGCCATGGTCATCCGTGCCTTCGCCTCTTCTTCGCGCACCTCCTCTACCTCGCTTCGTAGCGTACTTCGTACCGTCAACTTTGGCACTTGTACCAATTGCAATTTCTGCGTCACAGGATCGTATACGCCGATGTAGTCTGTGAGCATGCTGTCTGAGCTACCATCTTTCTCTTCGGATGCGGTGTAATCGAGGCGTGGATGTGCGGACGATTGGAGCAGAAGTTCTTGTGTTGCACTGCCAGGGAGGATCTTGCTCGATTTGTATGGCTTGAAGGCTATGTCCCGAGGACAGTTAAGGCCTGGAGTAGTAGCTTGATAAATAGTAAGTATTGGAAGTGAACCTCCGGGAATTCCGATTTGAAGACGAATGGCTACATACCCAAAACTGGACCCAAAACATCGCTGTTCTGCACGAACTGCACCTTGATATTTCCGGTAGGTGGTCCAGTTGAGGACTTTTTCTTCGGCCGGTTTACGAGCTCGTCCTGACGTTTCCTCTTCTCGCTACCCATGGTGTGTCGTGTTGTTTGCTAGCACGTAGGATGTCTAAACTTTGCGAACGGATCGTTCGTGATCGATTGTCCCAAAATTTTTGGAGATGGAAGTCTTGGCAAGCGCAGGCACAAGAAACTCCGCATGTACGCTAATCCACTTTGGGCGCAGATCTGGATGACGTCTGGCAACGACGCGTCTTTCATCCCACCCCAACAGTTCATAGGAAACGATAATGCAATGACCGTTTCGCCCATTCCTGTTTATCATCTGCAAGGGAGATCGACGTAGATCATTGTCATTACCTTTTAAGTGACCACAGAACTCTGTACACATTTCTATGCGACTGAGTACACTACACATTCACTCCATCTCAACTCTGACACACCATTGTTTGCTCTACGGCCAGTCTGATACCGAGTACTCTGCTGCGATGCCCACCCTTCAAGACAATATGCGGGAATTCTTGAGAAATGCGCAAAGTACATTCTATAGCCTTCTTGATCGCATTGCTAGCCCGGAACAGCGATCAAATACATCCCTCAAGATCCAGCATTTCGCAGCACATAACCCGAAAATGGCAGTATGTTCTTCACCGCATCAACTAATTCAATGAATCTGAAGCCTCTGACATTGCGACAGGCCTTCATCGCTTCTCAAATAATCTTCACCGGACTCCCTCTGCTGCTCTTCTTATCATTCTCTGTGACAGCCCTGCTTCTCTCTACGATGACGGCATTGCTCATTGGCCTACTTATTGCCGGTCTATTTACTGTACTTGCGGTCGGCGTGGCCTTCATTCTTCTTTTACCAACTATTTTCGTGACTACTTTCGCGGCATCATTCGTTTACTTGTGGGGCTTTTCAGCTTACTACCTGTTCAAGTGGATTGTCGACAGTGAAAGTGACCCGGAGGCGGGCATTGGGAGCTCGTTCAATCGTTTCACTGGAGGGCGAACAAAGTGGTTATTCGACGGATCAGGTGGTCAAGATACCGCGAGAATCGCAATTAAAAATGGCGATCATGCTAATGGAGACGGGGGTGACCTAAGAGAGAAGCCTAGGCATCGGCAGCAGGATGGTAACATGATAGCTAACACCAGTGGAGGAGCGGAGGTGGAGGAACTCGCGGGTAGCACTGAAAATACATCAACGGACCAGGCATATGGGATACAGAAGTATGGCGAGTTTACCAGTAGGTGAGAGTGCGAGCAGAATCAGCTCGAGTCTTGAGTGCCTCATCGGGTTAAATACAGATATTATCACTACAAACTCAATTCCGAATTCTCACTATGCAGCCTCGCTACTCGCTGGACGGTATTTTGATTCTCTAGAAGCCGACATGTATTTCAAGGAATGAGCTGAGGCGCATCGTATGCATAGAAGTAAATTTGAACGAGACTGGTTCACACATTGCCATAACTGAGAGCAGGACGAGTCGGGACAAATATCACTTTTCACTTCAGTGATCATGCTGAGGCACCCTGAACCATCATTTGACCTTCCCCAGGCAGAAGCGGACTGGAGCTGTTAACCCTACACCGAAGGTTTCCCTCCCGGTCAATCATTGGATACTGCCACCTCTCACCCACTCGCGATATCGCGGTGGCAAGTGAAGGTGAACTCCCGCCGCAAAGAGAGCCATCTCTCCGGGCTCTCACCCCCAGCCATCCTTTTTCCTACGGATTTGTTGCAGAGCTTTCAAAACCTTCCACTTTCCCTCAACTTCTCCCTCCCACTATCTCAATCCTTTACTTCAATTTTCCTCCATCGCCGCTCAGCTTCTTGCAAAACCACCAGCACCAATTTCATCACTTGTCTTACCAAAGCTCCCAAACTACAAGCTTCTCCTCAGTCGATATGGCATCTCAAATGACCCAAGAAGAAGAGCAGATCATGCGCAACAATCTTTTCGAAGGTTTCATCGCTGAAGGCCTTTCTACCGACAGCTTCCTGTCTCAAGGCCTCGAGATCGAAAATCTTGCGACCGACAACCTCACGGCCGGCAACGCCAACGCCGGAGGCGCTTTGCCTGAGAGCCTCACATCCGTCAACACTCTAGCTGATGGTATGGCTAAGGACCCCACGGGTGACCTTCTCTCGGATGACTGGATGTTCGGGGATATACTGTCGCAGCTGATTGCCCACAATACCTTGCCTGAGTCTTCAACTCCTGTGGAACTCACTGCCGATGACCTGAACCTCTTTCGCGATGCCTCTCTCCCCAACCGTCCAGTCAACTTGACTCCTCCGTCTACGCCTGAGCATCTCACTCAGAGCAACCAGCTCAAAGGCAATCTCGAACCCGCCACGGAGTCTATGGCGTCGAATCAGGTCGGCAAGAATGCAGCTTCGGTCAGTGATATTGCAGTCGTCAACAAGGCCATTACTGTCGCAGCCCAGAATGGCCTGACTAGCAGCGAGCCCGCTCCCAAAGCTGGCCAGGAAAACGTCACCTCCTTCAATCGGCCATCATCCACTCCCATCACCAGCCATACCAACGTTGTTCGCCACGAGGAGCTGGCTCCTCTTACCACCAATAGCAAAAATGAAGCCATGAAACCCACGTCTACCTCTCAATCCCCGGCCCTGTTCGTTTACTCGGCACGTCAGGCCATGGCCGACGAGACTCACTACTCTAATTGCGAGAGCCCCGAAGAGAAGCTCGAGCGTTTCTACATGCTCACCGGTCGCAAGCTTATATTATCCGATGGCACCGAGGCATATAGTGCCGGCACTTGTCCTCAGCAAGCCTCACGGACATACAAGTTCGCACCAGCAACCGACCGTCGTTTCCCTAATGATTTTACCTCGTTCGTTGCGAGCGCGATGGGTCTTGGAGATTACAACGAAACCATGCTTCCTCTCCAACTGGCCTGGATTGATGACATTCGCATGTTCATGCCTCATCCAGCCGAGCTTCAACCAAAGCCTTTACTAAACAAAGGAGGATACGAATTCGGTATCAACGGCGAGATTCTTCGAGACATTCCCGCACTACCACGACACATCAGCTCTGCAGTCGAAGGATGGCGTCTTCAGTACTGGTTCGTCATCGATAAACGAATCACCTATTCGGACATCATTGCCCGAATGCACTTTAAGTGTACCGAGAACGATGGTCAAGGCCCATTGAAGTGCGGCAGAAAGGAATTCATCGCTATTCTGGAATCTCGCATCGAAGCGTTTTGCCGCAAGAATGGAATTTTGCGTCCAATGAAGACTGCCTTTGACGCTGATACCTACCAAGTCACGCGTCATGATATTGGCGCTATTACAAGCCTTTCAGATACCCAGCTAGCGTACGGAACGTGGTGGGTTGTCGATGAAGAAAAGGGCGTGATGTACCCTCCCGCTCCTCAAAACAGTAGCCTTGCCTACTCGCCGCCGGCTCAATACATGCTACCCCCGAGACTTGGGATGAGCCCCCGAGTACGGAAGATATTCGAATTCTCATCTATGATGAGGTCTACTCAGCAGAGACAATCAAACCAGCAACCACGCATGGCCGCCCCGACACCTTCATTCGTTAACAGGAACCTTGTGGTGCCGTCCCCTGTAATGACTCCAATGCGCAGGGTATCCAATGCTTCTACTGCATCGGCTGCAGCAGCTTACATGACACCTGCCACGACTCCCGCTTCCGCTGTGGCCGTCAAGCCATCTGATACTACATCTTCCATGCCTGCCGCCAACGCTCGCGGTACGAAACGGCCTAATACATCGACTCCAAAGCAGAAGGTGAAGCGCACTCGAAACGCGCCGACAGCGAACACCACCAAAAACGCCATTGCGAGCTCCCATGGCAGCTTCCAGTCTTCCCCGGCCACAAGTTATGGAATGCAGAGACAGGAAGCAGCCATCCAGAAGTACAGGTTGGATCAGATGGCCGCCGCCCAAACCAACCAGGCGCTATACAACCAAAACAATGGCCAGGTGCCCCACGGCCAGATGTTCAATGGTCAAATGGGTAGCTTTTGATTCATGGGTAAGGAGTGCGGGAGCCAGAGGGTACAAGATCAATGATGTCGCATGAATCAGTTCACTCACAGGCAGATGGAATGGTCGGCATAGTGGACTTTTGAAGTTCGTTGCTGGGAGGATATCATGATTACACTGCATAGAGACATCGGTAGTGAAGAATAGATTAGTCTAGACTTAATTGAATAAGCACTGCTTCGAAACCAAATCCATACACCCCAAAACTCATGCTGTTGCTTTCACCACGGGTGTGTCCTCAAGCTGGCCTTGACCCATTGCCTTTTGCAAGTTGAAACCCCTAGCTTCCTGTCCAGCATTCAGCCCCCACGCGGTCGGACTGTCATCGTGAACCGTCGTCCGACGAACATCTCGAATATGCTTGCCCTCAAAGCCACCTCCCGTCGCACGATGCAGGACGCATGTATTGTCCCACGCAATCATATCGCCCGTATTAATCCAATCCACGTGTAAAACGTGCTTCGGAGACGTAACGTGATCCATCAACTTCTTCAACAACGCATTAGATTCGTTCTCTGGAAGAGGTCCTTCGTCTGTCTCGAGATGGTGACAATGCGCTGCAATGTATAGATTCTTGCGACCGGAGGGCTCGTGGGTTTGCACGAGTCTGTGACGAGTCATTGGCTGGGACGTTGGGTCGAGGTCGGCGAAGAATTCCGGAGAGCCCAGCTTTCGTGAGTGTAGGAGCGTATGTGCTCCGATGTAGTCTTTCTCGAGGAGCTGATTCTTAGTATCCTCATCCAGGTCATCAAAGGCGGCTCGGCTGTCGGCAAACGCAGTCTCGCCGCCGGTATTAGGAGGGGGAAGCTTGACAGCTCGCAGCAACGACCAACTAGCTCGGCGAGGGTTGAATGAAGAGTCGACATGAAACAGTGCGTTTCCTTTGTTGTAGTGCGATCGTGGAGCATCCGGATGGATTACATTGCCGTCCTCGTCTACATTGCCTGCGTCGAAAAGCTCAAAGTGCTTATATCGGAGCTTACGACCTCCCGTGAGGTACCTTTTCACATTGTCGAGCTCGCCGAGTTTGGCGGAGAAGGCAACGTGCTCGTCGTCACTCATCTCGGTCTGGCGGAAGACCAAAACCCCGTACTGTGTCATTGGTGGTGAGTAGACAGAAGACATAATTGGGCCTGGGGTTCGACAACATACTTTGGCCATGGCGGATTTTATCTCTTTCAGCTGTTTGTCGGACATATTGTGGAAATCAGCGCCAATCACCTCAGCGGCGAAGGTTGAGTGAAGCTCCTTGATGGAGATAGTCTCGAAGGGAGTGTCCTGGGTGAGTAGTCCCGGCATAGTGATAATTGTGTGTAGGTTAGAAAGATGGTTATATATTATGCACGCAATGTAATACTCCCAGATGTGTGTACTAAACATACAAACAAGTCTGTCCTATATATCTGTTCCTAGGGACCATGGCTACATGGATGCTCCTTCGGGATTCGGTGCGGACAAAGTTCCGAGCATCTTCACCAAGCCCGGCAATTCCAATAGGGCTAGAGTCTGACGTCGCATGGGGTGCTTGTCCAGGTTCTGTGTTTGCGAGGATGTTCAATCAGACCACTCCGTTGGCATCGCTAGGATCGTGGATGTGTAGTCGCTTGTGATCGGCGCTGCTTGTCCCTACTTTACCCCGCAAGTTGACATGGAGATTCCCCCACAAGGCAATGTGGGGCGACAGTTTAAGGTCAAGTTATACTAACAAAAGGTTGGCACGCCGGGCAGGCTCCATGTATGTAGTGTTTATTTAAGAGTGTACTGTAACTAGTAAATAATCTTAACTGCTTTCAGTAAACCTTGTAAAGGTACTGTTGTAAATATACATTATTAGAAGGGGCCTAATCTAGCGGGACAACCCTCTGTATATTCACGAGTTCCTGGATCAGGTGTAGTAGCACGGGTGTCTTAATACCGGAGGATTTGGTTATTCCTTTCACAATGTCTCTTTTTTCAGTATTGCGAGATAGAGTGAACTGCTGCGTTCAACATACTAAGATAAGAAACTAGGACAATTAGAATGTTTCAAGCTTCTAACGCGACTGGAGGTTTCATGGAACACCGCTCATGATATAAAGATAAGAAATATGGTATCTTTGTAGCTGATAGTATCTGATCTTCTGTCATGTATAGTCTAAGCAGAGTTAGATGAGATGACACTTACTTGACCTATTAGGAGATGGCCTTTCATCTAAGGCCATCTCCCACAAGTTCAGAGTGATTGGCGAGTGCCATCAATGAGCAACAACTATTAACTAACAATGATTTGGTTCTAGCAGTGATTGAGGATTCCGAGTGAGTGGTGTTGAGGTGAAGGTGCGCTAGTCCATCAACACTTAAAGGTTCACCGCACAACCTCCCCTCACAACAAAATAACAACTTGCCTCAGAGTTCACAGCAACTTGCCTCAAATTAAGCTCCAACCAAGGAAGGATCTTGTCAGCCTCATCGGGTGTGACATATCACTTGTTACGCCATTGCGTACAGTGCACACAACCGCACCTTCTCACCTTTGACTAACTTACAAAAGAAGGGAGCATTAGGAAGCACTCGCTCGTTATTGAGATTTTTGGATTTTACCAGCGAACTCCTAGTCTTCATACCCATCGTACCTTTTGCAATTTTGCAAGAACACACCGCTGGCTAAGTTGAAGTGTAGGAGCGACCCATCTGCAAGCTAATTGCGAGCATCTAGTGCTTGACTGTTTGTCCTTCGAATTCTACCTTTATCTCATCAAACTACACTCGCTTGTGTAAGAGGAGAATGGAAGGATCTTCGAATATCCAACCCTACAGAACTCCCTACGTTGGTGTCAACATAGCCGATGGCCGATTTGTGAGTCTACGCCTTGATATTCGTGATATTCACCATCAGCATGGTTATTGGCTGTTCGAACCGACCTCTGTGGCTGATGCTTGTGCTTTGGGAATCAGAGACCCTGAGGCCGTCATTAGAGCTGTCTGGAAGAAGTACAACGGTACTTCATTAGACGGACTCATCCTTCGCTGGATACCTAGCCGATCGGATACCTTCCAGGCACCGAGAAGTGGGAATGTCAAAGCCCATTTCTTTTCCATTGCAGGTGAACGAAGAGAGCTTGGCCAGTCGGGATTGTGTGGATCATATGACCTACCAACATATCCTAATGATGAAGATGGAAGGTTACTTCAGTATCGAAGGGACCAATTTGCAACGCAAGCAGCGAAAAGCCTGCGTCCTTCACTAAATGTGTCCGCATCCAGACCAACGACCGGAAAGGATGGACATGGATTCAATATGCCGACTGATTCTCGACGTACTCTTGAATCGACTCCATCCGCTGAAGCTGCAGGTCCTACCACTCTCGTACCCAAATCCAATCGAGACCACCACCCTTCCAGACAGGGTCTCGTCAAGCTACCGCAGTCACTGCCAGTATCAACAGAAGACAGCCCTATGACTTCTACCACTCTGCCGTTTCTCCTTGAACGTGAAAATAACAGGGAGCAACCGAGCCCATTCGAGGTCCGGCGCGAGACCACAAGCCCGGATTTGGAAGGCACAAGGCTCCGCACCTTGCTGTTGAATCTAGAAGGTCCTATGGTGTCATATAACTCACTACCCCATTCTCCCAAGAATCAGTTGGAATCGCCTGCGTCGGCTCCACAATCCATCAAATTTATTCCGACTGAGAACCTTCCTGGTACGCTGTCAGATCTTTCACATTTGGTACTAATACTGACTTCCGGTAGAGTTTAGCAGCCGATGTTTGCCTATTCCCGAGTGCGCAAATAGCCCAACGCCCGCTTCGTCGCACAGCCAAATGAAGGGGAACCTTCAAGATACCGAGACAAACACACAAGAAAGAATAAATATCATGGGAGAACTATCTGCAGATGTCCATTACAACGAGAGTGGAATCATCTCTCCTGCTCCAGCAGAAGACACTATCAGTTCACAAATCATGACGAATGCTTCTGAGATGAACCTAAACCGCCAGAACGAAAGGATTCCGCCAGTCCCGGCTCCGAATACTCCCTCCGCCTTGGCTCGTGAAAACTGGCCCTATTCTGCAATCCCAAACTCCACGGAATTTCCAGCTATGCTAGGGTCGCCACAGCGAGAAAGTGAAATCGAAAATCAGTTACTCAACGCTTTCGTTCCTTGCATGGACTGCGGAAAGCTTTTGGGCCACACCATTGAGTGTCATATCGGCAGTGAGTTTTCTTATCATTGATTCTAAACCTTCATCTGACCAGTTGTTTAGGCTTGAAGCTGGTTGAAAAGCCAAACGCACTAGAGCTACGCCGTATAGCAGACCAGGTAGAGAGACTTGATCCAGAGCAGTGGCGCGAGCATCGAGATCCGCCTCCCAAGGAGCGTGAAGATCATGCTACCGTGATCGCCGGAATTATAGAGCTCATTCGGAACGATGACAGCTACAAGTCTGATGAGTGCTTGCATAGCCTAACTGATGAAGCCTTGGTGATCGCGTGGGGCTTGAGGCAGTGCAAGAGTACGAAGGCGGAGTTTGTCTTCTTGTGAGTTAAAGTTCTCCAAATCAGTGGACTCAGTATTGAATATTGCAGCGATGGTGACCGGCCTTATGTCCTGGGAACACCTCCAGATGAAGAGCCGGAGGACCATGAAAGATCAAAGGAAGGCATGGAGAACTAGAGGCACTCCATATCTGGAGCTTCATTGATGGATGATTGATTGAGTTTTTGTATGATCACGGCTGTATATTCAAAATAGTAGCGACGGCGTGCTTCCGAGAAGAACGAGGAATCACACAATGGGCCAAGGACACGAATTCATGTACACTACTTAATATACTATACCAAAGCTGGGAAGCGATTGGAGTGCATAATAGATAGACTTCTGAAATGGTGATTGACCGATGCATCGCGAAAGCACTTTCTCCACGCTAATTGCGGAACAGTGATATCGATTTCGAGAAGTAAAGGCTATTTGCTAGGCTATGAACCAGAAGTGACGTTATCCACGAACGAGGTGAATGTTCAGAAAGAAAACAACATGATGCGTTATGTCCTGATGCAGGCCTGCTCAGTCTCCATTTCGGATTTTTAATAAGATGCCTATATCAGAGCAGGTATCGTTCAAGACGTGCCCTCCTTATAGTCAACGACTGCCTATCTTTGGTAATCACAGGCGTGGACTCACGCGATGCTTCGCATATAGCTGATAAATTCCAGCAGTGAATTGCCTGTTAAGTACCGCGCATTTGGAATCACCAGTAGGCAACAATTGCGTCGCAAAGAGGCCACAGACCCCGTCTTTGCGATCAACCCACTACGCTGTAGTCAGTAAAGTCTATTTTGAGCATTGGTTAAAGACGTACCCAGATCAAGTTCGGCAAGCCACCCCAAATCATAGTATTTTCCTTCATCTCATTCGGCACATCGCCACAGACGAGTAAGCCACCGAGACCCCAATCCTTCTTGATGTCCTTTGGAAGTCCACCCATGGCATTGTTAGACATGTCGTCCTGCAAAACAGCGTTAAGCATGGCGGTGCTACCTTCCCCGAGGTTTGGCGTGAAGAACAGTTCCACAGTCTCTTTCTTCAAGATCTTCTCGTTCTCATCTGTCGTTAAAAGCCCTACGAGGACCTTCAAGTATTCCTCGATGCTAGTGTAAACACCCTGCCCACCAAGACAATCCTCAAGCTCACTACCGTCGGCAGTGGCGTTGACATCCTTCTCATCCCATGCGCCCACCGTTTCCGACCCCTCAGGCCTCTTCGACATGCGCGCCCTCCTCTCACTAAGATCCGGCCTCGTCGAAAGCTTAAACGTCATATCCTTGATTCCCAGTGGCTCCCACAGATTCTTCCTCATGTACTCCTCCAAAGTGAGGCCCGAAATCCGCTCAACCAGCAACCCAGCGTAATCAATACCAGGGCCGTACATCCAGCTCGTTCCGGGCTCAAACACCAACGGGGCGCTAAATCGCTCGAGAAGCTTACCGCTTGTGCTGGGCTCGCGGCCGTGGTACTTCAACCACGCGATGAGCTTCGGGTGCAGGGCGTCGTAGGACAAGCCGCTCGAGTGCGTGAGCAGGTGGCGCAGGGTGATGGGCGTCTTGTGCGGCGTCTCTATGGGAGAGCCGTCCTCATTGAAGTCCTCCAGGATGGGGTGGTCTTTCAGTTCGGGGATGTGCTTGTAGATGGGGTCGTCGAGGGTAACTTGGCCGCGCTCGACGAGCTGGAGTGCGCTGATCGAGGTCATGAGTTTGGTGCAGGAGGCTATCCACATTACGGTGTTGAGCGCGTAGGGCTTAGAGTCTGGGTCGCTTCCGAGGGCTTTGCAGTAGTTGAAGGACCCTAGAGTGTATTGAATTAGATGATGTGATTGTTGTGATGGGGCAAGATTTGGAGGTACCATCACGGTTTCGGGCTTGCACGACGGCGCCTGAGATGTGTTGTTGAGAGACTGCACTCTCTAGAGCTTTCTCGAAATCTGCCATGATGGATCAAGTTTGAAGTAGTTGAAGCCAGTCAGGTGTATCTACTTGATATCTTTTATTATCGAATCGTCTGAAGTAGTTGAAGCCAGTCAGGTGTATCTATCTGATGTCTTTTATTATCGAATCGTCTGCCGCGAAGAGTGACGTCGCACAGTTCAAATAATCAGGCAAGTGGGCTAGAGGAAGTTGGTGAGAAAAGGAAAGTGCATTCTATATATTGTCGTAATATTTCACAGGCCTTATATACATTGAGTAAGTGCACATCCCAAGCTCGCCAAAATCCGCAAGAAATACCCCATCTGTGTTGGTCGTTTCACGATTAGTCGTTGTCAGTGATGTACTTGTATGTATTTGCCTCGGCAAGATAGTCAATGGACGGGGACCCTGGAACAATGTGGGGTTTAGTCTACCTATGGATTCCTTCATTCGGTAGCGAGTACTGTATAACGATGTCATTGGTTTTCACGAGATATTGTAGGCGCTATCGTATGATTCGTGAATTCGGTGCCTTACTATTTGAAGAAACGTGGTGGTTGCGGGGGTTCGCAGACAATCGCTTGTCCTGGACTAAATGCTTGCATAACTCTGATGCCTACGAGGCGGGGATGTAATGGCTACATGTCTCATCTCAAGGCATACACAGCACTACGAATCGTGCCAGCGACGTCGAGACTAGTGTGATTCATTCAAGGTACCCTTTGATGCGCGAATAATGGCGGATGATGGGTGCGAGTCTATGAAGCTGATTGATACAACCTCGCGATGACGTTACAATGGCAACGTGGCGAACAGATTGCGGTGCACCTCTGACTATGTCTGACTTATGGTATGTACTTGGAGTCATCATATAAATCTTGTCAAACCCAAGTGGCGATGAGTGTCCTCGATATTCACATTGTCAGACAGTACATCATCGGTTCAGCACGATGATATCTAATACCTACCTGGGTACGTTGAAGTCATGTAGATCATAGGCGGAGAACATATGCTTTTGTATTCTTGTCTTCCGACTATACACAAAGACGATGATGTTTGCTATACTAGACAGATATTTAAAGGATGATATGGAATGCACGATCAGTCGCTGTGAGAAAGCTATCCAGCTACCTCCGCAGCATGACCCTTGATCAGGCCTTGCTCCTTTGCTTCCAATTCCACTATATCTGACAGTAATTCAGACAACTTCTTACCCTTTGGCGTCCAGTCGAGTACTTTCCTTGCCCTGATTGCTCTGCCTCTGGAATTGGTACCCCAGAGCCGGGGTCCAGGCTTCAAAAGTTGGATAACCTCCTCCTTTCCGAGGCTGTCTAGCTCCGTCGTCTTGATAAGTTTCTTGTCATATGCTATCTTTGCAATGGTCTGCGCGACCTCGCCCCATACTATATCTCCATCTTCGGCGAAGTAATACCCTTCATCGTTCCACGTTGCCTTGCCACCGCTGGGCGAAAGAGCAGCAGTCACTAGACCAAGAAAGACATTGCTGAGATCTTGTACATTGACTTCCGCCCAGATATTCTTGCCGGCTCCAACTTGGAAACCCTTTCCTCGTTTCAGGACCTCGCGTGCCATCCAGTACGCTTGCATGCTTTTCCTGTTGTCTGGCCCACGTCCAGGGCCGGAAATGCATGGCGGACAAACAATCGCCGTCGAAATTTTCCCCGGGTGAGCTTTCGAAGCAGCGAGTATGATCTTGTCGACATCGCGATGAATTGCCACGTCAGGGAGCGAAGTAACCTCCTTGATGCCGTCCCAGTCATCGTACACCTTCGTGCTAGTCTCCCCATAGACGTCGATCTCAGAGTCCCGGAAAGTGAGAATTCCGGTGCCTGACGTGTGAATTAGATACCCAGTCCCACTTTGACGCTTCGAAAGGCCGGCGATCAGGGCATGAGCTGATCCAACGTGATCGCAATTCGCCGTGTGTACGACAACTTCGGCCTTTGACGCCTCTTCGATAAGAAGGTCTGTGCTATCCAGATCGCCATATACAAGACGGACTTTAGAGAATTGGGATGCGACTTTGGCTCCTTTGTCGCTATTTCGGACGAGAGCTGTGATCTCTAAATCTGGATGGGCGGTTGCAATGGCGAAGAGTGCATCACCACCGATGTAGCCCGTGACGCCAGTTCTGATGGTGTATCAGCAGGTGGCTCAATAACATTTTATATTAATTTCATTTCATCGAAGCAACCCTATGACGGTAGGAAAATATATTTGGCACATAATGGCGGATACTCACATGAACAGTTTTGCCATGGTGAACGATAGCGATATCACTCCCAAACCCAGGGTACCAAAATCTCTCGAAAAGTGAAGATCGGAGTATCAGATTGGGTCTTGCAGTCAAATTTCAAGCTCCTTTGATATAGCTTACTTCTGGATGTTGCCTGGCTCAATGCGGGGAGAAGGGGCTATTAAGTATATACGTCATGTTGCATTATTCAGCAGAAGCAATGTCTACGCTTCATGAACTGGATGATAAATCTCACCGCATTGACTCACTTGTGTCCATTCCGATCGATACTCCGAATATCATTCCGTACATTTGATGATTATGAGAGAGATCGTCAAGTTAGAACGGAATGTGAGGGTTATAGCACTTCCCAGAAGTATGATGGACTTCCGACACCGATCTACCAACTCTAACAATGCATCGGTGGATTGGTGTGGAAAATTAGGCGCTGCCACTCCGCAGTGCCAGCCACCCCCTGATTGGACAGTGCAAGTTTAAGCAACATTTAATCATAAGTATATTTAAATATTAATTATTAGAATATTATTTACCGGATACAAACGTGTTTATATGGTGATCGTAACAATAGTGGGTGGCACGGTGGCTATGACTATTTCTAGGTTCCTCCTTAGGCGGAGGAGGTACATAACCATTCATTCCGCATATTAGACCTTGAGAGACGCAATAGGATATGACAGTTATCTTTTGTGAATCAGTAGATATTCATTCAAGTAATCAATATTATGCTATCCTCACAATAACAATAGAACAAGGGAAATAGAATGTATTGCAACATTGCTGGAATTCTTTATCTGGTGATGAGGGTCAGCCCTGTTCGATGCAATCGAGCTTAGTAAGCGTCGCTTTGACCCTCACAGGGTGTACGTCTACGTCAACCGACCGCTAGAGGTCGACATGGGTTCATGAGCTTGTCGCGAGCGGAAGAGCTGCAATCCCTAGATGTTTTCACCATAATCTTGTAACACTTCACTCACCATGGACATCGTGCAAGCCGTCTCCGGCTATGTCACCAAGATGGTGTCAACCGGAGACAACGCGGCAACAGGTACCACAGCGGCCAAGATGAAGATACTCCTCCTGGACAATGAGACTGTAGGTTTGTCTCCACTTCCTGTGTACCGTTTGATGGCTGCTAATCATGGGTTCCTATAGGTTTCTATAGCCTCAACTGCGACGACGCAGTCCGCTCTCCTGACCCACGAAGTCTACCTCACCGAGTACTACTCCACCTCTCACATGCACCGTTCTATCTAACCAATTGCTTAGCCGGTTAGACAACCAACAGCGCGAAAAGATGCGCCACCTTCGCTGTCTTTGCTTCATTCGACCGTCCCCCGACTCTATACAAAACCTTATCGAGGAACTGAGGGAGCCAAAATATGGGGAATACAACATATGTGAGGCGCACTGCGTAGGGGAACGAGGAACACTGTTCTGACAGCAACAGATTTCAGCAATATTATCAAGAAATCTTCTTTGGAGCGATTAGCTGAAGCCGACGACCACGAAGTTGTCCGAGCGGTGCAGGAATACTTTGCGGACTTCCTTGTCATAAACCCCGATCTTGCGTCGTTCGATCTAGGGTTCCCTAAACATCGCATATGGAGCACAACACCGGATGGCTGGAATCAGGATTCTTTACAACGGTCAACAGAGGGTGTCATGGCGCTGCTGCTTGCCTTGAAGAAGAAGCCGTTGATACGGTACCAGAAGAACAGCTTGTTGGCGAAGAAGCTTGCGACAGAGGTCCGCTACAACATGACACAGGAAGACCAACTTTTCGACTTCCGAAAGACAGATACCCCACCCATACTGCTTATCGTGGATCGCCGAGACGATCCTGTGACTCCACTTCTGACCCAATGGACATATCAGGCAATGGTGCACGAGCTATTAGGCATAAACAATGGACGAGTAGACCTACGGGACGTCCCAGAAATACGTCCCGAGATGAAGGTTCGCATGAATGGCTTTCGCAAAGCTGCGCCTACTAATAAGAGCATAGGAAATCACGCTTTCACAAGAGCAAGATCCCTTCTTCAAGAAGAACATGTATCTCAACTTTGGCGATCTCGGACAGAATGCTAAAGACTATGTGGAGCAATTCGCATCTAAGCAGCAAGGCACACAAAAACTAGATTCCATCGCAGACATGAAGCGCTTCATTGAGGATTTTCCAGAGTTCCGCAAGCTCTCCGGAAACGTCACTAAGCACGTTACTCTTGTGGGCGAACTGAGTCGGAGAGTGGGCGAGGATAGTTTGCTGGACGTGAGTGAGCTAGAGCAAAGCTTAGCTTGCACGGACAACCATTCGAACGACGTCAAGACGTTGCAGAAGCTGATCACGAATCCCCAAATTCCAGCCGACAACAAACTAAGGCTGGTCGCCATATACGCGCTGCGATACGCTAAACATTCATCAAATTCCACACCTGCCCTCCTGGAGCTCCTCAATGTTGCGGGAGTTTCTCGTCGCCGCATAAACCTCGTCGCTGACCTTCTCACGTATCACAACTCGTTACATGCATTGAGCACCGCGGGCGGTGTGCCGGACCTTTTCCAGGCAGGCTCGTTTTTCGGTGGCGCGCGCGATCGGTTCAAGGGATTGAAAGGCGTGGAGAACGTCTATACGCAGCATTCGCCTCGGCTAGAAGCCACGCTGCAGGACTTGATCAAGGGCCGACTCAATCAACAAGTGTATCCATTCGTTGAAGGAGGCGGATCGACCAAGGACAAGCCACAGGACATCGTTATCTTCATGGTGGGTGGGACGACATACGAGGAGGCGAAGATGGTTGCGCAGGTCAATGCAAGTTCTCCAGGCGTTCGCGTCGTTCTCGCGGGAACGACAGTGCATAACAGTTCGACGTTCTTAGAGGAGGTGGAGGATGTGGTGAGTTCTTGGCCCGAAGCGCCTGCAACGTCAGCCGCAGGTCGGCTACGAAGGGAAATAGGAAGGTGACGATGAGAATGAGGAATGCATAATCACGTAAAGCCGGATTTCGGATGGAGCAATTGGGGATGGCAAGCTTGGCCTCACCCGCCAGCCGCGAATTGCAAGTCGCAAGTCTGCAGGTTGGGAGAATTTCCCCACTACTAGGGAGGCATGGATGCATAAGGCGTTGAGGTGTTGGGCGTTCGCTGATACGGCGCGCCTCCCGCCTACAGGCTATATAGTACCTTCCCTTAGAGACTGCATACCGTACTGTACAATAATGATTATCAGTACTACTACTATTATTATTGTACTCTGGTAGTAAATAGAGTTGGTAAATCAGCCTCCAGATTGATGAGACATTTTTGATTGGTTATCATGTCATCTCCTGTGGTATCACTGAGGAATGAAGATTAAAGAGTGGGTATTCGGACATAGGCGAAGAGGTTGATCACATCACTGAAAAGGGCGAGGTACATGATACATAGTACGCAATCCCTTGCCATTATTATTCATGGTGATGGATGGCCATTACACACGAGTACTGTAACTACTGTTACTTGTACTTTGGACAGTTGTTACTTACGAGTACGAGTGAATAATTAGTAGAGTTTGAACAAGCGCCATTTTTCATTGGTAGAAGGGTTAAGGGTGGTTTTTTTCTGTTGGATACCTGGATGGAGCCGCCGAGCCAACCTCGTACAAGTACAAGCGCATGTACAGGGCTGAGCCTTTAGTGAAGACTTACTCTAGTATTGCGAGTTACGACTGAACTATTACTGACTGGCCAGTCCCGTCCAGTCTAGGGTTCCATATGAAGTCTTCGCATCACGTGATATATGATCTGCACCGCCCACGCCGACCCTGCCAATTCTTTCGCGGTCCGACTTCCGCAATCATAACCATAACCCAGATTCCACATCCCCCCAACCACCAACCAAGCCTCATTCATCCATCCGTCCATCATCTTCATCCCAATCCCCCAACTCCAATTCCAACAACAGCAACACTTACACTATCCACCGAATCGCTCAATCACAATGGAGCGATCATGAGAACGGAGAATGCCAGACCAACCGATCCAGTCCCGAGTGGTCCGTCGGAGGAATCCACGCCCCATTAATTCATGTGTTGAGTGTCGCACCCGCAAAAGTAGATGCTCCAAAACCCACCCTTGCCAGAATTGCACCGCTTTTGGTCGAGAGTGTGTCTTCATCACAGTTCCCGAGAGTGCCGCCCGCAAGAAGCAGAGGGAGAGCCTCTCCAAATCCAATGGCGACTGGACCGAACCCATCCCCGTGAGGACCGCATCCCAGGCCACCACCACCACTACCAAGGCCGAACAGTATGACACTAAATACGAAACCAAATATGATGTCTCTAGCACTAGTGCCATCACCACTACCCCAGGAACTCCACCCAGAGATTATGAGTGGGAAGCTTACCAGCAGCATGTCGAGGTCGACGACGGCGACGCCTGGGAGAAACTCCCCGCCGAACCAGAAGAGACCAATGACGACGTCTACGAGGACGAAGATGACGACGAGGACCAGATTGCAACTGACTTGACCATTCGAATTGGCCGCATGATCATTTGTGAGAACATCACTGGATTCTTCCGACCTCAGTACGCAGAAGAACTGGGGAAACTCCTTGTCGAGCATCCCGCTACCACCACAGCATCTGTGGCAGGGCAGCGCGCTCCACAGTCTTCTGGACTTCTATCTGCGGAGCATATGCCTTCATTGGCGCCGTCGCTGAGTTTGCTGTTGGGATCTTCAACACCCCTCCCGCAATGCAACGATTTGGATCCTCCAGACCTTCCGAACAAGGCCGAAACAGAAGCCCTGGCCCAGAGATATCTCGAAGCCGTCAGTCCGCTTGCTCATGTCTTGCATATGCCTTCCTTCAGACGCCTATTTGACCGATTCTGGATGAATGTCGAGCTCGGTACTCCGAATCAGAATTCTTGTACAGCTCTGATCCTCGCAGTCTGTATGGCTGCCGCTGCATCCTTATCTCCTCTGCAAGCGAAAGCACAGTTCGGCATTACTAAGGAAGACTTATTCATCCGACTGCAGAAGGCTACGGAACGTGCCCTACTCCGGGCCAATTGGGCGAAAACCTCGAATATTCGCACATTGCAGGCACTCACAATTTATCTGGTACGTTGACACAAGTCTGCTGGCCTTTGTATCTTCAATTATTCACGCTTCTAGATACCCTTGTGCAGGGCACAGATTTCGCGAGCGACTTCGGTAGTAGTCGGTGCATTAGTTCGACTAGCGCAATGTATTGGCATTCATCGCTTAAGCCATACATCTGCGAACAGCCTGACGCCATTGCAGCGCCACGTGCGCTCGCTGCTGTGGTACCAGATCTGTTTCCTCGACTTCAAAACAGCAGAAGCCCAAGGTCCTCATCCATCCATCCGCGCTGACGACTTTGATATCCCTCTTCCACTCAATGTAGATGATGATGTCTTCGAATTCGGATCTTCGAAGTGGCAACATCACCCAACCCCTGCTCAGGGGTGGACTGATGTCACGCTATCACTGATCCGATATGAGTGCAACGAGATTCATCGACTCATCTTCCGAGGAAGGATAGAGATGGACCGCAAGACCATCACACTCCATGACTTGCGCGCTCGGGTAGAGGCGAAAAAGAAGTACATCCATGCCAAGTACCTCCGATACCTGGATGCGTCAGATTCTATCCAGCGCTATGCAGGTTTGGTGGCCACCTTGCTCATGTCGCGATGCGACTCTATGCTTCTTTATCGGCACTTGCCGCAAGCCTCACTTCAACCGCGGTCGGATCCCGAGAATCGACTCCGAGACATATTGTTGACTGCTGCGCTCAACACGCTAGAGATTGGAGCCACCCTTGACACGTTACCTTCGCTGAGCGCCTGGGCGTGGTATTCCACCACCTATCAGCAGTACCATGCGGTTCTTCTGCTCCTCACAGAGTTATATCGAACGCCCGACCTGCCAAGGAAAGACCGAATGATGACGATAGTCGATCATATTTTCGGACACTGCTACGGTGTTGGTATTCGAGAACGCTGCTCAGATCTACTGTGGACCGTGAAGGAAAACCTTGAAGCTTTCTACATCATGAAAGGAATTAACAAAAAGCGCACGACGCAGTCTCTCCAGCAGCCTCCATATCGACCCCTTCGCCAAGGCTCCATGAATACCCCAGAGTTCCAAATGGCACTGCAAAGTCAATTGCAGACGCCAATGGACAACCTAGACTTTGACAGTCTGCTCGGAGGTCTAGCATCGGGCGGAAGTGCAGAAGGATTTGAGGACTTCCTAGCACAGATGCCACAAGCTGAAGGCCATGGGGCGATATTTATGCCAGCAGACACCAATGGAGTACAGGTACAAGGTAACGAATGGATGGAAGGCAGCGTGCAGAGCGTACAGAGCGTGCAAAGCACAAGTCCCAATGCAAGCCTACATCAATGGGTGCGTATCGCCAGAACAGGTTCGTTTTAACAATCAGTTGCTCACGATTAAGCAGGAAAATTGGAATATACAGCCCCAGAATTGATGCGACGACATGTATACTGCTACATATTGGATCTCCGATTGACACGCATGCCACGATCTCATACGATCTGATTTGACTATTTTCTTACAAAACGACAAAATAACGGTTTATGCCAATTCTTCACTTCTTTAAAGTCTGCTACGAGCAATAAATCTACACTACAGTTGAATCTCAAATCTAGACCTCCAACCGGAGAACAAACATTCAATAATGCGCAATGTACCGCCTGGTAAAAATGAGAAACGACATGATGTAGTCAGCAAAGCCCGCTTACTGAGCAAGGGCCAAAAAAGGTGGGGGAGGTTCAACTGCAGCTCATCGCGACTCTCTACTGGTAATTACTTTATGTAGAATTGACTGCGCCCACACCGCGCACGCATCGTTACAAAGTGGCCGAAACAAACAAAACCAAATCTCATGGAAGATAAAACGTATCAAATACTCAACATCCCCTTCCGACCGCATTATCCGGGGTCACTAGATAGCAAGATGATAAGACCGAATGTATCAGTAGAAGAGATCAGAGGTCTGGCCGGACATACGCTGCCGCAATGGCGGAAATTTATTGTACGCACTCGCATTACTCCTATCTACTTCATAAATTCAATCTACAACCACGCACTATTAGTCTTCACTCAGGACAAACCCAACTGATGCGATCCACGCAGTCAATTACCCGCACCATCTCGACAGCACTAGTCTCCCAAAACCCCACTTCAACTCTTCTGGGCTACACATATCTCCCCACGGAGCAGAAATTAGCCATAAGAAGGGAAATCGATGAAGAGTGCAATCAGCAAGGTATCCCGACGGTGAGCGAGGAGGTCCTGGAGTGGCGGATGGACATTGCGTTGGGAGATGCGAGGAGGAGGGCTGGTATCAGGAACGCGTGTTGAATGTGAATTTTGCGCGAAATTGTTGCACGTGTATGGTATGGCAAACAGAGAGCTATTTACCCACTTAGATTTTAGCAATGAATGGAATGAGTCAGGCCAAATGTGTTGGTCTTGACACTCGTGACAAGTGATGTCGTGAGATCACACGCTCACATATGCAAACGTATCTTGCTCACGAGGAGCTCATCGTTTGCCGTCTGCCCAGTCATGCCCATCCTTCAACCGATAATGCTTCAGGCAATCTCCAAGTACTAATATATAAACCCCCCTCTCCTCTCCATCCATTCTCCTTCGTTCTCTACAAAGCATTCCCCAGACTCAAAAAAAAAGAATTCTGAAATCACCACGTCCTCAAAGATGTCTCTTCTCGAGCATCTCCTCCAAACTATCCCGGCGAGAAACTTGTCCCATAATCTGATCACAACTCCAATGATGGTTCCGCGATCGTCGATAACGACAACGATATCATGGCCCTGAAAACCCTTGTCGAATTACGAAACAAAGAAACAATTCAAGAGACAAAGTCACGGCCTTTGATGGAAAACACGGCTACTACACAAAATGTTGTTCGGGAGCAAGCATAGCAGATGACGTGTCCTGTCAAGCACCATGTCTGGGGGTTTCAACTATGACGAACAAGGCTTGGGCAAAACCACGGAGACTTTGCTGATGATATGGTTCAACAACCGCGTCCTAGAACTCGACGCGGAGATCGAGTCCTATCGAAGAGCTTCCAATAAGAAAGACGATGCATTCAAAGGTCTGAAACTTTGCGTTTGGCAAAAGAAAGTTTGTATGGGATATCAAATGATTCTCTTCGGCGGAAAACGAGGGCCTACTTCAGGGAGAACATCTGAAACGCAGCCGATACACGACATATGTTCTCCGCTATAGTCGACAAACAAAAATATAGGCCGAAACTGCTCAGCTGAATGAAAAAGATTTGTAAAGAATACGCCATGACCTCCTTCGATGGAAAACGCGGCTACTACACACTGCCAAGGGTCCTTCGTATGGCACGAAAAGCGCTCTCTTGTAGAACACATGGGAGAAACCTGAAATTGCGGACAGTGATGGAAGAACCTGGAATAATGCTCCATTATGCTCTCGGTCCTCCCTTGGCCTTCCCATCCTTCGCCGTAAGAAGAAAAATCATGGAAAAAAGGCGTGCAGACAGACGAAAAATGCCGCTGTGTCTGCTGCATGATCGAATCATACCCGAGCCCGAAATATCAGACATCCGCACATGTCTGGTGCAATGTGCCCTGCGAACTTCGTCTCGGATCAAAGCAGAATGGACAAGAACATTCGCAATGGGTTCCGAAGGGGAGGCGTGTCTGTGAAACCCTTTACCGACTGCTCTCATGGGTGGGTTGCTGAGAAACTACGACGACCCAACAAACGAACTATGAGCGGGAGGAAAAAAGAAGACTATGCTCGAATATGTGTTGCGTGAGGCTTCTTCAGGGTCGAAAACAAAGACTGTGAAAATCGAAGGCATGTTCGCGAAAGCTTTCGACGAAGAAATTTATGTTGCGTTGGGGGCTTTCGAGGTTTCGTGCACGTTTGATGTCTCCTCCGTGCCTTGTCGAACAAACTATCGCGACTATGTTATGAATCGGCTGTTCGACTGCGGGCGAAATGTCAAGTACAGAAATTAAACATGGAGAGCTTTTGGGTGAGGAAGTTGGAATGTGCTGGTGCTGGTGAGCATCATCTTGGTGGAGTGGTAGTGTGGATTGTCATCGTCGTTCCTTTGAGTGTATGTGATGTGTGGAAGTCGATTCTTGATAATGTTAGGGAAGATGTATGTGATTGAGATTGTTTCGATACGCTGCATGACTTCTGGATGGGCCTGCGTAGCATGATCATCAGTGGCATCTTGACGATTCTTCTACATCGCAAAAGCATGAGCACTCATGGCACTGAACGACATAATATTCTCAACCCCTCTCATCGAGACATTACTCTCAACACCTCGCGTCGAAACATTACTCTCATGGCGCCCGAATATCGAGCGGATGGACATTACGCCTACCCGCCAATCCAACAACCAATCCCACTCTCGCAGAACCGGTGACATTGAACTCAAACCGACGATGTTTGACAGCAACACCCAGTATAAATACTCTCATCCCCAGCGCCTTTCCCTTCATTCTCCTCCACACCAAAAATCTTTGATGTTCATCAAAAACAATCAGATTTCCAGAGCATGTGGACGCTCAAATTCTACAAAGGCAAACATGGGAAGAACCGGGAGGAAGTGCATCCAAAACTCTAAAACCAACTCTGATGTTGTGGGTGAGAATCGTCATGGCCTTCGAAGTGATTCAGGTATACTTCGATGCTATAACTGATACGATGTCTCGGCATAGGAAGAGTTTGGTTCTTGGATTTGCGAGCAACACTTCATCTAGATAGATGGTTCAAGGACCCCCAAAAGAAACGACGTGAAGTTCACATGTTGTGTTGCCTCTGGACCTCTCTGGATGAGTCTCATGCTAGTTTCCATGTTTCCAATTCCGCACGAAGCGTATTCATGACGGGAGGTAGGGATCTTGTCTTCATCAAAAGTCTACCATCATCGTGGTTGCGAGCGACATATGGTCGTGGGCCAACCCTGGTCTTGTATCATAACACCAAGCAGAATCAATTCGTCATATGTGTCCGGATAGTTCGTCTTCTAAAATAACATCGCCAGTTGCCTATGGGTTTCTGGCACATGCAATCTTCCCGTCCCTGATGCGCTTGCCCCGGGATCCTCTGGCAGCAAAAGCGCACGTCCACTGGCGGTATGGGCGCCAGAAGGCTTGCAGAATTTGCATATGGGAACACGGGATTATGCAATACCATGGTGTCTCCTGCTGTTTTCCTTCTGCGAAGAAGAACAACGGTTCCACGTAACGACGGTTATACCTGTCCGCCCCGTCACACTTTGCCCCTATGAGCCGCGAGGTTCCAGATTTTGCAGAAACGAGTGTGGTGCCATCAGAGGAGTCAGTTCTTTCTCTTCGGAAAAATGTCTACAGAACGGAATCATCGAAAATCGATCATTTTCATGTGTGATTTTCTGAGTAAAATGAGAGAGCGATACATATTGATGGAGATTGAGCAACAGCATGTCATGGCTGTACTTTGCTTCGTTGGCTTCCGGGCAGCAGTATAAATGTCGATACAGCTTGCCGAGGAGAAGATTTCCGTCATCGAACGCTTCGATCGGCTGTTAGAGCGCTGGCAGAGCGTCAAGACGAAGAACTCCGTGCACAACGACTTGCAAGTGCTGGTACTGCCACACCATATGAACGTCGGGCTGAACCTTAAAAGTCCTGCCACATTATCCACGCCTTCTCTCCAGCACCAAGCGCCGCGATCTGGATGCAGGCTATGGGACGTGCCGTCTGCTTTGAGAAGCTCTTCCGCTGCCTTATCTTCGAATACTTCGTTGATGGGACATTAAATGTGAAGCAACTGCAGCGATCAACGGCCAACGCACTATCAAGCATCGCGGCAATGATGTCTATGGAGGGTGTATGAGTCCTGTACGACTCGCTTTGCTCGTGGTTCGTCATTCTTCTTGCGGAAAGTCAGGGTGTAGACAGACTAGCTTGTGAGTGTCTGTCCGTCAATGCATCCACTCATCTCTTTTCTCACGTCTACGAAATTGGTGTCTACCATTATTCAATGGAAAATAAACCGGAATTCAAATCAACCTGTTCGCTATCATGTCATACTGCCACGAAATGGGCATGGGTACGACGTGATGTTGCGCGGTTCATTTTCCACACAACTATCTCTATCAGTTGTTTTTGTGTAAGATATTTAACAGTTATGTACCCAACGGTCACGCAGCTCAAATACTCTATTCGGGACATAAATTTTCGCATCAATCTGTATGTACCACCGCAAGATGGAGGCCACCAACATCGAGAAATGCGAAGTTAAAAGCGATCGAACTGAACGTACACGATTGTCATGTCGGCTCCTTGACTAACAACTCCTTTTACACGACTTTGAAGGGATTCAATCGCCACTTGGACGACTCTACTCATGAAGGGGTCAAAACCCCTCAAAAGTGTCTCTCTACGATCGACTTCAACCTTACCATTCGTGAAGTCCTCGCGCTTGCAATGAACTACAACTGATATTTTTCATGACCAGAAAGAGTTTTGTTCAACATGTACTTGTTCGCAGCATACACGAAATACATTCCATGAGCTACCACATGTGCCGCTGGAAATTTTCAATTTGAACAGCAGACCAAGACTTTTTCTGAACCAAAACTGTTCAGGTTCTCAGTAATCACTCCTGCAGTTTTCAAGATATTATCCACATGTTTTCGGTCACGATATGATGTCACGACCTCAGAAATTGATATGTGAGAGTTCAATGAATGAGTCCTGGATGATTCTGCTCGGCTGCTCACGTAGAAGAAGATGAACTCGTCAGTCCATGGGACAAAAGTGATATCCATCTCTGATGCTCTCTTGAATTTTTGTCAGTCCCTCTTCATGAGAACCAAGATGGCTATCAAGTCTCACTGCGGCCAAGAATACATGAATGTGTTCTTTGGATCTTCGGGACTCAACTTTCCACCACCGCACTGGCATTGAGGCAAAATCCAACTCAAAGCGCACTGAGCAAATGGCGTTTCGAATTGGAGGAACATCAAAAAATCAGCGACAGCATCCGCGACATCTCCGTGTGCTCTCCAAGCTTTTACTTCTACACTTAATGCTGAGCTTCCTTCCTTTCACAACGCTGTCCGCATATGGTGAGCCACTGAATGAACAATTTCAAGTCGGATACCGCGTCTGTCACGGGGTAAAACTAGGGGACTATAAGGGCCATATGCAACATGACTGAGACAAATTTATATATACGCGGGCACCATATGCATTACGCGGCGAAAGATGCGTTGTCCGATGCTGCACGGTCACTCGCCTATGTTGAACCTTCTTGTCAGGACCGCATAACCTTATACATCTTTTCGGACCAACGCACATGTCTCTGTGAACAAAGCTATTACGTCCAACAAACAGGTTCGGGCTGGCCTATGGTAACAACTCATGAGCAGAGCTGCATAAGTGCTCTGCAGATATCAATAGTCGCTGTTAACACAATGGCATTTGGTCCTTGTGTTTCCCGATTTCAATTTCCCTGTACTGCGCCTGAAACACTGGGCCTTTGAAACATGGATATGGGAAGCTACCTCATCAAATAACGGGACAAGGCCATCGCGCTACAAATAACAGTCGCCCTTTTACATCTTTGGACAGATTCAAAATGTTAGAGGCCATACTTTCATGTTGTCAGAACATGACGAATCAAACAAACATGAACGAAGTTTTCGTTGCGATGTTGCGTGCATACGTCTCAAGCAATTAGTTTCTCCTGACTTTACAATCGAAGGTACAGCAAATAGCAACATGTGACAATCCTCAAGCTAGGGACTCGACAAGTCATGCGGCCACATAGGCGTACAATACACCATTTGCGGAATATGTGATGGTGGTCCTCCACTCCAATGGCCGATCTCCAGATCATCCCGTCCGTCCGTTTCCAACGAAATATCTGTGAATGCTTGCGTGTAGCATGCACAGTCAAATCAGACACCCATATGGCCGCCCTTCCACGTCTCTCTTCATTAGATATCAGTGGTATTTCAATCATCAGCATTCATCTAACATTAACCCTTTGTGCGTTCCATGGTCTTCCTTTCAAAGCAAGGCATGGATAATGATATGAACAAAACAGTTCATGGGTTTTCCAAGTTGTTTACCTCCACACACACACACACACACACACACACACACACACACACACACACACACACATGGTTAAAAGGTTCCTCTTTTGATTCCAAGATGATCGGCACAATCAACATCACTGATCGGCAAAATGCATTCCGAGCGAGAAAACCTGTGCTACGGACCCGATACCAGCTCAGATTTTCGAGGACGAGGTCGCTTTTAATGCCCTGGATCTGCCATGCATGTCACAGAATATCGTGGAGCTGATCATGTCAGGTATCACTAGGCATGACTTCCTATCCAGGGCAAGATAATCGAATGCTCGGGACAAGCTTGTGGCGTCAAGGCCCTGGATTAGAGCAACAACACTGGCTTTCAGTTATTGGCCTCTGCTAGTGTATGATCAAGCGAGCACATGGATGTGCACGGTGTAGTCATGACCATCACTGCTGAGGACGGAAGGAAACTGTGGTCAACGTATCCTTGGTGGTCCCCCGAATGTTTTGAGAGGTATGTGGCCTTGGGCGAGACAAAACGGCCTTTTCAGGTGATCATTCGGCCTGGAGACAGCCTCGTTCAGCCAGCTGGGACGATTCACAGTTCCTACTTACTCGACTGATACTATATGATGGGCCACTTCTTCTGGAATGGAGCCGATATGAGTTGGGCGACGTATTTGATCTAGCTGGAAGAACGCAACGAATACCTCACCAACGAAGAAGCTAAAAGATGGTAGATCAGAACATCCGGATGATCAAGGAATGGTGGGAATGGAGAACTAGTGGGGTGACAAGGAAGAGTGGCCAAAATTCGTAAAGGCAAACTCGCGACGATCCACGACCGATGACTCCTCCTCAATCCTGTCGTCCAAGACACTCTCTTCCAAACCTCAAACTTCTCACTGAGAAACAAAAAAGAGGAAAACCAAAATGTGGGCGATTGAAACAGAAGATTTTCAATGTGAACGGGTAATGAATGGCCGGTATCATGTTTTATCTCACCTTGGGTCCATCCTGCAGCGGTACATCCAATGCCACAGAAATGATAAAACCGATACCAAATGACCAAACAAACATACAATGAAGATATTGCATGTCGTCGGCAGTATATATCCACTATTCAAAAGGCGCACAGCCCCTTCCACTCATAATCAAGACTATCAAGTCTCTATGACTCTGTACTCGCTGTGGCACATACAAAGGAACACCGGACACTACCATCACATTTGAAAACAGGAAGACTCAAGTATATGGATTTTGGAGGCTTTAATGATCCATTGTTCAAATTCGGAATTTCTGTCTGTCGGAACTGCACATCTTTTGTGGGAACAAAGACGAGAAATGGAATATTCCATGTTGCAAGGAAACTCGCCGGGTGTTCCATTATGAGCAAGAAAACAGGGTAAACAGCGCCGTATGCGTTCTCCCGGCTTGCAGCTAAGTTCAAAACAGAGAAAAAAGGGCTTTTGGAGAAACAAAGCAGTGTCGAGTTGATCGTTCTGCATTGAATGTGAGGAGCGAGTCCGAAAATCACTGCAACAGTTCACTGAATGTGCCGTTTTCTCCTCCTCTCCCTCACTACTACAAAAGTGTTCTTCCCATACGATTTCTCGTACTCAAATGACACCTCCAACACAATCAGGGTAAACCATGCCAAACTTAACAAGCACCAGCAGCTATGGCGCAAAGAATCCACCCAGAACCGCCCAAAATTCTCGTACAGGACAATTAGAGTTTCCTCCTCTGGTCTTTCTGCACCCATGGTGTCGAGAAAATCGATAATCGGCCGTTTTATAACATCTCGTACGATATCAAAAATGGGTGGATTGCGTACGCATGAACCCCGACGTTGAAGAAAAACAATCGATGTCACATTCAACATAGCATCAATGATATTCATCAAAACATCCAGACACGTATACCCATTTGCGGTCTTCGAAGGATCTTCGACCAATGTGAATAGCGTCGACTTTTCGACCTTTCCCGCCAATCAAGACTTTGTCATCTCGTACTATGATGATCGGTGTCCGAGACGACCCTGAAAAGAAAATCTTGCAGCAGTTCCCTCATCAACATTTGACGTTTCGTAAATGAGCGAAAGTGATTTGGACCAAGGCCATGTGCACCGCGCTTGCATGAGACATCGCAAAATCAACAAATATCATGGATGAACATAGGCGTTCGACATCTTGTACACACGATCCATAACGCCCTCCCCTGATACTCACGCCACCAGTAGGTTAAAAAGAAGTGATCCTACTATCCATGTTTTTTGCCAAAAACCTTCCGGCAAACAGAAAATGGCCTCGAAGCACGACCAGAGTGACTCCCAACTTACAGTCCGGTTCCCTCCCCTGAAGAACTTATGGGTAATATATATGGATCGGGAACAGTGATGAACCTAAATTACCATTTCCGCAAATACCTCTTGCAGATTTTGATGGAAACAATACTCACGACGACCCCATGCTCGCCGTTGTCCATTTGAATTCCTCAAATCAAAGCATCGGGCAGTTGGACCTATGAGGCAGACCACCATCGGCACTGGGAACAGCAGAAATGTTATGCTGGCCAATAATATGTCCGTCTTTTCTTGTCGTCAAATCAGCTACACGTGACCGTATGAAGCGTTTGACCAGTCGAAAGAAGTTGTGGGGCATCCAAATGGGAACTTGAAGCCCCTAAATTCGACAAGTTCATAGATCCTCAATCAGATCGAGTGCGGTAACATGAGCTCTCCCCTGATGGTAACCCAACAAATAGTAGCCTTCGTCCACTTCTATGGCAGATAGAACTATAGAGATTGGAAGCGATGGGAGCGGGCACACTCCAAAACCACAATCGCATGAGGCCGAAAACAGTATCGGAACGAATACCATGGAGTGCCGTCCCTCCCTGCTCTCGAGACAAGCGTACGACCCAGATATCATGGTGGAATGCTCCTTTTGGAGATTTTCGAGAAGAGAATACGGCAATCAAAGTTGGTTGATGTTGCCTGGTGACGTATACCGTCAACATGAAAAAGATAAAAGCTGCCGGGGATTAACTCTATACCCACCCAACCCTTTCTTCATGTCGAGAGCGACTCCGGATGTTGGAAGAAACTTTGTCCTCATCTTTCTCCTGTGATCTTTGCTCTATTGCTGAAGACACTCCATCGTTGACGAAATGAAAGTCGAACCCGCTATGCAATTGTACATGAAAGTACAAACCCGGAGTCCAGAAATCAGATGAGCACGGAAAGGTCCATGTGTTCTCTTCGCCCCGTGGAACGACGTCTTCGCGTATGTTCGAACAAATTGTGTGAGTGGCACTTCGTATGTCTCCTCGGCGTGACCTGACCCCTTTCACAACCTACTCGCCATATGTGACCCAGAATGATCTCGAAAGGGGGGGAGAGAAGTGCTAAAAGAAATGGCACAAAATGTCTTTCAGACTTCATCAATGCTTTGCTCGTTGGTTGCTGTCTTCCAACCATAACATTATACATGTCCAATAGCAGTACTATGTCCTTCCTGCTATGGACCTGTCAAAGTGTCTCCATAAGCCACGGTTTCGTTGATGAAAATGTCCGCTGCAGACGCTGACATGCTCCAGCGAAAAGAAAAACACCGACACCCCCTCCCCCCATGTGGGAGCTGCTGCGGGTTGCTGCCAAACGTTCTTTCGTTCCAGATTCATGTTAGAAACCATGGGTATAGACATCGCATGATCGCGCTCTTGTTGCCTGTGCCGTACCAACAGAAACAAAACATCGATGCGATGGAAGAAACCAGAGTGTCGCTATATCAAACGAAGCCCATTGAGCTGAAACGTTCTTCCACCCTCACACCATACACACATCCATCACAGCCCCCTGACCAAATTGTCACGTCAATCAATGTTATGCTCGCAAGCATCAAAACCTTGACAGTAAACTATTGAATGAACCATGTGCGTCACATCAACCAAGAATGTCCTCGCTTGCCTTCCAATTGGTATGGCATTTCGCCATGGGAGGAGCCCTGCTATCTCTAAACATGCCTACCAGATAGTTATGAGGGAGAGATCTCACAGCAGGGATACATTGCAACTATGACTGTTCGCACCAAGGGCTGTCTCTATGTCAGTCACTTATATTCCATAAACGACGCCTGAATGCGTGCGAAGCGGCCCGAGAAGTCGAATAGAAAACCACCACGACCACTAGCATGTCCTCCCGCGTCTCCCCACATCGTCACACTCCCAACAGCCCCGAGTTATGGCCATATGTTTGGCTTTCTGTCCATACGAAATCACACCAATGTGTGGTTCTCACAACATCTGTCTTTCCGCCTTATGTTTTTCCCGGCTGAGGGAACTGTCAATGATTGTGCACGTGAAAGATGACATGGATATGCGGTTCTGTGGGGAATCTGACAGCTTCTACTTCGTAGCGAAGGAGATGGAGAAGGAGAAGAAGAACTTGAACCAAACAAGCGACTATGGACGTAGTCATGGGGCCATGGATAAGGGGAAAGGGGGAAAACAACTGGGTACCTTCGTTCCCAGTTATGGGGATCGCACAACCTTCCATGTATTCCATGTCCTTGGCTTGTGTTGGGTTAGATGTTATGCTTTAGTCTCTTTGAGAGAAATAGGGTTCTGGTTTATGTTCGAAAAGGGGATTTTGGAAGTCTATGGGTTTGGTAGATTTGATTCAATGGGTGTGTGGATTTGGGATTGGCGGTGGGTGGTAACTAGTGGTGGTGGTGAATAGCATCACCAGTTGCTTCCAATGATGAATGTAAACTCACATAGTCTTCGAAAGATCACATGAAATCAGCCAGAGCAAGTAGAAAAACCAAAAGATTTCGAAGAAATAATAAAAAAGGAGTTCATGCATGGAAGTATCTCTACATCCCTTTTCGTTCCTCCTCCTAACCAGGCGCCCTGACTGCCTAATTCCCCTTTGCGCCTAATGCAAACCCTTGCCGTCCAAATTGATGAAATCGTAGCAATGACGCCAATGGGCACAGGAACATCCCCTGAGAAGCAAAGCACTGGAAATCCACCGGCAACATAGAGCTATGTATTGCAAAAAGAAGAAACGCCATGGAACGCCCAGACTGCACTGCAGTCGCATGCAGAGGAAATGCCTCTAGTGATGGCTTTTGTTATGGGTCGCATCCAATCCAATTTTGGAGTTGCAGTTTATAGAGACAATATCAAGCTTGTGGGGTGCCTGATGCATTGCCAGAATTGGCCGAAGTCTTGACACACGTCACCAATTCCGCACAACCGGCTTGTGGACCAAGCATGACGGACGACAACAGAGATCCAGAAGAAAGCGAGCAAAATATCCAGTAGACCGCTAGAGCGTCCGTCCGATTCAAAACGTAATGATTCGCTGAGTGGCCACTGTAATCCACATCAGCAAACAGAAAAAGGAATGCCCAGAGTACACTCTAATAATGCGAGGATTCAGAGGTACTCAACGCACTCCTCTTCATAGGCGGTGGTGGTGGTGGAGGCTTCTTCGCGCGCGAGGGTGGAGGTGGTGGAGGCGCTTTCTTTCCGCTGGCTGCTATTTCGGATGCGGACCAGCTTGCTGCTCGCGAGGCCACGCTTCCATGACTAGACCCTCCCGGACTAGGGGGTGATCTGTCGCGCCTGTGACCGTTCGTACCCGCGTAATCTTCCGCGTATTCGTCGGAAAAGGTGTTCGCCTGTCGCACGGGGCGGAGACCGGCACGACTAGCCAGCACTGCGGTCGGCTCGGTCGGTACGCGACTCAATCGTGGAGCTGGGGACATATCGCGATTGATGCGAGAGGTGCCATCGTGGGTGGAGGTACGGTTATACGCTGGTCGGGCGGGATGCCCGCCTGGGGAAGGTGCTTCATGGGCTGGCGAGATATTGCGATTGAGGCGTGGGATTGTGGCACGGGGCGGCTCGGGGACTGGTTCCTCTTCGGGAGGATTAAAGCGCTCGTTGTAGGCGTGCGCCGCATGCCCTGTGTTGGAGCGAGAACGGCCGGCTCGGCGGGTATCTCTGTTAATTGTGGTCAGTTCAGGCCTCACGCCACGGTAGTAGGGCAGTCGGGTACGTACTGTACGGGCCAGTCCCGCTTTACGTTGAGCAGAATCTCCCTGCATCGGTCGTGGTATGACAATTCTGCTTCCAGGAAATTGGTGAGATCCTGTACAAGGTCCACTTCAGCTTCCTTGATATCCTGCATCCTGCGGTAGACGTCCTCGCTAGACTCTTCGTATTTGGCCTTTTGTGCCCTCAACTCCTCCTCCACTCGGAAATCCTCCTTCTTGGCCTTCTCCATCTTGGCCAAGGAGGTATCGTAGGCTAATCGGCGCTGGTCGAGTTTCCTGCGAGAAGCCTAGAATGCGGTTAGAGTCTTGCTTGTGTTGGAATGATGCGGGGTATGCAGGGGCATGATGGCGAGGGAGCCGTACCTGATATTCTTTGAGCTGGGCAAGAGAACGCTCCAGGCCCTCGAGCCAGGAGGAGGTAGCATCGTTAACATAGGTCTCCTGAACGCGTGCCAGACGCTCGTTCGCTCGACCAAGATCTATCAGGGGTTAATTTGCGAGTCTTATCGTACCGAATAGAACATTGCTGCTTACTGGAGAGGCAATTGCCAAATTCGGATTCTGGCTCGAAGTCCTCGCTGTGTGTGACCATGGCAGAACCAAGGTAGCCACCTGGAAGCGTCTTCTCGCGGTCGTCTCCTTCTGCTCGCTTGGAAAGAGACTTTACGTAGACGGTCATGGACCTCTGCATTTTGTCGAGACCTGAACGACCATTAGCAAGGTGTAGGGTTGTGGAGAGTGTCGAGTGGTTGCATACCGTCATGACGAAGGTTCATCTCCATTTCCAAGGACTTGAATTCCTCGGAGAGGCCCGTCTTGACCTCTCCTCCCATCTTCTCGCCGGCCCATTGCTTGAAGCGGCCGAGCTTCTTGTTGACGTTCATGATTGTTGGGTATTAGAAGAAACTGGAGGGGTTTGGAAGGTAGTGAGCGTGTGAGGGAGCGAGTGGTCGCGAGGTGCAGTTGATAGTAGGGAGAAGATGCGGTAAGTTTGGGTAATTAGCTCATGCGATCAAAGGGACGACGCAATTGAGAGAGGGAAGCCAACGAGGGTGAAAGACGATGAAATGCAATGGAAGCAGAAGAGAGAGGGGAGGGGTTGGCGGGGAGTGCTGAAAAGTTGCTAAGCAGAGAGATGGACAAGATCAACAGACAGACGGGCAGAAACCAGAGGCTTGCAAGCAAGAATGTTGGATATGGAGGGGGAGGATAGAGATGGAGATAAAGATGGGAGAGGACGGGGGAGAGGGTAAGGGTAGGGGTAGAGGTTAGTGGTTAGTGGTTAGTAGCAGTTAGTACGAGTAGAGTGGAGTAACGTAACCTACACAGTACACACAATAGTTACATACGTCGATATACGAATAGAGTGACTAGAGGGGAATAGGACAAGCGTATACAGGTGGTCCTACTATATAGACCGCCCAGAGAAGGGTCTCGCCACATCTCCGCCCAACTGTATGGACGGTTGAGTATTGGACAAGTCACTCTGTGTATTGATATGTACTTGATGGTACCTAGAGGGACGTTTATACCCATTCCTCTCCAGATATTATTGGCACAGGTACTCATAATAACTTATCGGCGCTTCCAAGCACTCAACTGTACACGGCATCTTCACTTCTATCCAAGTACCTAACCAACTAGGTAGGTAACTAGGTACCTACTAGATATCTAGACTCTACAACAATACAAAACGAATTCATTCTATAAAGTAATAAACTCCTTATTCAAACATCATCACTCTCGATTCACCTCCCCTGTGTCTGATTCTGGCCTCAATTGACCCTCTGTCCGACTTGTCCGACCCCCTGGGCGTCTGATAGAGCCGCCCTCGTCTCTCCCAATCATTCCCCTTCCATGCCACCTTTCCACCTTATACGTTTCACCATTCCACTCTCTTGGACTCTCTTCTTCCCAGTCTCTCATCAATCACTCGTCAGATCACGCTCGAATCTCGATTCCTTCCTACTTACGCCTGGTATATATCTTTAGCACGCGCCGACCGTCAACAAATGCCAGCCCTCGCCCACATCCATCACATCCATTCCTATCCGCCACCCCCTGCCGGGTCGCACATCAGAGGCCACCACACCACATCCACCTCCTTTGCCTTCTGGCTTGTCGATCGCCGTCGCGCCTGTCCACCGTGTTTCGGAATTTCTCCCTTTCCGGATTATTGAACCATTCTCCTCGTCGGAAACGCCTGTTTGAACTCTGTGCCTGACGCAACACCGCGTCCACCCACCCGCCGCGGCCGCGACAATGACCGACCATATGAGTAAGTCGGCATACGTACGACCACAATAACTAATCTCGCTCCATCATCATCAGCATCATCGTCATAAGCATAGATAATCGTAAATCCATTTCAATCCGACACCGATGAACCTGTCGCGTGTCTGAAACGCCGAGCGCTGTCGTTCAGGCACAAGCGCTGGAGTAGATCCTGCTTAGCTCCCCATCACTTTTGCGGAGGCCGCGTTCGAGAACGTGCAAATTGCCCTAATGCCCGCGCGTCCACTCCACTACTATTACTGGGCTCCCCTCCAATCGGAATGAAGTCCTCGTGTGAGATTTCCTAACAGGTGCGAGTATCATGCTTAGGATTCTTCAAGAAGACTATGTGCTGTGTATGTACATACATGTATACCGGCTCAAACCGTCATGCGTACTTTTTATTCATCATGCACTACACTTGCCTTGTCAAGTTACGAAGTCATAGCACTCATATGGATTGCTTCCGCTCTGTTCGGGGTTTTCCCTCTGATCGTGCATCCTCTTGATGAGATGGAAATAAGCTGATGGTGTATACCTCATACATGCTCCATAATCAGCATGAAATCGGCATTGCAAAGCTTGAATCAATTCGAAAAGGAAAATATCTAAAGTGAAAACCACGACATCGATCTTCTGAATAGTTTCTTGTTCATTTTGATAGTCAAGAAGGAGGAGGTTGTAGCACACAAAAGACAATAGGCTATCTCTACATAATCTCAGCGTCTCATTCCAGCGAGAGATTTCCAATGATCATGCATCCTCTTCAAACGACACGATTCCAGCAACCGAATTCACGGGTATCGTCTCAACGCGACGATCACCAGTAGATCCATACCCACCAAAGATACGATATTCCACTCTACGTCTCCGTGTAGCACCATCACAGTAACAGCTTGCCTAGAAATCCGCATCTAATCTCGCATCTCGCATTTCGCGGCAACGATAGCATACGAAGAGGTAGCTATTGGTGTTGAATTAAAGATCGTCTTGGAATTCATAAGCTTGTTCGTAAGTTTCCATCGGTGAATTATATCAAGACCGGAGTTTAGTACTGATGCCCCACGCTGGTGCTCATGGAATCTCGGAAACAGGTGCCGAGAGGCCATGCATCTCGACTTTGTTAGGAAGAATCATAGACGATCACAAGGTCTGAGGACAATTCATTCGTGCTAAATCTAGCTGTTTGAATTGGTATCTATCATTTTGAAACTGAAGGATATAGAATATTGTGATAATAGACAAGTATGTTGCAAGTTTCTTCACTTGTATAAGGTAGTCATCATGTTTATCCCTTGGTAAGTGCCTAGGTTGTGGGACGCAGTGGTACTGATAGAGCTTGTAAGTTAGTAGGCCCATAAAAAATGGTTGCAAAGTAAAGGAAAAGGAAGCAACGGGCATATCGTGCTTCACGGCCATTTCAGAATTTCCATTACATGCCGACTTCTTTTGCTTTTGTTTTGCGGGTTTGCTTAGGTAAATGGTAGCACTGGATGGCGATATATAACCTTCGCCTGCGCAGCTCCAAGTCATCACCTTACGTTTAGATCAGTACTACTGACTACTCTCCCTTCCTTATTTTCCCTTTCGTCTGTCTTTCAGACTGTCATTCATTCATTCATTCATTCACTCACTCAGTCAATCTCTCACTCACTCACCACTCCCGTTCTCGTCTAGAGAGCTACACATTCATTCACATCTCATTTTTCAACCTAGAATTACATTAATTCGTACTATCCTTCCAATTTTCTATTTCCAACAGTCAACAACATGCTTCTCTCCAAGGCATTTGTTCTTCTGGGAGTTCTCGTTACTTTCAGCAGCTCAGCCCCTGTAGCCGCTCCCCCCGACAGCGCAGCCCCAGTCGATGACGAAGTCGACGAAGCGCCCCCAAACGATTATCCAGAGAAACGGCGATCTATGTGGCGGGCCGATGGAGTTGAATTCCAGACTCTTGTAGACTCTGGCGGTTTTCTCTCCAAGGCCGCCAGAAACAAAGTCAAGCCAGAATACCGTCTAAGCCACCACGTCATGGAATCTACAGGCACCCTCTACAGTATAAAAAACACCGGTTATATCTCCACAACGTCAAGTTTCGCTCAGGGCAAGGGTATGGTCAATTCACTCCTCAAGGGAAACGGCTATCTCTACGAGATCGGTTATGGAAGAAACCTTATCGACGTCAACGAGAGCCTAGGGAAATACAACAAATTCAAATCCGAGAAAGAATTTGCTGCCATTCAAAAAATTCCGCTCGAACAAATCAAGGGCTATTATAAGTTCACGACAAATGCTGACGGAAGGTTAACCAAGGGTGTATACAAGAGAAACCCTCATTTCAAAACGATGCCATACGAATTTGTCCAGACAAGCCCGGGCATGACAGGCCCGGCACAACATGGCGGCCCCCAGTATTCACTTGTTGGCTTCCCCGATGACCATGAGATTTGGAAGCAGGAGCCATGGTCAATGTACTATGATACACGACTTAAGGTGGATGGATAGGCACGGTGCGCTTGAATAGTGTGGAGGACTGTTCTCCGCCGATACAACGCTTACAACGCCCAATTTAAGGATGCATGCCGGTACAATGTCAAAGACTAAGGAGCCTCCGGACGGACCCACCGCAAGAAGTGAGGTTGAGATTACCAATGTGAAGACTGTAGAGAACAGTTTTCCGCCGATGCAACACGTGCAACGCCCACTTTGCAAAAGCAAACCGGTACAGGATCAACGACCGAGCAGCCTTCGAATAGGGCAACTGCGAGCTGTGAGGGTAGATCCGCCAACTGAAATACTACTGGATACCATTGCCATGAGTATTTTCAGAAGGTGGACTCTCGGCAGAGAATTTGAGCTTTAATGTATTGGGCGCGAACGAAGAAGTGTAAGGCTAATTTACACTACCGCGGAGGGTAAACTTGAAGATAGACAGAGAGGTATAGATCGCAAATTTGGAGAAAATTTGGATAGATTAGATACGAAGTAATATGAAGATAATCTCGTTTCAAGACATTGAGTACTACCTGACACCAGTCTCAATACTAACAGAACTACTATTCCTTACTGATATCCACAACACACTATCGTTTGCTCAATCACCGCGCCTGCCACTGCATTGCAGTTTGATTTCAAACAGACATGCTTAGAAATAACACGGATTTTGCGTTCTGCAAAGTATGCTCTCTGGAGACACAACAACTGGAACATATGAAGAGCGCATACATCTGCGTCAGTCCGCAGCCAGCATGAAAGAAAGATGAACATTTCAATCAATCCTCTGACGAACCTTTCAATATTCATTTTACATAATTTGCGAAGGGCCCAGGTAATATCATTTTAATTATTTTCTTCAAGCTTAGACTCATCATCGCCTAAGAGAATAGGTGCATCATCAAGTGTTTCGACGACCTGCCAGAACAAACTTTCAATTCATACTAAGAATTACCCGAAATGTTTTGAACTGCATCGAAGATAACCACTGGGCCAATCTGCAATTATTTGACTCCTAGATGTAATTGAGTAGCGATCGTTGACGTTTGCCAGGCTGTATGTCTTGGCAAGGCGGTAGTAAATATAGACCGAAGGAATGCGACAAGTTTGATATCGCCCTGGTTAAGCGGTGTATTGCACTCAGCGAAAGTATTCAGCGCTACCTATTCTTCTATTCACTGAATCGTAGCAAATTTTCAACCCGCTTGAGATCCTATTGTATATATAGTTGACGACAGCAGATGGAGCCAGCCAGGCCAATAGTGGTAACTTAATGATAATAGAAAAGCAGCTAGCTATTACTAGTATTGTAGTAGATCGCCGGGGAAATCTTAGCGAGGAAATAGGATTACCTCATACGTGCCTAGCCTATCCTGTCCTGTCCTGTCCGTCACCGTGCGTACTTCCGAAGGTTCATCTCCATTATCGATCGCGACCGCCTCAACTCGCGACAACCAAACACTCCCGCCTCCTCCCCCTCCTCTCCCCCCCAACCCAATCCCTCTTAAGTAGCCGCCAGCATGAGCGACTCCGAATCCTCCTCCCTCTCAACACCACCCGTTTCCGACGACGAGATGCCCCAAGTCGTCGCGTCTTCTGCGGCGACCAAAGCCTCCGCCTCAAAGAAGAAAGGCAAGAAGAACGGCAACATTTTGTCCTTTTTTAAGAATAAGACATCACCGGAGCCTCCACGAAAGAAGAGACCCGCGTCACCGCCTCATGATTATGTCCCCGAGGACAATCCAGACATCGCTGTGAGTATATGTCGCGTCAATCGCGTCCATTCGCGACGTGAATCCCTTCCTGTCATGTCTCCATCTCTGCCGCAACTTTTCCGCTAATTATTTCGTGCTGCAGTTTCTCGTCATGTTTCGGTCGCGATTCACAGATGCTTTCCCGCCCAAATCACCAAACGTTGGGCCCCAAGACATCGAGAGAGGCGTCGCCAGCGAATTGCCCTCGCCGCAAATCGAAAGTCTCCTATGCGCCATCCTCGGACTCGTCTTGAATCGCAAGAAACCCGTAGAGTCAGTACTCCCCAATGCTCCGGAAATTTATATGTGGTTATGGTCGCGCAATGCGTGGATATGTTCCGTTGTTGTTCCCTAGGCTGACAGTGCTCGCGCTTTTACAGGAGGGGTCATTACGGTCGTGCCCTGGAAGAGGCCATTCAAACCCAGCGGTCACAATGGCCGCGAGAATGGGGCGGAGTCAACCCAATAAGTGGCGGAAGGTCCTTCAACACCATGTCGGCTACAGAGCGCGTGAGTTTGCTCCTTTTTGCTCCCTTCTGTCGCCGTAATGCTGACATCCCTTTCTAGATTGTCCTCCTCAAGACCCTTGCCCTCTGGGGCTTAGCCACATGCGAAGCCGTTAAGAAAATCATCAACGACAGGTACAAAGTACGAACAAGCAAGATCATCGACGACAGCAACGTCCCTCTCTCCGTCCAACCCTGGGGTCGCGATGGCGACCATCGCCGATATTGGTTGATCGAAGGACAAGATGATACACCTTTCCGTGTATACCGTGAGAGTAACCCAAAACTCAAGACCAACACTTGGTGGAGTGTCGCCGGGTCCATTGAGGAGATACGAGCACTGGCACAAAAGCTAAAGACGGACGACGGCTCAAGGGATGCTAAGCAGCTGAGCGATCGGATGCTCAATGCGATCCCACGCTTCGAGGCTTCCGAGGAGGTATGCATGCCGCGATACAACATTCTTACCCTAGTCCATCGCTAACCGTTACGCAGAAAATCAAGAAGCGACAATACCGCCAGCAATTGAAGTCGCGATGGCAGCGCCCAGAGCCAGGCTTCTCGATGTACGAGGGACGCACCCGTGGCAAGCGCATGAAGTACACATTCTCGGATGAAGAAGACCAGTCAAATTCAGATGCATTTGATCTTCGACGGTCTACCCGGAATTCAGGCAGGGTTTCCCCAGCCCTGCAAACTGGCCCAACTGTCACTGCGAGCGGACGTCAGGTCAAATCACGCGCGACTGGCGTTTATGGCGAGAGCTTGCTCAGTGGACAAGTCACTGAAGGTGCCTCGCCAGCCAATGGAGACTTCGTCCAATCTGAGGGATCTGAAGAAGCTGAGGGTGGACGTCCAACACGCAACAGCACCAGTCGGCCAACGAATGGCTGGTCAAAAGGTCGCGCCAATATCGAAACGTACAACTCCGTGGACGAGATGGACGAGGAAGACGATGCAACATCTTGGGACGGTGGAGACGAGGATGAGGATGGTGACGACCGTGATCAGATGGATCTCGACGATGACGAAGATGATGATGACGATGCTGCAGACGACGACGGTGGCGAGGACGATGATGAAGGGAAGTCTCTCCTGGTCCGTCTAAAGTATCCAAAGGGGTCTTTTGAAGGCGAAGGCGAAAGCAAAGACGCAAATCCAGAGTCCACCACTGGAGAACCACCCGCAGCTGCTCCTGTTAAAGACTCGCCAGCAGACTCCGAGCTTGCCCCCGTCCCTGCACCTACAACCAACGGTCTCTCAGCTCAGCAGACAAGCAAAGTCCCGCTACCTGTTGAATCGGAACCAGCTCTTCCACCCACACCCAAGGTCGAGCCACCCGCCGTACAGCCCGCCTTCTCAGCGCCCACTCCCCCATACGCCGCAGCCGAGGAGAATGCTCCCAAACCACAACAATACAACATGGCCCCCGTTGTCTCCCCAGATCAACATCCTCCGTTCCAGCTCCAGCAGCAGCCGCAGCAACCCACGACAGCCACCAGCTGGCAGTAAAGCTCGTTTTGTGTCACTACTTGTCAAATAAACAGCCTCCGTTCCAGGCAGGTGTTCTTTTTTTTTTGTTATCAAAGTCTAGTCATAGAATAGTCAGTGTAAGGACCAAGGACCAAAGGATCCATAGGGACAGGGCATTCGGAGTACGATAAACTTACTTCTCTTTCTCTTCTTTCTTTTTTGTCATACCTTCTCTGTTCCAACCCCCAAAAAATCATTTTGTCTCACGAGAAGCAAAAACCCAAAGGAATCATACTATACTATTATACAATAAAGTATTACAAGCATCTTAATCAAAAGAAAAAACCATCAACCGTTTTCACTACTCGTATGGATATCCCACGTGTGATCTCTGATGCGTCCTAAACTCAAATTACACCGCACGAAGCCGTGAGTGGCTTGATTAACTACTGTTCTTCTCCTTTCACTGTCACAGTCACATTTACATTCAAATTCACATTCGCGTTCCACCCTCACCAGCATCAATATCAGTCCGCACCGTACAGCACTTAAACACTCACGACAAGCAGTCAGACGGAAAACGTAAGAACGTAAATATGCCACTGGGCGTTCGTATTTTTTTCCTCGCTAGCTAGGTAACTATCTAATATCTCTGCTTCTCTCCGTCGTTACACCTCTGCTTGCCTCCTTTGGTTTTGTGCGTGTATGTACCTTATTCATGCAATGCTAGGTGGGCATCCAACTTCCGGGATTCGAATGTGTGCTATGCGTCTCTGGCGTCTGTTGCCGGGCACGACGGGCCATGCTTTGGTAGGTGGAGGATAGGGGTAGTGTAGGGTAGAGGAAAGTTGAACCACACGGTGTGATCCAAGTATTTCCCACCCTCCCCCTTCCTGCTGGTGATAACACAGAAAGATGCCACGGAGCAGACAGATTAAGATGTTCAGAGATATGTATCTCCCTCAATTGATCCCCTTTTTGTGCGCGCCTGCCTGGAAATCTCATTCGCCCCGGTTTCGCGTTAAGATATGATGACGATTGCTATATGGTGTTGGTTTGGATGCTTTAAGGCGCAGAGAAAACACTATTTTGATCTCGATGTGGGAGATTAACTTGGGGATAGGGGGGTAGGGGGATGCTGTTGTCGCGTATGTTGGTAAAGCCGCGGTGCGGTTCGAATGAAGGATGGCGACGAATGCTGCTATGATGATGCAACTTGATCGAAGAGCGCAAGGGGAGTGTATCTCCACATCCTCTGTGTTAAGCAATGGTACTATACTGACCTGTAGCCTACCGGCTGCCGCTCTCCACGCACTAGGTAAAGGACAGCAGCAGGGATTCAGTGGTTCGTGAAAAGTAGAAATTGGTATCGAAGTGACCAATGAACCTGAATTTCTCGATGCCATCAGGGCGAACCGTCGAGGTTGGCATATGTAGGATAGTTTGATGCATGTCCCGGATAGCCGTGAACCTCCGTAGGTGGACGGTAAGCATACTGAATATGATGTTGTTGCTGGCTAGGCGTGTGCGAAAGTGGAGGCAATTGGTCTTGCCCGCTAGCTGATCCCATCCTGTGTCTGACGGGTGAAGGCTGTTGCGGGCGTGAGTGAAGCGAAGCTGATCCGTAGTTTGCGGTCTGGTAACGGCGCGATGGATCGGGCAGGCTGTTTGGGGTGCTATACGCAACTTTCTTTGCTGGCCTCACAGGCTCGTCGTCATCACTCAATGTCAAGTCGATGACCTCGGACTTCCGCTTTTGGCCTCTTGGTGTGTTGGACGGTTCCCTGGACTGTAAAGGTGGGGTTTGAGCAAGAGACTGTGGCGTGGGTACTGCTTCGCTCTTGATGGCTGCAACGCGATCCCGAGGTTCTACTATCTCCACGAGATCGTCGTCGTCATCGCCTTCGCTAGGATTATAGCCACCAAGATATCCGCTCGTCCTGGAGGATCCATTTTCGTTCTTGTTCCCTCGCGACCAGTTTCCCATGGGATCTATCGTGACCTGATCTGTACTTCTCGAGACTTCACTCAAGATTTCCTGGACATACTCGTCCACGGCTAGTCCTTCGTAAGAAACGGACTTGTTGCAGATTGGGCATGTCCATGTGGGAGCTTGCTCCTGTAGTTGCAGAAATGACTCCGCATCGAAACACTGATTATGTGAACAGACGGTAGATCTAATCGGCATGGATATCCGCAACGTGGAGATGGGATCCTTTAAAGAAAGGTTGACTGAGCCAACTTCGATATCGGGATCGTCTGCTTTCTTCCGCACTAGACGTCATGTAAGTCAACACTCAGCGACCTCGATAAAGGAAAGCCTACTTTCGTTAAGTACGGAAGCCTTCGTAATCACGTTTCGTTGCTGGATCTTCTTAGCCAGTTCGTCGATGGTATCCTTTCTCACTAGGTAGATGTAGAAATTGAACTTCTGTATCATCAGTCAGCATTGAAGTGGGATGTGGGGATTTTCACGAAAAAGAGACCTGTGGACTTCCCTTCTGCGTCAACGCGTACGTGATCTGCAGACTGTTCCTATAATTTGCGACCTTACGCATGAGATCAGTAATGTCGGCCGGTCTCGTAGACCCGGGTTTATTCTTGAGTCCCTTGTAATTCGCCTTCACCTCGTCTCCATTGATCTTCACTTCAATCTGCGAGGGGAACGCCACATCTATCCTCGAAAACTGGCTCAGAGGTTGATCTGGGGCAGAGAACAGGAGAAGTCGCATGGAAGGATCTGTTTTCAGACGCGTACATGTCGCTTCTGTGAGAGGAAGAGGCTTGTTGACGCTCTGTCTATGCGACGGAGAAGCTGCACTCCATTAGCGCATGTCGTGACCTATACCGAGTAATCATAACCATACCTTCTAAAGTGATGCCCGAGAACAACAGTTCGCGTATTTGGTAGAATGGGCTGGTTTTGAAGAGCGTTGTCGAGCCTGTAATCTGTTATCAGTCATGTCCCCAGCTGAGCAGGAAACCAGATATTACCAGCTCCAAGAGAATGCGACGAATATGTTTGATTCGATTGACTCGACTGTTGACCGTAGCCGTTCGACATATTGTTATATCCTGACATTGACGCTGAGCTTTGCGATGGCGCAGATAACGAGGTGAGATCGGTGCCGGGTGGAGGGGCGCTTCCGTTGTTGTGGACGCGGTAACGAAGACGGTTCAGCGTTTCGGCATCGTTGTTTATGGCAGCACGGTTGATCACTGGGGTAACTGGAGTCAGCGGACGGCGATTGCAAGTGAGAGGATGTGAGGAAGAGTGTGGAGAGGGTGATAGACTCGGATTCGTAAGTAGGGGAATAAATCTGCACTCACTTCCTATGATGCGACTCTGGAGGTGTACTTTGTTACCGCTCTGGATTTGTCCTTCCTCTTTGCAAATCCTCTTCAGAACATTATTGACCAGCGTCTTCGTCCGCGCAGTGACGGCCATCGCCGTGACATCCAGAGAATTCGAAGCCATGAGGAAAGTTGAACAATTTACAGCGACTTGGACTTGAGAGCGAGCGGGCTGTGGGTGGATGACCTGGGGTGCTATGAGTCTATTATAGCGATAGACATTCGGGGCAGTTGAGTTGGGGGACCGGAGCGCGAGAGTGCACGAGGGATGCGGTGAACCGGTGCGAAGTAGAGGAAGAGGCAGAAGTGACGTGCAGAGTGATTACGGTCGTCGTGGTAGAGGCTGGTTCCTTCTGTCCTGGTTGGCTGTTCCACCAGCACGTAACAGCAGCCTGGTGAAGAGCACACACGCGCGGTGGTGGTGAGGGTGCACTGTATGTACCCTTCCAGTGAAGAGATATGGATATCTCTCTTACTCGCAAGTCAGCACCTCAAACGCGAAAAGAAGAGGTGGGTAGTTTTAGGTGCAGGGTGTGCAACCTCAATAGGCGCGATTGGCAGCCGAAGTGACGGTCATAGTCGGATCGTTCGTCGTCGGTTCACACTGTCGCTCAGTCGCTCTCTCGTTCTCTTCGTCCTCCCAATCATTCGGAGAATCGGAGTCGAGACCAATCGTCCCTAGCGCGGTACGCACGGACCAACTACCGCCTTGTCGGTTGGTCGGTTGTTGCCACCAAAAAAAATATGAGACAGAGGAAGACTGGATGACCACGTGACTAGCATAGGTACCTAGCAGGTAGAGCACAGCCTAGAGAGAGAAGAGGGACACACTAAGGAATTAACCTCGACTTTTTTTCCATAACCACTCCAGACACCCAAATATCTCACATCTCACAACTGCTCTTCTCACCAGGCAGCAACAACATACACAGGAACTATACGTTCCACCTTTGCCTAACAACACAAGCAACACAAAAATCACATTCTTCATCCAGCAAAAATGGCAAAAGGACTCCGCTCCAGCGTCAAGAAGAACAACCGCACCAAGCTCCGCAGCAGAGTATTCGGCCCTGTCGAAGATGCCCGCACCGAGCGACTCCACGCAAAACTTCTCGAGACCATCGCTCAGCCCAAGCCCGAGCAGCCCGCAAAGAAAGAAATGGACATAGACTCTGCTGAAGGTACATACTCCTCCACCATCCCACCTCCCACCACCCGCGACAGCAACCACGACAACTACAATGACAATGACCCAAGTACTGACTCTTTCCCCCCAGAACTCAAAGACAAGGAAGACGACATGCCAAAAGGTTCGTGTGTTCTTTCCACCAAAGTCCCAGACTCCTTCTGCGACCCTAGCTCCAGCACCAGCACCAGCACCAGCACCAGCACCAGCACCACCTCTTCCCTCGCAAGAGAGGAGAGCGACATGAGGAATTTCTTCATCTACATGGGCCTCTGCTCCGACATCGTTGGCTTCAACGAGGACGGGGGTCTCAAGTTTGTCTTTGACCCGCTGCCACCAAGTATATCTGGTTGAGTGAACATCAATGGGCTAACACGTATCTTTTTGCTATTCCTTTAGACATGGAAATCGACAACGGCGCCGCCGCCACGACTGCCCCGACTTCGAAAGCTCCCAAGAAGAAGATCAACAAGTCGAAGTTGAAGGCGAAGACCAAGCCGAGGAACCAGATGACGTTCCCGAAGAAGCCCTCCAAGTCGAACAGAGTCACCAAGCGACGATGAGCGATAATGCGGCGTCCCTGCGATGGGCCGGCTACGACGACACGACAGCGCGCAAGCGAGCGAGCGGACCTTGTCGTAGTGACCTGCGAGTTCTTTTTCGGTGCGAGTTCCCCGGCGTCGAGCGGTCTACACTATCTCTTGCATTTACAGGCGTTTTTTCAACTACATAGGACGGGAGGAAGAAAATATGGGAGCTTAGAGTCGTTGCCTAGAAGAGGCATCACGAGTAGAAGGAATGATACCATGTCCGCACGGGACAACTTCTTAGGACGATCTGAGGATCGTGAATACATTTATTTTCCTATTCATCATACTTGACTGCTAACGTGATTTGATTTTGATTTTTGGTGATTACCAGCAATACTACATTATGATATCGTGACTAATGGGTATAATTATATAAAACATGGACATCCATACAGGGCATTAACCTTCATTCAGCGCAAAGGCTACACAATCCGAAAAACACTCGCTGGCCGGCCGTAACTCACATGAAGTGACAATATCGACGCTCCTCCACCCTCTCACATCCCACTCCACCATCTCGAGCACCCATTCACGCACCAAACGCACCCCTCCTCCCAACACCCCTAAACCCAAATCCACCCGACCCTCTTCTCGCCATCGAAGACGGCGCACGAGGCGTTGTCACCACCGCCTCCATCGGACTCACGACCGTCGCCCCCACCTCCCCCTCCTCATCCGACGAAATCTCAATGACCTCCGCCTGGCTCGGCCGCGCCGGCTCCCTCAACGCCTCCTCACTAAACGTATTCGCCAGCACCCACCTCGTCCAATCGTAAAAGACCCCCGGGTCCCTCGCGCCCTGCTTAATCTCCCTGACCAACCCCTGCAGCTCCACCTTACTCGGCATCCTTTTCTCGTCGCTCACGAAATCCGCCGCGAGCCACCAGCACAGGAACAGGCGGGTGAGCTTGAGGATCTTGGGCACGTCGCGGGGCAGCACGCCGGGCAGCCTGTCGCTGCGTTCGAGCAGCATGGTGACGCAGAGGGAGAGCTCGGAGAAGATGTCGGAGCGCTTGAGGAGGGTGAGGCGCGTGCGGATGAGGGCGAGATCGGCGGCGGGCATCGTGGAGAGGGCTTTCATGATGATGCGTTTGCGGTCTTGGGTTGCGAGGAGGATGGGCCAGGGCCATTTTTGGATGGTGGAGATGGAGGCGGATTCGGGGTAGTCGTTTAGGTTTATGGTGATGGCGGTAGAGGGGGTGGATGGAGGGGAGGGACGGCGTTGGTGAGGGCGGTGATGGGAGCGCTGGGAGGGGGTCGTTGGGTTGGAGGAGTGGATGGGTCGTTGGGATGAAGGTTGGGAGTGGGATGGGGAGCGAGGCTCAATTTTTGGTGTCTGGAAAGATGCGCGAGCTGGTGTTCTGGCATCATTTTGGTTGGCGTTGATTATGGAAGGCTGTGTGATCGTAGTAGGGGCTTGTGAGGTCATGACATTCGTTGAGCCATGAGCCTCGCGGATGTTGTCGATCTCCATCATATCCTCTGGAGCATCTAGGTCAATGACAACAGACACCCTTCGCGAAGTTGTGTGGCGGGGAGTTGACATGGGCGGTGCTGGAGGAGCTGTCGACGGATACAACACTTGGGGTGCTTTCTGAGGTGTCGCAGTAGAAGTGGATGGTGGATGAATCTGTGGTGGTGAACTTGGATTCATCTCGTCATCCGTTGCCGACGGTGATGGAGCTGATGGCATCTGATAAACTGACAATTCCCATTCCTCCTGGAGAAGCACCTCGACGGTAGTAGCCAAACTCCTACACTGGAGACGCAGCGCATTGACTTGGGTCCACGGGCCTCCCAAGGTCGCGATCTCTGTGCTCAGCACGTTCAGCCTGTTGGTGTAGTAGTCCACGTTCCTCCTGGTTATTTCAATGAGATCGAGACGCTCTCCGACAGATTCAGCCTCGAGCCAGAGCTCCCGCGCATCAGAGGCAATATGATTGTCGTGGGTCCAGCCCTTCCCGGGATACCACTCCTCTTCAAAGCGGGCAATCTGCTCGTTGATGATCTCAGTGACTCGATCATCGTCAAGTGTTGATTTGTGCCCGCGTGCTGGTGGTTTAGAAGGTTCGATCTGGTACGCTTCCAGTGAATCTTCGTCGGTATCCTCACCTTCACCTTCATCGTCTTCCTCATCTTCGACTACTCCGGCCATGTTCACGTCTGCGCTTCCGTGTTGTATCTCGGAACTCTGGTTATTATCTTTGCTCAAGTCAATGACAATGTCTTCGCCATCCTTCCATTTGTTTTGCAGATAGTTCCAGTCCTGTCCTAGTAGCGGAGACTCTTCCATGATATGTGTGGGCTGCGCCTGGACGAGATTCATAGAGGTTGACAACGACGCAGTTGGGACAAGCTCAGCCCGCTTTGGTTCGAAGATCCTGCCGGGAGGTCTTTGCATACCGGTGCCCCAAGTTATTGAACGAGCTGGCTGCGTCGAGGTATTTGCACTGGGAAAATTTCGACGATAAATATTTGAGTTCGACCTCAAAAAATTGATAATCTTCAACAGAGAATTTTCAGCTCCAGGTATTTGGATCTTGATAGTCTTACTAAGAAGGCCATTGTAGAAAGTGGTGAGGAGATTTTGGCCTGTAATCGCATGTTGATTCAAGTAATGTCCGAGGACTGTGCGGTATGGTAGCATTTGTGGCTCACATCCTGCTTCGTTGTAGAGACTTGTCGAATCGCAAAGGTTAGCCACAACTTCGGCTACGCTCCATAGCCATGGATCTCTTCGTTCCATGGTTGTTCTGATGATACGGTGGCCAAAGCCCAGGATATGAGTGCAGAGATTGTAGCTTTCTCAAAGTCGACGTTTGTGAACGATGAGTTGCTAATGCCTGAGAAGATCCCCATGCCAAGGCGTACTGTAGCACCCGAGAAACTTGATTGTACACAATGAGATTGTACTATCATGGATAGACTCCAGATTGAAGTAGATTGTTGATGGGTGAGCTCCGGTTACCAACGAGGAAAGATCGAATTTGCGCTCTCACTCGATTGTCTCTACCGTTGACTGGCATCCACGAAGAGTGAGGGTGAGACGTGGAGAGAGATAGAGAGTAGTTCTACATCCAGTTACAAATGTACGGAGTAGTCGCTTCTGGTTTGGTGACACAGTGACCGGCTTATATGGTGATCTGTGCACCAATAGTAACGACCATGAGGGGTTGCATAATCACGTGAGTTCGCGTGTATTGTGAAGTATTGTAGGTTATATGAAGATTTAACGCGATTTGAGTATCATATGCTGTAATAACATCTTGACTACCCTGGTAATACTCGAATTACACGCGTTTCTGCCTTTATTAGCTCCGAGTTTCGGCTGACGAATGAGCTCATCGCTTAGCGCGAAAGCATCTTTCCGTTCTCGAAGCATCTTTCGAGGCTCGAACTTCCACAATCACGAACAACAAGAAATTCCATAGAAATGGCAGCTTCTTCGCTTTCAAACTATCCGCCTGAGCTCTCTCCTGACGAGGAGCAGTACCTCCTCACGAATCTTAAAGACTGGTCAATCGCTCATGGCTTGGCAGTGCGGCCCCCGCCATCATTTGTAACTGCAACCCAGGACCCCTCGGGAGTGTTGGCTTCAACTGCTCCAGTCACTCTATTTCCCAGCCCGTTTCCTCGTAACTGCTTTGAAGAGGGCCTCGCAATACAAGAGGCCTATAATGAGCTTTACTCGGCCATAGCAAGAGATGAAAAGTGGCTTCAAGGCATAGTGGAAGAGTATGTCATTTTCATGTTGCTAAACCTCGGATTATAAATACAACCTAATTCTCTCATCACACCGCGTCTCGAATTTGAGGTTCATCAGTAAAAGAGTTTCCTGCTTACGAAGTACATCAGGCTAATCGATATCGATGATTTCGTGAGCAAGCTCTGGCAGACCCATCTGGCCGTGAAGAAGGAGGGCTATGTCCAGGTATAGAACTCAACTACCCAGCGTCATGGCCAAGCTCACAGTCGCAACAGGACCTGACTTTGGGGCTGTTTCGATCTGATTATATGGTCCATGTGGACCAGTCAGCTTCAAACGCAACCCCAGGACTGAAGCAGGTGGAGTTCAACACAATTGCATCCTCTTTCGGAGGCCTGTCCGCCCAGGTTTCAGCGCTTCACCGATATCTACTATCCATTGACGCTTACCCGGCCTCGGCCACTTCTGTAATCAAAGCTGAGGCTCTTCGTCAAAGTAAATCGGCATCATCGTTGGCGCGTGGCTTAGCGACTGCTCACAAAGCGTATGGTCAATCGCGCACAGGACGCCCGCTGTGCGTTCTTTTTGTCGTTCAAGATCCAGAAAGGAATGTGTTCGATCAGCGACACCTCGAATATGCATTGCTTGAAGAGAGTGGGGTACGAGCATTCCGGTTACCATTCCACCGGACTCAAGCCGACACAAAGCTTGCGGAGGACCGAACGCTGTTGTATAGTCCACCCAATTCTCCCGCAACAAGCTATGAGGTTACTACAGTCTACTTCCGAGCGGGCTACTCGCCTGATGACTATCCGAACGAAGCAGATTGGACATCCAGACTTCACCTTGAACGCAGCCGCGCCATCAAATGTCCGAGCATTCTAACCCACCTGGCTGGATGTAAGAAAGTCCAACAAGTACTCGCAACACCGCACTCTCCCCACCTCAAACGGTTCCTGCCCGACGAGAAGGTTGCATCACGTGTTCTCTCTACCTTTGCACCTATATATCCGCTAGACCAGAGCGAAGCAGGCCAGGAGGCTATAAGATTGGCGAAGAATCCAGAGTCCGCTGCCCGTTATGTTCTCAAACCTCAACGAGAGGGTGGAGGTAATAACATCTACCGCAAAGCGATTCCGCCATTCTTGCAGAATCTTCCCGAGACGCATTGGCCCGCCTACATCTTGATGGAAATGATCGAACCGCCTGCGCTCAAGAACGCCATTTTCCGTAACGGCGAGCTTCAGAGTGGAGGCGTCATTTGTGAACTAGGCGTTTACGGAGTCTGTTTATGGAGGAACGGATCCGGAGATAATCAAGGTGAGATACTCGAAAACCAAGAGGCTGGATACTTGCTTCGAACGAAAGGTGATCAGAGTGAGGAGGGAGGTGTTGCAGCGGGATTCGGTGCTGTTGACAGTTGCTGTCTAGTCGAAGTTTGATGCCGCACTTCGACGAATCGGTATTGTGGTTACTGGAGTCACGAATTCGTGCTGTGGTCCGTTAGTCGCCATTGGACGGGAACACCTATGGTGGCCCGTAGTGGCCGTTGTCCACGAAAACAACGTCCTTGGCAGCCGTCCCATCTCCCATGCGACACATACACAGTGCTACAAGTAGAAGTAAATAGGGGCACCATGATAGGACGGAGATTCAGAGACTCAACCAATTCAACAGACAACCATCTTTGCCCGATGTCAGACACACCGCTGGACCGTGCTATGCGACGACTGCAACTGCAACTGCAACAGTTTCGCAAATGGAGCACGAGTCAGAAGCTTTCAGCATCCACCTGATACCACATGCAAGGCCTTTTCCTTTTTTTTTTCCTTCTTTCTCTTTTCGCAGCCTCGCTTTCGCACCGTAAGAGACTGCGTGACAATTGGGAGAAAATATTGGTTAATCTTAAATGACCCACCTCCACCACTTCGACGATTGCCTAAATCATGAAATAAACTATAAGCTACCATCATAGAGCGATGATCCCTGAGGTTAGAACGCGCGAAACGACGGGGCCGCTCCACAATAATGGATCGGTCGGGTACCACGAACTTATATCCTGACATCAAAGAAGTCCACAGCGAGGAGTATGCGACAAGTGCTAACTATGGTTCGCGGATTCTGTGCTTGCAATGGCCAGGTTCGAGCATATCCCGAATTTTGAACGAGCCAGCTGAGTGATGTTTCAATACCCGAAGCAAGGAGAGAATACCAGAACCAGACTGAACACCAAAGAACCGGATCTCCAACAAGTAAATCGATCCCGTGCCAAGTGCACGTACCTCGGGAAGATCTATCGATAGGTACTCGATCTTCGATGAATGAATTGATCGTCTCTCATAATAACAAAGGAAAAGTCAACATGATGCTGGTCTATGTTGAGGATGGGCCTCGGTTAGGCTCGTACGATGTGAGCAGAATTCATCTAGCATGGCTATTTACAACATACAAGAGGAGACGAAGCTGAGGCTTTATCCTGGTGGCTCTCTTACACTGGCTTGATGAAGGAAGGGGGCATTGTTATGCAGGGCACTCAGGCAGAGGGGAGGGACTTATGCACGGGGCTGGGGGTCACCCGTCCTCCCGTGTTCTGATGCTGCAAGCAAATGCGCATGGATCAGAGTTCAAAGAGTGGGCTTGCATTGGCGTCGAGCCACGAGGCATCGGGATGGGCTCCGCATTTCTTACACACTACACTTCCACTTAGGTACACTTACCTACTTACACCAAGAAGACTCGGAACTGTGCACTCAAGATGTAGCCAGCCTTGGGAAAATCTGTGGGGAGTGCGCATGGCTTCGCACCCATATTGCCTTCCTCCATTGGCTCAACTCGATATTACACTGCGCGACTCCGACGCGTCGTTGATTTCGGCTACATACATCATCGACTACTGTGTACACCAATTACAAAGTACAACTGACTAGTCCTGTTCTGCCCGTCGTCGCATATCCATACCCACGCTCACTCCCACGCCAACCCCCCATCGCGAGTTTGAAGCATCTCATGCGATGCGAGCGCATCCGATTGATCGTACACAGCTCAGCTCGGCTATGAGCTGGCGAATTCTCTGCCAGTCAGTTGGGTTCGAAACTGATCTTGCTCGCGCACAACCAAGGGAGTCGTACGTTCCCCCTACTGTCTTAGATGTCTACGCGACTGCAGATGTGTACTCGACTCTCACTCGTCCACATTCCATGCATGTCTACCTGGACATTGCCCATCAATTAGAGTGTGATTCTATTCTGCCCGTCTTGGTAGCTACAAGCCGAGCCTTTTCCCAAGCGCCAGAGACGTTGAGAATTGGGAGGCCGTGGCTGAATGCAATTTCCTGAAACTCCAACGATACTAAACGTAGTATAATGCGTTCCGAGCGAAAGAGCATAGTCGACGCCGTCGCGCCTCATACGCTCACCATGGTTCAAACATTCCCTAATTGTGTTCAAGGGGCCCGAGCTCCATCACTTTCAAGAGGATAGTATCAGTTGACGATCAAACTGGGATACTGGTGGGCTGTGGACGGCTCTTGTGGCCGACCATGATCCCTGTCATCTTGACGACTTTGATTTCTACTTGGTATGCCCACGCTGCTGTGCATCTGGTGCATCTACTTTCACCAGCATCCATTGGATTGCCTGTTTGTCTTGTCCGACCTCTTCACCCTCTTTTGCACATTCATACGTAATTTTGAATCACTTCTCTGGCTCTCCAACTCTCAGTCCTTCCTTAACAACATTTCCTCTTTCTTTGCGCGTGGTTTCCTTCTTTGCTGGTATTACATCGAACCGTTTGCACGCTTTACACTTCGCAGCAGCCTCCGATACATTCATACCCAACATAATAACCCCACGTTCATGGAATTCGATACTTGTACATAATCTAGATCTCTTGTAGAGTCTATACGGCGTCGCTATGCGATCCTATTCTTATCTAATAATTGCGCTTGCGCTTCTCCTCTGCATCGATTTTACGGCCGCCATTCCACAGTCTCTCGTTGTCCGACAGGATGAGCGCTCTTCCGAAAGACCTGAATCTTCGACACGCCCAAGGAACGAGGCCACACGATCTCTTTCGACTGCTACGCAATCAGTGGAATCCTCAGTAACTCGATCGCAATCTGGTCGGTCATCCCAAACACCTAATAGCTCTGGTGCATCTTCAAGCAGTCCAGCCTCGTCGACAAGTGCTACACAGAGTCCGACACCAACTGTTCTTGAGAATTCGTCGCCAACAAGCACTGAAGGTGAGTAGCTTCTGTCATCGATAGTGAAGACCAGTCACCTAATGTTTGACGTGAGCAGACCCGCAACCCAAAGACCCACTTCCTATTCATCCGAAGATCACTCCAGCGTTAGGAATTGCAGGAGTCATCTTATTACTTTCAGGCATTGCATATACAATCATCGGTATCAAAAATAAATGGTATAAAACTATGACTGAGTGGTTCTATAGAGGACAGCACTAACAACCCTTAGGCTATACGTCTTCGCATCAGCGGCATATTTATCCAGTCTGGCTGTAACAGTGAGTTCATTTAATCCAGTCAAACAAGAAAAACATCGCTAATTCCGGGTCCAAGGTCCTCATCATCTACTTGATGACCCCCCCGGTATCGAATGCCATCCAGGGTGGTTTCTTCGTTGCAGCCTTTTTCACCGGAATACTGTTTGGCGGGCTATCCTTGATCTTCCCTGATATGACCGAAGGGCTGGGATGCCTGCTCGGCGGATTCTGTCTGAGCATGTGGTTCTTGACGGTAAAGGAAAATGGTCTGATCACATCTCAGACCGGTCGCTCCATCTTCATCGGTGTCATGAGCGCAGCGGGCTTTTCCTTGTCGTTTAGTCATTATACCCGCCAGTATGGGCTCATCGTTTGTATCTCATTCGCCGGAGCAACGATCACCATGCTTGGGGTCGACTGTCTCAGTCAAGCAGGCTGGAAGGAGTTCTGGCTTTACCTTTGGAGTATGCTTACCCCGTGTTTGTTTAACTTATTATTTGCTGACGATTATAGATCTCAACAAGGACACTTTCCCGTTAGAAACAAATACTTACCCCCTGACCAGAGGAATTCGCGCTGAACTCGCTGGGGTCGTCATTATCACTCTACTAGGAATCGTCTCCCAAATGAGACTATGGAAAGTGGTTCGACAACATCGCGAAAAGAGCGCTAAGAAACGCTTCGACAAGGAGCGTGAGTCGCGCCGACAGCAGGAAGAAGAGGTGGGTCGCAACGTTCAAGAAAGCTCCCCTCGGAGCCAGCAAACTCCATGGAATCCGTACGGCGTTGAGAGGAAGAATCCGCAAGACTCCGTCATGGGCTCATCGTCGAATGGGAGTATCAGAAAACGTTCGGCCAGTGTTCGGGAGCAGGAACTATCTGGATCGGAGATGGTAGACATGGAGCCTCTGCCGCGAAAGCAGATCAACAATGGGGTGGGAAGGGGCATGTCGACATACGGATCCAAGGACACGCCAACCAGCACGACGGTCACTGTCTCGGTTCTTCGTGATGATGATGGCATACAGGCTATCGATGCCCAAGGACGACCCATCTCGAGCAGAATGCCGACTTCAGAGACGGGTTTCAACGGGTCCGGTACCTCTGCAAATAGCTCCAGTCCATCGATTGAACTTCCTGGTAAAGAGCGGGCCCAACTTCGAGCTTCCGTTCCCCCTCCGCCTGTAGTCATTCCTCTGCCATTCAGCGTCCCAGAAGGGGATGTGCAAAGCATAGATGGCGATAATTCCTCAGTGTCCGCCGAGCCAGAATCCGTGCATGGCTCGGCAACTGGTCGAAGCAGGTTCTCTAAGCGGCTATCTGGCGGGTCGATACTCAAAAGGCTATCGACGATCACTGCGGAGGTGAACGACGGAGAGGCGCTGATCGTCCCGCATATCGAGGATGATCGCGCTTCGTCTGTTGCAGCGACTCTGGACGATGACGTACTTTCGCTACCTGACCTCAGCCCACCGCAGTCTCCGACTGGCTTCGTGGAGGAAAAAGATCAAATTGCAGATGTGGATACTCCCGGAGAGCATGAGAGATCGGTAAATGGTCATGATGATGCTGTTCAGTCGAAACGGTCGTCTGCGCAACAGGAGCGTCAACATTCCGAAGGTCAGGTTTCACCTACTGTTGATGGGCCCAGCTCCGAAACAGAAGTACATTTAAAGACCGAGGCCCCATACGCCGCGGTTGCAAGCAAAGAGAATACAGACGAGACAACTCCATCAAAAAATACCGTCCGACAATCTCTTACCGTGAGCACCGACCCGAAAGTTGAACAAGACACATCAAAATCAACCTCGCCCCTCGGTCCCAGGTCGCCCACAAATTCCACCGGATCCGATTCTGCAAAGGACTCAGCTCCCGTTCAGCAAGCCAAATCTGTCCAATCCAAAACACCCTCACTCAAGTCGCAGCCCGTACAGCTGTCCAAAGACGTTCTACCAGAAAGGCTTTCCCGAGTCGCCCTCTCATATCGCACAAACGAATGGGCAAAGCATCTCGCCCTTGCTGATCATCCCGAGCTTGAGACACTTTCTGACGTCGAAGCATCGACCAAGGAAGAATCAGTGGAGAAGCCTGTTCCAGTATCTGACGAAATTGCCGGTATCGAACCAGCCGTATCTAAGAGAACATCGAAGCGCGTCTCCAGTGACAGCAGTGTATATCGACCAGGCCTTGGTCGCGCCGAGTCAAGCGCGTCAAGAATCCAAGTACAATACGCAAACAACAACATGCCTTCCCTCTCGCGAAACCCGTCGGCGATAAGTCCTGGAGGACGCATGCTGTCACGCAACAACTCCTCGTCCACGCAACAAACCGATTTCCGAAGCGCCTCGAGTCCTTACCTGGTGCCTTCGCCGGACCCGACTGCGCCAGATCGATTCAACGTTGTCCCCTCGCCATCTCCTGCCCCCGGGACACTCATGAGCAAGCGTGAAAGCTTGATCAAGAACCGCTTCTCCTCTCAATCGTTCCAGAACCCAGCATCCCCGATCTCACCAGGTCTGAGCGTGGGCGTCGCACCGGCCGACATGACCCTCGCCCAACGCAAACAATTAATACAGCAGCAGCAGCAACAGCAACAACAGCAAGTCAACGCCCCACACCGCAGGCCGCCCTCCACGTCCCAGAAATGGGCGCAAAACACCCGCCTCAGCATGCAAGACAACGAGCAAATGGGCGGCTTCAACTCGCACCAACCCGTCCGCCGTGCCTCGGGCAACGGCGTCGACCAAAGCAGACGCGAAGACATGCTTGCCAACTGGCGGGAATCAATCCGGCAGCAACACATCACCAACACCACCAACAGCGGCGCCGCCACCCCGGTCATGGCGGCGGGGCCCGCGATCTCAGAGGCCCAGATGATGGCGCTGATGAACGAGCAGCGCGCGCTCGCGCTCAGGGAGCAGCAGGAGGCGGTCGCGGCGCAGCAGCTGCAGAGCCAGCGGCAGAACATGATGAGGACGGGCACGATGCTGGATGCGCACCGCGAGGCGATGAGGAAGATGCAGGCGGCGGCGAATAGGAGTGCGTCGTAGGCGGTTTCGAGGGTTGGGGATTGCACGTCTTGGTTTATGATTTGGTTTATTTGGCTCGGGTATGGTTTTTGGTTCGGTTCATTGTGGAAAGGAAAAAAAAGGAAATGGTATTGGGGGAATCATATCCACTGGGTTTGGAGAAGAGGAAACGGAATGGGTTTTGGTCTTTTCCACGCTACAAGGAGAGTAAATGTCACATCTGACTAGTCTAGTCTACGTTTTCTGTTCAGCTCGTAAGCTTTAAGGTTCAATTGAATGACACTACTGTACGCATATATGATCTGGGTACGATTGAGTTGTGATGGACTGTCAGACGTTTGTTCAGTTTCTCCCTTGCCAACACTCTCTTTCCACCGTTCACCGCATTCGCCAAAGCCTTGACTCTTTCATGCAGTCTTTTGAATCTCATGCTTGATTTCGTTTCATTCAGTTGCCCCCTGTTCATGTCTAGTCACACCTACTTTTCACTGCCTTGTGCGCCTCTGCTCTGTAACCTGTTTACAGCAGCAATAGTCATTCATTTCCCTTTCATAGGTATCGCACTTAGATATACGTCACGTCAACATACATAGCAAAAAAGAAGTCTGTCCCGCGAACGAGCAAGGTCTCGGCATACTTCAAGTTAACTCTTCGCATGATGAGAGCATCTGGCCAGAGCGCAAACAACAGAGGATGGGCTACTCTCCTCTATTGAATGGTACATTCTATTAGAGAAGGCGTTGAGGCATACACTACCTGACCTAGGGTTGTGTTAAGATGTTCACGCATCTATCCGCGATACCTCCGCAAACGACCCAATATCAAACAGTCGTCCATCGTGCACGGGGAATCGATGATGATAAACGCCCACAGTGGCAGAAACAGAGAAGACGACTGGATGTATAGGTCACAAGTAGTTTGTTGGTATCGCTGCTTGCCTCCCGTACTCGCCCACAGAGAATTGCAATCCACATAGTTATCTACTTACAGCCCTGCGGTCGTTAGGCGCGAGCAAGTGAGCGAGTCCGTAGATCGAGATTAAAGAAATGACATCGCAACTAACAAACCAACCTAAGCCTTACCCGCCCCATCGTCATCGCTGTCCGCCGTCAGATCTCTCGTATTTCATCCCAGGGAAGAAAGAGCGGTGGGGTCGGTCGCTTGGGGTGGTGGTCGTAGTTAAATGAATGATCGGTCCTTTTGTATCGGGTCGAGTGGGAGCGTGCGGGAGGGAGGCTATGTTGACTACGAGGGTGCTGGGCTTTATGGATTCATGTAGGTGTATGTGCTCTACGATTGTAGGGTTGCTGTATGGGTTTAAGACTCTTCTTGATCATTCACTCATAATCACTATGATACATATAGCGAATACATAGATGTAAAGGGGAAGTCTGTTCATGATATGGCATTCGCCAATCCCTCCCGACTCACGGACGCATTGAGGAGTTTCGAAAAAGCTTCTAGAAGGACGGAGCACGGACGATGGTGTCTGCGCAGTGCGCATTGTGATTGCGAGTCGTAGGGCGAGAAGGATGTGCAAGATTGTGTGTGGAGACTCGTGAGTCTTGTGAGGCTGGGAGGTCCTGGCCTGGTCGGTGGTAAGGTCACAAGGTAAGTCGCTATGATAAAAAGGGGGGGAAAGGGAAGGGGAAATGGGAATGGATCCGAGGACGTGGGTGCGGGTTTGCTTTGCTTCGTATTGAAGGACACGGATGAGGATGACGCATTTTAGAGATGATAACTAGCTAGAGAGAGCATTGTTCGTTATTACTGAGAAGAGAGAGTGGATTACTGGATTGAGATGGTGACTGAGTCGGTTAAGGGGTGGGTTTGGGTTGGTCGACCCGGGGGACTGTTTTGGGAACACACTGACACGGGACGGGAACTTGGGAGAGATTCGAGAGTGACAGGCCGTTGGACTTGACTTGACTGGACTTGACAGGCCGTTGTATTTATTTTAGGATCAACGACGAATGTTCGAGTTTTGGTTGCAATTCTTTCAGATGTGTTTGTGTGTTTAATTTCCCAATGTATATATGCCGGTATACACAAAACGCATGTGGCGGCGGCAGCCAGCAACTTCAGATGGTCAGGAGGAGAGAAGACGAGGGATGAGATGGATGGATTGGGCGGATGTCTGAGGCGAATGGCACATCAATTGTCTAGTTTGTCGGCGTAATTCATGCGGCATCAAGCCATCGACGTTATGGGGAGTAGGAAAGAAGGAAATGCTAATTACCAATGTTCAAAGCATTGGGACATTCACGTCTTCCACCCGCATCCGAGCACAAGGCGGCGAATAGATTGTCAGCGCAACCGGCCCCCGGCGCCCAATTGTTTCATGGGCCAACATCCGACCACACGATAACTAGGTAATGGGCTCAAAATGGTGTTGATCATAGGCAGGTAGACGGCGACTTGTACCTGACGACGAGGGATGGGAATCGGAATAGGAAGAGCACCGAGTAAAAAGGAACGGGAGGTTCGTCCTTCCTTCAGCCTCATCCTTTCAATAATAGTTGACCAATTGCTACCAGTCTACCACTACGAGTAGTTACTAGTTATTGGTATAACTACTCCGTATACTGTGTACATACACTTTGTCACACTTGGTAATCCACCAAACGCCTTTTCGCTATACTTACCTACACCCTGCCCTTCCTTTTCCCTTCCTTTCCCTTCTGTTCCCCTTGCCTTACTTTTAACTCTCTCTTCTCCATTATTTTCTTTCCTTTTTCTCTTCCCCAATGTCGTACAGCCCCTGGTCATTCATCCTCCCTGGACGGACCTGAACGGACCTGACCTGACCTGACCTAAATTGACTGAAACGGGATCCCTCCCCCAAGTCAAAGGGACCCTCGACTGGCCGGTTATAGAACAGCACGTGTGTGTGTGTCGGGTGCCGGGTGTGCATAAGGGAGTGTGTATGTGCATATGTACTGTGATTTGTGCTGCACTACATCGCATACACATATACATATTACATATCCATACATACTTTAGTACTCCGTACATACATACACATCATACATATCCGTACATAGGCATCCATACATGCCCTACACATCTCCATTCATACGCATACGCATACGCACACCCACGCCTAGCTACCGGTAACATATGCATACACACAACACACACTGGCATTAGCTACAGCCTGTGGAGCGCATACACATACTAAATAGGTAGAATCGTTGAAGAACTCTTCTCCCCTTCCAAGCAACAACGGCCGCACCAACATCTATCAAGTCTTGGGGTCCTGTCCAGATCCATCCTTTCGATATTTTTCTCCTTCTTCTCTTTCTTTCTTTCTTTCTCCCCACATTTTCGAAATTGGACTTGACACAATTTAAACCCGCCTTTCGTTTTCAAACTCCTTCTTTAGGAGTTGCATGAGAACGAAGACTACAATACTATATGCAGCGAGTGCGGGTTGAAGGAGTTGCGCAAGGACCTGTGCAAGTTCGTTCGCCAAGGGGGGAAGCCGAACGTCTACCACGACTACCACTCCGCCTACGCCTACGCCTACGCCTACTACACCCCTTAGTACTGACTTCATCTCCAATTTTTTATCATCACCATCTCTCTCATCCTCCTCCTCGACCTCGTCGTCGCCATCTCTTCTCCTCCTCTAACATCGCCCCATACCCTAAACGAACACGAGCCCGGACACGAACACCTCTTCTTCTCCCTCGTCCTCACCCTCCTCCGTCTCACCTAACCGTCCTCCCACCCCAATCTTCACCATCACCACCATCACCGCCCTCCACGCAACCACGGCGTCGCCGCCACCTTCTGGCATTCTCTCCTCCGCATCGCGTGCGCCTGCGCCTGATTTAGTTCCTGCATCAGCTTCAGCATCTGCGCCTGCAACGACCCTGCAGGACCCTCCACTTCCCGTCCGTTGGAGCCTGACCAATCGCATCTTCAATCTCAATCTCAATCTCCGCGCCCTCTACACGGGCGGCACCACCGCCGATACAACCACCACTACCACCGCTCCCAACTGTCCGCCTCGGCAACCTGCATCTCGACTTTGGAATCCCCTCAATTCCTCTCCTCGAACTCCCGTCTTGCCCAACGTCCCGTTCCAACATCCAGAGTTGGCCCGCCGTCGCGGCCTTCCGCCTTTAGACACCCGCGACGAATATCCTCTCCTCTCCCTGCCGGAGCAGCGACGCAGCCGACAGAGCCCTGCACCCTCGTCTCTCGTCGTCGAACGTTCCACGGGTGCCGACAGTAGTCGCACCAGCGTTGGCCTCCCCCGCGACCGCCGCAGCGTCCCCTTCGATTTCTCCAATCCGGGAACCCCTCGTGTCACAATGCCTGCAGGAGTCCACAATGACCCTGCAAAGGACCAGCAGCCACAGCAGCAGCACCTCAGCCCGACCGCCATCACACATGACCCAGAGATGGGTCTCAAGCGCTCTCCGAGCCGCGCTTCTCTACCCAACTCAATGAATTCGCGCCGATCAGACCTGCCAAACGGAGAAGGAAACGCTGACGACAACGAATCTGAATATGCTTGGGGTCCTCAACACCCTTGCTTCCCTCATCCCAATTCACATGTCCCCAAGAAGTCTCCCCTATACGAGACCACACGCATCATTCGCATAAAACGGGATTGGATGGTTCAGGGCGACCTAGCACCGACATTTGCGAATGTGTACCCCGAAATCCTGGAAGGCACGCTCGCCGAAGATGACTTTCGGGACGTCATTCAGAAGATTAACGATGCTCTGATTGACGCTTTCAACCCATTCGGGTTCAGGGCGTGGCTGGACGCCATAATGGGCGTTGCTACGTTTTGGTTGTGGGATGATGCGGGCATGACGAAGATCAAGAAGGATTTGGCGGAGCTGGAGAGGTGGATTGAGGCTTGGAATCATAGAGTGGGAGAGAAGGAAGGTGTTTCGATTGTGCCATTGCGACGGACGGGTTATCTTACGGTGAGTTCTTCTTTTTTTTTTTTTTTATCCCGTATAAAAGTCATGGTTACTGACCTCTACATTGCAGCTCGACATACAGATCCCCGATCCCCACTTCGAAACGAATACAGCTTCCCGACCCAACACTCAAGACGACGGGTTCGAAGAAGCCCCTCCGCATGAGCCCTACGGCATCTTCCAAAACTCCCCCGCTTTCCACGTCACACCGAACTCTCCTCCTCGAGCATGATCGCGGCAGTCGCCCGACACATCAACACATTACACCCTCAAAAAAAGAAAACACACCAGTCTTATGACTTTTCAGCTTTTAGCGACAGCGTTCCGGCGTGCATCATCATCACTTCTCTTTTATTTCCCCCCGCTCGCGCACTCTTTTCATGTGCGCGATGCGATCATGGCATGGCTTTACACGAACCACCTTTTTATATCAACAAAGCGTGGTTTCTTTCTCCTTCCCCTCTTCTTTTTTTATATCTCCACTATCTCGTCTATTAATCACTATATCTTTCCTTTTTACTCCTTCATGTCCACATATCTTTTTCCCTTTGCTCTGCTACTAGACTTTTTACTTTTATAAATCTCTCCCCCGCCGCGAGGCGAAAAAATGTTATGGGTTATGTCATCCTCATCCTCATTCCAATCTTTACTTTTCCTCTCTCAAAGTTTCTGTGCTTGTGTTGTCTTGATTGTTTCTGTTTTGTCCTAAAGGAGTGAAAGTGGGGTTTGGGTTGTTATCGGTTGGTTTATGGATCAGATACCCGTTGTTTATGGTCGATTGGTTGGGCGGCTGTTCTGGGTTGAGCGAGGAGATGGACGGTGCGCTGCTACCTAGGTAGTTAATACATGCCGCCAGAGAGGCGGCGAGAGAGAAGTGGAATCCAATACATACGTTCTTCTTTTTAATCATTTGCTCTGAGCACGTCTACATTTGCCCTGTTCGTTTGTCCCTCGTCACCAGTGCCCTAGGAGAAGGTGTGAACGAGAGATGGTGGTCATTGAGTACGCAGTAGTGTATCTTTTTCTGATATTTATTCCTTGCTTGTGGTGGTATGTGTAGGTATAAAAATGTACGTTTTCGTTTTTCGTTTGTACGAGTACAGAGGTACATTATATGGGTATCTAAAGCTTCTACATCCCCCTCCTTTCCCCACTCTCTCAAATCCAACGGAGGGAGGTAGATGGCACGAATCGTGAAAAGCGATGTGAAAAAAGTGGAAAAGAATAGAAACAAAGGAAGTCAAGAGAAGGATCCATCTAAACTCACTCCCCCTCCTCCCCCTCCCCTTGCCCTTCCTCCTTCACACCCTCCGCTCCCCCGTCCCCTCCACTACCACCACCAGCACCTCCGACATCATCCCCCGCGCCGCCCGCCACGCCGTCGACAGGATAGTGCAGGTACTTCCAATCCTCAATCTCCTCGATGATACTCCTCAACCTATCCCTCACGCTCTCGACCGCATAACTTCCCAGCAGCAGCCTCAGCGGCGGGTAGCTGCAATGTCCGAGCTGCCATATGAGCTCCGCGGACTTCACCGACGACACGGGCTGTCTGTCGTTGAGCCACTGCACCATGCGGCGGGCGTGGCGGGCCGGCGACGTCGCGGGGTTGTACGGCGAGGAGGTCGTGGGTTTGACCCAGAAGTGGCCGTAGCGGCGGGGACGCAGCACATTCGAGGGTGTCGCAGCTGCTGTGGAGGTTGGAGGGTTAGTGGTGGAGGAGGAGAGGATGGCGGCGTCGTCGGGTTCGTCGAGGCGCACGTATCCGGGCTCCACGAGCGTCGCTTTGATGTTGAAGATGTCGACTTCGTAGAGCATGGATTCGATGAGGCCTTCGACGGCGTATTTTGTTGCGCAGTAGGGGCCGAGACCGGGAACGCCGAGGGCACCGGCGGTGGAGGAGAAGATGAGGTACCGCCCGTGGGACTGGGCGCGGAAGTGCGGGAGGGAGAGCTGGATTATGTGGAGGGTTCCTAGGACGTTGGTGTTGAATTGGTTGCGGAGGTCGTAGTCGTCTTGGTCTTCGCATGCGCCGATTACGCCTGTTGGGGAATGTGAGTTGGGGGGAGTTTTTGGGGGAGTGAGAGGGAAGGGCTAAGTACCGTAGCCTGTGCAGCTGGGGTGGATTAGTTAGTTGTGTATGTTTCAATGGGGGACGAAGGAACGTACTTCGCGATGATGTCGATGTTCCCCCAGCGGTCGATGCTCCGCTTGATCACGGAGTCGACCGTCTCTCGAACCCGCACGTCGCAGAGCATGCCCACGCAGTTCGTGTCCGCCCACTGTCCCATCTGCTCCGGCGTGTTCTCCTGCGTCCATCCCACCGCCGTGCACTGGTCGCCGTGGGACAGCACGGCCCGGACGAGAGACCGTCCCATGTGGCCCGTTGCGCCGAAGACCTACGGAAGCATAACGTCAATATCTGGCTCTTCTTTTACAGACGAGGAGCGAGCCACGCTATGGGATGCTCACAATCCATGAAGCCTGCCTGTGGGGATTCTGCTCCGACGGCGGATCGCACGTAGCAGGCAGTCTCAGATTTGGTTGGTGCGAGGCCGCGCCGGGCGAGAGGCTCTGGCTCGCAGTGTCGAACTCCATGTCGTCGTCGTCGTAGCAACCCTCCGTGCAGCCGTGTTATCTCTCTTGAGCAGAGCGAAGTGGGATTATGGGCATTGAAAAGACACAAGGATTCGCATTGAGGTCGACGTGGATGTTGGGGAAACTAGATTATCGGTTCCTGGACGCGGGGATGATGGGTGTGGGGAGCTTGGGAAGGCAGCCAATCGGAGATTTTCGCTTTTGCCGATCCACCGGAGGTCTCTTGCGGACAGCACCAGGAGCGGCGAGGAGATGTGAGATGATATGATGTCCATTGACACACGATTGGTGGTCTATCATTAGAGTCACGGCGTCCGGGGAAGTGCTCAAATGTCCTGCTCTTTCTCTTGTTTCTGCTAATCAAAGAAATCAAATCCCATGGTACATGAGACGCCTAGAGCAGGTACTGTCTCTTCTCCTCTGCAAGGAAATTGGAAGCCTGGTTGAGCAGATAAGACGGATACGAATGCTGCCTATTGTTGAGCCAGCGGTGTCCTCCGCACATGAAGAAGAACATGCACACGTAGAATAGGAATGGTGAGTGATCCAGTAGGTAGAATCCGAGACTCAGGAGGGCTTGCGTCCGGTAGCGGGCTCTCAGGGCTCGCAGCGCCCGGAGTATGTCCCTGTCGGTTGCCATGCGAGACAGATAGAACGAATCTGGAACGACAGGAATTGACTGGAAATAGATGTGATGATTGAGGAGTTGGAGAAATGGTCTATACATCGACATTAATTGACAAACACATCAGCTTAAGCTCAAAAGACTAACCTTAGCACGGTCTGCATCGGAATCGCTTCCGCCCACATCCCTGTCGTGTCTTGGCACACTTCATACCTCGTCTCGTTCCAGATATCTCTTCTCAAGTGACATGTGCTGCCGTGCTAACGAAATCTTTCGACACCCTCCTTGAGAAGATGTGGCCTTGATCCTCCGTATCAATCTTAAGATCTTCGCCATGGGTCAGCAACAACCCGTACCAACGCCGGCCACTCAATCCACACAATACTCCTCGTAATTCAGTCCCCTCTCCCGCATTTCTTTCTTACCCCACTGACATCACTAGACTTTCCTTCACACAGGGCTTTCTTGTCGGCCAGCTGTCCATTGCCCTCCTCATATTCTTCTTCATAAAGTTCTTCATATTCGGCGAACCTCCCTCAGCCGATGATCGCGCCTTGCACCTCTCTTCCCTCCGCCGCGCACGAACGCTTGCCCATCAACGATCTCTTCACCTCCGCTCAAACTCGACGAGCAATCCTCTGAGACCCAAACCCTCCATCAATATCATCCGCGCAGCAGAACATGCTCGAGGGGGTCCCAGCATCGGTCAGATTCTTGCGAAGACGTACTACAACATCAAAGGCCATCAACCTGAAAGCTTGGATTGGTTCAATGTGTTGATTGCGCAGACCATCGCGCAATTGCGGGAGGATGCAAGACAGGACGATGCGATACTCACATCGCTTACAGAAGTTCTGAATTCCGGATCTAAACCTGACTGGATTGGGGAAATTCGGGTTACGGAGATTGCACTTGGAGATGAGTTCCCCATCTTCAGTAATTGTCGAGTCCTCCCTGCAGACGATGGATTTGGCATGACAGATGGTAGCGACGAGGCGAGGCTCCAGGCAAGGATGGACGTGGATTTGAGCGATGTCATTACTCTAGGCATCGAGACGACACTGGTGCTCAACTATCCTAAGCCATTGGTCGCTGTACTGCCAGTCGCCCTCGCCGTGAGCGTGGTACGCTTCTCGGGAACACTAGCCTTATCATTCACTCCCTCCTCCACTCCTCCATCAACATCAGCGAATACGCCTAGTCCGCAACCTACACCCCACCTCCACCCACAAGACCTACCAACAATTCGACCTCCATTTTCGCGGACGCAGAGCTCCCTTCATTCGCAAGAGCCCGAACCCGAGCGCCCCTCGACATCATCTGGGCTTCCGCCAGCCCGCCCCACCACCCTAGCTTTCACCTTCCTAGACGACTACCGTCTAGATCTCTCCGTGCGGTCGCTGGTCGGCTCGCGATCCCGCTTGCAGGACGTCCCCAAGATCGCCCAGATCATTGAATCGCGCGTCCACGCCTGGTTCGACGAGCGAGTCGTCGAGCCCCGCTTCCAACAAATCGTCCTCCCGTCCCTGTGGCCAAGGAAACGCAATACAAGAGGCGGCGCGGACGAGAATGCAACAGAAGAGGAAAAAGATGAGGGGATCGATGTGAGCCTTCCCGAAGAGGCTGTGCTTCTCGACGACCAAGACGATCTCGGATCGAGGCGCCGACCGCCATCGTTCAACCCGCCTAGAGTGTCGTTAGAAGAGCGGATGGAGGCTGAGGGTGCGCGGCTGAGGGAGGCAGAGAGGAGGGCTGGCGATAGAAGTAGAGACAGATCGTCAGACGGTGTGAGATGGAGAGGGAACGAACAACAGCGGCGGCAGCATCTGAGGGAACAGAGCGGTATATCCAATTCTTTCAATGGGTCCTGGAGTGGTCAACGAGGCATGCCTGGTGCTATGCCGGGGGGATAACGGAATTAGATGTAATTGTACTGAAGTGTTGTAAGAACATAATGTAATTGATAGCCACCTGCATGATAATACGTTTCTCCTTTCTAGCCTGAGGTACGTCGCTTGACTATTGTACAGCAATGCCCAACGTCATTAGGAAATCCAATCATCGGACTTACAGTGCCATGCTATCAATTTGATAGACCTAAAATTTGTAGCAAGACTTCACCAAAACTTGATACAGTGTTTTGCAGACAGCCATTATAGTACAGCTAGTCTGAATCATTCTGTTCCACATGAGCACCAACTTGTTTCAAACACGTGAGCTCATTATCTGTCATAGCGAAAGCGTGGTATTCATCATCTCATCTATTTCTTTTCCAACCCTCCGTCCCTATTTCGCCACAATACTAACGACATCCTCATCCGCCACCACATGCCCGAGCCCAACCCTCTGCGGCACATGTCTCGCACTGGCGCCCCATACGAGCGCATACTTAAACGTATCCTTCAACGTCCTATGCACCTGATCACACACATCCTCAATCGTGCTCCCGTTCCTCACGATCAACGCCTCACTGAAATCCGGCTCAATCCCCTTCCTCTTCGTATAAATCCTAATTAGCCGCAGCTCGTCCCAGCACCGCTCCACGACGTCCTGGATGCCGAGGTCGAGCTCGCAGGACATGATGGCGGTGTGGGGCTCGCGGGCGAGGCTGTCGAGGTGCTCGAGCGAGATGCTGTCGATCTTGTTGTACACGTACAGGCACTTGATGTACTTGCGGTGGTCCTTCATGATGGTGTCGATGAAGTCGTCGACGGTAGCGTTTTCGTCGCGCACGAGGACCTCGCAGTTGAGGATCTTGCAGTCGCGCAGGATGTTGTACAGCATCTTCTCGTCGAGGTTTTTCGGCGGCGATTGGAAGGTTATCTTCATCCCGCCGGCCTTTTTGGCTTTGAGGTAGATGTTGCTGGTGGGGAATATTAGTATGGAAGAGGTTTATTGAAAGGGGGGAAGGTGGGCTTACGGTGGTTCTCTGTTCAATCTGATGCCGACGGCCTCCAACTCTTGCTCCAGCAACCTCCGCTGCTCGGCCTTCTTCGTCGCGTCCAGCACCATGAGAATCATATCGCTCGTCTTCGCCGCCGAAATGACCTGCCTACCTCGTCCCTTACCCTCCGCAGCACCCTCAATGATACCAGGCAAGTCGAGAATCTGGATCTCCGCGCCGCCGTACTCGAGCACACCGGGAATCGCCGTCAGCGTCGTGAAAGCGTACGCCGCGACCTCGGACTTGGTCTTTGTGATCTTGGACAGGAAGGTCGATTTTCCGACCGAGGGGAATCCCACCAGCGCAATTCGTGCATCCCCGGATTTCGAGACGTCGAAACCTGAGCCGCCGCCTCCTCCGGCGCCGGGCGCGGGCTCGAGGAGCTGGGCACGCAGACGGGCGAGCTTTCTGTGTGTATCTTAGAACCATGTTCCCGTTTTACTTTTTCTATCTCTTGTGGAATTTCCGTTATTTGCTTACCCTTTTAGAAGTCCAAGATGGTATTCTTAGAGGTATAAAGTTAGCACGTGATTATATGAATTGGTCTCGAGGTATTATGATCAATTCGTACCGGTGGCCTTATTCTCTGTCAAACATAGTCAGCATACATATCTCTGAAATTGGGTTTTGGTGCGTACTCTGCGTCCTCCTCATCTCCTCCTCGATCCTGGCGGGGTGTGAGCGCTTGGCATGATGAAGACTTTTATACAAGCTCTTACTCCTTGATCTTCTCGGTTATGTTCACCATGTTGACTCTATGCTCTTCGGAATTTAAACTAAACACAGACGAGAAAGGCAGAAAAGAAGGGATGTACCCTCGTGAATGGCGATTTGGCAGACGACAGTAGGTTCACGATCAAAGAGGGTTTGGTGTTGCATCTGCAGAGCGGATATATGGGACTAGTACGCGAGGGGTCTAGCGCTGGGCGGCGGGCTACAAGCGAAACTTGACTGCAGAGTGAGACTTGTCGTGCGAGTAGCTTTGAGACTTTTATGTATGCGTCATCATGGATACTTTTCGTACGGAGGCTGATATCGACCTAATCATGTACTAATTCCGTGATGTCGATTCCACAGCAGCTGAAAACTTTGCTTTTTCTACTGTATATATTTAGATCCTGATTCCTTGTTGTTTTCTGTACATACATTGTCACGTCCATCATGGTCTTTGGAAGCGTGACAGAGCCTCTAACATGGCCGCGATCCCACTACGAGATGATTGAATATCATCATCAGAAACGAGATGAAGCCATTCAAGCTGGACAGATCCAGCCTTTCCTGTATCCCTGGGGAACACTCGGTGCAGCAGTGGTGATCGTGTATCTCCTGATCCCGCACCAGAACCGACCTTGGTTGAAGAAAGCACGTTTCCTGGTGTTTGCATTCAACGCGGGATTCTCGATATATTGCATCCTGTATACAAGAGCTAGAATCATGGCTGGGGCATTGGGTTTGGGGTTGATCTCCGCTTGGAGCATATGTTGGACGTTTGCTCTGCTGGTGGTGAACGATGCTCAGACGGACTTCCAGAGGATCGAAAGGACTGAGGGAGTCTTCGGGCTGAGTTCGACGGCGAAGAAGGAGGAAAAGAACAAAACGATCACCTCGAATGGAAACACAGATCCCATCCTCCAAGGCATCCTCGAATCCAACGGCAGTGTCACCACCAACGGCCACACCACCCACGAACACCTCGGACCCTCACAGAGACACGGCACCTTCGCCTGGCAACCCTTCCCCATAACCCCCTTCATCGAACGCCTCGACTGGGTCCTCGACATCTTCACCAACTTCCGCGGCGTAGGCTGGAACTGGCGCACCTCCTCGCAACCACCACCCCCAAAGCCCGTCCTCAATCAACTCAACTCCTCCTCCTCCACCTCCCCTCCCGCCCACCACACCCTCCACACGCACCCAACCCAACCAACCGTCCACCCGACCCGCCGTTCCCTCCTCCTCGCAAACCTCAAAACCCTCCTACTCGGCTACCTAACCCTCGACATCCTCAAAACCCTCATGAACCACGACCCCTACTTCTGGGGCGCCACGCACCTCCCTCCCCTCCCGTCCCTCCCCCTCGGCCCCCTAGTCCCCATCCTCACGTCCTCCCCTTCCCTCCTCCAAACCTACCGCCTCACCCTCTCCATGCTCGGCGTGAAGTCCGCCCTACAAACCATCTTCGCACTCGGCCCGCTCTTCTTCGCCGGCGCGCTCGGCCCGGCCGTCCTCGGCGCCCGCGCCTCGCCCTGGATGTACCCGGACGCATGGGGTCCCTACGGCGCCGCGGTGCTGGACCGCGGGTTGCGGGGGTGGTGGGGCGGCTGGTGGCATCAGACGTTCCGGTTTGCGTTTGAGGCGCCTGCTACCTACCTCCTCAACTTCCTCCCCCAGCCGTCTTCAGACGGAACGAAGGGGGGGAGGAAGGGGAGGAGGAGGGGGACGGAGATGCTGGTGAGGCTAACCACTGCGTTCGCGATGTCGGGCGCGCTCCACGCGGGCGGGATGCACACGTCGAACGCGTCGCTGACGCATCCTCTCACGTCCACGGCGCTGTTCTTCGTGCTGCAGGTCCCGGGCGTGATGTTCGAAGCTGCGCTCATCGCGCCGTGCGTCGATCGGCTGCCGGGCCCGAGGTGGGGGAGGAGGGTGCTGAGGTTTGTATATGTGCATGCGTGGTTTTATGCTACGGCGGGGCTGGTGTGTAGGGACTTTGCGAGGAGCGGGGTGTGGTTGTTTGAGCCGGTGCCTGTGTCGGTGGTTAGGGGGCCGCTGGTGGGGTGGGGAGTGGAGGGGGATGGGTGGTGGTGTTGGGGGAAGGGGTTGGGGGATTGGGTGAGGTGGGAGTGTGGTGTTGGGGTTGAGGTTCAGGGGAGCTGGTGGAGGTTGTGGGAGTGTGGGTTGGCGATTTGATTTGAATGGGGTTTTGTAGATATGGTGGTGGTGTAGATAGATCATAGAAGGACGACATGTGATGTTGGCCTCACATCGACGTCTAGAGAACAAGTCTAGAAAGGGTAATTCAAATATAATGTGACGAACGTCTGCTTTTCATTATCAGAACAATATATACTATGTACAGCGAATGTTTTTGAGCCACCGGGATCCAATCCTCCCGATCAAACTCACAATGGACTCTTTCTCCTGCCATTACTCCACAAGTCGTTCCCATACTAAAAATATATATGCGGAAACGTTTTGGAAAGAAAGCCCCTGTATCCAAGGGCACCAGAAATCTCATAATCCACATTACCTGCCCCTCCCCGGTCTAAGAACAGTCGAAAATGAAGGACCCGCACCTCTCCTATAGTACGCGGCGCCTCGGTGATATTAGATTTTTCGTATAAATGTGTCGACAGAAAATTCCCTAATGCGTCCTCCTGCCAGTTCAGTTGATATAGTCGCTCAACAACCAATCAACACTCCTGGGCTGCACCACCACTCCAAAAAAACTCTCCAAATCTCTCAGTCAATCAGAATCCGTCGCTCGCATGATACAAGGGAGTGAAAAATCTATTTGACCTTCTTGGGCTCGTCCTGGATGTACTCCCTCTCGTCATCGCCCTCGACTTCCTTGGCGATCTTCTCCATCTCCTTGGACTGCTTCTTCCACTCGGACTGGCACATCTTGAGCTCCTTTCGGAAGAGCTCGTCGTTGGGCTTCCTGTAGCTCCCACCGAGGCGGTCCCAAAGAGTGGTGTACTGGCCGTAGTTGAAGTTGAAGTACAAGTGGTGCATGGTGTGGCAGGCGGCGCCGTTGATGATGGGGTTCTCGGCGTAGTACTCGCCGTCGTGGATCATGATGCTCCAGATGTTGACGAAGACGAAGAGAGCGATGTAGGCGAACTTCTGAAGGGGGAAGAGGAAGGGGAAGAGGTGGTATGGGATGCTCTGTGCGAAGCCGTCCATGGGGTGGAAAGCGTGGGAAGCGTACGGGGTGGGCATGATCCACTTGTGGTGAGGCTTGTGGAGGTGCTTGTAGATCAATGGGTGGTGGAGGTATCGGTGGATCCAGTAGACGAGGAAGTCGGTAAAGAGGATGAAGAAGGGGAATTGGATGATGTTGTACCACATTCCTGGTCCTTCGGCCGTCGAGTCATACATCTTGGACCATCCGCGAACCTCGAACAGGAAGCAAAAGGCAGTGGGAATGGCCATGACGGGGAGGGCGGCATTGGCCTGCTTGATCTCGAGGCTGATCTGGTTCTTGAGGTATTTGGGGTGGTTGAATGTGGCCTTGTCGAAGATGAAGAAGTACGAGAGGGACGCGAAGACGTAGTAGACAATGAGACCGAATACCCTGAGGTGGTGTTAGTAAATTGTTCTCGGAGGCTCTTCTGAGGACTGCTAGGTGACGCACCAAGTAATGATGAAGAGTGTGACGAGTTGGCGACGCCAATCGTCTCGCGTCAACTGACTCAGGTATGCATTTGGACCGGGAGTGAAGGAGAGGTATTCACTGGCGGGCTCGAATTGCCAATTGTTTGTTGGGAGGGTCTTGGGCGCGCTCGAGAAGGTCGCATTGGCTCCGAGGGGGTACTGCTTGACGGGGGCTAGTGCGGCATAGAGGTGGTCGAATGCGTAGGTATCGAAAGCTTCGAGAACGATATCCATGGTGACGGTAGTGGCGGGGAGAACCCTCCGAAGTGGTAGATTGGGTTGGGTTCAGGACTGTCGATTGTCCGATATATGGTTGAAAAGGGTCTATCGATGTGCGGAGAGGAAGACGATAGCTCTGGTGGTAGTGGCGATGTCCGTCGTAGTCGTGAAACCGCGAGTATTAGAATTGATTGATCCCAGTCGACAACTATCAATGCGAAGGGAGGGGGGGAGAGGGGAATGGATAGGAGGGAGAAGGAGAAAGACAAAGGAAGGAGAGTTGAGGTGGAGGAGGCAGATGGCGGATGGCGGACGTTTATCGTTAATTAATAAGAAGAAGGTAGAGGAGAGAATCGAGATTAGTTAACAGTAACAGTTACTAGTATTCTCTGGTGTGGCTGCTCTTTCCCTGTCTGTCCTTGTCCCCTGCCCGTTCCTTCCCTTGTCGTCTCTCTCTTTCCCTCTTTTTTCCTTCCAGGAACGCGTCCACGCTAAGACTAATTAACTGCAGAAATGATTTAGCATGCCCAGGCGAAGGGCGATTGGCCAATCAGAGGTGGCGAACCCACCCATAGGGGCCTCAAGGGGAGTACACGGCCATAGGTACCTCGTAGGCACTCTTCGGAGCGGATGCGTAAAATCCGAGAGCCTACAAAGTCACCTCATGCTCGGACCGGTGACACTCCATCTCGTCCCATCTCTTGCTCATTGTCAACTGTGAAATCCATCACCGCTACTTGTGGAAAGCGCCATTTATTTTCTCAGAGGATCCCCCTTATGTACTAAGTAGTAATCCAATAGAAAAATTGTCATTCAATTTGGTGGACAATTGTTCCGCCTGTTCTGTTGTGTTCAACTCAATTCAATTACTGTTACGAGGAGGTAAAAGGGGCAAAAGTGGCAATGGGAATGATCCTCCTCCACCCGCATTTGCATCCGCCAATCCCGGCCTAGTTTGTTCGATTCTTAAAGTGGGTCCAAGCACGCGTAATCTTATCAGATCCTCTCTCCATCTTAGATTGGTCGCAGAGCCACAGACTCACAGACTCACAATGAATGTCTCGCAAATAGGGGAACTCTTCCGTCTTTCCGTTGTTCTAGTTATTCGAACAATGGTCTAAAGTCTTGGTGCGTATTACATATAGTTAAGTTATTTCAGATGGTCAGCACGTTAGGCTGGCCACCTGTTGGCTTCATGTAACTTCTGTACCTGTCTATAGAGTGTACTGTGGTGCCGTCGTCTCCATCAGGACGTAGGAGGAGGGTTGTAGACGATGCTAGTACTCATGCTCTCAGTACGATGCAGTTGTAGCATTCTCCCATGTGTGAGCAGTCGGGCCTGAGTTGAGGAGCTTGCACCGATTGAGGAAATGCGGCTGCAGTCTGATGTTGGAAGCGCTGCAGTCGTCAACGGAAGAGAGCTTGCTGGCGTCACACTCGCTGTCATCGAAGAAAGAGAGTTTTCTTGTCCTACGCTTGCACCTTAAGTGCCTGGTGATGCGGGTGTTGATACAGGTACAGCCGCAATGAAGTACTTATATGGACGCCCACCTGGTAGTATCGACATGATAGTTGCTACTTCCCCTGGCGTTGTCACTGGAAAATCATCGTGTCTCTTTGAGAATCTGTTAGAGGGAGCGTGCAAAAGGCAACGCGTTCGCGTATGCTAGACACCGCCGCAGCCTCATTTACGGCGTGCTTTTGTCTGCTTTTAGCCTCTTCTTGTTGTCCTTCTTCTCATCATGCCTTGCTGGGCTTCCGCTCTCGTGGTTGTCCTGGACATCTATATTCAGGTTTAATCTTCCTTCGCTGTCGTGCGTGGCCTTCCGCTTTCGTGATCGGTATCCATTTCGACCCATTTGAGTGCAAGTGAAATGAACTTTTCGTCGCCGAGACTATAAAGAAGAGAGAAAAAACAGCAGAAATTCGAAAGCCAGTGATTAAAGCGGCAGAAAAGCAATATGTACAGTCGTCGTTGAAAAAAGATTGACAGAAAAAGTTGGGGTATACGACTGCCACGACACATTCGGAAGGTTCACCCCCCTCCATTCTTAAGATAGAAGGTACACTTTACCAACTTAGATCGCAAATACAACATGTTGTGTACTTAACAGTAAGGTAAGGTATGTTAAAGCGAGGCAACGCGAGGTAACGGGAGATAGATGAGTACCTTGCGTTTCCCGCTGGGCGGAGGGGGAGGAAACTTGGGTTCGGGAGGGTGCATATATAATGCATGTGCATGGCGATGTCAGTAGTTTGTGTGGAGTGGTGGGCAGAGTGATGAGGTGCTTTGAACGCATGCATGTATTGCATATTTCGTGGGGTGGGGTGTTTGTTACTACGTCTGGGTACCTATGTATGGATATGTTTGCGTCGGTGTCTTTCTATGATGGTGATTGTATGTACAGAGCGTATGTCGTGCTGGGTCTTGATATTGATATTGTCTGAATTGGAATTTTGGGGATATGTTCTTGCTTCGAGAGGGTTTCGGCTGGCTACCTGCTGGCTTCACGTATCTTCTATAGTCTACCTAAATTAAAAGTGTGCTGTAGCCAGTAGATAACCTTGACTCTTCGCGATAAAACCTCGCGAATGCACTGTTGTAGGCATGGAAAACTAGCAGCGGGCCAGCCCGACGTGCCCACTGTATGTACTGTGTATCTACCTTCCATCTACAAATGCGGAGTACATAGATACGGATTTTGCGTGGGGGAAGCGGACGATAGTTGATTACCTTGCCTCTGCATGAGACCAAATGGGATGAGGCTCATATGTGGCCTAGATCAAGGGTCTGGTAATTACTGAAAGTACATAGAAGTATGGTACGTACGCTGTACTACACCGTACATATACAGTGAATAGACAGGACTTCGAAGATAGTGAGTGGAGCAGGAATGGTGACTATCTTTGTATCGTACCGCAGATCTGACCGGTGTCAGAAACGACAGGGGGGAAAGGCACAGCAAGCACATTTCACGCGACGGCGCGAGTCGTGACACCCGGGAACAGGAGTCAGGACAGAACAGGTGGTGGTGTTTTGAACGTTCCATTTTGTTTCATTTTTGACAGGCTGATTTGGCAGGGTTGCCCGTTGCCGTATCGGTGTTAGGGTTGAGTAAGGTAATTATCGCCCATAGGTACGGAGTAGGTCAGTGACAAGTCAAGGGAGGGGAGGGACTAGATCAGGACCAAGATCAGGATCAGGATACCAATTCGTAAAGCAGGACGCGCGGGAAGGGAAGCGGGTGAGAACTGGGGATTGGGGGGAGGGGGGGGCGCCTAGACCCCGCCCGCCGCCACTTTGAGGTTAAAAAAGCGACCCGCAGCCACGCGATGCAGCACTTGCATACAGTTGTCATACAGTTATGTGTGTATCCATGTACGCTGTACGCTGTAGCTGTACAGCGGTATTATGTTTGCTGCACCGAGTACGCTGTACTCCGTACTCCGTGCAGTGTAGATACTGGCCGAGAGTGTCTGGATAAAAGTCCCTCGAAGGCTTCAGGGCACACAGTGTTCGGATGGACTGCATGCAGGCAGCAGCGTGCAACAGCACTTGTTACGTGCGCCTACGTACACATTGAGTTGTCTAATGCGCGGCACCTGGATTTCTGGGTGCTGTGCATGGAGTAGGGTCTTTTTCTACGAGTCTGGATGCGCTTACGGAGGACACTTGTTGTAAGTGGTAGGAGGCTATTGATAAGGACTCGACCGTGTGCGCGATGTATTTGCGGAATATGTCTTGAGAGGGTGGGGGGACGAAGAGGAGGGCCGGTGCATAGCAAACAAATGCCGTCCGAAACAATGGGCAAATCGATGCATGGTATCCCCATGACAGAACGCAAAGCTGTACAACAGTCGGTCGTGTTGGGGTAGGACAGACGTCTCAGACGTCGGGGTGGTGTAGAGAGGAATGGTGGGCGGCATCTTGCAAGGAAGGCTGAGGCGTAATGACTGTCTTGCGCTACTCGATGGATAACAATGGAATCTTCAGAGAGCGTTGGGGTCAATTTACCGGGAGAAGCAAATAACTACCATCTGCTCTGTTCTCCGCGTTCCGGGAACTATTATTCCGGAGGTTATTGCAAAAGTCGTGGTGACGTTGCGCCCCATCACGACATCCAATGCTCTAAATAGCGTTAGAGACACGGATGCAAAATCAATAGGCGTATCGTTCCTTACTACGTTCGAGATATCATCTTTTTACGAACCTACCGCGAAGAATAATATATCTGTTCAACAAAAGAACAGCGACGACTGTGGCGTGCTATTGGCTGTTGGTGCATCTAAAACTCCTCGCTGCACCCGTGCAGATGATATGATATCCAACAATTCGACCCGAATAATGACGTGCGATGTACGAAGTTGCAACATCTGTTTCAGCGATTCCAACAATGCACAGGTTCGGGTTCAGGATCAGGGGTCGATTTTGGGTCAGGTAGGCCCAGGGTTAGGCGAAGAGGTTGCGTTTGGACAATGGTGAGGGCGCGGGGGAATCGACCCAAACGAAGAAATGGTCGATTGACTTGGTAATTGGTAGTTGGAACATGTTACATGTAGGTATGGGCAGGCATGGCAAGGCCCGAGAGTTGCTCCTCTCTGTTCGGGACCAGCAGATCCTGTCACGTACATGGGATGAATTGGAATCTTTGGCCACGGAGCAATTACCAGTTAGTAGGTAGATGCCGGCCGAGCGTATGTGAATACAGCCGAGAAGACGCAGCGTCGGCAGCCAGGATCGTACATAGTTGGATGTATGTGCATGGTGGATAGGCAGATGTAAGCGCAGTTCTGGTTTGATGTTTGGTGTTTGCGTTACACGATGAAGCCGAGCTGGTACAGTAGGCGGCCACCATCATGCAAGTGTCGGTAGGAACGGGCAAGGGTTGGATGAGGGCCAAGGGTTGTGTCTGTACGGCAGGTTGGTAGGGAGCAGATGATACTGTGATTAGAGGGGGTTGTGGTTCCCGTAGGACTCCAAGAGTCGGGATGGATGAAGATGTTTTGGAGTCAGATGGGTGGAGGTACAGGTACAGTACTCGTAGGGTATGGTACAATAGGGTATGGGATATGGGACATATGGGTGGTGGAGCGGTAGAGCGTACAGTAGTGGGTAGTCTAGTCTAGTTAGGTTAACCAGTGTGAGTGGGTCTACAATCCATCCAGGGAATCCGACTAAGGAAGAAACTAACGCAAGTCTATTACAATCCCTACCCTGGACGTCCCTCTTCACATTACTCGTACTGTATGTACACAGTAGTCACATCCACAGTTACATGAGATATACAAAAGAAACAATACAGGAACAACAATACAGACAATAACAAACATCAGAATACACACAAGATGGATAGGAGCATAGGCAATAATATAGTTAGATACCGTAGATACCGTAGATAATCTTGCAGCCAAACAGATGGAACATAGACGATCCAACATTGATAGGTACCTTCAACTATTCCGTACCTCTACCAGTAATAATTAAATACTTGTAACTGTAACTGGTAACTTGTAACCCTACATGCTAAGTAACTACGGAGTACATGCATAGTATGTAGGTGTAGGTACTGTAGGTACATGCACACACACACACACACACACACACAGACTTCAATTCCCCATTTCTTTGGCTCCCCCAACCCATAGCCGACGCCTTAGCTTCTTTCCTCTTTGCCTTCTCCTCCTCCTCTTCTTCTTCCCTCTTCTTCCTCAAGCCTCAGCCCTTCCCTTCCCTTCCTCTCCTCTCCTCACCTCTCGCCCTCTTTTTTCCTCATACTTACACTGGCCGCCCTTTTACAACCAATACCACTCATCCATCCATCCATATACACACACACACACACATACATTCAACCGACCAACTCATTGCCGCCACCTCAATCCTCCTCATAACCTAATTCAGCCATCGCCAATCGGAGTCCGTGCGACGTGCCGACAGCCTCGTGCTTTGCCGTTCTAGCCCAACGAACGCCCTGACGACCTGCCTGCCTGCGACTTGCGACTGGCAAAGAGTAACTAGTAACAGTAACTTAGTAGTAGTGGTAGTGGAAGCTCTTTCCTCCGACACGGCCCCCCCAGCCTTCCTTCCTTCCTTCCCTTCCACACACCAAACAAACCACAACCACCACCACCCTCTCTACCTCTACCTCTACCTCTACCTCTCCTCCACCAACATCTACCAACCCTCGTCGCATCTATCAACACCATCGACGTTCATCATCACAACATCGCCTGCTACTGCGCGCCCCTACCCTGGGCTTCTTCCGCGACCCACCATCCCTCCATCTAGGACGTCGCGATCATGAACCACGGATATCCTCCCCGCGGCATCGTCCCTCAAGGCGGGCCCAGCCAGCGCCTGAACGAGCTTCTCGATAACATTCGCGCCGAATTCGAGACCGAATCGCAGCGCAGCGTCGATTATGAAGGCCAGAGTAAGTTTCTGTCCTTGCGAGAGTTCGTTGGCGCGCTGGAGAAGAGCTTTCACGGGCGAGGCCATCCCACCCGATGTCAGCCTTGAGCTCCAGCTTGCATCCCGACGCCATCTTTTGCTCCTTATTGTCGTCCAATCCCAATGAGCGCGTTTGACAAACTCGCATCACTTGAAACCCACACGTAGACTCCCCTCATGAAGCTGATTTGGCTAACGGAAATTGTGCCACAGTCACCCGACATATCCAGGAGATCGAGATGATCCGCAGCAAGGTCTACTCCCTTGAGCAATCGCACGTACAAGTCAAGGCGAAGTGAGTAACCACGTCCACATCGCCGGTGTGCTATATCTACAGGCAATGCAATTCGGCTACAGCCATGCGATGCGGCACAGCACCGCACCCAGTTCCCTACGCCGGGAAAGCTTCACACTTAGTCATTACTGACAACCCGCGACAGGTACGAAGACGAAATTGCCCGTTTGCAACGAGAGCTAGAGGCCCGCGGCGGACCTAGCCAATCCTCACAACACCATGTCCCCTCCCAGCCTCCGCCGCCCTCCATCGGCCACGGTCCCAGCAATCTGTTTGGTGGCATCATGGCCGGCAGCGCTTCACAGGGAGGGCCAGGACTTGCTCCTCCCCCACAAGAACCACCGCAGCCTCAAGGACTGCCACCTCATATGGGTCCCCAGGGTCCCCCTGGCTTGAACCCTGCTCCTGGGCCTCCTCAGCATTTCGGTGGGTACCAACCTGGCCCGTCCTCAGCAGTTAATGGTGAGCGTTGAACTTTTCATCGATGGAAACTTGGGATGAGGGCCATCATGGCATTTCCTAGCGAGAGTCATAGAGCGCGTTCTTTTGCATGTTTCAGATGTAAATGGTACCGAGACTAACGTACGTTACAGGATATGGACAACCTCCACAGCCCACTGCTTCCCCAGGTGGCAAGCCTCGCCCCCCGCCACGAGGCCCTCCAGGACCTGCCACTCCTCAGCAGAACGCTGCTGCCACATACCCCGGGTCTCCCCAGGTTCCTCGACCAACCCCTCCGCCTCATGCGCAACAGAATGGATTGGTTGCTCAACCCCAACCCCACGTTCCTTTGAGCCAGAGCAACACTTTGGCCGACCTTGACATCGAGCAGTTGCCGGAGAACCTGAAGAAGGAAGGAAATGACTGGTTCGCCGTCTTCAACCCGCGCGCCAGGCGTGTCCTCGACGTTGATCTGATCCACAACTTGCCTCACCAGAGTGTGGTCTGCTGCGTTCGCTTCAGCCATGATGGCCGCTACGTTGCCACCGGATGCAACCGTTCGGCCCAGATCTTTGACGTTGAGACCGGCCAGCCGGTTGCGCACCTGCAGGATGGCAGCCTCCCCGAAGATGGAGATCTGTACATTCGCAGCGTCTGCTTCAGCCCTGACGGCCGCTACTTGGCCACCGGTGCCGAGGACAAAGTCATCCGAGTAAGTCACGAGTCGGTACGATCAAAGGCGCATAGTAAGGCTAACATTCACATTAGGTGTGGGACATCCAAAGCCGCCAGATCAAGCATCAGTTCACTGGCCACGAGCAGGATATCTACTCTCTGGACTTTGCTCGCAACGGTCGCATCATTGCTTCCGGAAGCGGTGACAGGACCGTTCGCCTTTGGGACCTCGAAGAGGGTCGCCAAGTGCTCCACCTCTCCATTGAAGACGGCGTCACGACCGTTGCCATCTCCCCCGACAGCCGTTTCGTCGCTGCCGGATCATTGGACAAGAGCGTGCGCGTTTGGGATACCAGCAGCGGCCAGCTTGTTGTCCGCCTGGAAGGCGAGCACGGCCACAAGGACAGTGTCTACTCTGTTGCATTCGCCCCGTCTGGCGACAAATTGGTCAGTGGTAGTTTGGATAAAACTATCAAGATGTGGGAGTTGACCGCTCCGCCACGCATGGTCCCAGGAGGCGGCCCGGCTGGCAAGTGCATCCGCACTTTCGAGGGACACAAGGTAGGTTTTATTGAATCGACAGGTGCCTAGTTCTACAGCTAACTTGGAGTACAGGACTTCGTCCTCAGTGTCGCTCTTACACCCCATGGCGACTGGGTACTCAGTGGATCTAAGGATCGTGGTGTCCAATTCTGGGATCCTCACTCTGGTGTTGCCCAGCTCATGTTGCAAGGCCACAAGAATTCCGGTAAGAATAACACCTTGGAAAGCTAGACGTACGAGAAGTTGACGAAATATTCTTAGTTATCTCGGTTGCACCAAGCCCAACTGGTGGCCTATTCGCCACAGGCAGCGGCGACATGCGTGCCAGAATCTGGAGGTACAGTCAACTTTCCTAGTCCGTTCAGGCCGCGCAATCCATCGAATGCGTTTCGAGAGGACGACGATGTATGGGTTTTGTCGGGCTCTGCGAGCGTTGTCCGGATGCCGATAAGCACGGTCACGTGCTGCATCCTCTTCTCTCCTCGCTCTGGGGAGGTGCGGCGAACAGTCAACCCCCACACCCCACGAGTGGTCTGAAGGGGAGCGGTGCAGCTGCAGTTTGCTCTGCAGTTGGAGTTGCAGTCATGGGCAGCGGGCTTCCGTCAGCTGCGTTGGGGCGCCGGGCGTTGTGTTTGGCGAACTGCCCAGTCGTATGCAAGATTGATCTCGCGTCATGCACTGCAATTACTGCACCTCTCCCTGCAGCAGCACACTTGAACCATGCCACATTCCGGCTTCCGCGCTGCGCTCTACGACTGCATTTACCCCTCCCGCTGACGTCCTCTAATTGTTACCACTATTTCCTTGCTGTCATCCTTTGTTTTTTTTTTTTTTTTTCGCCTTGGCACGTGTTGTCTCACCTGCTTGTATCGCCACTCGATGCTGACTTTGACCCCTCCTGTAGATTCGACAGATACAACGGCCCTTAAATGTTTCGATGCATTCATCCCCAGTACCCTGCCGAGATGCTTGATATACTGGCAGAGTCGACAATGTCAGGATAAGTCTGCCGTCAATGAGGACTCAGATGCTCGATCACATTATATACCCCTTTCTGTTGGACGGTCGGAGTCGGTTCTATGTTCTATCAGTTATGCCCAATTATTTTTCCGGTATTCCTGGCCCCTTGTTTGTTTTCTTTCTTGGTTTATGTCTTGCCGTTGAGATGATTACATTTGCGCTGGATTCATCCCTGCGAGTGGTTGGTGGTTTCTTAGATAAAATGGTCGACGCAGCGCAACGCAAAAGAGCTGGGTCAACCTGTGTCGATGCTACTGTTTGTAGGAAGATGGACGGTCTTTTTGTGTCAGAAGGGTGGTCAGGCCGGAACATAATTATGAATCGTTTTTCCTTATCTAGAAAGTCAAACATTTCCACTGGCACCGTACCTGGATGGCATAATGGGGCTATCATACTATTAACTAACGAACATCAATTGGTCAACGTAATCTTCATAATGGTCATGCTCAGTAGTGATTGTTCATAGTAGCAACTTGGCATGTTTATGTATCTAGGGCGTTGAAACAGCTACTAATATACATAACATTCACCATTGCACGTAACGCTGAAATACTACATACCTAGGTAGCCATGCTCTGTATAGTTATATGTCTACTCTAAATACTAGTAACGATGATGGCTCTCTTGCCAAATCTGTTGAACCCGGAAAGTAAGGTCGTGTATCTCCTTTCCCCGGTGCAAGTGAGTTCCTTCTTGTTTTATACAATATAGTTCGCCCGACCTACATTTCATTAAAATCATACATGTAAAATTCATGATCATACCACCACATATTTCTCACAAATCCAATATCCATCACTCCAATCTCACAGGACCATATCCCGCATCTCTAAGCGCAACCTTTCCCCCATAATCCTCCTCCGCCATCTTCTCCATCACCACCAGGTCCCTCTCCTCCGCCCCATCGTCATCCAACATCCCATGAAACAGCACCGCCAGCGACGAATTCTTCCATATACTCGCCCCCGCCACCTTTGTATCCCACGCAACGAACAGCAAGAACGCCAGACTCGCTGCCTCCAGCAACGCAGGCAGCGCAATCCAACCCCACTGCACCCTGACCAGGACCGTCGAACTCCACCCCCATCCCTCAACAGTCACGCGGCCGTCATTCGGGATCGCGCCGGACGTCGTGAAGACAGCCTCGCGGACTGCAGCACTCAGACTCAGAGCCAACATGTCCAGCGACAACGTCGCGTTTCCCGTCTGGTAGAGGCGGCGCGCGACGTCAGTCGCCTCGAACGTCTCTGGCTTCTCGCTCCCTCCATTCCACGTCCTGTATCCGGACAGCAGTGCGCCCGCCCACTCCGCCAGCATCTCGCTGGCAGTGAGATGCACGTAACCTACATTTTCGTTCCGGCCGAAGGGGTAGGCTCCCACGATAGACTGGTTATCAGCAACGGTATCGCCGCTGTTGTCGCGGTGGTAGTTCCGATTCACGGCGTCCGTCTTCAGCGACCTGTTTGTCTCCTTGTCGAAGTCGTCCTCCGCGATGAAGGAGGAGTTTGCGCCGAGAGGCCCGTCGAGCGTGTGGAACCAGCCATTGACGGACGGGTCGCGGGACCCTGTCGAGCTGCTGGCGACGACTTCCTCCTTCAGTATACCGTTAACGACTTCGGACTTATAGCGGTTCATGCACCAATGCAGCGCGCACTCCATCGCCACAGCTCCCTTCGGCCCCGTCTGGTTGAGCCGCCCAAACGACAATTGCACGAAATTCAGCAGCGGGAACTGCGGGTCGAGTCTTGCGAGAGACGGCACAAGGCCTGACGAGATATACTCAGTCGTCGACCCCATTCGCATAGGCCCAGTATTGAAACCCCCAGGCAGCGTCGTGTTCCACATCTTCTCGCTGTTACCGGCCGAATTCTCGACATACGTCTCCACGACTTCGAGCAGGTCGGTCACGTTGGCGCACTGGTTGCACACGGCGAGGGAGTCGAACAGCGGGAACGAGCAGTTGCCCGTGGGGCACGCAACGTGCGGTCGCAGCACGTTCAGCGCGATGTCGTCGGATGGATTGCCGCTGAAGTACAACCCGCTGAAGACGGCGGCGCGTACCGGGTCGGAGACTTGGCGCATTGTGTATTTGTCTTCCACGCCGGTGATGAACATGAGGTTCGAGGGCGCGGAGGAAGTGGTGGAGAGCATCTTGTCGTCGTCGTAGCTCACGATTTACTGGAACATTGCGTCGAGGGCGAGCGAGAGGATCGTTATGATCGCTCCGATGGATGCGAAGCTCCTATACCCCCTTCATGTCAGCACTCATATTCAAATTCAACAGGAGGAGATTGGTTGGAAAGATAGGTCAAGCACACGTACCTAGCCCTCGAAGTCCACAACAGCAGCACCGACCCCCACGGCCCCCTCGTCGCCCCATCGTACGCTTCAAAATCCACCAGCGGCCTCTCCCCGCTCCGGAACCAGTTCCACTTCAACTGGCCGATCGCCTCGCCGACGGGGAGTAAGAGGCTGGACTTCATTACCGCGGAGAGCACGGAGATGAGCGCGTTGATGGTGATGCTGAGGGGCCAGGAGGGGAGCGGCTTGTCCTGTCGCATTGAGAGGACGAGGGTGATCCAGAGGAAGGTGAAGAGGGAGAGGGCCCAGGAGAAGTATTCGATGAGCCAGATTTTGTTGGAGAGTTGCTGGAGGCGGTCGTAGCGGTTGAGGGAGGGGTGTGGGCGTGTTGAGGGGGGTTTGCCTGGCGGTGGAGGGATGGTGCTGCTGGTTTGAGGGAGAGGTGGAGGAATTGAGGATGTGGAGGTTGTCGTCGAGTGTTGGGTTAAAGGGGCTCCATTGTTGTTGTCATGGGAGTGTATTGAGGATACTGGACTTGTCGAAGTCGGGCTCTGGATGTTAAAGTTGTGCTGCGGGTCGATTGGAGATTCGGTATATCTTGAAGTCTGCTGCTGCTGCTGCTCAGAAGAGTTCGGCGCTCCTGAAGGCATAGGAAATTGCGAAAGGTCCATCAACGGCAACTCGATATCACTCGTATCAATCGAAATCTGCGGAAGTAATGGTCGGTTCGCGGTACTGTTCTCGCCCTCGTCGTAGGCGTGAGGCGCTCTGTGTCTGGAGTTGTCCATTAAAGACGACGGCATGTTAATGGTCTTAAAAGCACGTTAAAGGAATTATTTGCAAATTATTTTGATTTTACCCAGTCAACTACTTTATCTAATTGTGCTATGGAAAGGGCTGTTCGTGATCTACAAGGCTGATAGGTAGCACGATGCGGGGCTCAGCGTCGTGATCGACGTTCCGCACCACCTACTTGAACTCTCAACTCAGCTTACTGCGCCTCGAATGTGCGAGGAAATAGATGGTGGTAAGCTGCTTGCCTTGTGTGGCGAAATAACGTGGTCGTTGTACATTGTACCTCGTAGGGTCACGGCAAGTCATAGGGATTCTATAGCCTTTCTAGTTCTTTTGATTTTCTTTTGAACTTAAGTAGACGTTGTAGATGGGGATGAAGAAGAACATTGGTATGAACGTTTGCACGTAGCCTTTTCTCCTCAGAGCTTGGGTTGCTTGAAGAAACGTTATGTATGTTACTGCGAAACAGTCCAATCGAATTCTTATTGGTTCAGTTCTGCGAGTTTCAGTTTACAGACGTGTCATTGGGGGCCTGCAGGAAGACCACAAGGGAGCCTGACAATGATGTTACACAAGGCTGTGTCGGTTGCAGCGGGTGGTTGATGGACCAGTCAACACGACAGATTCGTAGTTTGAGCTATAGACTATTTTGAGGTAGGGGTACGAGTAGGAATGATGGGCATTCGCATTATATCACTATGGAAAAGCGGGAGCTAACTAGATGTGGAAAATGTGGTGAAAGGATGAGTGTCATACTGGCTGCAGGGAGCCACGTGACGAGCTGATAGCATTGTGAGTCCTTCTGTAAGCAATGGAGAATATGTAAGATTGATCTGTACAAGGCGATATACTTATTTGAGATTCCTTTTGTTCCAACGTAATGATGATAGAGTATAAGCCGTGACCATGAGAGCATATGGTACGCCACCGCTTCCTTGGCGCCGGGTAATCTGACAAAGATAGATCTACGATCGATCAATGTTTAATGATGGGCCTGACTGACTTTTGTCGTCTCTTAAACTCACTTCATTCCTGACATCTCTCTCTCAAGACAAATTTCACGACAATGAAGAAGGTGCTCGGATACTTCCAACCGCCACCACCGCCGCCGCCTAGCGCTGGAAGTGCTCGACTAACCAGCACCGTCTCCGATGTCTACGAATGTGGCCCTAATGTCATATACGACAGCAGAAAAGACACCACCCGTCGCATCAACTTCGGCAACCTCGTCAGTGTATTTGGCTACCCATCCCGTGGCGGCGTCGTCATACTAGAGGATACGTCGCCCGCGGACTTTGACTTCCTGGATCTGAACCGGGCAGATCCTCCCATGACCAGGCATGAGGATCCCGCCGACGAAGATGCATTCTGCCAGCGGCTGCTACTGCTCGGCGCAAAGTGGTGGGACTCGCTGGCACGCTACCACCTGCTGAACGGCGAGGACGTGGACGTCCACGAGCTGGACGAGAGCGACGAGCCAGAGCCGACGCAGCGAGAGCGGCACTGGGTCAGCGTGGCGTGGCCGAGCGGCGGGGGAGGCCTCGTGGTCGCCGAGTTCGACACAAACATGTGGAATCCGCCGATCGAGAAAGAGCTTGTTCCGATGGATGTTGCGAGGTTGCGGCTGTGCACGAGCATGGATGAGAAGGCGCGGATGCTAAGAGACAGATTTGGAGGGAGGGATTGGGGAAGGGTGGAAGATTATCGCGGGAATGCGTTTATGGGATGTTGGGCTGAGAAGGAGTCTGGGGAAGTGGGTGAGTTGCAGAAGACGTGGTCGTAGATTTGGAATCTTGGTTGGCCCGATTCAGAGGAGGCATGTTGTTGCGCAAGGGTCTAATTGGAGTGAGATGGAGGTGTTGGCCATGAGTGAACCCTGTTCACGATCATGCTTTTCGTACAATATAATAATTCCCCGCAAGCAAGCTGTCCAACTTTTTTAAGACAATGCAACTATCTATTGTCTACCAACATGGTGGATTGGATACCCAGAATGTACTCGGCCCGTATTCTGATAATGATTGGATGCCTCATACTATATCTGTAACAACGAAGTCCGAATACAGAATGCACCACGCGCTGCTGCGATTCACAAGGACTATGAGATAGCGCTACGTGACCGTGGTTGTAATTGAATCTCATGGGGCCATATTTTATTTTCAATGGAAGCTTTTGTGGAAGGCATTCATATTCCTGCGATATTGACATTGGACGATTTACATTGTACCAACTGCATATGTTTACTCTCATCTTGGCCTTCGTCAAGGTTAAATCCATCCCATGCTAGATTTGATCCTGAAGGTTGCTATCAGGATTCTCCAAAGCTACATTGTCAGAGCCCTGATCCCTTGATGCCAGCCTTGCCATTGTAGAACCCTTCTGCTGCAAGACATCTGCGTGAATCCAAGTAGCACAAGATTGTTCCTTTCAGTGTCTACTAACACTCATCTCTGTGCAAAGGCTGCAGCTGCATTGAGGATGCCTAATCAAGGCCGACCTAACCGACGGTAACTGTTATTGAATCTGTCAAGCTGGGCTTTACTGTCATTTTGTATTCTGTATGTGTCATGAACCTGCAAATTGACGATGTGCCCTTTATTACTCTCGCCGATAAGTACTTTTACAGCGGCAAAAAATGAACGTTTGAATTCTTGCACAACAATCTAAAAAAACCTTCTGTAGTGTATCAACCTAGCTGGGCTAGAATATACCACCATCATGGCGTTACGCCATACAGTCTCTATCTTACCTTTTCTATTATCATCCTTTTCATCTCAAGTCGCAGCAGATGACCCTGTCAACTACAACATCACCGGCTACGACGTCGCACCCGACTGGTCAAAAGATGCAATTCCTCCATTTCCCAACATCACAGACGAAAATGGCAAAGAGATCGATGCCGCAAACGTCCGTGGAACACGGCTGTTTGGTTTCCAAGGTTGCGATTCACCCGCGGCAGACATCATCAAAGCCACATACAACGATTTCTACAAGTTGGCCCATCTGAAGGGCCTTTACGAGAACCTGGATTGGGAAGGGCAGCCTGCAAAAGAAATGTGGGGCGCTCCATCCAAGATTCCAGACGAGCGAAGGGAGGAAATACGACGTAAGTTTCTCTACAGCGGCTTCTCACCAGCTCCAAAAGCCAGACATTCTGCCTGTTCCCTAAGAGTCTTTCCTGTAAAGTTATTAACTTGGCGAGCTAGAGATCTACGATGCTGCCAAAGAGATATGGTATAGCAATTGGCAGAGGCCGCCATGGAGCCCGCCCTGGCCTGGTCGGGATCTCTGGATTAAAGTGACCTGCAGTGGAGGTGATGATTCAGGCGATCCAAACGACAGATGTGGAGACAAGGCTAATCAGCCTCAGAATCCTGTTTGTCCTGTAAGAATACGATCTCAACTGCAACATGAACCCTGTAACACTAACGTTCAATCATAATAGCCACCCAAGAAAGGGAAAGACCCAATGCCAGGCAAGAAGAAAGATATGGAAGCATACTCCTCGCCAACTGAGAACTGGAGCCGCATCACCTTCTGCAAAAAGTTCTTCAACGACCTGAAATCCCTGGACGAAGTCACCAAAAATGTAAAAAACCAGCGACCGGAGGTTCAGGACCACTTGGATCAGTGGAACAACAGGGCGAGATGCTTCTTCCATGAGATCACTCATTTGAACTACTTCATGAATGCGCCCGAAAAGAGCCCATTCATTGACGATGCACTCATCACGTACAAGTCAAAAGAGGGTACCGTTGAAGAGGGCGCTTACGGTCCATACAACGTCAAGGTCTTGCGAAATTTTCGAGGAGATGCCTGGTATGCCGGTCAAAATGCCGATACCTTTGCCTGGTACGCAATGGCGATGTGGGCGAAAAAGGAGATTGGGAGATACCCTCACCTCCCAGCAGCAGGCAGTAAGAAGCCGACAAAGGCGCCTCGCCGTGGCGATGGTACCCCATTCACCCAACCAAATAGTGAAAGCGAGGACGAGGACTTAGGTGACGAAGAGATAGACTACGAGCCCGATGATGGTTTCACGATTCCGGGCTGTGGTGACAAGGAAGACATTGAGGACAAGAATCCCCCCGAGAAGCTCGAAATGGATTGCTCCGATGACGCTAGCAAGATACCAAGTAACGTCTTCAGTTCTGAAAACAACACGGTACACGGCGTCTTCTGCGGCGCAACCGTCAGTAACCGTCGAGCCCTCCATTGGACCGCCGACGCCTCTGGTAACCTCGAAGGCTCCCCGCCTCAGGTAGCCAAGCTACTTGCGGGCTTGACATCGATGGTCATCTCTAAGATTTTGGATGTCACGAAGTTCAAGGGCTACAAATTCAAGCTTGACTGGGAGCCCAAGAAGGAGTTTAATCCTGCAGACTGCTTCATCAGTTGCGAAGATGCCTTCAAAACGTTCTCTAAAACCCCCGAGTGTGGTCAAAAGGGTGATGGCAAGGACCTCATGGCCAAATCAGGCAAGATTGAGGCGGGTTGCGGTAGTTTTGGTTACACGATTGAGGAGCCAAAGGAGGAAGAGCCACCACAGTCCACTGAAACGCCGAAGCCAGATCCTCCCAAGAAGTCAAAAGCGTTGTCTATCGTCTTCCAAAACTACATCGACGAAATCAGCAATACGAACTCGTGGCTGTTCTTCGAGACCGGCATCGATGAATCGAAACTCTGCGAACGGGACAAGAACGCGGCATTGAAAGAGGACACTGATGGTGGTCCAGGGCGTTACAAAGATCCTGGCTGGCCCGGTGGCACTTTTGAGTTCAAGATTCATGACAAGGACTGTACGTACAAGAATGATGGAAGCAATCCTGGAGCGCTGTCGTGCAACGGCGTGGACACCCCGATCGAGTGCAAGGAGGATAAGCAGAATGATGGGAAGGACAAAGAGTGCGAGCTGGGACTGTGGGCGGTTCGTCAGCATGCTGCTGTTGTGTGCGAGTGGTAGATGGTAGGGACGCTCTAAGCAACGATTGTGCCTCTGTACGAGTGTTTTGGTTTAGCTTTTGATATACCACAAGGTCTTAGACTATGTTTCATAGATACCTAGACACTGAATTATCAAAATAAAGATTGTTTTTTACTAGTCAAGTATGCAAATTCCAATTGTAGATGATTGAACAGAAGATATTTTGCGATTAAGAACGACGAAGTAAAGGTGGAAAATATCAATCGAATCAAAATTTCTTTTAGTATAGCTTTAATTATATAAATTGAAAGCTCAGAGAAGATCTTTTCAGATAAAAACTGTCTTCTTGGTATCGTACCTCCTAAGCAATCTTTATCTGACGTACTAAACCATCTGTACTTCCTGTATGTTGACAGGATCGCCTTCAAATCGTAAGCTTACTTCATTACTTGCTCCCTACCATAGCAATCCTTTCAAAAGAGGTATCATTTGTATTCCTAGTTTTTGCTGTGCCTATGGATGGAGTGGAACAACTGTCATGTTTAAAGGCCACGGCGACCACAGTGACTGAGCTGCCAGCTGATCCGTTTATTATGGCGGGGATATGCGAGGTTCTACGGCGACATGTAGACGCAAAGATGAGTTCGTTTTCCGACAAACACTTGATGATATGCATCGTAGTTGTCTGGCAGATATATTTCGTTCGAAGGGCGAGGAAGCGGCGATGAAAGTCGTGTTCGACCGAACTTATATGTCCCAAGCCAGTTGGACGTTGAAGTGGAAGGCCATAGAACCATCGAGGCTCATAGTTGCGAGTTGATGGTATCGAATGGATGCTCCGGACCATCGACGGTTTGATCATGTTCGGTTAAGAAAGGTCGATGTATGTCTTGATACAACAGATGCCGGAAGGCAAGTTGCTTCGTGGTTCAATGTTGAAGATTCCTGAAAGGGGTGTGTCGAGAAGGGAAGGGATGATCGGTAGCAGTGGAGGTGAACTAGAGGAAGTCTCTGTCCATGCCGACTAGGTATTACATCAGTTACATTATTGAAGTCGCGTTCAATTGGGGAGATGTAAGGTCAAAAGGTTACGCGTACTCTGGGTGATCCGGTCTTTTCACCTGTCTAAATATCAGTACTAGAGTTGAGAAGGAAACACTTACTACATGGTTGATTATCTAGCTTAATTTGTTTTTGTCCCATATAATGGTTCGAACACTGTAACTCGTCATCATTTGAGAAGTCAGTTGAGCCTGGTATTGTTTCTTCAAATAGACGCCTTCGAGCCAACGAACACCCGTATCCAACTTCCACAATGGAGGAAGCAACTGTTGATTCACTGGAACAATAGCCACTTTACCAAAGTAGAAGAACATCATCCCCGTATATCGATGTTCCATGCCTCAGTGACGCGTTGTTCTTACTCATAGCCCAAGTCGTCTATTGAACGAAATCACTTTGTCCATTTGCTCGACCGGGCTAGGCCTTCCATTCTCCGACCAGAACAACGACATGGTGCCTGTATTCCGAGTTTCTACTCAGAGGCTATGCGTTAAGTCATTCCAGCTGCTGTTTCCCTGGTGTCTACCTCCCTTCTTTGCTCATGTCTTCTATCCACAAATGTGTGACTCATCCTAATCGACGACGAAGTGCGACGGCATCGAGGGGAGGCAACCGATAGGTAGCGATTATGGGGCATATAGAAGCGTCGATACGCCTCCGCTCACTTGCTCGTTCGTTTGTTCGATTGACTGTTCGCATCGCGTGTCTCGAGTACAGGGTTTTTCAGGTAGAACGATAGGGTATTCGGGGCAGAAACGTGGGTCGCTGGTTTCTTTTCCTTCACATCAAAAGGATAGAAATGAGATGAATTGTTTAGAGTGAGGACTACTTACAACAAGTGACTCTGAGCGATTCACATGTCCAGTGTGTCGGACGATGTTGACTGGCCGGTTTTGAGTGAACACAGGGACAAAGCAGCACCATTGCCACCACTTTGGATTTGCAACGAAAGTGCGAAGACAGCATTTGAAATAGTGATGGGTTAAAAACCGAAGATGATGAGTTTGATGATTCCAACGATGGATTGTCGCGGACGTGATGCGGATTCTCGCGCACAGATTCATCCTGTCGTGGAAGAGTCTCGACCTCATCCCCAACCTTCGTCTCAAAGTTGATCTACTTTAGACTACATAATCCACAGCATCGACATCATCATCGCCTCCCGTCTAATCATTGCCACGCAACTCAAGGGAGGCAAATCCTGTTCCCAGTGTTGTAGTACAAAGCACTGAGTGCGTAAGATCAGCGACCAAAAAGTGAGGCTCGTTCGGATCCCGCTTTCCGGAGAGAAGAAGAGTGGCAAAATAAGAACGCCATTTTCACTTCAGAAAGCAAGTATCTTCTTCACTGTGATTATCACGGTATGTAGAGGGCCTTGTTTTGGGGTTTGGCGCTTTTGGGAGGAGACTTCAGGAGACTACATCCCTCATCAGGCATGGGGAAATGAGGCTACAGTTCTACAGCATTTACGAGTGATTTGTCTGGCAAGGAATTCCTAAAGCTTTTCGCCATCAACAGGTGTTACAGCACGTTGGAACGAGAATTTCAGTCAGTTGGGCCTGTGTTCGCTGCTATCGTGGGTCTGTAGCAAATTTTCACTCCCCTGCTGACGAGGGGTTTGCTGACGAACCTGATGAACATAGCCGTAAACACAGAACCACAAAAACAGTTTCCCTACGTGTTATTTACTTTGTAGACATTTAACGATATCTAAATGTCAAATATACTGTCTATACTGCAATCTCTTTTCACTGTACTATGCAACGAGAGTAATTCCTCATCTGCATACCAGAATCGAGAGAGCGTACAAGCAACAACACCCTCACCTGCACGTGCAAACATCACGAGTGAACTGCAAACCACATTACCTGCTATTCTATTCAGACTACTCCTCCAGCAGTCACGCGGGAAGCCCACCATACCTACCGCACCCCACCGAGCGAGCAAAGCCGGAGGCTAGAAAACGCCTCAACAAGCAGCTTACGCCGTTCCACTACTCCCCTCCCACAGGGCCCTCCCGAATCCTAGAAAGAGAACCCGGAAAAGGCCTGACAAAAAAGGGCGGTATGCATTGTTTGCTGTTGAGATGAGATTTTGAGTGGGGTAAGAGCAAGGTGAGCATAGATTGCTGTAACGTACGAGGAGGTTACTTCGGGATGGAGAGCTGAATGGGAAAAGAAAAATACTTCGAATCAATGCACACACACACACACACACACACACACACACATGCACACGCACACGCACGCGTACGCATGCACGCAACCGCTTTGCCCCCCTTCTCCTCTTTTCTATGCCCCTCAAGCCATTTGAGGTAAATGTACACTTCCACACGATTGTGATTGATGGCGAGGAGAAGTGATTGCAAGGAGCCGGCTCGGCGTGGATGTACCGTGCAAGGTAGAGCACCGTGTAGGCTTGTTCGTGGGTTGCCTTTCACTCTTTCTGTGCGGCACGGCAACACGGGGGGAAGTCGGGAGGAGCGTTTATGATCGGTGAGAGATGCATCTTCAGGGCGTCCTTCTTGATGGGGAGGTGGGTGTGGATGTGATGGACATGGGAGGGGTTGGGCTGGATAGGTCTGGGAGATGTGAGGGGAGTTGCAGGTTCTCTGTTCCTTGTAGGTTGTCAGACGGACTGGCCAAGGATAGGCGGAAGACAAGGAGGAGATGGAGGGGATGGTCGTACAAACTGCAATGCTCGAGGATGAGCGCGTGCGTCTCTCCTTCCGTGTGCTTGTGGCAATAATGTTGTGGAGTGGAATTGAGAATGTGTGATTTGTGAGCCAGGCAAGCCAGATGATGCCCCGTTTGTCTACTTACTGAACTCTTCCCTGCAGACCCTCGAAGCTAGTCAAGCCAGTATCCGAATCCACTTCCGAAGCAAAGCGAATTCCTGGACGGGTATTGGAGGAGAGGGTCTCGAATTTGGGGAATTGAAGGATTGGATTCACTAAGTGACCGACCCATTGGGGCTGCTGCCCAACGCCAACGCTCTATTCGAACATGTAACGAAATGGGCGCTTCCGCGGGTTCGTGGTGCTGCGGTTCTTGCATCTAGACGTCTAATCCCACCTTCGACACATGCATCTCATTCTCTTTAAGGGAAATAGAACGAGGGGTTTGTATGAAAGAAGTGATCCATCTGAGTAATGATTGCTGGTGATGGTAAGGTACAGGGGTTTCTGTTGCAACTCGTATTCTCTTGCAGGATATGATGAATGTGCATGTCTGACTTTCAAGTCGAGGATGAGGCATATCAGTGGTAGTTTTCTGATGCAAAGTTTTTCATGTCAAGCGGTAAGGTAAATGACTATCTGACCATGTGGCTGTCGTATGTTTCGTGAGGCGCACACAAACGGCCGTTACTGTGGGTCGCGAACGGGAGAACTAGGAAATGAACGACAGGAAAGCAGGATCACGGTGGCAAGTAGGAGTACGCAAGAATGTCTTGTAAGAGTGTACAACCATGCCTCTACATGATATACTTGAGATAAAAGATATGCTTGGTTGTCGTTACCGTTGAAATGGTAGTCGCTGGGAACCAATCAGAGCGGGCCATTTTGTGAGGCGGGTGATGTGCAACGAAGATCAGGGTAAATTCGCCACACCCAAAATCATCCTTACATGTCACTGAGATCGTGAGGCGCATGCGAACAGTTGACGTCAGAAGGAGTCGGAATTCGATGATCTTGTCTTGAGCAATGAAGAATTTTCCAATTTCTTACATCGCGCGCTTCGTTTGCGTGCGTGTGCGCGTAAATGTGTTTTGTCTGGTTAGGTGATGGATGATAGTGGAGTCTCTAGGCGCAGTCACTAGTCAGCGTACGAGATGGGTTGGCACTGAAACTGGCACCGACGCTGCCAATAGCACATCCGGAGGCCTGAACCACAGCCGGCCACTCAATCAAGGGCTGTCTGTTCTGTATCAAGAGATCGTCCTGCTGCCATATTGAGCATGTCTGACTTGAGGAGAATTCGAATTCGACATCTCCGCGGTGTTTCCAGCCTGGCACTCTTCCCCACGCAAAGGGACATCTAATCGGCCAGATGCCTGCCCTATGTAGAACACTGTTTGGGCAGATAGAGTCAGGCAGTCCGATAATGAAGTGCTATCTTCGCTGTATCTGGATCCCAGGGTGCGGCACAGCCAGGGGTGGCCTGGTAAAGGGGATGAGGGTGAGCGACGCGGAGGAGCAATGGGCAACACCCGGGCGTGGGCGGATCGGATGCTTCCGCATTGACATTGACACTGACATTGAACCGTGCAACTGACTAGTGCTCGTTCCTTTTTTCTTTATTCTGTTATTCTTGGACCTTGATTCAGTGTTATTGCGAGATTGGGGTTCTGACAGAAGGCTTAGCATTTCCCAGAGAACGTGATGGCATCTCTCTATCGGTGGGGTAAGAGTTTCAGGGGACGCTGGAAGCGTGGGGGCTTAGTTATACTAGACAATGACAGCCCAAACACGGTCGACCTGTACAGGACACAGTCTTGTGTACAGTTGCTCTAAATGCTGTAGTCACGAACTCAGACATTTGCAAGAAGTGGGACAAACCACAAAGCTATTTCGACCAGTGGAAAATTTTTCTTCCTTCAATTTCTGAAGGGCCATGTTGTACGACTGAGATGTTTGACGTAATTAACCGATTAGAGGGATAGTCGGAAGAACTGTACTCGCAAGTGCAAGCATAGCCTAGCAAATGTCGGGAAGGAATTCTCTAATTTCCGCATGATCATGTTTGAATCTGAAGTTGGCCGGAGGATCCACTCACACTCACACTCATCATCACACTAGAGGGACTGGGCATGAGGGGGACTGCTCTGTTGTATTCGAATTATCTAACGACCTGTGTCGAGTAGGATCGAAAATAGATCCAAAGCAGCAAGATACAGTAAAACCCCAGTCATATCTGCGTTTGAGGAGGAATGCGAGGGCGAAGAATATTGTCACGTTGCTTCGCATCGCATCTGTCGTCAAACGTTACACAGAACGTTGAGTATGACCGGGGGCGGGCTACCATTGGCTGATGTCCAAATCCCTGATTGGCTGTTCATCTGGCGTTTGAGATGCTGCATGATACGGGGTGGCTTTCCCCCATCTCGCTCGCTCAGGCTGGCCAGCCCATCAACCCACCCCATCCCATCATCTCTGGGCGCATCATTCTTGCAAATCTCTGCTAGGATGCAGAGTGGGGATTGTTATCTACTGCTGTATGTACCGTATCTATTTTCAAAGATGAGAGCTCGCGGCATGGGATAGTGCGGGATCGCATTTCCCAATCGGAACAGGTCTGCATGGTCCCTATCCTACCTTACCCTACCCTTACATCTGAGAGGAAGATAATCGGTATTCACTGGCTACACACCGTACATGCCCTGTCTTTTCTGTCAGTTCCGCTTGGCCTCCACCATGCGCTGCGCTCTCTTTCAACACCCGTCACAATGGAAACCCTGCTAGATTTGTCTGAAGCTACTGCAGGTCCACCGATTTGGACGTCCAATTCCTCATAGCCACCGTGTCCTGCGTGATCGAAACTCGGTAAGCAGATCTGGCAGCAAACTTGCAGGAGCTGGTCTGGTCGTATCGGAAACAAGGCCGTGGCGGCCATGAATGAGGCTGCTGTGGTTGGGATTGGATGGAATGAGGACATTTTAGATCGGCACCCGGAAAGCCTAGATGCAACGTGCAGCATCGAGGAGTGAGGAAGTCGCCGAGCAAAGCGTCTCCATATTACGGCAGTGTTCGGAAGGCCTCGTGTCGTGTCGAGTGGGTATGTTTGTTGTGGTGGTTGTTATGGTCTGTCAATGTCCTCTAACTACTACATTCGATCACTAATGCATCGAATCTTCATTACTGAGCAATCTCGAGGAACACTCCAAGTTTTGCCTTGCAGCATGCACGTAACTTGCGTTACCTCGCGAAATCGTTCGTTCCAAAGAGGCTGGGCTCATCACGCGCACGCACTGACGAGAGATTACTATAGAAAGGGAAAAGCAAAATTGTGGTGATGCATCTCCAAACCCACGTTTTTTATTTCAGATCGTCGGGTCTTTGGTTCCCATCGACCACGAGGCCGAACGGAGCACCATACGATATGGGACCATTGTGCGACAGTCGCCCGTCTTTCGCCATTCTTTTCATGCGTGCTCGCGCGCCGTCCGTGATGTCCTTGTTAATGTGGGCTTTCTGGATGTCGACAGAGCAAGCTGAAAAACACCACGCGCAGCATACCGGGGGTGGATGATGATGTAGGAAAAACAATGTTGGCCAGATCGGCGGTCTTCCACCAAGGCTTTTTCCGAGATCTTGGTTCAGCGCTTTTGTTGGCACTGATGAAGCATCACCACAAACAGCGGCCACCATGCACCGTCATTCGAGACAGGGGCCCACGATGCGAGGTTTCGGCTCTAGTCTGACTCTGGTCGCTTTGCTAATTGATGCTTGCCATGACGATTTCCCTTTTTGATAGCCCCTGCATCAAGGATTTCAAACTGACTTGACTGTCTGACTTGATTGACCCCACCAAGGCTGATCGACAGCTGCCGGGGGGAGCGAGTTATTGGGTGCGAGTGGATTGTAGAGCTAAGATTGAACGAAGGTTTCCTAGTTGCTATGGTTCCTACGCAGTGGACTTGTATTTCTTGTCCTAATCCCACCGAAACAATGCCATAGCGAGTGAGGGTCATTAGCAACAGTTGATTGCATGCGACAGAAAACAAGGATCCCCGGAAGACCATAAAAGCCTTGGATTTTAAGAAGCGGCAGCAAGAAATAAAGGCGCTGGAGATTCCGATGGAGGCTTGTCGCAGCCGTGGTATTGGGCCAACGTTGTAGCAGGCGGGCTGATGCCCATGTCTGGTGGGATGGATGGGATGGGTGTGCCGAGCGAGAGGCTGTCGCTGGACATTCGAGTGCGGAACATGGATGGGATATTGGGAGAAGCCGGGGTGGGAATGCTACACGAAAGCGATACCGAGCATTCGGCGACGACAAGACGATGATGGGATCGAGGAGACCATGGGCGCAAGCGTGGCTGCACCCAATGGCGCTATCAAGGCTTGTTGTCATGGGTATCTGAGGTGTTACAGTGTGGTGAAAGGAGCGGGGCCTACGAGGGGATGAGAGGACCGGAGGGAGGGGAGACGCTGCAAGATATGCACGAGGCCGAAAGAAGCTGAGATGGGGTTGAAAGTCGAGGTTAGTAGTGGTGCTGTATTGAATGGTATTATTGTGGTGTCGTATTATCATCATCAGTCTTCATCATGGTGTTGATGGGTGAAGACCGACAGGCCACAGGCGAATTGGCGGAAGCGGCAGGGCGGGCCCACGTACGCGGGACAGCCAGGATGGGATGAGATCTAAGAAAAGTAATTCCATTATGTTTTGTATCGTGCATTATGTCCGGTATCTGATCTACCATTCTAAGAAGTCCATGAACATCCCATTCCAATCATTACATCCAAGTATACAGACATGCCAGCCAACCCCTCTCCTGTCACCGTGATCATTGCGATCAAAGTATCAGGGATTGACCCTATCATATTCAACATCTCCTCCCACGCATGCTCATTCGTCTAGGCGAGTGGGAATGGTATATGGATTACTATAGACTGTACTACCGCACCAGGTTCTGTAAGAGAAGTAACCACTGATACGCGCAATCTACAATAGGTCGATTGCAGCTTGCTAGCGGCTGAACGGGCTTCCGTATGCGACCAGGACATGAATGACACTCTGCGCCACATGCGGGCAGCTGACACCAAGAGCATCAATCGCTGCAGCGCGCTACGAAGCAGTGGATGGAGTAGGTAAGTGTACATGTGCATGCCGACGAAACAGAAGATTTACTTGCATTGGAAATATTTGATCGCGGTGGTGCGATCGATCTTGTATTTCCTACTTGGATGTTCTTCTAGCCTCCTGGCTCGACTAATGACCGCCGAACTGACGCCAGCAGGCTGAGAATAGTTCATATACACGACACATGTCCACATGTTAAATCCTTGCTCAGGGCCATTGGTCGGCCCCAAGCAGATTGAGTGATCGGCCTAGCTCTATGGTGGCGGTTGTATTAATGGTTTTGTAGTCTGTCACCGTAACCGTTGCCATTGGTCGCCGACTGAACTGAGTAGTGCACCATTTGCAGAATCGGCGGCGACGGGATGTGCAGCGCATCCTTCGTTCGAACAGGGCTGTACACATCGAATTCTTCGAGGGACTCGCCGGCCCCCGTAACTGGAGGGTTTGTGCGACGAGCCCAGTCCAGTCCGGTCCAGGACATGCCTACATTCGGTGGAGGTGGAGATGGGCATGGTTGCAGGCATGATTGGAAGCCTCCCTTACCGAAGCCTGGTTATTCATTGGTAGTGGCAACAAGGCAGAGTTTACGACGATGGCGACGGCACGATGGGCACGATCAATGAGCACGAGGGAGCGATGAAACAGATAGGTGGATAGAGGGAACGATACAAACCGCTGCAGGTACGCCATACATAAGTGCACGCACGTACCTTGTGCGGCAACGATGGATACAGAGTGCATTGAAGCATCTAACGGGTAGAATGCCATCTGTCTAAGAACCAGTGAATTGCGAGCGTGCTGAGCGCCCGACGGAACGGAATCGATGGGTCTACAACTAAGGATGTCATTGTCATATTGTGTGTAGTTTATTAGTATTAGGCTACGAAGCACGGAGGACGCGGCACAGGAACAGGATAGAGTACCTAGAGTAGAGTGGGTAGGACAAACAATGAGGGTGTTTGGTGTAATTAGAGTCGATGCGAGGCATGAATCGTGTTGGGCGTTTTGTGTTTTGTTTTCCCACCCAATCTGCCGGATTCTGTCTCTCCCTCTATTTTTTTCCTCTGGACCCAGCCCAATGGGCCGACGGGGGTTCTTGACTTCTGTATCGTCTCGTCTCGGCTTGTCTTGTCTTGTCGCGTCTCGCCTGCCTGCCTGCGGATGTATACACACGCATGCACACACACTCACTCTGTCCCTCTTCAAATCATCAAACATGCTAGAACAAACCCTCCCCTTCTATACAGTACTCCGTATATGGAGTGCTATTATTATCTACATTTCCATTTCCATTTTTGTACTGCACCCCTACTGCCACCACCTCCTCATTCATGCAAACCCATCCTTCACGATGATTTCGCGTATGGCGCCAGTCCAGTCCAGTGCGCAGAATGTGTCGACAGGCCCCCCTTCCAGCCCCTAGTCAGTAATTAGTATTCCCGTCTGACAGCTCAGGATCTGCCCGCAAGACCCGAGCCAACTACGGCGCCTTGTTCCCATTGTTGATGCTAACCACCTAAGGTAGCTGGTAGATGGTGCCCATGTCCTGAGGAACCATCCCAATCCACTATGAGGTAGGTATCTATGCGCAATGCGATGTGTGCACCGCGCACATGCCCCGTTCCGTTGCCTCTCTCCACCTGTTGTTACAGCGAACCCCCTACAAGTCCAATAGAGCATATTGCTCTAATTCAGTACAGTACAGGACAGTATGTGCCACCACCAGCTCCACATTGGGCCGGCCACTTCAGGTATTGTGCTTTGGAACTGGAGGGAGGGTGGGCCTGGTCATCGATCCCTAACCCACCACCCCATCTCATCCCATCCGACACCATTCTCCACCCACCAGCGGGCCGTCCTGGTTCTATTCGTATGTCTAGCTTGCAAGGGAATAGGGTTCCAACAATTGACCAGAAAATGTTTGCTTGTCGTCGGCACGTACCGCACTCTAAAACACACATCACTACTGTACTGTATCGACCTAAGCTGCAGACATGTCATCGGACGGGCTCATACGGTCTGTCTCTACACCTACAGTACGAGCGGTCCGTACTGTCGACGCGGTGAGCCCAGTTGGATACGCACACAATCACACAATTCGCATAATACCTGGCTAGCCGAGCTTGCGCGCGGGTGATGTCCCCAGGCCGATCGCTCCCTTCATAACAATACTGTATGTAAGATTATTGCCCGGCACCGGAGAGTTGCGTCCACGTGTGATGGATCTGAGCCGAGTCAATCCATTCGACGACCTTGTACCCCCCAGTCACAGTCACACTCCATATTTCCTCCCTATTCAATAATTAGCCCAAGTTCATTTCGCGAGAGCTCTGCTTTTGGATCTGGAAGGACGGGGGGGCGTGGCCAAGAGTGCAAAAGATCCCCGCCAGGATATGCTGTGCTCCCCATCTCCATGCTCCTGGCCGTCTGGTTGGATCCTCGTGCCTCCAGCAAGCGGACGTCACTGCTGCTGCTGTTGCTCCTGTTGGTGGTGGTGGTCGTCGGCCGCCGTCTACCTGCGAGATCGAGTGACACCTCTCCACTACACACTAGTATCGTATCGTATCTAGTTGCATCTGGAGTAACTGTATGTACAGTACGAGATAGTTTACTGATCCAACCGCCCTAGTACTTCGTACATAGGTAATCACTGCAAACACCATTCCCCTCCCTGCACGGTCTATGTCTTCCCTAGCACACCCGTCGCCCACCTCCACTTCAGGAACAACCTCTCTCTCGTCGCCCATACTTACAGGATGTTTGGCGCGGCTAGGACGGGATACCATCTGGCTCCTCTTCCGCCCAATGATACGCGGCTTAGGCGTCTCTCTCCATGGGCCTCTCACCCCCACACTTTTCACCGCACCTGAGAAATGCCCTTGTGCAGCCACAAAAGTCCGTTCACATTGCTGGCGTCGAAAGCCCTGGTCCCGTCCCGATTCAAAAAAATGTCTGCGGAGGCACACAGCTGGGCGATGGTGGTGGGTTGCCCTCCGTCTCCAGGGTTGCCGGTCGACATAGGAGAGAAGCCCCGAGCGCCCCCATTCCCACTCTTGATGTTTCTCCCCCCAGTACTCACTAAAACAGTTACAAAGATACACGCTCAACACGCCGACCATTATTTGTGTGGCCTTTCCTCAATCACCCCTTGGCTGCATGGAAAGCGTCTTGCTTCTTTGTGGGCTCGATCCATTTCCTGCCTCTCGCCATTTCAGTCTCTTCCACAGCATCATCACCAACCATCCTTGCTCTCTACTTCGCGGGATGTCGTTGTGAGTCCAGTCGACTGTGTATATGTATACCCCCAAGGTCTCTCCCCCAACCACATACCGCCCTAAACAAGTCTCTCTGCAAGCTACTCCCCATATGACCAACTGTCTCCCACGCCTACATCATCCCCATCACCATCATCAATCGTCATATCATCTTCCCACCCACCTGCCTTAGATACACATACACTCCGCCCTGCCTTCGGCCCAGTCCGCGCCCGTACTGCCCGCTATCTCGCTACCCGCCCGTCCACTACCGACTGGGCATATAGCCTCGCCGCCCCACAGTCTGGCCGGCGGCTCTCGTTCTGTATATCAGCAATGGCTGTCGTTGTTGCCTCTCACCACGCTGGATTGTGGCCCCGACGAACTGACCAGCACACTATGCATATGCCTAACATGAACATGTCTGGTGTCATGCCCTCCTACGACCCTCATTCGAGGGCGGTGACGAACCCACCGACCTCGAGGCCATTCCAACCGACAAGCTCCCATATGGAAATGCAGATGCCCATGTTTCCAAGTAGCACGACCTCATACCAGTCGGGATCGGGGGCGTTCGCTTTCGATTCTGTTGGTATCAATCCGTACAACATGCAGCAGCCATTTCCCGTCAACTTTGGCCCGAATCTCAACCACAATGTACCACCATACGCTGGATCTACCGGTCATGCAGCACAGCAGTCGCAAAGGAACGCCCGGAATGCATACGCTCTCGAGAGACCAAATGCCTCCGTCAAACCGGAGCACGGCTCTCCTGTGCAGCCCCACCATTTCTATAACAACATACCGTACGGCGAGGACCGCCTGCGGTCAGGATCGGAAGCCGCCGATCCAAACAACATCAACTTTGTCACCGACGTGGACACCCTCATGAAAGCGATCCAGTCGAAGGAGACTGGGAAGTCACAGCAGCGTGACTCGAGTCCTGAGGTAGGACACTAGGAGCATTCTATCCTTCAGCCCAAAGCTAACTCAGAGAAGCAGGAAAAGCCAATCAAGCCGGGCCAGAAACCTAAGAAGAGGTATCTGTGCACCATAGAGAACTGTGGCAAGAGCTTCTACCAGAAGACCCATCTGGAGATCCATACCCGGGCCCATACTGGCGTCAAGCCCTTTGTGAGTACTTTGTCACCGGGGGTAGTTAGAAAGGGATCAAAGGCTAATGCTACAGACAGCTATGTAAAGAGCCTTCGTGCGGACAGCGGTTCTCACAGCTTGGCAACCTCAAGGTTGGTTTACGCCTTTCATTCGTATGCAAGTGCTATAACTGACCATAATAGACACACGAAAGACGACATACAGGCGAGCGACCATACAGTTGCGAGGTATGTGGGAAGACCTTTGCACAGCGTGGCAACGTCCGCGCGCACAAGATCGTCCACCAGCCTAATAAGCCGTTTACTTGCAAGCTTGACGATTGCGGTAAACAATTTACCCAACTCGGTAACCTCAAGGTAAGACACCGTCGGCTGCAGTGCAGCAGTACCATGCTAGTGGCTAACCCTTGTTTGAACAGTCGCATCAGAACAAATTCCACGCCAACACCCTTCAATACCTGACCAAGAAGTTCGGCACGATCAGCTCAGGCGAGTACGTATCCGAAGAGGAGAAGGGCCTCTGGGAATACTTCTCCACGTTGTACAAGAACTCGAACAAGGGCATCAAAGGCCGCGGCAAAGACAGACGAATACCAGTGATCAGCACACCCTCGTCGGGGCCTTCGAGCACATCATCAGGATACTCGCCTACGACGGCTACATCGATGGACCGGAACTACAACGCAGTCTACCACCACCATCATCACCATCACAACCACACCCACTCCGGCAGCGAGCGCGGAAGCCGAAGCTCGTCCATGTCCTCGGATTACGATGCCAAGCCCACGACAGCGGAGTCCTACGACTTCAATGCGCCTCTGCAGTCGGGTTTCCAAAGCCAAGGGTTCGACGACACAGCGTTCCCAGAGCGCAGGTTGTACTAGGATGACCACGCGAATTCTTCTTCTCTTTTTCCTATTCCAGCTTATGTCTCGTCATTTCAGAGGCATGTATAAACGAAGAAAACAACAACACGAGCTCCGCCTATGCATCTTGTAGGGGTGCTTCGGAGATCATTCAGGTCCCACCCAGTACCCCCGGTTTGGGGTGGAACCTCTTTTTGTATATGAACGAACCAACGAACTACCGAACGAACGACCAACCAGGTGGGGTGTATATGTTGCCCGGCATTTGGGTGTATTCGCGTGGAGATTTTCATGATTCTTTTCCTATTCTTTTCCTATTCTTTTCTTTTCTACCTTGTCATTAAATTCTCCGTTACGTTTATGTTTGGTCGATGGGGAGGGGAGGGACGGGGGAAGAGGTTGGTGGGTTGAGTGGACATGGGTAATTGCATCCGCCTCATCATCTTCATCGTCATCCCCATCATGATGTACGTTTCCTAGCGTCGGGATTGGCTTTTTGGATCGTTCTGTTTTTTAGTTGATACTACGGATATACCCATATATTTTAGCACCGTCATGGTCGGTTTCGCATGGCAAAAGCCAGCGGTTTGGAGGAAGACCGGGGACATCATTGAGATCTCAAAAAATGGATTTCCTACATTCGTCCATCTTGAAATTGCCAATCTCTACCGCTCATTGCCGTGACATTACTATGAGAAAAACAAGGCATTGCCGTCAGGCTACACTCTACTCTCATTCAATTGCAACAAACCAACATCCAACAACGGTGCCGTATCGTAGGAACACCTCCGATAGGCGTGAGCCAGCCAGGATGACCAGCAAGAGCCGTGGCTGTACCCGGGGGTGCGGGAGTCCGGACGATCGTGAATCTTTGTATTTCCCATCCCGTTCGTCCAATAAACATACGACAACACTTGCAGTCGAAGCAAAGGGTGTCCCTGGCATGCCCTGCCCTTGCCAATGTATCGTCCTCGTCCTCCATGCAATGCAATGAAGGCAAGATATCTCACACACATGTACGATACATGGCTGTGCGTACGTGCCGTACATACCGACCGGCTCACCGCCCACTCGCACAGCCAGGCAAACACACGGTGGAGGCTGAGAGGAATAACGCCTGCGGCACGCGGGAGGGGGGGAGAAGGGAAGCGCAATCTTGATTCATTCATTTGCATCTTGAACGCCCGACCGCCGAGTACTAAGTGAGTAAAAACGCAGGCCTGCAGCACTTGATCGAAGGCACCAACGAATCAATGGAAATCCAGAAAAAATAACCATATCTATACTCCTGCTCTTATGAAACTTCCTCTCCCGTTCGTATGTATACATAGTACAACACCGCACCGCATCGTAACAGTAATCATGGCCTCAAGATGAAGGCATTGAGGACGCTCGCTCGCTCGCTCGCTTGTCCTGCAGTCATGCCGGCCTGCCAGGGGGACCAACGGAAGCAATGACCATCCGTCCCCGCGAGCGAGATCTCCCTCCCCCTCGTACAGTGTAGATCATCACGTCTAGCGAGTTGCTTATCTCGGGGTTCCATCTGTCTGTATTTCCCTTTTCCTTTCCTACCGCGAAGTAAGCTTCTCCACCCAACTTCTTCGGCGATGGGATGGGGAAGTACTTTGGCATCGTGGTAGAGTGACATTGCTGTACAGATAAATCTCGGGCATAGATTGGGGGAGGGAGGGGAGGGTGCTAGTGGGGAGTATTGGGTTCGACACACCCCTGTATAGAATGAAACATCGATGCTTTGTAATTATTTTGAAGAAGAAGACGATGCGTGTCCAATTAGGAACCATTTACCTTCCGATCCGGTCGGCAATCATAATTCAGAGATGCCCGAACCGAGACGGCAGGTTTTTAGCATCCGTAAAGACTATGTTCTCACGGTGCAGAAACGAAGAATCTAAGTGGTCAATTGATTAATTGATTGTTCAGGTCGCGAGTGCGGATATCTGGCGTTGGATGACGGTCACTTTAGAGTTGGCACTGGCGCAATCGCTTCATGCTTTCTTTTTCCTCCTTTTCCACGCGGGACGACGGAAGGGAGAAAGGGAAGAATCGAAGGGGAGGGAGACTGAAGTCCAGCCAGCCGTGCCGGGCGTAATCTTTGTTGTGGATGTGATTGCTGGGTGAACGTGCCGATTAGGGCCGAATACAGCTGCGCATTCTGTCCGCCTGGCCAGTCAGTCCACAGGCCGAGTGCGTATTCGTACGAATGTATGTGCAGCAATCACGGTACAAGAGACCGAGACGTCTACGCCAATCAATCTGCCTTGTGCACTGCTACTGCTGATGCGATGTGCCGTTGGTACGAGGACGTTGCATCGTGTTGTGTTGTGTTGGTTTCACGGTACCCTACAGCCCTACCGGAGGATTTATTTTATTGTTTGCTAGGAACGGATACGAGGGATTGTGTTGGTGGTGATGCACATAGCTGAGAGATCAGACGTTGGTTTCGAAGATCAACGGACGTGCAGGAAAATACATGGAGAGAATACAACAACCATGGTTGTTTTCCTGGGGTGGACGAAATCGTTGACCGTATGGATGATCGCCAGAGGTTCGAGCATCGTACATCCAAAAGAGGACGAGGTGCGTTATTGCAATTCGATTCGAAGCATACCGAAGCGAACACGCAATGCAGAGGCAGATATGCACAATATACCCACCCAGCCAGTGAAGTCTTTCTGCCATCCTCCTGACGCCCCCATTTTCTCATCCCACACTCTTCACCCAGAGGGCCCCCAACCAACAACGTCCTTGGAAGCGCGGGTCCCCCCCAATCCGGCAACATACGGTCACCGTGCGAGGGCTTTGCAACCCACGCGGACAACAACAAGAGGCATAGACAGGTGGAGTGGAAATGTCACTCTAGGCTGCTTGGGGAAATACTAGCCCTCACCAATGCCATTCACGACATTTCCGGACTGGGAGCATCGTCGTCTCTGTCTCTTTCCAGACATCCATCCCACCCTCTTATGGTAATGATTGTAGCTACAGCACAAAGTTAGTTAAGATTTCGTACCGGTGTGTTCGGCAGGCGAGGTAAAAATTTAATACTAATATCTCTTTCACCGCTTGCGCGCGTGCTTGAACCTCCCCTTGGAGGAACTACTCTACCTGCATCTTCTTTGTCCGGTCTTATGTATGCATGTCTTTACATATACGTACATACGTATGCACGAGTGAAAATAAAGGAGATCTCACGCGATCTTAGATAGAGAAACGCATTTATGATCTGCGCTGCGCTGCGTTTGTCCGCTATCATTCGACACGCTCTTATCTCGGCTTGTCAACTCCGCAAGCCCTGATCTGATCTGATCTGATGGAAGAGAGCCACAAATGCATAAATCTGATGTTCTCCTTGGCTTGAGACTGGAAAGGGAAATAACAGAGGGCTGATGCAGTCATGATCTCCTGCGATCGATATGCGCCGGTCCCGTCCTCACTCCCGTCAAGGCATGCTGATACCCCGAGTTCTATCGGACGGCCGGCCGCCTGAGGAGGACAAGTGCTTTGTTGCGCGTATGTCCGTTGCGATTCGAAGTACACGTGGGCTGTGCGAGTAAATACCGATGGGGACTCTTGTTTCCTTTGCGATTTAGTGTCGAGTTAGTTCGAGTCGTGTGTACGTGAACATCATAGCAACCCCGACGTACGCACTAATTGTTCATATGATGCAATCTCCATTCCGGGATTCAATCTATGGGTCTCCGTAACGGTGTGCACGAGGGAGCCTCTTCTAAACCTACGTAAGTGTCAAGTTTTCGGAGAGTAAAATTTTGTACTTGGAGATTCTGTGCATAAGTCGATCTAGCCTGAGAGATATAGAGGGTCTTTATTTGCTTGTTTGATGGTTCATCTGTAAGATTTGCGACCGAAACTGAGGGATCTGCATGCATTGTTGCTTACCTTACCTACCTTATGTTTTACTCGATTAGGATCTCACTTCGCTACTGTATCAAACAGACATGGACTTGTAGCAGCCTTGAGAGAGAGCCACATCTAGAGTCGAGGCAGGGGGTCGCCATGTGTACTTGTGTATTAAAGAAGCAAGACAGTGTACGGGGTATGGCAGCTTTAGAGCGTAAATGCGACGGACCGCGTCTTGTACAGCATTCCTGTGATTTGTATGGCTTTGCCTTTCTGGTGTAATGATGTATACTCCGTACAGGAAGAGGAATAATGACTGCGTCTACACAGAACTATGTGTTCGACCACTCTGAGATATTCCTGTTTTAGGTATCCCGTGCCTGTTCAAGGATGCATGCACTCGACATTGCGTACTGTTGAGAACGATTCCAGTATAGTTCATCATGGTATCAACCCACGCATGACCATATACAACTACGAGATGTATCACCGTCGCACGCGATAGACATTTATCTGCCTCACTGTTTCTATCTATCTATCTCTTTATCGGCCGGCCCTTATCCACTGCCCATCCTATCCATTAGAGAAGTATTCGACATCGGTCCCGAGTCGACGCCCACCCCGTTCAGCATTCACTATTATTGCGAGGGAACGGCGCATGTTCAGTACAGGACTCGGTACACCACCCACGCCCCAACTAATGCCAATGCCAGAAGCCACGGAAAACACAAGGGACAGCCGCCATCCCACTCGGCGCATGACAAGACAAGAAGGTCGTGCTGATCACTGCACGCCGCGCTATGCGTGTTTAGCGATAGTGTGGTCGGGGATGTCAATGTACACTGTATACTTGCAAGTTTGAAGAGATATCGCACCCACGGGGAACAGGCTAGCAAGTCATTCACTACAGTAGTCTCGTTACTTTCGTCAAGATAGCCCTCGTCCATCACTGTCGAGGTATGAGCTGTAACTGTAACTGTTGATGGCTGTTCGCCGATTAGCACTGCTTACGGGCTTCCATCCCCCTCTTCGCCTCTCGTTCCTCGTTTACCGGCCCTTCACGAACCCGCCCGTGTCCCCCCTAACCCTTTCCCCATACACCCCCATTCCCCATCTGTGTTCCCCATCCAGCTCATCGCCAGGCCAAGCGCAACGCCTCCTTCCCACCATTCTCCCGCATCTGAAACTTACCGCTGTGCTGGGCCTCGCCTCATTTACACTCTCCTGCTGCTGGCTTGCCTTACCGCTTACCCAGGACAATCGTTGCTGCATAAATCCGAACTACTCTGGTGACCGCCGCGTCCTCTGATTTGTTCTTTGATCTTTCATAAATACACACCGAGAACGGCACGGCTTCTCCAAGCTTTTGATCTTACTGCCGTAACCCCATGAACCCGTTGCCGTGTGTCTGGTAAGTTTTTGCTCCTCGGCCCGGGGGGCTGGCACCATCAGTTGCACTCGATCGCTTATGCAGACATTGGCCAATTCGGCTCAGCCAAGCAAGCCCCCAATAGGCAGTGTAAAACCACTTAGTCAGTCGAAGGAATTGACTATTCATACTCATCTGGATGACACTTATCTGGAAGATGATGTCAGTATAATCGTTCGGGTTAAGATATCCTGGCGATGAGATGTCGACGCAAACTGTCGATAGTCAAACGCCATCGTCCTCCTACCTGCAACAAACAGAAACAGGATGCAGTTCTCTGAACCCGAGTTGCCGGGGCTGAACTCAGCTCGATCTCACGATTCAAACCGAGGAGTCATGGGCATTCCCACATTCGTACCAATCTCATCGCCGACTTGCCCCTCGCCATCGTGAGGTCCCAATTGCCTGCATCCGAAGACTCGGGAGCGTGGGTCCCGAGTACCAGTAACCACACACACCTCTACCCCAAACTGTGTTCGCACAACATCGTAACGAGAAACTCCACATCAGCCATGTCTCCAAACAGCCAAAGAAAAAGAATCAAAACGAATACATGCACGCTCCGCTCTGTACTCTCACTCGTATCTCCACTTCCACAACACCCCCCTTCCCTGGCCCTCCTCATCCCTAAACTTACCAGTACCATGTAACCACCCACACCGACAAACGCATACACAGTGGCACACACGCTCGCACAGCCCAAACTCACAAGGTGAAAGCAGCTCTGTGCATCGTACACCGAGACACACAGCATGCACGCCCTTACTCAATCAATCGATCATTCATTCCATCCATCGGCCTTCCCTGTCCACCCCGCTCCCGAAATGAAACCTCACCAAGGATATCCATTCATGTCGTACTGAACGCCATTCTCCCATGCACATATACATGTCTGTACGACCTTGACAACGAATCTGTGCTGTACACGGCGCTTCTAGATCAGTTTGATTCCGTGGTACTGGGAATGGGCTGACGGCTCCATGAGAAAGAAGGAACCTCAAGCAAGTTCTGTCAAAAAAAGTGATTCAGCTCATTCCTTCCCTTGGGACGCTACATCCACCCCGGGATTCTAGTTTCCCTTGAGGTTAGTGTTACGGTACCGGAACCTATGAGGACAGAGAAGGCGTCAAGTACTTGGGACGGAAGTCGGAGATCGTGGCCAGAGGGCTCGATGACACCCAAGGATAAGTCACGTGACACACCATCACGTGAAGGTGATCAAGACTGATCAAGGTGATCAAGGTCTTGGCACAGGCCAAGAAGTTGAGCAGCTTGAGCAGCTTGATCATGATCAAGGTGATCAAGCCTTGGCGAAGTCGAGAAAAAGCCAAGATCTTGAGCAGCTTGATCAAAGGACTAGGAAGGACGGATATATAAGATTGCCAGATTTCATATGTAGGAGTTCTTCGTAGTCAATAACAAATTGTATTTGATCCTTTGGAATTACCTTAGCCAATACAAACGTAGCTTATCCCTTGGGATAGGTTAGAGTTATTACCCGTCTTGATACTTCGCTTTATATCTACTGAACTCTACGATCACCCGATTTACCTTGTGTAGTAAGTCGCCCCTCGTTACATATGACCTCTGCAGCCAATTCTTCATGTTAGCAATGACATAGAGGCTTTCCTTCATGAGAATCTGCAAGGCAGCCTCATACTCTTGTAGTTGCTCCTGGCAGACTATTGCCAATGCCTTGAAGTTTAAATCATTACATAGGTCTCTCATGTCTTCGATGTTCCATTCGCGAGTGACCTGAGGCACTCTGCCAGTATTTGGCTGTTGTTGCGCTGATGATGTATTGTACGGCACGTTCTCTTGAGGTCTCTCGATTGCAATAGTGCTATTGGCTGAAGACGACGATAGAAACCGAGCTTTCGACTTTTGCACGTAGTCAATTTCTTCTAGCAGCGGGCTTTGAGACTCTGTAAATACATGAGTATTTCCACAGAAACTCTCGGATACAAAGAGTAGACGACTAGGAGAAGAGCTTACCTGACGCTAGCTCGTTATCAATGCCTTCATAGCTACCCCGATCCGTCTCTAAGGAGTTACTCTTCTATTTGATAGTTTCGGCTTTGTTTGGGTTTTTAGCTGCTTCTGTACCTAACCTATCTCTAGATAGATCCTAGGAGGGTATCCTGTAGGATGATTAAAATAGATTGTGACACTAACTATTAACATAAAGCTAAGGACCTGATAATTATATTAGCTATTACATATAGCAAATAACTAAATAAGGCATCTAACTTACATGTTGTACATCAGCTGTACAGGACTGTATATCCGGGTCGACGATACTTGTACTTAGGAAGATCCATGGACATGAACTATTAACACTGTGTTCTATCTGTTAACATCTACCAATGGACTTTTTAGTTACATCTAGGTTCCTCATAGCCAGCCTGGGTAAGATTAAATCATCATATCATTAAACAGGACTTTGTACCCCTAGAATTAAATTAGGGACAAATTTACATCAAAATATAAATGTAATAAAACAGATCAAACGTTTATTGATCATTCAGCGAAAGCGCAATCGCTCGAGCTACCTCATCCTGATCAAAGCCAGATTCCTGTCTTCTCATATTGGCCATGACTTCCTCACGCCTGCTGAGCTCCATCGCCATTGCAATTTCGTTTTCAGTCTCGGATCCTGTTATCTGTGGAATAGCAGAATTATCGCCCACCTGTCCATTAAGTTGATGCACTAGTGCCTCATGCTGCTCGTGCAAAGATCCACTCAAACCGGCATCAAGCTCGTACACCCCTTCTAAAGGTGCAGACAGAGTCCCGGCATTACTTTCAGGCAGAGGGAACATTGTTTCAGGAGGCCTTCGTGATGCCTCTCTGCGGCGTCGTTCCCAGTCTGTTACGTCATCTGGGGTCTCCGGGTATATACCGAGGCTACTATGATTCCTCTCGGATTCCGGAATGTTGCGCAGAGTCAATATTTCACTATCGCTAGCTGGGCGCTGCTGTTGTTGAGCGGCCTGGTGCCGTCTCACGCGAAGGCTTTGGCGCTTGGTGGCCATCTTTGATCTCTCGAGATTCGGTGAGCTGGGTGTGGCTGTCGGGCAGTCAGTATCGTGGTGTTGAAATTAAATATATTTACTAAACTTACGTTGTCGTCTCAGTGATTCTTCGTCGGTGACACTTCGTGGGAATCCACTGATTGAGTAGCCGGAGCTTGCTTCCCGCTCGTTCACCAAATACATATTCATTGACAGGATGGCCGTCTCTGTGGTCATGGGTATTGCGATGGACTCCATGCGAAAGATGCTTCGCTCTATCATGTCACGTATTATTTCAGCCGTGATGCACACTGTCTGTGCACTTTCAAGAAGCGCAACTTCATGGATGCGGAAGAAGGGCTGAAAATTTGCCTTCTGGTGCTTGCGAAGATAGATCCCCAGGTTGCGGATATTCTCGGAGCCAACTGCGAATCTGCAGCGTATGCTTCCTATCTTGATTTAGTATTGTATACAGACGGGAGAAAATCAACTCACCTTGTATGACGATATCTCCATCGCCTACCATTCGGGGTAGGCCCGACTTTTCAAAGTAGAAGGAACTTGCAACGAGTCGGTGGGCAATAGCTTTGATCTTTAAACCTAAGCTGGTTGTTGGTCCTAATTTTTTCTGAATTTCAAATTGCAAAGTCTGTAATTGGGCCTTATCGTCCATCTTAGGAGTGCGGTTGGACGTTCTTGGATTCATCCGTATGTATCGGCTGGCTGCAATGGGTGAAGATGCTGTGATCTCTTGACGGAACTCTTTCCAGGTGTTCTCTGCATCGAGCACGCTTTCAACACGCTTTGTGAGAATTGTAAGCCACGATTCAATCTCTGCGAAGCCGCTCAAAGCCGCCATTGAACGTTTTTTTTTGACTGTTGGGCTTGCTTCATACAACTTTCTGCGCATCTGCATACGCCTGTTGTCACCTCTGTCAACGTTGAGAAAGGTTTCTGGCTCATCAATTCCATGCCGGCCCGTTCCAAGCGAGAGCAAAATGTCCGGGTGGCACCTCTCGGCATCTGGCCATAGAAGTTTGCTTTCGTAATTTGCTATCCGCACAGGGTTATTGTGGAAGACCGCGCCGTCCAAGAAACCTTCTTTTGTCCGCTCATTCCGGAAGGGCTTAAAAAACGTTGGAGCAGCCGATGTCGCCCGTGCCCTGAAAAGAAGTCAGTATATTGCTCAACCTGGCGGCAACCATTGGAGGCACTGACGCTTCTCGAATCATCACATCATCTTCAGGATGATGGGGCCGTTTCAATCGATAGTGAACTGTAAGTATCTGTGAGTAAACCAGTCCGAGATTCGATATCAAGACATTCTTACTCTCTTCATCGTCTACACGATTATAATTCGTGAATATCACAGCTTGTTCGCCTGTTTCCGTTGCAGAGGTCACCGCAACCTTACGCCCGCTGCGAGGTGTATGGAGTTCTCCACCGAATAAGGCCTCATTGCCAAAGCATTCTTTCAGTGCGTCATCCAGTGGCTGCGTGCGATACTTTGTCTTGCCCAAAGTCACACCACCGAAGATCTTTCGTGTGAAGGCTTTGTCTATAAGTCGGGTGAACATGTTCATGCAATCTTCAACACGCCAATTCTTGACACCAAGCCCAAGAGCCAATATACCACCAGTACTATCAATGAATCAGTTCATGGCGTCGATTCAAGAGATGCCTAGTTTGAGCACGTACCTGGTCCCTACAATCAGGTCGAAAAAATCTTGTATCGGAATGCCATCACCGAGTTCTGCTTGGATATGTCGTAACACTTCCAGGATCACGATGCCCCTCATTCCACCCCTGAAAGAGTTAGTTATAGATCTAAGATTAAGCATTGCACTGCTTACCCATCCAAAGATAAGATACGCACGCCAGCTAATGGTGGCTTGAAGTATATCTCGGAAGGACTCCTGAACTGGTCGTGCTGATGGAGTGGACAAGCGGGAAATGTGTATAATCCCTGCAGGTCATTGCTTTGCTCGCCATAATCTTTGATGCAAGTAGTGCAAAGAACGTGACCGCATGCAAGCGGATGCTCAGCCAGATTCCGTAGACAGCAGAAGCATGAGGAATGACTGGTGTAGCGAATTGCTCCACCAGCGTCGTGGAAAAATCGATTGACGTTGGCAAGATGCAGATCAGTGACGGTAGCCAACTCGTCTGTGACAGGAGAAGTGACCATCTTCCCAGCTAGCTCAGACTGAAAACCGGTTGTGTATTTTCGCAGGTGATGAGACCATGATTCAGCAAAGTTGTCAAAGGTGAAACCAGACACATAAGCTCCACTTCCGATAATGGTTCCGCGCTGATTTTGGTGCCCCTTAGTATGGCGTTCTCTAACGTTGACACATCGTCCACCATGTCGATTCTGAAACGTGCAGGGCCAGTAAACAGCGCAGAAGTCGTCTAAGGCATTATCACAGTATTCAAGATACTGTTTTTCCAGAATTTGCTCCGGTGTTCCTGTAAATCGAGCCATATTAAGTATAGACACTCTGATTTAGCTGGGCTTGACACATACCTCGGAAACCTTGGCGAACGCAGTCAAGAAGAATGCAGGAAGATACCATGTAACTCAACTCTTCGAAGATTCTTCTGGGATTATCGACATACCGTGACTTTAGGGCCACAGCCAGCTTCAGTATGTTGCCTCCAAAATCGAGGGGGATTGGATTGATTTTGAAGGAAACATCCATGAAATCAAAAGGTTTGTGCAGATCGCTGGCGAAGTGATCATATGCACATTGTAAGTATACGTTGAGTGTCTCTGAATTTGACAGCATGCGAGACTTCCGCTTCGCATTGAATGATTCTGCGCATGTCTTATTGATGATTTCGCGAAGTTTGCTGATCTGGTCGTCAATCATCATGTAACGACCTTCGCCCGGGACTCTGACGACAGTTATCGATGAGTAGAAGCACTCAAGAAGGTGTTTCATGGTCTTGATCTTTTTGCCCCTGGCTCTCCATTCTTCTGCAAGTTGCCGGAATTTCGAGTCACGGTGGATAGCACCAGATATCGTGGACATGAGTGAGTGTGTCGCATGTTCAGAATTCCACTCCTGTGGGTCCACCTTGGTGTCCGTAGCGTTCAGGGCGATGATAGCGTGCGGGAGGGCTGGTTGATTCACGGACTTCTCTAGTGATGTCGACGCCCAGTTTATGAGCATCGAAAGCACTGTAGACTCAAAGGTTCTTAAGGAACAGGTTAGCAGTGTTCGTGTCACATTCAAGATGCAAAAACGGAAAGATTCCTTACTTTGGATTCCTCAGTACAAACACAATCGCATCCGAGAAGGTGTACAACAGTCGAGGATACAGCTCTGTGACTGCATACTGTCTTTTGGACGTGCTTTCTGAATTGGCCCATGTAATGTCTCGCTGGGTAGAGTAAAGCGGGTTGGACTTTTTCCGACGTTTGACATTGTCCTTGGGCATGTGATGGTAACCGGCCTTTCCGCGAAGGTCATTTCCAGCGCGTTCTCGGTACTTTGCGGCCATTGGAGTGTTCTCGCCTCCTTCGAGGCCTTCACAGTCTGCATACAGCATAGGATGCTCACCAGCATACGTTGACGGGTCGCTGTACAAGTGAACATCTCCAGATGTTGGTACACTGCCGTTGGATAATGCGCCCGCGACAGGAGAAGGAAACGTCCAGTTGCGTGTTCCATCTCTCCTCTCTTGCTGGTCAATGAGCATTTTGATGAGAGTACTCTTGCCAGCACCTGTCTGACCAATGAACGAGACGAGCTGCGGGTAACGATGCTTGAATTCCCCAGTGTTACTGTCTGCCATGATAGTGGAATAGCGCCCGTAGTCCTTAAGCATGGGTCGATTTTGCTGGTCGCGTGATAGCCCAAACCACGTTGTGTCTTCATCTTCCACGTGAAGTGTTTGTTGCTCATTATGATCTTGTGGTGGAGTCAAGATCTCTTTATACCGCCTAACAATAGACGGATTTGCCTTTTCATGGGGCAAACCATCAGGCCCTTTCCTGCCTGGTCTATGCTGAGCTTGTCGGTCCCAGCAATCATTACAAAAGTCCATGCCACAGTAGGAGCAGTTCCAGATAGGCTGTGTATTGTTCCCACAATCTTCGCAGACTTTTTTCCCTTCTTCTGGTGGCGCTGCTTCACGGACTTGGGATTGCGAAGGCCGGCCAGTGGTCGGAGCCGGATTCGTGACAGCATTGCGAGGAGGGTTTCCATGGCGATAACGATCTGGTACGGATGATCTGCTGATTGGTATCTCTGTAGAGTAGGACGGAGGCCGCGTAGAAGGGGACTTTCCTATGAATGGCAGGTCAGACGTTCGTCTATATGGATTCGACATTATGGACAATTGGATTATGCTTCGTGGACACAAGCAACAAGACGATGCCCCAGGCGTTCAGGCAATGTTTTCTCCCCAACCTGCGTGTACTAGCTGGGGTTTTATAACCATATGGGCTTGAGGCTATGTTTCAGATATGTATTGCCAAGTATCGGCGTGCGCATATTTTTAGGGGGCGGTTAGCATGTTAACGAAAGGCTGAGTCTCAGCCTGATCCATGGTGTTCCTGTTATGGGCCAACAAGCCATCGAAGAAGATCTCTGTTCAATCTAGAGAAATGAGATCGACGATCTGGGGTATACGATTGGTTCTTGCTTCAACCTGAAAGCCTCCCTGTGTTATATAGACCTTTCTGAGCGCAAGCAGAAACATGGATGAGCGAGCCATAAGCCATCATGAACCTCAGCTGGATCGACTAGCCGCCAGCATGCAGCAAGGACGAGGACTAAACAATCACATTGGTTGCTCTGGGTTCTTGCATATGTTGGGACGTCCCTGAGAATTACCTCCTGTTCAATCTACTTGCCGGATGAGGCAGCTGGTTTCCATGAAGTGTAGCATAGCGTGGGGGCTCGTGACACAAGTAAGAACAGTGAATGTAAAAGGATCACGTAAGGCAGGCCTGCACCTAATTAGTTATTCTTAGTGTAGATAGGCTTCTATACTTACTTAACTCACCTTCTCAAGGGAATCAGACAGCGTACTTATAAGTGCAGACCAAGGTCCTCAGACCTAGTAATAGGTTGCCTTAGATTATATGTCTCTGTTGTGTGACGATGCTGGTTGTAAGCATATATCCCAAGAATATGTTCAATGTCTGCAATGATAACTTAAACCATATCCTCTCGCGATGGCGAAGTTTATGACAAACCTAGCTTTAGCTAAGAAAAGAATTGTCGTGTGGATCCCGACGCTGTCCTCTCTCTATGAAAGCCAACTTGTGCTTATAGCAGTGAACAAAATTATCAGGCGTATCATAGGTCATAGAATCAAGTACAGCTTGTCACCGTCTCTCACCTATGAGAGCAATATCCAAACAGCGGCTACAGTTCCATTCTTCTCTGATCTTCCAATATTCTGATGTTTGTATCTATCCTTGGGAAAGCAGAAAATTGGACATAGCACAATTGACTTTTACCAGATCACACGCCTATCAATGTTCAGAAGTATCAATGGTAAATCGAGGCAGGCTCTTTCTCATTGCAGAAACCCACATGATGATTGAACTGTCAGGTAACCATCACTTATAGGTTTGAATCATGTGCATGCTAATTTACAAAGACATCTACATAATGTCGCTCTTCCAGTCAACGGGGCCCACAAAAACCTGGACATTTCACCTGCGCCTATGCCAATGCAAGAACGGGGAAAATCTGAAATGACATAATATGACATGGTGACCAGTGCTGGGTATCTAAACATCAAGGAAACAGTGTAATGGGTAACTCGAAATCAAGAAAAAGGCTTCCCAAGGGCCTAGGGGTATCATTGATGAAAATTTACAATATAAAAACACAGAAGTGGGAAGTTCAGGCCGTGGATGCTGTTGTAGATGGTAGTGAGGTTGAAAGGGAGGCAATTGCTTCAGTCTGAGGGCTCGATGCGCCCGACTAGCAGAAGGCACAAGGTGAAAGGGGTATTTGTTGTGGGGTGAGGAATGTGTGCAAGGGGTGCAAGATGTCGCAATCATTTGAGTTCTTGGGCTCTTGGTCGATCCAACATCTACCGTAGGTGTAATGACCCGCAGGAAGAATGTGGATTTGTCATGACTTGTCGAAGCGGAGGCCGAAGCCTGCAGGCAGGACGTCCAGAAAGGAAGATGCTGGCTTGTACAAACGAAAAGATGTAGTTATTGTGATGATGAGAGATGTGTAGCTCGCTCGGGATTGGGACTGTTCCCAATCGATCCTGCCCGATTATGTTTTCCCAACTCCAAGTAATGCCAGATGCTGATCCACCTGAAAGAAGATAAACGCCGTACCAAGTTGCTTGGATGGAAGTAGGTATGTAGTACAGAATAGTGTTCAAGTTGTGATTTCTTTCTTTCGAATTCGAGCCTGGAAGTCCGCGATCCCCAAATTCCTGCTCTTTCAAATTTTCCCTCCTCCGCCAAAAGTCCTCATGATGAATACATAGAATGGAAGTTGAAAAGTCTGTTATCATGCGATGTCGTCGTTCATCGCCGCTGCCGCTTTGGATCACCGTTCAGTGCCTCCTCGCCTCGCTCCCTCTTCCGTCCACCACGGTTATCTCGTCTCTCGTCACGTTGGTCATCCCGTCGTCGATCCCCTCGGTCTTCCCTCCTTTCACCGCCTCTGCCTCCTCGAGATGGGTCACCGCGACCTTCGTTCTGGTGGAGCATAGGGTCCGGTCCGACAGGCGGTCCTCCCCGTCTCATACCCATCTCTTCATTTCTACCCGAAGGCCGTCCATCATCCTTGCGCTCACGTCGCTCTCTGCCATCGCGCTCTTTATCACGCCGACTACTTCCGCCATCTCCAGCTCGTCTATCGCGTCCCGAGCCCCGCTCTCGTTCGTTAGGGCGTTCCTGTTCATCACCACGTGGGGTTCGTTCTTCGGGACCATTACGCGGTGCCCGCTCTTCTCGCGGCGGCCTATCACCTCGTTCCTGAGATCGACTCCTTCCTCTCCGCCTACCATCCCTATGGCCACGTTGTTCTTGTCTGCCATCATCAAAACGGCCATCGTTACGATTGGAGCTATGATCAGACTTATCGCCCCTAGGCTGCTGGTAGTCAGTTCGAGGGGCGTTAGGTGTACCTGAATGCTGAGGAGGCCCGGCGGGAGGAGCAGCGGCAGGGGGCATATTCCTGCTACCGCGACCACGAACTTGAGGCGCTGAGGATACAGGACTCCTCTCTTCTGGCGTAGAAACGTTTTGGCTCAGCACGCTCGTAATGGCTCGCAATTGGTTCCCGTCTCGATTCCTTCCGTTGCGTTCCGTTGAAGATGCTGGACCAGTTGGAACTGCACGTGATGTTGATGGCGATGGGCCTTGTTGTGTTCTGGTTGAGCCACCGCGAGGTCCGCTGGGAACAGAGGGAGAGTCTGTTTGAATTGGGGACGGTCGACCGGCGTTGAAGTTTGAAAGTCTACTTGGGTGGATACCGGGTGCAGTGCCCTGAGGAGTAGTTGGCGTCGCCGCCTGCTGAGCAGGAGCAGGTCGTGGTTGCTCGGGCTCTCTACGAGGGGTATCACGTCGATCTGATTGCGGGTCTGTTGAAACATTAGCAAAACGTTTGTTACGACGTGGCCGAGAGTGCATACTTCGTGGGCCAGAAGGAATGGCTTCAGCGGGAGCATTCAATCTGCCGTAATTAGGATCTTGGGCTGGATGAGCGGCTGCTCGATGTCCATGAGGTGCGAGGAAGGCGTCGCGAGCTGTTCGAGAAGGAGCATCGCCACGAGGCCCGCGTGGACCTGTAGGCGCCGCACCAGCCTGCTCGTCACGACGATCCCGCCCTGGAGGTGGTCCGGGATGTGGAGGAGTTCTGCCATGCACTGCACTTTCATTACCTCTCGAGTCACGAGGATCGCGAATCTCACGAGTTCCTTCATGTCGAGGTGGGTAAGAGGGCGGAACCCTTTCATCACGCCTAGGAGACGGGTGTCGAGGGTCTCGCTCACGACGAGGTTCCCTCTCTCGGTCTGACCTATAGCCCTCGTTGCGAGGTCGTTCGTCACCCATGAGGGCAGCCCGTTCTGGATTGATCATGCCTCGTTCAGCAGGACCAGATGGTGTGAGAGTTTGTGTATTCGATGGCCTATCGCCTGACGGACGTGGTGGAAGGGGGGCACCACGATCGCTGTTCTGATGACTGTGTCGGTATGATCCACTATTGTCAGGGGTTGACGGGGTTGGGTGCATGCGGCCGCGACCATCCATTGGAGTAGGGGGCAGCGGGACGCGATCTCTAGGGTCTCTTGGGTGTCGAGGCTCTCTCGAGTCTCTGTTGTCGTATTGCGGAGGACCCCGGATGTCGCGAGGCGGAGGACGCATTGCTCGCTCGTCCGGATAGTCTCGAAGCTCTCGCTGATCCCGGGGATCTCGTTCACGAGAACCCCAGCCAGAGCCTCGTTCAGGTGTCCGGCCACGTGGGCCGCGACCAGGTGACGCCTCACGACGTTCAGCGAACGACTCGCGCTGCATGGGATCCCTTTGTCGATCGTGTCGTACATACTCCGGCGTGGCATTGCTGCGAGGATCGCTTCTATTATGCCCGCTGAACTCAGGAGGTGGGCGTTCGCCACCTCGGTCCGTTTGCCGAGGACCTCTGGCTGGTAGATGTGCATCTGGCCGGGCAGGTAGGGCGTGAGTAGCCCGGCTTGGGTGTATAGTATGAGCACCTCTACTGTCCGACCGACTGACCGGAGGAATAGGCGGAATAGACGATGGCTGGGGCTCAGCATCCTGGGTGTTATCGTTACGCTCGCTTTGCGAGGCCTCGCCAGGCTCCTGGGTCTCTTCTGGCACGGGGATTTGTTTCTTGTCCGCATCGCTGCTTTCAGCCTCTCCACCATTTGCCCCCGATGCACCGTTTCTGAAGACTTGTGAGAAAGAGTTGATTGACGGAGAGTGATGTGACTTACGTAGTTGGCTTCTCGGGCTCAAATTCCGGAGCAGCTGCATCGAGTTTCGAGTTTGTAGGCTCGGGTGCCTGGGGAGTTTTTGGTTGTTCAGATCCGGTTCGACTGGCAGTGCTGGCGTTCGAGGCGTTGGGTGCATTTCGGGTCTTGGTGTTGTCAGACTTGTGGGATGCCGCTGGTGTAGTGGTTGGACTTACGTGGTGGAAAATGGCCTGGCTCATCCAGAACTTTTCGTTCTTCTTGAAGTCGCCGAGGAGGGACATGGCCGTAAGCTTGAGGTCTTCTCTCGAGTCGTTCTGTGACAAATGCTGGATCGTCTGCTGGAGGCCCTTGCCCATCGTCTCCACTTTAGGGAAATTGGGGGCAATAGCCTTGAGGATGTTGACGGCATTTCGAATGTGCATGTACTCGTCGCTCTTGAGGCAGGTTTCGAGAGCCCTGAAGAGTTGAGTGTGCCACTTGTATAGGACGCGGCGATAATCCTCGAAATCTAGGAAGGAAGAAGGCGTACGATCAGCGTTGAATGTTCGACCGAAGCCAGGAAGTGACTTCTTCTGGCCTTGGGCAAATTTGGTGTAGTTTGCCTGCTTTGCATGCCAGAAATTTAGCTCCTTGAGAATGTCGTTCAGGAAACGGCCGAGATTTTGTGCCTCGCGGCCTGTGCACATGAAGAAAACGTTTGTGAGCAGCTTCTGCCTGAAGAGTTGATCGAGGAGCTTCATGGTCCGGAAGCCCGGCACACCGAGCTCATGCATGAATTTGAGCATCGCAGATGCATACTGTGCATCTTGTGGAGACAACATCACGCGGGCCAAGAAGCAATCTTGCAAAATGGTGTCATGAAGTTCCTCGGAGCGAGCGTCAACCATGGGAATACCATCGAACCATTGATGCATTTCCTCCTTTAAGTGCTCCCGGATCTTGAGAGCGGATTCTAGGACATCTTTGGGTTCTGCTCTGAGCGACGCACTTAGCTCATGGAAGGCTTGAGAATTTGCGTTTCGCTTGTTGGAGCCTGCTGAACTCATATCACGTCGGTCATTGCGCACACGCATTGCTTTGTCCGAGTAAAACTTCCAGGCGGTTGTGTATTCCTTGAGTTCCTTCATGGACGTAGTGGTGAAGACATCTGCGAGCGAGAGTTGCCAAAATGTAACGAAGAAGTTGAGACAGATGTGACTGCCGTATGTGTCTGGCATGCGTTCTTTGAGTTGGGTTGCGATGGCGTCAATTGCTGGGTTTGTCCGCCCGGGCAAAGGTGCAGGAGTTGGTTTCTCCTCGTTTGATGACTCCTTCATCTCCACGTCTTCTTTGACTTCCGTTCCGTCCTCAGTTTCCATAGGCTCCGATTTAGTGGTAGACTCGGCTTGAGTACCGCTCGTTGAAGGTGCCTCGTCAACTCCAGCCATTGGAACGTCGCCATTCGTTTGTGGTGTTTCGGACTTAGACGAGTCTTCGGTTTTTGAAGCCGTGAGCGCCTGTTGAGACTTCGCAATTTTGGACTTGATCTCTGCTCGGGCAGCGTTCGACGACCTGGCCAGGCTCTCTCGAGTGATTGCAAAAGCGATTGGTGGAGCAACTCCGTACAAGGCCATCAGCTCCACCAGTCCTGGGATGGTAGCATTGAATTCTTCGACCGATAGATTGGTGCGAAGGAAATCGAGATACTGGTCGAAATTCAGACGTAAATTGTCGAGATTGATACCCAAAACTTTTAGTGGAGTGTCCTCGAACTCCTCGTGGTATACGTATTGCTCTAACTCGAGAGCCATGGTAATGAGGATCTGAGGGGAAAGCCCAGCATTATTCAAAAATGATAAAAGTCGTTTTGAGCCAATAATGCTGTCGTGTCGTTTGTCGCCAAGGTAGTGTTCGAGGGTGAAGGCGCGCAAAAGAGGTCCTGCGGACAGGCCATGAACCTGGGATTCACTAAGCGATGGGTTGGGTGCAATACCGCCCATTGAGCTGACTAGTTGGTCGAGAATCTGCAGGCCAAAGAACTTCCCACGAAGCATTTGGTCGGCGATGAATTGCAAAAGAGGTGTAGCATCCATCTTTGCGTATTGTTTATACGCCTTGCCCATGAAAGTCGCGGTGTGTCTGAGCCATGACTTTGTCAACATTCCATCGCCTTCCATGGTTGCACGGGTATTCTTGAATGCATTGATGAAAGTCCAATTGAGGCAGTCATAGCCAAGAGGTGTGAGATATCGACAACATTCCACCAGAGGCTGAATCATGTTTGAGTAGGATTCAGCTGCTCTCAAGGCCAACTCGAAAACGATGCCAGGGGAAGAGCAAGCCGACGTTGCGAGGGCTCGACCCATCTCGCGTGTGTTTTCGCTACTGATACGTCGGAACAGCTGTTGGACAGTGTGGGTGACTTCTGCAAATTTTGGGCGCAACTTCGATTTGCCTGGGCCGGCGAACCAGTTTTGATAGATGCTATATCTGGTTGCGGTATCGAATTGAGAGAAGAGAGCCCAGACTTCATTGACGACTCCGGGGTTCTCTCCCGAGTAAGACAAAGCAGGTCCGAGGAATGTTGCCGAAAAGGTGATCCATCGTTTGGTGTTCTGCTTGGAGGAATCTCCGGCAAGGTTTTTCCTTGCGATACGGGCGAGTTTAGTCAAGAGCACCGCATCTTTACCACACTCGACACCAATGAGACCCAAGAGGGAATTGCACAGTTTCAGAACATCATCCACGTTCTGGCATACAGGAACATTGTCCATCCAATCTTCCCAGTAGAAGCGATAGTCGATACCGTCGCCTGCATCTTTCTCCTCCATCTTAGCCCATCGAAGAGTTCGTCGTGGGACATAATCGGACGGTCGAGCGGCCGCATTTTCGGGAGCGTGTTTCGATGAAAGGGATGTATCCTCCGGGGAAAAGTCCTTGGATTCTTCGTAAACTTTACTTAGTGAGTGATGTGCCAATCGGAAAAGGTAGGCATGGAGGTCAGGGTAGACCTCCAGCAACCAAGGGAAACGACTAAGAATGAACAAAGCCTCGGGGATGGCGCCAATGCAAAGTAAGCTGCGGAGAAGAGCAACCTTTTGATCGGCAGGCTCGGGTAATTGTGGTTTCGGCTCGTCATCGCTCGTAGGTGTGCCTCTCTCAGAGTCCGGCTTTGAGGATGCTTTGCTTTCGGATTCTCGGAGGCGGACAACGGAGGCTGGTTGAGGTACACCTTCGTCTGGGAGAGCACCGGCCATGGCAAGGGCATTGTTAGACCTGCCGCTTGCCTTATCATCTCGTTCTTTCTTTGCCTTCATAAGTTTGTCGCGGTGTGCAGGCATGTCGGCATCAAGGGGATAGATGTGGGGATAAAGATCCACAAGGGATATGAACCCTATTTTGATGAGCAATGCCGCGAGATAAATGAGGTTCTCGGGCAAGATATCATGCGCATCGCGAACGTCGGACGCATAGAAGCGAAGTTTGAATCCAAGTAGTTGAGCGGCAATTCGATTTCCATTGGGGGTTAAAGTCTTGGTCTCGGCCATCCATTCTTGAGTCCATTTTTGGATGTTTTCGAAGTCGGCAGCCTCAGTCGCTTTCTTCTCGGGGCGGTCCGTATCATCCTTCATATCTGTGTCGTCGAGGTTTTCGAGGGATGCGATGGAACTGGTGATCTTCCGGGCTCCGAGATCAAACCAAGCCTTGATACCAAGCTCATCGACACTCTTCCAGAACTCTACATCTCGTTCTTGTCTTAGTCGGAGCTGCTCATCCTTTTGCTCTTCGGTATAATAATGAAGTGCAAAATCAGGCGATGCCCATAAAGGCAGGGCTGATACTAAAGGTTCTGTCCATTCGATGCCGTGCGGATCTTTGAGTTCCGGCCACCAGGAGCTGACACGAAGCAGCTTGACGAAGAACTTCGTGTGCTTGACCAGCAGATTTGCGAAGACATCAAGAGTGACATCTAAGACTCTACCAACGTCAAGATCGAATGCGCCGATCAAAGCCTTCACCCTTTGAAATGTCTCCGTTACAACTTCTGCACTGGGCGGTTCATTGTTGACGGTTGTGAAGTATTCCGTGACCAGCTTAGAGTAACCCTCAGTTTCCTCGCGAAGCAAGTTGTAATTCGATTGGCGATAGAGGGCGTGAGTAGCCTTACGGATGGCTACGCGAGAGAAGGTCGGTCGAACCAGGTTGAGGGTAGTCAGAAGGGAAGTTTCGAGTTCGCTTCGCATGCGCGCCGGGTCTATACCAGTCGCTTCGAGCAAGCCCTTGAGAGGGGCGGTTGTTGCGCCGGTCTCGGTCAAAGTGCTGATGGTATCCAAGAAGATTGATATCGGATCAATCCCCTCCTCGGGTGAAGGAGTGGCCAGTACCTCACTTATGACAGATCCAAGCTCGTCGCTGGCGATAGTCCGATCGACGCATGCTTGAATGATCTCTTCAAATGCGATCGAAAGCTGTAGCCAATCTCCTTTACCTAGTTGCTCCGAAGTCTCTTTCACAAGTTTGCTTCGACCTCCACTGCTCCATGAGGTGACAAGGTCCTGCTTCAGGTATTCATTGTAAATCGATACATTTGGCGACCTAGGCGACGCCGGTTTCTGTGTTTGCGGTGGAGGGTTCGGTGTTGTCTTGATTGGGGTGGAGGGTGCTGGTGCCTGGGTCTGAGTTGGGGTTTGAGAAGAAGGCCTGTTGGCGGAGGGAATGGTCGCTGGGGGCGACATGGCGGTAGGGGATTGATGGGTCACACTTGGACTCTGAGGAGTACTGTTGTTTCCACCGCGCCCGCCTGTTCTGCTGCCACGGCGGCCACCGCGAGCATTGTTCTGGTATTGCTGGTTTCCCAAACCGAGGTTCTGAGGTCGATGAGGCGATGGTCGACTGTTTGCATCGTTCGACTCGGAACGGTCCCCTCTCTTCCTCTTTCCACCTGGCGCCATATTGGAACTCTCTTCGAGATGAGAGCCCAAAGGTGGCGCGAAGCTCAAGTGAAATCCGTTAGGACCATGCGCGGAGGTGACAGTGAGTTTGGTGTCGCAAAGAACGTCGATGAGCGTGTCAGACGCGAACAACTTCGTAAGCCGTGAGATTCGGTGACTCACGAAGATGCAAGTTGAGCGCAGTTGCTCGTAAGAGGCGATGGTCGACAATGAGCGTGTTGTAAGGTCGCAGGAACAATGATGAGGGTCTCAAATTACATCTAGCGCGCCAAGACACCGTTATGGTCCGAGCTCCCTTCACCAAGGTAGTTTACGTGAAAGGATAGACATAGTGAAACATGGTATATTCAAGTCAAATGACGAGTCACACAACAAAGGGAACAGTGGATTTGATCGACGACAGACAACAGTGCCGTGAATTGGTTTAATTGGTTGTTTATATATAGGCCGTTTTCCGAGGTCTCAATATGAAGGAGCGAACAGACCATCCAAGCTATCGAGAGAGTATATTTACCAGATATACCTTAGGTAGTTAAGTTGGCAGCTAAGCTGCGGCGCTCACAGCTTTGGCTGTAGCCTGGTGCTCCTTCTCAAGGATAGACTCGAGAACGCCAACAGCGCCTCCGCCTGCCTTCATTTCTTTGAGAACCTCGTCCACCTCTAGCTGCTTGTCGGTCCAGAGGGGAGCAGCCTCTGCTTCCTTTCCAGGCTCTCCAACACCAATGAAGCCGCCCTCGGCAGCCCACTCACTGGTGCGCTTGATGCCGAGCTGGTTCCAGACGCTGTCAAACGCCTCAACGAGGTGCTCGCGATACTCGCGAGTATGACCAGGAGTTGGAGTCACGCGAAGTCGCTCTTGGCCAACTGGGACGGTGGGATAGTTGATAGCTTGAACGTAGATGCCCCAATTCTCAAGGAGGAGATCACTAGCCTGCTTGGCTACCTCTGCGTTGCCTACCAAAACTGGGATGATGTGGCTAGGATTGGGAATGACGGGAATGTTCTTCGCGTTCAAAGAGTCCTTCACGGCACGAGTGTGCAATTGCTGAAGGCGGCGATCGCCTTGGTAGTTAGCCTGGTACTCAATGGCAGTCTTTGCGCCAGCCATGGTGGCAGGAGGAAGAGAGGTCGTGAAGATGAAGCCTGGCGCAAGGGATCTAATGGCATCGACCATCTTGGCGGAGCCAGCAATGTAGCCACCGACGCAGCCATACGCTTTACCAAGAGTTCCAGTGATGATGTCAATACGGTCCATGATAGTACCCTGGGGCTTTCCAGCCTTGTGGGCGTCGTAGTCAAGATGCTCAGCAACACCTGCTCCGTGCGGTCCGTACATGCCGACAGCATGGACTTCATCGAGGAAAGTGATGGCTCCGTACTTCTCAGCCAAGTCACAAATTTCCTCAATGGGACCAATCGAGCCACACATGCTGTAAACACTCTCAAACGCAATAATCTTGGGATACTCGGGAGGGATCGAGGCGAGCTTAGCCTCGAGGTCAGCAACGTCATTGTGCTTGAACACCATCTTCTTAGCACCAGAGTGTCGGATACCCTGAATCATGGAGGCATGATTGAGGCTATCGGAAAGAATGACGCAGTTGGGCAATTTGCTTCCCAAAGTCGCGAGGGTAGCATCGTTAGCGACATAGCAGGAAGAGAAAACCAGAGCGGCTTCCTTTGCATGGAGTTTCGCAATAGTGCCTTCAAGGCCTACAGCGTGCTGGTTATGTCCAGAAATATTGCGGGTTCCTCCGGCACCAGCACCATAGTTATCCAAAGTCTCGTGCATCGACTTCAAAACTTGCGGGTTACGGCCCATTCCGAGGTAGTCGTTGGAGCACCAGACGGTGACCTTCTCGTCCTTGGAAGCCATGTGAGCGCGGGGAAATTCCTTAGCCAAGCGATTGATGTTATTGAAGTAACGGTACGATTTATCCTTGTGCTTCTTGTCCAATTCGGACTCGTAAAAGCCCTCATAATCGAACTTCGCAGCAGATGGGATTGGCGGAGCGCCGACGGGAGTCGTAGGTTTGGCATTGATAGCCTGCTTAGCAGCATGAGGAAACGGAACTGTTTGCGATATCTCAGTCAGCCACGCCTGTCAAGTATTGTCGTCGACGTTGCGGAGCGGGAGGGGGTTGATCGCTCGCTCGCTCGCTCGCAATGCAACCAGCAATCGTGCGTAAGAAATGATTACCCACCTTGTTTGGCCCGGATTTTCTCGATATCAACAGCCTGCGCCTCCTTCGAAGTGGAAGTATGCAACTTAGCCCGGTTCACACGAGTGTGGTAAGCGCGCATGCCGCCGAAAGCACCAGCGAGAGCGCTGTTGCCAGAGCGGGCACTCTGCACGGCGAGAGCCTTGCCCATTATGGGGCAGCGGCGCCCGAGAACCTGGAGGCTGGACATGCTACCCGCACCGGGAGAGACAGCATGGTTCGAAGCGGTCGTGGACAGAGAGCGGAGGGTGGCGGGCGAGGTCTTGGAGAGGAACGGGCACATAGAGCTAGACTGACGTAGGAGAGCCTCCATGGTGATCAATGGGCGATGGACCGTAGTCAGGACAGAGAAAGGAAGAAAAGGTGGGCTGGAGAGGGTCGAGGGACGGGATGAGAGAGGGAGGAGGAGGATATGGTGTTAAGAAGAGAGAAGTTGAGAGAGTTTATTAGTCGAGGGACTAGAAATCGATCAATCCCCTAGACCAGGACTTCCACCACCATTACCGCCCTACATAGGCACAGTAATATGTGGTGCGGAGTGTCACCACACAAGTTACACTCACACCCTGGGCCGCCGCAACTCGGCATCCATCAAATGAAGACTTTCTGATTCGTCCCCCACTGGGCCCGAGGCCAAATTAATAATAGTGCTAGATATTGCAGGCACTGACTTTACGAGGAAATCTGTCCATGCATGCTCTGTGCGCCGATGCGGCATCCATAATCGACTCTTTGCATTTCGAACTCCGGGTACTCCGCTACGACAGGCACACGCTCACACTGCAACAACTTTTTGTCTTTGGAAATAATAACATGGCCTGAGGCGGGTCGTTTAGCTTGTCACTTAGTGCGCGGTTCGTAAAAAGCGCTGGAATGCCGCACTTCGGCATCTTAATGGCTATGAAAGCTCTTCATCGTTGCCGACCATAATGATGTCTCCACATAGGTCATGATGCTCTTCTCGATGACTGATCGACAGTATCACTCTTCTTTACAGCTTCATGATGGGCAAACGCAAATCATATGCTACCGAGCCATTCCCGTCCCATTTACTTCGGGCAAAAAAGAGACCAGACCCTCGGTTGGGATCTCCCAATTAGCGCACAATTTGTGTCGGCCTTTTTAACCACAAGAAGAAAACCAAAACCCAGATCACTACTAGAATGACACTAAATTCCCCAGGGCGTCTCTTGTCTGAGGGGAACTCTTCATTCCAGTTCCGCGGTTTCTCATGTAGATGGAATCGAGCGCGGAACCCCGTGGACGTCACGGGGCAGATCTTTGAACTGGTTCAATGCAGTTCATGGGAATAAAGACTAGCTAGCTATATCTTCCATGTTCAAAGCCTCAAACGGATACCGGTCATCTTTCCAGCGAGGGCTTATGAATACGTTTCCATAATCATGTGGGGGTGGCTAGCATCACCATTATTGCATCCTGCGTGATCTAGAACAAACTCATTTGTCGGGTTGTCGTGCCACATTGCAGTCGCCGTTCAATTCCCATATCTGTTTTGCTCAGACGTACATATGAACACGAGGGGATTGGATTAAGGAGCCTGATGGAGCTGTTTGCATTCGTTTTCAGATAAAGATGTGCTTTGTACTTCCCCTGCTCAACTGTATCGCATCCAAAAACAGACAAAAGAATCATCCAAGGAGACACGAATGCACTTTAGGCGCTCCCTCAGCCTTCAGCAGGCCTTCAACAATCTTGCGCCCATATCTTCGAATACCACAACACCCTACGCATAGAGCATCGTGCCGGATTTCATTGCCATTCTTAGTGCCTAAGTTGGCACCATAACTTTGCTAGACGTGCCCCATAGGAATCTTCTCAAGACTTATCGCTCGCATCAACCGAATAAATGGTTAAATCGGTGTAATTTGGGGGTTTGTCTAGTTCGTCCAAAGGCACGGGAGCCATGCTGGAGGAGAAATTGTGATTGTCAGGCATTGGTGATAGTTCAACTTCGTCCAATGCTTCCTGGTGTTTGGACTTCATGCGTCGCCGATTAAGGAAGTATATCGGTACGAGACATAGGCCCACCGCAAAAAAGGGACTGAGGAGCTCAGCAACAAGAATTGTTACGTCGACCACCGGCACTGTATTGTGAAGGATCCAGAGGATGTTCTCCACTTGATCATGTATCGCGGCAGGGTAGCTGTTGAACCGTTTAGTAGCTTTCTGGGTGCCATTTCTAGACAATGTCGTGTTGAGTTGAGCCACATCCCGAAAACTAAGCTTTCCATGGTGGATTCCATTGACCCATACATCCGCAACCTGAATCCATCCACACGACGCGCTGTGCTTTACGTCTCCAGGAGGTACAATGGAGTATCTCGCAGATTCCAAAGCTTGGCTAATCTTATGATGATATCGACGCCAGCCTGTCACAATAGAGAAGTCATAGCCAATTGCGTGAGGGTCGGTGAAGTGGAGAAATAATTCTGTCGTGCTGTGAGGGACGTTGAGACAGGAGCCCAGGCGGACGGCCAGAGACAGAGCAGGTAGTAATAGGAGCAGAACTATAGTACGCATATCGTCGAGTGGGTACGCGGATAGGATTTGTTGATATCGTCAAAATGAGTGGACGGCGTTCGATGCTGATGCCTGCAGTGGTGAATCTTGACTGAACCACAATATGATGAGTGAAGATGAGCTGTCTAGTCTTAGATCATTCTGGTTACAAACTGATACTCTTCGAGAAGGAGCAATGCATCGACATGTGCGGAGATGATCTAAGGAAAGTGCCACCGCTGCTACGTTTCAATGAAGCAGTAACCATCTTGACTGCATTCCTTGCTAACGTAGTAGCCAGAACATAGAGCATAGAGCAAGCATTCAAAGTCTGCTGGAATCTTTGACATGTTTGCCAAGCAAATCTTCAATTCCAATCTCGCTCGTACATAGGATGAATGTATCTCTCAGAGCGGGAATTCGATGCTGATGATTTACCTTCTGGTAATCTTCACTGGCCAACATGTCTGCGAAATGTGATATACTCGGATAATGAGCCAATGCAATCTCATCCCAATCTCCATCACCTTCTTTCTTTTCCTTGCCGTTGATATTGATCACAGTTCCGACAATCTTTGCGTTTCCTCCGCGCTTGGATCCAATGGACTCTGCAAATGCTTTCCCGTACTCCAGATATGATGGTTTCATACCATCCTTGAACGAAAGAAGATTCAACATGGAAACAGCACCCTTGCCTTCAGGTCCACTTGTTGAAAAACGTTGGATCCAAGATCGTAACTCGGCAGACAGTTCCAGGCCTTGTGCACTCTCCGCTGTGAGGGGCTGCTCCAAGGCGCCACTTAATTTTGGAATGCTTCCATGAGGTGGATGTAAAAATTGTCGATTCTTCGACTCAAAATCTTGCAATAGTCGTTTTGGAATACCAGCAGTTACACTCCACTGATTTTGCACCAACTTCAGGACACTCTGGGGGAGGGGCGAAGTGCTGGACAAAATCAATAGCAGATCCCATCGTGTGTTTTGCGCAAGTAATGCATCCGTGGAGAGCTTGGTTGGAAGGATAATCCAGCGAATCACTCGAGATACCACAAGTGGAGTGATATCAGATCGTGAGAGTGCCTCAAGGAACCCAGGGATGGGGTACTTAGTATCCTGGTATAAAGAGATGAGATGAAGCGTACAGAGAGGCATCGCAGCAAATAGATGTACAATAGATCACTTGTCAAACGAAGTGCTTTGAAAGGTGTGGAGTTTATAGAGAAGAGATGGTGTTGACATATCTGTAGTGATATGATGTAATCTAATTGCCGAGGTAAGGTAGTCAATTGGGTATGCGGTAAAGACATCACCTCCACAAACTTCAAACCTTACTCACCTTTTATTCGAACAATCATATTTTTTGGGATATTGACAGCGGATATACATGTGGCTCCTAGTACAAATCTTCACAGTTTTGCAAAGCTAAGAAGTGAAATGGATTCAATAGCCACTGGTTCCCAACGGCATCTCTAGTTGTCACCAATCATGTTTGCTTACTGATGTAGTTTCAATGTGAAGTCATAGATTACCGTCATTCCAAAGGGTATCTCAATTACTTTCACCCGGTATCTGTGCATATGAGGCCATTGATACCCTGCCAATGGGTATGACCTAGCAGAATTCCTCCCATAGCAAAGCCAATCAAAGGTGTTCACCAAAATCGACCTTTGCGACCATAGACCTGAATGCGGGCATCTGATCGATAGCTGATCGCTCAAGCAAGATTCAGCCAATGACCTCGAATCCCGTCACCAACATTTCCTTGTCCTTCACCTGGGTGAGTTTTTCGTAGAAACGGCGTGCCGTACCGACGAGTCTGTTTGAGGATTTTCCCATTGTAGGGATTTGGAAGTACCCAATTCTTGCGGTCTTGCTCTATACGCCATTCTTGCAGCAACTGGGACACTCGTTAGCATATGCATTTGATTAGAAGCCGGGCAATAGAAGCTGCTCAACGTACCTTCTGAGCAAGTTTATTCTTCATATTCCACTTCTCCTCCGGGTCATGCTGAAGTCGGAGGAGTATTGGCATGTTGGAAGCCCACTGTCCGTTGGTCTTTGCTTCATATGCCATCATTCGTCGGTGGAGAAGGCAGGTGTCATCTCTTCCCGCTCTGACGCACCGCGAGCATGCAGGCAGTGTTCGGGAGCACCTCATGCCTTGAAGTGTGCATTGTAAGCACGATACCACTATAACTAGCCTTTTTTCTGGTGCTTCAGTCTTCTCGGAGGTAGCTGAGACTTCCTGCTCAGTGGCCGCATAGAAGCCAGTAAGTGAGTGATGCAAACCTGCGCAGGAGACGTCTTCCGGGGCTTTGATCTCGGCACTCGCTTCATCATCACCAGAGCTTGATTGCAGATCATAGTCTCCTGCGTCGGTAATAGAGCTGGCCGACCTTATCTCATCGATGTTGATGTCGTCTTTTCGGCCTGGTTCTCCGTACACATAACCTTTGTAGAGTGCCGGTGCCGGGGGCTCGTCGAACACTGTGTCTCCCGAGAAGTTGGTCTTCGTAGGTGACACTTCTTCTGGTTCCACAACGACCACCGTTGGAGCTGGTGTATTTGGTCGCGGGGCCTCTTCGAGAGCAGTATCGATGTCATCTCGCTCTGGTGTTACTGTACTCGCGCTATCGAGATCGATCTTTTGGAGCCATTCGACTATTGTTTCCGCGGGCAGTGGCTCAGGCGCCATGATGAGTGTCGACGGAAACGGAAGCGCAACTTGGGCAACCTTGACGTCTTTTCGACCTGGAGTGGAGTTAGCTTGAACCTGAAGAGGCGAAAAGTCCTTGAAAACGCTGCCTGGTCGTGGAGATGAAGATTGTAGGTGAACGGGGCTTGGTCAGATAATCCGCAATTTCACTTTATCGACCTTTCAAACTTTCGAGCTAGTTCAGTCCGATCTATTGTGAAGGTGATGGTGAGAGTGAAGGTGAACGCAAGAGCAAGCATTATGGAAGGCACGTCAGATAGCAGGTCAATCTGGGCAAACATGTTGGAATTCACAGTCTTCATCAAACTTATTTGTGCTCAAAAAAAGGTTATGAAGATTCTATTGATTTTGCTGGTGAAACTGAGGTCCATGCACGTCACCGTTCGCAAAATCTGCTGATGGAGATGCGAACGGGCTAATCTCCAGTAGTCGCTCTATTACAATATTCGCCATGATCGCTAATGATCTCAAAGGGTATCGTCGACATCCTATGTACGTATCGTTCTGCCATCCTATCCCGTAATCTACAGTACAAGTCCACCCAAGGTGACATTTTTCCAGCTTCGCACGGGATGTGTGTCTTCCAACTCCACGCACCACCAAAGGACTTCCTTTGTCTTATCAAGTTGGTTGCTCTCCTCGTATGCTCTTGCCAGTGTATACCAGGCCTCTGAGTAATCCCATCCAGTTCCCAGCTTTGTGAGTGTAGAGAGTAGCCCAAATGCACGATCACGCGCAGCCAAACGATTTAGTTCCGGAGGCGAGATTTGATTCTCTGCCGACGGGGTATGTGAACTCAAGCGCTGTTGTTGGGTTGAAGGGGTAGTCTCAGTAGCAGGGGACGTAGATGGCGACGACGAAATTGCCAGCTCCTCTGAGACTTGCGTTGGCTCCAGTGGGACAGCTTGGCAGTAAATATCGAGCAAGATATTTGACAACCCTACGATAGCTTGCGGATGGTCTGGATAATGCATCACGGCACGCTCAAACTCTGAACGCGCTTCGTGCTTGAGAGATTGTGCGAGTAATAGTTGTCCACGCTGTTTTGTATTAGAGATAGAAACAGAACAATGTAGATTGACTTACTGCTGCAAAAGAATCAGCCCAGAGCTCTTCCACACTCTTACCACCACCCCACCCTCGATCAGCAAACGCTTTGCTACTTGAGCCTTCTTGAGCGACTTCCGCCTCGAAGCTTTCGACAAGCTTGAAAGCTTCATTGACTGCCCCTTTGGAATCTTCCAACATATCTGCCTTCAGATACAGATCTGAGATGAAGATCCAGATATCCACCAACAGCGTCACGCGATGTCTGCGGCTCTGCAACTTCGAGAAACGCGGAGAAGGTGGGATGTAGTCGGCTCCTGGGAAAGGAACAGGTAGTCTTGCGTCTTGCTTCGGTGGCTGCTTCGCATGACCAACTGGTGGAGGTTCTGATGAATTAGGCAGATTGTGGGCTACAGAACGCAGTTGTCTGTCATGTCCATCAACCGATTTCCTTAAAGAGCTAGCATTCGATGAGCGGCGGCCTCGAGATCCGATACTATTCCGAAATGCTGAACCATTGGCTGCATCTGGGAGACCGGGAACATCAGATGCTGTTCCGGCTTCACTATCCGCTTTTCGACGCAGACTGTTGGCACTCCTTTTCTTGAGCTTGCTTGGAGTACGAGTGACCCCCGATTTCTCGTCTTCGTGTCGATGACGCGGCAAGTGTGGAAGGTGAACGTGGTGCTTTGCGTGGTCGGCGCCACTCTCGTCTGTAACTTGGATAGCCGGCGCAGCAGCAGGTTGACCTGCCGCTGTGGGCGGACGGAGAGTCGTGGCCGATGAGTCTCGGGTGGACTTGTCGGGATATGAGTTCCTGATGGAGCCTCTTGTGCGGAATATGCTGTTGCGAATCGTTCCAACAGCACTCTTTGGTGGAGCAACGGACGTAGGGGGAGGCTGAAGTTGGGCTTGGTCTGCGGTTGGATCTCCGAACAGTCGAGCATAGAGAGCAAGAAGTTCGTCGCAGCCATCCACAGCGGCGCCTGCGCCCTCAACTACTTCTACCAAGGCAAGTTGAGTCATTTTGATCTGCAAAATTCCGGTCTTCTCGAAACTGGTCATTTGGTCCACAATGCCCTGAGGGGATGACTGAGTGTTCTTGCCACTCAACTCATTGAGATGCTCGCTCCGGTAGCTTGCATTGTCATCTTCCGATCCAAAGAGTAAAGCTGGGTCGCCAAATTGTTCAAAAGCCGCTTCGCATGCCTTTTCAGCAGCAGTATATTCAGACCTGGCTGTTAATAGTAGCGCGAGGAGATGCCACATCGGAATCAATTTCCTCTCTCGGCCATACTCGGTCTTCAATCCGTTTGATAACACCCCGTCGGCGCTCAGTGTGGAATCGTTCTTCGTTGCCGAAGAAAGTGCGCGCTTTGCGACTTTTATCGCACCTGGAACATCTCTCATCTCAGCGAGTACAAGTGTCAGGGCATACAAAGCTTCGATGTTATGTGGATCCTCGAATTTCGGCTCCACCGATTTGCGAAGATACTGGACAGCCTTTGACTGAATAGCTCTCCGGGCATCTGCTTCGTATGTGTGATGTGCCCAGTGAGCTTGGCTGATTCCAATTGCGCTATATGCAATCGATAGGGCTTTCGGGAGAACCAACGTCTCAATCGATCTCACAGGACCGGTTTCAGGGCCTGAAGGTCGAATATTTTGAATTTGTTCCAGCCAGTGTTCAATCTGGGCGCCGATCTCAACAGCTTTGGCGGCTTCTTTCCGGGAACCAAAACGACAAAGTACTCGGATGGCTTCGGCTGATGTTCGGAGAACCGTGCTATCGTCGTCAAGCCCAGCATCAACTTCCCCGGACTTTTCAGTACGGTCTTTACCGCGGGTGATAATCTCTACGTAAGAGTCGTATGCCTTGAATGCTAAATCAAACTCCGCAAGTGAGGCGTGAACGGTGAACAAATGTCGTAGGACTTGCGTGGAATGGAAAGTCTTTGTAGCTGCACGGTAGAGTATGTCAAGCACACCTCTGCCCACGGCCTCTTTCCCGCCCTCTCCGAGATCGCTATCGCTCCAAGTTGGGCCACACATGTACAGCCAATTGTTCATGACTGAATCTGTCCAAGCTTCAATCTCTGAATTGTTCTCACTCGCCTTGGGGAAGTGTGTTTCTTTCAGCAGCAAGCTTTCGTATACAGCCTCGACGCGCTTGAGCTCCGCTCGCTGCTGCAGCTTCTCGCGTGGTTGAATGGATTTTTCCTCTGGCTCGGTGGCGGTGGTTGCATTTTGTGTTGTGTTTTCAGGATGGTAAGGCAGATTATGACGTAGGATCTCGGAGAGGGAATCATAGTATGCTTTCCAAGCCGAGCGACGGTGAGGAGCCATGTCTACCCCTGTTACGCCTTTTCCTGTGCTCTCCCAGTATTTAGCCCAATAACGGTAGGCGTACAAAGCGTCTTCTGCATCCACTGGTTCACCTCTTTTCACGGAGAGATCAGAGAGCTGGCACAACCGAACGAGTAAACGCTCGATCCACGACTTGAACAGGGACGATTCATTGCTGATGGAGGTTAGGCTCGAAAGCCATGGGATGACGGAGCGATAGGTCTCGATAGCTTCGTCGATTAGACCTGTTCTATCTTGGGAGGATCCTGTTGCTCTTAGCATACTTCTATACAGACGGCATCGCTATGCAATGCAATACGCAGCTTACCTTTCAGGAAAGCACCTTTCACAATGCATACCCTAGTCCAGCCACTGAGTGGACCAATGTTCTTCATTTGACTGGCAGTGAGCGCAAAGTCCTTTGGCAACCTCGCGACAGCAAGGCCAGGCTCATTGAGAACGTAGTGAAGCCATCCTAAACACACAGTTGCCTGAAACGAGTCCTGTGCATGGTCCTCTTCCTCAATCGCACTCAGCAGGGACGGTATTATGTTCGAAAGGCCGGCCGAAGACGTGGAAGCAGCGGTGGAAGGTCTCTGTGAGCTGTGTGCATGAATTTGCGCCTCGGATCGCGCAGTGAGAGTTAAACCTAGGGTCAGTTAGAGTTGGCTCACGATAATAAGGTAGGAGCGGGGTTTCTGACATCGGCGGTGAGGCGCATGCTTTTCAATTTTCCGACATAGCTCTGGAATATCTTGCCATCTTCCACTGCAGCGTGCTTCGTCTAGCTGAGCTATGTAGCGCAATGCTTTCTCGTTCTCTGGTGTGTTCTGTAAAAGTGTAAGCTAGATGCCGCGTATGACGTTGCAATTCACAATCGGCATTTCCGTGTCGAGAGATCACCTACACCCATTGTACTAAAGCCTAGACATGTAGCTATATCAGACTTGGTAAACACTTGACGACCATGTTCATAGAGAGTCCATTACTCTGACGGCTTTACATAGATCAACAATCCAGAATAAGTTGTATGTTGTACCCTGAATCGCAATGGCGGTATCCCTGTCGTCTTGGCGGCGGTCAAAGGTTACCCCGGCCCGTCCGAACTTTTTTATACACCCCCGTTCTGCAGATGCTATTCTTGTACAATTTGTTTTCGAGCTTCTTGAGGAATCAGTAATCATGGCGAAAGCTGCAGTCCTTGCGGCGGAGCTGTCAATTCTGAAAGCCGTCACATTTCGTCTTTCGACAATTCCAACGTCTCAGCTTCCGCAACAGATTCCTGCAATAGCAGCATCTCTGGCCAATTGCAAAACGCTGCTTTCATCGACTCAATCTTCTTCCTCCAAAGCTTCTTCGGAGTCTTCGCTGGCAATTCATAAGTATCGTACTTTCTTGTCGACTCTTCTCCAAGATCGTACAGTTCACGGACGATGGGCGGCTATTGTTCTGGTCAAAGCTACGATTGAAGCCGGCGGTTGGGAAACCCTTAGCAAGAGCTTACCCTGGGTACGAGGGCTTCTTGGTATACTCAACCGTCCAGATCCACCGTCTAGCAAGAAGCTGTGTGTTATAACATTGACGCGCATATTTGTTCTTACTCGCGATCATCAAACCATGAAGAGAGAAATAACAACACCCTCCCTTCCGTCGTTTATCCAAGCCTGTATGCAAATCGCTTCTTCCAAAACTACCGGTGCTGGTCTTTTGCAACTCATTCTGGAGAGCTTCAATCAATTGCTTCCATGGCACCCAACCCTTTTCCGGACATATGTGAAACAGATCCAACAGCTCATTCGACCATTGATCGCTCCTACACCATCTAACAAGCTCGGCGCGGAACAACAACAAAGGAGCGTCTCAGAGAGCTCATCTGTAGTATGCGAGGCTGCCCGGCAGCTGTTCTGTCAGCTCCCATCTTGTGCGCAGAAGGGTGGCGGCAGTGAAGAGTGGGCCAAAAATGTCAATGACACCGTGTTGAGCCTGCATCGGACTGCCGATCAAGTCCTCAGATCCGTCATCGAAGATTGGACATCATCTGGTCGTTCTGGTCCCTCCGTCGGACAGCCCATCAGCGGCGAAGTACAGGAGCTGGAGCAAGATGCGCTTGCATTACCCTTGTGGACTGGACTTCATGCTGGAAGCGAACGAATTGTCGGGCTTTTAAGACTGCTGAAGCAGTCACTCATGACGCCAACTCCGGCGCCTGTGAGCGTTCGCCTCAGCACTATCATCGATCTAATCACGCGGTTCTTGTCACTCACAGTGCCCAATGTCGCGGGATCCAAAAATGGGCTGAACGCCGTACGAGTGAACAATCAAGTTAGCAAAGAAGAACGTGACATTCTTTGGTCGATCCTACCGAACATACACGTCGCGACTGTCGAAGTTCTGCTAGCTTTGGTTGAAAGATTCGGTGCGATTAGTTCAGCGCTCGACTCTGTCTTACTGGACCAGCTCGTTTGGGTGTTTGGTGCTGAAAAGGTCAACACAGAGATACGGACCGTGGTCTACTCGATGTCCGCTCGGCTTCTCAGAGCCTCTGGTGTTACCCTGCCCAAATCTTCGGTGGACTCGCTTACCACTCTTATACGATCATGCTGTATCGATATTCTCCCCACGGAGATTTCTCTGGGTTCGCAACAGGCTTCGAATACCCAAGGGAAAGCCAGTACAGGAGCCCAGTCAGCAAATGCTGAAACATACTCCAATTCATCTACCAATACCAAAGATGCACTCAAAAATTACCGGAGTCTTCGACAAGCCGCTTGCGATCTTCTACCGGTTCTACTAACATCTATCCGCGCGGAGTTCCTGTCGCATTCCACGAGAACGCTTCTAGACCGAACGGCCATACTCTCGCAGCACAAGGATGCCATGATTGCCAGTACCCTCAACCCTCTCCCGGGCAAGAAATTCGGCAAACCAGGCGCAAGCATTCTACCACTCGTAGCTCGATCATACGCCGCGGACGGCAATGTGGAAACCCTTCTACGACCCAGGATGCCAGTGATTCGAGTCGGCTCTCAAAACTCAGAGGATGATGATGGTGATGAAGAGATGGAGGACTCGTCCGTGGAAAACGAAGAAATAGAAGGCGAGCGTTTTGTCGGCGAAGAGCTGGACGCTTTGTTGGGCACGGCGGCAGAGGCGACGGAGACTGTAACGGCTGTTCCAGATGTAGCATCTACCGAATCCCAAGCCCTTTCGCCCAAACCATCCACGCCCAATGCCATCAATGAGGATAAACAGGTCACTAGTTCACTTGGCACAAGTGGAAGCAAACGACCGCCAAACGAGAACGGTGTTTCCTCGCCTACAAAGCGACTCAAGATAGAGACAGAAGAGGAGATCATCGCGCCTCTCCCTGTCATGATTCCGGTAACTGTCGCTGCCAGTTCAGGCGGAGTCACAGAAGCTCCGCTTGTAGCTCCCGCCCAAATTCAAACAACTCAGCAACAGCCTAGCGTCTCAAACGCTGCGGAAGAGGAATCCGACGGTGATGATGATTTCGGTGAGCTAGTTCTCGGACAGGACAGCGATGATGAGTCGGATTAGAGTTCGCCGAAATTGTAAAACCATATTTGATACCATATATACAAATCTAATCCAGTAATTTATCATATCCTTCTACTTAGACTTCCAGAGCCAAGACGTCGTCATTAATCGTGTTATTTCGTGAAGACGAACGGTCCATCCTGAGCCATTCAGTTTGACCTATTCCTATTGTAACCCCTTCTCATTGCATACACGTCAACAACAGCCTTCCACAGTTGCACTAAAGCATTCTGGAATCTTCCTCGTAGAATCAAACCGCTGTTGAAAGTTCAACAGACCAGACTTGAGTATCTCATTCGATGCAGTGAGCCTTCTCGATCGATCGTCATTTTGTCGGATAAGTCCGTGGAGCTTGTCGACCCTGTGCTTCTTTCTGAGAAGCATGCAGTTGAGCTCGAAGACTGTTCTCTCGATTTCTAGAGCCTCATGGAAGGTGGTATCGCATTTCGAGGCCTGGTTGGCGAGTTCGCGCGATAGTTGGGAGATTTGGTGCTTGAGACCTGTGATGTATTGTGTGTCGCTGACTGTGTTTCCTGATTCTCCGATATGAACAAACTCATCTAGCCTAGTTGTATCGGAAGTGTCGTCTGCTCGTAACGAATTGATACTGTGCAGTGGCGTAATGCTGTTGTCCCTTTCGACCTCTAACTGCATTCGTCCATCACCGGACTCTCTCACATTCAAAGTGTTTTCCAACAGCGTATGGCAGCCACTGTTCTTCATAGACCCAGTCGCAATAGTTGCACTGGCCTGCTTTGTGATGCTGTTCGATCGTGCGTGTCTTGGGTGTGATCTTTCTGGAGAGCTCGGCGGCGACAATCGTTTGTAGTGTGCTTGTATAGAATCCTCACGCCGTATTTCCCAGCCTTCTTTGCATGGAGAGAGTTCTCCTTTGGAAATCGAGCCTGACTTCATCTCTGGTTGAATTCGCGTACTTCCAATGTAAAAAGTAAGAACAAGAAAATAAAAGCCCGAACGACTTGACTGCCAGCAGTGTGAAAGGAAGCAAAATGAGAAACCCCACCGTTGAAAAAGTCCAGCATTGTAGCCAAATATCTGGGCTAAATGGATGATTTGAACGGGTTCGACATTGGTGGCGCCAGAATCGCGATACTGATGTTCTCGCGCAGCTCGCGTTTCAAGGGCGGAAGTCGACTGAGTACAACGGCGCAACACTCAGGTGATAAATTCCCATATATCGACTGACACCGCAATTGTCCGTTGATTTATCTCATACATGCAATAAAGTCTGAGTTGATGTTCACTTCAGCATCGAACGTCATTTCTGTTGCAATAGAAGTTATTATAAAGTCGACACCTATGTAGTATCAAGATTATAATCTGATCTTTAATTTATACTGCGGTTGTAGCCCGCAATTATTCGTTCAATTGCGCACATTATATTTGTACGAATCGAAAGGCTGGATACCAAACTGCTCTTAGTTTTATACACTCAAAACAACTTTCACGCTGGTCTTATTTGTGTTCTTGGTTGTTAATTGGCTGCGAAACTTGGATGTAGATCACTTTGGACTTAAGCGGATGAAGACGTAACGCGAGTCAGTCTACGATTCGTTCCATTGTCAGAAATGGCAATGTTTCCCATGTACGCTTTGAAAATCAAAATATGGATTGGATCCTCAATGGTAGCCCAGCTTAATGACTGGATATCACTAGAATCATTATTCTTTGTGAAGCGTTCAGAGGTTCGAAATGCTTTCATTCAGCGTGAAACTATGCAACTGTAGTGTAGATGTAAATTATATTAGGAGGACTTAAGCGCGACAATGAACAAAAATGCTCATTATTGTAGATTCGAGTCAGCAATAAAGATGTTCAACAAATGTCCAAGTATCTTGCTTGAATGGTATGGTAGCGAAAAGAGTATGGGGGCCAAATAGCCGCACTTCGTCAAGTCAGAACCCAGCACCTGTCTTGCAGTGAACAAACTACGATATTGTACCGATTGACTATCATCATGAGTAATGCCAACCTGTTGATCCATCGGATAAGATTCAAGGAAATGATCCGCTTGGCCTAAGTATTCGCGAGTACATAAAATTAGGTACCAATCGTGCCTAAGTAGATTAGTAGAAGCTGAAAAGAAAAGAGAGCGCTAATGCACTGACCCCGGATTAGACTCCCCCTTTGACATTTCTCCTTCGCTTCCTCACACAATCAACATCGCGCAATCGAATAACAGCTCCAATCAGGGTTGCAGAAAACAGCCAGTCATTTTAGTTCCTGTCTAACGGCTCACGGTACATGAACACGAGGCTGTCGCTATTCCTAGAGATCCCTGACAGGCACATTGTCGTGCAGTATGGGCAAAGAATGCGGTGGATACGAATGAACCGGTGAATCACGATCGCGTCCTTCAGCCACAAGATGCGCCTTATGCCGGGATACATGGACATATGGACATGTACAACAGGGTCAATGTGAGCCGACTCTTTGGGCTTTAAATGTAAGGCTGCCATCATGCCAACGGCCAGAGAAAAATTATCACTCCATTATTCTTTTCGTTCAGCCATTGTAGTCCTCAACAATGTGGTCTCTTGCTACCTCTTTAGCCACAGTTGGCTCCCTGTTGTCAGTTGCTGATGCCATATCTCGCGTGACCTCATCCATCGAGGAAAACGGATCGCAATACTTGGGGTTCAACGGCACGATATCAGCCAAAACAACCTATCCATCATCCGGATCTTGCGACGAGACCTTCGGTCCTTTCGCGAAATCATATTTCTATGTTGGATTGAATCCACCATGGGACAGCAATCCCTTCTTCTTTGAGCTGTACCATCTCGCTTCTGAAGGCAGCGGTGGCCCTGTCACCTTCACGAAGGACGACGTGTACAACCTCGACTTCGGCTCCTCAGGATACGTCTGCTATAGCGAGGGCAAACCCTGTGGCTACTTTGAGACCGTCTGGTACTACCAGTCCGAGATTCTCCTCGACTTGACGAAAGCCGCCGTTAAGAAGACGAAGGTCGGCAACGAAGATGGTTACGAAATATCAGGTGACCAAAAGACCTATCTCAAGAACGAGACAGAGAGACAATCGCTCAACAGAGTCGATGTTGACAGCGAATGCGGTCAGTTCAATTGGAACTACGACTTCTCCATATGGTACGTCTACACCCCCAGACCATTTCCAATTGCTCTCCAAGTTAACATCTGTATCTAGGAACGAGACCTCAACATGGTCCTACACCTTCTCCTTCTCCAACACCACCGCTACTGGCTCCATCAAAACCACTCTCGGCGAAAACTCCATGGAGATCACGTACACGGGCGAGCGCATGACCAACGCAACCGAGCACCCCAACATCGAGCTCGTCTCCACCGACGACTCGAAGCCGCAGTTCCGCTTCAGCAACGACAGCGACATCCACTTCAAGAATTCTACCCATGGAGAGTGGCTGGTGTCGGCGGAGGAGTTCCCCGCCGAGTCGTCGAGCTCGAGCAGGGCGGGCTTCGCGGCGCCGACTTCGACGACCAGGAGAGGCGGCGCGACGGGAACGGGAACGGCGGGCGTGACTAGTCCTACTGGCACTGGCGCGGCGGAGGTGTTGAAGGCGTCGAGTGGTATCATTGCGCCGCTGCTTATGTTGGGTGGGTTCTTTGCTTTGTAGAGATCTTTAATGGGTAATGTAGGGGAGAGCATGGGAGGTGTATTTATTAGCATGAACCATAGTTCTACTCTTTAATGTACATTGCACCGCGCCATTTCATGTCATTTGTTTCTGAATTCTATTATGAGATAAAAATAAGAGAGATATCATACTACAGAACGTCATCATTCCTACCTCTCAAAATGGCCTGACGCCGAAGAGATAAGTTCGTCATTATATACAACAAGGGTAGTCATCAAATTTCCCAAGCACTTCATCATCCATCATCCCTCAACCCCTCTACTTCGCACAGCACGATCCCTCCTTCTCATTCTTCTCCCCAAACGCCAACTTGCTCAACTTATCCACCAACGCACCGCCCTGCCTCACGCCGCTAGGCACGCTGCAGTAGCTAGGCGGCACATCGAGGCACGGGTTCCTCGTGAAGAAGTTCCTAGGGCGCAGGAGGAGCGACATGGGCTCTGCGGGCATGACGGGGAAGTCCTCGGGGGACGGGAAGTGCGTGATGCCGAATGTGTGCCAGAGGACGACGTCGGTGTTGGCGATGTTGGCTTGCGGGTTGGCGGCGATCCAGGCGGGGAGACCGGCGGAGGGCTCGCCGGAGGTTTGCGGCACGTGGCGGCCGGCTGGGTGGATCTGGGAGTCGTCGTCTGGGGAAAATTAGTATCTATGTGAGGAACTTTGAAGATTGGGAGTATGGGACTTACATTGTGTGACGTGCACGGCGTGGCGGGCGAATCCAGCACGCTTCCAGACGAGACCGCCCTCCTTGGGGAGAAGCTCGGGGACCTCTCTGCTGACGAGCTTGTAGGAGACGGGCTTCTTGCTGTAGGGGTTGAGTTTGCTCTCGTTGCACATTTCCCATGTTCGGCTGAAGGAGCCGTCGTAGTTGGATTTGGACTGCTCGGCGGTCTCGAACCTAGTCTTCTTCGCGTAGAAGGCGTTTCCGTACTTGTTTTCTGCGCTGCCGACCTCGCCGGCACCGCGGGCGGCGTCAACCATGTAGACGGTGTTGTTGGGACCGTCGATGTTGGGGTCAACGCGCAGACAGAAGAGATGCTGGTGGTTGTGTGCGTTGACGCCTGGGTAGACTTCTGTTCCCCAGCCCTTGAGGTCCTCGCCCTCGTTCATGGCGAACGTGTTTAAGATACCAGTGAGCTTGATCTCGAGCTGGATGGCGCCGTCCTGGTGGAAGATCCAGTACACGCAGTACTCATAGTTGGCGGCAGTGAAGATCTGCGAGATGATCAACTTGCGGGCGCGAGTGACGGTCACGCTCTCGTCGCGGAAGTCGGTGTGCTTGAAGAGGATACCGGCGTCTTCCTCGTGGATGCAGATGGCGTTCTTGATGGTTTGAGCGGCACCGGCGCGGTTCACGAATGCGGCGTCCATGTAGTGAATGGCGCCCTTGCAGTCGCAGCCCAAGCTGAGGGAGTTGGTCATGTAGCCACCTCCGTACTCGCCCAAATCGAAGGCGTGCTTCCTCTGATGCGGGTGGTCTGGGTTTCCGTAGGGAACGACCATCTCAGCGAGGGAAAGTCGCCAGAAAGTTGGTCGCTCGTTGCCCTTGTCGTTGAACGTGATGTTGGAGAGAACAATACCCTCGCGGTAGTTAAATCCGATGTGGACTTTCCAGTTTTGCCAGCTAAGCGTTCGTCCGTCCATTTTGAATGAGACACCCTCCGGTTGTGTGATGTTGATGGGCTTCAAATCTGTGCGGAAACCGCCCTCGGCTTCAATCGCTGCGGCATGGTAGTTGTTTGGAGGGGCCTTGTTAAGAGGTCGTCGGACAGGGGGGACGTCAATGTGAATGACCTCCTGGGTATCGGCGTTGAAGATGGGGGTGAAATCGAGTGGGTAGGAGTATTGGCTGTCGTCGACGTGGGGACGGTAGTACATGAGAGCTTGCTGCAATCTGACGTTGTTTCCGAAGCGCTCGTCGTAGCCAATGGTCCAAGCTAGTGTGTGTTAGGATGGAATCTGAACATTTTGGGGTTTCTCCTGGCATTGAACTCACGATCACAGTAGACCTTGTGCATATCCTCTGGTGGAATTCCGATGATTCCGCATTGCTCGATGACTTTGGGGTCTTTTCGAACAAGGCTCTCCACAATCTGGAGATCTTCCATGGTGATCTATTCAATGTTAGCTAATTCGCTACAATTTCATGAAATTGAGTAATTGGATCATACCAATGGCTGAACACCAGGTGTGTACTCCCAGCTCAGGAGCTTGCCTTCTGTCAGATCAACGATTCCATCGTAGACCTTGCTTCCCTTTCCAATAGCAACGACATCAGCGACTCGGTTAGGTCTTGGGGTGTTCTTTGGATCCTCGACCCATTTTGTCAACACTGCCTTGCGAGGCTCCCATAGTGTGACTGCGTTGAAGTAGACATTGCTGTGCTCTTTGCGAATAATGGCAACAGCTTGCTCAATCTCCGATGCAGAGAGAGGGTCAAGTGGGTGAGGCGGATCTCCCAAGCCAGTGACATGAGCAGCAGCCTGCTTTAGACGATCCAAAGCCATTGTGAATATATTATGAAGCGATTGGGGGGAGAGGAATGTGTAAAGTGAAGCTTGATGATTTCAAACTTGGAGGGGGACAAGAGGGGTGTTATAACAGTCTTGGGGAAATGCTCCAGATTCAACGCGACGCGACTTTGACATAAAAAATAGTTCTAAAGTTGTACAGTATACAGGGCAATCAGCAGTGACCATTCCTACTGTGGAATAAAGAGGAGAGATTCCACAGTAGGCCCTCATCCTCCCAATGCCTCCCAATGCCTCCATCCATAGTCGTGTGTCAGAAGTTATTTTGTTATCAATGATAAGAAGGATACAGAGTACAAATTGGGTTTAGCGCCAGATTGGACCTCGAACCTTTCCCCGCTTTCACCCTCGTGGATTCAGAGGCTTTACCCTTTTGGGCATTGTATTCTTCCTGTTCACTCCTACAACTAATAACCAGTACTACAAGTAATTACTACGAGTATATACGAGTAGGTATACTAGTTAACGGATATACTGCTCTCATACTCGAACCATCTATCTCCACAATAATCTTCGCTCCCATTGTCCATTCTTAGGCCATCGGTAGGACCTCGTGCAGCAGCGGGCCTGTATTCCCGCCACCGCCTACAATCGAGGCTCTTGTCTGTCTATCGGACACTCATGCCGAAAGATTGATCACACAGCCCAAACCTATTTTGCAAGGTCCTTCCGGTATATACAGATATGGTAAAGTTGAATCTGTTGCCTCAATAGCCGCATGAACCATTGAGCTTGGTAGAAACCATTTCTAATCCCATTGCCAAAAAGCCGTTGCTCGTACCTCGTAGATAGATGCCACACCCCAGGCGAGATTGATTATCTACGAAGCGAATATAGCTAGTCGGGCCGACCCAATCAGAACTCAGGTTCCATTCCCTTACCCGACATGGCAGACCGCCCAATTCCTATGACAATTCGAATATCTAATAATGCATAAGTACAAATGTACAAGAGGGCATATGATCCTGTTTACGTAGCAATAAGTATGATCTCGGGATCTTGTATCATTCCTTATAGTTCAGATCCACCATCGATTGCTATTGTTTTGCCTAATTGAGAAAATCCCGGATTCCTCCACTTCCTACACAACAATTGCAGATATGACCTTATAATTTCTACTATTGCCATGCCGTACTTACTATACGTTCATGAAGAGCATCTTTTTACCTAGACATTCTCCCACGAGGTTGCGGGCACATGGGCTCATGAAGTTGGTCGTACAAGGTCCATGTGTGTAACTTTGTGACGTCTTTCCTCCCCACGCGATAGTCTGAAGCTCGGGTCCGCATCCGATCAGCACTGCGAGAGCTTCAACGACATTGCGAAAGTCCATCCTACTTTCCCCTCACCACCTGCATACCTACCGCAGCCATGTCATGACCAGGTCAGACTTTGCTCCTGATCACAGATCCTCGTTACTCGAGGCACATCCTTCAGCGAAGGATGTGAGCACCCTCCCCGTCCCATTCTCCGCGACGATGCCCCGCGCCTTGCCGCCAATCGAGGGCAAGAGAGATCCGCAGACCATTATTTCCCCCTCTGTCATAGAGAGTGTAGCGGGATTCAGTGCTGGAGTGGTATCATGCCTTACGGTACACCCACTAGATTTACTGAAAAACAGATTGCAACGTGCGTACAGTCTACTCATCCGCGCATATCCGCATACTAACTCTACTATAGTCAACACAGTCTCCGCATCGCGACCTGGTGATTCTTTCCGAATTTTGCGCCATGTAATACGTGACGAAGGTGGTGCTCGAGCGCTGTACAGAGGACTATGGCCGAACCTGCTTGGAAACTCGCTGGGCTGGGGACTGTATTTCTTCTTCTACCGGAACATCAAGGATGTGTTCCAGGCGCGGCGGGGACATGGAAACCAGCTATCATCGGCTGAATTCTTTTCCTCTGCCACCATAGCAGGTACGATTTTCTGTCTGGGATATGGTTATGGCGCATACTGAACGTTTTCCTAGGCCTCCTAACCGGAGCTTGCACGAATCCGATTTGGGTCGTGAAAACCCGCATGCTCGAGCGCGGCGCTAACCATCCGGAGGCATATAAGAGTCTGTGGTACGGGATGAAGCACGTATACCGAACGCGGGGTCTCAAGGGGTTGTGGGCCGGCTTTATCCCATCCACGCTCGGCGTCGCGCACGGCGCCGTGCAATTCGCCATATACGAGAAAATGAAGCATTCGCGGGGCGACGCTGTTGGAGGACAGAAGAACTTGAGCAATTTGGATTATATCTACATGAGTGGGAGCTCGAAACTGCTCGCGGGCGCAATCACGTATCCTTACCAGCCGATCCGAGCTCGTATGCAGCAATACGACGCTGCGAATAGATACTCTGGACTTGTGGATGTCGTGAGGAAAACATGGCAGAATGAGGGCTTTCTTGCATTTTACAAAGGGTAAGGGAATACTACTTACTGAGTTGAAGAGCTTGAACTGACAGTTTCCGCAGAGTTGTGCCAAATACCCTACGAGTTATTCCGACTACGGTCGTCACGTTTGTCGTTTACGAGAACACGAAGATATACCTACCGCAACTCTTTTTAGACGAGGAGATGGCTCATGAAGAGGATTGAGCAATCTATGGCCCAGAACGTTGTATCCTCCAACGGAAGAACTTATTCGAGCTTACCAACGATCGTATGAAGTCATACCACCTTCTGATAGCTACTGAAGCAAGGCCGAATTCATGCACATAGATTCTAAAATAATATCATTGTATCAATTGCACCAGTCCTCTTCTAAAAATGTTGTCACATGCTTTGGCGCCGCATTTGTTTTCCCTGCTTGATGATCGTATAACCCAGATGATACACCGCCGACCCAGAATTAGACAACCTTGCCAACAAACATGACATTTCATTGATATCATATTCGTTTACCAGTTGGATTTGGATCCCTTTCATGGACACACACCGCTTCTTCACACGAAACCTGAAAACATCCAAACATCGAACTACGATCGTGAGGGCACTTCCGTGACTTAAAGTGAATACCTGATTAGTACGCGAAAATTGCTTGTCGATGCGAAGGTTTCTCTGCCTAGCTGCAGGTTGTGTTATGTCTGGACTGAATCATGTGTTACTGGCTACTCAGGCCCTTGTATTACAGTTTATATCTTGATCATGTATAAAACAGTGCTTTTGAAAACTTGTAGATCCTATAGGTGTATGCCTCAATTGGTAGCCTAAGGGATCTGCTATTATATCGTTAAGTGATGCCTTACACTTCTTCCTTGTCATGAATACAGGTATAAAATATAGATGGAAATAAGAGAGACTAAGACTATATAGACAGTGCAGTCATAAAAACGCGTCGAGGTGATAGATTACACAGACAAACGCGTCCTTTAAATAGGTGAGTGTTGTTCACGCATGCGCTTCTTCTTGAAATTCCCCATCTGTTGACCAACCTTTGTTCCGCGTACTTAGGTTCCCTCCGCTCTTCTTGTATGCTATCGATGAAACAAAAGAAAATCCTAGTTCTCACTATTTATGTTCAACTCTGTCTGAACTTGCATGAAAATTCCTCACGCCTTGCACTCAATTTCTGCGTTTCCGCCAAGGTACCAGTTCTCCAGCTTTCACTGACAGCACCTTCCACCACTCAAATTGGCCCAAACATCCTTCCTGTTTCGTTTTGCTCCAACGCTTTCTCAATCATCCTCCCCTCACTTCCTCACTACCTCACTTCCTCACTACCTCACTTCCTCACTACCTCACTTCCTCACTACCTCACTTCCTCACTACTCCCTTACTACTGACTCACTGCTCACTCACTTACTACTCGCCGTTGCGTTTGTGAAGATGGTGAGATACACTGTCATCATTGTCACTCCCAGTGACAGTCCAGCCACACGTATTCTCGTTGTTATCTCGCCGGAGGCTCTTGTATCTGTATTGATCGGCAAGGTCATTCAACGCTTGCCTAAGCTTTTCCCGAATCTGAAAGAAACCAATGACGATGATATCATCCTCCACCTGGGGGCTGCTGATGGTCCCATTCTGGATGCCGGAGATCTCTTGTCAGATGCTATTGAAAATCCCAGAGGCGAGGAGATTTTCGCTGTTTTAAACAATGACACGACGCCATCTACTTCAAGCATTGATGTTCAGGTATGCTATCATCTTCACTTACCACATCATGAGTGACCAAGGTACTTACTTTAAGAAGAATTTGCGAACTCCTGCTATAGACAGTGTGCCTCCCGAGGCCGACAACAGCAACTCTATTCGAATTCGGGTTATCACACCAGAGCTAGCCCGGGCACATGCTGATCCTCAGGGCATCCCACTTTTGAAGAACGAATCAATACTTCCTACCAGTACGCTTGCAGAGCTGGAGCTCAGGGTGAGGAGACATTTGGGACTGAGCGACCATGAGCTCGTACTGGAGAAACAAGACTGTAACTGTTCATTCGCGCGTATTATCAACAATATTGGCACCATCAACAATCACAGCGATAAAGCCGTGAACGCTATGAACTCACTTGTCGTTGTTCACGGAAAAAATGAGGTCACACACATACCAGTAGGCAATGGGACCACGCTCAGTGCTCTCGGCTCCGCACTGAACAGTACCTTACCTGCAGAGATCACGACTAATCATCTGACCATGGTTGGCGGAGTGATTCAAGAACGTCAATCCGGGCACGAGGTTGACTATTCAAAGTTGCCTGTCGCATCATACTGCTCTTCAACCCGCCACAAACGTCGACGCACGCATGATGAGATAATATCCGGAATATTGTGACTCATAATACCCAGAACTCTCGATCTTCATACTTCTGAGGTTTCTATCGAAATCACCTCATACAACTGCAAGCTCACACTTGCGGAACTGGGCCTGGTGGATTGCATGATTAATGGTGTCCTAACACTTTATGCTGTGCAACGATGCGTTGAAACAGAGAAAGGCGGCCGTTTATCAACGGGAAATGATGGCATGTTTCAAGGCTCTGCTTGGTCACATCCAGTAGAACAGTCTCAGCGGGGCATGTCGGTTTTCTTGTCCACCTTACGAGTCTTGCAACAAAAACAAGATGGTTTATTCGGAGGAGACGGAATGGAAGAAGCTCAGCAAGACGGTCTGCTTCATCTGGTACGATTATTGACTAGATTTCCTCCTGCGGTGCGAGCTATGTACACACTCATGCAGAAGAAAACCATGTCGTTCTCGGAGCGGGCTGCACTTTCGCAATCTTTGTACGAGGTACTCAAAGACATTGTCCCACTAGAAATAGTGAAGTCCACCACACGTCTCTTTGAGGGATCGCGCCTCCTATTCGGCCTGCTCTTGGAAAAAGCGAAACACCTCAAGGTCACTGAGAAGGGACAAAGCGCACGGCCCTACTTGAAATCGTTGAGAACAATTGATCTGAGGAACAGGATCACCATGGAACCTGTCGCTATTCCTGTACAGGCAGTTATCGGCCTCATTGATAAAGGAGTCGCAGATGCGTTCAGCGCAAACGGCAGCCTTAAGTGGACGGATGACACCAACACAACTCCTGTTGGAACGATTGATATTGATCTTCAGCGGATTGCTTTGCTATCTGGTGGATCCAACCCATACGTGGCCACCTATAACGACGAATCTGTCTCTCTGTGTGCCAGATATGCAGATGAAGGCCATATTGATCGAATAATCAACGCAGCGGGATACGCAAATCTATACCATGTTGCCACACTTTGCTGCCGCAACGGCCTTGGAATAATTCATCCATCAGCTCTTCCTTCAGCCCAGCCCCCTGTTTTGACGCTAAATCGCAAAGGTCTACTGTCTGTTTATCTTGGGCACGAAGGATGTGGTATGCCAGGCAATGAACTTTCGATATTCTGTCCTGTCCAGAATCCAGCAATTCAGACTGTTGATGTATCGATCATAACTCAGTTGATCATTCCAATTTGCAACCAGCGCCGGGCTGACGGAACAGCCATTTTCGATGCCAGCTTTGGTGATCAACTTCGGGAAGTAAAGGAGCCGGACGAAGTCCTCATGTTCTGTATTGACTGCAGTGCGTCTATGGGAGGCGAGAGCGAATTTCCAGATGTTGGGCCTCGCATAAGTCCAGACGACCTTTATAAAGAAAGGCTTCGAACTGTCAGCGCCACGCTTGAAAGCCAGGGCGAAGATTTACGTTACGACCGACCTTCGCTTGATGAAATGAAAGGTTTCCTTTCGTCTCATGAGTCCTTCTCTGATATGTTAGCAATCGTTCAGACAGGGGTTACCAGCTCCAAGAGGCAGCTCAATGCCGAAGAGATATTGAAACTTCTAGACGGGCTCGCTCGCGAACAGATCATGGCTGAGTCAGAAGAACTTAGACACCTACATGACACTGGCATAAACCAGCGTCAACGCCGCAAGACAGAGGAGTTAGAGTCATCTTTGGCGGCTCTCAAGAACCGAGTGATCCGGTTGAGAATGTACAGAGATGCTTTGAGTGCCTTCCTCGTCTACCGATCAGAACATTCAATTGTAGCAGAGCCGATGCCACCTCTGGCGGGCGAGGCTCCAGGTTCCTCATCCGTATCCCATTTTCACAACTGTCCTCATTTCGATATTCCCACAGAGATGACTTGTCCAATTACCTCCGATCTGATGATCGATCCAGTGTCAACCGTTGATAATTTCACCTATGAGAGGGTTGCAATTGAAAGGTGGCTTCAGACCCACGAGAGATCGCCGTGCACCAATCTCAAATTAAAACGCCGCCGATTGCGCCCAAATGGTGACTTGAAACAGCGCATTACCGACTGGACCAACGCTATTGACATAACCTCTCAATACGGCAATGGGGCTGAGAAGCTTAGTCTAAGTTTCAAGTCCCCGTTAGAAGCGTGGACTGTAGCCGTGGCCATGCATACAACCATGCATGACGTTTTTGCGATTGCCTTCCGTGGAACTCGTGGTCGCTATGCGAAGTTCACGCTGGACCAGAATCAGATACAATTAAATCCCAGTACAGTGTTGGCCAGAACCGCCATCGCACACGGTGGCGATATTCTCGTCAAACCCCTGACAATTGCCCAAGAGAATCAAGGCAGTGGCAAATACTGTCTGATCAAGGTTTACACTACCGGCGAGGAGGAGTATGTATCATACTGGGATCTCACAGGAACAGAAAAAAACCCTGGCCTCCGTGATCTTTCGCTACTATCGACAGCAATTCGTGCAGAATATTGCAGGTGTCCGCGAGTACATCGCGCTCTGGACCAACATTAGGTCTAGAGGTGATGGACACACGGTTGGTAGCATTGAAAACCATTGGACACCTTTGAAAAAGTTTCTGCATGACGAGTCCTGGTACGAAAGCCTCGAGAGTGAAGACCAATGGGATCTAGACGAGCAGCGTCCGCCACCTGTGTTCAAGGTCTGGTTGGGCGGTGCAGCTGCACGCTCAACCGCTGTACTATCCCGACTAGATGTGGTAAAACAGAGCTTCGAGGCCTTCATGAATAGGGTATTGGCCTACAATTTCCAGACCCACATAGGCCTTGTCACTATCAGATCCCAGCCAGCACTCGTCCAAGTCATCACACATGCCATAGAAGAGTTTCGTCACCAGCTCAACAACATTAGGGCTGATGGTGATACTGCACTCTGGGATTCGATATCACTTGCGCAGGATCAATTGCAGAGCTACTCTCAGCGGTTTCCGAAGGCGAAACTGCGAATCATTTGCTTGTCCGATGGAGAGGATAACAAATCTAGTCAAACGGTTCATGATTTGTCAGTGAGGCTCCTGCAAAGCAAAATTGTACTTGACTCGATTTCCATCGGCAACAATAATGACGAACTGAAAACCCTCGCACATCTCACTGGTGGTTACAAGTTCCATCTGTCATCAGTAGAGCAGGCGATGACTATATGCGAGTTGGAGCCAGTACTCTCCCAACTGGAGCGTCCAGAGATCAAGCTTCCTGCTTCTGCTTTCAAGCATCTATCAGTACCCAGAGTAAGATTCCTCGAAGCAGGTCACGACGTTGCAACCGACGAAGTCAGGCAAGACAAAATTCCTGATCGCAAAGTTCACCCTCTCCTGGGAGAATCATTTGTTGAACTCGGTACTTTTGCTCGACAGTCTAACATAGCTAGCCGCAGCGACAACAATTCCCGGTTATCTAGAATACACAATGAGCTTCGGAACACAGGGGCTAAAGGGCATCCAAGCTATGACGTGTATGTCTGTGAGTCAAACATGGCCTTCTGGAAAGTCGTCATAGAGGGTCCGACAGAAAGCTCATTCGTTGGGGGTACATTTCTCATCTACCTTGAAATGCACGACAACTTTCCTGCATTCGCCCCTGAATGTCGTTTCGTGACTCCCATGTATCATCCGAATATCAACAGTAAGTCTATCAAGCCTTTGGCGCGATCTTTCTAGACTGACAATTAATCACAGGACATGGTCGCGTTTGTCATTCGATATTCTCGCGCAACTGGACTGTGGATACAACGGTGTCGGATCTCATCAATGCTGTTTATTCGCTGCTACTGATTCCAGAGTTCAGCGATCCCATGTAGGTGTTTCTCTTCTGTGAACTCATACGCATCGACTAACCTTGCTAAAGCAACACTTTGGTCACCCTCCAGTGTCGATGGGATGAGGCACAGTACAAGGAAGAACTGAAGAAGCATATTGCGAAGTATGCACAGAAGACGCGTGCGCAGTGGAAGGCCGAAATTCTCGGATAGACTTAGCGGGAATATCTGAGAAACCATGCAGTGTTTTTCCCAATGGTCCGAAAAGAAAAAGGTCTTCGTAGTTAGATGGTGCTCCATCTCAATCATTTGTTCTCAGCCGTAGATAGACCCAATGTATCCCGTATGAAAGGAAACAACCTGTTGTCCCATGCCTGATATCCCCTCTCATCAAGATGCACATGGTCGACCAACATATCTTTCCCAACCGCCCCCCTCGACTCGATCCACACCACCCTCTCTTCACCAAACTCCCTATTGATATCCCCCACGATTCCCTTCAACATGTCGTTCCCCCTATCCACCAACTCATCACTGACGTCCAGCCTGTAAAACATATCACAAGCAAGCAACCTGCTCCCCGGCGCCACCCGCAAGCACCCCTCAACCAGAACCCTCCAACTCTCCACATCCGCCTCCCTCAACCCACGCTTCGGATGCAAATTGTTCGTTCCGGACACCAGCACCCACAACTTGACACTCTCACTACCACCGTGGCGGCGAAGCACGTCAAACAGCCCGAGCTCACTCACCCCCGCGCATCTGTAAATCACATTCTCATTCCTATCGCCCCCGCACCCCGCGTTCCACGACCCGGGGACCTGAGACGCCGTCTTTGTGGCGCTTCCCGTCGTCTTCAGGCGCTCGAGCATCGAGTTGCCGAGGTAGATTGCTGTTATTGGGGTTTTGGTCGTTAGGTCTGGGCGTGGTGTGAAGGGGTCCTCAGGGGGAGGGGGGTTGGAGGGTGATGGGGATGGGATGTCGAGGTTGAGGCTGAGGCGGGAGTTGAGTTCTGGGAGGTGGATTGTCTGGTGTGTGGTGTGGGAGCGAGGTTTTAGCCTCGAGTGCTGTTGCAGGCGGGCGAGGAAGTCGGGGTCTAGGAGGGGTTGGGATTGTTGCGGTTCTTGCTGAGGTGAAGACATTGTGGTCTTGATTTGTTGATTATATGATGGTTGTGTAATTGGTTTGAGGTCCTTCGGGTTTGGTGAAGGGGTTCCGGGAAAGAGATGGGGGTTATATGAGGATTCAAGAAGTCTTGGTCCACACAAATTGAAAGGTTGTAAGAATGCCTTGCACGTATTTAATGAGTCATATCACGACACTCCGTCCACGTTCAAGATCGCACATGGGGTCTGGGAAAGCGAAGCTGTAATTTACAAGGGCGGAGGGCTGTGGCTGCGCATGTATAAGGCTTGGCGCAAATTCTAGAAAGAGTACTTTTCAATGAGATTGCCAAATAAGAGCCTTTGATGGCCATCGATTCTAACTAGTGTACAATCAGTGGAAGGGCATGGTTTTTGATGCAATCATTTTCCCAGGCAATATGGTGGTGAAATGATCAGACACAAAGGAAGATAGATTAGCGAATAGCCTTGAGATGGGCTAATCCTCACACCATTTTAGATCCTTTACTCGTCCTTGACACCTCCACGTCCGGCCCTCTCGGCAGCCTCGATGCTCTTCTTGTCGGTCTTAATCTCTCCGCCCTGCATGGCTCCCATGAGGCCGCCAGCTGCCTTCCAAGGCCTCTGCAAATCGCCAGTTGCGGGTTGTCCGAGCAAGTGAACCTTGACCAAGTTGCCCTCGAAAGCGCCCTTGAGAGGGATGATGGACTGGATCAACAGAGGGTTGGTGTACTTGAAGTAGAAGTGCATAACAGCCATCATGCCGACACCCATGAGTTGGGTCTTGAAGAGCTGGCGGAGCTGGGAGAGATCGTAGGCCTTGACGGTGGTAGCGACGAACTTGGGCTCCTCGCCGGAACCCATGGGGGCGGGCTCGACGTACTTGACAACGGTCATGTCTGTTATAGTCAGCATATATATACTTGCAGGCCAATTTCGAGCGCTGTCTATGTCGGCCTCCTCGGGATTCCTGCACGTACCATTCTTCTTGTTGATGATCGACTGGACATAGAGGTAAATGCCGGCGATGATAACGTTGGACAGAACGTAGAGAGCGCGGACGCCGTTCAAGACATCAGGGTTATCGAAGGGCACCTTCTTGGAGATTTGCATGAACCCCCTGGATATCAATTAGTACACAGAAATTACTGCGATTCGGTTTGGAGCTTCCTACAAGATGATGATGAGGTTGGTACTAAAGCGCAACTGTTAGCAATTTGGTTGAATATACGGGGAAAATTCCTGGAGGACTCGCGGAGACATACACCTGAGGGTTGAGCGCCATGGTGACGAATTGAGGATGACCTGAATCGACTGTCGACTGCTGAAGAAGTACCGCAAAGGGATCGAAAAGCCCGCACCGTACAGAAGAGAAGGTTGATGGTGAATAGCGAAAGTGCAACAGTTTGATGGGAGGGGAGCGAGAGAGGAGAGGCTCTTTCTTGTGGTGGCTTGGCGGCACGAGAGGCCACCTTCCATACTCGTACCAAACGGGGCCTAAACCGAATTGCGACATTCACCATTCTAGCCGCATCCATCAACTTCTCTGAACACTCTATCATTCAACTACACTCTTGCATCATCAAATACATCTTTAATTCATCAATTGTGAAATGTAATGGTTCTTCTTGTTAAGCCACTGTGTCCACGCCCATATTCATAGACCTAGAAGAGATCTTTACATTGTAAAGCATATTTTCGGCTTCTTCCTCAATGCCAGCCACTACACGACATCAGCCTTGATAGAATGGGAACAACAATCATATTTCCGTCTATGAAATTTGCTTTTCCCATTAACATTGGCATCGTTACATAGGTTATCCTACAGAAATAGAGAACACTCATATGGAAATCCATCTCTCGACAATGAAAGACAACTTATTGTATCAGATCAAATACCAGTGGAATCGCTGTTATTGGTTGTGTGCTTTTGGCTTGCTTCGCCCTCAAGCTTCACCAAGTGATTCGTTCTCTACGTATCTACGGTCCTTTGGTACTCATGATGTGCTGGATCGGGATTGTTTACCTCCACAAATCTTTCAATTAATATATCCTTTGGGTCGACCAATATTCAACAGGAGATGGGAATTCGTGGCTAGCTCAATTAACGTACTTGAATTCGCAAACTGCGAGATTGATTCTAGTAGTGTACCACCGCTCTGGTGTGAGAAGATCATGCGCAATCTCTAATATTTGGACTGTGCCAACTTCCCCCAAGATATCCTATGCTGCTGTATACTTAGGTATTCAAAAGATACTCACATTCATCCGTTTTGCGAACAAAGGCTAGAATGCATATCCACTATGCTCATTTCTTATGCCATTGATTCGACATCGTTGTATGACACAAGCGCACGAGAAGATTGGACACTCCCAACGTTAGACCAAGTCCGCTAGCAGGAAAGGCCCACACATACCAACATTCAATTATACAGAACAATTCATTGACGTGGAACCTTCAGAAACTACCCTACCATTATTGAAATCAAATCGAAGAATGCAATACGTCCTTCTTCAGCTGTAGAGAGCTGATTTCCTGAGATAGCTAGCTTCGGGTGTATTTGCGGTGCTTTTGAATCTTGGAGCAATGTATCCTCCTCATTACAAAGATAGCGACGGCCTTTATGAATTGGTTTCCAATCATTATATGCCAATTGGTAGATGTAAGTTCATACCAAAAGCTCCCATCGACGCGAACGAGACCTACGCTAGTCTCCAGCATTCCGTATGCTAGAAATCAAAGATCCGATCTTAATCGCAATGCATCTCAGGGTCAGTCCCATTGTACATGTCCCGTATCTGCTTTTGTTGGTGCTTTTTATTGCATGCAGTTTCCATGTAATCGAGGATATGGTTTGCGTTACACTTGATTCCATGTCAACTATTCCGCTCCCCATCCGCCCTATCAGACAGACATGCATCAATGTCCCAGGCCTTATCTCCCTATAAACCATAGGACTATGAGTATCAATTATTATGATTCACTATCAATTAAGCAGTGGCTCGGACATATCTCATCTACCGAAAGTCCGGAGAGAATCATAGCCATGATCATAGAAAAATGTTGATTTCCAATGTGGTTTTCCAGAGCTAAGATCTGGATAGCGGAAACTTTCCGCGCAATCTCTCGCCAACGGCGATTTAGGCCGAAACCTACACCTAAATACGATAAGTTGGAGCTTCATAACTGGATGCTAATTGGCATTTCAGCAATCGGAGCGGCGCCATTCAACCCTGCATGTCAGTTCTGCCCCGCCTGTCTAACATGCTTGTAATTGACCAGATATGGCATGTCCATGCGGTTGTGAAACGGAGACCTCACTTCCCACACTGTTGCTGTTCGATTTTCGGCCAGACTCGAGATAGTTTTAGAGACTGGTTTGGTTCATCGGCGGGGAAGCAATTGCTCCGAAAGTGCGACAAGATACACTAAAGGTGTGTCTGACGATCTGTAGCAATCTCGCCCTATCTCAGGGTGGCGGAACCGTTCCTAGATATCTCCTGGCAGATGCGTATGACGCCCACGTGAGTCTACTATCTTCAATGTTATATCTAGAAGACCAATGTCTTCTCTGCTCCTCATCATCTCTATCGTTCACGTCTTCCTCATATCATCTTCTCCGATAGCTAATCAATTGACCATTCCTTAGACAACCAACCCGGAGCTCGGGCACAAGTATCAACATGGCACCTCATCCATTCCGCACACTCAATCTCGAGGAAACCCGCATAGCAAAGCAAGTCATTCTAGCTTCTCATCCAGATGTCGTCGTCGACTTCCGCGAGATCTTCTTGCAAGAGCCGGCCAAAGAGCTCATGAAAGAGTACCTTGCTCTTGAGCACTCATCAACACCTGGACAATCGCCCACCTCGAAAAGACCACCTCGTCTCGCAAAGTGCCAGTATGATGTCATTGGATCAGACAAGATTCCTGAGTACCATGAGTCTATCGTCGATGTTGAAACCAGTACGCAGGTCAAGCACGAAGTCATTGGCAAAGACACTCAGGCGTCATTGACAATGTGGGAGTTTGATACTCTCATCGGTAAGCTGATATACAATGTTTCCATCCAATCGCATAACTGAATCTATACACAGAGGCGTGCCAGAGATCAGAAGAATTTCAGAAAGCCATCTCTGAGTTCAAATTCCCAGATGGGTTCGAGCTCGTGATCGAGCCCTGGTACGTCTTCTCTCCCTCTCCCTATACATCTCCAAACTAACCTCTACGCTACAGGCCATATGGCGGTCTTGATCTTGGTTCTGAGAACCGCCGCTATTTCCAAGGTCTCTGCTTCGCCCAGGATACCCGCAACAAGAACGCAGATTCCAATTTCTACGCCTACCCCCTACCCTTGATTCCCGTGCTGGACGCCCACAAGAAGGAGATCGTCCGTATCGACCGTCTCGCCACAGGCGGAAAAGGCGACTCGCTGACCGGACAGACACACTCCGAGCGCGTGCTAGATCACTGCCAGTCTGCAGAATACGTGCCAGAACTTCTTCCGGGCGGAACCAGGAAGGATATGAAGCCAATCAACATCACACAGCCAGAAGGAACCTCGTTTACAGTGACAGACGAATCATTAGTCGAGTGGCAAAAATGGCGATTCCGAGTATCGTTCAACCCCAGGGAAGGCGCAGTCCTGCATGATGTCCACTACGATGGACGAAGCGTGCTGTACCGCCTCAGTATAAGCGAGATGACCGTTCCATACGGTGACCCGCGACCGCCGTTCCATCGAAAGCAGGCTTTCGATTTTGGCGATGGTGGTGCTGGAAACTGCGCAAATAACCTGTCCTTGGGATGTGATTGCCTGGGAGTGATTAAATACTTCGACGGAGTTGTCGTTGGATCCAACGGTGAACCAAAAGTGCATCCCAACGTAATCTGTCTCCACGAACAAGACAATGGAATTGGCTGGAAGGTATGTACACATTGTTTACTTCCTATACTCCCAGAGCTTGACTGACATCCACGATACAGCACACGAACTGGCGCACAGGCCGGGCAGTCGTGACCCGCATGCGCGAACTCGTCATCCAATTCATCATCACGCTCGCAAACTACGAGTACGTCTTCTCATACCACCTCGACACCGCAGGCGGCATCACCCTCGAGGTCCGCGCGACCGGTATCGTCTCCGTCGTCAACATCGACCCAGGCAAGACCTCCGAGTACGGAAACGTAGTCTCAGGTGGCGTGTTGGCACAAAACCACCAGCACATCTTCGCAGCCCGTATCGACCCCGCGATCGACGGACACAAGAACACAGTCCTGCACGAAGAGTCACATACCGCACCCTGGGACCCGGCGACGAACCCGAACGGCAATTTCTACGAGATCCGCAAGACGGTCGTCGAGCGGTCTGCTGGGCTCGATGCCGCGCCGGAGCATAACCGCGTGTTCAAGATTATCAACCCTTCGAAGCTCAACCCGTTGTCTGGAAATCCGGTGGGGTATAAGTTCATGCCTCCGCCAACGCAGAAGCTGTTGGCATCGAAGGGGAGTTTGCAGGCGAATAGGGCACTGTTCACTGAACATCATGTGTGGGTCACGAAGTATAGAGATGACGAGTTGTATGCTGCGGGCAGGTTCACGCTGCAGAGTCAGCATGAGCGTGGTGGAGTCTATGATATGGCGAAGAGGAATGATGCGGTTGTGGATGAGGATCTCGTCGTTTGGAGCGTGTTTGGGTTGACACATAACCCGAGGGTGGAAGATTGGCCCGTCATGTAAGTGTTTTCTTGGGAATCTTTGCGAACCGAAGTTGAAGCTAACGAAAACTCTCTTCTAGGCCGTGCGACATATTCCAGGTTCACTTCAAGCCAAGTGATTTCTTCACAGCGAATCCGGCCATTGATGTGCCGTCAACAAAGAACAACGCTTCAGTGTTAGCAGGGAAGGAGTGCTGTGTGGAAAAACTATAGCGAGCCAAGATATTACATTGTGAAATCAAGATCGAGCCACTGTTGAGACAATTATGTATATTCACTATATAAAAACCTGTATGATCCTGCGACACCTCCCACTTCTTAGCAAAGCAGTGCTGAAGCTAGGGTACCTCGCAAACGATCCGCGCATACTGTGGTCCGAAGACGCTGAAGAGATTCGATGCTGGCCCTGCTTGACCAGAGGTGGCTTCCGGCCTGAAAGAACACGTACCGTATGCAACGGTGCGAGCCCACATGTCCCCGTTACAGGCGGGGCAAGCACCTACACCTACTTGGCTCTCAACAGCTCCACACTGCTCTAAGATGGACACAGATATGCGTGATGGCTATCTTGGCTTACTGTCCGAGGGAAAAAGATACGTAGAAGGTGCGTATTTCTCCGTTGGAAAGCCGTGGTGAAGGTGACGTTCGCTCGATGCACACTGAAAAGCGGCAGAGAATACGTGCTATATGTCTGTATCTACCTAGTTAGTTGGTCAGTTGAGAGGAGGTGGGTGGAGGAGAGAGGGTGGAGGGGAGGAGGAAGTAGGTCTTTTATATGTTGTGATTAGTGCCCCAGGCAACCATGTCTCCCACGTGTTGGGACCACGCATAGAGCTCCAAATGATACATCACTTTTCGTAAAATTGTTTCGCGCAGTTTTCTCGCTTCGCCAATGGGCAAAGCTCAAGAATGAATATGAATTTCTAAGAAGCAGAGGCGCACTTGTATCGTACCCATCCCCAACGCCTTGCAATGCACATTTTGAACACAGACCAGCTCTCCTACTGATGCTCCCGAGCACCAAACGTTCAAGCACCAGCTCTCCTCCTCTCGACCTCATCCTTCAGGTGCACAAGATCCTGCTCTGTCGCCTCGAACTCGAGTGCCTGCTTGACCCAAGCATCTGCCTCGTCCAGTCTCCCCATCTCCAACAAGCACTTTCCTCTCCTCCACCAGGCTTTTGCATTTCCGACCTTCTTCATCTCCACACTTGCTTCAGCATCCACAGCCCCCTCGGCCCAGTTCTGTTGCGCCATGTTCGCTTGAGCGCGATTGCTCAAAAGGCCAGACACTTCCTCTCTGACGAGCCCACTGGGCTCCCAACCTGGCCGGCCGAGGGCCATTTCCACTGCGAGAGAATACATGCGAACCGCTTGTGCGTGGTTGCCTTTCCTGAACTCGGCGTTGCCCGATTCGCGTAGTTTGCCGATTTGTGCAGAGCGCTTGGGGTTTACTGGTACTGGCGGCGGAGGAGTACCAGTGGGAGTCTCTACAGTAAGGAGAGATCGGTGGAGAGCATTGAGAGTGGCAAGCTCGGTAGCCAGAGCATTGCTGGAGGTTCCTGACGCGGAGAGTGCTTTCGTCGCCGGGTCCATTTGTAGAGGAAGCTGTGTGAAGGTGTCGAGAGACTCCAGAGCTAATTCGGGGCCCTTCGATTGAGGGGTGTTCTGAGCGTAAGACATTATCAAAGGGTTGTGTCGCAATGGCGATCGCAATTGTGTGGTTGAGACTTATGTGTTTTCGTTGCTTGTTGGACCACAACTTTGTGATGTCGAGAGGACACCTTGAGGTTGGGATGATTCCGTTATCGATAAGAGACATATAGACACGTGACGCGACGATCACCTGAACCTCCGACATCTCCTTCCGCAATCCATCCCACGCTAATCCACCTCGGTTCTCCGCAGTTGTGAATGGTCCCACATCGTGTTCATCGTGTTCCCACAACTGCCGAACGTTATTGACGGTATTATATCTCTTTTCGGATGGATTGCGGACTTCATTTGAGATGATCCTCTCGTCGGAATGGTGGAGCTTTGTTCCCAAAAAGGGGTCCACCGCTACCATCAGGGTCCTCAGAGCTCTCTCTATTCTATACTCGTCATATATCCTCAGGTTCAGCGTAGCAAGACAAATTACAAGTGAACATTCTTACTCTAACATGGGTCATATATCTCAGCTTCCAAATGAAATCCTCCTTGAAATATTCGAGCATGTCAAGCATTCTGGGCCCGTTCACCTGAGCAATGCTATGCAATGTTGTCGAGCTTGGTACGCGCCCGCTGGGTCTATTCTTTACAGGAACGTCCATCTGGACTCCAACATTTCAGATGATTCACCCGCAGCTCTGTTCATGCGAAGTTTGAAATCGAACAAAGCGTACCAAGTTCAATGTTTGAGTATTCGTATCAGTCGAGGACATTTGATAGGCCTTCGCAATGAAACACCTAGATCATATCAACGACTGCTGGAGATATTGGAAGGGCTACCACTACTGGACCGATTGACAACCTTTTCACTCGCGATGCAGGAACGAGGTCGAGGAGCTCCGTATCCCATCCCCTCAGGCGTCATCTCCAAACTTCTCGCGAATCTGCCGATGACAGTTCGAAGCCTAAATCTGGAATGCGACGCACCCGATGCAAGTGTCCCCGCAGCGGGTGCGTGCATGTGCAAGACTCTAGGAGCTTTACTTCCACAATTGCGGCATCTGAGGCTCCGGTTGCCTCATTGCTGCCACTCACTCTTCGACGAATTGACCAGAACGAGGGATTCTTCTTATCCCCTGGAGCATGCCGTTATCCGACTTGACGTGACTCCTACCTCCTTGAATTTCGAGCCATCCAGTGAACAAGCTACGGGAATTGGAAAAACCATATGCGCCCTCCAAGAAGCAGGCACATTTCCAATGTTGCGCCGCTTCGCCATCATCGACCGAGTAGATTGTCCCCCTTCTCCTCGAAACGACATCTGGAGCGTATTTCGGGTTCGCAATATTCAGAGAAACTCCGTGACCACCACTATCTTCCCTTGGTGCGCTCGGGGCGGCTCAAGCTCTTTGTACATGATCCGTGACTCTGAAGGCGATTGGTTTGGCTCATTCCAGGACGTTTCCAGCGCATTGGAAGGAGACCTCAGCTGGACAGGAAACTGCCAGGCACTTCAGCCTCGCCGGTCTCGTTCAAGTGAAAGTGATCTAGTAAGCAATGCTCCGTGGCTACTCGATCGTTCCAGTTTATCTTCACGCGACTACGTCAGCAAGAACTTTGGTGTCTCGTTCCGTCTGTGGAAGCATGAGGACATGATTGGCAGACGGTTGCTCCAGGTTTACACCACTCCGGGGTTCGTCGATACAAGAGTTTTAACGGAAGAGGTTCCATACGGTTGGGGCTGGGCTCGCGGAGGGCCGTGGGGATGGACTTTACAGCGTATGGTATGAGCAACTGCGAGAGAGCATCTTGGTGTAGCACTTCAACTATGATCATAGGAAGAGATGGATGAACTCGAATTATTAACAAAGCAGAGGCTAAACCTTCTCAATCACATGGATCAGGAATTCCATACTCAAATCCATCGCTCAGGAAGTCCGCAGAAGGTACTAAATACAGACTGCGCCATACACGTCACGTAAAGAAAGAAAGACTTCAAATGTACAACTTTTGGTTTCAGCAACACCAGGAATTATCGACCATCACATCCTCACTCCCCTCCCACCGCCCACATCAACACTCGGACACCAATACCTCTTCTCGCACCTCGTCGACCCATCTCTAAACAGCAGCCCCGTCTGCTTAAAGCACACGAACGGCTCGCCCTCGAACGACCCCGTCCCCGCAATCTCCCCGCTCTTGAGCGCCGCGGCGCCCTTGTCGATCGTCGCGATGAACCAGTTGTCGCGCTCGAATTCGGCCTCCCGGACCACACCCTCCCAGGCGGAGCGGCCGCGCGAGACTTCGCTGAGCTCGGGGGGCCAGGTGGTGGTGGATTTGGAGGGGCCGGAGGGGTAGTATCTAGAGTGGAGGGTGGGTTGTGAGCTTGTGGGAGAGTTTAAGAGGGGAAGGAAGGGGAGGGGCATTGCAAGGACGTACGCTATGGCATCGAAGTTCCCGGTATCGTCGGAGCACGAGACGAGGTAGAAGTTTTTGGCTGAGCCTTGTGGTGCTGCGTAAGCTGTGGAGAGGTACAGGCAGAGCGCGGTCGTCGCCTGGGATAGCTTCATCTTGTGTCTAGTACCTCTGGGACGATGAGTAGGAAGGTGGATGTATGCAAAATGGGAAGTACACTATGAGTAATGATCGACGGAGCGCAATTGAATTGCTTTTATACCAGCTTCTTCCTCTATTAATCTCTACGAATGATGATATATACACGTAATACCCGCGGAGGTCTCTGAGAGCTTTGTGGCGAGTTTGCTGGTGGAGCAAATATTCAATTAGAAGATGTGTCCCTGCGGAATCCAATTTGGCTATGGCTTCGCCGAATCAAGAATTACACCGTGAGGCCATGATAGCCCCAAGACAATTTCTTCCATTGTTTTCCCCAATCGGCGGAATTCAAGCTACAGGGGGCAGCTCTTGATCGCTAGTTGGCAAAGCTTATGTCGATATCCGCGCACTGCTTTCATTGTTTCGAATGTAATTGCCGAATAATACGTAATATGATGGCCATATGGTCGCTTGCGTGTATAATTGTTTATTGTTGCTGTGCTAAGCTAGCCGGCTTGGAGGATATAAACATGCACAAGGTATTGGCGACGATGGTTTCGAAGCTCGTCCAACTCTTGTGATGTTTTGGGGCTTTCGCGGAGCGGATGCATGGCTTCTTTGGGTAGCCTGCTTATTTCGATGCTTAAAGATATAAAAGCTGAGCTTCATATTGGTCGGCTTTTATGCCCGCCCTACGATCATGTGCCCTTGGACACGTTCGTTGTGCCGCTTTCGGGGGAGGTCACTCTCGGTTATAGAGTTAAGAGGCCTGGGTATGGATTCTTTTAGCCGTAAACCCCGGATCTCATCTGGGTTCGCCAACTTAGGTGAACTTGGCGAGTAAATATTCCAGAGCGATCAGAAGGGCGCGTATGCTATCTTCGTGTCGGCAGGGTAGGTAATAGCAGTTGAATCGTTAAAGTTGATAGGATCGCCCCAGAAACCCTACTTCTATTAGCGATCAGACTGCTCAAGCACGTTGTTTAAAGACTTACCCAGTCAAACTCGGGCATTGGCATTGCCTGGTCTTGTTGTACATCACCAACTATGTTTCCGATGTTTATGTCATCCCAGTTAAACGTTGGATTGAGCATATCATTCTGTAACGGCGGCGCAGCCTGCTGTTGAAGCATCGCCTGTGCATCGGTATCCACGACGTCTTTGGTGGTCGGTGAATAGGCGTAGGGTGGTATCCGATCGATCAATGGTGGTCGTTGTGCCTCAACGGTCTTATTCACCGCGTATGGCATTGGAGGTGGAATGGGTTGCTGTGGTCTGTTGTATTGCTCCCCTAGGACCTTGTCAATCATGCCTTTGACAACTGACCAAGCTTTCGTGGTATTATTCTCTTTCAAAAGACGCGACATTTCGAGTGACTGCAGTGCCCTTTGGCGATCAGGAGAATCGAACATGGGATTCCGCAGTTCAGAAAGAACGTGCATAATGGCTTGCTGTGTTCTTGTTAACACCAGATAATCACGAACAGGTAAGGTGAACTTACAAATGCAGCGTGGCCACCGATGTGCCAGTGGAATCGTGCGGCATCCGCGTCCACACTTGCACCGTTCAAAGTCTCAACGCAGTTGACGGACTTTTCGAATATGCTACGGCCAATGTTAGTGCACTAACAACCAAGAAACACGCGTGCTACCTGAATACTTACGATTTGCGGATTTCATCTGAGAAGACGACATCCCGATACGCCCGGGGCATTCGAAGCCAAAATAGCAGATAGCATCTCCATTCTAGAAGGGAAGCTAGACCCATACATAGCCGCTGGAAGGGAACCTCTGGGCTGGCATACTGAAGCAATCTTCGGTGGTTCTCTTCATGCATATCGTCTACCATGACCTTGATCTGCTCGTAGATTTTCAATAATTCTTGAACTGGATCAGGACCGGATGCTCCATACATATTCGACTCCAACATTCGTCGCTCTAAACGGTATGTGCTTTGGACTATTCGTCTGAGCGAGCGCATCCCAGTGAAACGAATAAGAGCGAATCCCATATTGGTGAATTTCTTCTGGTCATATGACTCTGGCCCTGGACTCGCGCCTTCTATAAGATCCTCATCCTCGATGTTCCTAGGCAACATTGTCGTGAAGTCTTCGTCGCTAAGAGATGGCTCCTGTCCTTTGCATTCGGCAGCTCGATATTCCAAGTGACAAATCTGATGCCACATTCGTCGGCGTAATTCTACAGTAACTGTATCCATCGATCCGGAAGGAAACAGCGATGGGTCCCTGTGTAAGCCTTGATTAAGAGCGATGCGTATGGCTACACCAAGGAGCGCCCATGCTCTACCTGTTGACTCCTGTTAATAATAGTTGAAAAATGTATTGAAACCAGTGCCTACCCATATCCTCTTCCTTAGTAATGCATGTAAGCCAAATGATGAAACCTTGCAACACTTCAAGACTTGATGTTGTCAAATAATTTTCCCGCGCGAGACTGATCTCAACACCCAATTCGTACTGAGTGAGCAGGTCGTCCTTGGTTCCACCAAACATTTGCTCACAGACTTGAGGTGGTAGAGAGTTGATTGCAGAGTAAAATATGGCGAAGGCAATCGGATGTAATTCCTGAATATACCAGGAGAACTTTCGGAGCAAGCTTTGCTTGTGAGTGATTCTCATCATTGGGTCCACGTTTGAGAAGTAAATGTCCAGAAGAGCGTTTTGATGTTCCTGCGATGAGGGTACGAAATTCATTAAGTTAATTCCAGTCTTAGAGCGTCCAAGCGATAACAGGTGAACCAGATTGTTTGCTGACTGCAAGGCGGTGTCAGTGTGATTTTAACAGTACTGTTTGAAGGACCTTACTCGTGTGTCATGGTCTTCTTCAACGCTTCTGTCTCCCAAAAGGGCTTTAATATCTTGTATCTTCACCAGAGGTCTCAGCATTTGTCACTTTTGCATGTTAGGAACGAAGGAACCACGCCTCACGCGGTGATGAGGGCCCTTCATTAGAAAAGAAATACACAAGTCACTAACCTCGTCAGCCAACAAAGCATAATGCAAAGAGGAAACGAATTGGGATTGGCCATCGTCTAGAAGAAGTGTACCGTCGTGGTTGTCCGATGATATACCAGCTCCCTGCGAGCTCTGGCTCCGTGAAGTAGGAGAGAAGTCGATTTCAGTGTCGCGTTTCTCCGTAACCAAAGGATGCTTCTCTGGAGTTCGTTGAGCTGCCGACTGACCAGCAACAGCTTTTTGGAGTAACACCTCCAGTCTTTCTAGCCTCGCTTGGACATCTGTGCCTCGTGATGATTTTGCAACATTACTCGAACTGGTAGGTTTCGCTACCCTTGTCGTACTGGTCGTACTTGTCGGTCCGACGGGCTGATCTGTCGCATAGGTACAAACATGACTGCCACGGGCGCAGGCACCGCATATGGGATGTACATGGTCACATCTAACTTTCCTTCGACGACAAGTCAGACATGAAGAGATGATTCTTTGACGTCCACCGGATGGTTGCGGTTTTCCGGATGAGGTCAAACCCGGCGACTGTGAGGATGTTCTCGAAGAGTCGTCCATTCTCTCTCCAACTTGATTCATGGAGGATCCCGGGGAGTTATGTTATCACCAACATTGGATATGACTGAGAGGCGACTTCTTTGTAGCAAATGTGTCAGGGAAGGTGGATTATAGTTAGTGGAAAGGGAAGGGTACTCGCAGGATTCGGAGGGTCGGTATCTAAAATGCGCCGCCTTTCGGTTGGCGACCATGATCGATGCCGCAAGAGGAAAGGATCAATCGCCTCAATCAGCCTCGCTCCAACGGGCGCTGTGATTGATCTCTTTACTTATCACACAGTAAGTCGCTAACTGTTCAAGGTTTTTCTGGAAAAACTTTGATATCCCCATATGATTCACTCCCACATGCACTAGTAGGCATCATCTATATGCCTCTCATCCAATCGTAATGATTCATCATACAGGTACCATCAAGATGATTACTCGTACCCCTCCACCCCTCTCTACTCGTCCAATCTCACTAACAAACAAAGACCTCGGCTCATGCAGCCAGATAAAAGAAAAGAAATGACGAAACACCTTGGAGCTGAGGTAAGCGTTCCTCTGCCTAGTTGTCCATAGTACTACGAATAGATATCAGTCCACTCGCCCTTTTAAAGGGGGCGTCAATTTTCACATGTTCTGTTATGTCTCACGCTTATCATTGTTTTATGCCTACACGTGTATATTTGCGAGTACATTTGTGAGGCGTTTAGACCGTTGAGTGGTCACAATATCCTCCTGAATATCCAATTCAGAAAATACATGAAGCTAGCATTCGGCCAGTCCGACGTTGGCTACCCTCTGTAGTCGCTCTATCTATACCTCGGAATGGACCGGCGACTTCTCCAACCATGGATCGACCTCATGCATTGCTTCAGCTAGAATATACTCGTACGGCCTTGAAAGGAGGGCCATTCCAAGCTCTTACGACCGCCTCAGCAACTAGCTTGTGAATTGCCTATCGTTGTGTCAATAGTGGAGAACGCCAATCAAGTGCACTCAACGTTAATCCTCGTGTGCACACAACTCAAAGGAAGAACTTACCAGCCCTGGATGATAATCATTGAACCATAGACAACTCTTCCCGTCAGAGTTGAAACAAGTGGCATCCTTGCTTCCATACTTCTTAGGATCGTTGATTGCCGCATTGAACGGCGCCTGGCTGTCTACCACCACAGCCCTGCTGTCCTCATGTCGAGCCTTGAAACTCCCCGTACGATTGGCCAAAGCGTCATTGAACTGTACGATATACTTGGCCTCCAGCTCTTGTGCCTGCTTCGACTGGCCCAGCATCAGCGGGGACTTATTGATCGCTACACGACATGTCAGCTCCGCCGTTCTTGCCAATGAAAAGTGACTCCACAACGAAGAGTCAATCGTTCAACCTACGTGGGACGCTCAAGAACACGAAATTCCTCGCGCCAGCCCGATACAAAATCTCGACCTGCCCGAAGTAATCATCCAGGATTTTACCTAGAAGCACAGAGTCGTTCTGTCCGTACGAATTTCCTACATCGTTGACACCCATCCAGATACCGAACAAGCTCTCCTTTGGCGTCCAGGGCGGATTCGTGGCGAGGCTGCTGCTGCTGAATTGCTTGACCTGGTCGATCAGGCTCTTTACCTCAGGCTTGTAGGGTTTCACCAGCGAGGCGTTGACTGTTGCTCCGCCGTAGGCAAAGTTGTAAGAGTACAGCAGTGAGGAGTTGTATGTGGTGACGAGATAGCCAATCCAGTTCGGGCCTCCTGAGGAGGTGTAGCCTGGGTAGGCTGGGTTTCCAAATGGATTGGATGCAGATGGTTTGGAGAGGTTGATGTCGAAGCCGGTCTGGCTGTAAGAGTCTCCGCTACAAAGGTTTGTCTGTTAACCCGCTGGGTATAGTATGGGGTTAGATGAATCGAACTTACAAGCTGATGAAATGAGGAATTGCAAGAGCGACGGGCAAACTTTGAAGAGCCGTCCAAGCTAACGATACTCCCATAACCAAGCGTGAGAAACCCATTGTATGTTTTCACTGTAGATCAAATGCTTCTTTGCAATTCCTACTGATCTAAAACAATGGCATATTTTATACTTCCTAACTCCTCAATATCTAATTACACTTCATATGGAATTTCTTTATTACTTCCATTTATTCCGTCTCTAGTCCCTCACCCAAAGTGACTAGATACATCTATCTTGAATACCATTCGTAGACACTTTCGCTACGACCGTGACGCGGAGGCAGACGTTCCTTGGTCAATTGGGACTAGCCAGTGACCACCACAACAATTATGAGTATTGAACTACAATGCTTCGAAAGCACGTTTTGAAGAATATTCAAATATTATTGTTCGAAGTCCTTCAAGACATTCTTTTAGCACACCAAGGCAGTGATTAATAGTATTGGGACGCGGCACGAGCACGTAACATCCACGTCGACCAGGGTCCATCATACGTTGTAGCCAATTCGATCACTCGACTGCATCGAGCGGTTGCGCTCCCATGAGTGCATTGTATGTACGAGTATTACAAATGCATCACCAACATACAGCTTTCGAAAAGGTTTTTTAGCAAACGCAGATTCAACCAGGTGCAATGTGAGCAGGCATCTGAATATGGGGGAATTGAAAATACCATGCATAAGCTAACCAAAAATTCTAAGACATCCACCCATCAGCCGCCTAATGCCCAACAGCAATGCCTCCTAAAGCAAAGCCACGATCTTTAAGCTTGCCATCTCTCGGGCGTAGCCATTGAAATAGGAGAAAACAACCCCTACGTCTACTCACAGAGGAGAACGATGAGACGTTAGACGAGATATACCACGGCTAACAGTGCTCCTACAATCACAAACCCCAACCCACCGTCGTCACAACCAACTACAACTTATACTTCCACCACACCCCGAAATCCCAATCTCACCCGCATACCTAGACTCACAAACACCCGCATGATCGAACCCACCGTTCGTCGTCCCGAACGTCAGATACACAACATGTACGTTGCGTGCATACAATGACACGCCGTCAAACCAGCCATTCCCCCTACTCACCGGTCTCATCCACGGCACATCCAGATCCAGACCCAACAAGACCACATCGTCTGCCATGAAACCTTCAATGACGTTCCCATCCATCCTCTCGCGCTATCCAGAAGCCATCATACAAAAACGGTAACACAGTGCGAGCAAGAGCACCCAGATGTCAAGCGACCTGCCTGCGAGGCTTTCATAACTCGGTGCGTTGTTTTCCCACTCTGGAATCTATGTCTTCACTCGCTGTCGCCTAAACCATATCATACCCGTATGTGGTTATCTACATTATCCAGCTAGATGTGTGGCTTTAGCGTTATGATGTAATACTTTGCTGCTTTTGTTTGGTCACTGAGCTGGTGTTGCTGGGAGGACGGCGGTGGGCCTGAAATGCAGAGCGACTACAAAGTGACACTCGTGCCGGCTGCGTCTGCTGAGGATGGATACTCAAATCGGTAGCTTGCCGCGGTGGTGGAGGAAAAGTTGGCATACATACATAGAATGTAAAATTTATACATACATGCACGCACGCATCCTACGACGACATCATACATCCACTACCTAATTACACACATCGGATGCAAGTATCCCATCGTGCCTATTGTTCAATTTCTATCCAACAGACGAAACGAAGAAGGGAACGAAGAAGGGAACGAAGAAGGGAACGAAGAAGGGAACGAAGAAGGGAACGAAGAAGGGAACGAAGAAGGGAACGAAGAAGGGAATCGAGTACGACACAGCCAATCAATTGAGCAGAACAAAACACCGCTTAATCGCTGCGTCCCATTGAATCCTTCCGGTCAAGGTGGAATCAATCAAAAGCCACTCCGTTCCACCCAAAATCGACTTCAATCGCACGTAACTGCGATGTTGCAGGGACAAAACAGAAGTCAAGCGATGTGAGGTACATATACATACATATGCAGCAAAGAAACGAAGCCTCCTCCGTCCGAGTTAGGCAATTATTTATACGAGAAGGAGCAATTACTGCTACGTGCATTGAATCAACCTTATCCTATGTACAGCAGCGGAATTCCACCACAGTCGTAAGTTACTTTGTGAATGCCCCCCCATCTTGGCGCTCGTCATTACCCATGTCCCCCTCTCGCTTGACAAGGGCTCCTGATTTCCCCTTTAGCGAGTAGACCGATTCTCTCCACGTCCCCATCGGACGCTTCGGGGGGAGAAAAATTGCACTTGTTCAGTTAGATGTGCAATTATAGAAACCCATGTAGCGACCATGGACGATCTGGCGGAGGAGGAAAGCGCGGACGGTGGAAACTGGGGAGGGGCGTGCGGCGGAATTAGCTAGGTACTCGACAATTGGGCGGTGGGGTTTAAGCTCGTTATATCCGAGAACGTTGTGGAATTGGGAATTGGGTGAGGGGAGCGCACGAAAAGCTGACGCCAGCCCCAGCCTCAGCCCTGCCTGTCCCAAGGGTACGAGGGTATCTGTCGTGGCCGGACGAAAGCAAAATAGAACTAGCACTAACGTCTAACTGGGGAAAGAGAGGGCATCTCAGCCCATTGGATTCGTCCAATTGTGGAACCCTGGCTTTTTTGAGATTGCTCCTAGGGCTTGTGTCTGACGGAGGAAGCGGGGGATGCTGCGTGAGAGCTACGATGTTAGGGGTTATGTCCCCTCTCGCATGATGCGTGTCGACGGGCTGGGATCGGAGCGGAGCTGTGGGTTGTCTTGGTAGAGTTTGGTTGGGTAGGGAGTGCATGGAACGATGAGGAGGTCGGAGACATTTGTTGATGCTGAAAGGTATAAAGAGTGGCTGCTTTCCGTCCGTCTTCGAGATATCAGAAAAGAGACCATCATTTCTTAAACTTCATCCATTACCGCTCAATTCGAATTCAATTCAACTCGGAACGCTCATCGTGACTTCAAACCAAAAGGATACAGTACATAGCGATTGGTTCTGAAAAGTATCATTCGACATCATGGCACCTCACACGGGACTGTTCATCAACAACGAGGTAAACACTTCCCTCCCTCCGCCGCCATACCTAGCCATTGCATCTCCACAGCCCTAGAATCACTACACAAGCACCCAAGTAACACAAAGACAATACATAGTACATCGATGCCACTTCCGGCGAAACCCTCACCATCCGCAGCCCACATGACGACTCCCTTGTCGCCGACAACGTGCAAGTAGCCAGCTCTGCCGACGTCGACAAGGCCGTCAGCGCCGCCCGCGCTGCCTTCAAGGGCGAGTGGTCGACATGGACGCCTGAGCAGCGCCGCGTCGTAATGATCAAGTTCGCAGACATCGTGGAGAAGAACGCGGACGAGCTTGCGCAGTGGGAGACTAAGGCTATGGGCCAGCCGATCAGCGTTTCGAGGTCTATTATTGGGTTCTTGACCGCGGCTTTCAGGTACGTTTGTTTGTTTGTCTACTTGTCTGGTGTAGAGAATTTTGAGTGGGTGACTGGTGAGGAAGCTAATTCGAACGTGCGAATAGGTACTACTCGGGCTGGACGGACAAGATCCCAGGAGAGCAGTGGCCGGAGAACGATGGAAGTTACAGAATCGTCCAGTACGAGCCCATTGGTGTCTGTGCTGGCATCGGAGCTTGGAATGGGTCGCAGATCTTCTTCGGGTTCAAGATTGCGGCTGCGGTGGCGGCGGGTTGCACGTTCATCTACAAGCCGTCCGAGAAGTCGCCATTGGGTGTGCTTCAGCTCGGTGCTCTGATCAAGGAGGCTGGTTTCCCTCCAGGTGAGTGATTGAAGCGGTATTCCGACGACGTGGCACGGGCAGGTGTATCTGACAAGGGAATTCACAGGTGTCGTTAACATCCTCTCTGGAGATGGACGTGTCGGTGCCGCACTGGCGAGCCACATGGATATCAACAAGATCTCCTTCACTGGCAGTGTCTTCGCTGGTAAGAAGGTCCAGGAGTTGGCAACCAAGAGGTAACTTTCGTCGAGACGTGTAATGATCTCAATCTGACATTCGACAGCAATCTCAAGCGCGTCGTCCTCGAGCTCGGAGGAAAATCGCCATCCCTCATTTTCGACGACGCAGACCTCGAGAACGCCCTCACCCATTCCTCGCAGAACTTCCTCTTCAACACTGGCCAGGCCTGCGTTGCAGCGTCCAGGACCTTCATCCACGAATCGATCGCCGACAAGTTTGTCGAGCAACTCAAGGCACGATTCGAGCAATTCAAGCACGCAACTGGCGACCCGTCCGACCCAAAGACATTCCTGGGCCCCTTGGTGGATGAGAAGCAATTTGACCGGGTCATGGAGTTCCTGGAGATCGGAAAGAAGGAGGCCCAGCTCGTGACCGGAGGCGGCCGCCACGGCGACAATGGATACTATGTCGAGCCCACCATTTTCTTGAATCCCGGTGATGATGCACGAATCTACCGGGAAGAGATCTTCGGACCCGTCATCACTCTCAGGACGTTCAAGACAGAAGAGGAGGCTATCAAGCTGGCAAATGACACTGCCTTTGGACTATCAGGTAAGCTCATCTGGCGACGTCCAATTTAGGAAATTCCGGATCTAACAATTGGGTTAGCTTGTGTGTTTACGAGCAGCATCAGCCGTGCTCTGCGTGTCTCCAAGGCAATTGAGTCCGGCATGGTCAACGTCAACTCTTCGCAGACGTTCGGTATGGAAGCACCATTCGGAGGGTGGAAGCAATCTGGGGTCGGAAGAGAGGGTGGCAAGCAAGGTATAATGCACTACCTCGAGTCCAAGACCATCTCTATCAAGTAAGTTGGAACACATCTTCCACTAAAGTCATAACTGATGTGCTAACGCAAATCGCAGCATGAATGTCTAAGTACGAGATACGGAGTACATAATTAATTAGTTGCTGTAATCATGGCTCGGTGGGGGACGTGAGGAAGGGAAATTTGACATTGGCGGTGAGGGCAAAGGAGAGGGAGAAGGGGGGGTTGGAAAGGCCGCATTGCATTTGTAGGGCCAAATTGTGGGTAGTCGGTTTCGCAATTGTTTAAGCCAATGAAATGATGATCTCTAAATCACCTTCTTGTCAATCTCTGGCTAGATATGGTTCGGTTTCCCCGTGCTTGGTCTCGATCTATGCATCTACTTGGTATGGTTGAGTTTGTAGGCAGTACGGAATGCCGTTACCGGTATCATGTACCTCATCAACCTTGTTCTCGTTGGCTACGGATTCCCCACAACTAGCCATACGAGTACAAGTTCCTTTTCCTCGTACATGAGCCAGCCGCGGTTTTTGACTGACAAAGAAGGTCTGACGAAGTGTAGAATAGGGGGGTGGTAGTAGTTGTGATGTGTGGTGGCGCTCAAAGTACTCCCTATATCAACAGCAAACTTGGAGTATAAGTAACATGTAGACCAGACAATCCATTATTCTTTCAAAGGATTGTTTGGTAAATAGACTTTGTGCGACGGTGACGTATCACTCAGTAGTCACTCTGTCACTCGTTAAATTCCCGGGATCCATGGATGCTGGGGAAGCGAGGGAAGGACGAAAGAGTTCTAGACGATTGTGCTTGTACGAGTGCAGTAGAGGACAAGACGCCAGAGATAAACAAATCAACAACCACCAGACAATCACGTCCAATGATGATGCTAACGAGGACCAGCGATGGTGGCGTCTGGGAGTGTCCGCGTTGTTCCACCATAACGAAGCCCTAGTCCGTCCCCAACGTCTTTGTATCCAGCCCAGCCATCCCGCTACGACCACTGAGTGGAGCAGGAAGCGCCTGGACGTCCATCAAGGATTTGATTCAATCAAGCAAGCAAGCAACCATCCATGCAAACGCAATGCATCGCATCGATCCATGTCAAGGCACGGCGAGGCCTTTCCAGCCACCACGGCCTTCCATGAGGCGGTTTTTCCAACGTTGAGCTGTCACTCTCCACCATCCCACATTCACTTTCACATCCTCATCCTCTCCTACACGCAACAAACACACACCCAACACACAACAATCATACATTCACACAATCACAAACACGTCCCTACACCATTCGCATACACTAATTCGATCCCCCCTCCCCCGGAACGGTTCCCCCATCGTCTCCCAGCCACCGGGTCCCCATCTCATCATCCAGCGAAACAAATCCCGCCGTCTCCTTCGCTAAGATCCGATCTGACCTCAGAGGCTCAGAACCACACCACGCGCCGAACGGGTTCAAGGTCAACCTTCACCGCATTACTCTCCGTACTGTACATATACCTGGGCGCAGCATGCGCGTCTCGACATGAGAACCCCCGGAACTCCAGGTGCGTAACGTTCTATCTCCTACCCCCTCCTTGCTGGCGGAATTGCGCGAATACGAACTCATCCATACGGTAGATCCCAAAGTGCGCGGCTCCACCCTCGACGCCTTGAAGCTGTCCTGTCCATCGGCTGACGTCCTCAACAACTCCTCCAACTCCCCTTCCACACCAATGGCAGATCCATTCACCGAAGCAGACGCGGAGTGGTCCGATGAGGAGGCGTTGATCCCAAAGGGCCGCCGCAGGTCGCAATACATGCCTCAAGCGCTGAAGATCACAAAAGTTGTATCGCCGCAACCTTTGCGACCGACAGCATGGAGAGACCAGTCGTCGGATTCGAGCAACGAGAGCCCCCTGAGAGACTTTGGCCTCTCCCCTGTCCCGTCACCACTCATACCTCCCAAATCCCCTTCGCGGCCAGAGATCCAACCGGGCAGCCACAGCCATGAGAATCTCGTCCAGCGGTTCTACCAAGTCACCAAGGAGCGCGACGCGCTGCGGAAAGAGCTGCAGCGGAAGAGCGTGGGGACCAACAGCCTCCCAGGGAGGGAGTCCGTGGTATACAAGTCGGAGGAGAAGACCTTGATAGAAGACCTACACAACCTGCGGTACTCCATCAGAGAATGGAGCGAGGAATATTTCAGCGGACCCCTTACGTCACGAAGTAAACGACCACACTTGCACTCAGGAAAGGACATGTTTGGAAATCTTTCGGACAACTATTCGCTTTACCTGAAGCACCAGCGGGACCGGCCACTGCTGATCCAAGCATACGTCTGGAACCGACTACAGCGGAAGGTTTTCAATACGTTAGACAAGGGCTGTGGCTACGTATGGGCGGGCAGGCTGGGCGACAGAAAGATGCGCTCTCTCAACGACACATTACGGCAGGGTATGTATTAATGATCCGTTTATATAACCTCATGAACGGAAACTGACTCTCACCAGCCGTAACCAACGAAGAGCAAGCCGCAGAATACCACAAATGGCGAGCCATGACCGTCAACCTCCTCGTCCCGCAGGTCGAAGACAAAGAGAATGGCGGAACGAAACTACGACCCACCTTTGACGCCTCACCCATCCTCAAACGAATAAAACGATTCTGCAGCCGCCTGCGCAGCAAACTGCGGCCCTGGTCCACGCAGAGCCTACGACTAGGCAAGGACCGCCTCTATAGCATCGTGTCCGCAGCCGTCGCCCTCGATCTAAAGATGAAGAGGCAGCGCGCGGATTACCGCTTCGTGACGTTCACGGGCGGCAAGCCGGACCAATTGTACGGCTACTCGTACTACGACTCGGAGATGGAGGACATCGAAGAGGACATCAACAAGGCGCGGCGCGTCGAGCTGTCCGTCGCGCCGGCGCTGGAGAGATGTGGCAACGCGAATGGCCACATCTTCGAGAACTCCTTCATCCTCGTCAAGGCGGACGTGAGCTGTAGACGGCTCGAGAAGAAACGTCCGCCATCAGCCTCGAAGAAGCAGGCTAACAGCGGCACGAAGTCAGGCGTGCGCTCTGTGATGAACATGTGGGATAAGTACGCATGAAGCGGAAACGAGAACACAAAGTACTAAAAGGAAATTCTTGCACATATGAAAAAAAAGGAAAGTGAGAGAGATGATCTGTATTATATTTTCACGAAATTATGACCACACAACCAAGGCATATTGATTCGCCTACACCCTACTCTTCCAGATCATGCAACAAAAAAAACATGCCGATGTTTGCAGTGTATTATAGATAGTTTAGCAGCCGCGCGCGAGCGACACGCATTTGTACGATACGATGTATTACCAGCCCCACCGATTGGGAAGACAGGGAGTCGGGAATGGACTCAGGGCGTTTTGATGATAATTAGTTGGAATTCTATGTATTTCCAGGTCTTCTCCGATGGAGAATAGGACCGTTCGACCTCGAGAACTTGCTTTCTACATGCATTTTGCTGATCACAACGCCGATTGATGTGTGAACAAGAGGTCACAAAAAAGATACAATCCTGCAAAGCCCTTGGTGAGACAATTCAACCAATACCGTCATTCCATCTTCCACAACTCGTTCATTTCCATCAACTAGTCCATGGAGACGGACAGTGGAATATATCTCCAGCACTCCGAAACAGGAAATCCGCCAAGCCGAATGGAGACCCTACCCCTACCCCCCACCCACCTATTGTCTCTAATTATCGAAGCTACAACATCAAGCTCTCACCTCTACTACATACTACCACCTCACTGCACTAAACAACGACACCTCACCGCCACCACACCAGAACTTCCCCGCCGTGTCCGAACAATTTAATACGAGGAGCACAAGATCTTAAACCCCAGGAAGAGATATTTACAAAGCCGCGGCAATCCCACGAAACCCCACACAGAGAAGGAAACAAACGACACCATTGACCGACAACACCACGAACCCACGAATTACCTACCTATACGCTCACGATCCCACTACCACCTCCCAGCCGCCAATTCCTCTCTCTCTCAACTCTCACCCACCAGGCTCTCCTCACCCTCAAAAGGAAACCACCAACAACCGACCCTCAACCACTCGCCAAACACAAGAAGAAGCGTATACACAACGATGACATCCCACCCCCCAACAACCACCCCCCATCCCCCCTTAGGAACCCCCTCCGACCCAACAGGCTCAACATACCACGACCCGACCTCCACCCTCGTCAACGCCTCGACCCTCGACTTCCTCCTTATCGAGCTCGTCCCGCTCGCCTACCGCATAACCGAAGACCTCGCCCGGCGAGAGGAGCACTGGCTCCTGTCCTCCCCGTCCCCCTCTGCGCCCACCGGTGGAAAGAAAGTCAGAGACTCAGGCGACTCTGCAAGCAGCGCGGTGGGTACGACAGGCGCAGGAGCGAAGGACACGGCGACTGCGACGGTGGTGGTGGACGAGGAGGAGGCGCGGGAGGCGGTGTTTCACCGGCTCGAGACGCTGGGGTATCGTGTGGGATTGGGCGTTGTTGAGCGGTAAGATATCTCCCTCTCCCAAAAATCCTCTCCAAAATGTTACCCCCAAGCACCACCCATCCCCCCAAATCCCCTCAAATACAAACAAACATACACACATACAGACAAAAGAGTGGAGGGTTGACATAAAAACCAGGTTCTCCCGATCAACACCTCGCCCCACAACCCCTCTCGACGTGATAAAGTTCCTCTGCAAAGACCTCTGGCAACTCCTCTTCCGCAAGCAGATCGACAACCTGAAAACCAACCACAGGGGCATCTACGTGCTCACAGACAACACGTTTAAACCCCTCTCCCGCGTCTCGTTTGATACGAAGAAATACCCTCCCGGCACCGTTACCTCGCCCACACCCCCCACAAGCTCATCCACAGGGGGAGCGGCGGGGGGAGGGGCAGTGCAAGGGGATGTAGTACTCAATGATGCGAACGGTCTCGCGAGAGCGCAGCCGTTTTTGTATTTCCCCGCGGGCGTGATAAGGGGGTGTCTTGCGGGGCTGGGGATACAGGCGACGGTTACGGCGGAGGCGACGACGTTGCCGATGGCGACGTTTCAGATTAGGACTGTTGGTGCGAAGGCGTGAGGACTTTACAGAGGGAGAGAATGGGGGGAAGAGGGAGGTGTGTGATTTAGCGGCATGGGTATGGCGTTTTTATTTTCTTGCGTTTTTTTTTGGTTTTTTTTATAGATGATGAGGGTGGGGAAGAGGTAGTGTCATTGAAGATTTGCGATTCATCACATAGCTTTTTGATTGGGTTAGGTGGGAAGAAGACATAGATATGTACAGCAGTCACTCGTCACTTAGTGAGTACTGGGTCATAGCAGCATTATGCGAGGAATCTCTCTCATATCATTTGTTTGATTGTTTTTTTATTTCGCATAAAGGGTGGTGGTTCTACTACTACTACGTATGTGTTTCCCCCTCTTTCTCACGCTTTTCCTTTTCTTTTTCCGTTCCCCTTGTCGAGCCTGACTACTTTGGATCCGGGGAGGCGAGAGAGTTTCCCGCTCACCCCGTTCGTTTATCCATTTCGTCTGCTCCACGGGTTGGGTTTGGAAAGAAGAGGGAGAAAGGAAGGAGAGGAAGGGAGGTGTAGGTAGTTGGATAGGTCTCCCGCCCGCTTAGTGGTCATGTCTCATTCGCTTATATGGCGTCACTCGTGAAAGTACATCATAGCCTAACTGGCGTCGGTGTATAAGCATTCTCTCGTCGACACAGCAAGTACCGGGCCATGGTATAGGAGAAGGGGGAGGGGGAAGGTGGCTGGCAAGGCCGTGTATCTGTGGGTGAAACTCACTTCTGAGGCGGGTTCTTGACAAAGTCAATGCCCTTCTGGACGTTGCCCTGGAGGTCCTTGTAGGCGACCTCCAAAAGCTTCTTCTCCTGCTCGTTGGCCTTGCTGACGACGTCGATGGCCTTCTCGGCACCGTTGGCCTGCGGACTGTTAGCTTTTATACATATATTAGAGGACAGTTTCAACGTACGCCAAGCTCGATGGGGACGGAGAAGAAGTCGACGCCGGTGGCCTTAGCAATGGCATCACCGCCGGCAACACCGGGGAGGTAGACGAAGCTGGGCTCGACGATGCCCTTCTCGCCCTTCACGGCCTTGATGACCTTCTCGGCGAAGCTTTTAAAGTTAGCTATACAAATCAATAACGATTAGCACCCAGAGACTCACCGGAAACCGGCGTAGGCCATGGAGAGAGTGGCAGAGCCTGCTCCGTCCTTGGCCTTGACGACCTCGTCACCGCCGAATTGGACACCTGGATCCTTGTCAACTGAAGTCTCAGAAAAGCAATTGCGCAGTACTTACGGTTCACGAGAGCATCGAGCTTCTCAGCGGGGATGCTGACAGAGGGCTGGGCCTGGCTGAAGAGAGGAACGATAGTAGCACCGGAGTGGCCGCCGATGACGGGGATGTTGAGGTTCTGGGGGTTCTTCTCGCCAGTGATGCCGGCGACGAAGGTCTCGGCGCGGACGACGTCGAGGGTGGTGACGCCGAAGAGCCTCTTGGGGTCGAAGACGCCGGCGTTCTTGAGAACCTCGGCGGCGATGGGGACGGTCGAGTTGACGGGGTTGGAGATGACGAGGATGTAGGCCTTGGGGGCGTACTGTGCGATGCCCTCGATGAGGCCCTTGACGATGCCGGCGTTGATCTTGAAGAGATCGTCACGGGTCATGCCGGGCTTGCCTGTGGGAGGGACCTCGTCGTCAGCGATTGTCTAGTCTCTCGGGTCGGGAAACACTTACGGGGAATTCCAGCGGGGATGACGACGATGTCGGCGCCGGTCAAGGCCTGCTTGAGTCCGTCATCCTTGGGGAGGAAGCCAGTGACGGTCTATCCATGGTCAGTCCGTCATCATTTCATTGTTGTGTGCTTGTTGTACGGGGCATTGGGATCCGTACCGCAGGAGAGGAGATGTGGGAGAGGTCAGCAGCGACACCGGGGGTGTTGACGACATCGTAGAGAGCGAGCTCGTCAATGAGGGGGCTGGCCTTGAGGAGGAGGGACAATGGCTGTTTGGCTATCAGTTAGCAACGGTCAATGGGATCTGGTGACGATGGTGATGATTGACGGCAAACATACCTGACCAATGCCTCCGGAGGCACCTGCAACGACGGCTTTGACCATTTTGTTGAGGTGGTGTGTTGAGTAGGAAGGGTTAGGTGAGAGAGGAGGGGGAATTGAAGTGGAAGATGGTAGTAGGTAGTTGTGATTGTGAGTGAAGTAGAGAAACAAACCACCGGAGAGCCTGTCTGATTATGGATTGAATGTACGAAGGGGGGAGAGGGAATATATAAGAGAAGGTGGGAGAGTGGATAGGTGAGAGTAAGTTTTGCGTGATGGCGTGGGATAACCTTAATCCTCTACTGGGTGACTGGGTGACTGGGTGACTGGGTGACTACTGAGAGAGAGAGGGGAGGGATGGGAGCTTGGGGGAGAGACCACGAGACTCCATCCGTTTCGTTGGCTGCCACTTGGTTGGTTGGTTGAACCATCTTGGGGGGCACAAGTGGGGGGAAGGAGACAGTCGCCGTTCGGAGGAGGGGAGAACCCTAATGGCGGGGTACGAGACTGAGCATGTACTGAGCATGTACCCTCTCACACGAATAACGTATGGAAATACATAGGGTAGACTACAGACTACAAGGAGGGTACAATAGGTATCTTTTCCCACAGTCCCGACTCCCCGTAAAAGGCAAGGGAGCGCGGTGGGCGGTGGGCGGTGGGCGGGTCCCTTTTTCTCATTCAGGCACAAGGCACATCCATCCATCCAAAACCCATTTGTCCAACATCTAAACTCCACTAAAGTTTCAAAACTCCCATACAAAGCATCAAACACAATTCGCTCTAACTAATCCCCATCCAAGGTGACTGACTCCACACAAGCTCCCCATAGCTTCCAGAGAGTACCTATAGTATGTACCTAGGCTTGGATGACGTGCATTCCGATAGGCCTCGGTGCGGACGAAGCTACAGTAACCCATGTCCTGTCACGGGAAGGATCGGGCTGTTTCTCTCTACTGTCTCTCTTATATGTTCTTGTATGTATCGGGTTTGAGCCCATTCCCAACACAGCGTTCCGATTCTTCTTCGGAAGTCCTTATGGCGTATGGTGGAGGCTTGTAGACGTCTTTGGTGGTTAGCCTTATAGTGTCGTCTGTTGCTTCTTCACATGTCTGCTCAGGTACATGTTCAAGAGGCAACCAGTAAAGACGTGACTCGGTTACTTTCGGTGCCAGTAAAAGCATCATACACGTAGGATATTCAATGTCCACTCTTCTCATCACATGCAATTGCCTCACTTCCAAGATACCCGAAAGCACTGTCAGGTGTAAATAAAAACCCTTTCCCTTGTACGACAACTGACGGCCGCGATCGAATGTTATGTCCGACTCAACCACAACATTGATTGCCTTACCGGCCGAGCCTCTTCTGCCCGATCCCCTCGGCATCAACCTCCGGGAAATGGATTGCGCGTGCACTTATTAGTCCTCCATACTGTACTACTACTACTACTTCCTTCAAGCTCTTGGGTTGTGATGTTATTTTCGTATGGGGGTTTGTTTCTCTAGGTCGTATGTATGTACGCCAGCCCATCCATCCATCCATGACCTGCATCCGCGGCCGAGCCATAAACCAAACAAGAAAGTAGAGATCCGAGAAGAGGGAGGAAAGAAGAAGATGATGATGGAAAAGAAGAGAGAAAAAAACACCCAAACCCATTATTGCAATTGCTAGCTCCATGAACACCTTTTCCCACGATACATACATACAGTTGCGCATGTTCCCGAGGTTAGAAGAAGAGAAGGAAAAACAACTCATTCCACCCGACGTATCCAATCCTGATTTTGCTGTGAATAACATTTGGGTATGATAGTAGTAGTGTAGGTAGGGGTTGGGCTCCCCGATAAATGTGCATCATTCAATCGTCCTCGACCGGCTGGAAGGTCGTTACCAGCCATGGGGAGCACTACGCTCGAAACCGCCATTGGCGACCCGCGTTAACCGTCTACTCATAACAAGCAATACGTCGAATAGGTCTCAATGGAAATACTAAGGTCCAAAGTCCTCTCGTTCCCCTTCAGCATCCGCATCACCCTCAGGGTCGTGCTGCCGATAGCCTTGGTTGGGGTCGCTCGCAGGATCGGGTCCACGTTGACCGACCGGGTACATCTGCTACTTTCGCAATTAGCACTTCGTACGTGGACACGAGGGAAACAAATTCTTACAGGCTGCTGTGCCATTGGGTAGGCGTTGTAGACTGACGGGTCAAACATCGGTTGCTGCTGGTAGGCATTGGGATCGCTGGGGACGGGATACATGTTGGGCTGGCGGAATTCATCCTGCTGTGGGATGTGTTGTGCCATCCCGTAGTCAGGCGGCGCCATCTGGTGCTGTGCGTGCACTCCACCCTGAGGCAATGCGCCCGGAGGTACGGCAGCGGAGGACTGGACGGCGGTGCTGCCTCCGGCGCCACCCCTCTTGTGGGGATGAGCCTCTTCGCGCGGCACAATGTCAATCAAGAAATCAAACATGTCCGACTTGGAGAGTGCGGAAGCAATGTCAGACCGCTGTAGTGTTCTACGCTTGTTCTCCTCGGCGTGGATCCACGCGCGCATTGTCAGCTCCGTAATGAAAATATCGCAACCCTTGGCGAAGAGTATGGGAGCTTCGGCGGATATCATCTTGACCTCTGGGTCGGCCTTCATGACTTTCTTGATGCGCGCGAGGGGCAATTGGTGCAGCTTGTAGTCGTGTTCGTCGGTTTCGAGCTTCGTAACTTGCTGTTGCCAGTATGTGTTGAGGATGTCGCGGTAGTTGCCCGTGAGACCTTGATTGACCTGTAGCTGTTCAGCCCCGCGCCGTATACCGTGTTCAATGGGTATCTTACATTCTGCCACGAGCCAGTGAAGAGCTGCGGATCAGGCGCATGGCCTTGTGCGGCAATCTGGACCAAATTATCAGCATGGGACGAATGGGAGCGCGCATGGAGAAGCTCGGGGAAGCTTCAGATAGCTCCAGAAGAGCTACATACCGACGCCGATGCACCTGGAAGAAACACAGTCAGTTTGCGATTGCGGGAAGCTAGCTGGCGGAGCGACAGAGTCGCGTCGCAAGAACAAACATACCATAGTGACCTCCGTTCTGCGCATCGTATACGGGATTTCCGTTCTGTCCGTCGTATCGGCGTGGCGCGGCCGGAGCCTGGCGCATCTTCTGGTTGTGGGCGAGGTTTGCTGGATCCATAGCGGTACTTGTTGCTCAAAGGTTACGCGACGAGCAGGGGTGCAGCACGTTTCAGATGGGCGTAAAATACCAGTAGGGAAGATACTGGCAGTGGATGGAAGCAGGAATAATGGGTGTGCACGACCCAATGGAGAGTGGGTGCAGCGGACGGGAGAGGGGAGGGTAAGTATGTAAGTAAGTATGTAGATAGTTGAGGGAGTGTTTTGCGAGTTGAAGCTCAGTACACAGTATATGATGGAAGGATGGATTGATGGATTGCGTCAAAGGAGCAGTCTGAGTGGTTGGATGGATTGAATGGTGGATTGGGTTGATGGCTGTGGATTGGTGGAGGATGGATGGAGAGTGATGAGTGGTTGGGAGATGAAAAGGCGAATAATAACTAAGAAGGCGGCGGATGTCCGAGTTGGGAGCGGCAGAGTGGCAGAGTGGCAGAACAGCGGCGGGGAAGAGCGAAGACTACCAGATGAGACGCAAGAGGAGGACGGACGGGTGATGGCACTCAACAAGACTCAGAGTACAGAAGAGAGAAGAGAGAGGGGGTGGACGTCTCTACTGTCAGTACGGAGTACTTGCTTGCTTGTTTTGCTGGCTGGCGGACAGGCTGGCTGGCTGGCTGGCTGGCTGGCTGGCTGGATGGCTAATTCTTCAAGTCAGACGGTGGTGCTCTGTTACAATTGCGACAACAGTACGACGTCTCCCTCATCCTTCCTCTATTGTATAAGAAATCCATACATACATGATGCTCGCACTCGTAGGGTTACAGGGCTTGTTTACCTGTTGACGATCAAAAGACGCGAGCGACTCAATAAAAGGCGTCCGCCGTTCGTCGTTGGTCGCCGGTCGTGAATAATTCTCGCGATTTGCCAATCGGATGGGAGGATGCCCAAAACAAAGCGGACGAACCACGCGCCAGCAATCGATCTCCTTCTTGGTCAAGACAGGGACTGCGCACCAATGCCCTACGCGATAGGATGTTTCAAACAAACAAGTCAAGGTCGACCGTAAGGCTCAAGGCTCAAGCTTATATTCGTGCTTGTCCACCGATACGGAGGTGACCGGGTGTGAGGAGGAGGGTGGTAGATGGAGAAGTCGGGGTCAGATAGTTAGAGAATGGTGAGTAGCAACGGTGAGTAAGGCAGGTTGGTTAAGTAGTATGTAGGGAACGACGACAGTAGCCGGCACAGGTTGCTGGAGCTGTGATGTACTCGTAGCAATTAGGAAGTCCATCCAGCTCGCTCGTCAACATCCCTGGGCGATCGTCACTCCGCCATGCCCATCCACGGGTGGTGGTTATATCCAATCCAGATAATGGCCTGCCTTGACCTTTGCATCTCTCCGTTGCACAAGCACACATCAACGTTACCAATTCTCACAGTAATCAACACTCACAATCACGTCCAAGTTATCTATAGATACCTGGTACCCTGCCTGTCACGCCTGGATACTAATGGAATGAGGGGGAGAGGGGTCCATGGACAGCACAGTTTGCATTCATGCCGCCTTCGTCACATCGCCCGCGTTTTAGAGCCCTTCACAATTCCATCCGAGCGACGGCATCGGTCGGTGCCACATAACCTGTTACCACCTACCCTACCGTAGGTATGGGTATGGAGTACATCCCACTGATCCCAGAGCAATAACTCTCATCACGCACAATTTGGAAATGCGAAGAAAACGCACCCAGAACGGCAGCACCGCACAACTTGGTGACATCCCGCCACACGCTTAGGCCGACAGCCCTGTGGGATGGAGCCTGATGGAGGTGTGATTGGAGTAGGAGTTGCATGATGCCGTGCCCTGATTGGTAGCCACGACTATATTCTCTCGTCTGCGGACTCGTGGGCGTCGATGTGTTGTCCATTCTTTTTCTCGGGGTGTATCTTTACACCCATCCATCATCATATTGATTGATCATGATCATAATCATCGTCATCATCATCGTTCTGGTGGGAATGCAGCCTGTCATCTCATCACAACCTCGACCTTCGAATAGATTGACCCGTGTGCGAGGAAAGTGAAGCTGTCCGTGTGATGATGGATGGTGATAGTACCTAGTAACCTTAATACGTCGTAATTGCTCCCGTACGACAACTACACAGTAGGCAGGTCGCACTGAGACAAACGGCACGTGGGGTCTTGGCAATACCATCTCCCTCCGGGACTAGCGCCATGTCCGTGCCTCACCTCTTCAAAAGTTTCGCCGCGAAATTTCCTTCGACCTTGTGCATCTCTGCCTGCCCTTGCCAACATCGACATGGTGCCAGCGCATCACCACGAGGACGACTCTGACGAGGAGCTCTCCGATGACCAGATCCGGGAGCTCCTCGATCGAGCCGAAGCTGAACGCCACGAACGAGCACAGCTGGGCCTGACGCACCCTGCCGCTGCCTCTTCCACCTTCAAGCTCCCAAAGCTCGATTCTGGCCTCAAGGCAGAAAACCTCACCACCGATGGAACTGTTACCCGGCTAGACCAAGCGAAGCTGGTCGATGACAGACATCGCGTCGCAGCCAACGGCATCAAGAAGATTGAGGATCCTCTGCAGTTCAAGAAGGACAAGCTGGCGGTAAGCATTCACAGTTTTCTTATACATATACCCCCCGCCGGTGATGATAATATCCCAATTCCACTGACGCAGATTTTGACCCCGTTTTGGGTGTCGCCCTGCATCACTGATGGTTTAATACAATAGTTTCATAGTTACACTGAAGGCACAGTTCCCTCTCGAACTTCTCACACGCATCTCTACTTCTCTTCCAGGATAAAGCTAATTCGAGAAAAGGCCAAAAAGTCCACAGCGGGTTCCAAATGGTTCAACCTGCCTGCCACAGAGCTTACCCCCGAGTTCCGTCGAGATCTCCAGCTGCTGAAAATGCGCAACGTTCTCGACGCGAAGAGGTTCTACAAGAAGGACTCTACCAGGGGTGATGTCCCTGCTTTCTCGCAGGTCGGAACCATCATCGAGGGTCCTACCGAGTTCTTCAGCAGCCGCATTAACAACAAGGACCGCAAGAAGACATTCGTCGAAGAGGTTCTTGCCCAGGAGGCCCAGAATGGTCGCTTCCAGAAGAAGTACAACGAAATCCAAAAGACGAAGACGAGTGGAAAGAAGGCCTTCTACAAGGCTCTCAAGGCCAAACGCAAGGGACGTGTGGAGAAGCGTTGAAGAGTGGTGTTGCAACAGCCTCATCACTCCCTTCTTGCTCATCACAGGACTATCAACACTTTGCACTCAGCGAATATGTGCATTTGTCTTTGTGTTCTATATACACATTGCATGCAGAGATTTTCCCCCAGGAAATAAAGGACACACGGACCGCTGCCTATGCCGCATACAGATCCGATAGTACCTCCTTCACCAAGGCCTGCATGTCCTTGGCGGCCTCCCTCCCCGCCTCGAGCACCTCCTCATGGTTGGCCTTACCCTTGCTCAGGTGTTCCGTCAACTCCGCGGTGCTCATGCCCTGGATCTCCGGGTCGTCGCCTCTGGGGCCGGCCTCGAGTATCGAGACGTTGGTCACCAAGCTGAAAGCCAGAACCCGTAGACCCGCGTGGCGGGCAACGACGATCTCCGGCACCGTAGACATGCCCACGACGTCCGCACCCAGCGTGCGCAGCATACGGCATTCCGCACGAGTCTCGTATCTAGCAACCCAAACTCAACATTAGTAGTTGAACGTCAATGAATAGAACCACAATTCTGTCTCTCCCATCACCTAGCAACCTCATGCCCCAGTGATGTATGCATGTCATCTCGAACGTGAACGTGAAACGCAAAGAATAAGAAAAAGGAAAGGAGAACTCACGTAGGCCCCGCAACAAACGCATAAACACCCTCATGCAACCTCCTCTTCCCTTCCCCAAATCCCAACTTCTTCCACGCCGCGTGCACCCTCTTCCTCAGGTCGAGGTCGTACGCGTCCGACAAGGGGGGGAACCGCACGCCGAACTCCTCGATGTTGGGGCCACGCAGCGGGTTCACGCCTACCATGCCTGCGATGTTGAGATGCTGTTGTTCATGCTTCGTTAGCATCACATCTCTTGTGTAGATTCAGAGGAGGGGGAAGGGGGACTCACGTCGTTCAAACACACGATGTCCCCAACGGCGTAGTCTTGGTTTAGGCCGCCGGCTGCGTTGGTGACTTTGTACGCGCCATGTTAGTATGATTCGTGCTTCGAGAGAGGTAGTAGTGCGTATTTATCCATCCCTCTTGTTCTTAAAAGGGTGGAGGGGGGAGGGAAGGGAAGGGAAGGGGGGAACGCACCGATGATGGTCTCCACGCCGATGACTTTGCACACGCGCGCGGCGAAGGTGACGAGGTCCATTGAGTGGCCTTCGTAGAAACTATAGCTTGTTAGCATTTCGTGATTTTGGTTTTATTGATGGTGGTTTGGTTTTTGAGTGTAGTCTGTCATAGTCTGGGGGAATAGAGAACCCCGATTCCCTCCCACACATAGAGAAAGAGACCCGTCCATCTCAGAGGAGAAAATACGAAGGATGAAGAAGGGAGAAAAAGGAGGAAACACTCACTGTGCCCTACCGACGAGAAGCGCGACGGGGATCTTCTGCGGTCCCATGAAGCCGAAAACGAATTTTCCGGCATGGCCTTGTACTTTATGCTCGTTAGCTTTCTGTGGTATGCATGCTGTGAAGACTTGAGAGCTTTGTGTTGAACTTTGGACGAAGAGAGGAATGGAAAACCAAAACATCTGCTCTTGACAATCTCATCATTCCATCCATCCATTTAAATCCACATAGTCGAGCTCTTTCAAACCCATCTCTTCAAATCTTCCTCTTCCTCATCTCTCCCTCCTCAAAAAGAACATCATCATCCCCAACTCCCCTCCCCATCCAAAAAAAAAAAACAAATGAATGAAAGGAAGCAAGAAATCTTACCAGTGCTCCTAGGAAAATTCGGAATATCGCCATACGCCAGCTCGACCTTCTCCTCCTTCTCAATCGTGTCCGCGAGCCCGCCGAGACCAGAGCCGCACACGATGGCGACCTTCGGTTGCTGGAGCGAGGCGGGCAGTTTGGACCGGATGAAGGATGTTGATTCGAGGGCGCGGGCGTGTGCGTTGGGGACGGGCGTTGAGGAGGGGTCGTCCATTTTTGGTGGTGTTGTTTTATTTTTATGTATTTTGGTTTATGTGGTGTGGTTTGGGGAGGTGGTGATGCTGATGTGTGATGCTAATTGGGAGGAGGGGTGAGTGGTGGGGTAGCTTTTGGTCGAAAGATGTCGATATGTCTAAGACGTATAGTTTCCTTAAGAGCCCTTGTTGTAAATAAAGATCCAGGAGAAGGGGAGAAGGGGAGGAAAAAGAAGATTATCGTGAAGGGCACAAGACACTTTTTAGTTTCTGATATTTACGAGTTACGGAAACCGCCGCAACGGGAGATCTAGGTGTGTAGTGGGAAGGTGAGAAGCATAGTGTATGTTCTTGGCGCGGCGAGGTCCGACGATGGGTTTGATATCCATGGGAAAGTGGAGTTTAGCGTTTCAAGAATGGGTCGGGGTGTGGCTAGTTTATTTACCACAGATGCGTGTGTGGAGTTTCAATTAAGAAGTGCTTTGGTGGTAGGTTACGTAGACATCAAAGATGTTAATAGATGCAATAAAGCGTAGAATTTTTGAGGTTTCAGCGGGTGTCGGTTCCGCGGGTATCTAAGAAGTGGGTTTTTGGTGATCTATGGATGATCGATGGAAAATAAAAGCAGCCAGCTCGCCACCAGTGAAGGTGTTCTAACTATTTACAAGAACACTGATCCTTACTACAAACTCTCAAATCACCCAAAGGCTGCTGCTGACGACGACGTTGTCCCTAAACTTCCTGTTCATCTCCCAATTTGAGAGTCGAAATTCAATAACGCGCATGCTCAATTCCTGAGGTTCGAGAGGCATTTACCTCCTCCTCCGTTTCGGACTCCTGCCATTATCGTCGTCAGCATCTTCTACTGTCACTGCAGGAGACGCCGCAGATGAGCTCACACTTTCCACGCGGTTCCGCGTGGCCTCGTCGAAACCCAAGAGGTCCTCATTCGCTCCTGGAACGTCAATGCCTGAAGCAGCACTATCAAGTTGGTTGTAAAGATCAGGAATGTCGAGATCAGGGGCATTGATATTGTCGCCATTGTGCGCATTCGATGTCATGTAGTCCTCATTGGGGATGAAAGGATCGAGGTCCAGGTCGAATTGCCCTGGGTCGCCTACAGCACTATTGAAGTATCCACCATCCAGGCCAGGGATTGACCCGCTGGGTGACAGCGGCTGCAGGCGCTCCTGTAGACTTTGCACACGCGACCCTTGCTCCTCGGACATCTTTTGGAGAAGGTCAAGTTGCTGCTGGGTAGCTTCAAATTGACTAAGATCAGGCATGGCTGGGGGTTGAGGCGAAACCATCGCATTGTTCGAATTCTGGGCAAGCGTCGAGTTAGGAGAAGCGGCCGATGCATTGTTGGCCATCATAGACAAGACATCGTTCCGTTGTTGTTGGGTCAAGGGAACATGTCCATCTTGAGCTTGGTAATTGGCAAGTGCCGCTGGGAAATCGAATTGAGGCGTCTGGCTGGCCGATTGGCTGGCATTTGCATTTGCATTCTGAATGGCAGACATGATCTCATCATTCTCCGGTACTTGCCCAAGATTTGGAGTGGGCGACTCGGTCTCCACTTTCAAGAAAGGAGGCGAGGGTTGGGTAACATTGCTTGCATTTTTAGTCTGTTGCTGATTGATGGTTTGTGGTGGTGGAACCGGCGATCGCGTTGCAGTCTGCCGTGCTGCAGTTTTTGGAACATTGATGTTCGGCGTAGGCCGATTGGAAGGACTGATAGTGGCAGCTCGGTCTGTTGGGGTCATGGATTCCTTGACCATCGGCGCAGGTAGCAGGGCAAGAGGACGTCTAGGTGGTCGCGGCATTTGGGGAGATTTGTCGATAGTGGGTTCCGGGTAGTCCCCCACGTCCACGACACTACCATGAGACTGCTGCGGTGCCATTGAGGGGCCAAAGATATCCGCAAGATTGGGGCCATTGTTATTGCCTTCCAACGTCCGGTTGTAGAAGGTAGCCAGGAAGGTGAGGATTGCATTTATGGAGTTCTCATGCCGATCATGGAGAGTCTGGAATGCCGTGGCTTGTTGGTACAGCTGATCATTCTGCCGTCTGATTTGCGCCAGGACATTCGATATCACCTTCTGCTGTTGCTGCAGTGTGCGGACCTCGCTCCTCAAGCTGTTGTACTCCGCCCTCGGTATCAAGGCCATATCTTGATTGTTCCTAAGTGTGAGCCCGTCCTCGCCGTAGGCAACGCCAGGATCTTGTGTGAATTTGCGCTCGTCGTCGCTGTCTCCTTGTTTGCCTTCATCTTCTCGCTTCCGTTTCGGCGCTCCGGACGGATTCTTAGGTTTCTGAATGAGCCAAAGCAATTCAGATCGGCCACGCTTGAAGTATTTGTTGTAGTATTCGCTAGGCGCTTTGGCCTTCGCTTCACTAGCCTTCATAGAATTGTCGGACAGGCCTACTTTCTTGTGGAAGCCATACATATTGAGCTGCCGAACGAAAGAGGCATAGTTGTTGTGCTTGAAGAGTTCTGGGATGAGGGTTCTGGCGAATTCATCCTCATCCAGCACGATAAATGAGTTACCGTCATCAGACCATCGGATAAGATTTGTGTTCTTGTTGTTGTCAAGAAAGCTGATTGGGCCATTAGCATAATCTTCGGAAAGCTGCATTCCGAACTAACCTGCTCAATTTCTGGACAAATGGCGGAATTTGCTTTCGCTTAGTTTGAGCATCTTTCCGCGCCAGAAGAGCCTTTTGTTCCAGTTCGTCGTCGTCTTCCTCTTCCGCACCCTCCCACTGCCCAGGATTCGCGTTGTTGAAGTTGTCCCATGGTGTTCGCCCTCGCGCGGCAATCTGTTGATTTGGGTTTCGTCGGACAAGTTGTCCCGTGAAGGCTGAGTCCGTGGCCGTGCTGTTATCTAGGCCATCCAACGACACTATGCGATTATGAGAAGATGGGCCAGAGCTTGTTCCCATGCCTGAAAAGTCGTAGAGAGATGGATCGCCGAATGCGGGCGTTATATCAGCTCCCGCAGAAGGATCCACCCAGTTGTTCATAAACTGATCCGCATCTTGCTGAGTAAACATGGAGTTGTTCTGGGGTTGCGATAGCTGCGGCGATGCACCCGGAGCGCGTCTCTTTCGTGAGGACATTGGATGTGAAGGTTGATCAACGGACGAAGAAATTCGGAGTGATATCAGAACGCCGAGGCGATCGCTCGATTGCAGACCAGATAAGTAATCCTGTAATTTGCTAACCTGGTTCGTGAGTCCTAGGTAAAGTTATTTCCCTCTTTTTCCGACAGAACAAAAAGTCGCTGTGCTGTCACTCTCGGTAGTCGGCTCAAATGTTCACTTGGGGATTGAGACAGTCGGCGTGCCCTCGCGTGAAATTTGGTGTTGTCGCTGTCCTCAATGTTGATTCTCAAGAGATGAATATGTGTTCGTTCGCGAACTGTCGCGGATCATTCGGTATTTGTAGAGCCGTTGTTGCGGTGGCTTGTTGTATCGACCAGGCTATGAATGCGTCCAGTGAATAAACCTAGACAAGCAGTCTATTTGTTTTCCTTGATCAAACTGGCTGTCATCACAAAGGGCTTTGAGTCATTGCTTGCACAAACTGATTTTATCGTCCAAAAGGTGGAAAGGGCGTCTTGGAGAAGGCTGCGACGGTAGGGCGGTCGGAGAAATCGGTTAGGTGGGTTGCGGTGGTCAATTCAGCGTGATACGATGGGTCAGATCGCCGGTAAACTTTCGCGGACGCCGAATTCGAATTGCTCAAGGCTTACAACGATTGTACGTCTGGGGCTTGAAGAATTGCAGTAGAGTGTAAACCCTTCATGGCATTCTTCTTGACAGAATGATGAACTCACTGAATCGGTCAGACGTTTCCCCGGGATCCGCAACATGACTCGTTTCTTTTCGGCACGTCATCCACGTGCTCTAGCGCTGACTCTAATTTGTACTACCAGATAGATTACTGTAACTCATAACGCTCACATTGAACAAAATACAAAAAGTATAATTTCTTGAAGAATTGAAAGACTACTAGATACTTTTGTTTTCTAGTAGATCATATAGGGTAGCTGAGGCAATATCATCAGGCTCTAAGAAGTTATTTGCTATCAATGCTTGCCCTTGGAGTAGGAAATTAATTGTATAGCCAAACAATCAGGGCAACTAAGCAGCATTCAATCGGCTTCAATGGGTAAGTAGTGTTATTGTAGTTATGTCATTCATTCAGGATGCATCATCTCTGACATGATGTGTTCTTCTATTTGTCCTAATTCAAGTAAGGCTCATTGAATTTCCAGGAAAATACTAGTTATCTTTCCAATGGATTGCCGCATCGTGTCCCATGTCATTGCATTCATTGATTTCTTCTCTCTGCCTCCCAACGAACCATTCCAGGGAGGGACTCCTTTAGGCTGGGCATTGTAGGGTTCCACCCAAGGTACTTGCGAGCTCGACGTGCTTCACCTTTGCTATTGAGGCCCCATGAGAGCTTCTCAAAATCGTCCCTGACTTGGGGAACTTTGCAGGAAAGCTCCCTGGCTCCAGTTCCTTCTACCAGGCCCTGTCTGCCGGCCTCTTCCAAAATTGACACAGCCAAGTTTTTCCAGTTATGGTAGCCGTTTTCCGCGAGATAGTACACTTGGGAGCCCCAGATCTCCTTTTCATAACCACTGTCTTCGATATTGGTCGCTTGGGATGCGAGAAGCATGATAAGATTCGAGAGATCCTGAACATGGACATTGTGATTCTCGGAGAGACCGGCTCCTATGACAGGTGCATACCCCTCTTCCAGGATCATATCAATCATCACAGGTACCTGGCGGCTTCTGCAGTTGATAGCACCCCGACCGATACCGTACACCGTCGGTGGACACACAATGGCCGCCTTTATGGCCCCTTCTGACTGAGCCGCCTCTTCTAGTACAATTTTATCGACATTTCGATGAAAGGCGTGGTCGGGGAGGTTTAGTAGAGCATCCACACCCTCTAAGTCATTGTAGGAAAACTCTTCCATAGGCTGCTCTCCATAACGCTTGTGTTCCATATCATACCAGCAAAGGATGCCGGTTCCGCTTATGTGAATATAATATCCAGATTTGGAAGCAGTATGAGTCTCTCGTAGACCAGCTGAAATAGCGCGAGCAGATGTTGCATGGTCCGAAGAATCAGCAGTGTCTTGAGGTAGATTTTAGCCTCCTCATGTTACTATAATACTTTGGGGTATAACTTACGAACAACAACATCCGCTGCGGCTGCGGCGTTCTTGACGACTTCAAAGTCATCAAGGCCACCAATTACCAGCTTAATATTGGGAAAGGCTTTCTGAATCTTCTCACCTTGCTCGGAGCTCCTAACAAGAACATAGTAATCCCAAGTAGGGTAGGCATTCGTCAACCTGAACAGAGCATCACCGCCAATGTATCCTGAAGCACCAGTACTGTGACACGTTAGATTACTAATAGATTGCTAAAATGCAAATCAATCAAGACTTACAGAAAAACCTTCTTGACAGGCATGTCAACGGTCATGTTGTTGGATTTGTGATATTGGGTGATCGAGGTTGCGCTGTGCTAGAATAAATAACAAGATTATGATACTCTTATTGTACTGCCTCAAGAAGAAAAAGGTCCAGCTGCACGCAATTCACCTCATAGGGCAATTGTTGCTTACCAATCAAGCAGATACCTAACAACATACTGTTTGTGCAACCTACCAGAACCTAGTTCTAGCGATGTCATCGTTGTCACTGGTATGACTGACGGTATTGGTCATCTGACCCGCCTGATGGCACGGAATATGTAGAGCTAGAGCTAAGGAGATCGTTGTTGACTTCAAGCGTTAAAGGAGAAGGTTATGCAAATCAGTCTCCACAGCTTCAACCGTATTCGATATTTTCATTAATGCGCCTAGAGATGACTTTTCATAGGGCCTGTTCCAACAAAAACATTATTGAAATGCGTAGCCTAGAAATTAATCCTCGGGAAATTGGCGATATGAACTTTGCTTTTAGTCCTGCTTCTGCACTCCAAAGACTCAGCACGAATGCCTGCTTTGGTGGATCCGTTTTTTGTGATCAATCGCGAAACCGTTCACATAGACTATTATGGGAGTTTGAGAAAAGAGCTACGGGGTGATGGAAATAAATCTCTTGGTCACTGAGATTGACCTGGGGATGAAGTAGCCATAGTAATTCAGCAGTCATGCTATTTAGAGAAGATGATTGCTCTTCCCTAATGTCACATCTACTAAATCATTCTAACATTGCTCTGACCCAAAGCTCGGCCTGCCACTAGCAGGTTTAAAATGACGAATTTCGCCGTCTTGTTGCGGGCCTGAGAACTGTACCTTCGTCGTTGTATGTGTATCTTGTGTGCCGACGAGCTGGGGTGGCGGGATTCATAATCCGTTGCCTGTCCCATATACGTGGGCAGTGTATCGAGATAATGACTTTCAGATAGCACATCGTGAAAGACAATCCAAATGGAAAGGAGAATACGTGGAGATATCAAAGCAATTGAGCTACGTGGGATGGCCAGTCTGCTCATCATACAAAGGGTATGCGGAGTGTGGGATAGGAATATACATTCCGCGTTGAGCTAGCCGGCTTCAGTGGGCCCTGACCAGCTATCCAAAGGAACACTGCCCATAGTACAGTTAATGATCCGAATGATAACAGCGATATCTATCGATCAACTCTTATCTTTATCGATGAAATGCATACGATGCAGTATTCTTGCCATATCTCGTCTTCTCGATGATACAAACAGGAGGTATAAAGGCATGCAGCTTCGTGCATATCTTCTAGGCTAACAGCAGGATTTGAGCTACAAGGACATTTTATTTTATTGAGTTCTATACCGTTCGAGATCCGTCTGAGGCTTGTTCAATAACTAGATCAACATTTGATACAGCCTTCAACAACACATCCGAACACTTACAATGGGGAATCTACCGTTATTAAAAGGTGCCGGATTACGTGCTGCAATCGTGGGCGTGTGCGGATGGTGTTTCTGTCTTCTGGGGTATGATCAAGGTGTTCTGGGCAGTCTCATCGGTTTGCCCGCATTTCTAAGTGCACTTGGAAACCCAACTGCTGCCATCCAGGGATTGGTCACTGCAATCTACAGCATTGGATGCGTGGTAAGCTGCCCATCAGGATCCATTTGCGGATGACATACTCACTACAATTCTAGCTTGGATGCATAGTGGCTGCCTTCTTCGGCCTTCGTCTCGGAAGACGCTGGTGTATTATGGGCGGTTGCGTGTTTGTCTCTATAGGCGGAGCTGGTCAGGCGGCCGTCTACTCTTTAGCACAGATGATTGTTTTCCGAATTATTGCTGGTATAGGTACTGGTATGATATCTTCAACTGTACCTGTGTGGATCTCGGAGATCTGCGGTCCAAAAAAGCGTGGTCAGAAGACCGCATTGCAGCTTACACTCGTTCTGACGGGAAATGTGATTGCCTACTGGCTAGAGTATGGTATGTATCTGCGATCAACACTTCGAAGGCTGTTCCTGCTCACATATTGTGTCTTTATATGCTAATGTGGAGAGACATAGGGACTACTCAACTTCCGGGTGATGTGTCGTTCCGCTTCCCAATAGCTTTCCAGTGCCTTTTCCCTCTAGTTGCATTTATCATCTTACTGGGATTGCCTGAGTCACCCCGCATTCTCTACTACTGGAATCAAGGAGAGGCTGCAGATGAAGTGCTGAGCAGGCTCCATGGATATGATAGTTTTCTTGAGTCTAGTCCTGTCGTTTCTTATGAGAAGCAACAGATTCTTGAAAGCATCGAACTGGAGAACAGCCTCAAGGATGGTTCTTCTATCACATGGAGAGACGTATTCTGGGATAACTCGCCAATCCGCAATAGCAGGCGCCTTTTCATCGTCGTTGTCCTCCAGGGCTTACAGCAGCTTGGTAAAGATATTCCAAAATACTGCAATCAACTGAAAAGCTAACACATCTAGGCGGTTGCAATGTCATAGCATACTATCAAACAACTTTGTTCACTGAATCTATTGGATTAGATGATCATAGAGCAAGACTGTTAGCCGGCTGCTCCGCCCTTTGCTTCTGGACCGGAACACTTCCGGCTATCTATCTCATTGAAAAAATTGGGAGGCGCCAGTTGATGTTATGGGGTGCTGGTGGTTGTACAGTCGCCATGCTTGCATTCACAATACTATTAGCACTTGGCACTGACCATGCAGGCCAGGGATGGGGAGCAGTGGCCATGATCTTCCTATTTGAATTGTAAGTTTCCGTTGCCTTGGTGCCCCTCTTCACTCTCATTGTAAATTGTACTAATTCAAATTCCTGAATAGTATTTATGGCAGCTCTTGGGCAAGCACAGTTTGGATATACAGTGCAGAAATTAGTCCCCTACGCTTCCGGCATTTCAACAGTGGCATGGGTGTATTGTCGCAGTGGGCTATGACATTTCTAACTGTGATGATGGCACCTCCTGCTATTGCCAGTATCGGTTGGAAGACGTACATCCTTTTCGTAGTTTTCACGTCGCTGCAAATTCCATTCGGTATGTTCCTGTCACTTTTGTATGCCTAGGTCATCCTATTCTAACCATTCTTCTTATTAGTTTACTTCCTATGTCCAGAAACGGCCGGTCGGACGCTTGAAGAGCTTGACCAAGTATTCATGAAATCGGCACCTCCGGATGTTTTGCATGGAGTCTGTTCCCCGAGCGCTGGCCCCATAGAAAAGGGAAAGGCCAATAAAGTCAAATTAGATGAGTTGTCCGCGACGTGCCGATAGAGCAGGGAGACTACCTGATACGCCATGGGCTTGAGCATACAGCGAAGGTCAAAAGCGAGGCTGGTAGAACAATCGGTCATCTCTGGCATATCATCGAAAGAGAGGAGATACAAGCCTTAACTATTAATGCGTCAGCAACTACGGAATCTTTGATTGCATATGTGTCGAAATGACAAGGAGGCTTGGATAGATTGTGTCCCCGATACCACTCTTCTATTTTGACTATACTTGCTTGAGAGGTATCGTAGGAACATAGCAATCTATTTTCCCACTAGTGTAGGAATGGAAGTCGACGTCTTCGTCTCCTAATGTTTCCTTCACTGAGTCAAGAACCGACGTCCAATAAGGTGACGCACTTAATTACCGCCTCCGCCAGCAGCCACCTTTTTTAGCCTTCAGCCCCACAACTGCGATGTTCTTCAGATTGTCTCTGTTTGAGTAATAATGTTTGATTTTATAAAACAAAACAATTCTTTATTTTCAAAAGAATACTCTTATCAAGTTTTTGAATGAATTATAGATATGCTTGCTTAGAGACATAGGGTCAAGGCGCAAGCAACTGCAGAGTAATGGCACACGTTCAATGCACAGCCAGGACGTATGCGACTGACATGTCCTAACATAGCTAAGGGGATCGTCAAACTGCAGTCTAACGGAGCTGAGGCATTCATTAAAATGATGCCTACAATGTGGCTTGCATACTCCCCTGTGAGCGCCCATTCGCCAACAATAAATCCCCCACAACATTGCATAGCCTCGCCTTGAGAGCATGAGGCCAGCCTTCCTCTCATAAACGCCAACTCCCTCACCACTGACCCTGATGAAGCGTCGAGAGGTGGCTCTACCACTTTGTTCCATCTATGGTCCGTCTTACAAATTTCCACCCCATATAATACACAGATTCAGCCTGAACCATGGAGGCTCTCGTTGGTATTGCAGCCTTTGGCCTCGCATGCAATGTAATGCAAACTATACAATTTAGCATCCAGGCCGTCTCTATGTGCAAGGCAATGTACGCTGGGAGGTCTCCTGATCGCGAACTTGTTGGTCACTGCAACAAACTAAAAGATGCGGTTAAGAAGTTGGAGGATCCTTCAGCCGCTCAAGCGGACCCCGAGCTACAGGCTATCGCCAGAAATCTCATCGGAAAAGCAGAACAATTGGATAGCGAGCTCACGAAGATCGCCAATGACTCTGGATCTAAAGTCCGCGCTGTGCGCAATACCGTTTCGTATGCTTTTAGTGGGAAGAGGAAGATTAGGGGACTAGAGAAGTCCATTAAGGCGTCGCAAGAGGTGATGGAAACTAGAATTCTTATTGATCTAAGGTATGCTTTCCATCTTGAAAGAGATGAATATTCCCATTTGGACCATAATTGGACAGCTTGGGTACCTCTACAAAATACTCTTACAGCATACTGATCGGCTCAGATCACAACTCGACCGAATGTCGCAGCATACAAGGAAACAACTCAATGCTGTCGATCAGAGGTTACGAACTTTTGTGGCTCAACTTGAATTGGGGCATTATAAGCTAGATCAATTGATCGCAGAAACCGGCGAGGTGAAGAAGCTCATCCAAGCAGAGGCTGCGACGACTCGCACACATATTACGCAACAACTAGAACACAGCAGAACATTGCAAATATCGAAGTCCCGAGTTGACACATTTATCAACAGCCTCACATATCCTGAGATGAATGCACGCCGGTCTGCTATTCGTGAGGCAGGAAGAAACTCCTATCGATGGATCTTTAAGGATTCACGCGATGATGATGATGATGACAGTGAGAACGACGAGGAGCGTAAATGGGACAGTTTTGCAGATTGGCTTAGAAGCGGCGATAGCATCTACTGGATCTCCGGGAAAGCAGGTTCTGGGAAGAGCAGTTTGATCCGATATCTATGCGCGTCCGCGCAAACCAGGAGATTGCTACAAGAGTGGAAGAGTAACGCGATCATACTCTCTGCTTTTCTTTGGAATTCCGGAACGCCATCACAAAGAAGTCAAAAACATATCTTCGCGGCTCTGCTCCATCAATTCCTGCTTTCACGAGACGAAGAGGTGGTTCGATTGCTGAGAGAAAATCCAGATCTCAACAAATCCACCATCGATGACTGGTCGAAAGAGGAGGTATTGACTGCTTTCGAGGCAGCATTGAAGATTGTTAATATACCTGTCTGTATATTTGTCGACGGGCTCGACGAGGTCGATCGGGATTCTCACGATGGCGAAACCGGTCTTCTCAACGCAATCGACAGAATGAGAGCCGTTACGAACGTCAAACTATGCCTCGGTAGCCGCGAAGAAGCTGTATTTCAGTCTTCGCTCTACAAATACCCTAAGTTACGCCTTCAAGACCTCAACGAAGCCGACATATGGGAATATGTCAGACGCACGATTGGTGCATGCCCCAGCGGTCATTTGGAAGCTGTAAATGATAGCATTTGGCTCGACAACCTGGCTTGGAAGATTGTTCGAAAAGCCGATGGTGTTTTTCTGTGGGTACATCTGGTGACGAAATGGATATGTGAGGGTCTTTACGGTTTCGATGATGCTGAACTACTCCACGCCAGGCTTGAAGGACTTCATCCCGGACTGGAAGGCCTATACACATCAATGTGGAGCCGTTTGAACAGCATCGATAAAGATCAATATCTAACGACATCCTCGCTATGCTTCCAAATGGTCATCCAATTCCGGAATCTCAAGTTTATTGAACTACTTTTCTGCATCGATACTAATCTTCGCAAAGCTCTTTTAGCAGGGGGAAAAGATGTCATCGAACAAACTATCCTCAATGCTGCGATCGTTTTCCGTCGCCAATTGCTTGTCCGCTGTGCTGGTCTACTAGAAACCGCATGGCCCGGGGAGGCCCATGATACCAAATTAGAGGACGTCCTCCAGTACGGAGTCAGCTTCATACATCGAAGCGCTCGTGACTTTTTGACAAGTACGATCGACGGCAAAGACATTCTGGGCCATTTCGAGACGACTGAGGTTGAGTTGAATTGCTATTACACGCTCTCCTTGTTAGCAACTTCACTAGTCGAAAAGTCGGATAATCCATATGCAGGATCTTTACGATACATTAAGTGGATTCTGCAGACGCACAAAGGATTGCACTGGCTTGATTCCGATGTGTTAAAGAAAAGCATGCTCGAGTTATTTGATACCACCATGAAGCGAAGACAACTACTCGAAAAGGATACTATGAAGTTGGCTTTAGGTATCTGTCCCGCGTCCATAACAGGCGTGGAACGGCTCATACAAGACTTTCCAGGCCAGGCTGACACGTGGAGGTCTCGAGCACTATTCCTGGCACTAAGTTATGTGCGGGAGACCCAAGAGAACTGTTTTGTCAATATCTCAAACGACATATCTTCTCTAGGACGGGTTCAGCCTTACTTGGAATTGATCCACAAGCTGGTCGCGGGAGGCGCAGAAGTGAAGGACATGACCGTTTCTTGTGATTTCTCGTGGTGGTTTATGTCTTGCACAACAAGCACTACATTCATCGACTTTCTGTTCCTTTTGAAAGACTTCCTGGACTACTCAATTGATCTGAACCATAACCGGGTGGAACGCATCCCCAGCGAGGAAGACCTTGCCAGACATCGAGATGCCTACGTCACGATCCTGATGGACTTCTTCAAACGCGGCGCAGACCTTAGTTCTACGACGATACTTCGCATCCGCGACCCCAAGAACAATCGCAACAGCGACGCACCGTGGTCCTTCGACTTCGGGAACGACGGCCTTTACAGGTCCCTCATTCTGGCCGAGATGGAAGCCCGCGAGATCCTCCACGGCTTCAAAGACGAATTAGCGAATTGGATCGAAGACTGGCACGGTGACCCGAGAGATAAACAACGACTCCTGAACTCCCTACGCACGCCCCCCCGGAGATTGCCCAGGGCACAGTACGCCGTCATCCGGTACGCAGACGGCCCAATCCACTGCATACATATCGACGAAGATCGGTCCAGCAGGCTCCAGCACAAAGAATTCAATTTCTCCGTCTTCGTGCACGAGATGTACTCGTATGCACACGGCCTGCACACTGGGGGAAAAATGGTGGATTATCAAGAGATGGTGGACTCATTGGTGCAGCAAAAGTACATGCAAGAGGGTGCTATGGCAACGCAGAACCCGCTTGGGCTCAACCCTGCGAATGATATTGAGCGGTTTAGTCCGCATGTGCCGTTGAGTGAAATGAGCTGGGAGTATCAGGGCGAATATGATCAGCTTATGAGAGCTATGAAGGAGGGGTTTGGAAAGGAAAGTCATGTGGATGCTTCAGGCAGAGTCAATGCTTTCAGGCGAGTTACTTAAGGGCTCTGTATTTGGTGTTTCTGTTTAGCAATTAGCGTTCGAAGTTAAAATGTTCCCTTAACTTAGGAAATTCAGCGGGCCAAAAAGGTCCCTTCCTGCCTTCCAAAGCGCTACAAGTTCCCCTGTTATCCTCGCTTTGTTATGTGTCATGATCACGTCTGTCCTTTTAATTTGCACCACAAATAAAGGTATGTTAATGGAAATGGATAAGTCTATCTAAAATGCAGTGTTGAAGGACTCCTCATTTTCATTGAACCCCACGCGCCAAACCAAGTTCATTCCGTGACAGCGCCTGGGAGATGAAATAACTCCCTGAGCATTCGGGACTATTTCGTAGGAAGTTCATCAGGGAGCATATCATTTATCTCCTTTCTTCTTCCGTAGAGATTGCCCTTGTCCTTCGAAATGCTTAGGTTCATCCTTCTCATTTTCACCATCCTTGCCCTTCACTGGCTTGATCTCGTAACCGAAAAATAGCTTTCCAGGTGCCAGCCTCAATGGTTGCGGGCCATTTGTCCGACGTACGGTGCGCGGAGGTGCGTTTGTCGATTGTCCAGCAACAGGTGTTGAGGCTTGAGGCGTCGGCGCTTTGCTGCCCTTCTTAGAGCTCAGCTTGTGACCGGTCGTTTGGAAATGTGACGAGGCTGCGTTGGCGCCAGCGGCCGCCGACGTCGCTGAAGGTGCGATGGCTGAGTAGTTGATCGCTTGTGCCATGGTTCCATGTGAGTGAAGAGTTCCGCCCTTTCCTGTCATTACACCCTTGCCACTCCTCGGTGTGCTTGTGCCGCTTGTACGCTTTGGTTCCTCGTATCCTACTGGTGGTGCGAAGTCGACCGACAGATCTGTTTCTAATGTGCAGATGGCATTGCTCGAATGTTGTGGTTTCGTCTCCAGAACAGCGATGCTGTACACGTTGTCGTTATAGGCGAATGTGAATATGTCCCCCTTTGTGAGACAAGAGAAGTTCCGGAAAGCGTTCTCTAGGACTGCTTTTGGGTCTGAGATCTCAAGGAATGAAGAATCTTGAGGCTGCAGCTTGATGAAGGTTCCGAGGGGAAGATCGGTGGATTTGACTTGCAGCAGGTCACCCGGTTCAACACCGAGTGTCTGCATCAGCCAGTACGGCAAATAGATCTTGCCCTCCTCAGCAATGAACTCCAGCACACCAGCGTGTGTTTTCGTTTCCTTCGATCCATTTATAAGCTCGAAGAGCATGGGGTATGTGATGTGGAGTCTTGTGAGCTTGTCCAAAGCACTGGGTGGTAGAAACACTTTGCCGCCGTGGTTTGCCTCTTCTCGTTCCGGGCCTGGAAGCATCGCAACTGGGTAGCATCTGAAGTACTCGTCGAATTTACGCGCTGCTCCGCCGCGTCGAAGCATGGCCTGCTGATACATCGCCATCGGGTCTTCCTCGTCGTAGAAGTTGGGATTGAACTTGTATGTGTGAGCTGGTGCTGAAAGGTAGTAGTGGGGGCTGGGTTGCTCTTACCATGTTTGCGGTTTGTCCTTGCCTGTGGTGTATGAAGTATATGGGTTCTGACGTATCTATATTAAAAGTGAACTTCCAGAGAAATGAGAGATATGTGAGGTTAACAGCAAGGGTGAGAAGGTATTAAGTGACGAGATTATGAGAGTTGAACAGCTATTGTAATGACGAAGCTACGGAATAAAGTGCTAGGTAACAACAGTACGGCGAGCTAATCTGGCCATTCGCGCAATCTCCCTCTAGTCGGCGCGTCGGGGCTCGCAGTAACGCCGCCTGGTCCATGCTCAAGCTTTCCATCACTAACTTTCACATTCCAACATTTCATCATCATCGTTAGTTGTTCAAGGCAGCAGTCAGGACAAAAGCACCATTCCTACACCTACCACCAGACAGTCATGTCTAGCAGCAACAAATATAATCCCGCGCGACCAAAGCGACCCGGCGATCTTTTCACCCGGACCCATCACCTCGAAGGTGGTGAACCCTCTACAAAAAAGCCCCGCTTCGATCCAAGAAACCCTTCGACATTGGTGCCGGATGCCGAAGAGGAGGATCCAATTCTAGACGCAGACGAGATTGGAAAGGGCGCCGGAATAAAACGCAATGCAGTCAACATCGACGGTTACGATTCAGACAGCTCCACGGAGAACTTTGATGCAAGAGCCGATGCCAAAGCAAAAGCAAAGGAGGCCCCTACAAAGGATGATGATGATGACGACATGTTCGCAGAGTCAGACAAGGAGGAAGAAGAGGAAGTGACACGGCGAGGGGATAAAAAAAAGCCGGCGGTACGATTTTTGGAGGACCATGAAATCGAAGGGCAAGAGGATGCCAGTAAATCCGGGGGTCACGTTGCCGTTGATCTCAATTCAAATGGACGCATGGAGACCGATGACGTTGAATCAAGTAGTGATGAGAGCGGGGGTGACGAGGAACGCGATAAAATGGATCCAGATCTGGATGAGGAAATCGGCGCTGGAGGCAAAAAGAAACATGCTCCGAAATTAGATGCTTTCAACATGCGAGCCGAGCAGGAAGATGGCAGGTTCGACGAGGCTGGAAATTACGTCAGAAAGGCATACGACCCCGACGCAGCTCAAGATGCATGGTTAGACGGGCTTTCCAAGAAAGACATCAAAAAGGCTAGAGAAGCTCACGAGAAGCGTGAAGCAGCACAAAAGGAACGAGAGCGCCTTGAAGATTCTATAACGCTTGGCGAAGTCCTGTCTACCATGATAGAGCACTTGCAGTTGGGCGAAACGCCTATGGAGGCTTTGGCGCGATTAGGAAAGGCAATGCCAAAGAAGAAAAAGAACTTCAACCGCAATAAAAAGGCGATGGATGTTGATTCAGAAGTTGACCCTGCCCAAGACGCCGAAGAGCAGAAGATCAAGGCTTCTATAGACGCCATCACCGAATCTGCAAGTCGATTGACCGACCGGGGTGTGGATGACGTCTATGAGGTTCCCCGAGAACTGATAATGCGCCAGTACAAGCGCGAGACCGGAGAAGATTGGAAGAATCCGAACCCTCCACAGTGGGAGTTCCACTGGCTTGCGGCACCCGAGGGCGAAATCAATGGGCCATACAGCGTCGAAACCATGCGAGCATGGCAGGAGAGTGGTCAGTTCGAGGCTGGCGCAGAATTCAGGCGCGTAGGAGAGGAAGAATTCTCGAGACTCCTAGACCTAGACGATTAATATGTCATGTCTCACATCGCATGCATGTGAAATTCTAATGCTGAGTACCCGTGCGGGGTTTTTGCGAACAAACAGCTATGTCCTTTGAAAGAGACACAGCGAGACAGGACTAGGTTTACTGACGCAGTGCTACGTCGGCTTTCAGAATTTGCCTGTGCAGAAAGCTGCAGAGCGGTGTTTCCTCTACCCAGTTAGATATCAGCACTCCATGTTGGGATGGTCCCATTCGTGCTGGTCTCTACGCATTTCCGATAGGTACAACAGACCGATTATGCGTCCTCCAACTCGGTTACTGGTCACATGATCGAATGAATATGCGCGTTGCAGCGATCCTGGGAGCTTCTTCTGCGTCTCCAGCCAGTCGGAAAGGAGAAACAACGAGGGAAGCGGCAATGACCGGTTGGCGTTGAGCGCGATGGATGATACGGCATAGTGACTCGTCAAATGAAGATGCGAAGCTGGTTGCCGTGAAGATTTGAACCTGCCGTGTCACCCTTCTTACCACCGGCCGTGACCGCATTTGTGCGCATGTGCAGAAAGTGAGGGCGAATGTGACCTCGTGCAGCGTCTTCAATCTATCTTGTGAAAACCGATCGGACAACACAGTCTGCCAGCACGCTGCCAAAGTGCCGTCGTCTGTCACAGGTTGTCAGAGCAGATGTAGTGCTACACGTCGTTCCCTTCTTTCTGTGAGTTGTCGATTAATTATCGCAAGGTCTTTGGAAGAGGGTCAAGTCAATACGCGTACGCACTGCACTGCCGCACCGCCGCATAGCACCATGCATAAGTGCGGTCATTCCCAACATCCCATCCCGTGCACTATCGGATGTTGACGAAGCATATTTCTGGGTCGCAGGAGGAGACATGAGGGCGGATCGCCAGTGGCAATACGATAGTGCTATGGAGGCATATTGGGTTGGGCAGCTGATGCACATCCAGTGGCCACCCGACGTCTTCCACCTGAGCTGATCACGAACCCTATTTGCCTCTGGCGCAGTTCTGATCCAGAGGTCGGCACTCCCGGGGCTGACAGGGCCACAGTGAGAGATAAAATCCACAACCGTAAGGACAGACCAAAATCAAGAAGGCCTTGCGTGGTAAATTAAATCCCTCCATACGACGCGAAACCCCAACGAATATGAAGAAATGAGTTGCTGAATCAAAAGGGTTGTCGGATGGATCTCGAGGAGCACTACAGTATTATTGGCGAGAACTCAAAGGAGGACTACAGGTATCTAGTACTACCTAGTACGAGCGGCGCGCGACGGGCCGTCCAAATCAATCCAGGACTGTAGCATCGGGAAAGGATGCGAATGAGGGGGGTGGAAGGGGGGGGGGGCAACACATGGCGGTGGGCCTCGGAGAGTTGATGGCTCCGAGCCAGCCCTCCAGGATCCGGCTCACTTCCCATGGTAAGGGTCTTCAACAGGACACTACAGAGTACTGTGTATGTACAGATACTTGCAGTAGGAGTTACCTTCCAGGCAGTACAGAATGAGTTTGCATGCATCTCGCCCTCCAATCTCCCACAGGGACCAGCCTGCATCGAAAGACAAACCTTAATGATTAACATAACCATAAGTACCATAGACATTGAGGATGAGGCGAGTAGGCGGAGACCGGGTTGTGAGCACACCGAACGATAATTATCCCAAATGTACCAATTTCGCAACACGATCAAATTATCGATCTCTTCCAACGACTAATAACCAAACACTCCTATCCTACTATTAATACCTCCCTGATACTAATTATGATCCCCCGACCTGACAAGGCAAGGAGGTCCAGAAGGGCTAGGTCTACCTAGATATCTTGCGAATCGCCTCGCGATATAGGGGGATTCATTGGCTCTCTCCCGTGTTTCTTCCTCCCACCCACCCCCTTTCGCCAATAGTACAGTATTGTAACGAGGTAGGTCTAGCGGCCAGTAGGTAAAAAGTGTGGCTCATATCAAATATAGGTAACGATAGACATATTTTAGTGACTGCGAAGCTCAGTATCGGATTGACCTCCTTTCCTCATCTTCTGTATTTCAGTTCGACTCCACACCTCCTTTAAAACTTAAAGAGGATTGGAATAGAAGTTGCAAACGCTCTTGGGGATGGATCAGAACAGTAAATGACGGATTGGATAAGATTGGACATCTTCCAGAATGAGTGGGTTGGTGGCATGGCATGGATGGCAGCGTGGCCGTGCCGTTGCCCGTTTCCCCGCTACCTAGTATGACAGTAAATTAGCAAGTAGGACCCATCCAATCCATCGATGTCCCAGCAACCCAACCCAGGGCGTTGCTAGCCCAGTAGCCCAGTAGCCCAGCCTAGTAAGCCGAGTTTTTGGGAGGGAGAAGGATGGTGATACTCGTAATGCACAGTCAACTTAGGGTACGGAAGCGTGCAGTGGAAATGTGAGGCGGAGGTTTTATATAGGATTGGATTTGATGGTATGGAAGGGGGAGTGTTGTTATGACTGGTACCTCTGTTTGTACCTAAGTCTGATAGTACGAGTAGGTTAGATGATTGGGTGACAGAATGATTTGCCTGGTTGATGGATTCATGGATTGATTGATGGTGTTCATCTCCCAACAAACGACTTGAATGAGTGGTTACGGAGTATTGTTCCTGCTACAGCTTCTGCTTCCATCATCATCGTATCCTTAGAGCTCTCGTTCATTTGTTTGGTTCATCCACCTGCATGCTACACATTCAGCGTCCTCGACAGCAGCCCTCGATCTATTGGGCACACCACATGCACGCCACAGGATCAGTATCGATCCTGAACAGATCATCCAGTCTCCCCTTCTCGGGCTGAACGACTGGCCGGAGCATTCATCATCTCTGCTCCATGATCCGTGAATAGAAAAGGACTGAAAGAGTGTGTGTCTGTGTGTGCTCCGTCAACGGCCCACACGACTAAGTCAGCGGCTCATTACTACAGTTCGTTACTAGTAATACTTAGGTACTCCGTCCATCGTACTGTATACCTATGAATCCACCAGAAGAGACAAAAAACGGGGTTCGAGAATAGGAGAATAATAAAAACAATACAAAACAATAATAGGGAAGAGGAGCTACCAGCCAACCAGTTGAATCAGCCAGCCCGAAGGCCCTGAACCAGACGAAAACTCCCCAAAGAGAGAACCGAACCGAACCCTGTCTTGCCTCATTTCGACCTGTCTCGTCTTGTTCTGGTCCTGTCTTTTATTTGGTGCCATTCTGACTTGTCCTGTCTTTGTCTTGTCTTGTCTCTTGTGCTTAGGTATTAGGTGGTTACCAGTGGGGTCATCATTCGTTGCCCAATCTACTACTACACAGCACACGCACACACATTCTCCCAGGCTCACACTCACACACTCACTCACACTCACACCCGCAGTCTACTACTACACACGCCCACCACCACAACAACCACTACAACCACTAGATATTCACACTATTACCTACTCGTCTACGGAGTACACAGACAGACACGCTACCTAGCTACCTAGGGCCGTCATCTACCTATCTGTTGCTTCTCCTTCTTTTCTCTTCGTCTTCTTCTTCTTCTCTCTCTCCTCATCTCTCTCCCTCCCACCCTGTCCTTGGCCTCTGCTGCCTCTCCCACCTACCACCACCACTCTATTCCCCTTCCCTCTCCCCCCACCCCCCTTTCACTCACTTGTCCCTTTTAATCCCCTTCTGCGCATTCTTGTAACAATCTACTCACTCCTGGACCCTCTCTTGACATTTGCGAGATCCTTCTTGGGTTCTTCCCACACCCTACCATCGCTGACCCTCCGCCGCGCCCTCGTCTTGGCACTAAATGTACTAAACCACCCTTGACCCTCGCGGCGTCTTTGAAAAATCTCATCTCTCATTCACGACCTCTCACAAACCGTTCTTCCTCCTCTTCCGCCTCCTCCACCTCCTCCCTCCCTCCCCCCTCTCCAATAATGTATTCGACCTACGACCCTCCCTCGTCGCGGTCGCCTGGCTCGCATCGTCACCAGCCGCAGACCCTTCACCGCCAGCCCTCCCGACAGTTCGATGCGTACGGACAGCTACCCCCGGGCGGCCTCTACACCGCAGAAGACCACGCTCGTGGCTACGATCAACCGCGCTCTTACGATCGCCCCAATGCTACCATTCACTCGGGATACGGCTATGACATGGGAGGCAGTCCAGCTTGGAATGCGAATGCATTTGGCCAAAACACCACACTCTCCTCCTTGGGAGGTGCCGCTGGTCGCATGAAGCAATCCGGACGTGGAAGGAGCCAGCTCCCCTCAGTAAGTTGACCCAACTATCCAACATATAATTTGACCACAATTTCTGACCGAGGTTTCTCTCATTTCAGGGATGGATGGACTCTGCTCAGCCAGGACTCCCGAGTTTCGCCCTCCCAGGACTCGGCTCTGGACAGCCAACTCCTGTGCTTGGGCATTCGCTTCGTCAGGAAAACTTCCCCCAGGACGTAGATGAAGAACTTATCCCCACGGCCATCGTCATCAAGAACATCCCCTTTGCCGTCAAGAAGGAACAGTTGGTGCAGCTCATGACTGATCTTCGCCTCCCGTTGCCCTACGCCTTCAACTACCATTTCGACAATGGAGTGTTCAGGGGTTTGGCATTTGCCAACTTCACGACCGCAGAGGAGACTGCGCAGGTCATCGACACCATGAACCACTTCGAGTTGCACGGGCGGAAACTCAGAGTCGAGTACAAGAAGATGCTGCCGCTGGCCGAGCGCGAGCGCATCGAGCGGGAGAAGCGTGAGCGCCGTGGACAACTCGAGGAGCAACATCGTCCCCTCGGCGGGAACTTGCAGACGCAGCCTTCCTTCAGTTCACTTGCCTCTCACATCCCAGCGACGTCACCATCCCCCGTGTCTGCCCTCCGTGCACCCAAGATGGGTACGTGGACACAACCTTCTCAGATGGCTTCCCCCACTAATCCCGTTGCAGATGTGGATCTGAACGACCCCCACGTCCTTCAGTTTTATTCGCAGCTTCTCTTGTTCAAGGAGAATGTGGAGCGCGAAAGCATGACCTTCCCGTCGAACTTGGCTCCCAGCCAGCGTCGCATCGTGCACACCTTGTCTCATCAATTGGGACTTGCTCATGTGTCCAAGGGCGCCGGCGAGCAGCGCCAAGTTCACATCTTCAAGGTTCACGATAACCCGAACCTGAGCCCACCAATGCCGCAAATGCCTACCGAGCAACCACGCCGCGGGCTCAACCGTGCCGCAACCACAGACTTCAGCGATGTCCGAGAGGGATTTTACAATGCATTCGGACGCCAGGCCTCTGGTCTGCTCGGCTTCCCTGATTCGCCAGGCGGTCTCAGTGCCGCCCCCAATCTACGAGCAGCCAAGTCGTACGCAGACCTCCGATCCTACACTCCTTCCCCTGCGCCCTCAACTGCCAGTCACCCCATCGGCCGCCTGGGTGGCAATCTCGAGGGACTCTCCTTCTCAGCCACGTCCACATCGACGAACCCCAATGGCACTCCAACCGCTGCATCAATGTCGCAACGTGACGAGGGTCTGTTGGAGAGGGAGTTGGGGCGCATGCAGATTGGCTCAGGCTTTGGCCAGAACACTAGCCCTCGATCCCTGAGGCAGATGACATCTTGGGAGAACCCAGGTCCCATCGGTGGACACCGCACATTTGGTACGAATTATGATGACCAATCTCGCGAGAGAGGTTTGCCATCCCGCCAGCCCCGTGGTCCCATTCCCGAGCGTGGAACCGGATTCAGCCGCCCCCGCCAGAATGGCCACCAAGGAAGAGGCAGCGATGAGCTCTCCTCCCAGTCCAATGTAGAGATACTCGTTGGACAGTGAGATTGAACGATGAAATGAAGAATGGACTGCCAGAAATTGTACGAGAAGGGCAGTAGATCGACTTATGAAGAGGAAGCTGAAAAGATAGTTGACGACACTTTTAACGGCCGTGTTGTTATGGATCGGCCTCAGCTCCGGGTCGATCACTCTCATGACGCATACGAAGAATGACGCTACGACGGTAGAGACTACATCTATGGGGTTCGCGCTCCTGATCTCATCTCGCATCTTCGCTTTGGGTATCGAAAAAAAAGCATTTTATGAATATATTGGTCGTGTTGTTGGATCATTTGGTTTCTTGTTTACGCTTCCTCCTGTGGGCTGGCGATTGTATTACTTGTTATTTCTCTTTTCTGCGGGGCATTGTCTTGTATCAGCTTTCCGCGTTTTCAAGCTCATAATGGAGATGGAGCGTTTTGTGTGGTTGATCTGAACTGGGCGAGGGCTCATGTTCGTGCGTCCTCATTGGACTGCCCGAGCCTCACTGTTCGGTCGCATCGGCTTACCGTCGTTCCTTCGCCGCTGCACGCTCTCGAACCCTCACGAAGCGTCACCATCCACTCCGCTCGACTACACGCAACGACGATAACGATTTTGGAATGACGAGATACCTCCTAAAGCACACATCTGAACACTATCGACCACGTTCCACTCGCGTACAACAACAGTCCCAGCATTGTCACAACTGTTGCGACGACTGCGACGGATCACGACTTCGACCGACCGCTATCTACCCATGCACTGTCCATATTATCCTAGCACTTATAGCATGCATAGGCTCGTCTTGTTTCCGGAACGTCTGCGGCTAATCACCAAAAAACATTCGGCACGACGTTCCACCTTTCTTTCCGAAACCCAGCAAGAGGAGGATCTTGGGGTTACATGCTTTTTGTTTTTCACCACATTCACAAGGCAGCCGATATGCATACATACAAGCATGGCGTAGCCTTCCGTTTTAATGGACAATAAAGAGGAGGGGAAATGGGATGTGGGCTCGGGTCAGTCCCAGGCTGCTGAGTCCCATTCATTGTTTTCTTTTTTTTCCTTTTCTTTCTCTTTCAATACATCTTATTTCCTCCGTATCTTTTCTCCATTGTCTCAAGTTTTATCAAAGTCGTTTTATCATACATGCAGATCTTTTTAATGCAAATCTCTTCCAATGGTTGTTTACTACATCGGGATATATGTCTTTGGTGACTGAATTTATGCTCGTGACACTGATAACATTGTATTCTGATGAAACATACGACCGTCCCTCCCACTTCTTGCAATCAGATGAAATCCAAATGGCCATGCACCAAGTCTGATCAGTAGCTAACAAGAAGATGAGTGCACATAACTTCCACTGCCTGTCTCTACATGAATATACACCGAACCACCAGATATCTCTCCTTCCCGACCCACCAGCTATACAACTCACAACCGGAACGTCGTCTAAACTTCTCCTTTTCCACCCGACAGACTCGATCGACTTCCGTCCACCAACACCTTGGTTACATCATTGTCATTTCACTGATTTCTCATCACTTCATTCATTTATCAATTTTCATACTTCAAAGTAATCCCATTTTCTATATACCAGACTACCAAGGAAGAAGGGAAGAAAGCCGGCGAGCGAACTTACGTCCCCTCTCACGCGACGCAATCACCTCACGTTACGTTGTTGTTTCCTATGCTATGCTTGCCCGTTCCATTCTAAACCAAGCCATCCAGTCCAAGCCATCCAGTCCAGTTCGAGAGGAAATTCTGGTATGATGTAATAGGTGTGTCGCCAGTAGGTGGATCGAAGTGTCGTTTTCCGGGGGTATGAACGCCAAAAACCAAAAACGCCTGTGTGTGTGGTCCATGGGAAGGTAGCTTTCAACTGAAGGCAAGTTGAAAGTCGAAGGCTGAGGGGACCGATTAAAAATCCTGGGAGAAAGGGGAAAAGGAAACGCCAACTGTAGGGAAAGAAGATCGATGTGTCGATTCGATAACGGGAGCGTAGGTATTCAGGTGAGGTGTGCCATCGATCCTCTCTTCCATCCACGTCCGAAGACGTACAAGATAGAGACGACGAAAGTGCGACGACAGAGACAGCCCAGTCAGACCTAAGCGTACTCCTGTTCGTGACCATTGTCATCCTCATCATCAACTTCAGTCTTCACGCCAACCTTCCTCTCCTCCTCATCCTCCTCCTCATCACCACCCCCACCCTCATCCTTAACAACCTTCCCCCTCTTCTTCCTCTCACCCTCCACCTCCCCATCAGCCGCCCTCTTCTTCCCACCCTTCTTCACCGGTCCCCCGTCCTCAACACTCCTACCCCCAATCTTACTAACGCCCTCCGCGCCGGGGACAACAAGCCCAGCATCCTCATAAGCCTTCTTATGATCGACCTTGATCTTCCAGACCCGGTTACGCACGGCTCCCGGGGTAGCGCCGAGGACGGCCGCGATCTCAGCGTGCTCGCGCGCGCCGATGGACCGCGGGATAGACGACAGGTACAGCAGGCGGAGCTCGGATTCAGGCGTCCAGGTGAACTTTGAGGGGGAGGATTCTGCGCCGGCGGCGGCGGTGGGTGGGGTTTTCTTGGGAGCCATTGTTGTGCGTGGGTGATGTTGGTGACGGGTTGATGTTGTTGTTGTTGTGTGTGGGGTTTTGGTGGGTTGGAGGGGAGGTGTTGGGTTTGTTTGCGATGCTCGGGTGAGTGGTTAGCTTGGGTGAGTGAGTGGGTGCGTTCTTGTTTCTTTTCTGTTCTGTTGGCTGGCGGCGGCTTTGCTTGTTCGGTTGAGGCCAGATGAGACAAGATAAGAAGAGAAGAGAAGAGAAGCTTTGAGCGAAGAAGTTGGTTCGATATGAGAAGAAGGTGAGAGAGATTGTGAGAGTGGAGTGGGAGGAGGTTCGGGTTTTTATATCTCTGGGATCTTCGGAGGGGAGAGGCGAGAGAGGCGTGAGGGTGAGAGTTTGGAAGTGTGAAGGGTTGAGAGTGAGAGAGAGTGAGAGTCTGGGAGCGTGAAAGTATGAGAGTGGGAGAGAGAGATTGAGTGCGTGAGCGTGAGCGTGAGAGACTGAGTAGAAGATCGTGGGCTTGCGGTTGAGTGTCAGTTCAGTGAAACCTCGAGGTGAAGTGAAAAGAGTTGGTGATCAAGTCGAGAGAATGAGGGAACGAGATACGAGTAGTCTGGAAGAAGTTTTAACAGAAAGATGAGAAGAGTGGAAGATGGCGGTGACAGTGAGGAGTCCGCTGAATGGGAAGTGCAGTGAAGGTCTCGTTGATGTTTTAGCGGAGTTGTTGTTGTTGATAGGGGGAACTTGGTGATATTTTTCGTTGGCTCACAGGCTGTCTACTCAATGGCGCTTAGGGTTTTCTTGTGTTTGTAGGAGCTACAGATGATGGCTTTGGATTCACGAAGTAGAATATATGTCCTGACCAGCGGTTCAATTGGGACCTGGTTAGAGCTTGCAGTATCTTCAGAATTGGAGTTGATATCACTTGTTGGAGTCAAGGACTACACTTTGGCAGGCACATGCTCATCACTTTTTGTAAGATCATGTTGAATTCGAAGTACGCACATTACGGGGTTGCCAAGTCAGTTTTGAAGAACAGTTGGGAAATCTTGTATCATGGAATTGAGTGTGTTAGTTATTGAGAAAACAGTGCTTTTCTAGACTTTATCACTGGTGAGGATATATATCTCATTTTCTACGTACTAGCACCGCGCGAATCGCGCTCCCAAAAATCGGTACCAAGGTACTATCAATGAAGTACTCGGTGCTGCATCCAAAAGCACGGAATCACGATTAATGTATGTAAATCAAGATCTCGGCTGCCACTGAACTCTGGATAGAAGGCAATCGTTAATGACATAAATGATATTCAAACATCGCTGCGCCACTTATAACAACTTCGCCAGTCTACCGCATCCATGTCTTGGCCACGGAACAACTACCGTTTGCAGACCGGCGATGTCTGGGAAACAAAAGCTTGGAAGTTGCCTGGTATCACGATCGGGAGACAACGCCATCTCCACATCTGATCTATTCTTCAAAGAGAACCCGAGAACGTGGGTGTTGGTCGGCTGCGGTGCTAGTGTCCAAAACTCAAGGAAATCCTCCTAACCAACTGGCTGGGCTTGGTGAGTAATCTCCAGGGCTGCATCGTCATCAACCAATCCGATGCGTATCCGGTGGTCCAAGAACAAAATTCATAGAATGAAAGGATGCTCGAAGGATGGCGAGCTGAACGTTGCCGAGTAAATCATCGATCAACTAGGGCTGACAGGGACCTGTGGCCAACCACGAGCTTTATCACCCGGTGTTCCCCCAGCTGTTCACATACGCATCGTACGGTGTTGCATCATCGCGGACGGAATTGTCAGTTGTGTCTTGAACTCGTGGCCATGGGTTCCGTATTCCAAATGTATAGAGTCGTGTGGGCAGGTGTGTAGCTAGCATCTGATAGTGGGTCTCTTTTCGCGTGGCCATCGTATTTGCTGCACGTTGTGTCCATAAATAACCAGCGAGTCATGCATTCTTGAAGAACAAACCATAACTAACTCCCAAAAGTTATGCTGACGTTGATTCCCAGATCTTTGATGTGCAATGTTCGTAATTACAGTCATCTTTTGGATATCCAGACATCGCAAGACGCGGTGTTTGCGGCTCAGTCAAAGAAAGCGCCTGCACTGCCGGGATGGTTAATATATCCCTCCGAGACTATGACCTCTAGTGTCTTTTATTCGCTTCGACTCTGTTTCCGTGCCAGACACTCCCAGACGATTAACGACATGGCTTATCCTTTTTCGATGGCTGAGTCTACCATCTTTTCCCGAACATGGCATATGGCACTTGGCCGTGCCCATTGGATGTCTTAGGGAGCCCTTTCTGTTGTAAGCCTAGGCAGATTGTCTTCTAGCTCGATGATGAAGGTGATGATGCAACTGGGCTTTCGCTGTTTGACTCGATCACGGCTACCCCGGGCGTTGGTGTGATTATCGTCGTTGCTTCTGCTGCAGACTATGCTATAGGTGGTTGCTCTTGCCCAGAAGTTGCCTAATACCTCTCAAGGCTGCAGCCACATGGCATATTAAACATAGCCAGCACCTCACGCCTTCTATAATTATCGAGGCCCCATTTAAAGACGTTAACTGTCTCCTCTGAAGGTCGTTTGGCATCGCTCGGCTTCTCTCAGAAACATTCAAGGACTTTCTTCTCATAGATATATCAATTCGTCGCCCACGCTACTTCAAGTCGGCGAACGCCACCGAAATTACCGACCCACATGTGTATGCGAATCGTGGAAATCTATTCGGTCTGTGGATGTATCTATCATGTACACGCCGTTGATGCATGTCCCTACTATGGGCGACATCACGTAGTCGACAAGATCGTGCACGTTGGCGCGAAGTGTCCGAACCATACATGATTATCCACAGAGCGGGTCGTATTGCTAGATCAGATGCCGCGCATTTATTGCTAGGCAGTAAAAGCCGAGTCGAGATGGGTGCCATGGTATGCGTCTCGAATGCTGGGTTCAAATATTAGCTAACGGAACCAGTGCCGTCTCCTCAAAAGTGCGGAAACAGAAGAACGTTGCGCCATGTCACTGCGTAGGCATCCAAGACGCGCCATGTATACGCTTGGGTAGAGCAAAAATTTGATTCCCGAGGTGAGAACAGAATCCGATGTTGTTGGACAATGGCTAACTCGCGCAAAAGAGCATTATGAATCGGAGCAGGATTAGGAAGAGAGATGAGCTGGCTGGCTGTTTGATTGCGATGATGGAGAGACAATCGAATGATCAATCCGTAGTCATGTGCGGTCCGACTATTGGAATTGCATGTGGTGTTCTTTGTCGTGTCAAGATCTCTCATTCTCGCACGCATTCATGCTCAAACAGCAGCAGCAATGTGGACGAATAAATGCGAATTCCTTCAATCAAACAATTCTCCACAAATGGTTTCTTAAGTCTAGGCACGTCGAAGGTATTTTAGTAAATGGTTCATATAATGTTCCCACTGGCAGGTGCTTTTACTCTGCCCCAATTCGAGACGCAACGACGCTGTCTTCCAGCTCTTTCGCATATTCCAAACTGACTCCGGTGATCATTGCTCTCCGAACGCCATATAAACTCTTGAATGGATCTAGCACCGTCTGAGACTGATGAATGTATCTGTCGTCCTGAACCCTATGAATTCGGCCACTGGGAAATCGTTCTCTACCAACGGCTCCATCGATCAGATGGACTTGGAGTCGATTTAGATATGGAGCGGCAACCAAAAGATCGACCAAGTTCTCAACCTGCCGGCGGATGCGCGCGGCAAGGCCTATGCCTTGGCAGTTGTACTTTATCATTCCGGTGTAATCATCAACGTGCTCGACGTTGATAATATAATTCTTGATCTTCATAAGGTTTCTTTGCGAAAAATGTTCTAGGAAGGGAAAAGCTCGGCTCGGCATGAGGTTGCTCGACAATATCAGCCATCGGTAGCGGAAGGTGATATTGTCGAAAGATACATCAATAACAAAGATGTTCTCTCCATACATGATGTCCACACATTCGTCATGTACTTGGTGGTTGGTGGCCAGTATGCCGATGCTGCCCCGTTGCCATACGACATCATTTCCTGTTTCACGATCGCTTTTTGGAAACGTTTGCTGCACCTTCCATAATTCGACGCCTGTGCCCACGCGTACTAGGGTCAGATTGAATTCCTTCTTCTCTTCTTCGCCAGTTAAACGCTGAAGGCGTGTGTCCATCCTCAGGGTCGAGGGGAGAACGTAACGATAGATCTGCCGGCGCAATTCGATGGGCATTCGAAGCAGCGGCGAGACTGGCTCATGTTGGATAGACAAGTTCTGCATTGTTGTGGCAGTGTTGAATGTTTACATATCATTGATCTGTTCCCCAATTGAGAGTGCATGCAGTGGTGGCTAATGAGTATGAATATGTCGACGATAGATGACGCGATGCCATCGAGGTCCGTGTGCAAACACGCGAAAGGGACCCTGTTCTTGGCGCATACATAAGTTGACGACATTCACATCCAGTCATAGCTTCCTCCCCCTCACACATCAATCATGATACTCGCAATGGCTTCCAGTCCTTGCCGGCTGGAGCAGTCTCTAAATGTCTCACCCGAACATGGAATGTCTCTTTTCTATAGCCCCAACGAAGGGGTCTACATCGTTTGAGACCTTTCCATCCCTATCGACGCGAGGGCCTCACAGCATCTGGTCACTCCCAGATCTGACCTGCTGAAGTTCACGTCGATTGTTTCACTAAATCACCAGTGCTATCTCACACTGATAGACCCTATATCAACCCCTTTACAGCGAGAAGTTGTGAAGGAATAGACTGTCCTTATCTCCTCCAAATCCTTATCTCCGCCTTTCACGATGCTCTTCGAATTCCTTGCAACGGAGCTCGTCTCCCATATCTTTTCCTCCTGCTCCACCATCGCCGATGTTCTCGCCCTATCATCTACCTGTCGGCGCTTCCGAAATATTTACACATCCTCCCAAAAGCTCCTTATCTTGGAGGAGGCCGCCGAAAACCAATATGGCCCTCTCCAAGACCTGACCCAACTATTGACCCACAACTCCAGCCAACCGGTGCATATTATTCGTTCCGTCCCGCTTTCGATGGCACTCCTTCAACAAATCGTTCATGCTGGTCGCATTGCTGAGAAATGGTGCGACCTGTATCCGTTCAAGAAATGGAAGCACAACTATGAAAACCGTCGACTGCTGACGGAGGAGGAACGATATCGCGTGCGAAGGGCAATATACCGACTCTGGCTATACTCTCGCGCCTTCCACAACCGTGAGCATCCGCGCGAGCTTAGGGCTGCCAAGGCTGTATATGAGAGGCGTGCTGGCTTGCTCCATAATTGGAATTCGTATGAGCTCGCCGAGATCGCTGATGTTCATACTGTGCTGCGAGATGTGGTTCACAGCAATGTCTGCCCATCGAATGGTACTATCGCACGCAAGTTCAAAAAGCGATATCCAGACACGAGTGAACACCATCTTTTGTTCAACATCCACTTGAACTACCCTCCGCCTATCTCTACTCCGCCAACAAACAACCCCTTTTCTTCGCAATGCAATACAATGCCCAACTCGTGTTCACCGTTCTTTAACAGCACATCGACCTATACGTCCCGCTATGCGCCGTCCAAGTTCAGCATGCATTCCAACCATGAGATCGGCGCTGAGGGTTGGGGCGACGACATACCGCACTATTATGTCGTGGAAGATATGCTGAAGTTGAACCCAGAGCAGATCATGTGGTTGAAGGAGAACGCACCATTCAAAGGGCAGGTGGAGGGATACGTGAGGAGTCTAGGTGATTGGTTTGAGAACAATGGGGAAACTTTTGGCCAGACGTTGGAGTGGGTGTTGAACGAGCGGGGCGAGGATGTAGGGGACTTCATGCTGGCAGTGGCAGATGGAGATATGGGCATTGCCGCCTAATCTAGAGACGAACCGGAGTAGGAGGAGGGGAAGGGGAAGGAATAGAATGAAGAGGATGGATGTAATGGCATGTGCTCGATTGGCCCGGAGTGCTGATTGCATAGAACAAGCATATCGAACTATATAGCGTGCATTAATTTATACATGGTCGAAGAATTGAAATGTTCCGTGCGATAGAACTAAGTTCCTGTCGAAAATTCCCAGTCCATGTCATGAACGACAACGAATGCAATGCCCATGCCAATCCAAAAGGACCAGGTTGTCAAGGCGTGGGGTAAAGGCATCGCTTGTAGCCGCAATATTCCCCCTAATCCTGGGTGTTGGGTTGGCAATTGGGAAACCTTGGGAAACCTTGGTGGACGCCGTCAGTCAGCCATCCCGGCCGCCGTACAAGTAGCGCCTCTACTACTCCATCCACTAGCCATATATCGCAACGCACCCGTTTTCGATGCAATTTTGGGTTATCGGGATTTCTATTTTTTCTCTCCTACCTGCGCGTCTTTTCAATGGTACTTATGGGTAGGCTTCCACCGATACGCGATGGTAGAGAATAGAGCTCGTATGGTGCTTCGCGACCGCGTAATCGTCGCCAGGGTACGAGGTACTTCGTAATTGGTCCAGCCCGGATGGTGTTCCCCCAGGAGATAATTAGGCAAGGTATTCATCCCGGAGGATCATGGCACACGATCTCAAATGTACGGTGTGAATTTCCAGCCATGGATGGATTCAGTTACACGGTACCGGGATGGATTCGATACTGCAGCGAATTGATATCAAAGGGAGTAGGGACGTGGTTTTGTGCTTCATAGCTGCTGCTCCTAAAGAATTATAGTAATGTGTACAGAGTGCCTAGTTAACTGTATGGTTACTTACATATCTACCTACTTGCAGGTGCCCTTAATAGACACGGTTGTGGTCTATTCGTGTACGAAATAGTTTATGCAGTTCGTGTACGGCTGATAGATGATGATTTCTCCGTACTCAGATATGTACCACGTAACGGGCATGCTCACAATTTCCCATCTCCTCCTCAACAAGACGACTATAGTCAGGTACATTTTTCGTATTCCGCACTTAGTCAATTTAGGTTGTTATTCCTACCGCTTCTAACTGCCCGAAACAAATCCGGATTGTCGTTTTAAAATTGTCCGCCGCCAGAGGGACATTCAGACATATAGAGGGATGTACTAATTCCTACTAACTCGAGGAAAGGAGTATGTTGACCAATGATACGTGCTGAATATTGAGCGTGTAGTCCCTCATTTCCCTTTGGGGCTTAGTCTATCCGGAATGGCCACTGCTATTACTGTCTAATAAGGCAAGGCTCTAAGCCCCTTCCCTCCCTCCTACTTTGGGCCTTGGCGGATCTCAACCTTCCTCTTTCCAACCAACAACCCTATTCCTTATTTCCCCCCTCGAAACAACCTCCTCAACTTCCTCGTCCTCCTCCTCCACACGAGTTCTCCGTCCCTTAACAGTCGTCTAGAACCCTATTTCGCGCGTTGTGCCCTCGCTATCCCTCGTTACCCTCGCTTCTCGTTCGGAAGTTCAAGAACAAGAAACATACACCTGTCACTCATTCACTTTATATTCTTTTTGCCAAGTCAACTCGTAACAGAGCATGTCCGCATAGAGTCGCTGAATCCGCCTCCGTCTCAGTTCCAGTCCTTCCTTTGGCCTTTTCCGCTCTCTCTACCCTTCTCTACCAAAGCCGCCCAGGATGGGTATGTACTTCCCAACAATGCGCCTTGTACCGGAACTTGTACTGACGATAGTGCACAGTGGAAAAACGCCCTTCTACCGACGGTCTCGTCGATAATATCGATCCGCGCTCATCCAATGATATCGAACTCGAGGAATTGCCCAAATATGAGCAGCCGGAAGCGCCCGTGGCTCTGCCACTCAAGGAGAAGCTGATTACCTGCTTCTGGATAGCCATGAATACCTTGTCTACGGTCCTGTTGGTTTTTCTGAGTAAATCGTAGGATACTCCCGCTCCGCACGTTTTGGCACGCAGGAACTTGGACTGACAATCTCCCAGGGTCTTTAGCGACAAGCAGCTCCAGAAGTGCCAACTCATGGTCGTAATGTGGCATTTCACCGCTACGGCTCTCGTGCTTTTCATCTCGACCCGCGGCCCGTTCCGTGCCTTCAAGGCAGTGCGCATCAACCCTAAGGACATGTTGCCTGTCTGCGCTTTCTTCGCCGGTTACGTCGTGCTTGGAAACCTTAGTTTGACCTACAACTCGATCGGATTCTACCAGCTTGCCAAGGTCATGACAACGCCCTGCGTCGTCCTGTTGAACTTTGTCCTGTTCAGGAAGACCGTCACCCGCTGGATGCTGGCAGCCATCTTGGCTACTTGCATTGGTGTTTCATTCACCATCAACGAAGCCGCCAAGACGCAGCTGTTTGGTGTCATTATTGCTACCATGGCTTTCTGCTCGACTGCGCTCTACCAGATTTGGATCGGAAAGAAGATCGAAGACTTTGCGGTTTCTGCTCCCCAGCTGCTCCTCAATCAAGCTCCCATCTCCGTATTGTTGCTCATTCCTTTCGTCCCGTTCTTCGACCAAATGCCAGACCTCAGCCTTGTCCCCAACAAGATCTTGTACTCCGTTTGCGCATCCGGCATCATGGCCTCGCTTTTGAACTTGTCGCAGTTCTTGATCATCGGACGGACCTCAGCCCTTACCTTCAACATCGTCAGCCATCTCAAGACTATCATGATCCTCTCCATTGGCTGGTACAGTGAGGGCAAGATCTTGAGCCCCCGCGAGTGGCTCGGTGTGCTCCTTGCTCTTGGTGGTGGTTGGATGTACTCGCACTTGGCTCTGAAGGCGAAGAAACAGGGCAAATGAGAACGTCTGTAAGAAACGTAATCCGGGCACGATGTTTCACAAAACTTCAGCGTAAAGCATTTGATGGGGTGTACGGCGAATGTATAAACGACATTTTCTTTTCTCATAGATCAAGATCATACGATTTGGAGGGATCGATCTCATAGACGACGGGGACCGGACGTTGTTGGGTGTTTTTCTTGAATCATTTATCATTTCATTTAGGGTGGTCATTAGCCTGTTCCTTTCCGGTCACATCTCTTTCTCGTCGATCTTGTTCGCATTCGAATACCACAGTTTGTATACTCCAAGTCTAGCCTCTCGGGATTTGTTCCCTCTGCACTTCCATTGCGGGTGCACGTCTAGGACGAGATCTAATGAAATCGCTAATAACGAAACACCATACTACATATGGGGCGCACGTGTGTACCTGTTGACTCGATGGCGGAGCTCTTGGTGACATTGTACTCCACGATACTTGATTCTCCTCCCTGAATCGCGTAGAACCACCAAGCACCGTTGTTACTCCGATGTTGCACGAACAAGACCTTACAGTCTTAGTATCTAACCCTATGTTGTACGAAGTAAGAAAATGTAACATCAGTATACGCCCTCCGCACCTATTGTTTCTGGGACAGACCATACTCCACATTCACAAAACACAAAGCAATGCTTAGATGACAATCCAACCATCTCTCGGATTGCTCTCTAAACGAGCTTAGACGACAATATTCCGTCCGGGGATGTCAAGGGAATTATGATTTAAGGCTGATTCGGGGGCGCTTGTATGGGTGACAGTCGAGTAAGGCAGTACAGTGCAAGGAAAGCATGGTGTAAGACTGACTGAATCGAAGATAGTTTTGCCAGACCTTGAAATGCTCACCGCAACACAGTCTACAGATAGAGTTAACACTTGCATAGAATAGAACATGTGCAAGGTCTTTATACTGTTGACTGGCTACAATGTAGTCTTCAATCGCTGATTTATATAAATTATACAGAAACTAGCAGGCGGCTAGTCCAGCGTGCCTACCCAGGAATCCACGAATACACAATAAAGTGGGGGAAGGCTGTAATGTCTTCGAAGACTTAGCTTGCATGCAAATAAATGGTGTATTCAATAGTTGGGCGCAGTGATCCAATGAGTTATTGTAGGCTTGCAAGGTCTCTGGCAGGTATGGGTGCTGCTAAGGCGAACAGGCGACCGTCTGTGCACCTCCGCCTTCTCCACACTCGAGAACAACATCATGCAACAACCATAACTATATATATTTTAGAAACCTCGATTTTTGTCCCGTTCCTGATGCCATCTCTCACACGACCCCTTCATGCGGACTCTCGTAAGTCAGTTGTCGATAGCTGGTTGGAGCAGACCATTCCAAAGGGCATGATAAGTCTCGAAGGAAGCAGTATTCTTCCTACAACAGAGCTTCCAGACGATGGGATGTCTCTTCGTGATGATGCGTCCACCTCTGCAAGTTCAATGATCATACCAGGCTCAACATCAACTGGGACATCCGAGAGACTAATCACATCAAGTCCACTGTTCCGCTCGACATTAAAGATGAATGGTGTCCACATTGACAATTTCGGTACGAAGACTCCTAAAGATATTGAGGAATTAGTCACCAAACACATTCGTAGGAAGCGTGACTCTCCTCGCCTTGGGTCCGAAGAGAGGGATGAAATCACATCTAAAATTGCAGATTCCTGGGATAAACCCGAACCTATGGTTTCAGACATAAGTAGTTGTTTGTTCCCAGTAGATCTGAAGAAAGTTTCTCAGGGCGGGGATACTCTTTGGTCTACTCAACCTCTGCCTCGTAATCCGGAATACCCCCATGGACTCGTTACGCCGAAAACAGACCGTCACTATGGGTTTCACACCGCTTTGAAGTCAAGTTGGAGCCCTACAGAACTTGCTGCAGCCAGTCATCCATCAGTACGACCTTACTCACAACCAACAAACGACAACTTATTCTCTCTGTTCCTGCTTGAAGTGAAATCCGAGGCCACGGGTGGAACATTATACGCGGCCGAAAGCCAACTTGCTGGCAGCGGAGCCCACCGGGTACAATCAATGAGATGATGCCTTGATCAGGTTGACCCGGATCGAAAAAGATCCAGCGCGGATGCACTGGTCTTTTCTGCAGCTTTCAACCAACGACAAGCCGTCGCCCACGTGCATTATTACAGTGAAGAGGAGCAACAATTCTGCATGTCGTATATTGATGGGTTCTTATTCACTAAAGACATACAAGGGTGTCAAGACTTCTCCAAGAATGTCGTCGACTGGATGGTCGAAATTCAACAGCCAATGATCAGGGATGCGTTATCAAAACTGCATCCCATTACCAAGTTATGGAAGAAGCGTAGTAGCACTGCCACTGATGCAATGAGTTCAACAGCAACAGAAGAAGGGAGGCGTGCGAAGGTTCGACGGAACTAGACCATACCTGAGATGCCTCTCAAGAGTATCCTGTAGCTAGGTAGTCAACAGTAGTCTGAATGCCTTGAAATATAGATCTTCTAAAGTATATTTTCGCCAATCAACAATCTGCAGGCGTCGCTATCTACTCGCAAATATACAGTTATAAGTTGTAGATACATGCATGTTCTATACTTCACCTGGCAATCTAAGAGGATATTCTAGCCAGTTGAAACAATCTAAAAGCTTCGAGAAGGTACAAGGGCTAGCCCGACGTGCCTATCCTCTCTCGCCATCTGTACTAGCGGCGGGTGCCTGGCAGTGAGAATCACGTCTCCGCATTGAGTACTGACCCTACTGTGGCCCCAGTTCATTGGTAGAAATGGTCACCTGGATAACCATAGCTAAATGATATTTCACCACACACAAACCCAACTTCAACATCTCTTACCCTTTCCCACATTTCCCTCGCCACAAATCTCCAACAACATATCAGCCCAGCATGACCCGTCTTTTCGAAATCGATCCATCATGCATCCCCTCCCACTTCACCCGCGTAGTCTACCTAATTCCCCCAGAAATCCTAGTCCGCCTCGGCCCAACCTTCCAAGAAGCCCTCGACATGACTGTTCTCAGCCTCCATACGGCCCTTAGCAAAGACCACCCCGGGATCCGTCACTTCGGCACGGCGTACAGTATCAGGATCATCACGATCGTCCTGGACATCGTCCCGGACCCATCACTGCCCTCAGATAGCACCACCGCCAGCAGCAGCAGCAGCAGCAGTAGTAATCGAACCGAAATCCTACACCTCCGAAGAGGAAGGCAAAGGCAATGCCAACTGTTGGGGTTCCCGGACCCTGGACTGCGATTGCGTGCCCGCGTCGACGAGCAGATTGCAATGATCCTGAAGCGTCATCCGGAAATCGAAACTCCTATCCTGTGTTCTCAGTACTGGGATGGCGGGGGGGCGAAGGATAGTGATACCTACAAGAGATTGGTTGAGGCGGGGGCCTCGTGGGAGAAGTGGGGAGTGCATTGCGACAAGGTAAGTGATATATCCCGTCAGGCCTTGTGTGGGGACATTGCTTTTACTGACAAAGGTGGTAAGTTGAGGAAGAAAAGGGCGCAGTTCCGGCGCAATTTGGCGAGACGACGGCTTGGTGTAGAGCGGGCGAAGGAGACCGTTCAATCCGTTCCACCGGATAAGGAGGCGACGGTGCCGCCGAGAGCACGTAGGAATTGGAGCCAACTGGCTGCTGACATCGGAAAAATGATGCAGAATCATCCAGTTCCACCGGTGATGGAGTTCTCGTTGGATCCAGGATGGTACTCGTTGCAGAGTCGTTTTAGGACTGCCCTCGAAAATCGGGCTAAATCTTTGATTCAAGATTCACAAAGTATCCCTCCAGGCGAAGCCAGTGAAAGCGCGAAGATGATGCGGGATCGTCTCCTCGAATGGTATAAACGGGAGTTCGAAGGGAAAGCTGGAAATGGTTCAGAGCCGGAACATTCAGACCAACAATAGTTGATCTTGCCTCATTACAGAGGAGAAAATACACGACGCGGGAAACGTGGAGTGTCTATATTTTGTCCACGAGATATCACAGGGGCTTTCGACTTCTTTGGTAGCTGAGCAGTGAACTCCTCAAAGCCGGTAGCCGCTCCAGCGCCAAGCAAATGTACCTGCAGTGCTCCGTCAAACATTTACTATTTCAAAACTTAGATCATAAATTTATGTTTGGTTTGAGGCGCGTCGTGCAATTATCGAGGACCGAACCGTTGCTGTCAACTACGGATAGGAAACCTCGACCTTAGAAGAAGAAAGCTAAGTAACCGTTCGATGATATGGTACCGTGAATGCACAAGAGCTTGTACTCGGTGGAGTGCGCTCAATTATTCTCGATAGGCCATAACAGCCAAACCTTTCAACTCAAGTAATAATAGTTCTACCATTTCCTACTTCAGAGCATGTCCATACCAAGATCTCCATTAACCACGCTAACCCGACCCACACCCTCGCCCTATCGCTACCAAAACAAGCAATGATACGACCGCGCCGATCTCCACCCCAGCCCAGCTAGCTAAGCCTTGTCCCACGCACAGACGACCTCTAACAAAGTCACCGCCACACATAGACGTCCACATTACCTCGTTCATTAAACGACGAACGAATGATGATCGAACCGCGAACCGAGAAACCGAGAAGAACGTTCTTTCATTGCCTAAATTGGAAAGATAACTACGTATTCCCCATCTCTCAGTGGGAGATGGGGACACAAGCCTTGCGCAGATCCGATCGCAATGCCTCCGACGTCGTCTCTAGCGGGAGATGCATTGTGCCTCGTTCGTACGGAATAGGCTCTATAGGGCGAAGTCCTTCTTCTTTCGCTTCCCCCTTCGACGCTAGAAGCATTATGGAAGGCAGGGGGTATGGTATGTCGTATGCGGGCGCAAAGAAAGAAACATTATTGTCGAAGTGGAAAGTGGAGGTTTGTGATGATGATGGTTGATGACGCTGATGACGATGACGATCCCGCATCGCCTACTTACCTTTCCACTCTTCGCAGGTGGCCTTGTCAGGTACCCTACCTATCTGGCCTGGCTGGGTGAGGTGAGGTGAGGTATGGTTAGGCGTTCCTCCTATCTCGTCATTATTCTCTACTTTCTTTCTCTGTCGTATCTCTGCGTGTTTTCGAGTGATTTAACTTCCAGCCAAGGCAATATATGAACTTGCATGTACAGAGCACCGCGTGCACAACGCACAATTCCAATACTCCATCATAGATCCTTCGAACCTATGCGATTGGTTCGAGATATCATAATCTCCCTCGTGAGCAATGTTCAACGTTCGAAGGATCGGGGTTAGAACGGTGGCTGGGGGGCTGTGAAGCATCGACCACGACCGTCACCCTAGCGCAGCAACCCACACCCCCGGGCACTTAACCCTTGGGGACATGTGGACTCGACAACGTGTGGTGAGATAACCTTGTTGACCGGTGAATGGATTGCAGACGGGGTGTTTTTTTTGGTGGCTTTTTGTGGATCAGAGTTCGAGGCGCATTTGGAGTTGGGGTGAGGGTTAGGTGGATATATAAGATGCGATTCCCACGCTGGTGCTGACAGTTTACTTTTGCATATTCAACCCACTCATCTATCATTTACCATTTCTTTCTTTGCATGTTTCCTTGAAGAGAGACACTACCAAACAACTACGATACCAAATTAACGATAATTTCGTTGTACATACATACATCTACGAACAAAGACATACCATACAAACCATATCAAAGCCAATACCACGACATCGATAAGGTGTAATACAACTACCACATACTCAACCAAACCCCAAACAACAAACCACAGTCACAACAATGGGCTGCGGCTCCAGCAAGCAAGCCTCCGCCTACCCGCAACCCATGCGGCAGACGCGGTACAACTACAACATCAACGCCGCGCCCGCCTACGGCTACGGGGACCCGTACGGCTACGGAGGCAAGAAGAAGGGAAGGAAGGGGAGGAGGTACTACGGGGACGGCGGCGCGTCGGCAACCGCTGGGTATGTTGATGGAGGAGGTGGTGGATGGTTTAGTGGCGGTGGGGACGGCGGAGGTGGAGGAGGCGGAGGAGGTGGTGATGGTGGTGGTGGGGGTGGGGGAGGCTGCTAAGAGTACACAGTAGGGGGGAAGGGGTGAATTGATGGTTCTGGGTCTTTATTTTGGGATGGGGAGTTGTATATACCATTTTGTTTTCTGGTCTATTTATGATGTTATGAATGTTAGAATCATACGTTTTGATTATATCATCGTGGGTCTATGGTGACGGTTTGAGGTCTTGTGATGAAGCCCAATGGGAATAAAGATTCGAACGAGTTTTGAAGAGATTTTGAAGATGAAGATGAGAAAGTTTATATTATATCCATGAATATGTTAACTCAGCCCTAAAGGCAGAGGCCGGCGCAGTTTCCGTGCTTTTTATGTGCCCTGATTGTCGCCGTAAAATATTTAGTATCAGAAATTCGTTTGATGAAGAGAGAGATAGCCTTCGACTAGAAGCCTAGTGGGCGGCGGAAACCCGCGTCTTGAGATAGCCCTGGCGGAAGTCGTTCTTGTCTGTCTCTTCGCTCCTGTTAAGAGGGGTCCATTTGGGGTCCTCCTTGAACAATCGCATGGCCTTGGTGTACTGTTCCAACTGAGTTAGAATTTGACTCTTGCTCTCTCGGTAGGGAACCGAAATCTCGTGGTTTCTTACGTTGTCTGCATTAGTGGTGAATCGATGATAGATCCCAGCAGGCAAGATAATCAAATCATTCTTCGCCAACTCGATCCTCACCCAATCGTCGCTCTCACTCCTGACATCAAAATATCCAACGCCATCAGTGATGTACCTGATCTCCTCGTCCTCGTGGATGTGCTCGTGGAAAAAGTTCTTGACCTTCTCCTCGTAGCCCGGGAGCGTCGAGGGTGATATCGTGATCTCGTCGCGGTTCTTGTAGGAGCGGGACGAGGCGAGCGCGTCCACGTCGGCGATGTCGGGGAAGCTGTAGTAGAGGACGCCGAGCTTCTCGAGGTAGGAGGAGGGTACCTCGCGGCCGGAGTCGTGTGGCTCGCGCTGGTCGCCCTGCGGAGGTGCGTTAGATGAATGTACGATTTTCACTTGTGGATGGTTATTGCGTGGGAGATACGTACCGGAAGATTGTCGTACCAGTATGCCTTCATTTTCAATAATGTCTTTCAATTACGACGAGCGCTGAATGTGCAATGATGGAATGTTTTGAGGGGTTGAAATCGTCAATCGCAAAAAGATTTGGAGATGTTGCGGGGTGGACGGAGAATGGCGTCATAGTATTATTCAGCCTCAGGGTCTGGCTGTCAAATACAATCGCCTCATTGGACCACGAGCCACGACAAAGGTTGGGGATGCAATTAAGCTCATGAGATATATTTGGAAACCCCGTCTGGACGTGCCTGTTCCCCTCTAGGTCTGATATTGGCCTAGCATCTACGCGTACGCTCGTATGCTTGGATCGGAATTCCCATGCACGGCATTGTACAGACGGACCTCGTAGAATTGATGTGTAATCCCCCACGAGCGTTACAAGTCCATTTTGTAACTTGGGTTACGAAAAGCCCGTATTGGTATCGGGGATATTGATAATGATGCCCTATCGTTTACCGAGTTTCACGAAGCTTGAGTTCACGTCGAGTGCCTCAGTCCACCACCACCATGAACGCCGTCCTGTGACTGAAATGTGAACCATGTAGTACGTACTTGTCGCTATGCTGCAAAAAGAAAACAATGTCCGTAATGCCTAATCCCAATCATCGTCATCGTCATCATTATCCATGTTTTGCCGTCGTTTCTGGTTCTCTTTCCTTTCCCGCTCGTCTTCCTGGTTCACCTTTGATCGGACTAGTACATTTGCTCGTATCAAACGAGATTCGAGGTCCCTGGTGGTGAAGCTGTCAGGCGTTCGGCCCAAGCCCTCGAAGCCAATTACTCGATCCACACCGATGCCGTCTATGAATGCAATTACACAAGGCAGAACTTGAATTTTTAACTTGGTGACCAGGAAAGGAGCATTGTCCACGTTAATTTTCAATATCCGAGCCTCGTAGTGAGCTGGAGCAAGGGACTTGATACATAGTCAGAGAGAAAGAAAGAGAGAGAGAGGAAAAAAGGAGACGACACAATGAGCAGAAACCTTGTGTTCAATGAGGTTCTACAAGTGCGTGTGACAAAGAGCGAGACAGTGGTATTGTCCTACGACTTACCTCCAGGTGGCTATCCATGATCCTGCATCGGTTGAAGTCTGGCTTGAAGAAATGCACGACACACTTTTTCGTACTAGTCGTAATGTCCATCAGGGCTTTTTCCTCCTTGATCTCGACATAGGTGCCATGGTCGCTCGCTCGGAGATGCCGGGCTCTGTCATACTCTGCATGAAGCTGCTGAAGCCGCTGCTCGCGAAAGGCATCTAGTTCAGAATCATCTTCTAGTGCGGCGATGAGGGCATCTTCGTCTGACTCGTCGCCGCCTCTATTGGCCTTGTCCAAGACAGCGGCGACCTTCGGGTCCAACTCGGCCATGTCGCGCGTGTGGTGGAGTACGCGAGGGCTGGCTGAAGAATTTAAGGGATATCTAGGGAGGAGGATGGGGGGCAGTGGGAGCACGGGTTGGGTGAATTATTGCATGGACCAAACGACCAAACTCGGTTGGATAGGATAGATCGATGCGTCACGTGATGACGGGGAATAGGGATACGCGGCGCCTCCAAGGTTAAAACAAAAGTGATCAACCCGACTACAAGGAGAAGATGCGCACGCGATCGAGTTGAACAATTTTGCATTGGCTTAACTAGGACACACACGCCTTACCTTCTCTTGCGGAAAGTGGATTAGGGTTTCTTAGGTATTTAATTAATTACACGTAGGTTAGGAAAGAAAGGAAAAGGAACAAGAGATAGTGCACTGTGTACGGAGTAGTCCCACTATTTTTCTTTCTTCCTAATTGTTAGGAGCTGGATGGGTCATGGAGTTGCGCGTCGTGGTCGTCGGGGTGGCTGATATTACGCAGCAAACGCAATGGTTTCAACAAGTAGACCCTACGCGGCCCAGCAGTTCCAGTGTTTCCGGTTGTCCATTGTCGTCGTGAGCATCGTGGGCCATTGCTATTTTATGTATGGTTCGTTGGCCACGGAGGTTTGTTTTACAATACCTGAGGTACGTACCCCGTACCCTGGGGATGGGGATACTGGATACTGTAGTATTGTTGGGCCACCACCCTGCTTCATAGGCACCATACTGTGTAGGATAAGTAACTGTCTAGTAATGAATAGGCCTACACGGGCATTGACGAGTAGGAGAGGACAGACATACTTTACTACAGACGAGACACGACCAGACAAGGGGTAATTCTCCGCTTGGCATATGCTCAGTCCGGGAGTGTTTAAAATTAACCACAACCTTAGTCTACCTAGTCCCCTAGGCCACCTAGTAATTATCTACGGGTACCTACACCTACACCGCAAATACACCTATTAACTAAGTACCTACTTGCCTACTGCGTGTAATAAACCATCTCACCCACCATTATCTGTTATTTGCCATCCGCACCTCATCGCATCTGCAAGCCAGGAGCAGTTAATCCGCACTAAACCCTTTTCCCAGCTCCGCCCGCCTCCTTGCACATTCTCTCTCTCTCTTCTTCAAGCAACATAATCCTTTTTTCCCCCCTTCTACTAATATCTGTTCGTCCTACCTTCGCCGCTCCTACCTCCTGCCACTTATCACCACTTTTGCTCCTTACTTCTTCTTTTCCTTCTTCTTCTTTCCTATCTATCATCAACCCATCCGGTCTCTTCCCTTCCATTACCTGCCTTCAGATCTTGTATCTCTGGCTTGGTGTCCGCTCGCTCACTTGCGCCGCGCCGTTATTACTTCCACTTCCTACTGTACACCAACCCCTACTCCGACGACTTAATCGACCCCCACCGCAATCATGTCCGACGACAAGAAGAGAGACGATGATTACAGAATCGAGATCCCCGAGAAGACCGGCGATTCCTTCAGTCGCCCCTTGTCTCCGCTCCGCGTCCCTCCAGCCCGCCAGGGCCTCGCTATCAGCGAGAATGCCTCGATCGCCATCGTCTCCTACTGCGGTTCCTCCATTTTGATGACCGTCACGAATAAATACGTTCTCTCGGGCACAGACTTCAACCTCAATTTCTTCCTCCTCTGCGTTCAAGTAGGTCTCTCCTCCGCGGAAACGCGATTTCGCCCCTTGTCTGACCGTATCACAGGCCGTCGTGTGCGTTGTTGCCATCTCCACCTGCAAGAGCGCCGGTGTCATTACCTACCGTGATTTCAAGACCGAAGAAGCAAAGAAATGTATGTCTTGAGCACTAGGCCAAACATCGAAGGCAACGCTAATTGTACATCAGGGTTCCCCATCTCCGTCCTCCTCATCGGCATGATCTACACCAGCACAAAGGCCCTGCAATACCTCTCGATCCCTGTGTACACAATCTTCAAGAATCTGACCATCATCATTATCGCATATGGCGAGGTGCTCTGGTTCGGAGGCTCTGTCACTCCCATGGCTCTTTTCTCTTTCGGATTGATGGTCTTCAGCTCCGTCATTGCTGCTTGGGCCGATATTCAGCATGCATTGGCTAGCTTTGGCGGTGAAGCTTCGACCCAAGCCAACGATGCCATCTCGACTCTCAATGCTGGATACCTCTGGATGATGTTCAACTGCTTCTGCACTGCTACCTATGTTTTGGGCATGAGGAAGCGCATCAAGTTGACCAACTTCAAGGATTTCGACAGTATGTTTGAGATTCGACATCTTACCTGAATAGATTGCTGACTTTTTACCAGCCATGTACTACAACAACTTGCTTACCATCCCGATCTTGCTCGTTGCATCTTTGTTCGTCGAGGATTGGTCGTCTGCCAACGTCGCCAAGAACTTCCCTGTTGAGTACCGCAACCGCCTCATCATCGCCATGATCTTCTCCGGACTTTCCTCCGTCTTCATCTCCTACACATCCGCCTGGTGTGTCCGTGTCACCTCCTCTACCACCTACTCCATGGTTGGAGCTTTGAACAAGCTTCCCATCGCTCTCAGTGGATTGATTTTCTTCGATGCTGCTGTCACCTTCGCCAGTGTTTCTGCCATTTTCGTCGGTTTCGTTAGCGGTATTGTCTACGCTCTCGCCAAGGTGCGACAGAACAGCAAGCCAAAGACAGCTCTCCCCACCCACCAAGCCCCAGTGAGCGCCAGCAGCCAGAGCATGCGTGACGGACTCAAGTCATAGGCCCGGTAATCTCCGAGGTTCGATATTTAATTCTGCATCAAGGCGCTGGTTGCTGCTTTATCATCCCATAACAGGAGACCGGTTTGGAGCGCTTCTCTCTTTTCACCAATTCGGTTGTATGCCTTCGACTCGGGAAGCGAATTGAATTCCGCTAGAAAAATGACATATCCACCACTTTTGCACGAGTCCTTTTCCAGGGGGAGTGTTGCTTTCATGTACTTTTTGTACGTTTACATTTTTGGTCTCTGAGTCAGAAACAGTTGGAAGAATTATCTAGATATGGCCGGCGTATGGACGGATACACTTGGTGAGCCCTTTTTTGCTCCCTCGCAAACTTATATGGATTGGAGATGAATTAGGAGTTTTTTTTTGTTTTTTTTTCCTTTTTTTTTATCCTATGGCATGATATCAAATGCATTACCAACCAAACTTCAAATACGATGTTTCCTTTCCCCTCGTCTAAAACGTGTCTTTGCCTGCTGAGTATTGCTGCCTGCTAATTGAGATGAAGAAGCTCGAAAAACTACTATTGTCCAATGACCTGACTTCACAGAAAAAAGCCTTCCTCGTATTGTGCAGAATGCATTACCTTACTTCGTCTTTGTTAAGCAGTTGTGTGGTGGTATTGGTTGTTGGTTGGTCTTCAATACAAAAAAACACAACTACTTTGTTTCCCCAACTTAACAGTGTCCTATTGTGCACAATAGCTATTGTTGGACACCTTTCGTCCCACCTCTATATCACCATGCCCGTAGAATACCAAGGAAGGTTTTCGATTGTTTCTTGCAAAGCTTTGTTGCCTCTTCAAACAATCGATAGGTATTTTCTGCCGTTTAGAAGCAAAGCAGGCAAAGCAAAAGCAGAGCAAATTCGAAAGAAACGGTAAAAGACTACTACGAACTCTACCTGCTCACTCAACCTCCAGATCAACACTACCGACGCATGATTGAAGCGTCATTAGTCGTCAAGAAAGGATAACACACGATCCCAAATCGTCATTTCGCCATGGGTAGATTCCAGGGCGGTAAGTAAACGAAGCCTCCAAACCCAAGAATGTAAGAGTATAAGAATACTAATATGAAAAACAGCTCCCATCCTCGAGGACTCCCCTTCTCCTCCGCGGGAGGCACCTCCACCATCAACACGTAGGGCATCACGCTCACGCTTGCTCGATTTGAGGGCGCTGATCGGCGAGGTAGAGCAAGGTGATACGCTCTCAGTGCCTTCACCCGCGACGCCCGATCCACGGTCTCCTCCTCCACCGGTACGACAGGACGCTGCCAGGCCAGAAGAAGCAGAAGCAGAACAGCAACAGCAACAAGTCGAAGCATACGACCCTTTGAACCCATACCTCCCCCCTCACCACCACGCCGACAGAAGACGACCCACCAACGCCCGCCCACCGCCGTCCCGATCGTCGACGATCATCACCACCACCACCACAACAACAACCACGACCCAGGAAAACCTATACAACCCGCACCTAATCCAGCACGCCATCGCGGGCGCCCCGTCGCTCAACCCCTGGTGCAGCTGCGCGCCGACGCGGTCCGGACACCGCCACCTCGTGAACGAGTGCCCGCAGCGACGGCAGCACAAGACGGACGTCAGTCTCTGCGCGCACTGGCGGCTGGTGGTGCTCTGGCGGCCCGACGACGCTGCGAACCGCAACGGCTCGTACAAGGTTTACGTCGAGGACTACCTGCACCGGGACCCGGACTTCCCGCGTGAGCACGAGGCGTGCAAGCGTCACGAGCCGGAGGATCGGGTGGCGTTGCTTGCGCGGAGGCTGGTGGAGGATGTGGAGAGATTGAGTAGGGGCGGCAGGGGCGGCGTGAGGGTGAGTGAGAGGATTGCGGATTCGGAGATTAGGGGGTTGCTTTCGATGGTGAGGTATGAGGAGGATGCGAAGAAGAGGAGGGCAGATGCGGCGAGGGAGAGGGACGGGAAGATTAAGGCGTTGGCGGAGGAGAGGGAGAGGAAGGCGAAGGCGAGGGCGGAGGAGAAGGAGAGGAGGAAGAGGGCGAGGGAGGCGAAGGAGGTGGAGATGGAGAGGAGGAGGGCGGCTGAGGCGGATGCTGAGGCCGAGGAGTTGAGGGAGGAGGAGAAGAAACAGAAGGAGATGAGGAGACTGGAGCGGATGGAGAAAAGAGATGCTTTGAAAAAACAGGAAAAGGCACAGGAACTGGCGGAGTTGAAGAAACAGGAGCAAAAGAAGAGAGATGAAGAGATGAAGAAGAGGGAGGAAGAGGAAGCGAGGATAAAGGAGCAGATGAAGAGAAGTGAGGCGTTGAGGAAACTGGATGAGAGAAGGAAAAGGGAGGAAAAGAAGAAAAAGGTGCACGAGGAGATGGTGAAGAAGAAGCACGAGGAGACGAGGATCAAGCAGTTTGAGATCAAGAAGAATGAGAAGGTTGGCTTGGAAAATGGAGTCGAGTCTCATGGCATCAAAGGAAGTCCAGGTGACGAAACAATGTTGTCTCCACCATCAGAATTGCCACCGAGTTCACCTCCACCATCACCTCCTCAACCACTCCCACCACCGTTAGATCCTCGCGAATACTCCATGTATGACGCTTCATATTCGAGCGACGAAGACTCGTTGTTTAATGACCCCGACTCAGACCCGCCAGTCTATCATGGCCATTCAACTGGCGACGACAACTTCCTCTCCGGTCCCCGAAACCTTCCAGCTGAAGACGCCCCTGAGATCAGAGTGTGGCCCCCGAGCTCCGCAACCCCATCATTTCACGAACGTCCCCCGATTTTTGGCCCAGGCTCCGGCTCCTCGGATGCTCCTTACCTCCACGCCCCGAGTTCCAACTTGTTGGGTGGCAATGCCGACATTGTCGAAACTCCCAGTTCTCTTGAGCACGTCGAGAACGGTTCAAATTTAGGCGACATCGGAGAGGAAGAGGAAGAGGACCACGATGGCGAGGCTTGGGTGAAGTCTGGGAAGAGGAAGCATGACGAGACGTTCAAAAGTGATGGCGAGAGGCCGACTAAGCGAGTTCAGGTAGAGGCTTCAGAGGATGAAGAAGAGGAAGCAGACGAGGGAGGTGACGAGAGAGAAGAAGAAGAGGAGGAGGAGGAGGAGGAGGAGGAGGAGGAGGCGGAGGAGACATTGGCGATGAAGTCTAGGAAAAGGAAGCGTGGCGAGACGCCAGAGAGTGATGGCAAAAGACCAGCCAAGAAGACTCAGGTGGTGCCTTCTGACGATGAAGGAGAAGAGGTAGAAGAAGAAGCGGGAGTGGAAGCGGGAGAAGACGTAGAGAAGGAGGATGCAGAGGATGTAGAGGAGGAAGAGAGCAGCGATGTTGAGAGCGTGTTTGAACGCATTGCTCCAATCAAGGCCGGAGATAGCATCAAACACTCCTCTTCTTCCTCTCCCCCAGTAGCAGCACCACGGTCTAAGAAACGCGAGCGTTCTGCCACGCCCGAGAAACACTCATCGGCCAGTCCCGACGCAAAACCTCCCTCGAAGAGGATCCGAAAGTCCTCTCCCAAAGGGGAAGTATATATGACGCTGAAGCCGATAATGTGATTCAATCAGTCGAAGTCACGCAGACACGGCAAGTCAGGCGTGTCGGTCAAGAAGATACACGCTCCTTTGTGGTAGAGGACGAGATTGACTATGATGAGTCAGATGATAGTACGGAGTAAGTAATAGAAAATTGTTCAAGGAAGACATAGTCAACTCAGAATGATTTGTAGCCATCGATATCAAGTAAATTTGGTGAATCGTAGTGTTACCTCGTAGCAGTGAGTTGCGAACGTGTTTTTCCCTTTCCACAGTTTGAGTTGATATATAAGATGTACTAAGTCGCTTTGAAACTTAATGGAAACCGACTTGAGTCGCGAGAGCGAGAAAACTCTTCTAGATTCCGCCGTCATAGCTAACAACAAACGCGCCTGTAAGCACCTAGAAAGGCTGGTGATGTCGGCTCACAAGCCTGGGTTGAACTGAGATCGGACGATGGACGATGGACGATAGACGAAAAGATTGGCGTAGCATACCGCTACTAGGGTTTTAGCAATCTCTATTGAAATATCGAGTCTGCTATTGCTACATTAAAATGAAGCCCAATGAACCCGCCGTGACCCAACACCTACCTGCGCACTTTCGCGCCCCAGAGAGACTAAGAAATAAGAAGCCCATCCATACAATCCTTCACGTAGAAAGACAACCCGAATCCTCCACACGCGGCCTACCCTCGAAGCGCATGCAGGTGTGCTTTTTTGCCACACCCGAGGAACAGCGGAGTAATCGTAGGCTGCTAGATCGAGGAAGAATACGTGTGGAGAGAGAACACGAAGAAAGACGCCCATCCATCGCTGCCCATCGCTTTCGCACTTTCACGCCCTCCCTCGCATCCCGTCCGAGATGCGTCTGAGCGTGTCATGCATTCCTATACGTCGTTCCGTCACATTCCGGATTTCATCTACGCCTCCACTGGCTTGCCCTTCTTCTTCTGTTCGACCTTCAACAACAGTGCACGATTGATGTGTGGAAGGACACCACCGAAGGCGATCGTCGCGCGGATGAGCGTGTCCAGTTCTTCGTCACCGCGGATGGCGAGTTGCAAATGGCGTGGCGTGATGCGCTTGACTTTGAGATCCTTGGCGGCGTTGCCTGCGAGTTCGAGGACTTCGGCGGTCAGGTATTCGAGAACGGCGGTTAGGTAGATGGAAGCCTTGGCACCGATGCGCGTCTTCTGGCGTGTGATGTTTCGGAGATGGCGCTTTATGCGACCGCAGGGGAACTGGCGTGACATCGATGTCAGCGCATTCTTCATCATCGAGAGGATTGGGGCAACAGCGAAGGCAGATGCGCGTTGATGCCTTGTATCGCGTAGAGTTGAGAGGGAGGGGAACTCACCTGTAGGCCAGCCTTCGCCGAGTGCGACTTGGTTGTTTTGGCGTGTGAATCGCCTTTTCCACCAGTCTTTCCTCCGGTTTTTCCTACACATCATCAGCATCGCGCCCTAATGATATGCGCGACCGCACTGAGGGGAAGCGCGTACCTTTACCGCCAGGCATGATTTCGATTTATTTTCCTGTCGAGATTGAGGATGTTGTTGGGATATGTGTTCGCGACCGGATTTCCGTGATAGCCGACGCGACTTGTGTTGTGGAGGAGAATCGATATGGAAGCTGAAAGGAATGCAAGTGGCGGGCAGTGTTGTGAGTTGAGGTTGGGACTCCAGCAGTTGAAGGCGCGTGCGTTAAACCACAACAGAAATCGCTTCCCTCTCGCACGTGACGTCTCGCTGTGCTTGGGCTGAGCCTGTGCAATGTGAGCGAACTATTTGTCCGTGCACCGAGCTGTAGATCCGAATGGCGTTGAGCAGAATGACTCGCTATACCTGGGAGGAGGTATGTCGGCCTTTTATACCTTTTGCTGTAGGGCGGCGCCTAATCTGTTCTGTTAGGTTAGATGGATGGATGGCTCATAGGCAGACGAGTACATCGGCTCTGCACCCACGCGCCTGCTGACCCAAGGTGCAAGCCAATGCAGATGGCTCTGTCCTTTGTAGTCAGAGTACCAATGAATAAGACTGCTTGAAAGTGAAGGATCGAAATGATAGAGTAAATGACGATAGAACAGAGATAGACTTGGAATAAGACCAAGAATTGAAATATGAATAACGTGAAAGAGCAAAGAAAGAGGAGCGGTTGTTCTATACCGAACAACCCTTACCTACGACCAGGTCGGGTCAACCCAGCAGTGTTCCTACGTTGCACCTGCTGTGAAGATGCCAGAAGGCCATAATCAGTATTCCGTATTCGATTGATGCCCTTACCGATCTGAATCGATCAAGCCATATGCTTCTGCAAGGCCTCGATAGAAGACATCGCAGTCTGGGCTGGAACAAGGCAATGGGGTGCAGGCTTGATATTGACCTCCATATGGCGCCTTCCAAAGAGACAAACCAGTTGTATTGAAGTAACTGAACAGAGCGCAATACTGACTGACATTGTATCGCTTGTGCGATGTTGCGTGCCTGGTTGTGTGCAAGATGAAGCGTTGGTTGTACAGCGACAGATGAGGTTGGCTGTCCCAGAGTGGACAAGCGTGCGGCAAGTCACGTAGGGAGCTTGGCACCAACGACGCTTCAACCTCGAGCTCCCCAAAAGTTGTTCCGAACGCGCTGTCATCGACGCTTTAAGTTGCACTGGCACTATTACCCCGTTCAGACACCTGCGGCTACTCTTCACCCAATTTATACAATAATTCTCGTTCTTTCTCAACTCAGGCGGGAGCGCCTCTCGAGTTCTCCGAGTTTCCTGTTCCAGCCAGCTCTTCACTCCTACGCTAATACCCCTACTGAGACGCCGCATGTCCACATCGGTCGACATCTTGCCTCCCCCCAAATATCGTAGCAGTGAAGCTCGAAGATGGCGTGGCAGTCGCCCTCGGCCATGAATGCGGGCGGCGCGCCGGGAGGAGGGGATGGATCAGGAGCCACAGGAACCGAATACACGTTGCAGGGTAAGGGACAGCTCAGGAACCATGGATCTACACCTCTGGGGTTCTCCGGCCAGCAACAAGGCTAATACACACAACAGGAGTTATGCGCTTCCTGCAGCTCGAGTGGCACAATCATGAGCGCGCAAGGAATGCGTGGGATATCGAGCGTGCGGAGATGAAGGCCAAGATAGCGAAACAGGAGGGCGAGGTTCGCAGTGCGAAGAAATTGAATGACCAGCTCAACAAACATATTCGTATGCTCGAACAAGCCCTGTTGAACGAGAGGAACAAGAACAAGGCGCCTGCCTCCGGAGGGGATGCTCAATCGCCAGGTGAAGATAAGAAGGACTCCAAGGGCAAGGCAGTGTCACGGGCAGATGTAAAGTCAGGTATGAATCCCACAGATCCAGCATTGCAGATCTCCATTATACCGTGGATAGCACCAAGTACTAACTTTTGTCAACTACAGCGATGGGTAAACATCACAACTCTTTCCTCGACGTCGAGCCCGAAAATGCCGAGCGAGCGGATGCCGAACGGGACAGCTTGCGCGAAAAATCGAAGTTGTACTTGACGCAGTGCGTGAAGGAAATAACCTATCTCCTGACGCCCCCGCAATCTGCTCCAGCCCAGTCCGGGCTACATGCGATGAGCAATGGGTCTGGGTTTCTCAATCACGGCGATGCCCCAATGGAAGAGATGTATCTTCAGCATCAGCAAAGGATGCAAAGGCAGCTGCCCACTGGACCCAACACACAAAGCCATCAAGCGAACATGAGCAACTTGCCTGATCTCGGTCTCCAACACCAACCTCACCCATCCCATCAGGCACCCCAGATGCAACGAGAGAATGTGACTCAGCAGTCACTTCCAAGTCACTCTGGAGCCCCCACTGACTTTCTCTCCCAACAACAACAAAACCAGCATCAACAACAGTCGCAGCAGCAACCGCCTCAACAGAACTTCACTGCTGTGCCAGATGAACAGGTAGAAAGGGTCACACATGCGTATGACAACCATGGTCGTCCGATCGCTCCTCGGGAGGAAGCCCCCCAAACAGGACAAGTTACAACAGACGACTCCGAGAGCTGGAATTTCGAAGAACCAATCAACGAGGTCCCTTTAGAAGCTCCCCAGCGGAGGCTGGATGTCGAAACCTTCCCCGACGCGAGCAAGATCCCCTCCAAGTCACCCCCTCGTAAACCTAAACATGACAGGAAATCATCTTTTGGAAGCAAACCTCCAAGGCGACTGAGCGAAGAGGGTCTTGAGATCCGTGAACTGAAGTTGGGACAAAACCAACATTCTGATCCACAGAACTTCAAAGTGCGCTTTGCCCTTCGTGGGCATCTGGACGTCGTTCGCTCTGTCATTTTCACTGGCGGTGGCAGTCCGTCTGAGCCGGAAATTTGCACAGCTGGTGACGATGGCCTGATTAAGAGATGGATCATTCCCGCCAGCTACGCCAGCCAACATTCGATGAGCAACGATCTGGATATCTCTCCATACTGGTCTCATCGAGGGCACGATGGAGTCGTCACTTCGCTAGCAGCATGCCCGTCGTCTGCTTCGTTTGCAACGGGCGGCAGGGTATCCGGCGACGGATGGATCTTCTCAGGTGGCCAAGATGCGACTGTGCGCGTCTGGGAGAGGGGCCGCGTCGATCCTAAGGCTACATTGGAGGGTCACACAGATGCTGTCTGGACCGTCTGCGTTCTTCCCACCAATTCTGCCAACGTCTTCGGGTCGGATTCTAGCCATTACGGAGGACCAGATAGGATACTGCTTGCTTCGGGCTCTGCCGATGGTACCATCAAGATATGGGCTGTAAGCGCACCTCCACAGCTCATCTCTCCTCAATCTGGATCACGAAGAGGTGTGGGTGGAAGCCGACGACACTCGGTCACCTCTGGTTCAAACTTCCCATCATCTCCACAACCTTCTGTCGCCACGACGACACCATTCCATTACACTCTCATACACACCATCGAGAGGGCCACACATTCATCACCTACATGCATCACACCGCTCTCCCCGACTGGTGAGAATTTTGTTGTGTCTTTCTCGGATGCCACCATTCTTCTTTACGACACGCGAACTGGAGAAGAGATTATCGGCATGGCAAGTGGAGAAACATACGACGGAACGCCCGCGACAGGAATTACATCTGTGGTGGCAACCTCAGTATCAATTGGTGCAGAAGGGACCACCGGTACAGACTCCAATCGGGGGGCTGACGAAGAGGGCGTTGTGCATGGACCGACCGGCTCGAGCAGCGGTGGCGGCGTAGAAGGCCATGTTATCAGTGGCCACGAAGACAAGTTGATCCGTTTCTACGACGCCAACTCAGGTATGAACATATGACTATCAGCGAAACGAAAGTGCCGTTACTAATCAACTATTAGGTCAATGTACATATAGCATGCTTGCTCACCCTGCCGCCATATCGTCACTGTCTCTCAGCAAGGACGGCCGCGAAGCCGTCTCGGCTGGCCATGACGCCTCGATCCGCTTCTGGTCGCTAGAGAAGCGGATATGCACGCAAGAAATCACCGCCCACCGAATCATGCGAGGCGAAGGCGTATGCAGCGTTGTCTGGAGCCAGGATGGAAGGCTTGTCGTTTCAGCAGGAGGCGACGGAGTTGTCAAGGTATTCTCTAGGTAGAAAGAGTCACCAGTCACGCCTTACGCCGCCGCCACGACTCACGTTCTCACCCTCCCCACTTCAAGGAAATGATTCTTGACGACCTCCCCCTCCTTCTCCTCCACCTTTTGCGAACCGTTGACTATCCCTCGCGCTTTTGTTATCTGTCTTCAGCATAGCATACCCCACCTTGTCTCTGTATCAGCGTAGTACTACTTCACACCTTGCCCTCTTTTGAGCATCCTCCTCCATACTGCATCCAGGTGTTTCAAATGGAAAGGGGGTCAACTTCAAATCTTCGGACGACATCTATTTCACATCACTTGCCGCCGTCCTCTCCTCCCCTCCCCGGACCCGAGGCCCTTTATTCCGGGCCTCGTTCACTTCTCTGTATGAAATCCAACCTTTTCATCTTCCTTCATCCGGGCCGGGGGAACCTGTCTATGGCACATAATTCCAACCTCCTTGTCTCCGATCAAATCCCCAATACCAAACCACAAACTTTGGCCCTTTGGTCTTTTCTTTTTCTCTTACTTCTTTCTTCGTTCTCTTCTCTTCTTCTTCTTTAAACCCTCTACTTCTTTCTTCTCCTTTTTTTTCTTTTTCTCCCGTTTTCGAGATGTACTATATATGGGACGTATGGAATGGGAATGGGAATGGAATGTATCGCACGCGCGGGCGAATCGAACGACGTGTATGCAATGGCGGTAGTAGTAGTCTCCCCCCGTACATATCATCCGCGGAAACTCGACGCCAGGGGGGATTGTAGTGATTAGTTGTGGGGATAGAGAAGGGAAGGAAGGCGGCTGGGAGTAAGAAATGAAAAGATTCAAATACAAATACAATTGGCTGGGACCAGCGTCGGCTAGTCGGCTGGTTGGCTGGGTGTTTTGATATTGTGTGTACATAATGCCTGTGGAAGTGTGGGGTGACATTCAAGGCCGTGAAGTGATGTAATCAAACAGGAGTAGACGATCGGTTTAACTTTCAAGTTGCAACATGAAGATTGAAAAAGCCTTGGGATTTTAGATTCTATTTATTTCTCCCAAACATAAATGTAAAACGTGACGGAACGTGATAACGCCTTGAATTGCTTGGGTCCCTCAATCCCTCTGCGTGAGGATAACTTTTGTTCTTACAAAGTCCCGACGACCTGACAGCCTCCTGACCTGAAACTTAATGTGGTAACGGGGATTGCCGTTGGTGCCTTCAATAACCATGATGCACCGTCCTTCGCCCTCCTTGTCCTCTCCCCCATCTACGCAAACAACACCTCATTACTGAGCGGATCCTTCTCCTTCTTCTTGCCACCATGGCTCGCGAGCCCCAACTCCCCCCTCTTAACCTTACTCTGGAACTGCGCCTCGCTCCGCCTGTTGAAGCGGCCCGCCTTCGCCTTTCGGATGTCGGACCGGATCTGGTTCGGCGACACGAACTCCTTGTTCTCGTAGATGATGGGCCCGCCGAAGCTGGACTCCTGGATGACGATGGGCGTCAGGACGAAGCGCGGGCCGATCTCGACGAGGTTGACGTCGAAGGCGGGGGCGCCTGTGGAGGTGGTCTTTTTCGCGGGGGTGGGGGCGTCTTCGGAGGAGGTGGGCTTTTTCTTGGAGATCTCGGATTCATTGATTTGGTAGAGGCGGATCCAGACTTTGTTGTTGGTTACGGTGACTGTTGGGGGAGGGAAGAGGGGTGGTTAGTCGGTTGGACTTTGGGGGTGTGGGAGGGGGAGGGGAAAGGTGTGACGTACAGGACATGACGTGGTCGACGAAAGGCTTCGTTTTCCGGGAGGTCTTGGGGACGCCGAAGATCTGGGTGAAGAGCTCCTTCATGAGGCGGAGGTGGGCTTGCTTTTCGAATGCGGCGTCGAAGGAGAGGATCGCTGGTGTGGTAGGTTAGCATGCGCGAGGTCGTGGATCCCGGGATGTGGAGTTGCCTTACGTCTTGATCCCTTCAAACAGTTGCCAATGAAGTTGAGTTCCTCCATGGTGTGCACTAGCTGGGTGTTAATTGAAGTTTCGCTTTCGTTGGGCGGCGCAAAGCTCACAGTTCTGGAGGTGCATCTTCACGGTAGGGCCGTTGGGAGCCTTTGCCATCCAGCAATAGAGATCCTATGGGAGAAAGCGTCAGTTGGAGGATTGAGAAAGCTGACCTAGGCGCTATTTACCTTTCCTTTACGTGCTTCGAAAAAGCTATTGCGAAAGTTAGTACAGGTAAGCCTTCAAGTTTGCGGCAAGTAGCAAAGCTTACAGGACATTGTTGCAGTTGTACAGTTCTGAAGATCACAAGTTAGCAAGTTATCCGCTGGAACGGTCCTGTCAACGGAAGACAGCATTCCCCACAAGCAATTGACCTAAAAGAAAAGGCCAGGCAGGAAAGATTGAAGGAGGGGAACAAAAGGAGAGAGGAGAACATACCGGCCAATTCGTTCAATTGGTAGAGCTTGGTCTTGGTATCGAGCTTTGCTTCCTTGCGGCTGTGGGGCATAAGAGAGTAAAGGTCCTGAAGACATATAAGCATTTAATTTGCTGTCAATTGATCGAGCCAGTCCTACCTGTAGCAAATGGCGATGTCGGTAGGTTACACCTCTTGAACTCTGCGACTCTCTGTTAGCGCAATGCGACAGGAACTTTTTTTCGGGGGTGTATCTCACAAGAACGAGCACCCTCTGCTTGTTCTTCTTGCCCTCGGACTCCTTCTCGTGACCTCCGGAGGAAAGCGACTTGTATACTGCGGCCATTTTGGGGGAAATGCGTGGTGTGCTTGCTGCTGAAGCGGGTATCTGGTCTTTCGCAATAATTGTTCATGAGGTTCCAAGGACAATCGAATAAAATCTTACGCACGGCCCTCTGCCAAGCTGCGGCGGAACGCGCCACAGAGAAGACATGGGTCTTGCTGACTAGCGCCGACCTCAACTCTTTCGCAATCAGTAGCACCGCGTTCATCATCGCCAGTTCATCGGCATGCACCGTTTTAACGAGGGAAGACCTCTGGTGCGCACTACAAGCTCTGGCATTGACAGAGATGGTAATCATGAGTTCGCCGCTTTGCGTTAAGGTGTATGACTATGTCGACTTCGCGAACAATACTGTCGGTGAGGATGTCAACCTTACCCGCAGTAACAATGATGGCGAGGACAAAGGCAATAGAGTTGGCAAAGGTTCACGTCTTCTACCGATCTTGAGGCATGCCGAGGAGCTCTGGCTGAGCAATGTCGACCAGTTCGGGCCTGGCAGCACTGCATTCGGGTTAAGATATCATAGGGCTGGCCGAAGGAAGGTCAAGACCTGAGATAGCATACTCACAAACCCCCGTTTGGGCTGAGCCAGGATATCTGTTGTGATAAATCGGGGGACCTGATTCGATGATCCGAATGATTGGGGCCTCACCGCGAAAAGTTCTTCACCACCTCAGATCTACGACCGCCCGTGCTACGTGACGGCATGCATGCTGGAACTCTAATAGTTTGGGTGCCTACCTACATCTCACCGTCTCACCTCGCGCTTGACATATTGCTTGACACGATAGAAGATACCCAGCCATCATGTCTCTGTGTAAGCGACTGAAACGATGATCCTTTAGAGATTCAATGTCTTGGTATATATCGAGTGTGACAATTGGACCTCTCACGTCCAGTCGCTCAGAACCATGCAACGAAATTGGTTCTTCGGCTTTTCAACCATCGAATTATTGTCTGGTCGATGAACAGTTCTGCGCACCATGCTCAATGCCAACGTACGCAGTACATACGTGTAACTCTTGAATGGTTGAACATGATGAGTACAACTACTCTACCACAGTGAGAGGAATTCCCGACAACCGGCCGTCACGTCCACGGAAAACACGCTGACACGGTCACACGCCATACGAAAGTAGTAACGGCATTATGGAGGATAGTGGCCAATCAGAGTGCGCCCAAGGGATGGAGGGATGGAGGGAAGATTAGCCGAAGCTTGTTCGTGATTGGGAGCAGGCGGGCAGATTCCCCCAGTCCAGACTCCAGGCTCTAGACTCCAGGATGCAGAACGAGTATACCTTGTACGCATAGAGGACCGGGGGATATAGAAGTTGGGAGAACTCCAGTAGGGTTGGTAATTTGAAACGATGGGTTTCTGAGACCTCATAGAGCGTTGAAGGACCATGAGGCGAGGAGCTGAAAAAACGGCGTTGCGGATAGAGCTGAAGGTGATGCGGAGCAGTTCTGTAATAGTGAGTGCCACACAGTATGGAGATGCGCAGGGCCGACGAAGCATCTACCCGTCTACCCTGCGATCTTGTCCCGACCTACGTGTAGTTACCGTGTACATACCTCACATAGAGACGATATACACAGTGTATACGAGCGGTGTGTGGAAGATAGAGAATCAGACAACGTTTTTCTATCTAGATATTCTGCCCCATCCTTTCATCGTAACATGTACCTATACTATGCTCTGTATGTGCGATGTACTGCTATCGTGACTTGCTCCCCACGATACAATCTGTTCTCTTCCTATCAGCATTTCCCATAGCGTATATCACATACTGGAAAATGGAAGAACTGGAAAAGTGAGCATCCACTGTGTCTATCCTGATCTAACTTCCACTTCTTCCTCCTACGCCTCTCCACATCGCCTCCCCACTCTACTTCACAGCCTCATGACCCCATCAACACCACATACATTGACCCCGGTCAGACTGCATCCTATGCGACATCGAGAGCTTCTTGAGTATTCTATATATATGTATGTGCGCAGCTGTGTGATAATGAGAGAAAGAGGTTGTGTATGTGTATGTGCATCGTATCCATGTATGAGGGTGGGAGAGTTGCCGCCGCCGCACTAGCGACCGACCTTGAAGTTCCCCATGCATCATCCCATTTGGCCTAACAGAATACTCACTTACTCACTTACTCACTTACTCACTTACCTACTCACTTACCTACTTCCTGCGCCGGCCAGCCCGTCGTCGCGCTTCTTCCAGATTCTCATTCATTATTGTCGCCTTTGCAGTTGCTGCGATTCCAACTTCGTTCTTCCTCAAACTAATCCTCTTCTTCCTTGTTCTCTCCATCCTTCCTACCATCCACCCATTTCCACCCACCTACCCACCCACCCATCCATCCAACCTTACTATATATATCCGCCCACCTCCCATCACCCATCTCGCGACCACTATCGCGAAAGACGATATCATCATCGCCTGCGGAACACGCGCGCGGTCGCAGTCGCAAAAATCGCCCTCTCCTCCACTCTCGCTCCCACTCGCTCTCTCTGTCACCCAACCTAAGCCCCATCCGCCAGCCTACCACTCCCTCCCACCTTTTGCGATCCGTCAAACCAAACCACCCCCGAACCGAACCGAACACCAAATCAATAACAACCACACCCTCCTCCCCCACCCGAAACCCATCGACCAGACAGTAATCCTGCATCAGATGGATAGGTAGTCGGACATCATTCATCGCGCGAATAGATACAGTCCGATTCCATAGTAATCGCATAGAAGCCCGTCCACCCGTCCGTCTGCTGCATACTACGCGCATAGGACGAGGGTCGGCCGCTACGTCGCGAGACAGAATGCAAACCAAGCCAAAGGCAAAGTCAGGGGATTACCACAGACCCCAATCGCCCGCTTTGAGCTATTCACCAACAACGCACAACTCGTCCAACCCGCCAGCACCTCTATCTCTCCATCACTCCAACTTCAATTCCCATCAACCTCGTCTCCCTCCCACCTCCCCCGGCACCGCCGAGCTCCCTCCCATCAGCACGGCCCTATATCCACGCGAGAACACGGCCTCCAAATACTACGACCCTACTTCTGACCATGGTGATCACGGTGTAGAGCGAAGTGGTACGCGCTACGACGGTCATTACCCACAACAGGTACCTATTCCCTTTCATTCTTTCATTCATCCCATCCCATCCCATCCCATCCCCATCCACGCCCTTCCTCCCGACCATCATCCTCATCTCCATCAATAACCTCTACATCCTCATCACCGTCATCATCTCCTTGCCGCCTCCATCCATTCTTTTTCCTAGGCAGGGATGTGGAGCTAACCCATTACCTATCTCTACCAGACTCGAGACCCTCACGCTTATCCCGAGCCTCGATCGGCTGCCAGCCCATATCAGAAGACGTTCCAATCCCCCGTCGCGCCTGCCTTTCCGCATCACTCGCCGCGCGACCATCCTTCCTCCCAGAGGCGTACATCGGGTGGAATGGAAGCCATGTCGCACTCTCCCGTCTCGCCAACGGCGGTATATCACCGGGGCGCGGTGCAGCCTCCAGCATCCAACTACCCACGGCGATCTTCGATAAAAGATGAGGTTCGTGATTTCAGACTGCATTGTTCTTGCCGTATTCATTCCGATATAATCCCGCCCCTACCATCGTTTTTCCATCTTCGCTCACTAACGCGTCAACTTTATAGGCTCCGCCACCTCCCCGAGCAGACCCAATGTCTCTCTCTAGCATCATGTCCTCCGGCGCTGAATCGGATCCTCTTCCCAAACCTCAAGCACCACCACCTCCGCCACCTACCCTTCCCGTCGAACCTCAACCCCGCCGACCCTCCAAGTCACCCGCCTCCAGCAATTCGCTATACGTGAAGCAGGAGACCGCTCCTCCTCCTCCTCCTCCTCCTCCTGCACCTGCCGATCTACCTATACCAGCTAAGACAACCGCAAAGCGCGGGTACGAGGCAATGCCCCCCGTCGGAAGCTTCGCGCCGCCGCGAAAAAGTGCGCCCCGCGAGATCCCCGTTCCGGACGAGGCTCAGGTCGAGGTCGAGCTGGCTCGCATCGAGACAATGGAGATGAGCGACGGTGATGGTCCCGGTTTTGAGGTCGAAAAGGAGGAGTACAAGGAGAGCAATCGCAAGCGTGCCATGGAAGTGGAAGCTGTTGAGTCCGGCAAGCGCAAGGTAAGCCAACCAGTCGGCTAATGAACCGTATCATTCTTTACTAACAATACGCAGCGACGAAGGCTTGTATATCTCAAGCGCTACGCCACCAATCTCAGCGCCCATCGTGACGCCGCGAAACAGAGCTTTGCCGTGGAACACGAAACCGATGCTTGGCAGAAGGTGCAGAACCAGGAGATCGCCGAGGAAAAAGAGCGCAAGAAAGACATGCAGCGCAAGCGGAGACGCGAAAAGACTATCCAGAACGAGGAGGCAAAGCGTGCAGAAGCTCTTGCCAAGGCAGGTCAAGCCGAGAACGAGGAGGAGAAGGAGAAACATCTTCGGGATGCACAGAAAGCGGAGAAGAAGGCGAAGACCACGAGCCAGCTTCTTCAGGGCAATGTGGCCAACAAGGAATTCCGCGAGAACACGCCGCATGCTCCGAACCTTGAGGGTGGTACCATGAGCTCCTTCCAAGCGTCTGAGGATCCGCCTACAAGCAAACGAAAGGGAGGCCGAGGCGGGCGCCTGAAGAAGAGCAAAGAGCAGAAACAAGCAGAGAAGGATGCTGCTGCTGCAGGACAGGCTGCCCTGGATAGAGGTGACGAGCTCCCATCGATCGCACCACGCGAAGAGGCACGTCTTGAAGCACTCAAGAGCCGCAGCCAGACCGAAGACCCAGTCCCTGCTGCTGCTGCTGCTGCTGCCGCCGCCGCCCCTGCTGCAGCCCCTGCCCCAACAGGACCTCAGAGTTCGTTCAATTCGCCAGCATTCAACAATCTCATGGCCCAGATCTGGAAGGATATCGCCAGGAAGGACATACCCAAGGTCTACCGTGTCAAGGAGAACTCAATGAACACGAAACAATCCAATCTTAGAAAGACGGCTCAGCTCGCTTCCAAGGAAGCACGACGATGGCAGATGCGTACCAACAAGAGTCAGAAGGATACGCAGGCCCGTGCCAAACGAAGCATGCGTGAGATGCTCAACTTCTGGAAGAAGAACGAGCGCGACGAGCGCGACCAAAGAAAGATGGCCGAGAAGGCAGAGTTGGACAATGCGAAGAAGGCTGAAGCCGAACGTGAAGCCAACCGGCAGAAGCGGAAACTCAACTTCCTCATCTCGCAGACAGAGCTCTTCTCCCATTTCATCGGCAAGAAGGTTCGCACGGACGAGATTGAGAGGTCCACCGACGACGCAGAGACTGCTGCAGCGACAGCGCCCACCACAGAAACCAAGCCGACCGTGGATGTTTCAAGCATGGAAGTCAAGCCAGGCGCGAAAGTTACGAACTTCGAGGATCTCGACTTCGATAATGACGACGAGTCTGCGCTCAACCAAGCTGCCATGGCCAACGCCCAGCATGCATTGCAGGAGAACCTTAACCGTGCTCGTGCATTCGATAATGGTGGTGAAGATGCGGCCGCGGACTTCGATGAGGGCGAGATGAACTTCCAGAACCCAACGAGTTTGCAGAGCATGGACGTGCCCCAACCCAAGCTCCTGAGTTGCACCCTGAAGGAATACCAAATGAAGGGTCTCAACTGGCTTGTCAACTTGTACGAGCAGGGTATCAACGGTATTCTAGCCGACGAGATGGGTCTTGGAAAGACGGTGCAGTCGATCTCCGTCATGGCATATCTTGCAGAAACGCACAACATCTGGGGTCCTTTCTTGGTCATTGCACCTGCATCTACGTTGCACAACTGGCAACAAGAAATCGCCAAGTTCGTTCCCAACATCAAGACCTTGCCGTACTGGGGTAACGCAAAGGATCGAAAGATTCTTCGAAAGTTCTGGGACAGGAAGCACATCACGTACACTAAGGATTCGCCGTTCCACGTCCTCGTCACATCCTATCAATTGGTCGTCCAAGACGCCCAGTACTTCCAGAAGATCAAGTGGCAGTACATGATTCTCGATGAGGCCCAGGCCATCAAGTCCTCGCAGAGTTCTCGATGGAAGAGCCTGTTGGGTTTCCACTGCCGTAACCGTCTCCTTCTCACTGGTACACCCATCCAAAACAACATGCAGGAGTTGTGGGCGCTGCTTCATTTCATCATGCCAAGTTTGTTCGACTCGCACGACGAGTTCAACGACTGGTTTTCCAAGGACATCGAGAGCCATGCTACTAGTAATACTAAGCTCAACGAAGACCAACTCAAACGTCTCCACATGATCCTCAAGCCCTTCATGTTGCGACGTATCAAGAAGCACGTGCAGAAGGAGCTGGGTGACAAGATTGAAGAGGATGTGTTCTGCGACCTGACCTACCGCCAGCGGGCATACTACACCAGCCTTCGCAACAAGATCAGCTTTATGGATCTTATCGAAAAGGCCGTCGGCGATGACCAGGACAGCGCTACTCTCATGAATTTGGTCATGCAATTCCGTAAGGTCTGCAACCACCCCGATCTCTTTGAGCGTGCGGACACCTGGTCCCCATTCTCCTTTGGATACTTTGCAGAAACCGCGTCTTTCCTGCGAGAGGGTCAAAACCTGGGCGTCGCTTACTCCACTCGCAACCTTATCGAGTACCGTTTGCCTCGCCTGGTATGTCGCGACGGAGGACGTCTCGACATTCCTGGAAAAGAAAACCCTCAAGCCGGTTTCAGGGGTCACTACCTGTACAACCTGATGAACATTTGGAGCCCAGACCACGTCCATCAATCGTCGAAGGAAGCAGGGGCTTTCTCCTGGTTGCGACTTGCCGATGTGTCGGCAACGGAAGCCTCGAAGATTGCTAGAAGCGATCTTTTCCAACGTGCTCTCATCCAGGACGAGCGATCAGAGCACCTTGGTCGGTTCAATGTATTTTACGACAAGGAGAACGGCCCACACGTGCCAAAGAACTCGATGCTCAACATTGTGGAGCGACAGGAGCGCAGACCTCTAGCCGATATTACCTCAGAGGGTTACATGCAAACCCTTCTCAACGTGTCGCAATCCGCCTTTGAAGAGACTGGCTTGAACATCATCGAGCGCTGTGCTAAGCCGAGCGCTTCAGCACCTCCGATCGAACTCTACTGTTCCAGCCAGGCGGTGATTGCCGAGAAGCAAAGGGACTTCTTCAACATCCCCATGCGCACGGCCCTGTTCGGCATATCTGATAAGACAGAACTGAACATGCTTGAATCTAAGACGAGCTCGACTGCTCTCGTGGCTCGTAATAAGCTTCCAGAACCGACCAACGCCAGAGCTCGTTTCACGCACGTCGAGGTCCCATCCATGCACCGCTTCGTCTCTGACTCCGGCAAGCTCGCCAAATTGGACGCACTTCTCAAGCAGCTCAAGGCGAACGATCACCGTGTGTTGCTGTACTTCCAGATGACCAGGATGATCGACCTCATGGAGGAGTACCTGACCTACCGCAACTACAAGTACTGCCGCTTGGACGGATCGACGAAACTTGAGGATCGTCGTGACACTGTCGCAGACTTCCAGAGTCGACCAGAGATCTTTGTGTTCCTGCTATCTACTCGTGCTGGTGGTCTCGGTATCAACTTGACGTCTGCAGACACCGTCATCTTCTATGACTCTGATTGGAATCCCACGATCGATTCCCAGGCCATGGATCGTGCCCATCGTCTCGGCCAGACAAAGCAGGTCACAGTCTACCGTCTCATCACGCGCGGCACCATCGAAGAACGAATTCGAAAGCGAGCCCTGCAGAAGGAGGAAGTGCAGCGTGTCGTTATCTCTGGCGGAGCTGGTGCCCATGTGGACTTCAACACCCGCAGCAGGGAGAACCGCACCAAGGACATTGCCATGTGGCTCGCAGACGACGACCAGGCCGCAGAGATCGAGAAGAAGGAGGCCGAGTTGGCGGAGGCAGAGAGGAACGCACCGCCTGGCCGCAAGCGCAAGAAGAAGAGGGCAGAGGCCGCAAGTTTGGACGACATGTACCACGAAGGTAAGCCATTATGCAAGCTCCTCTCTTATTGATTCAATCTAACATTCTCTTCAGGCGAAGGTCATTTCGATCAAAGCGAAAGGCCCAGTGGTGCAGCGACTCCCGTGACCGGCGGAGACATCCCAATCGGTGGCAAGAAGCGCAAAGGCGGCATGAGCAAGAAGGCGAAGACAGCCAAACAGCGACTCGCCGTTGCCGATGGCGAGATCTAATCACCTTCACACATTACACTGGAACTTTGTAATTCTACAGGCAACGACCTTTCCATTTCACCATGTCGAGCACCAACCACATTGAAGACCATTACTTTCATACAAGTTCACAAGAGGGGACCTTTTGGACTGAAAGATCGAAGGGGGGTTCATTTTTGCATTATGCCATTTTCCATGTCTAATGACCCCCTTCCCAACATCATACATCAACATTTCTTACCAGTCGTCGACACGTCAATTATCTTTATTCATTACGGGGCCCCCTCCCCCTTTATTACCTCTTTCCTGTGGAGTTCCATGGTTCTTCTTTCTTCGACTGGCATTATCACGGGATAGGAATCCCTTTTCTCTTTTTTGTTGCCTCCTTCACCGAGGCTTTATTTTCCTTACACGATTTTTGGTTCGCGAGAAGAAAAAACATCTCGATCGTACTAGGGCGAGCGTTGGCGAGTGAGGTGTGTACGGGGGTGTGCATGCGTGTGGGATCTTCTGGAGTACTGCAAAGTGCAAGCATCTTATTTTGGGGATCCGAACCAGACCCCTTATTCTCCCTCTCGATGGCATATTTACGCCCATCGAGGTTGAGCGGAATAATAGACTAGGGAAAACCACAGTCGATGGACTGACTGACTGAAAACGGGGGAGTGAGTGGCATGAGGCAGGCCGGACATGGACGGAACTGAACGAGGTTTTTCGGAGGAGAAAGGAGGGTAGAGGATGGAGGGAAACCCTCGCATGCGTGTGTCGATTGCGTGTCTGCCTGCCTGTCTGTGTGTCTCTGTGTGTGTAACATTATGCTATTTGAATTTTCCATCCATCACCATCACTATCGTTGCTGTCTACTGTGATTTGCGCTTGCTCGCCCTTTACGTGAGCGACCTCAGGAGTCGTGAATATCTACATAACGTACCTCACGAATCTCATTCACCATCCATCATCCTATCACGATCCCGACCTCTTACCCAAGGTTTCCCCAATCTTCCATCTCACAACCCTCACACCTCACATCCCTCGCTTAGGTCTCTGAAAGCTATGGCATACTGCCTGACAAGACCTGACAACCCCAGCCCACCACCCTCACGTCGAACTCCGCACAACTCCACTCGCCCACGGAGAAAAACAATAAGAGAGAAAACACCCCGTACGTTTCAAAACTCCCCAGGCAAACATCGCCATCAGCAAAGCAAACAAACAAAACAAACAAACCCCCACTGCACCCTCGCACGAGAAGGGAAACCGACTCACCCATTCACCCAAAAAGAAACGAAGAGGATCTGTAAGGTAGGGACATAGAGCGCACGTGCAGCTTACACACACTTCTCCGTCGTTCCTACGATCACGAAAAGCGGGATCTGACCGGTGTTGTGGGGTTGGGGTCAACGATGTTCTAGATGGGCGGATGGATGGGGTTGACGGAGTGGCTGACATGTTCGTGTAGACTTACGCCAAGGTAAGGTTGGTAGGGTTGGTATGGTTGGTACCTGCATGTGAGGCTCAGGGGTGTGTGGCTTGTGTTTGTTTGAGGGTTTTATCTTATAGGATTCTGGGATTGAGGTTCTTTTGAGAGGAGATGGGGAGGATTGGGGGCGGTTGCGTATGTTGGAGTTCTTTAGGGGATACGGTGATGGTTTTAGTGGGTTGTTGTTCATCCATGTCATGTATGTATAGTTCGGTACATGGCATGGAGCCGTCTACCTATGTCGAATGGCCACAACGTACAGAGTACACATACGATTAATGAACCCATATCTTGAAAACCGTTAAAGTATCCCTTCTATTCCCACGGTTGCAGAAACAGATACAAACCCTACTACCTAATCGCAAAGACCGTTCTCCGCGTGGTCTACTCGGCGTGTGTGCTACAACACAGCTTACATGCCTCCTGTCCCAATCATCAAGCTCACCATTGCCTTCTTCCTTTCCCTTCCTTTTCCTCTTTTTCCGCCTTGTACACAGGCACGCGTCTTGTGTTTGAAGTCCGCCGCTGCTGTCGTCAGCTAGTATCGCATCTTATCTCTACGCATATACAATGTAACCATCCGCCATCTTGGTAGATGAGAATGGGTTAGTACATGGGACGCAATACATGATACACAGCGGACAACGCCCGCCTGCACATACGCAAGCCACGTCCGTACGTACATATCTTCGTAGGTTCGCAGCGTAATGCAGGTACGGAGACATACGCGTGCCATACCAACCACAAGGCGGAAATATCCCCCCCACGAACGACCGCTACGAACGGAAAATCGGAAACAAGGTTGAGAGGGAAAAGTCCGATGGAGGCTTTGAACGCTTTGGGCTTGTTCGCCACGGATAGGTAGGTTAGGGTAGGTAGGGTTGGGTAGGGTGTACGCAAGATGGGAGAATGGATGGGTGGATGGGTGGGTGGGTAGATGCGAACTACAGGTACCGTATCCGCCACAGGTAGACGTTCACCGCCATCGTAGGTGTGGACGCACGGTGGATCAAACACAACATCGCCCATCGCCATCGTCAATTGCGATCAGATCGAATACAACTGATCCATCATCGATTATCACGAATCGATCATCCTACGATCACATATTCATCATCCCATCGATACTCGTACCCGTTCCCCACAGAACCCACAAATCCGGTACCCGAAAACCACACACACACACGTAGAAAGGTGATCATCTACTTGCATTCCCGGGAAAGCAAAGCTACAGTTCTGTACACTAATTACCATAAACGAAAATGTAAAGAGGTGATTAAATGATAGACATTTCAAGTAGGATGAGGAAAGCAGGTAAAGGTTGAAAAATTGCCCCATTGGGCGATGGCGGAGGAAATGATGGGGCGGGAATGGCACGGTCGGAGTTGTACCTGTATGTTGAATTTAGTGGGAACGATACAGCGAGCGAAAGCCGTGGTAGTGGCGATAACCTCGTAGGTGATGGGCGGATAGTCGAATGTTTAGGTAGGTAGGTAGATATTAGGTACTTGATGAGATGTGTGTGTACTGTGTTTCTATGTGTGAACTGTGAAGACGTAGAGTGAGGGCAACGCGAATGCACATGTGAGATACCATACTATACCGTACAGCCGTACTGTGCACGAATCCAATAAAGAATGTCCAACTTGGGAAAAAGCTTATGGTTAAAGAAAAATACAATGAAAATAAAGTAATCGATTGGAATTGGTGTTGATGTTGATAATGATGATGAGGGAACATCTTGTGTCGTCTACGTCCCGAGATTAGTATACATCCCCAAGTAACTACCTACTGAAATGACAAGGTACATAGACGTCTTTACATCTGAGGATATACGAATTATAGCATCAAACACTCGGAAACTAACAGTAACAATTGCATAATCTAATCCGATCAATCAACCAATTTTCTCCCAATCCTACCCTTCCCTTTCCCATACTCATTCGCTACATACTGTACGGAGTACTGTATACATACCCACCCATCTAACAAACAGATCTACCACGTCAATCATCGCCCATCACCATCTCTCCATTCCAACCCCAATCAGAAAGATATTCCAACGTAGAACAACCACAGAACATTCCATCCACCTATCCACTCACCGTCCGCCCACCAGTCCCGTCCGTCACACTCCGGGTCCGCCGTCCCACAAGGCTAGCCACCTGTCCTGCCCTGATCAACCGCGCCACGCACGCACGGCAAACACCCCAAGAGCGGAAATTCCTCGCCTCTTTTCGCCCACGTCCACGCTTCGGTGTTGGTACATACCTTGGTGCCTTGTGCCTTGTCACTTATCCCTCATCCCATTAACCACCATGGAAATGTAAACAAAAGAAATAAGGGAAAATCTACGAAAGAGGAAAGAGGGTGGATGTCGGGTGGGCGTAAGGCTCACCTTGACTCGTCCGTAGCCGACTTGGAGGGGGTGGTATATCGGAAACGCAGACTTCGGACTTTTTTTCTGTTTGTTTTGTGTTTTGTGTTTTGTTTGCCCTGGGCGACTACGAAGACGACTACGAAGACGACTACGAAGACGATGATGGGAGCGATGGGGAGTGGGGTTGGTAAGGCAGTACAAGGCAGGGTAAGGCAGCACAGGACAGGGCGTTCAGAATTGAATCACATTGAAAGGCAGAAGGCTACGCCGTACTAGAGTCTACCAGCGCCTGGAAGGATGGATAACATGCTTAGAATGGCATGGGTGGGTACAGTTCTCAGTTCAAGTCAGTTCAGTTCGCTTCGCTTCGTTTCGTTTTCCTTCGGAAGGATGAAAGAGACGGAGGAAGGACGGAAGGCAAAGAAGGAAAAGTAAGCGTTGGAGGATTTCGTTTGGATTACATAGTAGGATCATGAGGGTTATGAGTTAGGATTCCGGAAGGAAGGATGAGTGGTTTTTGGCCCCCGCAAGTCATCGTGTTTTTTGGGCGTTGGATACGGAGGACTTGGAGGATGACCGTACCGTGTTGTAGCGATACGAGTACCGTCTGCTTCAACTGGCAAGAGCATCGCTGTTGAGTGTTCCGCGTCGAATACGATTAACTCTGTTCGGTAAGAATAGTAAGTACAACAATCAATCATCACCATGGCATATCATGTAGAGCAAATCAAAGTTTGACATATTCTTTTTATAATCGTTCGACTATTATAATACAGGTTAAGCCGATAGGCTGCATTTTCCAACTTGTTCGATAGCCACAAACGTGAATGGATGAGAGTGCGTGCCTGACAGCAGCGTCGTCATCATCCCATTCTCCCAGTCCTTGCCCCTCCCGACTTTTGCATGTGAGGCTGCACAACTCCAGACTGATCCCGTGAGGTATGTGTGCTGCAAACTTGACGAACAATCAAAGACAATGATGGAAAGGAAAAAAGAAATAAAACAAAACAAACCAGAGGCAAGGGGGTACTCGTTAAAACCATTGTCGTTAAAAAGCAAATTCCGACCCAAGGGCAGCCAAAATTGCCCACCCCCACTCCAATGATCCCATAAAGAAGAGAAATGCATGCAAGCAATGCAACATCGTGTAAGATGCTAAAGAAAGAACAAAAATCTAGACAGAGTTAAACATGATAAGCAAGGAAAAGTAGCCGAAGGACCGAAGATGACCAGAAAACCAAGGGACCGTGGCCCGCGTTGGATGCTCCTCAATGCGCCGAAAAATCACACCAGAATAAAGAGACAGGCACTGTATCTTAGCTTAGTAGTGATTGGCAGCAATGAGTTGCTGGGGAGGGGCCATTGTGGTGCCCATGGCGAGCGGGCCTGGGATGTCTGCAATGGAAGCTGGGAGCTGTGGCATGCCGCCGAGGTAGTCGTGCGAAGATTCGGGCGACTCCTCCTCAAGAGACTGCAGATGCTCATCTTCGCCCTCGAGGTCCTCCTCGTCGAAGCTGCTGAGCGGCTCGCCGTCTTGTCGGGACTCGTGTGTGCGACGATGTCTGCAAGGGGTGGTTAGCGACGATCAAATTAAAGTAAAAATGGCATCAACACTTACTGAGCAAGGTTGTCAGAGCGCGAGAATGCTTTGTTGCAGAGAGTGCAGACGTATGGTCGCTCTTGCGTGTGAGTGCGCACGTGCCTAAGCGCTCATGTCAGCGGCTACGAAAATGGTACGAAAATAGCTGGGCGCTTACCTCTTGAGATGCTCTAACCTCTTGAACAGCCTGCCGCAGGTGGGAATAGGGCAGGAGTGGGACTTCTGCGGGTACGGGCCAATCTCCATCATGGTAGCGCTGCGAGCCCTTCGGAAAACACCTGGCCCAGCTGCCGTGCGGGCAACCGCGCTGTGCTGCAAGGGGGTCTCGAAGGCATCGCCGTTGACGAAGCTGTTGAGATCGTCCTGGGGAAGAGCGGCGTGCTGCTGAGGCGGGCTGTCCTCGATGGTCTGGAGGGGAGTGCCGTGCCTCGAGATGTTGACCACAGGCTTGTGCTCTGGGATGGTCTGTGGGAAGGGAGCGTTGCCGTTGGCGCTGTCTGGCGAGTGGTGAGGTGACTCATCGCCCTCAGGCACAGGAACGACAGAGCTCGACATCGAGCGGCGCAGATCGCTGGGACGGTGCACTTGGTGTGCCGCGCCGCCGGTAGCAGTCACTGCTGCGCTGATGCTGGTGGAGATGGACGAGCGCCTCCTCCTCTGCTTGTAGGTGGGGGAGCCCTCGATGACTGAATAGACATTGCCGCCAGGGAATGGTCGGGTGACGTTGGAGAAACCCGGGCCAGGTCCCATCAAGTTTGATGGGGGCAAGTTCATCAGAGGGTTGAAGTTGGTGGAGACGCCAAGCTCAGGAATGGCGCTGTACAGGCCAGTGTCCTCGTTTGCGATGTAGGCAGGCTCGGGACCGAGGCTGAGGTTGTGCTGAGGAGGCGTCAACGGCTCAAAAGACATTCCGCGCGTGCTGTAGTCCTCGTAGTGCGATGAAACAAATGAGGGAGCGGGCGAGTACTCCATGTACGCGGGCATCGAGCTATGGCGCTGGTGGATCTGTGACAGAGGGATACCGTTGCGGTCGTATTGAACTTGACCCCGGTACTCGGGCTCGCGGCTCTTCACGATCGTTGGCTGCATGCTCGGGGGCATGGACATCTGGTTGTACTGTGCCATCTGGCCCATGGGCTCCTCCTGCACGGGAGGCATGGCCTGGGGAACCATCTGAGGAGGAGGCATCGAGTCCATTGCGCGCAGGACTGGGGAAGTCGATTGCGAGTAGGTCTGGACGTTGTTGTTGAAAGAAGAGGAGTTGGTCTGCTGTGCCTTGGTGAGCTGCTCGAAGAGCGACTGCGACGAGTCGAACTCGAACGAGAGAGCAGGCTCGTTCACGGCAACTGTGGTGGCCTCCTGGCCCATCTTCTCGCGCTTGAGATCGCGCTCCAGAGCATCGAGGAAGAGTCGGTCGTGGGGCACGCTGTACCAGTAAAAGACCTTCTGCTTCTTCTGTGTTCGGATGCAGTTATTCTTGTACAAGAAATCAAGGAAAGCGCTCTTTGGTTCTTCGAGCGATGCATCGGTGCCCGACTTGAGGTTGCGCAGGTCGGAGAAGATACCCTCCTCGAACTTCTTCGAGTTCTTCACGGGCCTGCCGAAGGCCTGGAAGCGGAACGAAAGGCATCGCACGATATCGGTACCTGAGATGTGAAAGAGGTTGTTCCTGGACGTTTTGTTAGCCAAAGGAAGATCGATCGGGGCGGTGGAATGTAGGAATGTAGGGTCCTCCAATGGGCCTGGAATGTACTCACCATAGCACGCAAGAAACATACTCGCCAGTGGGCAAGAGAAATCTGCGGATGTACTGGTCGGGTTGCCAGTCAACGGGAGCTGATATTAAGAAATACTTGACTGTAGTAGATGGATTAGCATTGGGATGGTCCTAAGAAAGGGGTGCGCGCGGCCCAGGGTCGCATGGTGAAGTGTTAAGAGGGGAGGAACGTGGTATTGTTGTTATTGTTGTTGATGTTGTTGTTGTTATGGGTCAAGGTATTTGGAAACATGAGAGAACCCTTTTGGGAGGATGAGTACGTACGATTATCGACCTGCTGGAGAGCTACGATGCTGTCTGGTGGTAGGCTTTGCTGAGCGTCCTGGTCTAATAAGAAGGTCTCAGGCGCGACAGATCGTGACTGAGGCGGCGGCATGGCCGCATGTGGATTTGAGTACATGGTGCACTGCAGCACGATGGTCTGAAGGGTTCAAGTCGTGTTTTGCAGTGCGAGACGTCAGGCGAGGCCGAAGTTGGGAGTCTCGGAGGAAGGAATTGATGGAATGAGACGGATAGGGCACTGAGAAGGTCCTGCCAGTAGGGAAATAATGAAAACTGAAGCGCAAAGCGAAGGAAAGAGTCGAGCGACGGTTTGAGATATGTTAAGAGAAGTTAAAACGTATCGAGGGCCTGCCTCGGGGTTTGCTTGAGCAGTCTCTCGACGTCAAGTAGACTACTGGGCAGCGGATTGAAGGTTAGGAAAGGCTCTGGGGACACACGAAACGTAAATCTGAGGGGGGGAGCGGCAGGCTTTAGGTGTCGGAGGGTTGGTGAAACAGGAGTTAGCGGTTTGGGAATAATCTATTTCGGGCCCGGCGCCCAAGTCAGCAACCCCCGGGCGCTCGCGGTCTCTGGCGGTCTTTTTTGGCGTGGCGGACGAGGGCCGGCGAGTGAAGAGGCCTGTAGGCTGTGGCCCATGTCCTTCCCTCCCCCTCTTACCCTCTTAGCTCGTAGACTGACTACAAGGTGTGTGGTGGGTGGTGGTGGGTAGGCTTTTTTCTCTCTCTTGCCTTCCCTCTTCCTGTCCTGTGTGTGGGTTCGACCCTTGTATGGACCATTCGTAGCCTAGCATTATAGCCCAGGTTGTCCATGTCCATGTCCTTGTGGAGGTTGGCCCTAGCCGTGGGTATTGTCTCTCCCACCCTCCCAAGTGACGAATGGGACGGACGCGACGAGAAGCGCTCCCTGCCGGCCAAGAACCGGGTGCGGTGGTGGTTGACGGTGGTTGACGGTGGTCATGGAGGGTGGTGGTGGTGGGCCTGTGAGTCGAGATGCAGATGCACGAGAGACAGACATGGCTTATACGCTAGAGACCTTTACAGAGAGATAGAGAGCGAGAGAGCCACAGAGAGAGAGGAGATTTGGTGTGAGTGTGTCGCAGTGTGGATGGATGTGGGAGTGCATGGCGGACGGACGGCGGCGGCGAGCGGCGTGCGGCCTTTGTGGTGATTCGTGGTCGTCGTTGGTGGTGGCCTGGTGGGTTTGAACGATCATGAAGAAGTTGGAAATGAATTATATCGATTGGATCATTGTGTTGAGGTTTTTGGTAGTTGATTGAAACTGACAGAGAGCAAGAGACACGAGCGACGTAGACATAGACAGACACGTCGATTCACATCATCAGAGGAAGGCGCGCGTAACCATTAGAGTCAACTCACGATAAGAGGCAGGAGCGACACACCTCACACATTCACTCAGTACACACATAGTCTCCTACACATACAATCACACCTACACATCTACACTCATACATGGTCCCATAGTCTCATACGTACAATCACATTCACGCATCTACTGAACACCCCACAACATGCATACCTACATTATTCATACACACACCCACCTAGCACAACGGTACTAAGGGCATCTAACGCATACACACACTATTGATTGAAGTCGACGCCATAGTTACCTGCATCAAACACAGCTAATCACCATAATCACCATAAGATTGATCACCATACTCGTTATGTACTCCGTACCTCCTCCAGACACACAAATAACAAACTACCAGGGAACTAACCAAACCTACTCGTCAACATACTTTGACACTACCTCATAGGCTCGTACCATTACATTCTTCTTTTGCTTTTTCCACACTACGATCATGTGCATTGAACATTCAACAGAGTAATAATTATCTTATTGTTTATTACTCCTCCTTTCTCTTCCTTCTCTCCTCCCGACCGACTCGCGCGTGCCTTACTTGCCTGACTTGCCTTAACCTTGCCTACTCTCGCGGCGCAACTGTCGTTTACGGACTAGCGCCTGTTCACTGTCGTCCTTCAACTCCTTCCCTCACTCCTTCACTACTGACTTCCTCACTGATTCACTGATTCAATGCCTCCCTCAACGGTTCGGCACTTCATCATCACGAACTGCATAGTCACCTACACTCAGGTACTACAGCAATCATGATACCTATAGCACACTCAGATAATTATGGCAATTCGCTTGCTCATCATTGAGCATACTCACTAATCTGTCCTCACGACTACTGACCCACCCCACGTTCACCACCACCAGTGACGACCACCACCTCCTGCACTGTGCACCATACTGTCTACCGTCTAGTTACTGTCTACACATTTAAACCGACCTGAGTAAAGCGTCTTCTGCAACAGGAACAAGTCTACTCGGAATTGCTTTATCCTCCTCAGTAGCGAGATGCACGGCCAGTCCACCGACTCCAGCCTTGACGGTCCCAGTAACCTTTGTGCATCATCCTGCATGCTTCCAACTGACTAACTAACAAACATAACATACGACCCTGTTTATCTTTTTTTCTCGTTGCCCGCAGTTTCCGCTCCGCCCAAGTTGCAACCCTACCGAGGAGACTAATTACCTATTGACTACAACGTGGGCATGATATTCTACGAATACGCTGTGCTTGCATATCCACGCATACACTACGGTGAATGTGCGATGGGGAACTGCACATCTTTTGCTGATTACTGACCCTCCGCACGCATCATAGTCCGCAATTCGTCATGTTCCTCTGCAACCCACCTGCATTCTCGTTGCGTACGAAGCGCCCAGCAAACCGCCAATCCCATCGCATCGTTGCGCCCTGTTGCCAGTAGATTCTGCCTCTTGCGGACACCACAGCCACTCACACAACACCGACAAGCAGTAATCCTGTGCCATGCGCTTTCAAATAACCATGATGACCATGATAACCACCATGAGTACGGACTTTGCGACTGATCGCGATCCACGCGTACTTTGGTCTTTGATCAACTACCTCCTATGAAAAGCACGTGGCTGCAAGTTGCGTTTTCCAGAGCCGCCGAACTCGAAAACCCACAAAATTTAATCAACCCGTGACGGCGTACAAATGTTCTATCAGCGACAAAGACGATAAATAATTACCGTCCGTACTCGTAGACAACGGTCGTTGGTCATGCTCACAGGATGCCAACACCAAACTGGTCTCTACACAGCGTGTGCCCCCGCTTACCTAGGTTCGCCCCATTCCGCAGTGCAGAATCGCAGTAGCATCACATTGCTCGGGTGCATCTTCGTGCGAATCTGTGTGAATCTAGCCCAATGCATCACACAAGCATGTCATCGTGACCACAATGTCCACCTGCACCTGCATTCGTCGTTCCTGAACCATCGTGCATCTTACTGTGGCGGATCATCGAAGACGTGAAGTGTGGGCGCCGTCCTGCATTCGGATGCAGGAACCAGCAGAAGCAGCAACGGCACCAGGTTTGATCTCCATCCTGAAACCAGTCCCTCTTTACTCTCCGTGGCCGTCATCCATCATCCATCAATCCATGGATTATCCAGTAAGCAAGCTTTCGGTTCGTTCCCCCAATAACGCAATCCCACGACGGCCCCGCTCTTCGCCCATCTCTGCTAGCATCATCATCATTGCTGTCGTCAAAGAGCCGCTGAAGGCTGTCGTTTAGGATCATCCACCTCCACTCGGAGAGAATCGCAAGACCAACGTCCAGGTATGCCCTGCCTCGGCGTGTCGCTACGGATATTGTACTTGTACAGCTACCCAAGGAAAGTCGTTTCAGAGTTTCTTTTGGGCCAAGGCAGACCCTGGCCGCCTTCTACCGCTATCTTCTGTGCCCGCCTGCCCATTGCGAGTCAGCGAATGAGCATCCAGCATGTCCACCTTTCTACGAGCGTTCATCCAATTACAATGCAGAAGTCGACATTTCAACTGTCCGTCGCCCACCCTCATGCAACTCGAGAGTACTGGATCTTATACCCGTAATTACAGCCTTTCCAGCCTTTGGCTTTGCAATTGGCATTGGAAAAATGCGCCCGCGCTGCCATTCATCACAGCGGATCAGTATCGATAGGATCACACATAGACGCAACGAGGCCAGCTTGTGTCGGAGTCCTGTTTGAACAACCGCCATCCCAGCGTGAAATCACAATGAATCAAGCATGCTGATCATGAATCGGAACGTTCATCATGCATGCGCGTGCCGAGAAGAGGGTCAATTGGCCTTCTGCGGGAGCGGGACTGTGAAGAAATCAAATATCTACGCTTAGGGACTTGCTGCAACACATTGGTGGAGTATGCAAAGACACCATGGCAACCCACAAGTGACAAATGGGTTCTCTTCGGTGTGACAGCCTTTGTGATACCCTCGCAGCCTCGACCTACTCGTATGACGCTCGGGTATTCTGTTTCCTTAAACATACATGCGCGAGAAACCACCTTCCTCTCGGTGGAAACGTCACATTGGGGATGGCTTGGATTGGGGGAGTGCCGTACCTGCATTAGCGGGGGTCGGATGGTATCATGAAACTCCTCCAGATCCTCGTCGACTACTCGAGGACTAACTAAGAGGCGGGCGTTGAGCACGGTCTCGGTTGCAGTGCCAGTATTCTTTACATGATGCTAACCGTTATCTCACAGTTGCTTCTTCGAGCCACAAAGGAAAAGGAATCGCGTTGCAGTGGCTGAAAGGCTTCTTCACTGATTTGGATACAGGCAAGAAGTTAGTAGATTGTCCAGGAGTCATGCCACCGCCAATGTGGCTAAAAGCAATAATGCGAGTGTACTCGGTACAGTTCACGAAGCTATCACATTCACCTTGACTCGCGCACTCGAAATTGTGAGCGACACCGTGGAATACAAACAACAAAGAAGCGTGGTAGACGTGGAATAGGCTGGAAAGTTTAGCCTGCGATGTTCCTATCTGCAAGCTATCTTCAGTCCACTACTACCTTTACAAAATCCAACGCATGATCTATCGAGTTTCAGAAGGGCAATGTGGGTAGCTGGATGCGATGGACCTTGCACGCAGATACTCCATTGTGTTCTCGTTGCTGCATGGGACGTGCGATTACTATAGCAAGATCCACCGCACTCACATTCACCCACCCACGCTCACGAAGTCGGCGCGGTCCTGCATCTTCAGCCTGGAAAAGTTAAATCATCCCCAATGTAGCCATAAGGCGTGTTTGATGACCACGATCTCCTCCCGCAGTATCAGATTCTCAGGGCCGTGTATCAGAGCAGCGGGAGTTTCAGATTGATTCCTCGCTTGACAAGGCCCTGTAGCCTCGACCGCATGCCACATCGAAAGGACGAGAGGCAAAGGTTTGGTTTTCGCAATTGAGCATACAGGCAATTTCCTTGCTGTGTATGCTGAAGTAATTGCGCACTCTTGACGTTGATTGACACGTTCGGAAATTTTGCCGGCGGCTGAGCTGAGCATCGAGACAAGCAGAACCTTGCGCCACAGGCATGCTAGAATACGAGTGGAACCCACACGCTATTGGGCCTGTATCAGGAGCTTCTTCGCGTGTTCCCCGCCTGAACGTCTATTCACTAGCTATCTCTAAAGGTGAAAGTCTCCATCCGCACTTCGAGACCCCTTTTGCCGACTGCGAGCTGCGATTAGAGTTCGTTAGCGGAAACCTGATCGACAAAGGATAGACTTCCCTTTAGTTCGCGGATCAAAGCACGAGCGGAGAGCATCATTGATGCGCTCTACTACCGCACACCAAAGTCTAATTCAGAACCACGATTGAAAGAATTGATGCATGAGGTTGTATGAGTCGATAGCTCGGCTCATGAATCTCGGAGCTTGAAGATGGAAATCCTTGAAGCCCGCCATCTACCTGGACGACGCTAGCAAAGATCAATTCTCCCCATCTTAGCTTCACGGAAGGGAAGTGCCGTGAACGAAGGTTTAGATACCAAAGTATCTTTGATACTGCCCAGAATGGATTCAACGATAGAAACTCCCCCTTTTTCCAGCAGAAGCTTCCCTAAGAAGCAAGAGTTCAATAGTGTTGACCCATCTATAGGACCTCTGTTAAGGCCTACGTGAATCATGTCATCGAACCTCCTATTTCGCCTCGCTTGTGGACGCCGCTGGCACCTAAAAGGGCAGGACTGAACCGTTGCAAACGCAAAAGGTTCCCAGGTAGGTATATCCGACAAAAACCCACGTGGACTTGTTCCGTTCTAGAATATCAGACCCTGAAAGTTTATGTGATGGGTCAAACGGATTGAGCTCTTGTCTTTTCGCCATGAGGGTTCAGTAGACGAGGTACAACCTTGAACACCACGATGCTCGTTCTAATGCCGCGGCTTTACGTTTCACCGAAGGCGACGTCAAGATACATGTGAATGGTACATGCTATGGGGCCTGGGTCGTTTGACGGCTCGCATTCTGTGAGGTATAGGTTGATAACAGTCAAAGCCTTTTCAATATACTTAGTAAATCAGGACGAAAATTCCAAGTATACTGTGGTGTAGCAGGATAGATGAGGCTATTCGGAGATCACATGGGTTGAAATGAGGAGAGATGAGTTGATTGATTGATTAAGGGAGGATGGCTGGGTGAGCCAGACTATATAGGTTCTCCTTCATCTCCCCCAGCCTCCTCAACATCGAGGCCTTGGTCAACCATAATTCTAACAACATGTATGGGGAAGAGCTCCAGACAAGGCATAGGTAGATCGATCAGGGCTGCCGAGGGAGATCGAGGTATCATCCACATACCTCCAGAGGCCTATCGGCAAAGAGAAATATCTTCATTTCCTACCTATTCACCGATTGCGGGTCGCGCCTGTGATGCTCCCTACTACAGAGGCGTCTATACCGCGACAATACGTACACTATTGATTAACCATGTATCAGGGAAGCAGCAGATCCAGCTTCTGTCACCTCAAACTGCACCGTATGCACTTGATTCCGTGTCCTATCTCCAGGCTGCCGTTCCCCTGCCTTCGACGTCGCCCTGGCTGAGATAGAATGTTTCCCATAAGACGTATGCACAAGTACTGAAAACCTCTGCCAGCCAAAGTCCTTCCGTGACTCCGTTTTCGCAGGCACCCACACGTCGCCCTCGTCCAAGCAAACCTCAACGACATCGATCTCGACCTCACCCCATGCCCAACCGCTCACAGTGACGTCTGTACTGTCAAGACATTCTCCTGGTGCCGGACGAACGATCATCGAATTCGGCTCAACGGCCCAGACAGGCGACATCCCCGTAACACTCTTCTCATCCTCACGATTATAGAAATAACTCGCGAAGATCCCAGGAGCGCGGGACGATTGCAACGTCAACCGACACAACCATTTGGTCGAATTCGTGCCGAACCAGCCCGGGACGACAAGCCGCACCGGACCACCACGTCGTGAGCGTATCGGCGCGTCGTTCATTCTATACGCGACGATGACTTCGTCCTGTAGTGCCTTTCCGAGCGGGAGGTCTTTCTGGTAGCTGTCGACCCGATGGCCCGCGAAGACGCCATGGTCCCGGCCTTCCGACCAGAGGAACCTTGCTTCGGGTGCCACGTCTGCTAGTGCCAGAATGCGAGACAATCGAACGCCAGTCCAGACTACGTTGCCGACTTTCCAGAGGTTCCGGGTTGGCGGGTGCAGAGGGCTTCCATAGCATTCGTGGAAGGTTGTGACGGACGAGGTAGGCAGATTCACGAGCTCGGCGAAGCTGAGGGTGAATCGATTTCTCACGAGACCGTCGACGGTCAGCTCCCAGTCTGACGGATCTGTATCGGGCCATGTGGTGTGGTTTTCTTCAAATAATGTTAAGTCGTGCGTGAGATAGCTAAGCTGCTGGTGCGGCTTGGGTGCCCGGATGGGTTGGGTGGGGATGTCTGCATTTGTTGTAGAGTGGGGTTTGTCTGTAGGGCTGTGTGCCTCTGCATTTGTCGTAGAGAGGGGTTTGTCTGTAGGGCTGGATGCCTGGGGAAAGGAGGACGTCATTGCTGCATTTTGATAAAATGTCTAGAAGTAATTCACCTTATGGTTTATGCACAAGGAATAGTGCAAGCACTAATGTAACAGTTATTAGTAACACTGGTACTTTATGTAGGGCTACAGTAAACACTTCATCTCTAAGTCGTGCGCCAACCCTTTTCGATATCCTACAGTTTTATGGAGACAGTATCACAACGTGTGAACAGCGCAGCTTCAACGACTACATACTTAACTGTTACAAGATTAGAAAGCGATATGTGAAAGGGAATAGTAGGAGTACCATAGTTTGAACAGCTATTCGCGGTGTCAAGCCGGCTTCCGGCTTCCCATGTGCAAGCATAATGCCTAAGTTTGCACACTGGAGGATGGATATGTTTGTGTGGGCGAAGAACGTGCAGTAGCCTCGCATCTGATTCAAACAGCACGGTCAATCGTCAAAGAAATCTCTAAGACATCGTCAAACATGTGAGACATTAAGCCTCTGTGCGTTCGAACCGAACAAATGCGCACTCGCAACTCTTGAAAGGTATAAGTCCTCTTGTGTTTCTTCAATTTGAGCTGCATCATAACATCAACCTTCTATTCGCATCAACTACAAGTCGGAACACCATTTATTCGAACCTGAGAGACGCTCTTCCATTCTGCTTTCGACCACGATCCTCTACAAGCCCACACGGACTCAGTCAAAAGCGCATCGCTTCTTCTGCAATCAACGCCCAATCCCTCCAGATTCAAATATTGCTTTCCTTCCCCGAGGTCAACATCATGTCGCAACAAGTGCAATGCTTTCAATTGGTCGTTGCAAAGTATCATGACTACGAAGGCCTGTTCTTCAAAACAACAAACGAACCGGCATACAGCTTCATTATCGCCAGTGATGCGACCATCAAACCACATTTCGGGTTTAGAGGTGTTCGAATCAAGAATGTGGTAGTTCTGGGGTCAATGAATGCGGACCTCTGGCCTCAGCTATCTACCCTTTGCGAGGAGCAGTTTCAGCAACATGGAGCCAACTGGCTTCAAAATTCTATCGCTGCGCTCAAGCTGAACCCTCGATTTCCCGATATCAGGTATGCAATTCACTGAAGATTCAAGCGAACAAACCACTGACGTTCTAGGTGATGAAATACCTGGAGATAGCCGGCTACACCATTCGTCTAAGGTACTTGCCATAGACGGACTTCAACCCTACACGACTAAGGATTTCTAAATGAGAAAGAGTTGGATCAGTGACCTTCCACGCTCCTTCGGGTGAAGAAACTCAATTTCCGGTCACGATGTCTTTCTTGAATGTACCTTAGCAATGTTTTCTGCTCTTGACGGAATGGCTGGTATGATTCAGCCATTCTGTCGTACCCTCTTTGTATATATTCTGAAGTTAACCACAGGAGACAACGTGTTGATGAGGTCTCTTCCAATCAATCTATTCGTTACACTACCACTTTACCTCCGGAACTCTGCTACCAAATTGATATTATTTCCTGATTTCATCTCCTTATATACTGGGAGTGGGTTGGCTGAAACTGGACTGGCCGTGAGCCCGTGTTCCTGGAGGGCGTCGCAGGCCCAACGGAATGATTTTGCAACAGGTCACAGTTTAAATTATTTTGTGACAGCCTCAACCCAACGTCGAGCACTTTTCAAATAATGCTAATGGAGAATTGCCTCTTTATCTAGCTCAAGATATTCTCTCCTCTCTTCCCGCTACCTGCCTCCCCTTACTCTTACTTTCTCTCTCTCTCTCTCTCTCTCTCTCTCTCTCTCTCTCTCTGAGGAAGGCAATCAGAACGGTAATTATTAAGCCTTCATATAATCGAAAGATGTGGGGCCTAGTACGGCAAATCAACAACTTGCAAACGGAAACTGAGCCAGGATTCCATAATTTTAAGAAGAGGCGTGCCCTATGTTCCTTCAAATAGCACATTGCCGTCTACTCCATTCGGCGAAACTCTTTACCTTCAAAGCCCATTCAACTGCATCCAGACTTCCCACAGGTGCACATTTATTATTGCCAAACCCATGTTCCGTAAAATTAAAACTGTGGAATTCTTCTGCGCATCCTAAGATCGCACGTTGTTAGTCATTATGCTTACTTTACTAAAGCATGATCGTGGTGTTACGCTTGTCTTTGTTACCTTCCAAGTACGCGCCAGTGCAGACTGAGAGAATTTGTATCACTTCAACAGTGAGGGCTGCATGCGCAAAAGTATTCTACAGTCTGTCACCTCATCCGCTTGGTCGAGCGCAGAAAAATATGATCATTATTATCCAAGGAAGAAAAAAACTCGTCATTATCGATTGCGACTGATGTCAGCCATTTGGAATCACACCTTGACCTAGCACAACGATGACGTTAGGATGAATGGATGAAGACGTCCCGATCTTCGCGCCAGAGAACGATAAAATAAAATAAAAAAATCAATTTAGTAGAGGAGTGCTAAATTTGTTCTTAGAAAAGATCAGAAGATGAATGGAAAAGCTAACAAGCGCTGCGCAAGATCCAGCAACAAGGTAGAGAAAAACATTAGGTGTCTCATTTCTCCGTTTCCAAATAAACCTCCTTCAACTGTCGCATGTATCGTTGGCCTAGAACAATGCACCGGTTAAAGCATTTAAGTCTTTCATTTGAGGTCATTACCTAGGTAGTTATTGGAATTTTTGCAATCCGCGAGTTCGCAACCTTCCTTGTCTTCATTTCCTGTACAATGCTCGGTTTTCACCCAGCACCCTGGCGCAGGGTGTGACCATGGTCGTTGTGCGAACCTCGCACCTTGACTCTTTCAAACATGAAATAGAATCAACTTCTTAATCCCTGTTTAGCTATCTGAATTTACGTGCGATTCATGTAAAAGCTCAAAAGGCCTGTTTTAAACATAGTTCTTTGACAGGAGACTGCTAGATGGGTCGCTTCTCAGCTCTCTCGTTCGTAAAGGGTCGGCATATTAAGTCGATCTGAAATCAATAACATATGATCAGAGCTAGATGTAATACCAAGGAATAGCTTGTAGTCTTTGAGCTGGCGATATAATAATCTAAAATGTATAAAATGGCAAAATTACATTGTAAACCCTTTTCCTAATTCATTGCTCTATTGCTTATAGTGTTCATTTTCTTTTACCTTGTTTCAGAATGCAGTAATGTAACGTTATCTAATATTGACTTTACCTCGTAGCAGTACCTTTTCAATCTTGCTGAAGGCTATCGAGGTTTATATATAATCATCTAGAAAGTATGAAGTTTAGTGGTCTTTGGCTTAGGTACTTTTATGGTGATAGCTTTTTAGGCTGCTAGCCACATTCGACTTCCTACCGGACATAGTTATACGGTCGCGTATAGACGCCTCTGTAGTAGGGAGCATCACAGGCGCGACCCGCAATCGGTGAATACGTAGGAAGTGTAGTTATTTGACTCTGTCGATAGGCCTCTGGAGGTAGGTGGATGATGCCTCGATCTCCCTTGGCAGCCCTGATCGATCTATGCCCTGCCTAGAGCTCTTCCCCATACATGCGATCCCCGAATAGCCTCACCTATCCTGCTATGCCACGACACACATGACAGCGTAGCTCGAAGTCTTCCATAAAGTCGGCAGAAAATGGAACGAAAGCCATGTTTACATGGCCCATGGTATTCAGCGCGCGATAAAATGCTGAGTCGCGCAATCCCCCATAGTCCGAAGATGGGACATACCCCATTCTAGTCAACATATCCCCAGGCTCGTACCAGGAAGGCATCCATGCCATGTGCTCCCAATTGATCAGAAGCACCTCTTCTATGTCTATCAGAGCACCAGTTATTTTGTCTCTAATGACCTTTGCGACGGTATTGGCGTGGTGGACATGGAGATGTGTGAGCACAGGTACCTTATCTTGCGAATATGCCACTTCTAAAAATTTAGCAGCAAACATCTCACATTCCTGGCTCATTTCTCGGACCTTTTCCGGGGTCATTGGACTACCCAGCCTGGAATCATTAATTCTCAGCGCAACTTGAACGAACCTTTCGATCAGCTCTTCATAGTTGAACGGGCCGTATTGAGAGTAGTCTTCATGGCCGCGGGGTCCCGGTACAGTGCAGTACGTATGGAACAATGGCGCCGCTGACATGTATTTTCGGCCATTGATCCGGCCGTAGTGGTTAGGGTCATTGGGACGGATACTGCGCAGCTTGCGGAGTTGCTCTCCAAACAGCTCACAGAACTTCTTTTGAAGGTGGAAGGGCCGTCCATAACTGATTTCAAAGCTCAATTGCTCCATCGTCTCGAATCCATGTAAGCCCTCCATGACCATGTAGTAGTACATCTGCCACTTAGGCAGAGCTCCTTTTGGAGGCAACCGCTCCAGTCCTTCGCCCTGGAAGGCTGCATAGAGCTTCTGGACTCTGACTGTTGAATTCCTCTCAAGATATAGAAGATTTTCGGCCTCCTGGTCACATGTTAGTAGTGATTTTCTACTGTGTAGTTAGTTGAAGTGAATATCTACCTGAAATATTGCCGCCGTATCGCCGACTTTGATCACGTATGGCCCCATGCGCCACCCTCCCCGGAAAGATATCATCAGTTGCTCATCTGTACGAAAATGGGATCCATATAGTCTATGTCTATCGGTTGTCTTAGCAATATGTTCCTCAATTTGCACTGCCGTAGGAAGTCGCGCCTTGATTACATTGTCGGCGTAGTACGGAAAAAGCGTTGTATCATACTCGTCATTGGCATCCACCATGTTTCCTAGTTTCAAAGAGTCGTGTTGCATCATCTCTATTGAATCTGGTTCACTGGCTGGTACGTTGACCGATTCGTTGGCTGACTCAGGGCCCGATCCACAAATTGGTTCGGGGTTCATGATTACTGCAGCTCGAAATTGTTGTGCGGTAAATGTTGCTTGGGTGTTGATACGAACATGTGTTTGACTAATGTTCTAGTATTGAAGTTCTATCTCTAAAATGTTATTTCGCTAAGTGAATATATGTATTTTATTCCCCTTAAGTTGAGCGTGCTCCCGCTTTTGGTTCAATATGTTAACAAATACGGAGAATGAGACGAAACAGACGTCGAGACGAGGTGAATAATACCACGAGAAGACAACGGTGTTTCGCCCACCACCAGAAACCCTCTAAGTTCATGGGCTCGGCTATTTTACATTGCTATGCCTAGTCTTTCTATTCTTCCCATCTTATTCTACATTGCTATGCCCAGTCTTTCTACTTTTCCTATCCTTTGTCTCTCCCTGTCCGAGCGCAAAGGCAAATGAGACACTGTTGGAAGAGCAAACTGTATCATGTAGTACTGTCTAGAAGATGTGAAGAATGAATATGCTAGCAATTTTTCTCGATTCACCAGCTGCCTGGGTATTAATCCCCTCAATGCTAGTCAACTGTTCGCCTGTACTGCCCTCGAAGGCCTCTCATTTCTCCGACTTCCAACCTTCCACAATCACTCAGCTCATTACTCTGCCCTAGTGCTCATGTTGCGATGGAATCGCAATGTGAGAGAGAAAAACTATACCAGATTCGGTATGGACACATTTGAAAATCCTTGATCCAGTCAGGTCAAGTGCCTTCTGTCTCGTGGGATATGGGAGGAGGTTGGAGGTACATGCGAAACTCCCGCGATCACTTTTCCAGTAGACAATTCACCATGCAGTATCTTCTGTTTTCCGACAATCTTGAATTTTCAGTGCAAAGAAATCTCCGATTCGTTCGATTGGCCACGTGTGGCAAATATATGGAGGCGGTTCGAAAGGCTGTGGGTGGCATGGTACGTGTGGGTACCGTTTCTCTTATAGGAATTCATCTGGCACATGCCTGGTAAAGAATCGGAGATGTTTCTAAATTTAGGGATCCATTTGAACCGTACGTATACTGTTCACAACGAATCATGTACAATGAGAACGCAGAGGGTGGATAAAGAAAAAGTAAGCTACTACCTGTTGTTTGAATGTATTACTCAACGCTTTGTGCATATTGTTCTCCCGTCTAATTATCCCTATAATAGCATTTAGGGGAGACAAACCAGGAAGAATTATTAATAGAAATCATGCCTAGCGTAGCGCAGGGTCTATTTGCTCTCCATCTAGACTGTTAATCCTTAAGACGTCAGGTGAAATGATCCCAGTCTTTGTATAAGCATGATTAATTATAATACTAAAGCGGAACAAGATAGACACCAATACAGTAATTCAACTGAAGACAATCCAGTCTTTTTATTGATGTCAATCCGAGCTCTGCGCGAGGAACCTTGCCTGACGGCATCAGGGCGTCGTTAATCTACTGCTGACCTTAAAGCTAGAACGGAGGAAATAGTCGCAGTGTTTGGGACTTTTCGGAAGTCGTGGGCACTCTCCGACCATGAACCAAATGTAAAAGCTGTCCGGATCCATCGACTTCGTACACTTGTCGCCATTTGTTACTAGGATTTTCCCATCGCTTTCTCCACCCCTTTTCATTGTGAGCTGTCTCATACTTCTTTATGATTTCTTCTACAAATCGGCCTAAAGCCTCCTTGTTTGATGCATTTGCTTCCAGTCGTGGGTGGATGTCAAAACCGCGATCAAAACCCATAGCTTAGGAAATGAGTGCGCTCTTCAAGGTAAATGTACAACTTTATAGCACACTATACTACAGGCGCCCAAAATACTTTCAAAGTTCGTAGGATGCGTCCGCTCGAAGTGCTTCTTACCGTGGAGAGCTCTAGTGGGTACCTGAGAAGGTATGGAGGTACATTAGAAGACGCGAAATCATTGAAAAGGGTATGGCAAGAATGCTCATCATTTATCTAGAATGCAGATACAAATATCAATGAACCATCTGTGGCATTGACTTTCTCATCAGGAAATCCCCTTCTCGACCTGTATCCTAATCGGGCAGCGAAACCTGTACCATAATTTCTCAAGATCCAACAGTGATCCAGCCTTACTTTCAAACTTAATCTGAATCGAAGAGAAATTTATTAACAACAAATGATTGTAACTGAATCATCATGACACAAATCAAAATCAAAACCAGCAGCGCTGCACAATTCCATCATTGAATGCATTGCCTGGCCCGTTGTCCCTCTCACAAGGAACCAATAACAATCCAGAAATGACGCACTAACCCAATTCTGCCAACCCCCAACAATGCAAAGCAAGCAAACAATCAACCCGTACCCCCAACGTCACACCCGCCCACTTACCCTGCGTACCTGTCACATCGCATTCGCAGGCCAACCCCGTCCGTTCCGCAAATTCGAGCATCTCGTCTCACGGGGTGGATCTCTTGATTCGCTCTCACCCGTCAACCCATCATGTCCACGGCCTTCAGACTCCCCTTCTCAACATCAAAGTTCCTGCACCCTGCGAACTGGATCCCTTCGCGTCCGCAGACTTTTCGTTCGTTGTGCTCGAGCGCTAGCTCACGTGCTCTGAGACATGCTGCTAGTTTCCATCACAGCACCGCGGCCAGGAGGGATGTAGTGCTTCGATGTCCGCGGAAATTTTCAACAGCGACGACGAAGACGACTGCAGCGATAGGCTCAGCCTCAAAAAGAGATAGAATTGGGGTTGTAGGGTTTAGTACGGCGAGTGTTAGGAGGGTTGAGAGTAAGGAGCGCGACGGGGAGAAGGCCACGGTATGTTGAAGCCGAGGGAGGGTCTCTTCTTCTTCCTTCTTTTCTTTCTTCTTTTGATTTATTTGAGTCGTTCATTGGTGTGAGGTTGTGTTTCTTGGAGTTCTGTTTTGGACATGGCAGGTTTGGTTAGTTGGCTGTTCTCCTCTCTAGTGCTTGAATTTCATCAAGCTCTAGTTTTGACAAGTATGGGCTTGGACTTATCAGCACTTGAAGATGACCTTTGGGGCAGCTTTTTTCAATGATTATGTACTGATTGAATTGTTTCAATGTTGCTATAGAGAGACCAAATTCGGGATAAGCATATAGCTCTTCCTGTCTCTCCTCCAGTAGACATGTCTATCAAACACCCCCTGTCTCCCCAATTGGTCCTATGTCTTCATTTCGAGATACCTCATTTACGATCCCAATGCCACCTAGCTAACAGAAAACCTAGAACAAACCCCTCAAAGAGCGTCTGAACCCTACGGCCCTAAAGGAAACCCTCAAAACCAAAGTCCCCACCCTCTCCCACGAAAACATCTACACAATCCCCAACCTCCTCACCTTCTCCCGCCTCGCCGCAACTCCCCTAATCGGCTACCTAATCGTAACCAACCAAGCCCTCCCAGCCTTCATCCTCTTCGTCTACGCCGGCTTCTCGGACCTCCTCGACGGCTGGATCGCACGCAAATACCACCTCCAAACTGTCGTTGGCAGCGTCGTGGACCCCATGGCCGACAAAGCCCTCATGACCACCCTCGTCGCCTGCCTCGCCGTCAACGGCGCGCTGGCCCTCCCCCTCGCTACCCTCATCCTTGGCCGCGACATCAGCCTCGCCGTCGCAGCCATATACTACCGCTACGCTTCACTCCCGGCGCCGAAGACGCTCGCGAGGTACTGGGACTTCAGCCTCCCGTCCGCAGAGGTGCATCCCACCACCGTGTCGAAACTAAACACGTTCCTCCAACTCGTTCTCATCGGCACCACAATGTGCGTAGCGCTTCTCCACGACCCCGCCGCCCCCTCATCCCTCACCTCTATCCAATCCATGCTCGGGGGCCCCGAGGGTGTGGAGAAGTTGGTGGGCGGGATGGGCGCGGTGGTCGCGGCCACGACGGTGTATAGTGGGCTTAGCTATGTGTGGTTAAAGGACGCCGTGAAGATTCTCGGCGATGATGAGGCGTTGAAGAGGAGGCAGGGGAGGACAGGGAGGATGGTTATTGGAGGCTGCTTTGGGGGGTTTATTGTGGCCGCTGCGTGGCTTGCTTGGAAGGAGTGGGAGAGAAAAGGGGATGAGGAGGAGGAGAGTGGTGGGAAGTGAGGTGAATGGTAGTCACATTTCTGCATCGCCTTTGTAAGAAAGAAAATTAAAAGTAAGAGACTGAGGGGGAAATGGAGTGGAATGGACACGGTCATTATCCTGTGTCTGGGGATAGGTCTTCTTCTTTTCTTCCCCATGTATCATAGCGGTTCCTCTTATCTTGTTTCTCTAGCTTTTTCCCAGACGTGCCATACACGCTTTTCACATTTGTTCCCATTGCTGGGGCTGTATACATATACTTAAGCTACTTTTAGACCGGGTCGGTCAATATGAGATATTCAACGGAGAGAGTAAGGGCGAGAGGAAACATCGTGAGTTGCCTTTTCCACCAGAAAATAAGTCAAGAGTGTATCCGTATTGATGTTCCTGTTAGAAGCGGAAAGAAGCCCAGAGACTAAAATAATCACCAAGGGGTGGGCCCGGCACACAACAGAGGAATTCACGGTCAAAATTAAATGGGACTTTGGTCGAAATTGCATTGGGCTTTATCCTTTTTTCATTGAGAGGGAGGGAAAAGAGAAGGGGAGGAAAGGGGAGGCCGGGTCGCGGTGGGCATAACGCATATTTCCTACATTTCGATTTTCGTATATGCGAAAGGGGTAATATTTGATGTTGAAGAATGATGGTTGTGAATGTAGGATCAGGACATGTGCTATGTTGGAAGTTGTGTTGTCTCAAGCAAGGGAACAAAGTCAAGTACGTGTATACGATGGAAAAAGGCCACAGTCAAGTCAAAATTCAAATCACTTTGTAAGTTCGGAACTCAGTCATTATCGTGGAAACATGCAATTGATTTTCAAAGGACTAGTTAAATCCACATGGCAAATACACTGCCCAAAGACTGGCCACTTCCCCCAATATTAGGACGAAGGACGAGTCGGTGTTAGGGAAAATGATTTGGGAAAACGTTTTGAATTCGGTAGTCTGTTCAAACAAACTCTCTGCGACATCCTCAACTTGGTAGGTTGACCAGCTCCCTCGGAGCCCGCCCAGAATCCTGGCAATGAATCTCCTCCCGCAATTTTGACCTCAGATAAGCTAGCTCGAAAACGGCCGCTTGCGATGGTGGTTGATATTGACAAGTCGTTGAAGTGACCGGAGGTCCGGAGAAGAAGCATTGGTTTTATTGTCGGCCCATTGTGTGGCGTTCAGAATTCAGATCGGTGTGAGCTGAGATTGAGGGGCGAGTAGTTTATTTGCTGATGATGTTGTTAGTCGACCAATTCCGAAGAAGACATTGATATTCACTGTGGGAAACTTACGAGCGAGCCCTCGTCTTTCTCCTCTTACGCTTGAGTCTTCGTACGCGCTTCTTTCTCCACTTGGCTCTCATCTTGTCGGCTTGACTGGAGGTATGAGGTCAGCGAAACTGCTCAGAGAGAATGCGAGTCAGCAGCGATGGCATTGAACGCGGCGAGAGCTGGAAGCTTCTCAATGCATTCAATTGAAGCGCATCGTGCCTACTGGACGTATCAAGGTGAACTTACTTGGCTTTCGAGATGAGTGTCGTTGGTTGAAGGAAAGAAGAAGATTCCGAGAGGGGTTCTTTGTGTTAAGTGCGGAGTTGTTAAGCGAGGCGGATTAGGTTTAGCCTCCTTGGCAGACTGGCAGGCGACGTCACGCGAGCCTGTGAGCGATCTGGTCCTGCTAAATGATGCTCTTTGTCAGTGAACGATATTCACATTTACAGTCTATATATTTCGTGAATAATTTTCGGGAGTATGGCTGGCGCAGTAATTGCACACTTTGACGTTTTTCGATATGAGAATGGCGAAAATCGTAAGTGTGCTATTTTTCTGCTCTTTCCATTTAACTAAAACACTTCAGAAATGCAACAGAAAATAGATATTCACGGTAGCGAACAGTTCTGCATCGGACGGAATGCAGAGCTCTGGTGAGAGCTCCCATCTGAGAGTATATCATCATCAGTGAAACCGGCATCTAATAAGCATAGCCGACATACCTTTTCAGAATCAGTCATCTCAAATAGACACCTCCGAATACATTGTGTGCTTTACGAACAAGATCGCATCTATGAGACACCTCCATTCGTCTATGCTACTGATATGTCGCGGAACGGCACTTACCTGCGCAAGAGTAACATTGGGTGTACGAGCTCCCAAGGTCGTGGCGTATTGATGGGGCAGAAGTCCGGTGCATTCCTGCTTGACAATGGAGATGAGCTCCGAATGAGTGATTCACTGACTCTTATCTACCGTTCTCACATTCCTCCAACTGCCAGTGGGCTGACAGCATTGCAAAAGCGAGAGGCGCGAGTCGGTTATCGAGGATCAATAACTCTATTTGAACATGTGCTAACATTGCTAGCTCTTCTCGTCACGGTTCCTCCTCACAGACCGCATCCTCGGCATTGGAGGCTACGGAAAGGTCGTGATTGCACTTCATCAGAAAACTCAGCGTCAGGTAGCTTGCAAGATCATCAAACTTTCATTAAATGCTTCGAAACCAACAACATTGTCCCTTCGACACTCTACCAATGGTACTCGTCCAAAAGCCTTGCCATCGCGATCGGCAAAGTGCTTCAGAGAATTTGACATCTTGAAGGATTTGAGTCACGTACGTGAAGCCCAGTGACACTGTTTAGTAGCTAACGATGCAGCCGAACATTATCACACTCGAGAAGGTATTCTGGAGCTCGAACAGCATGTAAGAACATCCACTGTCTTCCAGAGATTGAGATCTGATCACACACAGCTATATCTTGGAGGAGCTTGTTACCGGTGGAGATCTCTTCTCCTATGTCGAGTATAAAGGCGGCCGACTCGGCGATGTCCAAGCTGCCGTCATTGTGAGACAGATTCTCAAGGGCGTTGAGTATCTCCACGATCGAGACATCGTTCACAGAGATCTAAAGCCGGACAACATTCTCATGACTTCTCTCGACGATGGCGCTCGCATAGTCATTACTGATTTTGGAAACGCTCGAGCACTACCGGAGTGGACATCAGTGTCGCTCGACAAGCTCCTTCACAAGCAGCGGATGTTCTCTTACGCTGGGACTCTCGAGTTTGCAGCTCCGTCAGTCGTCCAAACTCTCATGTACGCATTACACATGTTCTGATCAAACATAGTGAAATCCACAAGAAGAACCCCCTCATCTCAGAGGATGGCGGATATTCAAAGAGCGTAGACATGTGGTCTGTCGGCTGCCTCACAGCTCTTCTCCTCTCTGGCGATGTCATCTTCACCGACCGCGCAGACCCACGGTACGAAAAGAATCCCGCCGCAGTGATCCTCGGTCTCGCAGCCACCTGCAACCTCAGCGTCCTCGACGACGAGACCCACACCACCTGGTCGCAAGTAGGCTCCCGGCCCCGAAACTTCATCAAGAAGCTCCTCCAGCTCGACGAATCCAAGCGCATGACAGCCACCGAATCCCTCCACCACCCCTGGTTCTCCGACAAAAAGTACGCCCAAGAGTTCGACGACCTCTACCAGCGATCGATCCGCACCTGGCGCCCACGTCCCAAGATCGCCCAACTCGTCGAACCAATCGCAGAGATATCAACCAGCAGCCTTACCCCCCCAGAGGACCACGACCATAACCTCCTCAGCCAGGCCATGGTGTCCAAATTCTTCGCGCCCCCTCCCGCCCGCGAACCCTCACCCTACAACATCCACGAAACCCTCTCCATCCCACCCCCTCCTCCCCCCTTACCCCCAATCACTCAAGCAAGCGACGAACCACCGCCGCCGCCACCAATCTCCCTGTCAGCGTTCACCAGCCTCTCCCGCTCCGCGTCCCTCGAAACCTCCTTGGAGACCCTCAGCATCGAGCCCTACCCATCTAAACCACACAAACATCCCCCCCCATCCACCACCCACGGCGACGATATCATCCTCGTCCGCGAGACCCCACCCCCACCCGCCAAACGCCGCAACCCGTACTCCTTCTCGTCTTCGTCCCACTCCCAGCCTGAAAGCCCCAGCGCCGCCCACCTCACCGGTCCGCAATTCCCCGCGAAGCAGCTTCCGAAGCGCAGGAAGATGGCGCCGCTGCGGGCGGAGTGAGATGTCTCCATTCTCCATCTCGCGCGTCCCTGCTTGCATCGAAATGGAAAGGGGGGGGGGGTAATGTCGTGTCTTCTCATTCTCCTTTGCATGTTTGTTTGTGTGCTTTGACAGCGAGCACTGTTCTATGCCTGAATTCGAGCTCCTGGTATGCGGTGGCGAAGGAGAGGATATGTTACGTGGCTGCTATGCGGAAACGGAAGGTCTAATGTATGTTGATAACGGCAACGCTGAAGATGGGGACGAAGGTGTTGAGTGATGGCACTAAGGTAGTACCGGGAAGACATCTCTGAGAAGAGAAAAAGGAGGGAAGGACAGGAAATATGGGTTCTTTCTCTTGGGCGTGCGCGGGAAAGAAAGGTATAACTACTACACATGATGAGCATATCTAACCTGTAATAAACTGTGTTGGTGTATGTGGTGATGAACGTCACGTCATGTGGGAAGAACGGTAAACAGAAAGTTAGAGGATAGAAAGTGTACTATTCCCTCGACATCGTTGCATCATCGCTCTCGCTGCATGTACATACCATCGCCGCATCTCTCTCCCCTCTTGTCCAACTCCCACTTCCCCGGATGAGAAACGTAGAAGGTATAACTACAGAGAATCGTGGACGGAGTCGATTGACACCAAAACACAGGAATTCTGTACGTCACGTTGAAATCATGCCGATCCAGTAGTTCAAGTTTCGATTTCGATTTCGTTCGGAGTGGGTGCTCGCTTGTTATGAATTTCTTCTAATTCAGTGCACACTGTATGCACCGTTGCTGCATCGTACTTTGCTGATGCTCTCCGTCTGTCCGTATCTATCCCTCCGTTCCTAGAGGAGACAAAAAGCACCAAATCTCGTATCCGACGAAGAAGAAAGAAAAGGGGCACAAAGCCCGAGCAGTGAACTGCACGCGAATCCACAGGACAAAGCAAGTGGAGGAGGAAAAAAAGGGTGGAAAGACATCAGCATACACAGGCATGTAAAAAAAGGGGGAATCCCAAAACCAGACAGAAGAGGTCATTCCATCATCCAATGAAGACCAGTATGACGAGAGAAAAGAAAGAGGAAAAAAACAAAGAACCCAGAAGGGCATATTTTGGGGGACTTCCCTTCCCTCGTCTTTCGATGCACTTTTCGGTCCATCTCTTTTAGTATTTTCCCCGGGTGAAAAAAAGGACATAGTGAGAAAGAAAACCGTTGCCCGATGATAAAACAATTCCGTTTGTCTCTATATAACAATCCACACAAGAAGCAAGTAAATAAGGGCAAGAAAGTAAACGGGAGGAGATCTAAACAGGGAGAACATCTTTGGGTGAAAATCCTCTGGAGGAGTCTCTGGGGAAGGAAAGCGCGAGGAGAGCGGAAGAGGATAGGAGGAGGAATGTTGTGCGCGAAGGTCGTGAAGCTGCTGTGCTTCTGGCACGACGGATGGGAGCGACGGACGCTAACTGGTGAGGCGCTGTCATCGTGGTGTTTACGTTCGTGCCTGGTTCATGTTCTTGGAGACTTTCCAGAGCGAAGTACCACGCTTCAGCCTACCGCAGCGGGACTGTTATGGAGATGAGAGGGACACAGGGTGACAACTCACTCCCGAAACTGGTCAGGATCCTCGTTCTTCGGTTTGTACATAATGGTCGTAAGGAACTATCACGATATCAACAAACGCAACTTGGAGCTCACAGAAATTCCTAAAACCTACCTTTTGCCTGTAGCGCGTCGTAGCACTGGTAGCCAGGATGTTATCCTTGATACTGCTAGTCGCAAGATGATTCAAAACGGTATGATTGGGCATGATCAACACACTGCTATCGTCCTTCATTGGCGTCGTGCCATTCAGAATGCTCTTGCTCAAGAACATGGGAAGCGTAGGCGGGGTGGGGAGGTGGCCAGCCGCGGCGTTGGCTCGCGCGAATCGTTCGGTCTCTTCCGTAGCGTCTAGATCGACTAGGTAGTAGGGAATGCTCATGTGGTACTCTTCCGGCGCGGGTGGCGGAGGGGCGGCTTTGGGCTGCGACGACTCTGGCACTGATTGTTCAACAACTGGGACGAGCTCGGGGGTGGGTGGGAGGATTTGAGGTGGATAGATACCTGGTGGAGCACGAAGCTCTTCCGTAGGCGTGGGATCGGTCTTCTTGGATTCGTCTGTAACGTCGCCAGGCGGTTTCGGGAGGTCATCATGAGACACTTCGAGATAATTGACGAGACTGTTCGTATAGTCTACAGCGGTAGGGAGCTTGTCTGAGGTTTTCATGTCGTTGTCGACCAAGAAAGTGAGATGGTGGGTGCCTGGAGCGATGTTGACCATCGCGGAGAGGACATCTTTCTTTTTGCTGGGTCCGCTATGAAAAAAAAGTGCATGTCAGTGTTGTTCTTCGCGCCGCGGTGTAACCTCGAGAGCAGGTAATTGTGAGACCAGGCCAAGGGATGGGGTTTGGGATATGGACATCATATTAAAGATCTCCAGTTGGTTTGTACAGTCTCGGTGCAGCCTGCATGAAGCGAGAACAGCCACACGGGAGGGTGCAGGCAGCCAGATGAGAGAGCATGGATGACCCTGACCAGGGCTCCGAGACCTGCCAACTAGCATTCGAAAATATAGTAAATAGGGCGCACTTACTCGTGATACAGCCGATACTTCTTATCCCAGTTGGCGAACGTGCCTGTGACATAGACACGCTCACCGGGACCCTCCCATTCGATCAGCGTGGGTACGGTCAACTTTCCCGCAGCCGGGGGCTGGAACTCTTCCTCCATTTCCTCCTCTTCATCCTTTGTACTGCTCAAGACGGAGGCCGCCCGCCGGGGCAGCGCATCGGAATCGATATCAATGACATTGTCGATGTCTGCGGGGGAGATGATGGGGGATCCGGGCGTGTGCGGTTCCTCTTCAATTGGAAGCGGTAGGCGAGGAGGGCGACTGTACTGAGAGGGCTGTGGGACGAAGTAGTCTTGCACGGGATCGACGAGCTCGACCGAGATAGGTTCTATCCTGCTCGGCTGCTGTGGCTCTTCCCTGGGCGCGGCGGGGACGTCGACGGGCTGTGTGGTCTGCGGAGAGAGGGCGGGGAGCTCGGATTGCTGCTGCGACTGCGGAGCCTCCAACGGCTGCGATGCCTGAGGAGGCTGCTCTTGTTGGGCGTCCTGGGGCGCTGGCACGGGGACGACGATATTGGAGCCGTAGGTGGAGGATTTCGATCTTTCCCTGTCCTTGTCCTTGTCTTTGTCCTTGGGCGGACCTGCCTGGTCCTTTCCCTGCGTCTTGGGGCGGCTCTGCTCGTTGCCCATCTTGTCTTCGGAGGTGGTGGATCGGAGGGTTGACTGTATAACGTGTATGGGATCGGGATGGATCTGACTTTGATGACTGGTAGTGGCAGTAGCGGCGGCGGCGACAACGACGACGGAAGAGGTGGAGGTTGAGGGAGCGGCAGTGATTGCGGTGGCCGTGGTGGTGGCTATTGTCTGGGAACGGGACCTCGAGTGTGGGCGGACCAGCGAGGTGGAGGTGGATTGAGCAGCGGCGCTTTCGAAGCTGGCCGAAGGCGGGGCAGCACTTGCCTTGACGGTGAGAGCTTGGATGGACTCTCGCCTGCGGGGATGGGCGGGAGTTAGCTCACGAGGTGGAATGGAACTGGTGGGAGTGGTAGCATATTGATTGCTGGTGCTACTACTGCTACTGGTATTTCCGTGAAGTTGAGATTGAGGCTGGGAATTACGGCGTTGGAAGATGTTGGGGTTGTTGCTGCTGCTGCTGCTGCTGCTATTGCTGTTGTTATTGTTGTGGTGTCCATGATGGTGCCCATGAAAGTGATGGTGGTGACCATGTGACACGTTCGGAGAGGTCGGGTTGCTCGTAGGCGTATTGGACCGGCTTGGTTGGTTCCCCATGGACCTTTCGCTTTATACTAATTCGTCTCCGTCCCGATTTAGTACATATGGGATATCTCTTGAAGGGTAGGAAGAGGGAGAGAGGAGGATGAGGATGATGGATGATGGGAAGAGGGACGAGAGGGAAGTGGAGAAACGATCTGTCGTAGATAGGACAGGATTGGGATTGGGAGGGGGCGATTGACGGGCGGAGTAGCAAAGTACACAGTAGGGCACTGTAGGTTACATGTAAGTAATAATTAGCAACAGCGGCATGAAGCAGAAGATGTACGAGTTTGGAGAAGTACGGAGGAGAGAGAGAAGAGACGGAAGAAGCAGAATCGAGTAATCATAAAATAATAATCAATTCACCATCCTCATCATCTTCTAGGTTTAGGCAGAGTTATAAGGGTTCATGTATCTCCCTCTTCTTAGGTAAATCCCCGTAAGTGTCGTATCCTCAAAATATGCACCAACATCCTCTTTTGGGGTTCCTGGCACGGCTTCCCTGTCACTTGCAGCAATCCCTCCCTTGGCCCAATATCAATCCTATCATCTCTCTCGAGTCTACGCTCTAGTTAGACCTACTTGCGCACAGTAAAGCTACTTGTACTCTGTATCACTATCTATTACTCTTCATCAATCCCATGTTTGTTGCGTAAAGACGTACATTGGTAGCTGATCGCTCCACCTCCCCGCGGCAACCATGGCTATGAACATTCACCACGATCCATCGTAAACAATAAACACCCCAACCTCACCACCTCCGTGACCGCTACCCTACTCCACTCCACTCCACCTCACTCCACCCGCATCCCGCATCGGCCATGGCAGACCAAATCCAGCAAGCTCTGTCCATCCTCTCGCGCATAGCTTTCTACACCTCCTGGCCCTTCGTCAAGCTCGCCCACCTCCTCACATTTATCCTCTCGCCCTTCTGGAGGATCGCACAATTCTTCCTGTTGCCATTCACCGTGCTCGTGCAGGGCTTGCTTGGCATTCTATTGCTACCGTTCCGATTGAACCTCCTGGAGCGATTCGAGGTATGCCAACTCTTCGCGCAATATCCGTCGCATTATGGGGAGTTGAATCTCTGACTGACGTACCTTGCTACTACAGACAATCTACATATACCTCGGAATCGCAAGCTTGATCGGCTTCGCAGCTGGCGCGGCCCTCTACGTCACGTTCCATGTACTCTCCACCACGCTGAGAATCGACACCGCAACGGAACTCGAGGACAGGAAACATGCGAATGCGAGGACAATTGAAGCGTACCGGGCGGAAAGGAAGTCGAAGCGGAGGAGAAGTGGGAAGGATGTCTTGTCTATTTCGCCGACTATTACCAGCGGAGAGGCTGTGATGGCGCGGAGACAGCGGGGATTGTTGTCCCAGACGATTATCGAAGAGGAGGATTCGGATTTTTGAGGCGCGAGAGTGATCCATGATGGCCAATTCATTGACATGGATCCCAAGAGGGTTGTGATGGTCATGGATACCCTCATGATTCTAATAACCTCGAGTTCATTTGCGCATGCGACCCTTGCGCTGCATTGCAAGCACACTCTACCTTACAGATCCACTCATCAAAACAAAAGAAGGAGGACTACCAAAGCAACAGCATGATTTACACATCCGAAGGATATAGATCATGGTTCCTCCTGTACGGTTGTGGTGCTTGTTTCGCGCCCTTCCATCAGCTCTTTGATCAATAATTCGAGGAAGCTTGAAAGTATCGATCAGTAGATACACCCTGGCCTGGCTTCATTCATCTTTACAACCCGGATATTACCATCGACAATGGACCTAATAGTATATCCAAAAGGAGGACGAACCTTAGCACTCTAAGCGCAAATATCTTGCCTCACCGTACGACCACCAATACCCACCAATAAAGGACCCTTCGATAGAATATCGACGAATTCGCAAGACGAAGATAGACAGCAGCACTTCGGCCACCAAGCTAGCTCTCACCTATCCAGCAACAAGGAAGATATTACGACTATACCTACATCGTATAGACCTCAACACCCTTCAAACACCCCCAACAAACGCACCTCCCCCTCCAACTGCACGCGCAAGCCCCCTCCAAAAGAAAACCCCAAACCCCTAAAATAAACCCGCGCTGTTTTTAAAAACACACATTAGTCCCGTACCCTCGAATCGTTCCCCCTGCCCCGCGCGCGCCGCGGTTTCTAAGGGACCTCGCGTTACGTGTGCACGTACGTACGCCTGCAGTTATACTATACCATGCCCGCACCGTACCTAGTTCCAGCGGCTGGGGGGGAGATAACGGAACGGGTGTAATCTCGGTCGCACGCTCTCGACACAGGCGGTGTTGAGGGGAAAGGGAAGCGGAGGGGAGGGGAGGTGGGCGGTGAATGCATTGTCGCGTAGTAAGATGTAGGTACATATCATACAGTTCTGTATGGAATGTCTTATTCTTGGGGTTGTGTATATGTCGTATGCTCGTAAGCTACGAGTAGGAGTACGTACCACGACGAGTAGCGGCATAGTGGCGTCTGTGGCGGTGGTGGCGTGGCGGGGGACACGATGAGGACATGAGAAAAGTGTCTCACGAGATACGTCCTGGGAATTAAGTGGTTTTACTCATACGAGTACCGAGTAGTACTGCTCCTTAGAGCACGATACCGTTGGATAGAATGTCTCACAAAAATACAATACAATGTTGAGGATATCACAAAGACAATCGTGAAGACACGACATCGCGGGTATCCCAAGTGCCAGGTACGAGTATATATGTACCAACAGTACGGCAGCAGGTCGATAGTCAATATATCCATTGACGTTCCCGCGAATCACTGGACCGGGTGGTCAACAGCATCTACTTACCCTATACTTTGTCTATGTATCCTTCTCATACCGTACTTACACTGCAGCGCACCACACCTCCCCCAGAAATACATCCCCCATCGCATTCGCATCCACAACAAGCGAAGCCGAGGGAAACACGAGGGGCATGCCGCATAACCACACACTCCCAAATTACGTATGTGCAGTGCAGAAACCACCCGCTCCCACGAGTTGGTGACTGTGTGGGTATCATACCTCGTAGGGTAGGCGGCACGAAGTACCTAACGCGGGCGGGATGAAGTAATGATGTAGACACGGCTTGGTACTCGTAGACGGGGAGATGGAATGGATCTGATCTAACCTACCTAGATGTGGAGGGGGAAAAGATAGGATGCACGACGTCGTCATAAGCGGTGTGGGTTATGGTTGGGTTTGGTTCGGTTCGGTTGATGCGGCCGAGTGGATGGGGTACGAGCGACGAGTGACGAGCTGTATGATGATGATGATACTTGTGGTTTAGGTACATGACCAAGAATGCAGGTTTGTTGGCAGTTGTGGTGTAGTGCGGCGGCATGACGATGGTTTACATACGTAGTCTGTTACTGTCTATCTAGGCGCGGAATACACAGAAGAGTAGAGTGAAGTAGAGGATATACGACTGTACCGAGGTGCGTATAATCATTAGTAGTGGTAGTAAATACAGATAGTAGGTACGAGATCTCTGTAACTCTATTATTACTTGGAAATACCGAAGATGGAGCCATTACGCGCGCAAGCGATGACTGTATTATCTCGCTGAGCTGTAGCGAGGCAAGGCATGGCGCATGCTTGGGTACAACTCGCACCTCGTTGCTCGGTTGAATGCCCAAGGGAATTGGTAGGCAGTGTGCAGTAGTGCATTGTGGCAGATGATGGATGAGCCACAGATGAGATGCGTGTATGCACAGCACAGCACTGTACCACACCACCGTTGAGATAGAAAAGATTCCAGGCGGGGATGGGGTGGATTGGGATGAGATTGGGGCAGGGTAAGAGGGGAGATAACGTGTACATGTAGGGTACAGATTGCGAAACGGAGGATGAGAGTATGAGGCAAGCCGCCCTGACCGGAGTTTTGCTGAAACTACGAGGGACGACAGTATGGTATGGGATTACTGACTACGAAGGACTGAGATGATGGATCTGTTCGTCCATTCGTCCATCCGTTGATTTGATCCATCGGTGTTCGGTGTTGGTGGTGTGGAAGCCACTGTGCAGTGCATTTGTGGGGGAATCTTGTACTCCGTATCAGAATAAACGAATACTGTGACTTCGTAAAGTACCGAGTACAGTGACAATTAATAGTACAGACTCGTAGATTAAGAAACTTTCTCTAGGTACACTCGTAATACTCGTACGAATACTCGAAAAGCAAAGAATTACTAGAATAGGAGTATTGCGCGAAGGGCTAACTACAATACTCGCAAAGTGAGGTGAGGTATAAAATTAAGATGAGGAAGCGGCGCGTGCAGGGATTTTCTTGGTGAGCCAATCTTTGAGCGCGATGCCGCTAGTCTGGTTACCTGTGTAATGATGTTGACAATGTCCGAGAGAGAGAGAGAGGATTGATTTGGGATTCGTTCCACCGGTGAATTGGATTATGGATTATGGATTATGGAATACGGCAAATCCAAGACAGAAGAATACTATGAATTATCATTGGAATAGATAGAACCAACCATGATGAGTTCCTCTTCTAAGTAACTGTAATGTCGGGTTCGTGATAAGGCGCGGTAGTGGTAATAATACGGTGTATATGGATGCCCCTAGTACGGAGTGGTGCTAGCTTGTGCACAGCCCAGCCCAGGCCAGTCGCAGTCCCAGTTTCAGTTTGTCGTTCCGCTGGTTCGTCTCTCGTCTCTCGTTGAATGCATTCACCCATCCATCCATCTCTTCTCCCACTCTCTCTCTCTCTCTCCCATACCTAATTCTTTTCTTTTCCCTACAGTATTAGTTAGTTAGTCTGTCTGTCTGACTACCTACTACTTGTACTCACACACTCCCTCTTCTCTGCCTTACACCTATATACCTTTTAATACTCCTCCTCCTCCTCCTAATCGCCATCTTCTGGCTCCAACTCCCTTCCCCTATAACCTGTCTCGACCAACTGGGCTAGCCGCACCTGCCACTCCTAATTGCTTCGCCCACCACCGTCACAACCACATAAACATCCTCCTTCCCTGGAAAAGAGACTCCCACTCGTCTCTCAACACCACAATCATGAGGAAAAACATCATCATATTCCTCGTCGTCACTTGCGCCGTCCTGGGCTTCGCCGTCCACAGCGTCTGGACTCTCCTCACCCTGCTCTTTGTCGACGGTTCCGAGGATGCCATATCTCGCGCCGAGCTCCCTGCCCCCAATTCTGGCGCAATCAGCGAGGTCCCTCAATTGATCCCCAAGATCATTCACCAGACGTACATCAACGAGAGCATACCTGCGCATTGGAAGGGTCCCCAACAGAGCTGCATCGATCTCCACCCAGACTACGAGTACAAGGTACGTCTCACATGCCGACGCTCGCGACTTGTTTCTGCGACCAAGACTGACAATCACACAGCTCTGGACCGACAAGAAGGCACGCGAGTTCATTGCCGCCGAGTATGCATCTCCGTATGATCACCGCCAAAGCAACACGCACTAATCGCCTCCAGATACCCTTGGTTCCTCGAGACATTCGACGGCTACCCGTACCCCATCCAGCGCGCCGATACCATTCGATACTTCGTCTTGCACCACTTCGGTGGCATCTACATTGACTTGGACGACGTATGCGCACGCGCTCGACCATGTACATATATCACAAGCTAACAGTCTCCAGGGATGCAACCGCAAACTCGACCCGCTCCTCGCATACCCAGCATGGGTTCGCCGAACAAAGCCCACCGGTATCTCCAACGACGCCATGGGTGCTGTCCCTCGCCATCCCTTCTTCCTTAAGACAATCGACTCGCTGCCCGAGTACAACCGCAAGTGGATCATGCCTTACATCACCGTCATGGCCTCCACCGGTCCCCTCTTCTTGAGCATCATCTGGCGCCACTACAACAACCTCAAGCCGGAAGGTGATGCCCGTCTTCGTATCCTCTTCCCCGATGAGTACAACAACCACCCCTGGAGCTTCTTCACCCACCACCTCGGAAACAGCTGGCACAACAACGATGTGAAGATCATCTTCTGGATGGCGCAACACTGGATCTTGATTACCTTCCTCGGCTTCGTCATTGGATTCTCGATACTTGGCTGCATATACACCCTCATGATCAAGCCTCGCCAACAAAACGGTCCTCCGTCAAAGAGCCGATTCTCCTACGTCCGACTTCCCTTCTACCGCCGAGTGAGCCAGAAGGAGTTCGAGCTCGACGACCGCCACAAGGTGTAAAAAAAAGTTTCCAGTATTTTTTCATCCATTGCCAGTTTCATTATTCCTTCTCAAGCGATTTATGTTGTTTGTAATACCATCACCCGCCCAACCATTGCATATTTGGATAACTTCACGATCCGGGTTTTTTTTGGAGTCGAGTCTGCGGTTGGGCTCGGCTCCCGCGCCATTGCCTCTTTCTTCACTTCTCGGGACCAAACGCCTATTCTTTCTCTTCACTTCGACCTCCATATTCTTTCGGGTGGGAAGTGTCCTGCACTTTCCTGCCCTTCTATCGATTTAATCCTTTCTCCAATCCGAGGCAATGGCGCACGGCGGCGTTTTAGAGATCGATCACACGCACATATACATACATAGAGACAGTCACGCACGCAGGGTGGAGGCGGGGCGCGATCCCGGAGCATCGAGAAAGAGGAGGAACAGAAAAAGCCAGCATGCGAGCAAATGCCGTCCGAACTTGGGCGGCTGCATTGAAGCGAGACACGGCCATATTATATAACCTTACAATAAACCAAATGCATGAGCGAGCAATGCCCGTCCTTTTTCGAGGCCTTACGCTGAAAAAAAAGGGTAGGCAGCACGCATCTTCGAATCAATGAATAAAAAGAAGTTTCGAAGCCAAGACTCCATCACATCTTATGCCGCCCACCGTGTATAACACTACTCGAAACCATCTATCTAACATGCTACGAACGAGCAGCCAGAGAGAAAAAAAATCAATTCCCTTTGTTTACAACCCCCCTCCCACACATCGTTCTCCGCAATCGGAATTCCCCCCCATTCGCTTTTCCGAGGGGTTCCGCAATCTTTTTCTTTGCGGGGGGGGGGATGTAAGACGGAGAGCGGGTGTTCCTGCATTTGTGAACCCCACCCCACCTCACCTCACCTCACGTGGGACTATGTGTGTGTCTACCTAGCCATCCGAGACGATCCGTTTCGTTCCCCCCAAATTGTGTGATCTCCATTTTTTGTCCGACGTTTGTGCTTTGTGCTTTGTGCTTTGGTTGGACGAAAAATGCGTGGGTAGATGGAGGGGGGGTGTTTTGGTGGGGAAGCTGAGATCTAAGATCTGAAGATCTGAGATGTGCCATCTGTGTGTGCGTGGGATGCATAGGAGAGATGAATGGACGTCGCGTGAGCTGTGAGACGCAACGTAGAAACTCAATCAATCGTCCCTCCAACCCACATACACCTCATCCGTCCTAAACCGCTGCGTGACATCGCTGTCCTCAATCTTGGTCGTAACGCCCGTCCCATACTCCAACAACCCCGCATGCGCAATCATAATCCCATTATCGATGCAAAACCTCTCGTCCGTCGCGAACACCGTCCCGCCCCTATCCCTCGCCATCAACCCCATCATCTGCTGCAACCTCTCGTTCGAGCCCACACCTCCTACAACGAGTACTTGTGTCGACCCAACATGCGCCATCGCGCGCTCCGTAATCTCAATCAACATGGCGAAAATCGTCTCCTGAAGCGAAAAACACATATCCTCCCTCGTCACCAACTCCCCCTCCTCCCCCTCCCCCTCCTTCCTTAACCGCCCCTCCACAACCTCCCTAGCAAGGATATCCGCCGCCGCCAACGGCCCCGAGAAACTGCAATCCATGCCCTTCACCGTGTACGGCAAATCAACGAGATACCCGCTCCCGCGCTTCGCAAACTGCTCCACGTTGTAACCCGGGAACGGATCGTTGGGGATCATGAGCGTCCGCGCGAACCGGTCGATGCAGTTGCCGATCGCGATGTCGAGCGTCTCGCCGAAGATGCGGTAGCGGTTGGCTGAGTAGGCGATTACTTGTGTGTTGCCGCCTGATACGTACAGCACGACTGGGTTGCTGGCGTGTGTGATTGCGCGGCCCATTTCGATGTCTGTATTCCCCGGCTCTTGTTAGTTACCAACTTCTTCCATTGAAGGGCTTTAGAGGTGTGGTGGGGGAGAACTCACGGCCAACGCAGTGATTAACGCCCACGAGCGGCTTCCCCCACAGCAGCGCGAGCGTCCTGGCTGCCAGCGCGACGCTCTGGAGTGGTGGGCCCATCCCGGGCCCTCGCGTGTAGCATATCACGTCGATGTCGGCGATGCGGACGCCTGCCTGCCGCACTGCTTGCTTCACGAGCCGGACTACCCACGCGCGGTGGTGGATCGCGGTGTCTTTGGGTAGGAAACCCGTTCCCGGTGGGGAGATGTATGTGTGGCGGAGGTTGGAGAGGACGATGGGCGGGGAGGTGGGCGAGGGGTGCGAGATGAGGCCGATGCCGATTTTGTTGGCGGAGCCTTCGAGGCCGAGGGCTATCATGTTTGCGTGTATCTATCTCGTTCTAATGCGGAGGAGTGGAGAGAGTGTTTGGGAGGGTCTTGTTATGGTCAATTGGGTGGGGAGCTGAATGTTTGGATGTTGGATGTTGTTGATATGGGATGGAGGGATGGTGGATGAGGGGTGGATGAGGTGGGAGCCAAGCCCCTCTTTGCTCTCAGTGTTTGTGTTTTCTTATCGATTAGAATATTTTTTGGAGGACGTTCGGTAGGGCTGACGAGCCACCGATGTCACCTCTTCTCGCAGCATCATTGAGGCATGAATTCAGGGGAAGATTGAGGTAATGCACTGCAATATTACAATATGCTCAATTGAATTGTCAACAATGCATGTTTCTCACGTCAAATATACAGCTCCTCTGATTCGGTTCTTTTCACAGTCATCGTCACCGACCCTGGTTGCTACCAGCCACCAGTTGACCATCCAATCATGGCCAATTTCGGCTGACGAGTGGAGATCCACCATCCCTGCTCTAGGGCTAAGCGGTCGTCAACTTTAAACAACCACCAGCATTTAATTCTGTTCGTACTGGACTGAACCCGCTCTCCAAACCTGCCCTCGAACCGAAGTCTCTGATTTCTCTTCCTTTCTTTGTGCGATTGGCGTGGAGAAGTACCCGTGTGGTCACTTTCAGGCTCCGCTACGAGGCATATATATCTTCCTGGTTTCAAGTCTTTCGGGGATTTCGACTTCGGAGATCTGACCTGCCGCTCGACACCCGAGTGAGACACGCATAATAAGAACCCGCCATGGCCTCCTTCGAAGACGCAAGCCAGAACTTCCTCACATGGCTCACCAAGTGTGGAGCTGAGATCTCGCCCAAGATCTCTCTCCAAGACCTACGAGAAGAGCACGCAGGAAGAGGTGTCGGCAAGTCATCCCCCTCCCGACCCCATACAGCAATCAGCTAACACCGCCCTTCTAAAGTCGCCACGCAAGACATCGCAGAAGATGAACTCCTCTTCCGCATCCCCCGCTCCGCAATTCTCTGCGTCGAGAACTCGATTCTGTCCACCGAGCTCCCGAAGACCACCTTCGACTCTCTCGGGCCCTGGCTCTCCCTCATCCTCGTCATGCTCTACGAGTACCAAAACCACGGCGCCTCCAACTGGTCCCCCTACTTCGACGTCCTCCCCACCGACTTCAACACCCTAATGTTCTGGTCCGAAGACGAGCTCGCCCACCTACAAGCCAGCGCCGTGGTATCCAAGATCGGCCGCGCCGGCGCAGACGCCAGCTTCGCCAACGACCTCGTCCCAGTCATCCGCGAATTCGCCGACGTCTTCTTCTCAGGCGACATGCACGCAGACGAAAAAGCCGCCGCGATGTCATCCCCAGAGAACATGCAACTCATGCACAAGATGGGCTCCCTCATCATGGCCTACGCCTTCGACGTGGAACCCGCCGTACCCCCCACCCGCGCCGTCGACGAAGACGGCTACGCCTCCGAAGACGAAGATGAAGCGCTACCAAAAGGCATGGTTCCCCTCGCGGACATGCTGAACGCAGACGCAGACCGCAACAACGCACGCCTATTCTACGAAGAATCCTCGCTCTCCATGAAAGCCCTCGCCCCGATCCCCGCCGGCGACCAAATCTTCAACGACTACGGCGCCCTTCCCCGCTCCGACCTGCTACGGCGGTACGGCTACATAACGGACAACTACGCGCCCTACGACGTCGTCGAGATCCCGCACGCCCTCGTCCTCGACACCATCACCACCACCGCCATCTCCCCCCAACTCACCCCCTCCGCCGCCGAAGAAAGAGAAGCCTACCTCTCCGAGCACCCCGGCCTCACGGAATCAGGCTACGACATCACGCGCCTGGACCCCTCGACCCCCCTCGCCGAGTCCCTCCCCGAACTAACCCTCCTAACGAAAACACTGCTCCTGCCCGCCAGCGAATTCGCGCGCCTCGCTTCGAAGGGAAAACTGCCACGCCTCGAGGTCGCGGACGCACAGCACGCGAAGCTGCTCCTTGAGATCGTAAGGAGGCGGAAGGCGCAGTATGCGACTACTCTTGAACAAGATCTTTCCAACCCGCCGGCAGGTGGGGAGGGGGAGAGGAGGAGAGAGCAGGCGTGGAGGGTAAGGGTTGGGGAGAAGGAGATCTTGAGGGATGTTGAGGCGGCGTTGGAGGGGGTTGTGAAGGGGTTTGATGATGCTGCTGCTGCTACTGGGGAGAAGAGGAGTGGGGAGGAGGTGGAGAATGATGGTGAGGAGGGGAAGAGGAGGAGGGTTAGGTGATCAAGAAAAGAGGTATCAAGAATATGGGAGAAAGGAGAGGAAGAGAAGAGAAGAGAGAAGAAAGAATTCACATCGTTACGTTCGTCATATCAACACTACAACCTCCACGTCCCCGCGCAACCGCCATCGTTTCGTTCTACCACAACTACAACCTCCACACCGACCCACCAAGGATGAGGACAGAAGAAGAAAAGAGTACATCGTAAGTTCAACCTCCTATCCATCCCATCATCACCCTGATTGCATGTTTCTATTGGCACAAATTCTGTTCTACAATTTTTTTTGAATTGCATTTTATGTTTTCTTTATGTTATGTATGCTGTTGTGCACATGTACCTTGCTTAGAGGATTTGCTTTCCTCGTTCCTCGACTTCGACTTCGACTTCATCGGCAGCAGTAGGAGCAGTAGCTGACGTTGCATGACAGACATCAACAAGAGTATCCTCTTCGGTCATCAATCCTCATCGCACAGCAAGCAGCAGCAGCACATTATTCCGCCGCGTGATACAACCTCGACGTATATCGTTCAACCACGTCGGACGGACACTTCGCCCTCGGCAACCCCCTCTCTTTGCTCGCTCTCTCCCTCGTCGCCTTCCGCGCGCACGACTCCTAACTCGAAAAACAATGTACAAGACTAAAAAGACAAACAATGGGTATAAAGGGTTTTCCACAAAGAAACATCCCAGCCAAAAAAGGACTCCAAAAAACCCCCCGGCGGCTCGGCCAAATCCGATACCGTGATTTAAAAAACACTCCGCCCAGCCTAGAAGAGAGAAAAGAGGAGAATGATGAAGAAGAAGAGGAAGAATCAATCAACAGTACGGATGGGTGCATCAGCGATCCTAGCCCGTGGGTGCAGTCGGGGGAAGCAGATGCCCTGAAGACGAGCGGTTATGATTCTCGATGGCGCGACGGTTCTGCATTGCTGCTGCTGCCGCAGCGGCGGCGGCTTGTTGCTGTTGGGCGTGCGTTTTGTCGCCCTGGCGCTCGATCATGATGCGGTAGCGGATGTGCAGGTTGTCCGTGTAGTCGACCGGATACACCTGCTCGTCTTCACTGCTATCGCAGTCGAACCTGTAGCGGTCGGCGACGCGCTCGTCGATGGCGTCGAGTTTCGGACGCTTCACACCGCGGCGATCGACCATTATGCGACCTCCTCGGCCTATTCGACGCCTGTAGCGAGTCTGTTCTTGGAAGGGGACGTCTTCTGGAGGCGTGGCATATCGGATTCGTGTGCCTCTGCTCGCCAGATCCAATTGCTTGTCCGGCTGGTCCACCTCCATCGGGCCGCCGGCACCTTCGGCTGATGAGGTAGAGGCCGGTGGTGTTGGTAATTGTGAAGATGTGAAAACGGGACGGAAATCCGACTTGGCAGCCGCCTGCTCCAAAGGTGGAGTGATGGGCCGCCAAGTCTTGTCGATCCAACCGACATTCCATTTTTTGTGTTTCAGCAGGTTCTCCTCGATGAATCGGTCGATCGCCTCGGACTTCTTGTTGAGCTGGTCCTCGAGATACACGAGGTCTGAGTCCACGAGGCGGCCATCGGGACGTACCGCGGGCGGCTTCTGGCCCATACCAGGGATGCCACGCTGGACCGCAGCGACGTCGACTCTCGGTTTTGGTTTGGGGGCAGGCTTCTGAAAAATCAGCAGAATTCAAATCAAAGTGGCAGAGTGTACGAACCTTCTGGTTGACCAAGAGCTCTTCGTCGTCGCCCTTGATACCCAACTTCCTCTTGCTCTCCGTGAGCGCCCTGCGACCCTCAAAGATTGCCTTGTCGTGGGCGAGCTGGTCTCGGATGATGACTTCTCGTCGCTTGACGAGGTGCATCAGCAGTCGACCATCTTCCAACTCCTTGCGCAACTTCTTGATCTTCTCCGTCACCTGCGCGTCTCGACCACGAGTCTTGCGCACTTGCCGCACTTCGCGACGACGGAAGCAGACATACGGGTCGGAGTCATCTGTCTCCTGGTTCGTCTCGAACTTGAGTTGGGGTAGTAAGGGATGGTTCTCCTTGAGTAACCGCTGCTCCTTCCAATGACTATAGATATCCTTTGCGAACCGTCTCGACGACTCACTTATCGTCTCGTCGAATTCCGCCTGGAGGTCTTCAAAAGAAAGCACGGGCGCATTGTCTACTTGAGCAAACGGTTGCTTGGTCTGCGAAGTCTCTTCGAAGAAGTTCATCACCTCTTCGAACTCATCTTCAGAACACCTTTCACGCTTATCCCTTCGCTGGTTGTAGGCTTTCAACCAAGCGAGGTCTTCAGAATTCATGCAGTACGGACATCCTATGGTATCTTCGACCGTGGACGAGTACCGTATGTACGTTGCAGGCTGTGTGAAGTTCTTGGGATAGAGGTCTTCATACTGCAACTTACTGGCGACGGCCTCTGGGGTGGGAATGTAGAGCTGGGCGATCTTACCGCCGCTCTGTGCTGCAGCTTGCGCCGCAGAGATGACGGCTTGCAAATGGTGCTCCTATCGAATATTATTAGCATCTGGATCCACGTATATAGATGACGCGCAGTGACAATAACCTGTCACGTGAGGAAGAAATATCGCGACAACAGGCCAGGGGAAGGAGAACAATAAAGACTCTCCGAAAACAGACTAGCGCGGAAAAACAGGAGGGAGAGAGAGAGATACGCACCCCTTCTTCGCCCTTTTCGACGCCCGTCTCGACCTTTGGGACGTGTCGAGCAGGATCATCATCGATGAGCTTCTCGACCTCATGCTCGCGCAGGATGACCAAGTTCTGCTTCGTCGACAGCTTGCGCTGGCGAAAGCGCTGGCCGGTGACGCGTGCGGTCATGATGCAACTGCTGGGCTGCTGCTGCTGCAGTAACGAACGACCGAGGAACGGAGCAGGACAGGGCAGGTCAGGCAAGCAGGCAGAAAGTCTGGTTTTCGCCTAGGGGGAGGGATGGGAAAGAGTAGAATTGGCGTTAATTAGGGGGGTAAGACGGCCGGACTCGCATAGGCGGTATTAATTGTCGCGCCGATACGAGTTTGCTATGAACCGTGTTGGCTGGCGGCGTGTGTGCTGTGCTGTAGTGTATGGTAGAGTAGTGGAGATGTGAGAATGGGGTGCGTGGTCGTGAGCACGTCCGCCTAAAAGGCAGCCCAAGGTAGTGGGTGAGTGCGCGCGCCGCCGTGGCCACCAGCAGCGCACCTCAACACAGCGGATGGGTGAGCGAGCGAGCGAGGCAGAGAGTAAAGGTGAAATTGCGACAAACACTCACGAGCCCAGTATCTCACCCTTGCCGCGACACAAAATTCGCGAAATGGGCACAGAACTGTAGCGCGCGGTCGGTTTTATCGGTATTCCGGGGTCGCCGCGAATTTTCGGATGGGCGTGGTGGAGATAATTGATGGAAAAGTGTTGATGGAGTTTCTCTTGGGGGACGTGACGGGCGGGCGAGGCAGACGACGGACGGGCAGGTTTGGATGTTGAGAAAGTAACAAGACGGTTGCTCCCCCAGTGGACGGTTTCAAACGCACGGAAGGAAAGGGAAGGGGCGAATCTGTGAGCGAGTGAGGGAAGGAGGCAAACTGGCCCGGCCAATCACAATGGCCACTAGAAGGGCTAAGGTGCACTTGATTTGTAGAGTCTAACGTAATTGGCTAGTCGGTTGGGTGACCTTCCGGAATGCGGTTGTACGTGTGTACACATTACGCAGAGTACAGCCCATTCACCTTCATCATCAGTCCTACTCCTCCTTCAGCAGACAAAGAACAGGAATTATTAGAAATGTCAAAACTGCGCATGACTCCTTACGGTATTGCGACAATTTGATTATTCTTTGCAAACACGACGCGTTTTGTCTTCCTTTTTCCAAGTTACCTACATGTATCTGCGCAGAGACGTGATGGTCGCATCCATCATAAATCATCTTCCCTTGCATAATTCAGCAGCTTAACGCTCTCTCATTGGTCAAATTACGAAATTGATTTCGTAAAATGTTGTAATTCTGGCGAATGAGCGGCGATGAATATTGCTTTTAATCAACCAATCATAAATTATTATCGCTTTCTTTTGCTTGGCTTGGACTCGAGAGTCGAGGCTGGGTGGGGAGTGGGAATGGGCTAGTATGAAGGAGGTTAGACCACAGTGTAGTTGAACTTCATGATCAAGGTGGAAGAGTTTACAACGTATCATGAAGACATCTATTTTGTTGTCGTAGTCGAGTGAGTACTTAGAGAATGTTGATGTATAGTTAAAAAGATCTCACAGGAGATGCGTCACTAATCGAAAGGACCATGTGTTGCTGCTAGGTGCAGGATACCAAGGCCGAGTCGACCTGGCGGTATGTAGTGACGGTATATTATCATTATATAGTACATGAAGTCGTTTCATCTACACCACCACGCGTACGTGTGTGGGAATGCCATAAAGGGAAAAATATCCAAAAAGGCGTCTACTTGATCCCAAGGAACTGTTTCCAATCCCCAATCATGTCTGCTAGAACACAGACGACGTCCGTATACACCGCACTCCTCAACTCCTCCTCGGTAAGATCGTCGCCGCACGAGAAGTCGCAGTCGATGCACTGGCGAGCCATCTTAATGTACCTCTTTCCAAGCGAGGCTAGGGATGACGGATCCTCTGCGAGGAGTTTCCGGGCGCTGATCACGCAGTGAGGCATTTCGTCAGTGCTGAGGCTGGTGATGTCCTTCTTGCGGCCGATTTCGAGAAGAGCCACGCCTAGCTTTGCGAGGGTTAGGTTGCGGATGCCATAGAGGTATCTCAGCTGGTTGTGATCGTGGCGTTTTCGACCTAGTGGAGTTGATCTTGAGGGTGGGAATTGGGTGCTGAGGTGTAGGGTTTGGAGAGATCGAGCGATGTCATCGTCAGTGGTGTGGCTTGGGTCGTCAAAGCAAGAAACGTCGTGGAGATCCCAGTCAGGAGCGAGCCAGGAGGTGGAATGGTACTGCAGTGTCGCGACTGCTAGTTTGTGTGCCATCGTGAGTTGATGCAGAACTTGAAGCTTTTCCAGTATGCTTGTGATTGGGTTTGAATCTTTGCGGGATATCCTCTTCGCTGCTTCTGTCTCACTGTGTCTCACGGCATCGTAGAAGATGAATTTGGATGTGTTGAGCGCCTCCTGAGTCTCCAAATAACCTAAACATGGATCATGGTGGCTGGTTGATAGACATGCGTTGCTCAGATGACAGCAAAAGCTTTGGGTTGCCCTTAGGTTTTGCATCGCAAAGGAAAGCGCTTGTGAATTTAGCGACATCATGGGCCCGACGCTGCTTCTGAATGCCGCTTTCGCCAAGTTCGCTGTCGACGCTGAATCCTCTGTCGAGGTGGAGGCGGAGGGTTCATCGAAATGTACTCGCTTTAATGCTTTCTTTCTTAGTTTCGTGGGAGCTTTGGGCGGTGCAGGGTCCAGTGAATGCTGCTCGACACGTAGTGACTCGGAGAGAACGCCCGCAATGGCTGGTAGCTTTTCAACAGGCCCCGTTGTTGTAGCACTCGAGGTGACGGACTGAACATGTAACCATATGGGAGGCTCGGCCGATCCTTTTCGACCTTGCACTGAGTCCCTCCTGCGACATGCGATGACGACATCTAATCGTGCAGTCCCGTAGTCAGCTTGTGCGTCTAATGACAATTTTGCCTGATGGTCCACGTGTGAGGCATTGGTACATGACCACGACTTCTGTAGGGTCTCGTACAGCCCCTGTGAAGCAGTATGAATGTCGGTATAGTGCCTTGGTACACTCCTTCGGACGGTGGCATCGAGGCGGTGAGGTCGACGTTTCTTCAATTTGCAACGTTGGGCGCGTAGATTTCCAAGCTTAACATTCCACTGGTCTAATTCGTCCAACCATTTTCGATACTGGTTCTCTTTGAGTGTAATGTTAAACGCTTGTTGTAGGTTTCTCAATCTGGAGGTTTCGGTATCGCTCCTGCTTAACTCGGCCAGTTGGGACTGTGTCTCTCGCAGCACATCGCGGACACGCACCACGACTGCCTCGCAGAGCTCATAATCTCGTTCCAAGAAACGGCGAAAGTTGTCCTCTAGCGACGGAGCTTTCCAACCTTGATGCTTCGGATTTACTATCATTTCTGACAATTCACTGGCATCTTCGACCACAGCCTTTAACAACAGTTGGCAGTCGTTGGCGAAGTTCGTTGCTGCGACACGAAAGCGAAGTTGTACATCGTAGACGACCTGAGCATGGTGCGTGAAGGTTTTGAGGCGGTCTTTGGTGGTTTGGAACGACTTGATGATCTCGACAACAATTGGTACTATGCCTATGGCAAGCCCAGCAACCTCGATGCCAGACATTGCGATTCTGAAGAGCAGAAAAAGTGCTTCGTCGAAGGCATTGCCATAGCCTGATATGAAAAGGAAGAGAAGAAGGGGAAGAAGGCTGAGTGAGAGGCGCAGGGCGGGGCTGAAGTTTGGGGGCCGCCGTGGCTGCATATCCACCCCGGTCAACCTCGATTTCTGATGAGTCTGATAAGTTTCTCATACTCGCAAGATTCGTGCATCGTTTTCAATCCATCTCGATACTAATTTAATATCATATACATTGCGCTGGCCCATCCGCGAGCAGTTGGATCATGGCTTCCAGCTCCAAGGAACTGCTACCCAGAACCCGTCACGAAGCCATCAAGGAGTGGCAGACCAAGACACATCCCGAGGCTGAGGCAACAACAAAAGCTGATATCGCATCTCTCTACGATGGGTTGCTTAGTTTCCTAAGACTTGCTCTGAAAGAATTGGAGAGTTGCGATCCTCGACCAGACTATGTTCCGTCACTGGAAAAGAGCGTGGCTACTCTATTCTTTTGGGGTCGTGATCTGGAAGTGCCGCAAGGCGAGCTCGACTTGACCCTTCAATACTCTCATCGTCTTCGCGATACTGTTTTGACCCTGCTTGTTTCGTTAGGAGATCTTCTGAGCCACGGTATGTCGTTCAAATCGGGTGTTGTGTTTACTGACACAATGTAGGCCTTGTGCGCATTGTCCCTAGTTCCAAAAAACGGAAGGCTTTGTTGGCCAAGTCCAATATCGCTAGATCCACAGAGCAAGCAAGATCGATACTTGAGGAACCTTTGGAAGCCGCGTGCTATGATGACTATGACGTTGCAGATCTTTGCTCGACGTTGCAGACCAAGATTGAAAGTCTCAACGTGCTAAGTGCAAGCCTCGAAACGCCGGCAGATGACGAGGCTGATGACGAAGAAGTCCGGCAATGGGAAGAGCGCGAGGACAGGTCCGCACACGAATACTTTGTCGACCTTGTCAGATCCCGGTTCCCTTCCGCTGATCGACTTCTTACCCTCAAACTTGGCCAAGCGAACTGGGCTCGTTATAATCATGTTAATCATGTTCAAGCTCTACGAGATGTCGTCGTAAGTGCGCCCGGACCGACGCCAGAAGCTGGACCCGAGAATGCAAAATCCGAGTTCCATGATTCTGGGATTGGTAGCTCTGCCTCCGGGGAAGTTGCACAACCCAAATATGCAGCAACTGTCGTGTCGAGCAGAGCGGAGGCGAGTCATAAACGGATGCCTCCCCTCCCTGCTGACGGTCGAGCTGGTAAACCCTTCCTATGCGAATTCTGTAACAAAAAGATACGGGTCCAGAGAACGAAGCATTGGAAGTGAGTAGCCTTTGTACGAGGTCTTTGGAAGAGTGAAGCTGACAACCACGGTAGAAACCACATATTTGAAGATATCTGCGCATACACGTGCATTTTCAATGACTGTTCATTCAATGGCACATGGTTTAAGGATCGAGTGGCTATGACCGACCATCTGGAAGTCAACCATAAGATCAATGAGACCACAACAAGACAAGCTTGCCCTCTGTGTCTTGAAAATATCGATGGAGGGCTCACTGTCATTGCTCTTCATTTTTCGCGCCACATGGAGGAGATAGCTTTGAGAGTCATCCCTCAAGGGGCTGATTCGGATGAAAGTTCCAATGAATCGGATGATGACTCTAGCCAGCCGGGCAATGATACTCCGTCAATTCAACCTGTTGCGGCGTCCGAAGTGAGATACACGAGGATAAGACCACTCGAATTTGCAAAAAGGGGATTGAAGGTGTACGATTGCGAGTGCGGGAAGGTAAGTCATAAACATCTAATTCGCTCGGTGACCATACTGACACAGATGTAGTCCTATACACGAGCAGAAAGCCTTAGGTAAGTCTCTCGTTTCACCTGATCTTTTGTTCCGAACTAATGCTGCCACAGGCGTCATAAGAAAAACCATGCTTCGGGCAAGCTCGACAAGGCTGTTGTGTATAAGCACATATGCAGCTTTCCAGACTGCGGGAAGTCGTTTACACGAGAGGACAACCTCAAGGCCCATAAGCGGAGGCAACAGTATAGTACCTTTGATATGTCATGAAAAAGCTTGTACTGACTATTACTAGCGGAGAGATGGAGTCTAAGGCTCCCATCCAGGAAGCAAGCGGCACGATTGTGGAACCTCCCAATCCCGTCAGTTACCCCATGGAACCTTGGATTCCTGCTGGGCCCCAATTCGATACGAACAATCCTTTTATTGTGAATCCCGAATGGCGTGGTCCCTTTGATCAGCATGGCCAGAGCCTTTATACGCCTTACAAGAATGGTGTCATTCTACTTGAACCTGACCAGAATGAACCTGACCAGAATGAACCTGACCAGAACTTTTATACGCCTAACTCTCCATCTGGTCTCGCATTATTTGGACAACATGAACCTGGAAACGACGCTCCGGTTGACTCTTTTAGCCCGCTTGATGATAAATTTTATGCAAAGGAGCAATCAGGATCTCTCTGGCCGCCAGATCATATCTTCAATCACCAAAATTTTGGTCCACATGGTCATATTCCACTCGAGGCCAGCTCCCAAGAATACTCTTATGATCCGTCTGATCATACCCACCAGGCGAACACACCTCAACGAGATTATTCAAATGGCCAGCCCGGTCAATTTCAACCTCGTCCGATATCGCCAAAATTCCATCTCTATGATGGAGTTAACTATGGCTCTCGTCGTACTGTTATGATGGATCCCCCCCCCTTAGAAACTCATGAAACTCATTCGACGAGATACACTTGGAATTCTGAGATCCAAACCTCGACTTTCTTGCCAAATTATACTGGCCCCTCTCAGTTCGAACGTCCTCCAAGTCCTGCGATCGGCTCTTCAAGCAATCGGCTGAAAAGTTCACCTTTCCAATTGGACTTTCGTCGTGCACCTAGTTCACCCTACTACCAGCCGGCCAAACGTGATCTAGCTTGGTACCGAACCCACCAGGAAGCTGTATTCAATAAGTTCGAGCGTGAGCCTCGTCCAGCCCCTGCCATAATACCTGCTTCGCCTGCTGCCTCACCCCCTCCAGCACAACATCGAATCTCTTCCCCTTTCTCATTCCCAGCTTCACTTGATGCCTCACCCCCTCCAGCACAACATCGAATCCCTTCCCCTTTCTCATTCCCAGCTTCACTTGATGCATCACCTCGTCCAGCACGAGATCGAGCCCCTTCCCCTCCCTCGCCACCGCCGGCAGAACCCCAGGAGGATGCCTTCGTCCGGTGCAGATGCAAGAGAAAAGAAGACGACCGAAACAAGGTCCGGTGCGAAATTTGCGGCTTGTGGTAGCATATCTATTGCTACTACCCCTCCGTCAATGATGTTCCAGACGTTCACGAATGCGTTCGTTGCCGACCTCGTTCCATTGCTCGTAGTACATTCACCAATTTCAACAACGCCCTAATATAGACGCGGACGTGATCGTATCTTATATCTTGACTGGTTTTCTCAATGCCATGGGGCTCACTTACCTTGGGAAAAAGTGAATGTTTGTGCAGCAGCTAGCATGCCTAAGGGCGATCAAGTGTTTCAAGGACAAGGAGCAATTTCTGTTGTTAGAACAGAATCGTGGTTATAGTTAGTTATTGAATCATGTACACCTAAACGCAGTGATTCGAATATATGGCATCCCATTCTCCTTTTCAGCTCAACAAAGACCCAACATTTTGTGAATAGCCCCGATACCATGTTCTTACTCCTCCTTCACCATAGATGTCCGGAAACTTCACATCCATGACTTGGCAACCGCGTCTGAATACGGCTATCATCCCACTGTATAGTAGTATTCTAGCCATCAGCATTCTTCTCATGCAAGAAGTAGGAAGCAAACTCAACGCCCGGGAATAACAGCAGCAATAGATCCAGCCTTACCGCCTCGCCAACACACGCCGTCATCATTCCGCCCCACCGGGATCTCTGTTCCCCCATTATACCGACCGTCTAGATCTCACCGCTGGCACCAAACAACCCGATGTGCACGGTGGGCCTGATATGCAGGGAGGCTCGATGTCGTCTAGTCTGATTTCCCCCTCCACGATCGTTCGGGCAGATCTTACGCGCGAATGCCCATTCACCTTCACAGATCGTGTTCCCTCGCGAGGCTTAGTCCACTGGGGGGAAACAAGGTCCCGCGTGTCGGTAAGTCGGGGTGATATCGCTTGCCGTCGTTCATCCGTCGTCGGCTACAAGAAACGAATCACTGGTCGAGAAAGGGCGGCGGTTTAATGAGAATGCCATGGTGATATTACGCCTTTCTGACGCGCGCGCGCATGATTGGGGCGGAAACGCTTCCGTGGTGTCATTTGTAATGGCCTCGGTTGCTTAATCATAGGCCTCCGAGGCCCGGTTTTGACGATAGGGCAATTCCAACATTTCTTGGTGTTTTTGCTTTGCCGCTGGGGGGGATGACAGGGCTGAAGTGCATGCGCGATCCTGAATGTCTTAAGCGCTCTGTGGCGGTGGTGTCTTGGAAGGTGACAACTGCGTGTTTACTATACATTCACATTGAAATTGCGCCCTAACGATGACACGAGTAGGATACTGCTGAGATATGGTGTCAGGTACAAGTCGGACACAAGACCCAGGACCGATCCGACTGTGCAGGGACCCTTACAGAAATGTTTTTCAATTCCTGGTCGTAGATCATATTTGCTTCATACTATGCTCGAATAGATCAAGAAGCCACCCGGAAGGTATGTATTGCGAGTCGGGCGTTCCGGGAATAAATTATGAAGAACAAGTCGCAGGCGCCGTGGACGTTGTATTCGCTGTCTGAGTTGATTGTCTCATCTCATCTTTACAGATTGTTGGCTGTGAAGTATAGTCAATACTGTAGGCAGAAGGTCTCAAACCATTCATCATGCATCCGTCAGCCTCGAGAACTGTGGGCGGCCAAGGCGGAGCTAAACTCACACGAGCATTAGTCTCCCTGGCTTCAACTTGTCAAAGAAGACCTCCATCAGCCCTATTAACCTGCCCTACGACAGTTTCTCAAGGCTGTTGGTTTTCTTCTTTTATTTTTCGACTTCACGCCTTATTTAACATCCTTGAATATGTTGAGCGCGTAACGGAAAAAAAGAGGTTGAAAGCTCCATGCCCCGAAAGCGCTCTGGGAACGACGTCAAGGTGCTGCTGCAAGATAAGGGGGACGGGGTTCGCTCTAAAGTTCCGGCAAACACGACCAACACAACCCCCTCCTCCTCCTCTGCCTATGAGCGAGCGAGATTGCTTGAATCGCGGACGAAGGTACTGCTTTAGTACTTATGATGCCCTCCGACAAAGGTAATCTCTCCTGTTGGAAACACAACCCACCATTAAATGTAAAAACATGCTGAACCTCGCCCAATCAATAAAGTTTACAAGAAGAGACCTCATCGCAAGGTAAAAAGTGGATGTATAATCTGCAAGCGTCGCAAGATAAAAGTATGTATGCCTCGTCTATCTTCTCGCTCCTGGTGCTGTTATTAGTTTGTTGTCAAGACGTATGCTCATGCCACCCGCACATAAAGTGTAACGAAGAGAAGCCGCAGTGTGCGAATTGCGCACGGTATTCGGCAGAATGCATCTATCCATCGTTGTCTTCTGAGGTTGTTACAAGCAATGGGGTCATGATATCTACGACGCCGCCTTCTGTGCAAACTCCTGAGAGCATGCCTTATGACGAACCGGTTACCCCGCAGTATCCCATCGGATCTGGCGATATACCTATGCGCGATCTTGCTTTGCTGCATCACTGGACATGCTCGACGAGCCTGGGTTTTGGCGACGACTTCCCTGGTGCTGCTGATCCGTGGCGCATCGATGCGCCTATCATAGGACAAAGGTTCCCCTTTCTGATGCGAGGAATTCTATCGATTGCGGCTATTCATCTTGCCAGAATATCGAGCGACCTACCAACAAGACACAAGTATATTAGGTTGGGCGCATACCACCAAGATCTCGCACTGCCGGAATACAGAAAGGCACTCACGGACGTGACTGAAGAAAACGTGGCCGCAGTCTTGGTGTCTGCTGCCTTAGCGATGGTCTATTCTTTCGCTGCCCCCCCAAAAGATTCGTCCTCAGCATACAACCACGACGCTCGAGGGTGGTTGTTCCTGCATCGTGGAGTACGTGAGATTCCACCGCAGTGGGCCGAATGGATAACCAAAGGCCCTTTCAAAGACGAGATGCGCCGGCGAACACTACCGCGAGTCGATCCCACACTGAACCCGGAGGATTATCGACTCGTGCGCTTGTACACGTTAATATCGCAGCTACCTGTCGAAGAACGAGAGCAACGACCGCACTACGAAGACGCCATATACTGGCTCCGACAGGCATTTGCCCATGTTTACGCGCCGCCCGAGGTCCACCTTGGCTTCAAATATGCTATGTTACTTTGGATTGAGAGAATTCCACAGGGGTTTACGGATCTCATACAGAAGGAAGAGCCGCTCGCGTTTGTCCTTCTTGCGCACGCCTACGTGCTGATAAAACGCACGGAGGCTTGTTGGTGGAATCCTGGTCTCGCCAAATACCTCATGTCGGAACTACAGGACCATCTGAGTGCAGACCTCCGGCCTTGGGTGGCTTGGCCTCTGCAAGTTTGCGGGTTGACTTGAATGTTTCATAACATCATCCGACTCAGCACCACATAGGAGAGGTTGGAAGTTGCCGCCACCCGCCATGCCACACTTAGCTCATGTCTGGCTACGTAGCACTACGCAAATGTGTTACACATGACATAAAGGCAACGGGACGGTAAACGACAAACGACAAACGAAAACCAGACGCGCGCATGCCCACGTTCTGCTATTTCCCGGAGTGGACAGTGGTCGCATTCCGGATGTGCCTCCTACCAAATCACCGTTTGCTCTGCATCTAGTGACAGGCTCGGGATGCGGAACAAGCGGTTAATCTGATCGATCAGAAACGTGGATGGCGTCCGAGGAGCGAGGAATTGGTTCATGTAACCATTCATTCCGTATTGACGACCTGGAATGCGGAAATGATTCGTTTTGGGCAACAGTCGAAATGTGGTCTTATAGGTAGAAGACACCGCCGTTAGCGCGCACGGCAGTGTTAACAGGTAACGTCGCGTAGATTTACCGTTTGGAAGCAAAAGTCTGCAGGCGTATGGCGAACTGCATGTCGTATTGGATTGGGTGAGTGTAGTGTACGTGTGTGAGTGGGCCAGGACACGTCTGCTGAGAGTCTGTTGTGCCGCGAAGTTGCGGTATTAGATAGAGATGATTGGATATCTGTGTATCTTAGCTACCGCTTTGGCCTGATTTGTACCCGTACGGAGTTCTGTGCAGTGTGTTGTGTACCTCAGTACCCAATGTATGTATGCACGAATATGTATGTTGGAGGTTCTCAACGGAAGGAGGGGACCGAGCGCCGGGCCGGCCCGCATTCGGCTTTTAATACTTGTAACTACTCTGAATGTACTCCGTCCTTGTATCTTAACACTTCAGATAGTCTGATCCTCTGTCTGCATTGATCGAAGGAATATGGTATGTTTTCGTAATCTTTAGCATATTATTACTGTTATCCAAGATGTGACCCTATCCATTTGCTATTTGGCTTAGGCATTCGTACCAACACCTGCGTGTTTCCGTCCCCTCGTTTCAGTACTTGTCACCGCCAGTCCATGCAGGCTTGCTACCAATTTCCAACTACCAATTACCAACTACTTTGTGTAAGATCCGCATTACTCCGTGGAGTAGTACATGCCTAGGCATCTGTGCAGGATAGTCTCCCGATCCACAGACACGGAGATAACCTATTGGACAGTCTGTTATCCCAATCGCGTAATTAACAGTCTTCTACACTTACTTTTTCATCACAGTCATGACCAATGGCATGAAATATCAATCGCCTTGGAGGGATGTTTATTGGACAACACGCTTCTTCACACCGATGCAGGCACATAATCAAGATGGGTTACCCGGTCATCTATCTACCTCCATCCTGGGTCCGGTGAGTAGGTTCCAAGTAACATGACAGAAGGTGGCCTCGTATCCCGCGTGGGCAGGGGTGTGTCCGATCACCGGGGAGACCCAGACGCAGACACAGACACATACTTTGTACGCACTCACCCACAATCTAAAGGAGGTGAGTATTATCAGAGGAGGCTGCGAGGCATTGACTATAATTATGCTAAATTGTTCCGGGGCGGGGCAAAGTTTAAACCTCTTACCAACCACTTCCACCACGACTACCACCATCACAGCACGTCTCCAATCTTCTCCGTCGCTCGTTACTGCGAACATCTTTGGGCTTGTTGCTTTTCTCGCGCCCTCCATTGATCCACAACCTAGTCACTTAATTGCTCGTTTAATTAAGTAGGTAATCCATAACCTCAGGTCGTCTAGTCATCGACCCATCTCTCCAACTACCTACATCCGATAACCGTTAACCTACCACCAACTCAGACATTTTTGCAAATCGGTCGCAGCTTATGAATACCGACAACTCTTGGCTTGACCAGACATGTCATGGATCGCAGTCAATTTCCAGCTTGTCAAGTATTCCTCAGTGGAAGGCACCCACTGGTTCTACGATCCTGTGCATCCGTCCACCATCCAATTCCTGCTAGATAGCCAATGGCAACCGTGGGATGTCGGATGGGTGAAGCAGCGAGCTCAGGACCCGGAAATCCGACGAATTGCAGAAGACGCAGAAACCCGACTGGTTCATAATCCTTCCTTTGGCTATCGACCTTGGCCAACGCACTCCCCAACAACCTCAACACCGCAAAATAGCTCTTTGCGTGTCGGCGTTCATCCAATATCTCACAGAGTACCTCAATCTCCCCTCAAAAGCGACACTTCATCTTCGTCAAAGGCCGGATCATCCGCCCATCACCGCTACAATAGCTTACCTCAGCTCTCAACCAGCCCAATCTCTCCTCTTACTGCTGGATCCAATCAATCACTCCAAAGTCCAGCTTCATATAATTCACCATACTCTGCCCAGCGTTCTCACCTGACCACAGTTGCTGCTACGCCGTTGACATCGACCATAACTGCAAAGCCTCAACAGTCACACGACCCAGCCGCTCTCCAGCAACTGAATCCCCCAGAATTAGCACCAAGGGAACATCACCGCGGTTCCATCCCACCCCCCACTCCTCCACTTGAATACTCGCCATCGATTACTGGCGGATCAGATCCCCCAGAGTATCCGACCCGAGAACAACCCAAATCATCCTCCTATTCACAAACGGCGATTGCATACCCGCCATCCTCCCACATATCCGCCCACGAAGCCTCTTCTGCTCCGATTAATGTGTCGATCAACCGAGAAACCAAGGTCCTACTCTCCCTGGATGGGGATGGCATCCGTGGGCTCACGGCTGCTCTGCTCGTAGAATCATTGGTCAATGCAGTATGCAGCAGACTGGGTCGACAGTTGGACCCACACCAGATCTTCGATCTCATGGGTGGTGTATCAACAGGGGGACTGTTGGCAATCATGATAGGTCGACTGCGAATGAGGGCCCACAAAGCAAGAGAGGCGTATTTGGACATTGTCAAACATGTATACAATGACAAGTTCGAGTTCTTCTCCTCGTTCGCCCCAGATACAAATGCCCCACCACACACCCAGGTAGATCGAGGCTTAGAACAGAGCATCAAGGACATGGTGATCAGCCAGGATGTGAATCCGGAGGAAAAGTTCTTTGACGAGCGGCCTGGCGCTACTAAAGTGTAAGTATACACGCAGTGCAATGTGAACTCCATGACCAACTAATCCTTCCCAGCTTCACAATCTCCACCAAGGTCGAGATCGGATGCAATCAGGCGGCCGCGATCATTCGCTCGTATCCGACTCGTCGAATGGCAGGACCCGAGGTCGACCCCGATCTCTCGTTGTGGCAAGCTATTCATTATACTCTGGCGGCACCTCGCTACATATCTAATGAAGGTTCCCGCGAGCGGAGGACCATTATCGAACCCGGCTTCGTCGACTACGGCGCCTCCAAGAACAACCCTGTCCGCGACCTCTTCTACGAATGCCGAAAGCTCTACAGCTACGGCAATGACACGATGGTCATAGTCTCCATCGGCACCGGCACAGGCTGCGACCGACTCTGCGAGGTAACCGACATGGCCAACAGCGTGGAAGACCGCAAGGCCGAGGCCAAGTTCGCAGGCGACAAATTCGAAGCCGACATGCACGACCTGAGAGATCGGGGCTGGATGAAATACTTTCGGTTCAACGTGCCCGATCTATTCGATGTACCACTAGATGAATCAGGACAGCTGGACCATCTTATGATGAAGACGCACGCATATCTTGCGCAGCCGGAGGTCAGTCAGCAGTTCTACGGTTGCGTCGAGGCGATTGCGGCGACTGTGGTGGGCGACCTGAAGGCATGGCCGAGAACTGCCCTCTGATGCAATGTACTCTGAAGGACACGTGCTAGAGGATCTATCTAATGAAATATATCCACGGAGACGTATACTCTTACGATATCACAAACTCTTTCCTAACCATCAACACGAGACACGAAGCCAATCTACCGATCAAAAAGGACAAAAGCACGTTAACGATTAACGACTACGAGTATGTATCAGGGATAACGGAAAATTAACTAGGAAAAGGGCCTCAGATTACTTATTTTTGGGAAATTTGCATATTTTCGGTGGGCGTACTCACGGCTGAACACATTATTTATCTAGGTATTTAGGCATGGGATGGCACAACTATTCGGTCGGTCATGAATTAATGAATTCATTTTCTGAAACGGCCGATGTATGGATTGCAATAAATGGTATTCAAATACATTTTATTTTTCTTTTTGCTTTTTGAGATAATGAACGAATAAAATTGAATAGATCCATATGTGTTATCGCTCGTACACGACAGGCAACTTTATCAGCTATACCTAAAAGAACTCAACTGCTCATATATTGTTGCGAACGTTTCTATGTCCCGAGATCTTATCATTGAGTTTTATTGGATTACTATTCTAATTACTACCCTCTCACCTGAACTTCTGTGACAACATACCAAGTGTGTAACCCTTCGACGAGCACTCACTCAACTGTTCAAGTATTTGACTTACGACTAAATGACATCACGCATCTACCTCCAATTAATCCCCCAACACCCAGGCAAACATTCTCGCATGTTGCGCCCGTAAGCCACGCCGCACTCTACATCCCCCCAAAACCGACATCGACGTGGTGATCATGACGCAACACCGGAATCCTTCCTCTTGGCAACGTACCGCATCCCATGGGGAAACGCAAACCCCACATTCACAATAGGCTGTATTGTACCTCGAATGCTTTCGCGAACGCACGAGCCTGGATTCTCGGTTCTGGCGTGTCTCACACGGTTTCTTGGCCGTGGAGAACAAGCACGCCAGTGGCTGGCTTTGCATGCTTTGTACAGCGTGCTTGCTGGACGGAAGCTCGCACAAGGCGGCACGGCTTTGTCTTGGAGGGCCTTGGTGACGACACTGGTGGCATGGGTGTGATGTGAATTGCATTCCCGCAGGTTGGAAATTTCGATGTAGATTTGCATGTATCTCGATGGGTGGTATTGTCCACCATGCGCCTGCCGCGTCTGGCTTGATGTGCAGGATTGTGAGAGTTGCTCGGGTCGATTCTCCGATGAGGGGGATCGTGTGCGCGGTGCAAATGTACAGGTATATGTTTGCGTTGTGACCTTGTTCGTTTCTGAGACTTGTTTTCATTCTCCACTTCGACGTCTTGCTTTCCCCTCTTTTTCCTCATCCTGTCTTTCCAGCCTCCTTGATACATATCTGAGGCCCATACCATCATGGCGACCGTGGAGCCCAATCAGCCCACCGCGGTTCCAGAAACCGAGCGTGACCCCAACTATGGCGAGGGCCGCGACATGGACCAAGAAAAGACCGACCGCATCGTGACCAAAGACAACCGCGTCGAGCTCCAGGACTCAGACGCTTGGGACAAGCTGGGCTACAGCTTCCCGACATGGCGCAAGTGGCAGATCCTCTGCGTCGTCTTCCTCATCCAGGTCTCCATCAACAGCAATGCATCCATGTACGCTAACGCCGTTACGGGGATCCACGAGAAGTTCGGCGTCACGAAGCAAACCGCCCGTGTGCCGCAGTTGCTCTTCCTCGTAGCGTACGGGTTCGGATGCGAGCTCTGGGCGCCGTGGTCCGAAGAGTATGGCCGCTGGCCCATCCAGCAGCTCAGTCTGTTCCTGGTGAACATGTTCCAGATTCCATGTGCGCTGTCGAAGAACTACGGCACGTATGTCATCTGTAGGTTCCTCGGTGGCTTGTCGACGGCTGGTGGGTCAGTCACTCTTGGAGTGCTGGCCGATATGTGGGAACCTGATGAGCAGGAGTACGCTGTGGCATTCTTGGTCCTATCCAGCGTCGGCGGTAGCGTTATTGGCACACTCATTGGCGGTTTCGTGGAGGCGTATCTGAGCCTGCCGTGGGTATTTTGGATGCAACTAATACTTGGTGGATTCGTGCAGTTGGTCCATTTGGTTTGCAATCCGGAGACTAGATCGACTATCTTGCTTGACCGAGAGGCACGGAGAAGGAGGAAGACGGGCGAAGATCCCAACTGCTATGGTCCGAATGAGATTAGGACAAAGAGGATGTCCTTTAAGGAGTTCCGTACCATCTTCTGGAGGTTTGTCGTCCTGTGTCTTCTTGGCGGAAATCGACGTGCTAACTCAGTTGACAGGCCTTTTTACATGTTCTTCACTGAGCCAATTGTCCTCTGGCTATCGCTGCTCTCTGGGTTCAGCGATGCCCTTATCTTCACGTTTCTCCAGTCCTTCCAGCCCGTCTATGAGCAATGGGGTTTTGGCACCATTGGTGTGCATCTAGCCTTCCTCCCGTAAGTTGGGTTCCCTCTCAAACTCAGAATTCCACTCACAACGGCTCAGTCTTCTCATTGGGTACATTCTATCCTACCTCTCCTACCTACCGTCGATCCGTCACTTCCGTGCAAAGCGGCGCAAAGACCCCAACAGCGTGAAACCCGAGGCACGACTGTGGTGGCTCCTCTTCCTCGCCCCTCTCGAAACAATCGGCCTCTTCGGCTTCGCATGGACATCTCTAGGGCCTGACTACGGTATCCCATGGATAGCCACCATGATCTTCTCCTGCATGGTCGGCATCGCAAATGTAATCCATTCCCTTCCCTCGCAACACCGTCGAAGACTAACACCACCCACAGTACGCAATCTACCAATCCTCAATCGACTACCAAACCGCCGCCTACGGTCCGTATGCCGCCAGTGCGACTGGCGGTAACGACCTAGCCCGAGACTTCCTCGCCGGTATCGCCGCCTTGTACTCCACGCCAATGTACACCAAGATCCCTGGTCGACCCCTCGAGTATGCGTCGACCATCCTTGCGTGCATGGCTATTTTGGTCACTATCCCGGTGTATATAGTGTATAAGAAGGGGCCTGAGATCAGGGAGAAGAGCAAGTTTGCGCAGAGCTTGGACAAGAGTAGGGAGGCGAGCAAGGAGAAGAGGAGGAAGAGTGGGGTTGGTAGGAAGGATGTTATTGAGGAGAAGTGGAGGAAGGATAGTGTTTAATCTTTGAATTGTGATGGTAGCGTTGGAATGCTGCTGATGTTGCTCCTTTCTTTCTTGAGATCAAGTCGTTTGCACGTGGAGTTTCGCTACTCCACGAGGAATTCTATGACTTGTACGACTAATTGTTTTTAGTTCACAAGGTTTGGATATGATCACTTAGTGTAATGATAATGAAGAAATACTCTCATACGAATGAGGGCTTTGCATGTTATATTACCACGTCTCTTGATACTTCTTATAAGTAACCCTTTTTTTCGTTTCAGGACTCTCTTGCAAACTCCAACTTCCCCATACTGTCCCTTTGAAGTCGTATGTGAACCCGTTGCGCTACCTTTTCCAGGTACCAAGCTGTGTCATTATGCCTTAAGATTTCGTCGGAGATATTGTCCAGGTCTTCAGGCACTACGACTTGTTTGTGAAAGTATCCAGTCAGCGCTGATGACTTATACATTTGCTGTGCAGTGCTCGATTCTGACATAGTGAACACGAGAAAGAGCACTGTAGCAAATGTCACGGCACATGGGAATATTGCCCACCGCCACCGTACATGTACGTACGGCTCTGGACCGAAGGCCACACCTGACAGCTTGATCGAAGCGAAGTTTTGTTCGCTACGCAGGAAGGAGTTGACAATCTTGGTCAAAGTTCCGGAAAAGTCCGCTGCTGTCGTGTTGATCAAATATTCGGACGCCATCTCCATGCCTAGGAGGCTATTTGCAACGCCGGCGAGTGAGTCTCCGAATACCTTTCGCGACTCAGAATGTAGTTGGAACAGAGGTGGATATTGGTCTACCCCAAAGAAATTGGCGTCACTATGGCAGCCAAATTTACTGCCCGAACCACAATTGACGCTCAAATTGAGAGGTTTGGTAGTCGTATCATCTAGAGATAACCCCCCACGGTCGATTTTGATATTACTGCTGTATTGACCACAGAATGTGACGTCACACTTCCGCGTCAATACCTCTATGCCATGCCAATCGTCGAGGTCCTCATAAGCTGGAAACTTGGAATGCAGCCGTGACTCATGCACCGAAACTATTACATCGGAGGTGTAGTAATTGACTGGGACATAGTGCGGATTGCTTCGGCCTTCTCCCCAGCTACCGACGTTGAAGGGTTCGTCAATCCAGAAGATATTTACCGATCCGAGTGCCCGAAATATATCGTTCAATTCTTTATACACAGATATCACGGTGCCGTTGATATCGAGTCGGCCGGTTATGGTTGAATCATTCAGACTCTTTGCGTATGCATAGTAGCGATACCAATCCTCACCATTAGCCTTTGCCGCAGCTTTGAATTCGCTCAGACTCGAGAATTCGATTTTCTCCTCCTTTCCGGATCCATATCGTATGTTTAAATCAACATCGTTCAAAACTGTTTCCTGGCATTTGCTGCATGCGGCCAAAGACCAATGGTCTGGAATCCCACATTCGCCAGTTGGGCAGTACGTGTAATGATCATACTGCCCTGTTAGATTTGGCAGGAATTGCATGAGCTCTTTCATGAGGACAAGCTGAGACGCTTTTAATGAGAAGTTAGGTCCACCTTCGCTTCCATTGTGTTGACATTCTTACCTTTGGTATCGCTGAATTCAATCGTCGCCAAAGCAAAACTGTTCGCTACCCTCATAAATCCCGTTTCATTTCTCAGCGGTAAACTCCTCGATCGGATGTCTATGATCTGCTGCGTGAAAGGCTCAAAGACAATGATGAGCACCGTCAGCGCTGCGCCCAACAAAGCCAACTTATCAACCCCAGCTTTCAACATCTTCCACGGAAACACGAGCGAGCCCCACGGCCCTCGACTCGCATCATCGAATACCTGAAGCTGGCCCAACCTAGCTCCGCCAGTCCGCTCGAAATGATTCCATTTCAACTGACTTATTCCTTCGGCGAGGACGACGAGAAGCGCGGACTTTGCGATTGTCGAGCAGAGTGCAATGAAGGAGTTGAGTTGGATGGGTAGGTGCCATGCGCTGAGCGGCTGACCGTTTGTCTTGAGCAGTATTATAAAGATGACTCCTGTTGCTACCAAGCTGACAACGATGGCACAAATCTCCCACCACCAGTTTCGTGCAACTTCATGAAGTTTTCTCCTTTTCACGAACTGCTCAATTGGAGGAGCGCTGGCGGTGTCCCAGGAGGCTCCAGATCCCATTGCCGTAGAATTAAAAGCTGTGGCTAGAAAACTGCGCAAGTATCTTGTATCGTCAACACTGGGGCCGCGACTATATGTTTCCCAGATACAAGCGTTAGCATATATGATGATAATGGATCATAACACATTAACCGCTGCACTTTAGGTGATAAGCCACAACACTGCAACTCAATAAAAGCGACCGTTCCATCGTGTCGCCGATTCTAGAGGAAAGGCAACTTTCAATACCAAAAATGCCTTACGGACCAAGTCTGGACCATATTAATGGCTGCCATCGTACATTCGCTACCATGTAACGTTCAATATAATAGATGAACTCTGAACAACGATTGGCTGTCAGGGGTAGCATCCTGGTCAGTCGCAATTCGTAGGATTCTACACAATGAATAACGGTGTAGCAACTTTGACAACTTAAAAAGCAAGATCTATCATACATACACTGAGAGAGTTATTAGGCGAAAGTAATCGTTGAGTGCTGTAACTCTGCTCTGACCCTCATTGATCGATTAGGTCTTCCAACGCAAATTCCGGAGTGTGACTGTAGCGCTGCGATGACTGTATATGCAGCTTATGTGATAACAGGCAATTTGTTCACCTTCGGTTATATCTGTTGAAATGATGTAGCATCATGTATCGAAATACTGCATCATTCCAGCATCGCTGATGCCTAGCAAGAACGCCTACCGAGTCTGAGTTGCGCTGGACCAGAAGCTACTCATCCTCTCAATTCTGAGCAGTGTCTAAATCGCACTGGATGTACATGATGTATGTCGGATTTGCATTGCATGCAATATCGACTGCCATAAAGTCACTCATGGAGTTAGAGGCAGCTCTGAGAGAGTCAATTTCAGAGTACTCGACAAGAGTTGCGCACTGCTATCTGAATGATGAAATGGAATCTTCAGCGCGATATTCTCTTGATGTCAATGGACGAGCACTTATTCGCACGAAGTCAATTATCACACGTAGTTACCCAAGCGCATACTCCTGCACCACAGCAGCACATCTATATCGCCCTAAAAGACTTATCCTCAAACTACATTGACTTTTCTGAAACGCCAGTATCACAACAATAGCACGCAGTCGCTCGCCCTATACATACGTACGTCGCGCCTCCACTATATACCCACGACATTCTCTTGGCTGGACAAAGCGCTACGAATACGCTACCGCGCTACCTAACCATACACTTTCCAATCCGATACGCTGCTGTACGGTACGAGCTAACTTCATTAGGCTAGCCTAGCGATTCGCCGTATATCGATTCAGGCACTGGAATGCGAGTGCGATTTCGAAACGCCTGTATCCCTGAGTCTCTGGGCCAGACGTTGAGATTGCATGAATCGCTTTTCAGCTCGGTGCCGTTGCCGGCGGTTGATGGGCTGGGATTGAGGGTTATTTTTGGTGACGGTGGTGGAAGACGTTGGAGTTTGAGTGATCCCAGCGATGAGAGCACAGGGTGAAATACAGTGATCAATTGCTCTGAATGAAGAGGCTCTCATAGCTATGGAATTGAATTTGAATGTCACTTTGCTAACTATAATCCAGCAGGTTTGAAGTGGTCGCTGTCATACTACAAAATTGAGCCCATTATCATTACCCTGAAAGAAACTTCTCGTTTCGAACCACCAATTCCAAGTGACGCGTCCCCGGATTACCATGTATCCAAAACATTATCTTTCGATAAATCCCACGATGCTTTCTTTTTGGCGTAGACCAATCCATCGACTGCCTCAGGCGTCGTAAATCCCCGTGGCTGTGCCTTGGCCCATGCACCGTATATCGTACAGCGTATCATGTGGGTCCTGCGTAAACGGTTCGTGCCGTTTACACCACCCCCTAATTCGGCAATGCTGGGAAGTCTAGTCCATATCCAATGTTTTTTTCGTACCATTGTTATCGTAGGTAGGTATATATGCTAAAGACTACTCCTAGAAAAATGACCATACTATTCAAACTGTACATTCCTTCGCTTCGTCCGATACTAGACCGACTGACTCTTGCTCGAATTCGTTCATTTTCATTTTACTATTTTTGGGTTTTCGATTTTAGATATCTAGGACCATTCACTCACTCACCCACCCACTTCCAACGGACATCAAATTACCCTTTTCGAATTCAATCCACGTTCTCTTTGATTCACGATGGCAGGTGAACATGGCATCTACAAATACGAACCCAACAAAATCGCGTGTATCGCCGCAGCCGGCCTCTTCGGTGCCAGCGCTCTAATCCACCTCTTCCAAATGATACGGTCAAAAGCCTGGTTCTACACATCCTTCTGCGTCGGAGCCATCAGTAAGACCCCCCACCCTCCAGACCCCAACCCAACATTCCCCTCCAATGGAACAGTCACTAACGACCTTCCGCAGTGATGACAGCAGGCTACGTCTTCCGCTACATCTCCGCCAACGACCCCTCCTCTCTCGGCCCCTACATCGGTCAATCCCTCTGCATCATCCTCCCGCCCTCTCTCTACGCCGCCACAATCTACATGATCTACGGACGCCTCGTCCTCTTCGTCGACGCGGCCGACGCCTCCGTAATCCGCCCCACCCGCGTCACAAAGATCTTCGTAATCGGCGACGTCTTCGGGTTCCTCCTCCAGTCCTCCGGCGGAGGCATGATGGCGCAGTCCGGGATGGCGGACATGGGACAGAAAATCATGTTGATCGGTCTATTCGTGCAGTTGCTATTCCTCGGGTTCTTCCTGTTCATCTCATTGATCTTCTGGAAGAGGATGAACAAGAGCACGAGGCACTACACTGTCCCGCAGTACGGGAAGCACGGGTGGAAGGCGCTGTTGAAGATGGTGGTGTGTGCGGCGGTCATCATCATTGCGAGGTGCGTGTTTAGGGTTATTGAGTTCGCGCAGGGGCATGATGGGTATCTGGTCAGTCATGAGATTTACATGTATATCTTTGATTCCGCGCCCATGTTCTTGGTGCAGGCGATGATGCACTTTGTGTACGCGGCGAAGGTGTTTGGGATTGGGAATTTTGCGAAGTTGGGGAAGAGTGAGAGTGTTATTGAGTTGAATCAGAGGGGTTATGTGTAGGAGGGAGTCGTGGGCTGTTCGAGATTGGTTAACTGCAAGGGCATTGGCAATAGACGATGGGCATTATACGTAGCGTACTCACATTCTAGTTTCTTTTGTTCAGCTTCCGGATTTCTTAGACGTCAAGAATAGTAATTTCAATATCATGATTAACAGATCATAGGCCCATAGCTTTGTTGGTGTGGAAGATGGAGAAGTGATCCACAACAGCGTCTTGACCCCTTTTTGATGACTAACTAAGCGCACTAAAGGCATTTTCAACAAGTTATTTTCTTGATAGGCTGGCAAAACACACAGCTCCTTATATCAAACACTGCAAGACTGAGAAAGGCACGTAATTTCATCGTACGTCTTTGAGTTGTGAGTTCAATGGTGTGAAAATGTAGGCAAATGTTGTAAGAATGACTTCATAAAATACACGCACAATCGAGCAGAAGAAATAACAGGGTATAATCAGGGTCGAAACCTCCGCGAATGAAAAGTAACATCGCCAAAACGCCTGATCATCGAACGTGGAAAGAAAATGTTAACACGCTCTCTCGAGAAGATGAGATAAAATGACAATCAGCCAAAATATGATGAGATGGGTGCTTTGCTGCTAATGATAAAGAAATGCCCAGGTTACATGACGATGCATTTGTCTCTATCCTCATGCCCATGCGGTCCTACCATGCCTGCGCTCTGTCGTCGTCCTGGCCGAGCGGGAAGTTGTGGGTTGCCCATGTTCGGCCGGTTTGCTGGGCGTCGTCCACCTTGTGCATTACTCGCTTGGTATGCGCTTCCTTGGGCTTGCATAGGCGTGTTCGCGTTCGCCGGATGGCCCTGGGGAGGGTGATATGCGGGTCGCACTGCGGCTTCTTCATAAGTTGGTGGCGGTGCTGCCTCGCCAGTTGGGCGATGCTGCTGCATATTGCTCCGGCGAGGGGGGATCGCCGGCGGCTGCTCGTTTGTTCGCGAAGCTCGTCGACCAGAAGAACCAGAAGTCGCAGCACCCTGGCTTCCGCGCCGCCTTCTCTCCTCGAGAGATCGACGATGACGATCCTCCTCCTCTTCCTGCAACTGGAGAGCAAGTGCTAAGTCGTGGTCCTCTTGCTCTGTTCTGTTGGTTTCGTGGTCTGTGGAAGTAGGGGCCGCTTCGTTAGATGCAATCGTTGCTCCACCATGATTGTTGCGGCGCTGGCTGCTGACGGTTGTCCAACCTTGATTATCATCGATGTCAAGTAGGCTTTGAACAGGCTGCTGGTGTTGCTGTCTTTGAGGATTTGTGTTATTACCCACCGCGCGGAAATCACCAGAATACAATTCACTGCCTCGGCCATTGACATCAACCAGAGACTCCCAAACGATCTCATCATGGCTCGAGTAGCCTTGATCAGTGACCAGAGTCATGAGCTCATTGGTATGTGGATTCTTATACAAAGTTGAGAAGTGATCGTTTCTGAAAAGAATTGCCACTTGGCCGGGTTTGAGAGCCTCTCGGATGGTTCGCAGGCCATGATCAGATAACTGGCTTTGCCATCGATCAAGGAATTCCTTGATTGCGTGGATATCGGTGAAAAGCTGTTGCTCGTCGGGGCTCAAGCCGCCTTCGGAGAGCTTTGCATCAAGTTCTTCCAGTTGAAACTGCACAATCATGGCACTGTCATACGTTTTGGCAACACGTTCAAATGCGATGTAAGCATCGGATCCCGGCTCGGGGAGCCACCCATGGAACAGCGGGACATCGAATGTGCTGTACAGCTTCATGTCCCTAGTGTTCTCAAAACCCCCAGGACGGGTTGAGAGCCCGGGAATGAGATTGGAACGACCATCTGTTGCCGTGGGATCTTGCACAAACATGGGATTGACGTTCAACCCCGTGTGTAGGCCCATCAAAAATGTGTACAAGGCATTCACGTCTGGCAACTCCCTTGCAGCTCCGCCGCGGCGACCAGACATGAGCTCCTCGAAGACAGCATCTAGTAATAAACCTAGACTGACTTGTTCCCTAGTCCGCAGCGTCTCGATAAATTCAGTCTGAACACCAGCAGGCGTCGAAAGACTTAATGCATTGACTAATGCGAGCAAAGGACATGGCCCGTTGATGTTTTGAGTTAATATCGGCGAGGTGCGGACGCTGTGGGAAGAAGCGTCAAACCATCGAATATGTTTAATTTGATAATGCTCCCTTCTCTGCTCGTCAAGCGCAGAGCTAGACGTAGTCTGCTCCGTATTTGTAGGGCGAGGCGGCATGGCCGGGGGTTGCTCTTCTTGCTCTTGAGGTGGAGGTCGAACAGGAAGAGCTGGCGCTGGTTCTTCATCGAATGGCATGGTCGAACTTGGCGTAAAACTTGGGGGTTGTTGTGCCGGGAACCGTCCTTCCTCTTGGTGACGCCCTTGCTCTGCCCCAAAGGCTGCATTGGGAGCGGGAGCGGCCGTGGTATTATCTCGACGGGGTTCGATCTCGTTATTGCTCCAAGCTTCTGGTTCCTGCCATGTCTGTTTAGGCGGTTCCTGATAATAATTGGCAGGCGGATCGTTCGTTCTTTCGTGTGTATCTAGAGATGAATTGTAAATGCCAGTATTGCCAGCTCCTGACATGCCCAAATCGGTCTTGGGATGGGCCGACAACGGTGTTGCAGCTTCTACAGCAATCAAAGGAGGCTGATCAAGCGACTGTTGACGCTGTGCTTGCGGCCGCGGGTCAGACTGCAATTGTTGAGTGGGTGGCTGTGGAGGTGCATAGTGAGGTTCCGCCGGTGGCGGTGGAGGGGTGTGCTGTGGCTCTTGGGGTAGTTCATGATGCGAAGATGTAGGATTAACATCGTAGGGAGAGGATTTCATCATGGGATTTGTTGGTGTATCCGGGGTTTGGAATGTAGGAAGCTCAACGAGCTCTCCATATGTCTGAGCTTGGCTAGGCGCGTCACCCCAGATAGATTGGCTACTCTCATCGCCAAAATTCGTTTGGCCCGTAGGCTGCATACGAAGATATGGGTTGTTGGTTTGGAAAGGTACAGAGCCTGTGGAGCTGTTGCTCACATGGCCCCATGAAGTCGACGTTGCGCCCGTGGGTTCTGGAGTAATTGACTGCGTGGATTTCGGTATGGGAACTCCAGCAGGAGGACCTGCTCTGAGAGCGTCTGGTAGGGCGCCCTTGTTTGCGGAAGGTGGAAGTGGTTTCCCTCCGCCAATCTTCAGTGGATTTGGTATATCCTCAGGCTCATCGTCGGACTTGTCCCAGTCCGAAAGATCGCTGTAGTCAGAATCGTCATCGTTGTCCTTCTTTAACTGATCTTGTGGCTTTTGTTGTTGCAATTTCTGCTGCTGCTGTTCCTGCTGTACATCGTCGCGAGGTTTGAGTCGGAATGCTGGTGAGCTATTCAAGTCCGGGGAGTACACCTGTTGTTGGTTTGCGGGCGGAGGAAAAGGCGGGGGGTGCTCGTCGGTTGGTGATACGGGGTATGGAGGGTTATTAGAAGCTTGCGATAGAGGCGCCGGCACGAGGCTGGATGGCGAGGTTGGTCTCATCACCATGATGGAGAGAGTGTGAATAAATGTGAAGCTACCGTCAGCGTCGAGAGTGTTGAGGTAGGTGGTAGGATTGGCGGGCCTCAAGCGGCAAGTTGTCTAGCACAAGGCTAAAGGTAAGCTCGAGGGAGCGCGCGAAAAGGAAGATTGGCGTTACAATTTATTGTCTTGGTGTTGGGAGCATGGGGAGGCGAGAGTGTTGTACCTGGTATACGCGGCCTCTGCGTAATCGTAATGGAGGATTATTGGTACGAGTAGTGAGTAGTAGTGGCAGTAGGAGTAAGTGAGTATGACATACATCGCATAGCGGACAAGTACAGTATTAGTAGGATTGGTACTCGTAGGTGACCCAGCCCAGCGGACAGGATGCGGACGCCCGAGAACCGATGACGAAACACCCACTGACGCTACCAACCGTGCTACCCTATGCAACTCACCAATCACAGGCATCTCCATGTCTCTGCACCGCCACAATGAACGCCACAGTTATGGAGATTTACCGAAACTCCGCCCTCTCTGGTTACTTTCTCTAGAACTTTTTAGTTGATGCTCGTATCTAACTTGTCGCAGCCAGCGCGTCGATCTTGCGCCCGTACACCGTACTCAAGAGTGGGAAAGTTCTAGGTGTCCCAGGTGGCGATTCGCGTCGAAGCTTTTACCTCGCAATTAATTCCTTATTCAGGCCCCTACAATGCATTCCTACGTACGGCCGAATACGCATGTCGCCTTGCGATTACCCTCCGGCATATTCAAGATTGTCGAGATCACACCCAATACGTACGTGATGATATGAGACCAGGCGCAAGCATGCAGTCGCCTACACTACTCGATCGCAAATTTGCTAACAGCAGTGTAGGACAATCAACATCGGAAAGTTCGGTTCCTTCCCCGCGAATCTTTTGCTAGGACGGCCATACTACCTCACCTTCGAACTTCTGGACAAGGAAGATGGCAAATCAGCGACTGAGTTGCGCGTTGTACCCGCTGCCGAACTGCACGCCGAAGCCCTAGGAAGCGACCATCCCACAGCCGCCGAAACGCGCGATGAGCCCACCGATGGAGGAGTAGAATTCGACATCGTGGGGGAGGATGGAGAGGTTATAATGCGGAGCAATCGCATGACGGTGGACGATCCGACGCGACAGGCATTATCAATGGATGAGATCGAGGAGCTGAAAAAGGCGGGCACGGGGTCGGGAAAGGACATCATTGCAAAGATTATGGCTTCGCATTCGGCCATTGACGAGAAGACGTCTTTCTCGCTGGCGAAATACACTTTGCGCAAATCGAGAAAGTATTTGAAGAGGTTCACCGTGTTCCCGTTAGATGTGGGCATGCTCACAGACTATGTCTCTGAGAAGGAGGCATATAGAATCATGGATCTAAGGGAAGAGTCGCTGGGACTAGTAAACAGCTGGGCAAACATACACTGCGCTGAGGCAAGCCGTGTTCTCACTGGAGAAGATGGCGTTGGACAAATAGGGGGCGGCCGCTGGTTAGTTGTTGACGACACCGGTGGTCTTGTGACTGCATCTTTAGCAGAAAAGATGGGCATACTGTATCCCACCGAGGAAGACGACGAGTCAGATACCGGAGACGACGACGAAGCCCAAAATGGAGACCAGAAATCCGAAGAGAAATCAGACAAGGACGTCGAGATGACAGAGGCAACCCCAGAAGTTACAAGTGCACCAAACGAAACCAACGGTACCACAGAACCCCCAACAACCTCACCAAAACCAGACTCTACACCTCGCCCACGGCGCCCGGCCCGCGCACATATCCCACAAATGTCCGCCCAGACCAACACTCTCACCGTCGTCCACAACAACAACCAGCCAAACCTCGCCCACCTCAAGTACTTCTCCTTCGACGCCGGCAACCCCACCATCCAACACCCACTGTACAAGCACCTCAAATCCATCTCCTGGCTACAACTCCTTTACCCGGAGGAGGACCCATCCTACGAAGAGCCAGAGGTCGTACCAGACGAAACACTCGCCACCATGAAGAGCAGCAAGCGGGGGAACTACTACAAGAAGCGAAGGCGGTGGGAGCGGACGAGTCGCGTCGCCGACGAGACCCGACGGGGCGGATTCGACGGGCTCGTGGTGGCGAGCGTCATGGAGCCTCACACCATCCTCAAAGAACTAGTACCCCTGGTCCGAGGCGGAGGACGAGTGGTGGTATACTCCCCGAACGTGGAACCGCTCGTCGAGCTTTGCGATTTGTACAGCAAGGAACGAAGAACTGTCTTCATGAACAGGCAGTTTGAAGAGCAGCAGAATGGGAACAAGACGCCGAGCGAGAATGCAGAGGATGAGGACGACGATTTCCCTCTTAATCCTACTTTGCTTTTGTTGCCGACGCTGCAAACTTCGAGGGCTAGGCATTGGCAGGTGCTGCCTGGGAGGACGCATCCGATGATGACGAGCAAGGGCGGCGCGGAGGGATATATCTTCACGGGCACGAGAGTGATACCAGCGGAAGGCAAAGTGGAAGCGCGAGGAAACTCTCGGGGGAAGAAGAGGAAAACGGGACCAGATACAGCAGTAAAAACATAGTAGTGTGCAGACAGAACAGAATAGCTGATATGCATCCCATAAATGCTATCAATTCCTCAACTGCCTTCTTCAAAAGGTGGCTTGAAATTTTGTGTACCGCCCCTTGCAATAACTATCATGATCTAATATTTATCAACTCATCACGAATCAATCCCTCTTCGCTCCTTCGACTCGACCCGCGCCCCCATCAATTTACAAAGCTTTACCCATGAACTTCCTCTTCGTAAAGCTCAACCACCATTTGCTTGGCACGTTTGTTCCGTCCCCGTACACCCTGTTCAACAGCCTAGTGGCCAGCTCTTGTCGCATCTGCACGAGATATTGCCTTAGAGTTTCCGCATCCTGCCTGCTGGGGGGTGCCTCGAAAGCTTGGTTGAGCGGGAATCCTGCGTCTCCTGGAATGGCGAAGTTGGTGTCAAGTGCAATGTTCATTACTGACTACATCAATCGTTAGCAAACAAGTCTACACTCGCCTTTCTTCCAATTAGGTATGGAAAACAGATGCTCGGAGGCGCATTCGAAATTCCATGGGGGAAACGGCTAACCTTCTCGGCTTCTCTCCTGTTCATGGTCGGCTTGATCTTGCCCAGCACCTCGCTCACAAACAAGATTCCATAAATGAGCACTCGGTCGGCGGGGCCCTTGATCTCGAAATTGCGGAAGAATGTGTTGGCACGGAAAAGCGAGAGCACCTCGTCGAGGGGGTCGTAGGACTCGTGTGAGGCATCAATGGTGAGCTCTGTGACATCGGCGGGGAGAGCGGGGAGCTGCTGGGCAGGACCGCGAGTCCGGGTTCGCAATGGGAGAAGGGCGAAGTTGCCTGTATAGAGGATAAGTTGCAAGTTCCAGGCGATTGAAGAATAGCTACGGGCATACCGATCAAGTGCTGGTTTGGCTCATCGAGGAAGACGGAGTGGTAGGCCTAGTATCTGGGTTAGCAAGTACGACTGCGAATGTAGAGAGTTCCCACAAGCTTCTAGCGCGGTACATTGGCAACTTACAGGCATCTTGAATGTGTGTCAGCCCGCTCACTCTAAGGTATAGGTGTTGTGTATGGAGTGTATGGAGTGTCGTCGTCGGAGGTGTCGGCGTAGCTTGACGAGGTGGGCTATAGGGCTGAAGTGGGAGGCATCGAGGATGCTTATGTCATGGTCCTGTGTCCCCAAAAAGTAGCCCACTTAACGCGTCTCCCATGGCGGCGCGCGTCAACCTCACCTCCGCAAGCCACCAAATCGCGACGTTCGAGGCCCACGACGCTCAGAACACTTCAGCGGCCAATTGATAACATCACGATCCTACGAACTTACGCGGAAAATCAGCCAATATGTCGGATTTCGAAGACGAGATGGACATTGACAAGCCTGTCGCGGACAGTGCTATCCAATTCAGTGGTGAATCCTCCAAGGGAAAGAGGTCTGCTGCAAATTTACCCGTCGAAGCAGAAGACACATTGCCATGGTATGTTTGAAGCTCAAATTTGCCTTGGTTGATAGGTTCTTACATGTCTGTAGGGTAGAAAAATATCGACCCAAGTCGCTTGATGATGTCGAAGGACATAAAGACATAATAACTACAGTCAACAAGTTCGTTGACTCAAATGTATGGACCTTGGTCATTGTAATCGGTCAGCCAGACTAAGTTTATATAGCGCCTACCTCATCTTCTCCTATACGGGCCGCCGGGCACTGGAAAAACTTCGACCGTTCTCGCTCTCGCTCGCCGCATATATGGAGTCAAAAACATGCGTCAGATGGTTCTGGAACTCAATGCATCCGACGACAGAGGTATCGACGTTGTCCGAGAACAGATCAAGACCTTCAGTAGCACAAAGCAGATCTTCTCTGCTGCACCAAAGCCCGGCGAGGCTTCGTCTCTCGCCACATTCAAGTTGATCATTCTCGACGAAGCCGACGCTATGACTGCCACTGCACAAATGGCTTTGCGAAGGATTATGGAGAAATATACAGCAAATACCCGATTCTGCATCATCGCCAATTATACGCACAAACTTTCTCCTGCGTTGCTTTCACGATGCACACGGTTCCGATTTTCTCCTCTCAAGGATGTTGACATCCGGAATCTGGTCGACAAGGTCATACAAGAGGAGAATATCAATATCACTTCTGATGCGGCAGAGTCACTGGTGACACTGAGCAAAGGTGATATGCGTCGTGCCTTGAACGTACTACAGGCCTGCCATGCATCAAGTACCCCGTTGCAACCTCCGGGAATGCCTGCCGCAGATCCAAGCACCATAGTAAGGGACCAGATCACACAAACGACCATTTACGACTGTATCGCCGCACCACACCCAGCAGATATTCAATTGATCCTGAACACACTACTGAGCACGAGCGATGTCACACACTGTCTCCGAACGATCAACAACATTAAAAGCTTGAAGGGTCTGGCACTCGCTGATATTTTGACCGCATTGAGCGAGGAGCTCGTGAAAAACGACGTACCGAAGCAAACGATCATAACGTGGATGACGGGCCTGGCAGACATCGAATATCGACTTAGTGGTGGTGGTAGCGAAGCTATCCAAACGGGAGCCACGATCGGCGTAGTGAGAACCGGCGTGGAATTGATGACGAAAGAGGATAAATAGAACTTCATGAGAGAATGAGCCCTAAACCCAGGCGCATTTGCGGATATCGTGATTGGCATCAAAAGGGAGTGATTTTGGCGTACATCAGTTCAAACTAAATGATACCATTTCTCACACTGCAATATGCCTCCCATCACTCGCTTGCTTTCTCGAATAAGTAATGACTAACACCCCACACGTCTCCTCCATCATACTTGAACAGTTCAGCGCAAGCCAGATAGAAGATCTGCCACCTGTTCCACCACGTCACAACCTTATCCTCTCCATACGTCTCAACCAAGTGCGGCCAAATCTCATCTTTGCTCTTCACCATCTTGCTCAGCCAGCCCTCGCATGTCTTTGCGTAATGCATTCCATTCACCCACCACTGTCTCTTCACCTGCAGGTCGTTCTGGAAGAAAAGAAGAAGGTCCGCAGAGGGCATCGTACCACCAGTGAAGAAGTGCTCGGTCATCCACCCGCTCTCGAAATCATACGGCGTGCTATGATGTGCGAAAATATGCACAAAGAGTTTACCTCCAGGCTTTAACGCTCTCGACACTTTGGCTAAGAGTAGTTGGTAGTTCTTCATGTGCTCGAAGAGTTCGATGGATACAACGCGGTCGAATGTGGACGGAGTGAATTCGTAGTCCACAACGTCGCCGGTGATTACGGTAAGTTTGGTGAGGTTCTTGCTGCGGGCAACGCTGTCGATGTACTCTTTTTGTGTGCGGGAGTTGGAGAAGGCGGTGATTTGTGAGTTGGGGAATAGCTCGGCGAAGAAGAGGGATGCTGAACCCCAGCCGCATCTGTATGTTATGTTAATTTTGTTAATGACTATCCGAAGCATGTTTATCACATGATATAGGGTCTTATGCCCTCCATGCCGTGAAGAAATCATAACAGGCTTACCCTAGATCCAGAATCTTCATACCATCTTTCAACTCCGCCCTCTCCACATAAAGCTTCAACATGGCGATCTCAGCCTGCGCCAGAGTCTCCCCACCCTTCTCATACAAACAAGCCGAATACTTCATCCTCGGTCCCAAGCACCCTTTAAGAACACCCGTTCCCACTTCGTAATGCTGCTCGTTTGCTGTCTTGGTTTCAATTGCGATTGGACGAGTGCGTAACAGATCCACATATTTCATCTTGGATTCATAGCCGGATTCCAGGGAAGCTGTAGCAATTGATGCTAATCGGTCAGCGAGCTGTCGCCGTATGCCTACGCGGATTACCGCGTGGGGGAGATAGCCTCCGTCCAGCAGAGGGTTTATTATGTTGTCGGACATTATGTAGTCTAGTGATCCAGTTAGTCGGTTGCGGTGCCATTGCGGAGATATGTAGATTGAATCCTGTGTACCTGAAATGGTATTCATGATTACTAGAGGTATTGAACTATTTGAATATACTGGTAGGGAGATTGAATAACAACAAAAGTCGACAAAAAACAGTCCTTCATACGCTTAAGGACATGCTGTTGAGAAGAGTTGAGGTTTCATAGTAGTCTCAGGAAGGGTTTAGCGTAGCGAACGGTGACGTCAACGATTTATGGAATAGATCGGGTGCTCACGAATTGAGAACATAAATGTCAAAGACTAGAAACGTGAAATATGAAGTTTTATAGTGATGATTTGTGAAATATGGGATATGGTGAACTATTTGGTCATTGGTATGGCCAATCAGAAATGCGCTGCACCAAGTGATCTGCGGCCTAGGAGTTTCTTATTGGGTGAACCAAGGGTACAACCCCGACTCACATTGATAGAAAGTCTAGAGTTGCTATTCTGCTAAATCAAAGGGTCTCATCATGTCATCTCGATGCAACTTTTCGTTTGAAGTTAGGAATGAGTAAGTTTGGTTACATTTGCTCGCAGATAGATGACCCTTGCCTGACATTTTTTGTGGTAGCCAACTTAGAGAATTCAAGTGGTAATCGCGGAAAGGAAGGCATGGATATGTGTGACAGTTTAGGATATATATTTGTATCATTTCGATTACTGATATTGAACATGTCTTGAAAGGAATTCGTAATGAACGAGGGCATTGTGCTCGTTGAACCTCTGTAGCGCCCTGTCGTTTGATTGGTCCGGTGCGGCTACTTCACTGCTGCCGGACCTATCAAGCCCGCCTTGAACAATGGTCGGCTGTGGCAGACATAAAGTCTATTACAGGAATAGGCAACCCCAATGAAGTTCGATGCAGCCACACAAGGGTAATTTGGCCCTGCTCATTCATGTGTGAAGACATATTTCCTTTGCATCTCCATCTCGATGCTTGGGTATCCGGCTTCGTCTTCAGAATCGACTTCAACGACTCCATTGTCTAGACCTTTCCCCCAATTCCTCTTGCAGATACATCCGGGAGTTTTCAAGTGCAAGACCCCTTTCTGAGCGCAAGTATCTATCCTGATAGGGAAACAAATTATTAGCACCGAACCTGAAACAGCTTTCCTCTGATCAGTGATATATCTTGAAGCTTACCAATACGCCCATTTCTGCTCTAACTCAATCATTGTTCTCTCCTCGCCAGTGACGACCCTTTGATCTGCAATCTGTTTCAGGAAGTTGTATAGCTTGGTAGTAAGGTCACCACAGGTTCGCCTGGCGCTCTCTCCATGCGTGACCAATTCGTTTTCAGTTCGAATCATTCGCTCTACCCTCTGCATCAGGCTGTTATAGATATCCTCCGACCCTGGTTCCTGCTGCAGGATCACCGCCACTCTTTGAGCATGTTGGGTATCGCCTTGCGTTGCATGAGTGCACGGTAGTTCTGGTGTCCGCAGGGGAGGTTTCCACACTCCGTGAAAGGGTCCAGGTCGTGGAGCATCACGAAGGACAATATCACCGTCGAATAGCTCTTCCTCATCCGACTGTGAATCTTCGAAGTTAGACCGTTGATCCTCAAAGTCAGACCGTTGAACTGGATCAATAAAGCTTAGTTCAGACGCCTCGGTCATGAAGGAGTCGTTGCCATCATCCACATTGGGGTCCGGGTCTTCTTCTGTTGTCGCATCATTCTCCTTAATGGGGGTTAGTTTTGGGTTCACTAACGGCCCCCTAAAGGACACCTGAGTTGGAGTAAGATTTCCCGGCTGTGACGTTGCTGAGGCTGTCATTTTGGATGACGCGTTAGGCGTGGAGGCAATAGAGGGCGTGAAGGAAGGCCATTGTCCAGGGAGGGAATACCGCTTCTTGTCACGGCGACTGCTGGTTATTGTTGCTTCGGATTGTGCGTTGTTTTGGGAATTGTTGGCATGGTTCGCGTTGGTGGATGATTGTGAGGAAGGAACAGGAGATTGGGAGACGAAGGACGAATTTTGTGCGAGCCATCGGGAATGCGATCGCTTTGAGACGCCCATGTTGTTGTTGATAGGGCGAGTGGTTGCTCTTTTTGAAGTGGGCGGGCACTGTTGACCACGGTACCTATATATCAAGTAGAACTGTTTACGCCAGAATCACGTGTTGGCAGCGTGCAGGCTGAAGCGCTCGGGCTTTCCAGTCCATGCAATGTAGCCTGTTAAGGTAATAGCAAAAACATACAGCAACGACATTCACCCATTCCCTAAGCGAACGTTGTGATCACCAATCGCGTTGCTTTGATTAGCAAGATAACACTCTTGACTTTATAGCATCTGAGACTACATTGATTGTCTCGACCCATGGGGGTATCCGGAATCTTCCAGCATATATATACAATGACTCCGTTGATTCGTTCTTCGCTCTAATATAACAATCATCTCCGCGATTTGTCTTTACTCAGTGGTCCCAAGGGTGTTTCCATCCGAGAAGCGCCGGGCCGTCCTGCTTCGCGCGGTACATCAACTGCAGCGATTAGAATATGTGAGAACCCAGTAGATCAATTCGAACGTACGAAGAACCACATGGATGCGGGCAATGCAGTCGCGAAAAAGCGGTAGAGAGGTCGAACGGGGTGGATGTGGATAGGGTGAGGACCGCTCAATTTGGGGCGTGGGGGACCCATGGTGTGAATTCTTTTTGAGCTTCTTGACGAAGAAGTTAGTTATGACAATTGCTGGATTACTTTGAAAGCGTACCTGTGTTGTGATGGGCACAATCGCTCGATGAATGATACTGCGTACGACTGACGTTCAATGGTGATGAGGTTCGATCGGAAGGGCCTCCACTAGCGTGCCAAGACCCGCTTCCCATCGTGCTGTTAGCTCAAGCATCGCCTTCTCCCTTGATTAACCCCAGCCATGATGTTACAATACAACAATAAGAACGCCTGAATAGCCTGCCCACCCACTTCCGATGGCACCACGCGCATCCGTAACACACCTTCCACTGACATATATATACACTGTTCCCAGCGACGTAACCATCCACTGCAATAACCATTCAGCAAGGCCGTGGCGCGCAACGCCCTAATCCTCCGACTCTTCGTACCGGCTTCACCTTTAAACCCTGACAATCATCGCGCCCGTCATGGCCAACACCACCGCCGCAGCGACGCCGCCCAAGGGCATCACTCGGCGGTTTCACGGCTGCTCGAAGATCGGAGAATACGAGATGATTCAAAAACTCGGCGAGGGAACATTTGGTGAAGTGCACAAGGCGCGAGATCGACGAAGCGGCAAGATGTATGCTTTGAAGAAGATCTTGATGCACAACGAAAAGGATGGATTCCCTATCACCGCGCTTCGGGAGATCAAGTTGCTCAAGATTATATCACACGATAATGTATTGAAGCTTGAAGAGATGGCTGTCGAACGACCGAAAGCAGAAGGCAGGAAACGAGCCATCCTCTACATGGTCACTCCCTACATGTCGCACGACCTCTCCGGCCTATTGGATAATCCAGACGTCCAATTCACTGTTGCGCAAATCAAGTGCTACATGTTACAACTGTTCAAAGGTCTGCGCTACCTACACGACAACCACATCCTCCATCGCGACATGAAGGCAGCCAACCTTCTTATCTCCAACCGTGGTCGATTGCAGATCGCAGATTTCGGTCTTGCAAGGCACTACGACGAACCTGTCCCACAGCGTGGAAGGGGGAATGGTGAGGCTCGACGCGACTACACTTCTCTTGTCGTGACTCGATGGTATAGGCCACCGGAGCTTCTTCTTTCCCTCCGACGGTACACTCCCGCCATCGATCTGTGGGGCGCTGGCTGCGTCTTCGGCGAGATGTTCAAGCGCAAACCCATCCTCACAGGCCACAGTGATATCAACCAAGCGCAGATAATATTCGAACTGGTTGGGTCTCCGAACAACGAAAGCATGCCTGGTTGGGACTCACTTCCCGGCGCTCAGTCTGTTAAAGATTGGCCTCGACAGACTGGCAGTATTACGAACAAATTCAACATGCTTGGCCGAACCGGCTTGGACCTTTTCCAGAAACTGCTAATGCTTGACTGGAAGAAGCGTATCAACGCCATAGACGCCATCGAACACCCTTACTTCAAAGAAGATCCCAAACCTATGCGCGAGGAGGATATTCCAAGGTTCAACGATTCGCACGAGCTAGACAGGCGCAACGCACGGAAGGATCATTTGCCTGCAGCTCCTGCTGGAGGCACCGTAGGTGGTGGCCCGAATGGCGAATGGACAGGACCCGGTGGACCCCCAAATACTGGAGGGCCTTGGATGAATGGTGATCGTCAACGGTATGGTGCGAGAGACCAGGGACCGCCAGGCGTCCCCGCCGGCGGTCGAGGTGGGTTCGACCGTCGACCACCCGGCTATGAAAACGGTGGACCTCCGCAAGGCCGTCATCAGCCAGATTGGGGGAATGGTGGGCGTGAGAGAGGTCCCGGATACGGCGGTGGTCGACATGGTAATGGACCACCCCCCGGTGACCGCCGCCATATTCTTCCCCACCAGGCTCGTCATGGCCCAGGCGGTGGTGATCGAGATACCTATATACCAAGTTATGAAGGTGGCGCTCGACCCCGGGAGGATAGACGATCACGAGGCCCTGACGAGCGCCCGGGAGATGGTCGCCGCGGATCTCGCGACTCTGGAAATTCACGGGATGGCTTCATCAACGACCGGCCTGATCACAATAGGGGATACGGAGGACGAGACCGAGCTGGCGACTCCAGGAATTTCGGAAGGGAAAGACGAGATGGTAGAACGCGCTCGAGAAGTCCGGACCGCCGCGACAGGAACCGGGACCGTGATCGAGACATATACCGTCGGTGATTCCTGCGTTGGAGGCGGCTGTGGGTGGAAGTATTATATTTTCAAGTTGCATGAATTCCGGTTTTGGCGCAAATGGAATGATACCGGATGGTCAAAGCTGGCCTACCATACATGCATGGCGTTTGGGAAATGGATTTTATATTGCCTGGTATCGGCTTTTGAATTTGTATAGAAGGCGTCTCGGGTGGACAACAGAAGCATTTACAAGGCGCTTCAGTGGCTATTATGCCGGCCGGCTCCTTTGGAGTCATGAACCTGCCAGGTCTGTATTCTGATATCAGAGACTTGGCAGCAGTTTGCTTGCTTTGACGAGCGCTTCTTAACCATCCGTGATGAGTTACAATAATACATCATTTTATTTTATAATCCATATACTCTTTCGGCACAACATATAGGGACGTATGTAAGCGAAGGAGCACTGAATGTCGCAATGTGGGCTGATGTGTCAAAGGGTGGGCAGAGCTCGCAGAGGTGCATAACCCGCGCTGGAGGTGCAGCTTCGGCACATGCATGTGAATGAAGGACATCATCTTGACAGAATGATTGTAGTCAGCGTAACTACCTAGGTAGATAACTAGTGAAGCTGGAAGTGGAGAGAACACACTACCGGACGGATTGGTGCATGCCTCCGTGTCCTCCAGAGTGTCAACAATTGGCGATCTGGAGAGACATATATATGGGGCGAAGATGTTACCGGGCGAAGGAGATCTCAGTTATAAGTAAGCGGTGGCGATGTTGACCATCAAGACAGAAATCAGACATATAATCAGCGCCAACCTCGAGTATCTACATGATTACCACTACGAGTAGTAATAATACATGTTAGTTCAGTAAACAAATCGCTAGAGTGGAGTAGTAAGTGTGTAGTTGGAACAAGGCCTCCGATTGAATACCGAACGACTAACCGAGAACGCGAACAAACCCCAGTCAACTTTTCCTTTTTCCTCGAAATCTTGGCACTTCAGCCACCGATCACGGCAGTCCCTGGCCCTCGCTGGGATGATTTCTCCCCCACTACCATTCGGCCCTGTTCGACTCATCACTTTTCATAGTCTTGAAGGATATTAATCGCTCACACGTCCCTGTAATTACTCATTGTAAATCCCCCTCCTCTCAATTGATCTCTTCGAAAGTCATTCAGACATTTCGATATCCTTTTATATACTCGTAACAAAGCCATAACCCAATCGTCGCCGATCTTGGTCGCATATACACTACCCAATCTTTCCACCATGTCTCCAGTCAACGGTCACACATACGACTCCACGAGGATAGCGCAGCACACCCAGGAAAAAAACTTACCGGGTGGCTGGAAGGTCCTTAAGTTTGGTGGAACAAGTGTTGGAAAGTTCAGTGAGGCTATAGCGGCCATTGTTCAGTAGGTCGCACATCCGAGGATCCAGATATCCGCCCATCCGTAAATCCAGGTACTGACCGGCATAGAAATGGCCTCAAGACCAATCGTGCCGCTATAGTCTGCTCTGCGCGCAGCAACAACACCAAGATTGAGGGAACTACCAACAGACTCCTCCGTTGCGCGCGATCCGCCGAGACCCCTGGCTCTCAGTCTTATTACGAGATCGTCGAAACCATCCGCGAAGACCACATCAACGCCGGAAAGCAAGTCCTCACTTCGGCCGATATCCTCGCGACCTACGCCGATAGTGTCAATGCCGAATTGGACAATCTCGTCAAGATCCTCGAGTCTGCTCAGCATTTGGAAGAGGTCACGAGCCGCGTTGAGGATAAGATTATCAGCAAGGGCGAAAAGTTGAGCTGCTTGTACATGACCGCACTGCTGCAAGACCGCGGAGTGCCTGCCCAATACGTGGATCTGGCAGATGTTATCAAGAACGCGCCTGAGAAGGGTCTGGATGAGCAATTCTATAAGAATTTGGCCGTCGCACTGAGCAAGGAGGTGGAGGCTTGTGGCGACAAAGTCCCGGTCATCACTGGCTTCTTTGGAACACTTCCTTCCGGAATCGTTCAGACTATCGGGCGCGGATATACCGACCTTTGCGCAGCTTTGGTTGCTGTTGGTATCCACGCTGAGGAGCTTGTAAGTCGAAAGTCGGTTTCTTTAACATGCGCGAGCTGACAAAACTCTAGCAAATCTGGAAGGAAGTCGATGGCATCTTCACCGCCGATCCTCGAAAGGTCCCCACCGCCGCATTGCTACCAACGGTAACCCCGGCAGAGGCTGCCGAATTGACCTTCTACGGCTCTGAGGTCATTCACCCCTTCACGATGGAGCAGGTTATTCGAGCGCGTATTCCAATCCGCATCAAGAACGTCATGAACCCGCGTAATGCCGGCACGGTCATCTTCCCCGACCTCAAAGACGAAATCGATCCCCGTGCACCCTTGAAGGACTCCAAGCTCTTCCGTACGCGCTCGTCTAGCACCATTTCTACGCTTCAAGGCCCTAAGCGACCCACTGCCGTTACTATCAAGCACAACATTGTTGTCTTGAACGTACACAGCAACAAGCGCACTCGTGCCCACGGATTCTTGATGAGCATTTTCAGTATCTTGGATGAGTGGCACCTATCCGTGGATCTTATCTCTTCCTCCGAGGTCCACGTGTCTATGGCCTTGCATTCCGAGTCTGCATTGTTGAGCGGTGGAGGCGAAGATGAATACCGCATTCAGGACAAGTACCTTCACGGTGCTATCACGGCGTTGGGTGCACTCGGCACGATCGATCTTGCTCCCGACATGGCCATTATCAGCTTGGTCGGCAAGCAATTGAAAAACATGGTGGGCATCTCGGGCCGCTTCTTCGGCGTCCTCGGCGACAACAATATCAACATCGAAATGATCTCGCAAGGTATGTGGCATCGTGCACTTCCAACTTAGCTCCAACCACTGACCATGAACAGGCGCTAGTGAGATCAATATATCTTGCGTGATTGAGGAACGCGAAGCAGACCGTGCCCTCAACGTTGTTCATACAGGTCTGTTTACATTTTTGGAATAAGCGACGCATTTGCATCATTGGAGTTTTAGACCTGCTAGACCTCATTTCTATGAATGAAAGGGTGGTGGTGCTCATCCATCGCCATCACCACCGTATCAACGTTTTCACTGTGCCTCTCCAGCTCAATCATTTTGCTCCATCTACTGTGTACTGTGTTCACCATTGACTATATCTCAAGCGATCACTCAATTCTATGGCTTTCCAATTGACAATAGCAGAAGCCGTTCCGCGCTATTCAGGATGGTATTGTCGCATTGGCCACTATTGTGGGCAGACATGGCTCACTCACTTACTACAGCATTTTCACCTTCGCAACCTTCGCGTACAGCACCAGACGGGGCTCTTTTCACTTCACCCTCTCCCGCCTTTTCTCCCGCCTCCTGTCTCGCTTTTTCTCTCACCCTCTCTCTCTCACCTTCTCTCTCGCCGGACTAAATGTTTCCCCACCTGGTCTCGCCTCGCTCTTTTTTACAAGCCTCCTCCCGAGAAGGCCTCAACCCACATCGCCCTCCACTGGCGATAACCATTTCGATCAACCAAGTTGCACTACTCGCTCGCCTTTCAAGTCCCTTGATCGGAGCCTTCGAGTCCATCTGAGGCTCGACTCGCAGCATGAGCAAGATCACACCCAGCCAAGAGTCGCAAGACTCGATCTTCTCGCAGCGAGTTGCAACTTCAGAGACGGCTCACCCAAAGCCACCGCCGTTGCCGAAGCGACCGCCGTTGCCGAAGCGAGTTTTCCTTGCTCCTTCGGCATCAAGAGTCGTCACGTTGCCCGAAGATCGTGGCAAAGGTAAATCACGAGCCTCAACGAACCTTTGTTCCCATCATATTCACCATCTCGCAGAAGCGAACGAAGTCGCGACCCTCGTGGAGCACTTCCTCGCCGACTTGCACGATGAAAATGCAGACATTTTCAGTCTGAAGCAAGGAATCAACTTCGCCCGACGGGGATCCGGCGGCCGGAAATTGAAGTTGTAAGTCACCACCATCGTACACTGAAGCAGTGAAGCCCAGCTAATCGAAAAGCAGCAACGAAGAACTTCAATACCACCCAGACGGCCCTGGCCAGGCCGTCGGTGGCACTTCACGATGGCCACGCGCGAGTTCGCCGGTACGGCTTCACAATGTGAAGCCGAAGCCTTCCAAACCGGGCCGCTACAGCAAACGGCCATCACCACCGAAGGCTGTGGCACCGAAGGACACTTCTCCTGCGAAGACCTTGGCCAAAAAGCCCAGCATGGGAAGGGACTTGCTGCGAAAGGCGTCCGCCTGGGCTTTGCCCTCGCGGAAAGCTCCCACGCAGCAAAGTGGCAGCCCTACCCCAATCCCTTCGCCAAAGCCAAAGCCTCCTCCGGTGCCACAGCCTCCGGCTTGGTGCTATCACCCACCGACCAGGAAGGCAGTTGAGGAAGCTGCCAAACGGCAGCAGCAGAACAAACTTTCAGAGGTAAGACCTGCGGTCACTCGCCATGACTCTGCCATCCAACCCCCGCCTAAGAAGAAGACACCTTCGTCTTCAGTGAAGCAGGATGCCTCAATTGCCAAATTGAACAAACATCCTGTTGCAAACTTACCAGCAGCTTCTCAACCGCAACGCCCGAAAACTCGTACCCAGAGGCCGAAGATACCCCATACTAGCTCTGCTCCTGCGATGCCTACAGGCGCAGTGAAGTCAAGCACTGGAAGATCGACTCCCCGCCCATCCCGACCACAAATCCGGGGAGCATCTACCACAAGCGTACTTCCAATAGCTTCAAGCCTCGGACAAGGTTCCCGGTCCTTCACTTACTCAAGCTATCCACCTCCGTTGGCCAGTCGTCCTACTATCGCCGACTTGATCGCCCAAGACCTACAAAGCGGGCTTGGAGATGTGCCTCCGCTTCCCCCGATTCCACCCCAGTTCCTTCGAAAGCCAGAGAGCCAGGAAACGCTTAAGGCAGGCGGCCAGGAAACACCCAAGCCGAGTAAGCCAAGTAATTTTGCGGATGGAATGGTCTGCCCAGCCATGAGTCTGTACAAGCCATCTGACCAAGTGAAAGAGCCGGCACCCAAGCCAGGTAAGTTTGCGAATATAATGGCCTGCCAGCTATGAGTTTGTTCAAGTCTTCTAACAAAATGAAAGAGCCGGTGCCAAATCCATACGGAGGCAATGCCTTTGCACCGGGAGGGTATTGGGCATCGCAGACAAGCGTCGATATTGGTCTTAATGCTACAAAACAGGAAACCAAGGCTCCTACCAAAAAGGTACTGAAGAAGAAAAAGAGCATGGCTAAAGTACCTGTCGCCAAGTCTGTGAAGACCACTTCAGCACACAGCAGTATGACGGCCAAGTCTGTGGAGAACACTTCAGCTCACAGCAGCATGACGGCCACAACCAGGACTCGTTCGACCTCCAAACCCGTAAGCATGGCCAGTACCAACAAAGGCACGGCTAGCACACCAAACACGAGCTTTGACACTACGAGGGACACCACCGCCAGCTTTTATAGCGTGGAGTCTGACAAGCCAAATGCCAGTCTTGTCACTGCCGAGCTGTGGGCCTCGATTGGTCGCATGCCTGGCCAGTATCAAGATATCGAGCACCCTTTCCCCCAATTTACAGCTGTCCTTCTTCGCATGCCGGAGGTTCGTCAGGCCTATCTGAGCGTTCGTGATGCACTTGTTGCACACTACCTCAGTTACAGGGCGAAGACACCCTCCTCGGTGCCCTCTCTCGGAAGGGATGGTAGCGGTAGCAGTGTATCACTTTCAGCCTTCCTCAGCGATTCCAGGAGGCCAAGTACAGCTAGGACAGGATCAACTTCGAACCCATTCCGCATCTTCCCCGTTCTCTCGAGGACTAGCTCCGCGGTCCAGGACATGTCGTTCACAAGCAATGATTCCACTACATCTCTCGCATCGATCAATACCGTTGCAAACGTCCCCTCTGCCCGCCAGAGCCAGCAGTCAAAATCGAAGAAAGGCAAGGCGACTCCAGTCTTGCCGCCCCCACCCCGCACCTACGAGAAGGCACACAAAGTTGCATTGCAAGTCCTAGAGGGATTGAACAAGACTCTATCCACAGATCTGAACTCCCACGTCGCGCTCCGACCCGCCAAGCTGCGCGCCACCATCGATAAGATGGACGCGGAGGAAGCCCGCCATCGCCGCAAGTATAATATTAGAAAGAGGTCCGATCTTCGTAAAATAAAGACCTGGCTCTTCTCCATCGACAAGATGATCGCAAGGGACAAGTGGCGCATCGCAAACGACAAGCGGATCCTCGATAAGGACAAGCGGTGGCTTGCACAGTACAAGCAGCTCCTCGCATGCCCTCCACGTGGAAATGTCATGAATGTCCTCGAAATACAGCGTAAGAATCTGAAGAAAGTGTTTGCTAGACGTGATGCCGAGGGCTTCGATGTCCCCGTTTCTGCGCTCAACGTCCTTTGGGCCAACCGCTTCGTTCGCTGGGCCGAGCAAGCTGCGGACGAAGAAGCAGCCCGTTTCGCCAAATTGAACATCCCCACCGACGCCGTCGATCCAGCCTTGCAAGAAGGACACCCCGCCGACAGGCCGCAAGCCGCTGAAGATAGTGGAAGCGACAGCGACGAGTTCTTCGACCAGGCAATCAAGCAGTACGGAGTACAAAAGGACGTCCGCGCATCCACCTACATGAACTTCCCCGAATTCGAATACAAGTCCGACGACGAGAGGACAGAGCTCGACTTCCTCATGTTTTCAGCCCCCGAGCCGTCTTCCTCTACGGAAGCCTTGACCCCAGCTCAGAGACGACGCAAGAACAGGCTCACGACTATTGTCGGAACCGGCTCCGATCCATCTGGCTTCAACATCATCAAGCCGGTCACGCAGGTTGGCGAAGAGTTCAAAGAACAAGGCAATAACGACGCCGAGGAGCGAAAGGAAAACTCTTTGGCAAATGATTGGTTGGAGCAAGCGAAGATTTTGGAGGAGAAGGAGGAGCAGAGGAGGAAGGATGAGAGGCAGGCGTTGGATCAGATGTATCGCGAGAGGTTTGGTCATGGCATGCGACTGGACTGATTGAGTTATCCACCCACCGTTGGTATCGTTTTGCCGACTTGATGGAGTTTTGATCGGAGTTTTATGGATGCCCCATGGGCATATTGGAGGATTTGAATTCCCGCATTAGGGAAACTAGGTGTTTGGTTTCTTTGAACTCACGATACCCAACATTGAATGGACAGCATGTCTTTCATTCAAATTCAATAAGGAACGCAAAGTTCCCACTACGTATGTCGAATAGAAAAATCACTGAAAATGTGCATTGATGTGTCGTTGGCAAGTGATGTGGTTTTCTTTGAAGCCGGGCAAACCTTCAAATCAACATGCGTATAGGGTGATGATGTCCTCGAATCTGAACAGACTTGAGTGGTGAATGTTGAAGAGTAAAGATGACGTCACCCAAGCACGAAGGCACCTGACTTCGCGCTGGCGATTAATTAAAACGTCTTTCCCGTCTCTTTCACGTCAGACGGGCGTGGCAGGTCCCTTTGATCGTTGTAACGGCCTGGGCATTTATTAGGCGGCACTTCAGTCACGAGTACTTGTAGATTAACAAACTCCTTGTCTGTCTCGGAAATCAAAACCTAACCTCAAAACTAGGTAATACCTTACTTTTATAGTTACTTACGCCAACCCGAAGTAAAGCGATCGTTGCCATTCGTACCGTCGGGGTTGGTTCAATCCACTAGCTCAGGGCCCCGACCCACCCGCTCACCCACTTCCACCTTCCACATGCTTATACAATCTTGTCCGACGACACAAGGCTTCCTTTTGCACAACATTTCCCCCCGCTCTCCTTCTCAATAACAACCAAAACTGCCATCTTCTTGAGTGTTTTCCACTCCTGCGACCTCATGGAAGGACCTTTCACCTTCTTGCCCGTGAACACCAACTCGAATCTGAAGGCGCGCGTCCAGCAAAAAGTCGGAACCCACGAATGGAAAGATAAGATGATCCCAAATCGCCCCACTACTGCCGAGGAACATGCAGACGGCAAAGGTACAGTACCAAGACATAGTTCAACATGCACCTCCGAACCTGCGCTCACATTATCAAAACAGACGACGATGAGTGGTATGATACTGTATCCGCATCCTCCGAAGAGGCGCACCATCACCACACACCACTCAAGAAGACCAAGAGGCTGAACAAAGCCGACGTGAACCAAAGCCTCGTCTCTGTCAAGTCCATATCTCCAGAGGAAGAACAGGAATTGTTACCCTACAGTAAGTCGGCATATCTGTCCTCCCATCCTTCCTGGTCCCTTGATGTGCTGACTCATGCGCTACAGTGCCCGCGCTATTCGGTACCGATCTTCCACCATGCGGCCTAGAGCCTCAGGTTGCATATGAGATCGTAGTTGCGCGACTGCGCGAGAGGTGGTTGAATGCGAAAGGCCGCCGCGGCGTCATCGACATCTGCCAGGAACTCCGGGAATTGCTGCGAGACCAGGAGCACCTGTGGCCGCCTTTCATGCTCAAAGGTGTCATGAAGAAGCGCAAGCCGTGGCGTCGCGAGCCTGTGTTCAAGTATGAGCTCTACTGGGCTGATTACTTCGTTCGCGAGGCAAATGAGCAGGCCCCGGCGTTGATGACTGAATCCGAACTCATGGATCGAAGGATGCAGTCTGCAGTTCCCTTTGAGTTGAAGTTCAATGTTGATCGATCTGACCTGTTGAAGTTGTGGGAAGACTGGAACAACAAGAAGAGGGCCAAAACGCCTGCCTTGCCTGGTATCGATGAAGAGACGGTAGTAGAGGGGCAGCACGCGGCTGACGAGACGATCGAGCGGGTGAAGAGCGGGAACAGCGAGGGCTCTGACTCTGCACCTAAGTCTGTAGACTCATCGCAGGCGACTATAGTCCACCATCCTGGTCCTCAGGGTGCACCGCCGCCCGAAGATGCATATCTGTGGTCGCAAGGCGGCCACGACTGAGCGGCGCCGACATGGCAACCTAAACACTCTGGTTAAGTACATACAAACCATTGGAACTGAGACGAAGTGCTTGGTTGCATTGCAGCTACAAACCGTGTCTATATATCTTCGGTCGCACCTTGGGACATCACAGCGCTTCGGCTCCGGCGCTTGGGTGCTTATATGCAGCCTCGACCTGTCAGGCTTTGATGATGCATGGATACTGGAAATTACGATACCCTTATATGAAAAATGCATGATGACGCGTTGTGTTTTGATGCCCTGTTCGTGCGTACGTTAAATATGTGACATATCACTTCTTTGAAAGTCTGTGTAACATCTGCGTCTTGGTCCGATCTTCGTCACTTCTTCGTCTCCACTTCGCCTTTCCTCTCACCTTTAATTGCCATGACGACAGTGACAAACGGTTCTTCTCCCAGGCAGCACCTAAAATTCAACCTACCTCGAGATTTTGGCCTAATTGCCGTCCCACACAAACATACCTTCGAACAACAAAGAGAACCACTTACTAGGATGTGCGGTGTACTCGGATAGCACATTCTCCTCTAGCGTTACTTCCCTGGGCAGCCCTAGGTCTAAGTCTCATGTATAAAGATTTCCAGGGTGGGATGTGATGGGGTCAGTCAGACAGCATATCGTCTCCAGCGTTACCTCGCTTGGAAGCCCTGCGGTGTGGCTGTTTTCGTGCTCTTTTCTTGTGTTTTTTTGGGGAAGGCCGGTGGGAAACATGAGGTTTTTTGTGTAGATGTTATGGTTTAAAGTGATTTTCATCGTCAATGTAGTTGAACTCGACGTCTTGCGAAGCATTCTCTACGTCTTGACCTGCACTTTTTATTTGCGTACTTTTTGTACCTTTTGCTCAGTCGTTCTCTATGTACGTCACGGTCTGAACTGACTCTTATCCTCACTCCAGTCTGGCTCGACGTCTCACCATTTTATACATGTGATCTCTCTCACCTTTACCACCTTTACTTGACCCGCCACCTACTTTCTCTCTCCTCCCTATAACATTACCTTTACCCTAAACTTCCTAACTCATCTTTTAAGCTACTCTCTTCTCCCTCTCTCTTACTCTCTCTTACTCTCTCACTACTACACACCGCCAGCGCCACGCCATCTCACTCCCATCTCTTCCCAGACCAGCTCTCTACACTACCAACACCTCACCACCACCTCGTCTCTCGCCCCAACTCACTCCATCTAAATACCACTCTACCACCCAAAAGTCTTCAAGATGGTCACTTGGGGCCCTGCTCAGGATGCAATCGTACGTCTTTCTCACTCTCACCTCCCCACCGACTCACTCACTCCAAGAGCTAACCACCACCCAGATCCTCCTTGGTATAATGGAATTCATGGACATCAAGGCGTCCACCGCTCTCCTCGAACACCTCGCCGAGAAGATCGGCGACAGTAAGTCTAAACAACTCCACCATCGCCCTCACATTCAAAGACTCGATCGGACTGACAAGGCACACAGAGTGCACCCCCAAGGCTGTGAGCCACAGGCTCAGTAAGTCACCCACCCACCTTACTGACTCCCGTTGATCCTGGCACTCTTCACCCAAAATGCGCACTAACATCCCCTCCACCCACAGACAAACTCAAAGCCGAAGCCAAAAACGCTTCCGCCGGCACCGGAGCATCCAGCGCCCCAGGCACCCCCTCCTCCAGCAAGCCCTCCAAAGTCGCCAAAACACCCAAATCCACCGCCCGCACCACCCCCGGAAAAGGTCGCAACGGCACTGCCACTCCGCGCTCAACCAAGAAAGTCAAACTCACCTCAGACGAAGACGCCGATCCAATCGACGAGCTCCAACAGAGTCCCAGCGGCCTTGCCGCGAACAGGAAGCGCAGCCGCGCCGGGGCTGCTGCATCGCAGGACACAGTCGCCGACAACGACGCCGACGACGACGACGACGAGGTTTTTGTGAATAAGAAGATCAAGGTTGAGGGCGGCTTCGACGGGCTGGATTCGCTTCCGGACAGCGAGGACGAGGGCGTTGTTTAGCGTTTGGGCTTTGACGTGGTCTTTCGCTCCTGCTTCTGCGCCAGCTGTCGATGATGGTGATGATGGGGTTTTGGAAGGAGATGCGTGGGTTATGCGTGTGGGAGCGTCCCGAGGCCTCTGCGACGAAAAAGGGAACATGGGTGGGGTTGGGATAACGGCGTTTCGGTTTCTCTCGTGATGTGGCCTTCCCTTTGAGTCAGTCACCTTACTTGATCTCTTCTTTTGAATGGATGGGAAGTTGGAGGTTACACTTCACATCCTGACCTGGGACGATTGGTGAGGTTGGCGACGACTTCATAGGTATTCTGAGATCAGATAAGGGAAGGGAAGGGCAATTCATTGGGTTTTCATCTTCATATCGATCATGAATGAGGTGTGAGATTGGATCGGATCGTGATGTGTGATGTGTGGTCTCCGTGCTTGAAAGTTGGCAGAAGGATGTAGGGGCGAGGAGGAGAGAGAATGATGGGGGTGTCTGGGAGGGTGTGTGCATGGACGGGGGGAGTGGTGGGTGAAGGGTGAGTGTGCAGATGCTGAGACAAGAGGTTAGTGTATATGGGGTCTTAGATGTAGACCTTGGGAGGTCTACCTCTATGACCGGAGTGAGTGGGAAGGTAAGGATGTGAGTGTAGACGATGCCATAGTTTTGCTGCATGATGTAAAGATCGGTTTTTAGATTACAGGCAGACATACATGAAGAAGAAAGAACATCCTCTACATAAATTTGGGGATGACCCAGAGAGAGAGGAAAAGAAAAGAAACGCCGAACATTTGTATCAAGAAATCAACATAGATCCACAACGTCGCTTGCGCCACTCGCGCCAGGCTTTGGTATGAACATGAGAAAGGAAAAAAAGGAAAAGCGTGGCGACGATATCGTGCTGCTCCGTTGCATGCATTTGGAACAGGAGGATGGATGAAGATCCGATGAGATAGTATTCTCGGTAAGCACCACCAGAAGCATGCTAAGGAGGCCCCTGGACAAAAGCGACGTTTGTGTTTCTTCTAGGTTGAGAAGAATGCATGTTAAAAAATGCGTCGATTCCCAAGGTCCAAAGCGCTGCGTTCAAGAAGGATTAGAAATTTGACTCCGTTGGGTCAGCTACACACTCGTGTGCTACAGGTCGCGACTTTGTAAGAAGAGAATGGAAGCGAAATGCTCATAGCTTCTTCCATTCTATATAGACTATCTGAAACTGTTTGACTGTTTGACAGATTGATTGTTTTACTCTGATTGATTGCTGGACTGAGATTGAGACACACGATAGAAAGGCTGAGACACTAAACGAATGTTCAGGGTGTACAACTAAAATGGTCCAGTGAAAGTATCCTCTTGAGTGGGGAGTGAAGGCTCATGTTCTATGCGCCAACCGTTTTTTTCTCACGAAGAAACTCGTCCTCCAGAAGCTCTTCTGCCGTTGGACGTTGTTTCGGATCTACCACCAGCATCCTACGCATGAACTTCCCAAGCTGCTCTGTGTACTTCTTTGGATCAGCGTCATCTCTTTCCCAAATTTTGGAAGACCTCGCGTGACATACATTTGCAAAGTCATCATATTCGTCATCTTCATCATCACTGAGAAGGTCTTTCAACTCTTGCTCTAGGGGAACCATTTCTCTTACGTCGAAATCTATTTACGATTAATTACTTTAGAGTGAATTAAAGACGTACAGGATTACTTACCAACAGGGGTAGGGGCGGTTGTCCATATTTCGTTCACTATACCCTCGATAGAAGCACCCAATAGCCAATCGGCACATGATGATCCTAAAAATGCATGAATCTGTGGTATAATCTCACGGTTATTTTGCCTGGAATAGAAGAGGTCATCCCCAGTCGCAACCCACCATATCTAGTGGTACGATACGTTAAAGTAGAACCTTAGTTTCCAAGGAATGTAGACATACTATGCAGGCAACCTCCCAGATATCCATAGCATTCGTGAGAGGTTTCTTAAAGATCATCTCAGGCGGGTGCAGACAAGGGGTGACTTTGGTCCAGGTAGGATAATCGTCGTCGAAGAATGCTAGATGACATACGCCGTGAGCATGCAACTCTTCATTTCCTGGCCAACATCAATAAGACTTACAAGACGAAAAGTCAATGATCTTGATGGATAAAGGTTCTCTCAAATACTCGGCAATTAAAGAGGTTCCAACTAGGGACTCTGGAACTCCATCTTCTAAAGGTAAACCGTCGCGTCTAGTAACCTTGACAATCCATGGCTCACGAGAAGACCAGGCTTCTGTTGAACCAACCATTATGTTCGAGTTGTTCAGATCTGAGACGCTTTTAGCCTAGAAAGTGTACCAATTTTTTCAAAGTTTTACTAACCAGCATGGACGACATGACATTTGTGTAAGAAGTCTACTGCAAGGAGAAGTTGCCGACAAAACGCCGAACACGTATATTCCCCAACGGCACGACCTCCACGAACTATATTATCAGTATAATAGAATAAGGTTTGTTTTAGTGGTTTTGTGACTATGACCAAGTGGCGTCCGTTTACACCATCGTGATAGAAATAGTCAAGAAATTCAACCACATGTTCACGCCCTGGATGGACCAGAGTGCTGTCTCGAAGCCGCTGCAGAATGGCGAGTTCCTTATTGTTCTGAGATAAGTTTGCCGCAAATATCTTCAAAGCCACTAACTCGTTACTTCTGCCGAAGTTTAGTTACTCAATTAGTGAAGAGGTGGTGGTTTGAAACTCATCATACGGAAGATCTCTTGCGCCCCATATAGTAGCTTGTGATCCGAACCCAAGCTTCTGTTCAATTCTATATCGCCCTTCCTTGTACACGTCACCGAGATAGACAGGATGGAACAAGCCCGGCCCATATTTGTCCACAGCTTCCGCATTGACATGGCATTGGTAACGATCACGCCAGGTCAACGGGCGTCCAGTTGTTTCATCGGGCCCAGTGTTCTCAGGCACAGCGTCCCCAGGCGCAGTGCTCTCAGGCGCAGTGTTCTCAGGCCCAGCATTCTCAGGCCCAGCATTCTCAGGCCCAGTGTCACCAGGCTCAGTGTTCTCAGGCCCATTGTCCCCAGGCCCAGCATTCTCAGACTCAGAGACATTGTTATTCTCCTGGGGATTCATGTTGGCGGCGCGTAGAAGTGCAATAACAAAACAGCAGCTCGTCCCTTCCTCTCGGCAGGCAGTATCGTGAACAAGAGATGGAATTCCGGCTCAGGAGCTTCATTCCACCTCTTAATCCTTTCAGGCATAACTATACATCCGCTAGCAGCACTACCCTACCGTCACGTCACGCTGGTTCAAGCAAGAAGCCTCGAAACGCCGTCTTCTCCACCCACCCAACCACCACCCACTAGAACCCCAATTCTCATTGTCCATGCTTCCTAGTGCGCCAGGCGCCAGAAGAAGTGCATGTACCAGACTCTAGGAGGACCGAAGATTCGGCAGTAGTGTGACACTGCCCACCTACTGTCCCTGCAAACTTAAGAAACTTATGCTTCTAAGTAATGCAAGGTTGTAGTATTAGGATATAACACCTTATAGAATAGTGTCTGATTATTTCTTATGCGTAAAGGTGTAATTTGGGTTAACTGTTGCACATGATACTGTACTCAGTGTACTGGTGGGTGGGCATCGCCTAGTGCTGAACTCTTCAGTCCTCCGAGAGCCAGACAGAGTCGAGCGGCGTCGCGAGGGGTGTCAATGGAAAGTTTTAGGTGTGCAGTAGGAGGCAAAGATGTCAATTCTAAGCTATTCAACAAAGAAGCATAACCCCTGCGCTCTCTTTACGTTCCGACTTCTCAAAAAAAATGTGCAGGTAACTAAGGAATCAAGTCGACAAGCCGCTTTCCCAGGGAGTTACAAAAAAAAAACAGACAGACTTGGCCGCGCCACAAAAGTTGAAGTCTCATCAGCAAAACAACGCCACCTTTCTTGACCATCGTATTTTCCCATGCAACCGATATTCAGATTAAACAAAGGGGATAAAAAAAGTGTTAATGTGTCTATAATACATGTTGGAGGCTTTTACACTAAACCTTTCGTAGCTAATGCTGTTGCCCCTCATTTTCTTGTCGGCCAAAGGAGTCAGGAAGAGGTGACTTGCTAAGTATCGTCAAAAGAGGATGCAGACAAATATCAATAGCGTATACAAAAAATGACGAGTAATGAGCAGGTACTGCGGATGCGATTCCAATGGACAGGGATAAATAAAAGGGTATAAACAGTCGAATGTCGTCACGCTCATCGTCGCCATGGTTCCTGGTGCCGCGGAACAGCGTTCGTCCAATCCATGGGCCCGCTTGGCGGTGGACCTTGCCTTTGGTCGGGACCTGGTGGTGGAGGACCTGGTGGCATTCGAGAATGCCCGTCCCTCCTCATTATGTCTTCTCGATATCGTGCGTCACGCATCTCGCGATCGCGCATCTCACGTTCACGATTGAAGAGCTCATTGTCCCGCATCCTTGCCTGATGTGCCTGTTCCTCTCGCATCATTCGTTCTCGATCTTGTGGAGCATACGGGTCGTGATAACGGTGTTGTTGATCCTCTGGTGGACGCTGTCCGAATGCAGGGGGGTTATTGTCAGGATGCATGTTATGTGGAGGATGCTGGAGTGATCCATGTCGGACATGATCACCAGCCCGAGACAATGGTGTATGGGATCGTTGAGTAGGGTAGCCGCGTTCCTGTGGAGGCGTGGGCTGGTATCTTGTATCCTGTGCAGTTTGCGGCAAGCCAGTTCGAGAATGCAATGTGTCGCGTTGTTCCCTTAGTATGACACCCACGCGTTGTGCGAGCTCCTTCCCAACATCGCGTTCGTGATTGCTGGATCCGAAGTCTTGGTGCATCTCGCGCGGATCACGAGAGTCACGTGCATCCCGTTGTCGATAGAGGTCCATATTCGGGCCGCGCAAGTGAGCGGGCACATGGTGCTCATTGGGAGTTTGGGGGTTAGAGTAAGGGAGGTTGACGTTATGTCCATGGTGCTGTTCGTTCAGGTTCTGCACATCCCTGGGTGGGGCGCCTTCAGCTGTGTGAAGTGGGCTTGGTCGCATGCCTGCAGGTACAGAAGATGGAGGTCCACTGCCTCGAGGATCCACTTGCGCATAGGGGTTAGGCTGAAGGATCTGGGAAGCATTCTGCGTCGATTGGGCGTGTTGTACAGGCGTGCTGTTGAGACCATGGCGGGACGGGGGCGGGGGAGGGCCGCTTAAGCTCGGCGTTCGAGAATGCATATGTGGCGAGTGACTATAACCGGAAACTGGCGGTGGAGGAGACGGGTTGTGTCGTGGGCCGTTATGCGAGCTGAATATAGACCGATGAGATGTCAGATAAGCTGGTTGCATGTGGGGTGAATTGACATTTGCAGGCGGTTGAGGCTGGCCTTGACCCGAAAACATAGCTGGTCGCTGGGACCATTCTCCACGAGGAAGAGAACGGTTTGCAGCTTGTTCGCTTGTTAGATCAACAATCTGTCGCCCTGGCCCGGGAGTCTGTGACGGTGCCGGGGGCTGGGAAGCATATGGTTGACGTGGGTATTGCATGGGATTCGGCTCGTTGTATAGCTCACGCCGCAATGGTTGTGCTTGAGTAACTGAAGCCGGAGGTGGTGGTGGTGGCGCAATGGGATTCTGTTGTTGGGGAGTAGGTGTGTGGGAGGGACCGTCGACAGGCCTCCTAGGTCTCGGCTCTTCAGGCTCAGGATCGTTCAAGACGGAGAAGAGATTTGACTTCCTAGGTGGCGCCGGTTTCGCAGCGACAGGCGGAGCAGGGGCCTGAGCAGGGGCCAAGGTTGGGTTTGGTGGTAATGGGCGTGGTTGAGTTGGCTGGATTTGCTGGGCTTGCGTTGGATGAGGGTATAGTTGAGGTTGTGCCTGTGGAAGGAGCGGTGGTGGAACCTGGGGCGGCTGAGTTGGCATGGGGTAATGGCGGATCTCTTCTTTGACGGGCGGTGTTCTTGCACTGGCACGAGACACAATTGCGTGAGGCACTGCGGATGCTGCGGACGTAGCAGGTTGGGTGGGTATCTCAGGTGGCGGTTGTGTTCTCGATTGCGCGGGTGTAGGGTGCACTGGGGGCTGAACATGTAGCGGACGGGCTTCAGGAGATCCAGCATGCCCGCTGCGTATTGACGGAGCATTCGGTGGAAATCGCGAATACGGAGGCTCTTGCGGCAAGCGTTGAGTGTGGTCTGGCTGGAACCGGGCCTGGTTGTCACGGTCTTGAACCGGCTCAAGTCTAGGTTGCATTTCGCGTTCCTGGTGCATTGGTCCACGTAACTTCGGAGCCTTTGGTTGTTCTACAGGGCGGGCCTGTGGTTGTATTGGTTGTTGAGCAGTGCGTGGCTGAATCAATGTCGATGCTTGTTGTGCGGCGCGGTTATCGACTCGAGACGGGGGATCATCTGCAAAGTATCCCGCTTGCGGACCGTGAGATAGAGGCTTATGTTGAGAGAGAGAATGCTGATGCTTTGGGGCTTGAGCGCGAGGAGCCTGGCTAGGAGGCGAGTGTTGTTGTACACGCGAAGGCAATGCGTTAAGCGTACTCTCAGGCATCGAAGCAATCGCGGCGGGTTGAGTTGCGGGCTTAGGTTGTGCGGGGGCTTGCGCGATTGCTGGAAAAGCCCTCGATACGAGCGTCTGAGTGTGAGGAGGGGACATCTTAGGGGCAGGAGGAGACTTGGGTGCCTCAACCACACTGGTAGGATCCGGTATAGGTGCCAACACTCTGGGAGTAGGAATTACAGATTCGTATCGTCGCTTCACAGCTGGGGTTGGGGTTGGAGGTGGGCCCAAGTCTTCGCCACGTTCGCGCTTGTTATCAGCGGCAGCAGCTGCTGGTGCAAGCTCAGGATTGTTACCGCTCTCAACCAAACGCAAGTACTGGTTTTTGACCATTGTCTGCGTCTTTGTGCCCATGTGGTTTGCAATTGCTGACCAGTCGGTTCCGAAATGGGCAACATAGCGTTGGAAATCGTTCTGTTCTGTCACAGACCAGTAGCTTGATGGACCAGGCCGAGAGACAGTTGTAGACCTCGCGCGGTCAATAGGTCCAGGTGTACCAGAAATTGGCTGCTGGACAGGAGCTTCGATTGGAATGCTAACTTGATCAATGACCAAGTTGGGTGGAGGGATTCCCATATCGTCTAGGGGGCGTTTGTTCAGTTCCTCTTCCATCTTTAGACCCAACGGCCGCTCCTTGCGTTCGGGTTTCGCTGGAGAGGCGGTTGGTAGCGTGGCCGCGGTAGCTGCAGGAGCTGGAGGGGGCTGTGGGTTCTTCGGCTTCCGTCCAGCCTTGCCCTTTTCTCCTCTACCACGACGGCTGACCTTTTCTTGCCCTCCCTCACTATCAGCTTGACGGCGTGAACGTCCATTGCCTGAACCGGATGCTGGATCGTAATCGGCCTCCATACCGAAGGTCGGTGCAGCCGAACGGCGGGGACGCCCGCTATCAGTAAGTTGTAGTGGCGCTGATCCGTCTTCTCCAGTTGCGTCTGAGCGCTCAGCATTAGCATTTGCTGCTCGGCCGCGTGCAGCGGCTCCACCACGTTTTCGTGGACCGCCTCGTCCCCTTCTAATTTTGCCTTTGTATTCTCTACCCCATTTCGTTGCATAGTAATGATTAATCGTATCTTTGTAGGTTCGACTTGTACCAGCTTCTTTGTGCAGAATCTCAGCAAGCCGGCCCCATTTCTTAGCATATTGGTCTCGGTAGTGCTGGACCATGATCTTGTGTTCCTCTTCGGTGAAGTCGTCCTCTGGGGGTTCATAATGGTAAACAAAGACACCCTGGCCAGGCTCTCGTTGGAAATTAGTATCGATAAAGCGACGTCGTTGAGCTTCGTATGCAGTGAGTACGGTTGGGATGGGGGCCTCGCGCTCTGGGTCAGCTAAAGATTTTCCTACTTCCTTGTCCTTCTTCCCCATCCTCTCCTCTTCTGCCGTTTTCAAGGATTCTTTAATAGCCTGTTCGAAATCGAACTCAGATGCAAACCTGCTTGAAGCGCCCCGCCGTGAGGTTGTTGGTGGTGGTGCATCCAATAGTGCAACCGTCGGGGCGATCTGAACATCAGGCGTGCCGAGTTTGTGCCCTGGTTCGGCGGAAAGTTGCCTTTCCGGGTCTTCAATTTCCCTCTCGTCATCTAGCTCTTGGATATAATGCCTCCAGTCTCTGTAGGCAATAGCATACTGTCGCAAGACACCTTCGGGGGTGAGTTCAGGAACTATCTCTTTCTGCAAGTTGTTTCGCATTGCTGCCAAAACAGGCTCCGGAACGCTCGGACGTTCTTGATCAGGATCAGAGAGAGGCGTGGGTGGTCCTGAGCCAAGGTAAGGCAGAGAAGAAAGATCAGGTGTTGGTTCTCGCTCAGTAGATGGCTCGCGACGTAGGCGAAGAGCACGTGTGGCTGGTGCCAGTGGCTTTTCATCTTTGTCTTCCATCACAACATCTTCGGACTCTTCAGCTTTAGGCGTGAGTAGTTCGTTAACAACGGGCTCCGGAGGTGGCTGGACAGGAGGTGGTGAGACGGCTTCCTCTTCGACTGGTTTGGAATTCTGGCGAGGAAGATGATCCAGTGTTAAACTCGATAGTAATACAATCTCTTGGAGGGGCGATGTAGCACGTAAATGCGATGCGCTTAAATCGATGCGTCGAGATACAAGAAGAGCCTTCTCGCGATTATACTTCGCTTCTGATTCTGCAAAATCCTCTTCGTCCAAGTCGAAATCATCGTCTGAGTCTTCTAGAACCTTAGGTGCGGTAGATCCAGCGGATAGAGGCGGTCTCTCGGTCCGTGGAGACACGTCTGCCATGGAGACATCGGACTGCCGTCTAGCTTCAATAGATGTCGGCTTTGTCGGTGTCGTTTGGTTGGTCTGTGTGGGGGGTACACTTTCCTTAACCTCCTCCGCTTCGGCTGGCAACTTGACAGGTGACGGTACTGTTTTGGGTTGATCAGGGCGATTGAACTCTGAAGCTGTGGCATTACCCTCGAGTTTAGGTGCCTTGGGGGCTGCACCGAAAGTTCGGTCACGATCGTCATTGGGAAACTCGCGCTTGCTCGGAACTGTAGGTCCTCTGGTGAGTTTAGGGTTCAACCATTGCATGCTTTTCGCGGGCACACCTAAGGGCATCCGTGGTCCCGAGAACGGAGGTTGATTAGGACCTGCATACAACGGCGCGCGAGCTGCCATGGGATTTGCTCTATCAGCCTTTGGGCCTGTTGGTATATTAATAGGTGTACTCTTCGGCGAGGTGTTGAATAAGCCCGCTCTTGGCCCAGACGGTATAGTGCTTGCCGGGGCATCAGGAGCAGTGTAAGGTAGCTGCTGTGGTCTTGGGAAGAGCGGTGAAGTATTCGACCGCATAGCACCTTGAGGACCAGTAGGGGTGGGTCGATTCCTTCCTCCTGGTCCTAACGGAGGGGAATTTGCATGATTAGAAGGGGGCCCTGGAGGTTTACTGTCAGTATTCTCGGTTGCAGGCGCAGGCGCAGCAGGAGGAGCGACAGAGGGCTGGCGAGGGACGGTTGTATCGGTACGAGGTGGTTCGGGGGCTGCGGATTTGGTCTCAGAAGTTTGAGTATCAGAGTTTGAGCGCTCTGGGACGCGATCGGCTTTAGGGCCGGTTGGAGGAACTGTCGACAGGCCAGAAGGAATGGTAGGCTTTGGAGCCGGAGGAGCAGTCGGAGCCGGTGTGACAGGAGCCGGTGCAGATGCAGATGTAGATGCAGGCACAGATGCAGATGTTGTTGCATTTGCTGTTACTGTGGGTGCTGCTGGTGCCGTTGTTGTTACGGGGGGCTTTGGCGCTGTGGTGTTCGATTTGGAATCGAGCATTGGATTTCTCCAAACATTGGAGAACCCGAACGCTGGCACCGCCGCCGGGGGTGAAGAAGCCCGGGGCGCATATCTCTCTCTTGAGGCTTCGACGCGACTTGCCAAAAGCTCATTACGATCTGATTCGCGGCGAGCATCCTTAGCGCTCGAGGGTTCGGTTGCAACGGATGAGCGCCTGGAAAAAGAATCTGCTGGAGGACCGAGTCTGTCGCCTGGAGCCGGATGATGTGCTGAATGAGGGGTCGAAGGGCCAGTGGGAGTGCTTGGAACATTGCGTGGATCGATGGTTGTACTTCCTCGGTGTGAATCCGCCGCTCGAGTGGGTGGTTTGACAGTGCTCGCAGAACCTATATACGAATCGTAACGCCGGGGTTCGTCGTCCCGACGCTCAAATCGACGGTCATCTCGGTCGCGCCTGTCAAAGTCTCGGTCATCTCGAGCATCGCGAGGGTCGCGAGCATCCCGGACGTCACGTATGTCGCGCACGTCGCGGGTGTCTCGATCTCGGCGGAGGCCGTCACGGGACCGACTTCTAGGCCGATACGTCCTTTCTGGAAGACGATCACGTGGGTCTCGAGGATCGTGGTGCCTGTCGCGGTCATCGGGATGATACGGTCTTGTGCGCCCACGGAAATCTCCACCAAAGTCGCGGCCGCCTCGTCCCCTACCGATACCACTACCACGGTATGACGACGCGCTACCAAGTGGAGGGTCTGAATACGTCGAGCCAGCTGAAGGAGGGCCATCTCGAGAATTGCGTCGAGCTCGACCGATGTCTAAATCTCTGGGCGGGAAATCTCTCGAATCGCGAATTGGTGAACGTCGTAGAGGAGGAGGGGAAGGTCGGCGGTCTCGGAAGTCTCGGTCGCGGTCTCGTTCTCTATCTCGATCTCGGTCACGGTCCCGATCAGCTCTCCAGTGGTCGCGAGTGTTGTGATCGCGAGAGCCATGAGTGGTTGTAGATAGAGGCGGTGCATCTCTCAGAGAAGGGGTACCGTCACCCCGCCCTGGAAATGCACGCGGTCGACCGTCACGAGGCCCAGAGGGTACACCAGACGGGGGTCCCGGGTTGGGCCCTCGAGGCGCGTCAACGAGTGATTTTGGCCCACGAGGAACGTCTCGTGGAGGGAATGCCGCAGGATCAGTGTTAGACCTGTTGATAGGCTCATTTTGGCGTGGAGGGTAACTACTACCATATGTCGAGGGTCGCCGGTCTCGATATGGCGATCTATCGCGAGGGTATCTGTTGTTGTCCGGATATCTGGACGACGACATGTTGAGATTCTTGGACGTTGCGCTGACCTTTGAATTTCCACATGAGACCCGGATGGCAGATGTTTCCGATATTACTTATATTCGTGAGTGACGTGGGGTGGTGGGCACCGTGGGCAACGTTATTGTTGTGCCTGCAGCGCACTCAGAGGACTGTGAAGATCCGAGGTGTTTTGGGTATTGTGTAGCGCAAGAGACCTCCGCGGATGATATATTGGAGATGACAATCGATCCGACCGACAATACGTGAGGACAAGAATGAATGCGGAAGTATTAGAGGTCGAGAGTCGTGCCTCGGAGCAATGGTGGTTTGGTTAGGTGTTTAGGTGCTTGGGAGTTCGCGTTGTGGAGTGATGCGCTTGCGATGCAGTGCGAGATGAAGATTGAGGATCCGAAAGAAGCACAGGCGTGAAAAGTGGGGACCAACCACTTTGGGGTAAGCGCCTCGAAACCCTGTCGACGACACAGGACAGGGCAGCGGCCGCGCTGGATTCACGATTTGCAGTTCTCGTCGTTGGAGGTCTGACACAGCCAGCAATCGTTTTCTCGTAGGGCTCCAATACCCCAGAAAACTCGCAATCGAGCGCGTCAAATGCTCCCTCGAGTTCGGGGGAAAGACTCAGTGCGGACGCAGGGGAGAAATGCGTGCCTCCTGAGGGCCGATTCGGGCAACGAAGAGAGTTCGAAGACACCTCCGTTGACGTGGCGCTGCGTCTTCCCAGGCAGACTTCCCTATCCGTGGGATGATGCGGCGATGTTAGCACGTGTGGGAAGCGGAAGGATCGGTTAGAAAGTGGTGGAGAGAACAAGATGAAGTTATCTGGAGTGTGGCGGGAGAGAATGAAGCCACATCGCGGGATGTCCAGGCCCAACGAAGGAGATGGTGTTGATTGACGATGATGAGGAGGACGATGATGAAGATGATGGAGAAGGAGAATCGAGAAAGAGGAGAGGGCACGAGAACGGTCTGTCTCTTCGCCAAAGCACCGACGCTCCTGGGTGCAGGCTGCTCAGTGCAGGGCAGGGCAGTTGGCTTGTTGGCTTGCTGGCGCTGTTCTAAATTACCTACTGGCCGCTCTCTGCACAAGCAAGCAAGGTCCTAATTTCGCACCAGCCCGGGAATTCCATTGACGGTTACGCTTGCATTGCATGGCTTGTCGTCCCAAAGCGCGACGGCACCTGATTGGCCATCATTTTCAAGATGCACGGAGTAGTAACAGGGCTAGCCCCGCTCGTGCTGAAACTGTGTCAGATTCCACTCAAGTCAGGACCGAGTTTGTCGACCGGGCCCCCAATAGTGGAAACCCCCATGGATGAACGATTGCCCTCGTGTTGTATGGGTGGACTGTGTGTCTGTGTGTCCTGTGTGTGCCCGTGTGTGTGCGCTCGCCGCTGTGTGCACTGTGTATGTATGGGTGGGTGTGGGTGGGTGCCGGCACGTAATACATGTGCAATAATATACAGTTTGTCCTACACTCAGGCTGCCGCGCATACACATAATTAGCATGTATCAGCTACAGAGTCACAGAGCCTCTCGGAGACATTGCATCAACCACCATGACTGACTACGAAGTATGTACGATATCATAACCATCACCGTCGATACTACTGGTGCGATGCTTGAAGTGGATCAGCGCAACCCAGGGTTTGCCGTCTTGTGTGCCTCAGCAACGTGCATGCGTAGGTAATATTTAATGTGCCATTATTCCAGACCAGAAAGAATCTGCCGCGGCCTTTCCCTTTCCATTATTAAGACTTGGGTGGTCGAACCTCTAGTCAAGCTTGTCAAGGGTCGGCGATCTTGCTCCCCTCCTCCCCAGGACTCGCTAAGAAAATCACAACTAACACATGACGTTAACTCAATCTGCCACCACCCCGGTACGTTCGGTCTCAAAGTATTCGTAAGTAACTAGTTACCCTAGGTTGCAGCGGGCGAAAACGCGGTTGTGCGCCCTGACGGTTTTTTTTACTCTTCTTTTCTTCGAGGGTAAAAGAAGAGTTTATTGCACTACTGCTGCGGTGGTCGACACTCGGTCCAGGTTTCCTACGAGTACGATTCACATACATACCTAGGTATCCTTCAAAGTAGGTACTGTACAAAGCACGCACGAACTCGCAGAATTCTTTGTCCCATGCAGCCATTCAGAACATGACATCAGCCGACAATACCGCCGCCTCCCAGGCCCCTTCGGGTGCCACCGATGCGGTGTTGAAACCATCTGACCCTGTACCGGAGGATGCCCGGGAGGTCAAAGGGATCGAATTCGACAATTATGCAGGCCGTGGCATCACTGTTCAAGAATTGGTGGGAGGCATGGCCAGTATGGGCTTCCAGGCAACGGCGGTGGGGGAGGCCGTACGGATCATCAATGATATGGTGAGCAAATTCCCCCTCTCTTCGCTGTGCGAAATACAACATTTGGAGAGGGCCATTTCAATCTCTCCAGGTGGACGCATCACTCGTATCTGAACGTTTTTTTCCCTATCTACCTATCCGGTTTCCGATGATAGGGTGATATGTGCCTCGATGGCGCCGGTCACAAATCCTTTGCTTGCGGTTGGGTTATTGAATGCTGACTAACCGATGCGGCTAGCGTGCCTGGAGAGGTGAGGAGGGAGAGAAGACGACCATCTTCCTGGGTTACACATCCAATCTAATCTCGTCGGGGTTACGTGAAACACTTCGATATCTAGTCCAACACAAACATGTTTCTGCCATTGTTACCACAGCAGGAGGCGTGGAGGAAGATTTCATCAAATGTCTCGCTCCGACCTATCTCGGTGCATTCTCGACCCCAGGAGCTGGGCTCCGCGCAAAGGGCATGAACCGCATCGGCAATCTCGTCGTCCCCAACAGCAACTACTGCGCTTTTGAAGACTGGGTAGTCCCCATCCTCGACAAGATGCTCGAAGAGCAGGAGGCCAGCAAGGGCACTGAAGAAGAGCTCCACTGGACTCCCAGCAAAGTGATCCACCGCTTAGGAAAGGAAATCAACGACGAACGCTCCGTGTACTACTGGGCATGGAAGAACGACATTCCCGTCTTCTGTCCAGCACTGACGGACGGCAGTCTGGGAGATATGCTCTACTTCCATACGTTCAAAGCATCGCCGCTGCAGCTCCGCATCGACATGGTGGAGGACATCCGCAGGATCCACACCATATCTGTGCGCGCCAAGCGGGCCGGCATGATCATCCTCGGCGGCGGCCTGGTCAAACATCACATCGCCAACGCGTGCTTGATGCGCAACGGAGCAGAGAGTGCCGTATACATCAACACGGCCCAGGAGTTTGACGGCAGCGATGCGGGAGCCAGGCCTGATGAGGCTGTCAGCTGGGGCAAGATCAAGTCGGATGCAGACAGCGTTAAGGTGTATGCTGAGGCGACGGTGGTTTTCCCTCTGATCGTTGCAGCTACGTTTGCCCAAGCATCTTCTTCGTAGATCAAGGCGGTGGATGGTTAAGAGGATGGTTGTTGGCGGATGGAAGAATTGGGCGGCATTAACGGCGGTTGTTCGCTTCGGAATTTTGCCTATTCATAGTCGGGCCATGCACACGTGGCACTCCCGGATTCTTTCGCCTCCATGGACTCTCTGGGTTTTGCCAATAGACCTCCGCACAAGCTCGTAGGACTTTTCGATCAAGTCAAACAACGACATGTACCGCCATCAGCGGCATTCTACCAAACACGGTATCCCATACCATAAAAGACCGGACCCTCAAGCCAACACCAGCAATGCCATGCCATTGGATTCAGAAACGAATCACAAGAATACCATAGAATATCAAAATACCAACATTTCGTATCAGAAGTTCCATTCCAACTTCCACAATTCCGTCTGCTCCCAACGTGAACGAGCCCGTCACCGTACCTGATCCCAACAACCATTCACACATCTCCCAGCGCTCTTTATACCTCCATTCGCAACTCTTCATTCCCATTGACACATTCCCAATCACACCATTTGACTTATCTTCCCCTTCCCAGCTCCTTCTCCCCCTTCCATAGCAAGGGTACCACCATCTCCAACATCATTGCCTAGGTAATCAATCATCCAGACACTCAATCACACCATCCAACCCAACAACTCGGAATTGGCTTCCTCCTCAAGACCAAACCAGCAAGAATCTCCCTCTATCTTCAACCATCGACATCTACTCATCTATCATCGTGCCTTCTTCACTCTTGTATTGCGCCATGAAATCCAGTCCCAAGTATACCATCGTGAAAGCACCCCCAGGGATCTGGCGAGATGTACTTTAACGATACGTCTTCTCACCATCGATACATATACTCGTGTACTGAGAGGCTCATTTGTATTTACATCCAGCAATGGCACATACATACATCCATCTCAACAACCCCCACACGCCCTGCGTCACAGTTAGACGTTTATCTCAATCCTGTGCACCGGGTAGGTAAGGTATCTAGAGGGATGTCTGCCCATCGTAACAGACAAACTCATTCAACGACTACGCGCTCGCTCTGGCAGAAACGTCACGGTTGGTATGAGATAGATATAAGGCATCATAATCATATAATCCAAACTACAAAACCACAGCGATGACATTTCTCCCCCACACACACACACACAAACATCAAACCCACCCTCAATACCCCATCCTCAAACACCACCTCAAAGTACCTACCTACCTACCTACCCATTCCCCATCACGTACAAATCAACCCCCCCTCCCTCGTTGGTTGGCCAGTCCATCGACGGATGAATGACACGGGCTGCAGGGGCCATCGCTTCAGATCGGCGCCCACGGCGGAGGCGGCGGTTGGAGTGACGCGACCGGTCAGGAGGGTTCGGGGCTACGACGCTTGCGGGCTAGCGTGGGTCGTTGTCATCTGGGGTGACTGGTGGTGACTCCTTCGTATGTATGCCTGGAACTACTTGTAACTACACAGTAGGGTGGAGACGAGTTGGGAGAGAAGGTGATGTTGAGGGTGGGTTTTGAGCCCTTCAGGGTGGTGGTCGTTGAGTCAATGGGTTTTGACTGGTGCCTGGCGAGGCGGGTTGGATGATGTATTATGGGAGGGAGGGAGGGAGGGAGCCCTTTGTAGGGGTGCGGTTTGGTGTGGAGTCAGGCAGTCGGGGGGCGCGGCGGCGGGTGTTCAGACTTGTTCTGGCTGGTTTGTCGTTGTTCTTTGGGGGAGTGGGAGAGTGGGGGGGAAGGTAGGGAAGGTAGGGAAGGTAGGGAAGGGAAGGGCTTCCCCGATTAATAGTGGAGTGGAGTCGCCCGCCTCACTAATTGGCACCTTCCCTCTGTTATCGATTGAAGATGCACACCACGGTACTCAGCAATTACTATAGCAAAGTACTATACGATAGCATCACACAACTGTTGAAGGATCTATGCTTTATATATATTTAAGTACGAGTTGAGAACATACTATGAGAGAGTATATGAAAACGCACATACAGAGTACGTGCTGTGCTAGACTAGGTACTGGTAGATCAGCACTTATCCCGATACCCGCAGGCAGCAAAGCACCCTTAGCCCCCATGATCCATCCATGATCCAGCCTAGGCCGTTCCCAGTACAGAGCTATGCTGCTAGGTATAGGTCCTAGGATAGGTACCTAGCCGTGTATGAGGCTATTGCGAGCTATGATGTGTATGAGCTATGCCATGCACGAGCTGTGAGTTGTGTGAGCTGTACTGTGTACTGGCTGGTTGTTGCTGCGACCTGTGAGCCCTTGTCCGTCGAATGAAGCCTGGTGCAGTGTGCAGTGCCACGCCTGAGCTGCTACTGCTGCCTCTCCTGCATTGCATAATTGGTTGCTTGTTTGCTTAATCCACAAGGTATACTTACCGACTGTACTCCATACTTTTCTTCTTCTCTTCCTCATCTACCTGCCTATCTTCCTCTTTTCTCCTCTCTCTTCACTCCCTCAAACATCTTGTATTCCGCCCTTCGTCAATCCCTTTGCGCATTACATCCGCCTCATTGACGACATTGCCCCACCCTGTAGGCGTCTTATGCGGTGACGTTGACCTACGAGTCCCTATCGATTACCGCTCACGATAAGCTCAGGCGGCTCCTTCCAGCTTGCACTTCTTACCACCTCAACTCCACCTCCCTTCTTCTATCTTACCTCGCCAACTCTCTTTAATTCCTTCTTACTTATCCACTACCTTACTCAACACCTGTGTGCAACCCACCGCGCATCACGCCATAGCAACTAGATCATAGTCCGCTCTTACCTCTTCACACCGTATGACAATAGATCCAACCGTATCACAAGGGCTTCCACCGAAACCATGAGCCTCACCGCGTCCTCTGCCAACGTCGAGCCTCCACCGCTTCTCTTCGGCCAACGCTCGCCATCCCCTCCAAGCTTCTCCTCTCCTCCACAATCTCCGACCCACACATTACAGACACATACGCCCATGGCTTCCCCTCCACCGCCACAGCCAATCCAAGACATAGACATGACCACCTCCGCCACATTACCCCCTCTCCCGGCACAGAACCACGACCGGCAAAACGATGCTCCTATGCAGGATTACCAAAATCCACCAGGCAGCAATACAGCCACAGATTCGACAACTAGCAACAGCAACCAAAGTCCACCAACTGATGCTGTAGCGGTCGAGGTGGCGGCTGTGGACGACGACGCAATGGATACTTCTCCGGACAATGCACAGATCATGATGATGGTCGAAAATGGGGCCACTGAACCTGCAGTACCGCCTCGTGGGGGTGATCACCCCTCCGCGGATGGCCAAGTTGAGAGCAATCGGGCAGACGCCGATCAATCGGCTCCTGCACCACCGAGTGACATTGTAAGTTTGCTTCCTGGAGGGAGAGACATTCCAGGTACTTATCTCCTGCAGGTACAAGACGGCACTGCTCCAACAGAGCCACCACCGCCGAATCAGGAAGTATCAGAACCTCCGCCTCCACCTCCTCCTGCTCAATCGGACACTGAATCGTCTGACGATGACGACTCAGACTGGGTGCCGTTGCCAGAGGATACTACAACTCCCGACGAGGAGGAATTGAAAGAGATTGAGGCCAGTTCCGAACATAGTGCATTAGACCATGCCTATTGGGAGAAGCGTGCCTACTCGTCCCTCGATGAACCGGAATTCTCGCCCGGCGCGAGTGGTCGGATCGAGTGGAGCATCAATTACAATGGCACAAAGGATAAACCAAACAGAGACTTGGTGATGAAGTCCGAACCCGTCAACGTCGGTGGTCTGGACTGGCAAATCAAATTCTACCCCAAGGGCAATGATTCCGACTACTTGAGCGTTTATGTCGAATGTCTGAGTGTGAAGGACAAGGACGCCCGCGAGGACGATTCTACGATATCTGATACATCCAGTTCAGGCAGCGACAGTCCCAACCCTAGCGAAGATTCGGCGGCTAACAGCAAGCCGAGCTCGGGGAAGGAAGCCAATGTCGCGAACGAGGCCGCCGAACCATCTGAACCTGTGGAAAGACAGCATGCTCCCCTTCCTCCGCTCAATTGCGAGCCACCACCCAAGCGACGAAGTGTAGCTGCGCAAGTATCGGTCGTCCTTTATAACCCCGATGAGCCCAGGGTAAACTACTCGAGAACATGCCTCCATCGTTTCTGCACCGGGTCCCCTGACTGGGGATGGACGAGATTCCACGGGCCTTACTATGACATTCCACATCGGATGCGTGGGCAGCGCCAACCGCTACTTCGCAACGACAAGCTGGCCTTCACAGGCTATATCAGAATTGTGGAGGATGAGACTGACTGTCTGTGGGAGCACCACAGCCGAGAGAATCCGTGGGACAGCTTCGCCATGACTGGGTTGCAGGGACTAACGTTGAACGAAAGTTCAAGCTCGCTTGGCGGTGGAAACATCATTTCGGCCATTGCACCCTGGATGTTGTTCAAGCCATTCCGACGATTTCTATACGATTTTCGGGTCCCTGGCCCTGATCGAGAGCCGTTCGCACGACCAAAGCCGATTATTGCTGCCCTTCAAAAGGTTCTCTATCTGCTCCGAACTCAAATTAGGCCTGGGGCAGGTGCAGTTACCTTAGAAGATCTGCTTGATGGATTCGAATGGTATGGAATCCAGGACAACTTGAACAAGCTAGATGTGATGGAAGTTTGGGAGGTTCTCAGGTTGAAGGTTGAGGAGGAGCTATCTGATACTCCGTATGCGAACCTCTTCGATGACCTTTTTGGCATGAAAAAGGACCACACACTTGCCACCCCGAGCTACCGAGTTCCCGTGGTGGGAGTAGAAAACATGCAAGAGGCCGTGAACCGAACGCCCGACCTCGTATCTTCATCAACGGCGCTGCCGCAATTGTTAACCTTTGAACTAGCACGCCAGGAATTCGACACTGCTTCGAGGTCGTACGTAAAGCTAATGAACAAGGTCACTCTAGACGATCAAATCAATGTCCGGGGTACCACTTACACGCTCTACGGCTTCGTTGTCCATAAACAAACATTACAATCGTACGTCTACAATCCAGTGATACGCCCAGAAGGACCTGGCTCGAAATGGTATACCTATACAGATGGACGGGAGGAGAATATGGTGAAATGTCTCACAAAGGCCGAAGCCATCGGGGCACATGAAGGCAAGGCCGGGTCAGGAAAAGTCATCGGCAACGATCCCGTGGCGTACATTGTCATGTATGTACGGGATGACGTTGCAAAATCAACTTTCGAACCGAAGGCAGAAAATGAGCAATGGCAATTTCCGCAATGGATGCGGGACGAGATCGAAAGAGAACAACCCGTCAATCGAAGACCGTTGACGCCACCTGCAATCGAGGAAACGGAGCAAGATGTTGATAAGCGAGATACACCTACAGAAGAACGCAAGCCCGAGCTTCCAAAGGTGCACGCCTTTGAAGTTATCAACAGCAAAAGGTTTCTCGAGCATGAAGGGCCTGGGTTCTTTGATGCTTATGATCTTTCTTACCGACCAGCAGAATCAACACAGAGCCTTTCCGTCCAATTGCTCAGCAGCGATACCGGTAAGGACGTACGCACTAAGCTTGCCACTGTTCTGGACGACATCAAAGACATCCGACAGATCAAGTTTTGGTTCATCGACGCCCATCACGGTACATTTGCGCGACCACAACTTAGAGGAACGAAGTATGTGGAGTTCTCGAGCGGGATTAATGACAACTTTGCTACCCCATCGAGCAACTGGAAGCTAGAGGATTCCTCATTCGCCTCCTCTACGCATCGGATTTGGGTACACGTGCTTGATGTTGCTGATCTTCCCGACCTGCCACCCGAGCCTCCGCGAGTCACAGAAGTAGCACCAGTAGAAGTAGCACCAGTCCAACCCTCCGAACCCAACGTTGAGGCTAGGGACGAGACTCTTCCCACTCCTCCTGTACAGGAGAGTACAGGCGAGGACACGCCAATGAGCGAACCTGATGAGGATGAAACGATTACGCAAAATGAAGAACCGCCTGCTGGCACACAATCCGCAGAATTGCCTGAAGATACAAACATGGCTGAGGGGTCAACCGAAACTGTTGTTGAGCCACCAAATCCTGAGGCAGCCCAGCCCGCAACAGACGCTCAAGATTCGACCCAACCTCCTGCTGATACGGAGATGGGAGGGACTCAGGACAATGTACCCCCTCCTCCACCACCGCCCCCTCTAGAGTTGCTTGCCAGCGTGGTGCCACCTCCACAGGATCCTTCGGTTTGGAGTGTGCCGCCTCCGCCGCCTCCGCCAGCTCCGGAATCCATCCCTGACGAGATCTACTTCTTTTTAAAGTTTTTTGACGCCAAGGCTCAGACCCTACAGTCACGCGGCTCGTACGTCCGACCAGCAGCTGCCAGGCTTGACCGTACCATCTCCACCATCTTGAATCTCCCAGCGGAGCAAAGTTTCGAAGTATATGAGGAAGAAACTCTTACCACGGTTCATGCGCTCAAGAACCGTCATACTTTCTTCCGGAACGACGTGGCGAATACATCTGTGCTGATCGTCACATTCCCGCTGGACGAGAAAACACGCGAGGCTCTTGCTGAGCGTGCCGCATTCGCTGACCTCAAGTCATTCCTTTCCTTCCGCGCCCGAGCACGAAACTTCCCCGCGAAGCTTAACGGCCACTTCATCGAGGACTACTTCTCTTCACAGTACTACAAGGGGGAGATCAGGAACGGACACCATCACGGCCATGGATCGCGCATCTACCATAGCGGCGCCACTTACGAAGGCAAATTCCGGCTCTCAGAACGTCACGGACATGGGCTGTACACTTTCCAGAATGGTGATACATATGACGGCGACTGGGTAGCAAACCAGCAGCACGGAACCGGAACATTTGTCGAGTTGTCCTCGGGCAACACGTACGTCGGAGGTTGGAAGAACGACAAGAAATTTGGTGAGGGCGTCACTCACTGGAAGAATGCGCAAGAGGAGGAACGTCTGTGCCGGATCTGCTGGGAGGAGAGCGCAGACGCCGCGTTTTACGATTGCGGGCATGTCGTGGCTTGCCTGGCGTGCGCACGACGAGTAGAGAACTGTCCAGTCTGCAGGAAGCGGGTAGCCAGCGCCATGAAGCTCTATTATGTCTCTTAGTGAGAGACGATTCACCGAACGATTGAGACGATCGACAAAGACCTGCATTACTGGAGTTTAGAAGAACGGAGCATGAGAGACTGGAAGACATCTGATTGGGTTTTCGTCCATTTTATTCTATTTTCTCGTTTTTCTCTCTCTCCTCACGGAACTTACGATTATCATGTTACACACTTCCTCTCTTGGATATGGGTGGGGGAGATGGGGTGGGCGTCTCGGTTCCTTGTTTGAAGGGAAGGGTTTTCATATTCTTCTTTCCTTTCTTTTTCTGTTCTTCGACTAAAGCTCATGCATGGGACGACTTTAGTATAATGCTGATTGATAGCTGGCTTAGCGTGATAGATGGAGTTTAGTCTTCGTTGTCATATTATCAATTTTCTCGAAATGTTCTTTGTTGTGGTGTTGGGTTTTGAGTAGGTACTGTGATTGGAGCGCTGCATTTCATGGGTTTACGGCGTATGGACTTCTTGTCCGGTATTTGTCTAACACTGCAACGCTATGTTCACAAGGAAGACAGAGACGACTACTCTTTCGCCATACGGCACCCCAAGCGTCCTTTGAGCTACCTCATCTTATCTCACCTCGCCTCTCGCTGCACTCACTCCACCAAGAACACGATCACAAAACGTATTCCACATCCAGCCGCTTCAGCCTCCCAACGAGAATGGAAAACCATGTGAACCCGATAAGAGATATTCACTCCAAAGAGGAAAAGGAAGAAAAGATGATTGCGTTTCCGAGGACAGTCTCGCCGCTCATCACCAACCCAGCAACACAAGAACGTACAGAGACGGAATAAGTGAACATATGAGCATCATTCAGTCGGCGCAAAGCTATAGACAACATCCCACACACACACCCAATTCCAATCCCAATCCCACCGGCAAACCAAACCCCCACCCTCATATATACAGTCCGTCAAGACAACTCCCACCTCACCCTCCCGCCCCCTTCCCTTCAAAAACAGCCATCAACCCGTCGCCACCGATAGGCCGACCGGTCTACTTCGTCGGATACCTCTCCCCCTGATCCCACTATCCCCCAAAAAGGTCAGCATTTCACTCACTCAATTCACACCCATCCCCTCCTCCCCACCCCCCCAATCCAGACAGAAGAAGAAAAAAGGTTTCAAACTCACATGTTCAGCAATGCACCCGCCATCCCAGCGAAACCGATCCACGACCTCCCCAAAGCTCCCGCTCCTGTAGTTCAGCCACCCCTGCGGGTGCCTGTACGTGTTCCGCAGCGGGGTGATGCTTTGAGAGGACCAGATGGGCGACAGGATGTTCCACGCGGAGTCGAAGCCGTTTTGCGCGGCGGGGTTGTGGTTCTAGAAACAGCCGCGGAGCGTGGGGTTAGACTATTTGATTGATAGTTTGTTGGGGTGGGGGGTTTGAGGGGGAAAAGGGGAGGGGAGGGAGACGAACGATGTAGTCCTGGCGTATGAACTCGAAGGCCGCGGTGATGTTCTTCTTGACGATGAAGGCGTCGGTGAATTTGGCGTGGTTGGCGAGGTGTTGGGCTTCGGTTGTGTTGGCGATGGAGACGCAGGGTTTGGGTTTCGTGGGGCGGGATTGGCGGGCTTCGAGAGGGGAGGATGGGGAGGTGGAAGAGGTGACGGGGTGGGCGAGGACGGTGGTGGTGGGTAAGAGGAGGAGGAGGGTTGTGGTGAAGAGGGTTGGGATGTGCATTTTGAGATTTATTTATCTTGGTATGGGGTTGTGGTGTTGTGGTGGTGAAGATGGAAGTACGACGTAGGAGGAATATAATGGAGGGAGGACGTCGTGGGAAAGATATAGTTATTTACATATCTATCTGTCTATCTATCCACCTACCTATTTTACTATACACTTATCTATACATCTAATGAGTACCGCCGACGAAAAATGATGCAATGACTACTATGCACCGCAAAACCGCCGTTGTGATTAATATACAAAAAGATCCCTGGTATACTTCACATGTACACACACACATATGCGAACTCCCCACATCCGCCCACATGTACATCCATGGCCCAGTATGTAGGTACAGTATTGTACAGTACGTCCACTTTCCGCCTTTGTCTCCACATTCATCAATTGCAGATTGCGCCCCAAGGTCTTGATTCTTGGGTGTCGTCGTGGCTATGCCATGTGGGGAACAATCGCCTGCGTCATTCTCACGACGGCGCGCGGCGTCGGTGGTTCCCCGGGGTGTCGTGGTCTTCCAAGAAAACCTGGATATAGGTGGGTATGGCTTGCGGTTTGATTTAGTTTATCTATCGGGAGTTGATGTTTTAAATGAAGGTCGGACATTGGCCAAGAAAGAGTAACGGCTGGGCGATGGGGGTCCCTGTCGGGCGGCGGGCGCGCCCGGCTAATGATCTGGTTGATCGCCAATCCGCTTTTTTACTTGCCGGCTAGGGAGATGGGAGGGTAGGAGGGAGGTGTAGTGTCGCGATAGTTATGTTGTTTGGTGGATGGGTCCGAGGGCCGAGGGTTGTTGTATGGTGTAGTTACCGGATTGGGTGTAGGTACCTAAGTAGGTGGTTCAGTTTCATGTTCCTGGCCAATGATGGATGTGATATGTCTCGATTGGTAGACTATTGTCCTTGAAATATCGGACGGCGTTTGAATGTAGATCCAGGTCAGAAGAATTGGAGACAATTGATTTTTATAAGCTACTAGAATTTCTACATTTCAATCCACACGCTCGCGCGAGCCAACATCGCCATAGCATCACCAAACGCTCCAATAGTCACCATATCTCTTAACAATCATTCCATCATCAGATCAACTTCAAACTTGACCTCACAATACCCACCCCATCAACTCTCTCCCCCCTCACAAAACGTAATCCGATTCCCAAACGGATCCATCACCGCCATCTCCCTCGCCCCCTCCGCATGCCCCTCCTCAATCCCAGGCCTCAAATACCCATACTTCTTCCCCTCAAGCTCCGCATGGAACGCCTCGAGTCCCGTCATCGTGACCCGCACGTGCACGCCGGGACTCCCGTCGCCGTGGTGCTCGCTGAGGTGCAGTACGAGGCCGCCACGTGATACCTGTCGGTACAGCGGGAGGTCGGGCGAGAAGCGGTGCGACCAGTCGGTCGTGAAGCCGAGGTAGTCGAGGTAGAATTCGTCGGCTTTGGGGATGGAGAAGATGCGGAGGATCGGGGTTACGGTGTGGAATTGGATCGTGGCCATGGTGGGGAGGGGGTTTGTGTTCTTTTTTTTTTTGATTTGATGTCGAAAATAGTGTGCTGTTTGTAAGGTGCGGAATAGATGTATTGTAAAAATAGAATGGGTTCGGACTAGAGGGTTGAGTTGCTTGTTGAACAAGCCCAACTGTAGCCGAGACAAATTGTCGCTTTGTCCGTTCTGAAGAGAACAAAGTTTCAATGTATCCAGAAGGGAGATAAATAGTTCTTATAGACAATTCGTCTGGAGAGTTATATTTACGTATGACGTTGCTCGAGGTTGCAATGCCCCTCTTATTTAGGTTTGTGCAACGGGCTAGCCTAGGCTGCCGTCCACTGCATAGGGCTGACCGTTAGGAAGCATTCACATTTGATCACGTGTGATCTGCGAACATACTAATACTAAACCAACCTCACTCCTTTCAACAATGTCGCAATAATGTATACTACTATAGCTTGTCTTCGCGATACATCCTTTTCGCAAAACCAACTTTCGAATTCCCTAGAGCTTCCACACAGGATCGAATTCCAAAGTCCGAGTGACGTAAGGATTTCCGTTGGCAGACGACTGCACTGCGAAGGGAGACGTCGAACGATGAAGGATGATGTGAATCCTCACAACGCACATTGTAAACACGTCACTGAATGAAACCTATCATAACAACAATTACTCTTACAACTGACGATTCTCTTTTGTTTGTCGTCGAGGCTTAGTCTGCACTTCTTTGTCACTTGTGCACCAGTCATACCCGTGGTCTGACAAGATAACGAACCAGCCTCTCTAATTAAGTTCCCATGTCCCTCCACCACAATCCACATCTACCACTCAAAACCATATACCTCTAAATCCACACTCTGGACAGTGTCCTCATCTTCCATTCTCTCGAAAACACGACCTCAAATCTAAAATGACAAACCAAAACACCACCACACCACCAAACCTCGGCTTCAGCAACTCACAGCACCTCCTCCAACAATTCCGCACCGCGGTCGCACACAACACACCTTCAATACCAACAACCACCATAACCCCCTCGTCCCCGGGAAAACCCCCGCCACCCTCCCTCAAACTCAACACCACCACCTCAACCACCAAATCATCAACCCTCACACCCCCCCAAGGCTTCAAATACCCCACGCGACCCCCCTCCGCAACCGCCTCGCGCAGCAGCCCCATCTCCTTTCCCCCCTCATCCTCCTCTCCCATCCCCGCCCACACGTCTCCGTCGAAGGCAGAGGACCCGAGACTCCAGGCCGTACGGTCGTACCTCGAGACGCACGCGGATATCGAAGCGTGGACGCCTGACGGGAAGGGCGGGATCACGGTCAAGGTGAGGGGCAGGGATGGGTTTAGGACGGATGAGGGGTTGTCGAGGGTTTGGAGGGAGGGGGATGAGGCGAGGGGGGTGGCGTTGAGGTGGGTTGGGGGGTGCTGGGATTGAGTTGAGTTGGTTTTGTTGTGGGGAGGGGGTAGGCTCTTTGGAAGTGGATTGTTGGGGTGGATAGCTCTGGAATATGGGGCTTGGAAGAGTGATGCTGTTGTTTTGTAGGATTGTAGGATTTTTCTTTTTATATCAGTGGTGGATTTCTTAGCCATTTTTGGGACTTTTATGTCTGTTATGATTTTCATTGTACTGGAACGAAATGATGATAACCTGACGATTCTAAGTGGTTTTATGATTGCAGGATCCAATTTGATGGATGATTTGAAGACAATACAGTCAGCAGTGACTGGATCTTTCCTTTGGACCAACTTTGAATGGATTATTCACATAGAACGAAAGAAGAAACGTGAGACAGGTTGCCGTTATACCGTTAATGGAGATGACTATGGAAAAAACAATGTGTGAGACGTCTCTGGTGAGACATACTTGGCAATCTTATACAGACTGCAGTCTTACCAAAAACATATCTTCCCACTTCCAAGAATCGCTTCGACTCAGTAAACAATCGTAGAATTATAGATATGCATACATCTACCAATAGATCCTCACTTGTGAAAACACGTGATAGCTGAACAGACTGTGTGATGTTACACCTCCAACCATCCAACCTGTCACTTCTGTGCCCTCAACATGTAGAATCCCTATCTGATGTTTCCGTAGCGTAGAAGAGCCCTTGGCCCTTTTCTGGACACAACGTTCACTCTCTTTATTATTGGACTTTCTGACTTGCTGGTTTATTGCACCTCTCAAGAGCTGTGAAGTTTTTGGGATGTAGTACACAAGCTATGACACTGTACACGTTGGTTAACAACGCATGTGTTGACATTGTCTTTGTTGAGTCAGTATATCGCAAGTCCTGGTGCTATATGACTGTCATCTTGGAAGACAACTACTGACGGTTTTGAATTAGAGGTTCACTCATATCTGTTGACTGGAGGTACACTCATAGTCGACTGGAGCTACACTCATACCTATCGACTAGAGGTACACTCACATCTGTCGACTCAACACACTCATTCACCCGCAACCCAACACCCTACGACTCTTAAGAAAAACCGACTCACTCAAAATGGAGGACCATAAAAGACTCACCATCAAGTCCCTCAAACCCTCCCGATCTCTCAACTTCCTCAATCGAGAATACCTCTCATCAAAACTATCCCTATCAAACCGCCATTCCACCCCCCCAAAACACCCCCCCAACCCACCACCCACCATAACAGTATCAAACCAAACCACACCCCCCCTGCTCCGCCCAAATCTCAAAGAAGACCCCTCCACACCCCCCGAACCACCAAAGGAACCAAAGCGTAACTCATTCGTTTCATTCGTCGACAGCATCAGCTCCAACACCAGCTCCAAGGCCAGCTCTAGGAAGCTCACCAAAAAGCGCCCCGCCTCCACAGCAATGGCATCTTCATCGTCGACGAACGTCCTCGAAGATAACCCTGAGTACGCCACGGCGAACTTCGTTGGTGGAATGGTCGCCAGAGAAGAGAGGGCGGAGGTCGAGGCGTTGAAGAATCTGGACCCGGTGAGGAGTATTGTCGGTAAAGAACAGCGGGCGGGGGTCGAGGCTGTGAAGAATCTGGACCCGGTGAGGAATGAGGAGAGGCAGGTGAAGAGGGAGTATGAGGTCAAGGTGAGGGAGGATAGGGAGAGGACGGAGCAGTTGGATAAGAAGTTCAGGGCTGAGGAGGTGTGTGAGGAGGAGAGTGAGAAGAGGAAGGGGAGGCAGTTTTAAGGGCTGTGAGCGAGGATGTAGGGAGGTTGGGTTTGTGAGAGAGAGGTAAGGGGCTGGGTGTTGAAGTCAGGTTGATGGTTGTGGGATTAGAGTGTATATTGTTGGTGGTGGAATATGTTGTTGGGTTTATTATTATTAATTACACTATTCAATAAAGGATTAGAAAGTCTCTATAACAGATTTATCAATTGGTCCTGTGAGAATATTGGGTGATGAATCTGAAAAACGTTGTGTAATGGAAACGGCGCGATAGAATAAAATATACCCTAAAGTCTGTTCTAGCATGATGTCTAATGTTCTGATATATAGGTTTTTATTCCAGATACAGTAACATAGCGTGCGTTGAACTCGATGTGTTACCATGGCAGATTTTCGTCTGAAGCTTATCATGCATATATAGTAAAAGAAACTATAAAGTCAATAGAATTCTGGCATAATCTCAAACAGACATTTTCTTACTCCCTTTACCATTTTTACCGTTATTGTACGGATCGTGTCATCCACTTGTCAATTATGGAGCTGTAAAATGACCGTCAGTGTAGTTTAAGTGTAATTAGCAAACACAGCTAGTTGACGTGGAGGAAGATTTTTTTAACCTATCGTAGTTCTGTTTGATCCAAAGCTGCTTAATTACTTCCATCAGAGTAACTACGCTGCATAATTCTTTTCGATTATGCAAGATGAGAACATTGTTGGGTTAGCCACAAATCACTGGCATCGTTTGAGAAAAGCCATCTGTCGCGAGACCGATCGCAATGTCATATTTCGAGGTCAAATTTCAACGTTAAATTAGTCCTATTTTAAGTCCTATTTCAAAGCCATATTTTGAAGTCGTTGCGAGCCCATAAGAAAAGTCATATCGAAAGTTCATCTGAAAGTCATCTTCAAAAGCCATGAAAGTAATACTGCCCCAAAAGCAGCATTTCTCTCGCTGTTCAATCACCATCACCAAAACATCCTCACCTTCCAGTTCACTACCACGCACTTTTACACTCTTCAGCAAAGAACATAGAAAGTCCAAACACATCCAGCAACACCAATCCAACCTCAACACCATGTCATCTTCTCAGAGAGCTTGATGAGAGACTTGAGTTCTTCAGCCAACGCCCCCACCTCCTCACATACTCGAATTAACAAACCATGAGCAATTCCGGCTACTGTGTCAGTCTTGGACTGTTGTAGTCGATTGAGTGATGCGGCCGGTGAGTCGACGGTCATAATGGTTGGACAAGATTGGGCTTTCTCTTTTATTCCCTCTATTGTTGTCTCTGTTATTTCATCTATTGTTGTTTTCCCTCTTTCTTTTTCATGTTGTCGTCTATGTTCGTTTCTCTCTTATCATCTCTATTTGTTTTCTTTTCTATCTGTTTTCTCTTACTGTCTCTTCTCTACTGGCTTCTGTATTGTTATATTCCCCTCTCTTCCTTCTTTCTCTCTTCCAATAATAAAGAGACCTCACTCATTTCTCACCCCTTTCCCCAAAACACGTCAGTGAATTTGTAAACTGAACGACTAAAATACATAGGACAGTGATTTATTTGAGTAATGCAAGCCCGCATACCAGTCTCAGTGATGAGAGAGGCACCAACAAATGCTTATTAGACAAAGACGATGGTATTCTTGTGATGGAGTTGTATCGGGTTTTCGCCAAAGTCAGGCAACCGATTTAATCAGGAGAACAGGGCCGGTAAGAGGCCGTTCAGATGCGTCGTCTCCAAGAGCACTAGAGTGTCTTCTTGAAATATCACAGCGGGATTATGGAATACCACAGAAGCGTCCAAGTGTGCGTGTCGTGGAGAGCAGTATTTCCGGGTGACCTCAGGGTCATAAGTTGAAAGCAGATGAATGGTAAGATTATGTAATGACATGGGAAATAGTAAGGATTGCATAAACTTTGGAGTCGAGAGGAAATGAGAATGACAAAGGAAATCCGATAGAAACGCGCTCGAATGCAACCAAGAACCACATGTCGCCATCTGGGCTTTCCATCAGCCTGGCCCCGAGACTCACAAAAAAAAGGACATAGGAAAAAAAAGTCCCAATAGAACGCCCGCTCTTGATATCTCAACAAGTAAATGCCGCAAATGCCTTCCCCCGGTACCTCACAAAAGAAACTGTCCAGTTGAAAATCATCGATCGCTTCCACTATAGCTCCCGCCAAGCTTCCAAGCCTCCTATTCAAGAGAACGACACGAACTTGGGGTCCCTTGGGATACCATCGGCGCCGATACCCTCCCTCTTGAACCGATCCTGCATATACAGCCTCCTGGCCTCGTCGAAGTTGACACCCCTCCTCTTCATGATCCTCTGCACCTCCTTCTTCGCCGCCCCGTCCAATCCTTGTCGAGAATCGCCGGATTCGACGTTTCCAGTAAGATCGAATGCCGAGGAAGTTAGCCCGGCTTCTATGTCATCGCGGAATGAGGTGGGAAGGCGAGTGTACAAGGGGCCTGGGATGTATGTTGGAACGCGATGAAGCCAGAGGTGTCGAGTGAGGTAAAGAGCTGGATTAGGTGTTAGTATAGGTCTCACTATAAAACCCGGACAAAGAACTACGGCATACATACCAGTCGCAAGAACGCAGGAGAAGAGAATCGAGGAATAGAGTACGTAGCCCATGATGAAGACTGTGTGTAATAGGAAGGCTCTTTGGTAGTATGATGTGGTATAGTAGAGTCGGTCTCAAGATGCTCAGTTCGCCAGCGTGGTGTATCGGAAGTCCGGATGGATGCAAGCTCCCTGCAAGTGATTGAAGACGCGGGCGCAAGCGAAAGGTACGAGTAATTAAAGTTGATATTGGTGATGTTGAAGTACGCAAGGAAACAGAGAGCAACGTTTAGGCAGCAGGCGCATGCCTTTGGGGTAGGGAGAAAGGATGGTGTTGGAGGAGGCGACGCTTTAATCGCGTTTGAGGTTCAGTCAGGCCAGCCTATCTCATAAGGCTCGGCAACCCTGCGCCCCCCAATTCACTCCGCGCGCTCGGATGCGGAAGTCGTCACCGCATGGCCCGTGCTCACATCTCGGGCTCGGGATCATCTTTTATCCATGGCGAGGCGCGCTAGACGGAATCCGGCAACGCACACAACGTCGATTTCGATCACTATTGTTAGTTGTTGTCAATTCCAAGCTTCGAGAAAGTCTTCACTTAAACCACATCGAATCATACCGTCGAAATGGCCACTCTCTCGTCCGACTTGATCTGGGAGGTTACCCGTGAGTGCGAACCGATATCGAACTTCTGGGAGGATATTTGGAGGCTGATGGATAATGTTCAGGTCCCACCAGCGCTTTCCTCGTCAAGAGGAAGCAGGCCGGCGGTGTTTCTTTCTCTCGCGACCCCTTGAACTTGAAGGGCAAGTTCAGCCGCAAGGTATGTGTTTGGACTTGGATTTTGGAAGGACATATTGCTAATTGGTGAACAGTACGAGGGTCTCGTCGCTGACAAGGTACATACCATCCGAACCTCGATCGAAATACGCAATTCGAGATATCGTGAAAAAGGAACAACGAAACTAACGAATGGATAGGCCATCGGTGTCCAGGCCGGCGAGAACGGTGGTGTCACTCTCCTCACCAAGAAGGCTGACAAGTCTCACCAACCCGCCTCCGCTATTCAGTCTGCCACTTTCCCTGCTTCCCGCTCCACCCGCAAGTACGTTTCTCGACAATCGCACAAACGAGGATCCGAGGGGTTTGGGAACTTTTGCTAATGATCGCAGGACCTACGCCAACATTGTCAACGCCACCACCAAGCGCAACTACCGACCCGACCTCCGTGCCGATGCCGTCGCCCGCGCTTCCGCCATCCGCAAGAGCCAGAAGGCCGTGAAGGCTGACAAGCCCAAGAAGGCCAGGGGCAACAAGGCCCAGGCATAAATGTTCAATGATCACTGGGTCGGTGTTTAGTGCATAAAGGGTTCATTGTGGTCTGTGAGAGGCATTTCTTCATGACGGATGCATTCACGATGGCTAGGTCTATAGAATGAAGACTTCAAGCCAAAATACCAAAAATTTCTGCAAATCCACCATTATCTTTCCACTATGCGCACAGTGATCCATGTCATCTGGCGTCTCATAGCAGCTCCTTTTAACCCACCAGGTCAAACGTTCTGTAAGTTCGACTTTGGAACCGCATACTCAATCTGTATTCCGACAAGAGTCTGACAAGAGCCGACTTGGGCGCCGGAATATCTTCGTTGGTTAATATAACGTCCATCGACCCGCGGTGCTGCTTTTGGTTGTGTCCAAGTCATTTCGTGATTTATTAGCTTGGGGGTATCAGACGGCTCATCGGCGAGGATAGCCAGGGGGTGGGTGAGAGAATCCTGGGGGTCCTGCGCCAGGTGGACCATATCCAGGCGGTCCTTGTCCAGGCGGTCCTTGTCCGGGAGGTCCTTGTCCAGGCATGAAGCCAGGAGGGGGCGCATTGAAGCCTTGCGGTGGCGGGACGTAAGGATTAAAGCCTGCCGGCGGTGCGCCGCTTGGAGGACGAGCAGGCAACCCAGATGGAGGCGGAGGCAGAACGGGAGGGCGCGCATGTGGTGGCCCTCCAAATCCAGGGGCAGTAGGAGTTGGAGGCATTCCTCTTCCATCTCCATTCATCATCGACTGTGGACCGGACGGCGCGTGGACTGGCGTTTGGAACAACTGTGCTGGTAGCGGTTGGGCAGCGGGCATGACACCACGAGCCTTTGCTTGTTTCGCGAGGCGTCTCTCAGCCTCGTCACCGTGGCGTTCGTTCTTGTTGTCCTTTTTGAATGCATATTCTACCGAGATAGCCTTGTTCATGATGTATTGTTCGTTCATGTGTTCCTTAGCAGCATCCGATGAATCGAAGTCGTCGTATGAGATGAAGGCAAATCCCTTGGAGAGTCCGGCTTCGTCGCGTTGGATCTACAAAGTTAAGGCTATTTTGTAGTTTATGGGGGATTAAATGGCGAGGGGGCCTACCTTTGGGACGCTGGTCAGATTGCCAAAACGTCGGAAAGTGTTGTATAGCATGCTTTCGTCCACCATCGGGTCAAGATTTCCAATGAAAAGGTCGGCGCCGACCTCAATCGTCTTTTGCTTGTCGGCTGAGGCTTTGTTGACTCGGATCGGTTTTCCGTGTAATCGTATCTGGTTCATAATTTTGGCCGCGTATTCGGCATCTTCCTCAGACATAAACTCCACGAAGCCGTAACCTTGATGTGTCTGTGTAACGCGATCCTTTGGAAGATGGACATTTTGGATGCGACCGGCCTGGAGCATAAGCTCCCATATCAACTGATCCGTGACGCGCTCATCGATGTTGCCTACATAAACAGTGGCTTCCTTGTCCTGTTCCCTACGGTTTGTTAGCTGTAGGCTGGGGAGATTGATGAAGCATGTATTTACCAATGACGCGCACCCGTAGCGCCAGACATTGTATCGAAGAAGAGCGAAAATCTGCCGTACGTTTGGAGCTGTCGACAAGGTATCGAGTGAAGTTCAAGAATGACGATGGAAAATTGATGCTCCGAGGCCTTGGCATTACTAGCGTCCGCTGCGAGCAGCATCCAGAAATTTAGAGTAATTGTAGATCTTCGCAACCTTGCTTGAACCACGTTCACTTCATCTCGAATCTTCCGTACCGTTCTCAAGTCATCCGTCAAGACCTTACACATCATGTTCTCATTGTCCGAAGAGTCTAAGGTAAATCCGATTTTCAGCGCCGATATCTCACTGCTTGGGCTAACACTACGTCAGGAGCGCATCGCTCGCATTATCGATGTTTCCAGAGTCGCTATCCATTAGTATGAGCATGTCCAGAAATGTCGAAATTGAGCATATATTAATTACGTCTAGCGGATACCTTCCTTTGATCCTCTACCTTGGTGAGTTCAATACTACGCTAGAAACCCAGCATGATCATGTACTTACAGTAACAGGTTACTCCCGCAGCGAGCCCAAGCCCTCTCTCATCCGGTGAGATAATAATGAACGGCAATGATGATGACCATTCGAAATGCTCATACCACTTCCAGACTCTTCTCCCCCCTCGCATAATCGGATCGAGACCAAACAAAACCAAAACCCCCCTCCATTCGACAGACATGCGTGTATCTTCCACTGTACATTATAATAGCAAAACGAGGCGTACTTGACTTGGACGGATCGATGTGGCAAAATCAAAGGACATATGATCAATGAACCAAATGGCTACTGGTTAAAAAGCTTGAATTGCATCTCCGCATTCACAATGCCTTCCCTTGACGAGGGTGAAACGACAGACGACTTGTACAATATAGCAGCCAGTACCAAAAGCACAATGCGTACGCAGCCTGCTTTAACGATACCCTAGAAATAGGTATTAATACCAATATTGCCGCTTCAATTCACTCCGATTCTTTTTGCACATGTCAAAATGATGATGCCGGGCCAGCTCAAGGATCAAACGACTGACATAAGCGATCCTCAATTTCATATATTCTTCTGAGCCCAGACCTTGCTGGTTTGTACTACAGAAGGCTGCAGAATTCGCAATACTGTTAGTCGTCCCTCGATTCGCCTTGCCTTGCCTCGCCTGTATGTCTCATATGATGATGGTGGGGTTTGCGCCAATGGCGTTGAGGCTCTTCCCCCACGTGCCTGGTGGAAGCCTCCAGGTGGCTCGCCCTAAACGGTTTGAAAGTGAACGCCTCCAATGCCCACTAACGGGATTACATCCATTCTCATACTCTAGCAACTCTACAACCAGTAAATAGCTGCAAACCCTAGTCATGGGAAAACCTCCATCTCTAACCGGGCCCACGGCATTGGGCTCAATGTCTCCATGGCTCACGTTTTACCCACACCCCCCACGTTTCCGGACTCTAGTGATACTGTCATTCTACACAAAACTGAACACTATTCCATCTGGGTAACTCAATGAACTGATGGCCTCTTATGCCAGTCGCTTGTCATGATACCGTCCCGTTTGCTCCAACATCTACAAAACCTCTACCTCAGGCGCTTTTCCAGCTCCGTCCGGGTTGCTAGCCCCACTTCTATGTGCGTTATCCAGCATTTAAGATGACGGATATCCCCAGTGTCGGGGATATCCTGATGCTATCGCAAGTAGCTTGGAAAATCGGAAGAGCATTTACAGCAGGTCGCAAGGGTGCACCACTCGTATTTCTAGAGGCGGAAACGGATGTCAATACCCTCGCGAAGGCTTTGAAGGCACTAGCTGGAACCCTGTCCACTGAAGCGGAAGATACCTCACTGAAGAGGGTAAACCCACAGACTCAAAAAGGGCTCAGTGTAATCCTCTTATCATGTCATCGAACAGTGCACGACTTGGATACTCTCATCGATCGTTATCAGATCACCAAAAGAAATCGTAAGGACGGCGGATTTGCTATCGAAAGGACGTGGACGGACACGGTATTAACTTCGTATAAGTCGATTTCATGGACCTCTGAGGGTGGAGACATTCAAGATCTTCGACATTTGTTACAACTCCACGCTAGCGTCGTCTTGCTCACAAGGCAAGCAATACAGAGGTAACAATCATGGCCCTTGTTTACCCTTCGCAGCTGACATTGCGTCAAAAGTAAAAGTCTATCACGTCTTGAGGAAGTGGTCCCGCCAATGGCTGAAAAGATTCAAAGCGACCTTTCTACGACACAATCATTGAATGAACTGCTAGAAGACCTACACCTCACTGTCACTGAATCAGATAGCCTAGGCTCAATGGACCTTGATAGCAAAGAACCAAATCGCAGGAAATTGGACCCAATCAGCTTCGCCAAACTGAATAGGAATTCGGATGACTTGTTTCCTCAGCATGTTCTCATTAATGATTACATCGATCTGGATCTAGGACCGCGAGGACCACCACCGACTATACCATTACCCAAAATACCGATAGTGACTATGACAGATGCGTCTCCCACTACACCAACCACGAGACCAACGTCTCCCAATCGAAAAAGAGTGTCAGACTTCAGTTTCAGCGGTTCCACCGTGAGGTATTCTGGGAGCTCCATCTCCTCAGATGGGGCGGCGAGTCCTGGCTGGCCCAGCCCTACCGGCACGCATAAAGGCACACGCGTTAGTCGTTCAGCATCTATGAAGAAGAGGTCGAAGCTCCCATCGACACCTGAGATGGGTGAACCACTTTCTAGGCCGGATTCAACCACATTATCAGCACTTCCCCCGCCTGCTTTGGATATGGACGACCTCCGAATTGAGAGGGCGACATCGGTGTCTAGCCATGGTACACAATCCGAACTCAAGGGGAGGCATCGAAGTTCAACGACTGCAACGCAAGAAGCCCTGTTCGAGAAGGAAGCTTTTCGAAACTCAGCGATCCTTTGTGACATGTAAGTGATCTGTAAAAGGTCTTTGTCAATGTTTGCCTTTGCCAGAACTGACCGTTCCGCAGTCGTTGCTCCCTTGTTGAATATGCACAACAGCTGTCCCAAGACGATCCATCAGACGTACAAATGGTAACAGTTGGAGAATCCTGTCGAGTTCTCGTCGTGCGTAAACGCGAGCCCATCTCCCCATATTCTACAGAAGTCCAAACCACAACCTCGATATGGACGTTCACCGACGACAACACGATCCGAATGCAACTACGCATGTCAGACGACGACGTCTACGTCCCCTACTCATCCTACTTCAACCCAGGCAAAATCAGCATCACCGTACCCTGCGAACTCAAATACCACGACGTCAAATTCGGCGACCGCCTCCAACGAACCGCATCCACCAGCTGGATCAACTACGTCTTCGACAACCCAAAAGGCGCAGCGTCATTCCAGAACGAACTTATGGGCCGCACCCTACTTGCCAGCTGGCCGACCTCGAAAACCATGCGCATCCACGAAGGGTTCTCGGGTACCTTCTCGTACGCAGAGCAGATGTGCGGGATGGAGAATCTGCGGATATGGGAGGACGACGAGACGCGTGCGATCATTGCGCTGATACACTTCTCAGCGCACTTTCGAAATGGATATCTCGCTTTCTACCTGAATGCGAGGGAGAACATGATTAAGGTGAAAGACGATGGCGGCACACAGGTCAAGATAAAGGGCCTCAGGGTGCCGTTGGAAGGGAAGAATAAGAGTAGGAAGGACTCGGCGATCGCTTTCAGTGGAAAAGATGGAGTCAGCGATAAGAAGAAATTCATCACCGGGTGTAAGGTGGAGTTTGAGAGCGAGGAGGAGAAGATGGAGTTCATCGGCTTCGTGAAGAAGTGCCAGGAGAATCCTAGGGACTTGCCGGATCTTTTAGGCGTTAATTGACTGGAAGGGATATTTGTACGTACAAATGGTTATGGGCGTAATGGGCACATGGGAATGTATGCTGAAGGTTGTATGGTTCGTGTTGAGCGTTCGTCTGAAGGTATCCTATCATGTTCACTGACAAATCATATGGTTCTTTATTGGTGTACGGTACCTCACGAAATATGACCCATATTCTCCTCAGGAGTTTTCTCTAATCAATTCTCACATCTATCAGCAAATTGATATCGATAATAATTTGAATTCCAATTGTATAACTGCCAACAATTCCGTCCAATGCCTCTGGCCTGACCTAGCCGAAAAAGGAATATATCTAGGAGTCATAACCTCAACACCAAATCCCATACTCCGTACAAAAGAAATCCACCCCACACGCAATTTCCAGCCAATCCGCCACACGTATCACATCATCCGTGGCTTTTACTCCGATATCGTCATTCCGAACCGTGTACCACCACCCACAATCTCAGAAATTCCATCACTAGGATTTGGATGCGGTGTTGGCCTTGTTTGACGTCGTTGCCTTCTGAGCTTCGGCTTCTTGGTCTCTAACGGCCTTTTCGCGGCCTGGTCTCTCCCATAACGGCTTGTCTGTTTCGTTGAGATCTTTTCCCATGTAGGAATCTGATGGCGTTGTCTTATTGGCTTCGGCTTGTTTGGCCATGTCGGCGGTAACTCGACGCTTCATGAAGTTGCGGAAGTTTTCATCCTCCTTCCCCGGGTCGGGACGTGCGAACAAATTGGGCCCCAGGAGTCCCGTGTTTTTGGTTGTTTTGTTGTTGTCCGTTGATTGGGAAGACATCGTTATGGATGGATGATTTCTTCGACTGATCGATTATCCGGATTTCGAGTTCTGGATTGGAGAATGTAATGATTGAAGATGGATAGATTGCTAATGAGGAAACAGAGGTAAACAGGTGGAATTTATAGTGATTGGATAAAGTCGTGAGTCTTTTATATCCAGTCATGATTGTTTGGGGAGTCAATGAGGATTATAGTCACCAAGAGAGTGTGTTACTGGCTGTGAAGATTTGTCTACGTGACCAGGAGCATTGTGCAATCTAACATGAATGAGTACATCGTGCTAATGACACATATTTTTGTTATGGTCAAAGCCGTGATTTGAATTGCGCAGGGGCCATACAAACATGTCTCGGTGCGAAGGTTTGAAATCATAGAAATTGTTGCGAAGACGGGTGTATTTTGGGTTTGACAATCTTCAAGGGCGAGGTTTCAGTCCATTGACATCACGTAGCCTTTTGTACCAGGCTTTGTACTTAGCAGCAGCGGAGTATCATAAGAATTTGCGCATAATTGAATTCGCTGAATTGCACCAATAAATGTTATCCATGGCCGTTTTGATACAGCTTCTATAGACAAAGTTTTGAAAACGCCACGCAAGCCATGCTACAGTAATTAGTACACTAACAGACAGCCTCGCAGAAAACTCGCAGGAAACAAAGAGAAGTACTTCAAATCTTATCGGATACCGAATCTCGATCCAAGAGTACCGAAGCGGTCGGAGGCGCTTGGTTTGGTTGGGCTTTGAGCAGCGACAGCAGCACCTTCCGAAACTCTGTGGTTTAATTAGCATGTTACCTTCATACTGGGAATAAATTATTGCACTCACTTTTCGATCAGGATAGCGCCCTTCATGCTATCAACCTTTCCATACTTCCTGTTTCTTTGCGCAACATCAAAGAACTCGTCCGAATTCTCAGTACCCATGAGCGCGATCGTCTGGGTCAATTCATCCAAATTCTCCATCAAAATGGGATTGTTTAGGCTCTCGACGAAAGAGGAAAGGAAGGCCGTGTCCTTGGCAAGACTTTGGACTGCGGCGGGAGTGATACGCTTCACACTGTCATCAAGAGTGAGGTCTAGGATAGCGGTGGATGCATGGCTAAGCGCATCGAAGTAGATAAACTCCTTGATGTCGGTAGGAAGAGCGAGAAGAACGGAGTTCATGATATTGGAGAGATAGCGCGTGAGCTCTTGCATGTAGTTGCTTGGCTCGCTGTTTGCCTTGGATGCCATCCAGTCATATTCTGCTGTTTCGATGAGATCATCAATCTTAGAGTTGACAAGCTCGAAAATGCGGTCAGAGGCTGTCTTCTTTGCAGTCTTGAACTCTTCGGTGGCTTGAAGAATAATTGGTCCGGTGGCAGAAGGCGAGGATCTGGCTTGGAATAGTAAGTCCTGAAGCTCGGTACAGGCGGTTTCAAAATGCTCCAGATTAGTGAGAATCTGAACGATCTGTCCGGGGTATTGCGAAGCCAAACGCTCAACAAGCGATTTGCAAACTTTATCGCACAGCAATTCATCTAGTGACTGGATAACAGTCAGTACAGCAGATCGAAGGAGTCTTTATCTGTATACTCACTTCACGGAGTGTCTCATCGATGACCGTTGAGCGTTGAAAATAGTCATCCGAGAACAGATATATCTGGTTTAGGAAGTTCCGAATATCAATGCAGCAGAGTGGATACATTTGTGAGAACGGGAGAACGCAAGGGAAGCTGCAATATCATTAGCCTGTGAGACTGGATTTAGTCGAGAATGACAACATACGTAAGTTGATCGCGCTCTTTGTCCGGGCTATACCAGCTGACAGTGACCACTTTGTCATACTCTTCAATGCTATTGATGGGCATGGGCATGTAGTCATCTGTGTTGACGATCTCTAGGAAATCTTCACTGAAGCGCGCTTTGAGTAGCTCAGAATACTTTTCGAACAAAGTCAAGAGGAGGTCGTTCATTGCAGAAACAGAATAACCCCATTTCTTCTCCTGTCAGCACATACAACCTAGGGGAAATAAGAGCTCTCTTACCTCCATGGTGAGCATGAACAATGCAATCTGCCCCTTGATTCTCAATAATCTTTCATCATTATTCACCAAGGATAAGTTTTTTGATATCAGGGCAACTGCGCTCTGACACATGGAATCCCATAGTTCATCAACCTAGACGAATGTCAGAAAAGGGTTAGGCTAGATATTATGAGCACTTACATCTGACAACTGCCGGAAGTTGTCCGTCTTAGCCATAGTAGCCTTCTCAACGATCCCAAAGCCAGCAATACTCTCCAGCAGACTACTTAAGTCCGAGCCGTCTTCGTCGAGCAGGTTCAGTTGTTGCGGAATGAGCAAATCTTTTTGTGTCCGTCGAGTAGCAGCATACGTCGTTCTGAAGGAGTCACTTTTACCGAGAGTTTCATGAATGTGCATTGCTTCGAATAGAGGGGTGAAGTCGACTTCGAGGTCCGCTTCCTCGTTGTTGAGGATGTCGAACTCGTCCATCTCATCTGCGACGAGCTCCATGGCAGAATTGAGCTTGAATTTGGCAAAACGCTCATCGGTCTCTCCCCTTTCTCTATTCCGTGTCCGGCGCACGTCCTCTGTGTAGTAAAAAGCAAACTCTCCTAAGAATTGTGACGTTTCGCGAATGCGATAGAGCCAAGTGTTCAAATCGGCCATGACCGCTTCCGCGATCATTTTCTGAGTAGCCGGCACTGATCTCTCAATCAATTCAGCGATCTTGTACCGGCTAACCTCTTTCAGATGAATCGTTTGCAATTCATCCAACGCGCGCAAGGCTGCATAATGATTTTTCTCCTTGAGAAGATCTACCACTTGATTTGCAAGCCTTAAAACGTTGAGACAAGCATTCAAGGCCTGGTCCGCCTCGTTCACATTCTGCCTCACGCTCCGGGAATCGACAAGCGCCTTCTTCTGTGCTGCTAGTTTCTGGATGCTTTCCTGGATTGACTCATTCAATTCCAGAATCTGGGTAGTCATTTGGACCGTGCCCTCCCGGACCTGCAGGAGCTGATTGACGGAGCTGACGAATTCCTGGTGGTTTGCATTGCAGATTCTTTCGATTTCTCGGTCTCTATCACTGGCGAATTGGCTGAAAGCTTGCATTAGCTGATTTGAGTACCGGGGGTCCTTCATGACAGGGACCAAATGCTCGATATAATCGGAGTCAGAGGACGACTGGGAGATCTAGAAGCCGTCAGGACAGTTGATTGAACTCCGATTCGCGCGATGTCACCTGTTTGATCGCCAGCCATAGTTCATCTTGATCGGCGGATGGCATCCTGCCAGTTCGATAATATTAAATGGCGCTTTTTGGTGATGTCCACTCTATCCAAAGCCTCAAGCTCCTATCTCTTTTGAAAAAGAAGATTCCGTTTGGAAGTGATTGTGTTGTTGCCTATACCGCAACCCCTAGGTAGAAAGCGACACCTCTGATGTTAGATGTCAGAGTAAGCTTTTGGTCTAACCAAAACGAGAACTAGATCACGTGGTCGGTTACGACCGGGTGCTGCCCCGCGGTGGCAGAGCGATGACGGAGTACAGTCCAAGCTCGTTTCATTCCGATCCGGAGTCAAAGATTCGCAATTTATATTTCCTCCCACTATCTCCCGATTCTCCTCCCAACATCAAACAACACATTCAAATTTTACACATCATGGAAGCCGTTACTCGTAAGCTTGCAATTGGACTGCCCCTGCGTGCGCTCGTACTGACATTTCATTAGAAAAGATTCAGGAAGTCCTTGGTGGCTCATCCACCACTGGCCAGTCAGTGGAGCCGTATAGTAATTGACTACCCAAACACTAACATCTATCCAGATCCGTCCTCCTCCTTGGTTCGGGCTTCGTGTATGTTCATATGCAGACCAATCTTCCTCTGACTAAATGACTGACGTTTACGAAATAGCGCCCGCCCCACCGCAGAGGTCCTCGGAAACTCTGGCGTAAAGGTCACAATCGGATGCAGGACACTCGAGAACGCACAGGCATTGGGCAAGGGCATCAAGAACACCAGCGCCATCAGCATCGACGTCAGCGATGAGAAGGCTCTCGACGCTGAGGTTGAGAAGGTTGACCTCGTCATCAGCTTGATCCCCTACACCTACCACGCAACCGTTATCAAGTCCGCCATCCGCAAGAAGAAGCACGTCGTCACCACCTCCTACGTCTCCCCCGCCATGGAGGAGCTCGACGCCGCCGCCAAAGAGGCCGGCATCTCCGTCTTCAACGAGATCGGTGTCGACCCAGGTGTCGACCATCTCTCCGCGGTCCTCACCATCGATGAAGTTCACAAGGCCGGTGGCAAGGTCCTCTCCTTCCTCTCCTACTGCGGTGGTCTCCCCGCCCCCGAAGCCTCCGACAACCCTCTCGGCTACAAGTTCTCCTGGAGCTCGCGCGGCGTTCTCCTCGCCCTCCGCAACGCCGCCAAGTTCTGGAAGGACGGCAAGATCGTCGAGGTCGAGGGCCCTGAGCTCATGGCCGAAGCCAAACCCTACTTCATCTACCCTGGCTTCGCCTTCGTCGCCTACCCCAATCGCGACTCCACCCCCTACAACGAGCGCTACAACATCCCCGAAGCCCAGACCATCGTCCGCGGCACGCTCCGCTACCAAGGTTTCCCCGAATACATCAAAGCCCTCGTGGACATCGGCTTCCTCTCCGACGCGGAGAACGCCGCGCTCAAGGAAAAGCGCACCTGGAAATCCGCAACCGCAAAGATCGTCGGCGCCGAATCCGACAAGGCCTCTGACATCGAATGGGCCATCTCCTCGCGCCACAAGTTCAAAGACAACGACGACAAGCAGCGCATCCTCGACGGCTTCCGCTGGCTCGGCCTCTTCTCCGACGAGGAGATCATCCCCCGCGGCAACCCGCTCGACACCCTCTGCGCCACCCTCGAGAAGAAAATGCAGTACGAGCCCCACGAGCGCGACATGGTCATGCTGCAGCACAAGTTCCTCATCGAGACCAAGGACGGCAAGAAGGAGACCCGCACGTCCACGCTCGTCGAGTACGGCGACCCTAAGGGATACTCCGCCATGGCGAAGCTCGTTGGTGTGCCTTGCGCGCTCGCGGTCCAGGCTATCCTCGATGGCACGATCACCCAGAAGGGTGTGTTTGCGCCTATGACGCCTGAGATTTGCAAGCCGTTGTTGGATACGCTCGGCGAGAAGTATGGTGTTTACTTCGTTGATAAGACGATCTCGTAGACATCGAGTCTGCCCTTAAAAACAAAATAGAATGTCTGACGAACCTTGAAATTGAGGAAAAAAGAGAATGATATTTGATGAACACAGCACCCCCCCTTACCCGAAGCTACCTATCCACACATTCAATTATGTAAGGGTAGCTTCTTTATAGACGAACACAAAAAAGAATATGATTACGATGTTTTTGCCATGATTGTCCAATATTGTAAACAGCCTCCTTCCGTGAAATAAAGTCCTCTGTTTGATATGGGAGTACGCAAACATATATATATTAAGTCAAGAACACATTTTGCAAAGGCGACCACTTTTCACAATATCTTGTTAAGGGTGTGATGGGTGTGACTTTAGAAACGAAGGAAGAATTTTTTTGGGGGCTTGGGTTGAGTCGGGAGTGGTGTCTTCACTGTTTACGTTCGTGTATACACCTCTCTATCTATCCACACCCAACTGGCGAGTTCACGATTATGAGTTCAATTCAGATAAATTATTCTTCAAGTGCAAGGTTGGTGAGAGATGAAGGAGGGATGTTTATTAACTAAGTTCGGGATTCCTTATATGGTAGAAATGGTGGTAGGTACTCATGAGTGAACGATCGGAGAAGCGCTGTTAGATGCGTGTGTACAATGTTGTCTTCGGAAGGCGAGGTATTGCGGAATGCTGGGCAGGTTGAGTGTATGACGTTGATAGAACTGCTCGGACAAATTAAAGAACTGCAAGTACTCCGTACCGTAAAGCCACGGCGAGAACCACATATGAAGTGAGCTACGAAGCGTTAGGTGTGAAACGACAAAACCCATCAGTCTAGTCCAACCTGCACGGAAGTGACGTGATTCCCAGCGTCAAAAATCGGAGAGTAAAATAAGCGAAGAATGAGATTGATCTGGTCTTGGTTTTCTCTCGAACCTATTATTTTTTTCCCTTGCCTATTTCCGACGACGGTCCAAACGTTTCAAAACCGCGGTCCCGCTTAGGTACTGGATGGTCGTGATGCACGTCTGAAACAACGAAGATCGCTACAGCCGCCCGCCGCCCGCACCCCCTCCCCCTCCGTGGTTGCACGCTTGGCTGCGAATGGCGTGGTTGCGGCGAAAGGGAATGGGTTGACTGGCTGGGGCTGGGCTGGGCTGGGGGGTGCTCACTCCGCTCGCTTCGTTTTGGATGGCGACGATGGGCGATTTCTGCTTACCTGCCGGATTTGGGGTTGGGGGTTGCAATTGAGTTGGCGCCGGTGGGATTGGTCGGTGGAGATGGAGACAGACGAGAGAGGGAGGGGGCGGGAATGAGAATGCTATTAATATGTTGCCGCGATCTTACTGTAGACGAATGCAATGGACCTTTCATCTCGGGTGGTGAGTAGGGAAAATAAAGATCTGCTGGTTGAAGAGCGTCTTGAAGCACCAGACGTCTGCGATATTCTGGAAAAATCCAGGCGGATGGCGGAAAAGGCGGACGGCGGATGCGCAAGCAAGCTTTCAGCCTCTGTCCATCGCCGAGCAATGGCGAGGTGCAGGCTATTACCTCGTAGCATGGGGGTGGCCCTGACCCAATGCATTTGCGCTTGGGTGCTGCAAGTTTGGTTATGAGTGTACGTGCTTGAAACAACTTTCCTTGGGAGAGAGTTTCGAGTGGTACCGACTCTTGTAGTAATAGCCATGCGCCATGTAGGAGGGGAGGCTTCGCGACCGATAGGGTGACAGCTGAGAAACAAAAGCATGTGAGGATTCAAGCATGTAAGCATGTACAATTTGGACATGCATCTGATGATGGGTCGTCAGTTAGTTGCCATTGCGATCGTAAGTATCTGCCACTACGCCATAATGACTGAGTATACATATTGAATACGGAGTACACAACAATGTTTTCTGTTGTCGCCATGGGTAGCAACTAGTAGGTTAGGTAGAGGAAGTTGATCAATATTGCCACGTGCGAGCGAATGCACCTGGGCGGGGTCGGAAGCATCCATGTGCTTGTTGGCGCTGCTTTAGGAAACTCTTAAGAATTCGGCGGATAGCATTTGGCATTGTCGTTGCTTGAAACCCGAGGACGGAGATCGAAAGTACAACAGAGAACAGACGAGGGGAAACAAGACGAGACGATGTCTGATGGAGTGACGGGCGAGCATGTTGCAGCCATGTAGGCGAATGAAAAAGATGAAACTAATAGCTAGGAGTAGGCGTATTAGGAGTATTACTGCCGAACAGCTAGTAATTGCTCTGATGTTTAGGCACAGGAGTAGTGCTCCGTAGTGGACTAGACCTTGAAGCGGAATCTACACCGACTCATGAGGGCAGGGACATGTATTATTGAATTGGGAGGCGACTGCAAGTATCTATTTGGAAGTCAACACAAATCCAAGACAAGGAAGTTGAACATACCGACTCCTTAGGTATTGCTACTTAAGCTCAGATGAAAACAAGTGGTGCGTCGAGAGGTATTTCCATCAGATTAGGCTCGCCCTGTTGGTTCTTTTATTTGACTTTATTTTTGAATCAATCTTCTTCTTTTTTCTTGTTGATGAAACAATCTCACAGGGCCACCAATACTAGCTCTTTGTCTTATTCCCATTCGACCTGACTGGACAGCAGTGATTGGTAGTTGGTTGCTTGTCATCTATTCACTCCCTGTATTGGCTGGAGTGTGAGCGAGGAGACTGAGAGTGAACGTGTATGAGTAGTTAATGGATGGTAAATGTTTTGGATTGTTCATCCTCCAAGTAACTACTCAGTACGAGGTACGGAGTATAACATCACCAATTACCTGGCCGAAGTGACTGACTCTTGTAGATTGATGAAGAGAGTGAATGACTCTGTACAGTGAATTACTGGTGTTGCACTTTCCCCATCCTAGTCAGCCCCCCGTCCGCTCCCGCCAGCCAATCAACCCAGCCGACCAATCAGCTGAAGCGACCTTCGCCTGTAAACCCTCCTCTCTGGCTTCCTCCTCCGGTGCCCAACACAACAACATCCATCCACATCCTCGTCTTCCTCGTCTTCCACCGCCGCCTCTTGGGAGTCGTTGATCCACCAACCGACTTTCTTCTCCCTCTCCTCCTCCTCCTTCTCCTCCTCCGTCTTACACTTCTCACCCATCAAACTACCCCTACCCATCCTATCCCTACTCCTTCTCCTACTCCTTCCACCCCTACTCCGCTTAATACCCTACCACCTACCGCCTACCATCTCTTCTTTCTCTCCCGCTCTCTCACCTCTCTCTCCCGCCTACCTACCTACCACCTAACCACCTCCCTCCACCACCGTGTGTTGTGCTGTGTCGTACTGCACCTCTGCAGCTCCTACCACCACCACGGCTACACAATAATTACACTCACTCTCGCCTTCACGACAATCCGATCCTCTTCCGCCGTGCGAGAGAGAAACCCTGCCCAAAGTCTCTCGATCGCCGACTTCAAAACGCCTCCTTCACCGCGTCGTCGTCTGATCCCCTCCCCGCATTCACCACAGCCTTCCGCCCAGTCAGCAACGTCCAATCGCCTCAATACCCCCCGCCAGACAATACGAACGATTGGAATAGCCTGTGTCCCTCAATACTCCAAATACCACCTTTTGTTGTCCGCATGGTTTGAGTCGCAGAGTAAGTATTGTTTGATTCAGTTATTTGTCTTTCCCGCTTGTTGCAGGGAAGCCCCTTTGCCGCTCTGCCATACCTCCTCCACCATCGGCGCTCGCCACGCCTACCTATAACCTCCCAACTGCCTTCATGAAATCCCCCCTCACTCCCATAACCTTCCGACTTCTAGTTAATCATCCTCCGCAACCAGAATGTACTCGCGCGACCAATTCATGAACCCCGGGCCAGCGCCCCGTCCGCCCACGGATCGCCCTCGCCTCGCCCTCACTCCTAATACAAGCAGCACCCTCCCGGGCAACATGGCAGGCCTGAGCCTGCAATCACCCGCCTTCAACAGCGGTTACAGCAGCAGCAATGGCTCCACTCCGTCCCTCATTCGGACGCAAACAGAGAAGAGCATGGCCTCTTCCAGCTCGGGCATCGTCAAGGAGGGTAATGTCAAAGTGAAGGATGAGGGACTTTTCAAGATTTGGGCAGATCGATGGCTCGTCCTTCGCGAATTCGAATTGGCGTTTTTCAAGAGCCCCAACGCTTCCAAGGTGGCCAACTCAATCTCCCTCCGCGATGTTCTAGGCGTCGAACGCTCAGATACCCAAGCCCTCTCCTTCGAAATCACTCGTGCCCTCAACGTTACAAAGGGCTCTTCTCCTCCACGAGATGGACCAACAAAAGTCATAACCTGCAAGGTCGAGACTGACGATGAAGTATACGCATGGATTGACAGCATTTACCAACGATGCCCCAGCATGGGTGGCGTAAGCAACCCCACCAACTTCACGCATCGAGTGCATGTGGGTTTCGACCCCACTAGCGGGGCCTTCGTCGGTCTTCCCGTGGAGTGGGAGAAGCTTTTGACTGCTTCTGCTCTTACCAAGGATGATTATGCCAAAAATCCAAAGGCCGTCTTGGAAGTTTTGGAGTTTTACACTGAGAAGCTTGTTAAGCGCTCAGAAGACCCCCAGCAGTACCCCAGCCTCACACCCACCCCACCAGTGAACGCTGGCGTGGAGAAACAGCTCGGATATGGAGCAGGCGGTGGTAGCTCCATTGCACCACCTCGGCCAGGACCTCCCAACGGCTACAAGCGTCAGGACAGCTATAGCATGAGCCGTCAGAACACACCACCCCAGGGAGGATATGGCGCCCCCCAGCAGTCGAGCTACCAGCAAGATCCCCGCATTGAACAGGAGCGACGACGATTGCAAGAGGAGGAGGCCCGCATCCAGCGTGACCGTGAAAGGGAACGCCAGAGGCAAGAGTACGAGCGACGGGAGCGTGAAGAGATGGCTGCCTACAATGCCTCTCTACCAAAGACCAAGGTCCCTATGGCCCAACAAGAGATCGGAGGTGGTGGCTACGAGAGTCGGGAGCACAGCCCATCCGGCCAGTCTAGGTACAACCCGAGCCGACCCGCGCCATCGACCCCGGGCGCTCCTAGAGATCGACAGCAGCCCCCTAGCTCATTGCGCCAGATGGCCGCTCAGCGTCCGGCCCCCTCAGCCCCGAATAAGGCCCAGAATGGAGGTTATCCCAGCTCTCCTCAAGCGAAGGCGGCCCCTCCCAACGCCCAAAGGCCCCCCGTTCAGCCGAACTCGAGGTATCAAGACTCAACCGGTAACATTCCCCAGGCTCGTCCTGCAAATGGCCAGACACAACAGCCGAAGTATGCTTCGCCAGCTGCACCAAAGCCACTTAATGTTGCAAAGCCCGCGCCAGCGCCCGTTGATCCTGTAAAGGAGGCAGAGGCGGCGCTTACCAAGAAGGAGGATCCGCCACGCAAGGACGTCCGCATGTCGAGCATGTCCGAGAGCGAGGTCATGGCCAAACTCAGGGAGGTTGTTTCCAAGGACAAGCCATTGGATTCGTACAATAAGCAGAAGAAGATTGGACAGGGAGCTTCCGGTTCGGTCTATGTCGCTCGCATTCGCGAGAGTGCCACATCTGCTACGGCGAGAAGGATCTTGCAGGAGAACGGACCTCGCGCCCAGGTCGCTATCAAGCAGATGGATCTCCGCAACCAGCCCCGAAAGGAGCTCATCGTGAACGAGATTATCGTGATGAAGGACAGCAAGCACCCCAACATTGTCAATTTCTTGGATGCTTTCTTGCAAGAGGAGCAATCCGAGCTCTGGGTCGTCATGGAGTTCATGGAGGGTGGTGCTTTGACCGACGTCATCGACAACAACACATCTATCAGCGAAGACCAGATCGCAACTATCTGCTTAGAGGTAAGCAATGCACGCGGATACAAAGCGCAAAGATGAAGTCGCTAACAATTTCCAACAGACTTGCAAGGGCCTTGAGCACCTGCACAACCAGAATATCATTCACCGAGATATCAAGAGTGACAACGTTCTCCTTGATGGACGCGGCAATGTTAAAATCAGTAAGTTTCCCACTTGACCCTGCCTGTGTGGCTTGTCAACTAACCACAAAATAGCCGATTTCGGTTTCTGTGCCAAGCTCACTGAGCAGCGTAGCAAGCGTGCTACCATGGTCGGAACACCATACTGGATGGCGCCCGAAGTCGTCAAGCAGAAGCCATATGGCAACAAGGTCGACATCTGGTCTTTGGGAATCATGGCTATCGAGATGATTGAGTCCGAGCCACCGTATCTCAACGAGGAGCCGCTCAAAGCTCTCTATCTCATTGCGACCAACGGAACACCCCGCCTGAAGAAGCCCGACAAGCTTTCCAAGGAACTCAAGGCCTTCCTCTCTGTCTGTCTCTGCGTTGATGTTAAGTCAAGAGCAAGCGCCTCCGAACTCATGAGCCACGACTTCCTGAAGAGTGGCTGCAGCCTAAACACTCTATCCCAGCTGCTTAATTTCAGGAGGAACGGCAGCAACTAGACCTTCTCGCCACATTCCGCAACAATTTTCTCACGTTTCTGAACTCGGATTTTGATCGATACCCATTCCATGTTCAATGTCTCTCCACCTTAGTTCCGTTTCGGCCTTTTACATATCCCCCAAGAATTCTTCGGATCAGTCTGCAAATAAGCAAGCGCAAATAAGCAAGCAACTAGCGACCCCATTCAAAAGCGCACATCAGCCTTTCCGTCTCAGATATCCGCATAGCCCGCGTTCGTAGAGTCGTTGCCACCTCGTACACACTGGTTCCGTTCAAATGTTCTGGTATCACTTTTCTCAATTGGCCATGAGCATCTGGGAACGCGACATCGCATACTCACTTCCTACGCGATCCTGGCATCTGAACCATGTGAAGCGTTCTTCCCAATACCTCACTCGTCTTGACTGGATTCTGCCACGAAAGACGCTACATGTACACACACGCATCTCACCCCTTGAAACGTCATTTGGTCTATTTGCGCCATTTCTGCCAGTGACAAAGGTCGTATGCATTTCACGGCCTGGCCATGTTTCCGGATTTTCCCAAGTTTTTGTCTTCCTCGTTCATTTCCTGCGGCCGGTGCGCCCCATGGCCTAACGATTCCGAATAGATCGACTTTGCGGTTTTATTTTTCATCATGAACAGGGAGGCCGGCCTTTACTCTTGTGCACGCTTTACTCGTGCGGGTTGGTGAGCTGCAGACGGCCACGTCTTCTAATTTGGGCCCCCTTTGCTTGCTTGCCGACCTGGAAAAAGTCTTTGGGCCAGCCGACGGAATGAGAGGACCGAGACCAGGAAGGAACGGAAGGCAACTGCTGCTTTCCTTCCTTTCCTTCCTTTCCTTCTCCCCCCTCCTTCCCTCTCACCTCGGTCTTTTGCGATAGTCTTTTTCTCCCCTCTTTTTTCTATTTCTTTGCATAGGACTTCTTTGTCAAAGGCGAAAAAAAATCCTTAATGAGAAAGTGAAATGCAAGGGCCGCGCCCCAAGGGGGAATCATCAGAACAAATAGAACGATTTGATAATTTTCTTGTTTGCAACCGAACAAAAATTCTAATGACACTTGTGAGAAATCCGTGGATTGAAAGAGCTTTGCTAATACTACGTCATCTACACCACACAAAACCAAAAGCATTGAAGGAGGGGATGGTGTCAAAGATCAATTGGTTTTGTTTGCCTTCACCCTCCTTTTCCATTGAACAACAGAGCAAATACAATGCCAATCGACCTACCCACGCCGCTAAACTCATTCGCCACATGGCTGATGGACGATCAGGTAGGAGGAAAAGCGAATGGAGCAACTACTGCTGCCACTTTTCTAGGTCTTTCTTCAACCTTTTCTTAGAATTGTACATGCAGGTTTTATCTTCAAGCTATCTAGCTAACGCAATGCATGTATTCAAAGTCATAAACGCCATGAACCTTGAAGTACCTAATCATGTCAGTTACACCTTCCGCTCAATCATCTTCACGCCCTCCTGTTCCACCACGTAACGAACCATGGCGCAGATGTCATTATCGTACAGGGCAATGATGCCGGGCTGACGTACAGCGGGATGTCCATCAAGCAGCTGGTCGCAATGCCGCACGTCACAGCGACGGATGGACCCATGACAGAGAAGCCGTCTGGATCGCCTAGAAGTTCGAGTGTTAAGGTGGTTCTTTCCTGTGGTTGATTCTCCAAAAGACGACAATAGAGACCTTCAAATGGGGAGTTACTTTTGTTCCATAAGGCCAATTAACGACGAACTTATGCTGCAGCAAGACCATATCACGCTCGCCAGGACCAACGCTCATGAGCTTTTCCAGCCGTGCACACGGGGTGTCTAGGATGTTGGAGTCAACGATTTCGGCCTTGTCGGAGGATAACACATTCATCTCATGCCAGAAACCACGCGCTCGCTCTCCTCAACATTTGAGAAGTGGACGGTCTGTTTGATCTTGGATACGAGAGACCTAGTTCGGCGTCAGTCACCTCATCATCGAAATACAAAAAGTAACTCACTCCTTATCAGCATCCCCAGCCCCAACAGCCTTCCGCCGGATCTCCCCCCCAGGTCATACCATCATGCAACTGCTCTTTCTTGTCTTACTGCAGCCATCCTAGATTGAGCCCCTAGGGCTACCACGAAAGCTGGATTGCGCTTGTAGCGAAGTGAACCGCGAGCGACGGTTCGCGCTTCTGGGATGTTATAGAAATCTGGAAAGGGAACAGAATCGCGATTTGCATAGGCAACCAAGTCATATCTATTCATGACATAGCAGGGCATAGCAGCATCCATGAGATCCTCAGAGGAGATCACAACACAGCCGTCCTTCAAGTACCTAGTAAAAAGCATTGGGAAATCAGCACTCCCACGCGGTGGCGACCGCAAGAACTTGAACCCCAGCGGAATATCGCCGGCGGGGAGACCACCAAAGTACGGATGGAAGTCACGCACCTTCCGGCCTCGAGTGTGGATATTGGTGACTGTCGTTACAGCGTAGATGTGGTCGATGCCCAGGTCGAGTCCGACTTCATTCACTGTCTTGAGTGCCTCTTAGTCAAAGACGAAGTGAGCGCTGGGGTTTTGGAACAGGTACTCGAAAATCAAGATTCGGATAGAGTAGAGCTTTTATTATCACTTCTCTGTATACACTGTAATGGAGTCTAGTATGTACTAGATGAATGTTATAACATGTCCACTGTTTACCGCGAATCTATATGATTTATATACACATCTCCAGAAGCAGCGAGCTTGAACGCCTATCTATCTATTGCACGCCCCAAACACCAAGCACATCCCTCCCGCTCCCCTCACACTCCCTCTCCCTCCTCGCCTCAAGCTTCTTAACGCGACTCACCGACAACCCGACGCCCAGTGGGCCGAGGATCGTGCACAGGACGATCGCCCACGTCACAATGAGGAAGATGTCTGATTCCTCCGCAGACTTTCCCGGGGATGCCGAGGACGGGGTGGAGGGAGCAAACACGCCGTTCGACTCGGCGAGCGCGGAGATCAGGAAGCCGATTTCGCCGCGGGCGGTCATGGCGAAGGCGAGGATGAGGGGCGGGTGGATGGAGATGGGGTTTGCGGGGGAGGTTTTGTTGTTGTTGTTACTAGTGGTAGCATTGGCGGTAGAGGAGGAGGTGGTGGGTTGGGTTTGATTTGGTTGGGAAGGCGTGGTTGTGCTTTCGGGTGCAGCAACGGGTGTATTCGCATCCGTCGTCTCCTTTTTACCCCAGAAGTGAGGGGATGAAGGGAGTTTGATCTTCGACAAAGTGGAGTGGATGCTATCTTTGAGGGGCGTGAGACTGAAGCGGACGAGCCAGAGGCCGCAGACGAGCTTGCCGAATGTCATGAGGATGGTGTAGACGATTCCGCGCCAGACGATGGGCCCGCTGAACATGCGAGTTATGGGGATGGAGAAGCCGATTGAGGCGAAGAAGAAGGGTTGGAGGATTTTGGACACGGGTTGGTGGTAGTATCGCTCGTAGATGGCTGTGCCGGTTGTGTCGTTGCGAGGTGCTGTGGTGGGTTCTTTGGGTTTGGGTTGGGGTCGGGAACTGGAGTTTTGCTGCTCTTGGGCTTGGGTTGGGGTTGATGCTTCATTGGTGGTGTTGCTTTGATCGGCAATTACTCCTTGTGATGTGCTGCATTGGGCTGTGGTGGTGGGTCGTGACTTTGCTTTCTCGTTGGCATTTTCTAGCTTATTTGATTGTCCAGCGGGAGAAGGATGAGGCAGCTCCGAATCCCACCAGCTGATAACAGCTCCGGCAATGTATGCAGCGAAGAGACCAGAAGTTCCAGCATAGGTCGCGCCGGTCACCATGCCTATCAAAACCAAGGTGTGCACGATGAAAGCCGTATGCCTCTGACCTAGCATATGGTTCAGTTTGCTGGTTGAGTGGCTTTCGCGGTACTTATTCAAAGCCTTATTTCCAGGTGCCACGAGGAAGCGGCATGCCAAAGGAACAACGACGGCGAATGCAAGAGACACCAGGATAGGTCGAACCACAGTGATAGCACCAATGTCACCGCCACCTAGATTAGATATAACCTGGACCATGACCAATCCTACAACATCGTCCATCATGGCAGCACTTGTCAACACGACTCCAAGTCGAGAGGACGATAGTCCGCTTGATCCAAGAACCGTGAAAGTGGTACCGAGACTCGTGGAGCAGAGCGCCGCACCAGCAGCGAAAGCTTGCAGAGGCGTTGCCCCTATCAATCCCTGAAGAGAGAAGGACAATGCCATGGGAACTGAGATGCCGGTGATGGCTACCGCAGAGGACAGGAGAAAGTTGGCTTTAAGAGACGTGAAGGAAGTGCTGAGCCCACCTGTGGGATATTAGCACCTGATCTTGGACAGAACAATGGCGAGAGTCTACAAAACTAACCTTCGTATACAAGTAGGAGTAGGCCAAGATATCCTAGTTGGACAATGACTTCTTCCACCTCCAATCCTAATAACTTGAAGCCCGGAGTGCCCCATGCGATGCCTAATAATACCTCACCGAGCAGGCCGCAGTACACGAGTTTGTCTAGGACGGCATTGATGATGTTGAGCAACAGCAAGAACGACGTCTGAATTAAGATAGTCAACATTGCTGGCTCATGGTAAGGCAACGATGCGCCGTGCTCGACAGCCATGGTTGCGATGGGAAAGAGAAATGATATGACAGGCGAGTGAATTGATAATTATCCTATCCCGATGTAGTTGTTCAGGCCTAGCTGCAACTACTCCGATTCGATCCAATGTCACTTAGGCAGAAAATGGGTGCGGCTCATGAGGAAAGACAGTTGACATTGAGATTGGTTGGTGAGATATAAAAATTGATTTGCGCCATCGACCAACGACGTCACGTCTGGCAGTCCTGGCAACGAGCCGACTCCCGCCATAATGCCGTATCGGGTGTAGTGTAGCCGCATAGTGCGAGTCCACAGATCCCTGCGGTGCATCTCATCTCTTATTGGTTGGGTATCTGGATGGAACTAAACCCCTAACCATCTAGGTAAGTCAGAGGCCCTGACAACAAGTCAAGTCCCTCACCAACTGCCAAAACATCCATCCCCTCTCTCACGCCGTCAACATCCCCCACACCACTGCTATTGCTACCACCTTCAACTGCTGACCAAATATAAGAACGTAGTAGTACTGATGCACACAGCCTACCATGGCGCCGCTTGAACAGCAATGGGTCAAAGTCCAACAGAAGACCTTCACAAAATGGTCCGCATTACACCCCCGCTCCGCATTCGCTGTACAACAACACTGACCCACCTCATGCAGGCTCAACAGTAAACTCAAGATCAGAGAAGTAGAGATTGAGGACTTGATTAAGGATCTCTCCGATGGCGTACGCATTCCTTTTTTTTATTCCTTCATCGTCTCTCTGTCTAGACTCGGCATCTTCTTCCGCCTTCATACCGCTCTTTTGTTGCCAAGTGACTTACAATTCCTCTCGATAGATTGTCCTTATCCACCTCCTCGAAATCCTGGGCAACGAGTCCCTCGGCCGCTATGCCTCCCGACCGAAGCTCCGCGTACAGAAATTCGAGAATGTCAACAAGTCTCTCGACTTCATCCGAAACAGGGGGATCCAGATGACCAACATTGGTGCAGAGGATGTTGTCGACGGAAATAGCAAGATTATTCTTGGCCTCATATGGACACTAATTCTGCGATTCACAATTAGTGACATTAGCGAAGAGGGTCTAAGTGCTAAAGAGGGTCTCCTCCTGTGGTGTCAACGGAAGACTGCGTGCTATGACGAGGTTGAGGTTAGAGACTTCTCGTCGAGTTGGAATGATGGCCTGGCATTGTAAGTGCATACCGGCTACAAAAATGCACGCGACTAATATTGGAGTAGCTGCGCCCTCTTGGATATCCACCGCCCCGACTTGATCGACTACGACGCATTGGACAAGAGCGACCACCGAGGTAACATGCAACTAGCTTTCGATATCGCAAGCAAGGAGATCGGTATCCCCGATTTGCTCGATGTAGAAGATGTCTGCGACGTCGCCAAACCCGATGAACGTTCGTTGATGACTTACATTGCCTACTGGTTCCATGCCTTCTCTCAGATGGAGCGCGTCGAGAACGCCGGTCGCCGAGTGGAGAAGTTCGTACAAAATATGCAAGGAGCTTGGGAAATGCAGAACAACTTTGAGAAGCGCATGCGGGAACTCCTTCGCCAGATCGCCGAGCAGCGGACGCAGTGGGAGGAGGCTCATTTCGATGGTACATACATCGATGCTAAGGCTCAGTCCGCCGAGTTCACGGGCTACAAGCGGAAGAACAAGCGGACTTGGGTTGCGGAGAAGTCAGACCTGGTGGGTCTCTTGGGAAACATCAAGACTAAACTCTCTACGTACCGACTGCGACCATACGAGCCTCCAGCCGAGCTCAGTCTCGAAGCTTTGGATACCGCGTGGGCAGGGCTCATGAAGGCCGAACGTGACCGTTCGCAAATCATAAACGAGACGATTCGAGATATCAAGAACGCTCTCCGCAAATCTTTTGCTGACAAGGCAAACGATTTTGCGCTGGCTCTGAATACGCTCTCGACCTCCATATCTGGACTTGAAGGCGATGTTGAGGATCAACTGGCCCATACGCAACAGCTTAGCAAGTCCCTACAGCCATTGGATGAATACTTGAACATCATTGCTGGTATCGACGATCAGTGCGCCGAAGCTAACATTGAAGAGAACGACTTCACAACATACACATACGATGAACTAGAATATGAGCTAGGTCTTGTACGTTCGTCTGTTTCTAAGAAGCTCGCTTTTCTCGAGAACCAGATGGTTGCGCGCAACATGACGAATCTTACGCCGATTCAATTGGAGGAGTTTGAGTCCGTTTTCAGGCATTTCGACCGCGACGTATCTAATTCGCTGGCGGAATTGGAATTCTCGGCAGCATTGGCAAGTCTGGGACTCGTATACGATGAGGAAGAGATGCACAGCAAGTTCCGTGAGACAAGCGGCGGTCGAGACTATGTCACTTTCGAGCAGTTCATTCGCTTTATGGTGGACGAGACCGAAGACCAGAACACAGCCGAGCAAGTATTCGAATCGTTCAAAGAGGTTGCTGACGGCAAGGTAAGCTTAGTAAACGGAATTGTCGAGTATGTTGAAACTGACCTATTGCAGCCATATGTGACTGAGCTTGACCTCCGCCACTCGCTTGTTCCCGACGAGATCATCGAAGACCTCGTATCTACCATGCCTACCCACAAAGGCCCCGACATGCAAGAAGACAGAGATGTGGCGAAATACGACTACATCACTTACATGGATCGATACATGGGTGGTAACGGCCACGGCAATGGCCAGGTAAATGGTGACTAGCTGATCACCTTTTGAAGAGCCTCTGTCTTCTCAGCGAATGGCATAGGCAACACCCGCCTAGGCGATGGATTTCCTCAGACAGCGTTCGACACATTCTGTTTCCAGCGCATGATACTTTCGATTTTTGCATACAGGTTCGCGGCTGCGACCACACCGGAGTTTCTCCCTTCTTCAAATGGACATGTAGGGGGGAACCTGGGTATCTTGTTCTGTCTTCATAGGTCGTTTTTGGTTGGATTTGGAAATGGATATTCAGCGAGCAAGCGAGCATCAAAATGTTCGTTATCACTTGCACAGGAACATCTCCCTCTTCTGGCCGGCTCAAAGGTTGTAGGGAAAAGAGGCGCGCGAAGGAGCGGACCAGCATGGCATGTATGTATTTTGTGTAGTTTATACCCCCATCAACACCCACGGCTCTCACAAAAGACCTTATCTTCATTTGAAAGAGTATCAATATGTAATGTATAATGCCCAAATAACATCATCATCATCACCATCAATACTCCGCAACACTTAGCTACCTACTGTGCAACCGATCCAAACATGACTATCTCAATGCACGCTTACATTAACACCGTTCATCACAAACAATGACACAAACCCATACTGCCAACGTAATCCTCCCGCGATCATCCACGCAAAGGAAGAATAGGACCGACATCATCCATCAACACGGCACGGCACTTAAAAGAACCGAAAGCCCCCAAACCCCAGAGCCAGCCTCGCCGACCAGACTTACAAATACCAGTCCCGCCGTACAATACCACCGAAGCTCCCGCACACCCGCACCTGTCGCATTCATGCCTCCGAACAAGTAGTTAACAGGGACATCCAGAACAACAACGTACCATTCCCAGTTCCCCGGTTGGTACCCAGTCCTAGTCTCTGTCCGTTCCCAAACACCCAATGGCCCGATCAAGCAACTCGACGAAATACAGGCTTTCCATGTGTACATTTTGAACCTCTACATACGCTCATGATTTGTCTTCCGTTGCCTCCAATTCGCTCCAATTCGCTGCCGAGAAAAGGAACGAGAATCCCTCCGATCAGACCACGCTCAGTCACCCAGCCTCACCCAACATGCGCTGCCTTCGTATCTGTGCCCATGCAGAAGAAAGAACGCGCACAGCACAGCAAGCACAATTCAAAACGGGCCGAGATAGAACGAAAACAGGAAGATGGGTAGCCTGATCGAGCACGACTCATGTATAGACAGCTCCGAAAAAGGGAATGACGATCGCCCTACCCGCTTCCCCCGTTTGCTTTCGTTTCCAACCTTACATCGGAGAAAATCGTAATCGCGCGATTTGGAAACTCAGGCACGATTGATGGGGTGTTCCGTGTGCCGTGTCCCAGTAGTCGGGCCGCTTGCGCGCGCGCGTTTCGAGGCGATGTGGTGGTGATCGTCGCCTTCGAGGCCGGTGTTTCATGTTTTTTGTGGTAGCTTTGGTAGGGTAGTTAGTGGTTCTACGGGGGAACAACGGGACTTGGGTACGGCAATGTTTGAATGTCTGATGTTTCTGGTGACTGTGACTACGAGTGTTTTGGTCTTTGGGTGATTGATTTTTGGAAGGAGTTTTGCAATGCACAGGCGTGCTGTTGAGAGGTTTGGGTGGATTGTTGGCCACTTAGTGACTGTGTATGTATGTCTATTCTAGTGCTATTACTACTGGATTCACGATATCAATTGGTTTTCTGTGCTTATGAAGAAGAAACAATATGCACAGTTTAGCTGGGGTTCACAAGAATCCAATCCATGTCCCCGGGGGCCCTGTGCCGGTCGACCGGTCAGCATGGACGCGAATGCGCTGACTACGTACATCCTACACCTATGCACCTTGTACCTAAAAGTGCAGAGGTAGTCAGTCAATAGACGTAGGTGAATTACAGGCTTGAACGTTATAAGTCTCTCGTTCGTGTATGTATGTGCGGAAGGACGGGACCAAAGATAGCATGTCGTTGGCGTCGGGTGCCTGATATGTGAACTGCAAGGGCGACGATTCTGTTTTAGGGCTAATGTTGATGATTATTGTGGGGATGAGGGTTAGGTTTTACTGTTAATGATCTCGATCATGATTATCTTCTCAATGTGGGCTATTTGGCGAAGTAGGGATGAGAGGTTTGTTTGGTGTGGGTTGAGGAAGGCATTTGCTGGTAGTGAGAGGCGTAGGGCTCTCTTGAATGAGAGAATATGTAGTTCAAAATCGGCATTCAGGAGCTGCGCATGAGGGAATCTATGGTGTGTTACCGATGGAGACAGATGTGAGTGTACATAATAACGAAATGTTGGTACTCTGGGACTACGGGAGAGTGGTGCTTTGGAGTGTGTGTATAGGTGGTGAAAATTACAGCATCTATACTGTGTGCCTTACGAATGCAGGTACAGAAATAAAACTTTGTAGTTGAACCAAATTATGTACGGGTTCTTCATCTTGGGCGTGAACTGGAGTTCCCGACATCAGCACGAAAAGCAAAAGACCGGTCTACGGATCGTTCCCGTATAGGTTCTATGCCACAAACCCGCATCTGTTGAATCACTACTATCAATACGTCCCTCGAACCTGCCAAGCTCTCATATATTCAATGAAGTACTTCGCCACCAAAAATATGGTTTGGTACCTTACATAGACGAAATGTTTGATCAAAGCGATGGATCTCGAATCACCACTCGCTCACGCGGGAGGGGGGAGAGATATTACATACATATACAGCTCGCCACCAACACGAGGCGTCCGCCTGCTGCAATCAACCGTACATACACGACGAGGTATGGCAGGAAACGGGGCTTTGGGTTTCCCTGCGTTCTACTACGCGATGGTGGGAACGAGGACTCGGCCTTCATTTCGCAGCGTCGTGCTACACTGGTAGCGACTTGTAGGAGATAGATGTGCATGTGCATGTGCATCTCCAATGTCATCTTGCGAATTGACATGTACGAGGTTCGAATTGCGTTCAAGACAGATCTTATCGTATTCGCGTCGCATTGTTCTTCACTTGGCTTTCGCCGTGGGTGAGGACGATAGCGCAGGACGGTCGATAATCCACAATTTGTACGGATGTGTACTCCGTTCGGGTTGTTCGAAATAGTATCCAGACACGCGCGTCTTGCATCTAACGCATGAGCGCCATAATGCGAAGTATGTGAAAAGAAAAGCGACCGGTAGAATTATGAAATAGAACAGAGGCCACGCTGTGAGTCTGTGACGATCCCGTTCGACCCGACTTCACCATATGATAGACCCTTAAGATCTGCATACTGCTCCATAGACGGTGATAATTTTCCTTCGTTGCTGAGAGGAAGCTAGGAGCGAGTGTCACTGAGTCGATCAGTGAGGAGGGTGGTGGGCGTATGTTGTACAACTGTAAGCTTAATATGCGCAAAGCACGCACTAACTAGCCTCTCAAAGATACGAATATGTAATGCGAATGGCGGGGGCAGGAGAAGACGTTCTGGGCGGTCTCACGATATTTGCCGCTTTGTCAGTTACACTGCATGCATACGTCCCTTCTCGTCCAACTTGGCCGACGAAAGAGGTGATGATCGCTGCCGTGTCAGCCAGTATCTTCGCCGGGATGCTGTATTAGGAACGCCAGCAATTGCCGTGATGGAGGCGAACGGGGGCAGACATGTCATGGACGACCTTTCGGTTGTCAATGATCTCTCGAAGCGATGCTTTGGGCCAGTAGGGCAGTGTGGAGAAAAGCGTAGCGGTTGAATGTACGCTGTACGAAAACAGGCTGTTGTTAGTCTCCTTGGGGACGGAATAGGATGGGGAAGTAAAGAAAAGAGAACGTGCATGGGGCATGGCCTGATCGCCAGGGCTCAGGGAGATGTCAGTGCAATGAATTTGCGTTTGTTCGCTTCGCGGTTATGTGAGCTACTTGTATTAAGACGCGGTAGTTGTTTGATATTGCTTGGGATTGGGTTCAGCAGAGGGTTGTTGAGGCCATGCCATGCTTGATCGACCCGGTTGAATTCGTGCAGGTTGTCGTGCACCAGGAACGAAGTCGTGCCGACAGGGGTTTTGTTTTGAACATTTCTGTCAATGTCGTTGTTTTGTTATCTGCCAGTTTCCCTTTCCGGTCAAGATTCCTTGTCCCATGAATCAGTGACGACGAGGAAATCGGAAACGTTCTGGAGCTCGCATCATCGAGGCGTGGCGTGAAAGCCACCGAGGAGATTATCCGGGCCGTTCCTACTGTAACGGTCAACCGTCTACGTTCAAACGTTTGAGATAGCTGGGCATACGTTAAACGTCCCCTTGACCTATCCAGGACCGACCGACGTGGTACGGAGCTGCAAGAGCTCAGCCTTGATGGGAAAATGAGTTTGGGGGGCGAATTAAAAAAATTGGAAAATCCAAATACATAGCATACTATACTTACATGTACCTCCATCTGCGATATAGACGGTGTCAGGTCGCCGACATCTAGGATTGATGCAGACGCAGCTCTTTGGCTACGGCACTGGCGTGGCTGGGCTGTCACGTATTCAATTGAACCTTTGGAAGGATTTTTCGAGAAGTTTTCGATTGTTTCTAATAGTAAACATTTTCTTCGATTGATCCCAGATCGGATCGATGATGAAGAAATGCCATGGATGGCTGCAAGGTCCACTGTATGGAACCAGATCCACCTCATACGTGGTCGCAGCTCTTTTTGCGCTTATTCTATATTTTGATTGACAAAGGAAATCGCGCCCTGAGATCGTCGCTCGAAAGCGGGGGTGCTTGATTTAGCAGCCAGATTGAATAAAACAATAACGCCGCCTGTAGTAGAACCCCAGATTGGACCACAAAAGGAAGTTCGAGCAGTCGGTACCTCTCGAGTGGGTGCAAATGCAACAAGTAAATCAACCGAAGTCTCCAAACCCAGGCCTATTTTATCGTCCTGATTACCCCTGGTGATAGCATACAGATGTGCGCCCGTCCAGAAGGACAAGGAAAGTAAAAGCAACAAGCCTATCGCCCTCGTCAAATCGTAATATCTACAGTGAAAAGTAGTATGCAGTGTCGTAAGTATCGTCAAGAATCGAAGGTAATGGCCCGCAATAACCAAATAGCCCCCTGGGCCGCGAACATTAGGCAAAATGTGCCGAATGCCCGATAGAGTTACAAGATAAGGAGGAAGACTGAGTGAATGAAAGAGATTTTTGTTGTTTTATAACAGGTCAGGGCTTGCCATTGGGACCTGGCGCCAAGGGTGCAGAAGCCGATGATTGTGCATGCTTAGGCGGGGCTGGAAATAAACTCAGATATGGCTGTCTATTACCGCGCACAACCTTGCTAGAGCTAGCAGCTCGACTGCGTGATGTTGGTGGTGGTGCCTCAGACTTGACAGGCTCCAAACTCGAGAGCAACTTGGCCGCGCCATCAGATGAGGCGTACTTATGGTGGTGAAGGCGGCCGTGGGAAGAGCGGACAGAGCCTTGACGAGCCAGCTCAAGTGAAGCCCGAACGTTGCTCTGAATTTCAATTGAAGCTCGAGTTTCTTGGCCAGTTTCTTCACCATCGCAGTTGAAGAATGTTTGATCCAACTGGCGGCCTGGCGGCGTAGTGTTGTCGTTCGCTGAATCGTCCATGTCGTCTTCCCCAAAGGAGGCAAAGCACGCAACCTGTTCAGAAAGCTCGTCCACAATCATACTGAAATCGTGGCGGGCACGCCGAGATTGTACAAGTTCAGGAAGACTTCCAGATGAGCTAGCAGAGCGCCGAATTGGTGAGCTCCAAGATCCAGAAGCTTGTCCAGAAGACATTAAGCTACTGTCATAGGAAGACCGTTTGCTGGATCGAACGCGGCTGCTGCGTGTTGAGCTAGCAATGCTTTGATGGGGATCTAGAAGAGGAAAGTGACGATCAGATCCTTCATACCCATCCAGAATTTCATCGAACATGTCCTCCCTTGAAACATCTTCCTTGAAATCAGGCGGTGCCAAGAGTGATGGTGCCAGACTGAGATTACTCTGATGGTGGATCAATGGATTGAATGGATCGCACGGCGTGCGAATGCCTGTAGAAGCAGTCGAGGCAGAGATGGCTGATCTAGGATCCAATTCAGGCACTGAGCTCGAGCTGGGGACTAATAGTGAAGGGCGGAAGACCCCAGAGAAGAAGGGGCCGTGTTGATCTATTGAGCCTTCGTGGCCAATAGGCGGAGGATATGTCCTCTGCGATGATGCTGTTGATGGGCGTTCATGATCACGTTGTTCTGGTGTGCGCTCCCTATCTTCCATGTCGATATCTTCAGACATATGATCCCAGTCGAAATCACAATCAGCTTCGAGAGCATTGTCATAGATGTAATCTACATCGTCTTCCCAGGACTCATCAATCGCTCGCCAGGTGTTCGATTTTCTCCGAACGGCCGGAGACCGTCGAATGGAAGGCCTTCTTGAGAATGTCGGAGAGCCCAATGTATCAGACATTTGTGACATTGGGCGTGTCATGGCCATGGATTTGGGGGAAGCGAAGGGACTGCCTCGGCTGCTGGTACGGGAGATTGGGGATCGTTGCGTGCTACGGAATGAGAACGATTCAAAGTACGGGGATCGGGGTGATCTAGGGCTGTATGCCCTTGCCGGAGGGGGTGGAGCCGGGCGCGGGCTTGCGAACCTCTCTGGTTCCTCGAGGACATCTTCAAGCCCAGGACTGAAAGGAGGGGGAGTGGTGGGATGAATGGCAAGATCGTCAGGAGTGGTGAACGCATGACCCACCACAGCTTGCTCGTCAGTGATGAAAGAGAGCGGTGCTCCTAAGATAGAGGGACTCGGAGACGGGGAGAAATGATCCCAGAGTCCAGACTGTCGATTCAGGGCTGATCGGCTTACAGATGAAGCACTCTCGTGGACATTGTCATTTTCAGTCAATTGATCAATGGAGCGTGTTGCCTGGCGAGATGAGGTGCGTGTAGGAGGAATTGTTGGATTGATCGACTGTGTATGACGGTGGAGGCGAGGATTAATGCCAGGTCGAGAGAATGAATCTACAGATCTGGCCGTTCTGAGCACTCGGCCTGTCGAGCTGAGCTCATTGGTCTCAGCAAATTGGTGCTCTCCGGATAGCTCGGGGCTGATGGGAGGGGATCTATATGTCAGAGCTGAGGGAGATCGAGAGCTAGCATCAACGAGGCTTTCAGAAGAGAAATTGTTGAAGTGCAGGTTATCTGCTTTGATTCCGTTGAGGTCGCTGCACGGCGCTTGCGATGCGCGAACAGCCCAATATTCAGCAACAAGTTCATTCTCCGAGGATTGATCCATTGCATTGAATTGGTGGCGATCAGTATGAGTCAGATGCTGGAAGTCAAAAGGGCTGGAGATGCGATGCTTCAGACGGTGAGCTATGTAGCATATCAGTATATCATTCATGGTACCATTGGCGCTGAAGCATACCGGCGCTTTCTGTCTGAGCAGCAGTTTTGCGGCCCTTCCGTAACACAGATGTTCTCTTGCCTGCCGACTCCGGTTCTTCAATGATATCTCTTTCACGTCCGGGGGACAACGGACCGCTCACTCTCTTCCCCCTCTTTCCTCGGGTGAACAGTGTTCGCTTAGTCCCAGGGAGATCAGTAAAGTTATGGCCTGCTAGGTGGCGGAGATCTTGTGAAGAACGACTGGCAAGACCATCAGAGGACGACATGTTGGGCGACAACGAGACGAACGATGAGGCAGTTGAGGTGGCCGTATTGCTTCTCGATCGAAGGTTGAATATTGAGCTTCGCCTTGTCGGTTGTGAGCGTTCCCGTTGCTCTGACGAGGTCAAATCCCCATGTGAAGATACATCCGAAGCCCAAGGGTCTGAACTTGACGTGGAGACTGATGGATCGGTGACCAGGGAGGTTATCGAAAGTTGCCTTGTCTGTGGCGGAGGGATGGTCTTATTGAATGAGAACATAGCGTCCTAATAGGAGGCGTATCCAACAATAGTGGCTCCAAAGTTGGAAGTTATAGGTTGGGGAATCCTGAAGTGGCGGACCGGGGTTCCCTCAACTCACTAGAGAAGCTATAAGAAAACACGACTACGACCATGGAGAGCCCAGAGGATGAGGCGAAATGTATATGCTGGGTCAGAGCGCCGCGCACGCGTCCTTGGAATGTTTATGGGGTCGAATTCCCAAACTTAGCCTCTGCTGGACGTGTAAGTGAACCATCCGACCGTACATGAAGCGAGGATCCAAGGAAACGGGAGGACAAGGTTGAACAAGAAGCAGAAAGAACAAGTCCCTTCAGGGGACCACCGGAGAAATCGATAATACAGGGCAAAATGGCGAAGGATGTAGCTGAGCTGCAAGCAATAAGAAAGTAATATGCATACCTGCTAAAGTGATTGGCTTAACCGCAGTTGAGGTAATGAGCAACGTGAGCAAAAGGGATCGCAGCGATGTCCTCAATCGACACCAAATTTCGCTGCTGACAACGGTAGAATTAGGAGGAGCACGACCCTCGTTGCAGGAAGCAGGACGGGGGTATGCTGCTACTTCTGTTGTTGTCCTGGAAGCTAAAGATGCGTATGGCAGTTTGTCAGAGGTAAAGAGGGACAAGGAAGGAAACGCTCCGCATGCCAGAAGTAGAAGCAACAGCAAACAAAGGAGATACACTGGGATTGAGAGCCGTGGCGTGGGCGTAATGTTGCAGGCCGTTGGCGGAGGTGCAGGACGGGAGAGGGCAAGCAAAGAAGGTATAAGAGACAATCTACTGGTGATATTGGAGGAACGACATGCTTTGAGACTGAAGGAGATCGTGGTGCGAGATTTGCAGAGCACCGGCGAACGTAGGGACAGCATCTGTAAGTATAGCCTCCATGAGCATAACTAAACAGAGCAGCGGAGAGCATGTGGAGATGGTGTGAATTGTGCGCGGTGCACCGCTCGCCGAGGGTACATAGTGTAGGGATTCGAGGGAAGTAACAGGGACCAGGGTGAATGCACACAAGTGTAGGGTTCAAGACATGGGGGAGCAGCGCGCACGGGTGAGCTTGGTGAAGTCGCCAATTGCGCGTGCTCATGATGCTCGTTGTGATGTAGCGGTCTCGGTGGGGAGACGGAATGGCGGCCAGGGGTAAAGGGACTCTGAACGATTAGACAGGGAATGCCTGTTGCGCGCATGCGTTGGAGGGGCTGACCACGAATGCTGCAGTACGAGTATCTTCCTAGTCGAGCGATGCAGCCAGATGCTGGATGCTAAAGGGACGCTTGGTTTCACGGCGAGCCGCGCCCACTGGACGGCGAAACCACACTCAGTAAGAAGCCGACCCAGTGCAACGGTTAAGGCCAACAGAGGCCGTCTTCCACAACGAACACAAGCCCTCAAGCATAAGAGGAGGTTGCAGAGCAATAATTACATTGCAGGGGAATAAATCCGCCGTCCCTATTGGCTGTGAACGGCTAAATGGTGCAGTGCACGGAGCGAGGGCCCGCTGGCTGCGCGCTGAGATGAATTTTCATTTGCTGCTGGAGCAGCTTTTTGGCGTGCAGTCACTGCAGTGCGACCGCTACCTCAATCGTCGTCTCACAAGGCCCAGCACACGCCTTTACGCTGATGATGCCTCTGGTCGCTCTCTTGCATCTGCATTTTGGCCAGCACTTTGACGATTCATGACGCGCTTCGGGAACAGAATGAACAACAAATACGTGCATCGTCTGCCTGGTCGGACGAGAAGACTGAAGAGAGCAGGAGGAGGCCGACGGCCGCCGCTAATTCCTCCAGAGTGTTCGCCCAAAACCCAACACCCAGGATGATCAGGCTCGCAGCGAGAAAGCAAGCCAGCATCATAAAGGTTGCACTAAAGACTCCGCAGGGGTTCGCGTTGAGCAGCATGGCCCTGCCTAGCACGCACAACAATTGGATGCGGTGCCGCAATTCTGTGAGAAATTCGTCCTGAGAATGAATCGCTCGGCCAGTGCTGATCGTGCTCGTGAGGAAGATGAACACGTCTGGGAACAACCGCATTGCGGATGAACATTTAGCATCACCTTGCAATGAATCTGCTATTTCATGACAGCTATCGCCCGCAGATACGGGATGTGCTATCCTTGGGCCCAACCGTAAGCAACAAGAAAGATCGACAAAAAGAAATTGAGAGATGCGCACCCACAAGTAGTTAGAGGGGACGGCTGGCCGTTGTAGGATTCGGACTGGCCTTGGGGTGGATGGAAAACAGCCGACAGATAACCTTGTGAAAGGCCTGAGTGAGGCCTTTCAGTTGGCCAATGCCACCAGTCCACATTGTTCAGTTGTAATTTACGCAGGGCTATAATGAGTAGTAGTCGCGTGCTCCTTTATAATTCGTGCCCTCTAGGTACGTTTGAGCATCAATTTTGAAACATAAACCGACTGCTGTCAGTCGAGCTGTGGCTGATGATCAGGTCTGTTTCGAAAGGCCTTGAAAAGGACGGACCGTATGTCTTCAAACCGCGACAGCACAGCGGCGTTTCATTGCTCGTAGCGCGTCGCCGCGCGCCAAGCAGGTACAGCGCCGTCAAGCCGCTGCCGAACAAGCCATCTTTCCCTATGTGTATCGTAGACTTGGGGCTGCTGATTGCATTGTGGCCGACCGTATAAGGAGACCCAAAGACAAACGCTACCGCCAACATAGGCAGCTATGTAGAGGAGGTACTCCATACATGCAATGAACGGCTCACGAACGCCATCCTCCTTTCTGTCGGGTTGGAGTCTGCAAAATGGCTAGCCACTGGGCAATGCTCCACTTTGTTACGAGTCCTTCGGAGTCTCGTGAATCCAACCACAGCAGCGACTACTGCAAGAATTGTAGGGAGTAGTGCCACGAATTCGAAGAGACTTTGAATCCATTGGACCCCGCTGTATTCTTGTTGACACAGCTGCAATTGCTCGTGAGATCTGTACGTGCCAACAGCCATGTGTTGACACTTCGCATTGTACTACGCTTTCAACATGTGAGAGTCAACTTGTCCAACCGTCGTGGAATCATTGATCAATTGAAAGCAACGCATTACAAGGGCTGGTCATGTGTGTGCATGCATACACACATACATACATGCACTCCGAGGATTGCAATTCGTCGAAGATCAACCATAGAAAAAGGAACACCTCACTCAAGTGGGGGTTCGTGATGTTGATATACGCAAATAAGATAGGACAGTAGGTATGGAGTATTTTTTTTAATAGATTAGAAAGCTGAATGACGCTCGCTGAATCTGCGGGACAAGATGGCTTGTGGTAGGTACGGAATAGATCAGTACGAAGACGACAAATGGTGCCGCGTGTCGTTACATCGCATAGAAACGATAACGGGAACTGTGGCACCATACGACGAATAGATAACGCGGGATTGACAGAAGGAAAATAAACAAATTAACTTAGACTCATCCATTGAGTAGAACAACCATGATGACCATGATGACAACAATGGTGGCTACGATGATGATGATGATGGCGGTTGTGGTGGAGGAAGGTGGATGAAGGAAAGACGGAACGACGGAGCGATTGGTTGGATGACGGCTGGGCGATGTCGCCCGGGACCTGGAGCTATACCTAACCTGGAGTGGTTCGCATCACGTGCTGAATGGGCTAGCATACCTCGCTATGATTGGTTCAAAATTACAATTCACAAGTCACAACCCCTGAAACTGGAACTTTCCCTCTTCTCGTCCTCTTCTCTTCGCCCACCCGTTGAATACGACAAAACTACCACCTCCACCAACACACCCAACCAACATCCAACACGCCAATCCGCTCATCCGGCCAATTACACATTTCAACCCTCGTCGGAACCATCTCGAACCATGCCGACCTTCTCGAAAGTCGGGTCGGGCCTTGCAGGATCTTGGATACTCTTGTTGACCATACACAAAAAGTCACCATAGTTCTTCATTTCAACTTTAGTTTTCAACGCCCTTGAAGGAGCGCTGCAACTGGTCCTGCCGATACTAGGTCATATGCACCTCTCAAAAGAAACAATTATGACGGCACCGTCACCTTTGGCGGCCCACAAGGCTTGTGAACTTCATCATCCGAAACCATTCCACCCCCACTCTAATGCCTCACTGCTCATCAGCTAGAGGAAAGGCTCGAGACGGTTCTTTCTTTTCCAATGTTGACCATCCCAAACGATTATTGGAGGCCCTCGAGTCTTCGACACTTCCATGGTCGCCCCCAGTATCACTAAATCCTCGTCTGCTTTGCGTGTCTTTGTAAATTACTCCGTATGTGTCTATTCATTCATCTTTCTGTGCGGCGTACCTTCGGTGCCTACGTTAGACTTGCACACGCAAAGACGCCCCGCTTGATTCTATCGACCCGGTGTGCAACGAACTATCCGGCTTTGTACGGCGTGAATCCGTACACAAGCAATTGATTACCAGGCCAGCGTACGGAGTGCAAGCACCACATTTCTAATTCTCCTCGTCGACAGCTTGCCAGCGTAGGTGCGACCCACCTCGCCCAGGTCAGAGACCATGAGAAGGAAAACTGAACGATGAGCAGAAACGCTCCGCCTGTCACGGTCTCACAGACTCTCAGACTCTCAGCTTCATTTTTGCTTGATGTCCTTGCAATCCCTACCCACCATTGCAATGCCGGTTTCCGTTCCAGCGGATTTCGTGATGTGCGGTTTGCCCCTTGTTCCTGCAGCAAGTGATGACCACACTTGAGGAAATCATCTCAACGACAGGGCCCCTCGACGAAAATCAACGGAACCCCATGTCGCACGCGCGCCTCGCTGCACATCCCACCGCCCTGTCACGGTGAGATTTCAGACTTCCTGTAGTCATCGACCTCCTGTGTCTGGACAAAATGCATCCGTGATGACATAGCTGTCCGCCAATGTCGTGATCGAGTTTATCTTCAGCAAACCTGAAGTCCGCCTATCTGATAGTTCGTGAATGTTTATTCGATCTGCAATTATGCCAATGCCCGAAAAATCAATTACCGTGGCTGTGATTCCCTTCATCAATCGATTATCGCACGGGATAAAAATCTTTTGCAGCTCCTGTTAAAAATACTTTCTCTCCACACAGACATACTGACTCGGCCCACGCCAATTGTCAACACGATAAAAGTCTTCATTTCTTGCATAATAGAGCAATCATACGACCTCGTGCTGCAGAGTAGTCCTTCGCAGGCATCCTGCGTGGCTTACCATCACCTCACTTGAAAATATCACTCTGGTGTTCTCAACCAGGTCCGTGTTCGGTTTAATGTGCAGGATCCGCTGTACAGACACCATGAAAAGAACAAGCACATACAGTGGCCGACTGCGCAAGACCTTTCCCTCTCAAGGTGCCCGCTCCGGTGAGGTGGACCCGCAAGCTTTGAGGGCATTCTGGTTAGTATACAGATAGACGCCTGTGCATGTGCTTTCACGTTTCTCCACGCCTCCACAACTCCACATGTTGAATTTTTTTTGGACTGATTACCGACCGAGCCTCGCCGGTTGACGTAAACCTTCAAAATCCAAGAGTGCAATAGTCAATCCCGCAAGTTCGGATACACCTACGACGGCTTGTTGTATTGAAGGCCAGCCGCGAGATCTCTATCTTGCAATCGACAATGGGCGTGCATCCCGATCCCACACGCGGGATGCAAGACAAGGGTTCAATCACGCTGGGTCGCACATCATCCATAGCCTTCCAGTCGACGACAGCAGCCATTATCGTCTTTCTCCGTTATGTGTCTATTTCTCTAGTCTCTGGTCGCTTTCACGTCTAGCAAGCAATCCGACGTTCCGTTCCCAAAGCTCATACAATGGGCCAAAGGACCGTTGAGCTCTATTTTGGGCTCATATCATCCTCGGTCAACGCAGCGGAACCGGATCCTGTGCTAGCGTTCGCGGATTAGTCTGCCCAAGCGTTCTTCCTGGACAGAGACCACCACACTGATGATGGCACGAACATCAAATGTCCGCTTCACTCCGGAACTGATTTACTACTGCTGGTCCACTACGATTGCGTACGTTTTGCTCTACTCGAGCTACGAGCACTGTATACGTGTTTGCCGCGGTGCTCCGTACTGCTCTACCTTACCCAAACAACCAATGCGACTCTCCGTCCAACGGCTACTTGAATCGAGCCAAATCGTCCTAATGAACGTTTTCTCTTTCTCGGTCAATTTGGATACGCTTTGTCATTTGAACTGGGTAATTAGTGAACTACCTTAGTTAACTAGTCAACTACTCCGTACTGCTTGAACGTTCCTTTACACCTCCATCACTCGGCCCAATGTACCGCCCTGATTAGATAGTTCGAGGCTCTGGGTGGATGATCCTTACTGCTACGTCGCCTTCTTCAACTCAACTATCCTTGGGTGAGAGACTCGTTAGGCGCCATCCCCAATATTTCATCCGAAATTCCCAGCTAGCGTATCTTCCAGACTATCGATCCCCTCGTTTGCGACTTGTCGTGGCGCCGTACAAGAAGTAGCTCCGCTATTCGGTCATTGGACCACAGAGCTGACGATATCTGTGCTCACGGGAGGTAGATGTAAGCGAACGTTGACATTCGGAATAATTATTTCAGGAACTTTCGATTATCTGGACGCGGATGCGCTAGAGCTAAGATAATGATTGTATCCACCAGACTACTCCGTACACCTCGAAGTTTCCTCGGACTTTATTGGACTAAACAAGTCGAGATCTCGAAAGCCGATAGCCAGGGCACTGCACACAGCTCCAGGACTCGGTCTCTCTCATGCCCATCATTACCTAGTCAGAAGTATGTTTATATGGGGGTAAAACTACCATCTTCCCAGTGTGAGCAACATCCAAGCAAGTACGGAGATTGCTCGATGCCAGGTCCTTACAGAATGCTCATCAATTCCCAAATACTCAACACGGGGATCCAAGATCGAGATTAGTATTCGTCGCATAGCCTTAACTTACGCAATTCCTCACTCGCCTCCTTTTTTATTTCAGAGTTTTTAATTCCCGGTATTACATCAACGTCATATGTTGCGTCTGCTTACACAGCGAGCCCACGTTCATGCCTTCGAATGCCGATCTGTTGTTCTCCTGCATTGCGTAACCCTGATCGAGCTGTTAATAGTTCGTAGAAATCGTAACCCGAGGCATCGATAGTTGAATACCAACGCGAACGCAAGATGCATGCGCGCGAAACAACGTGCATACCAGGAACGGATTTCCAGGATCCCAGGTCCCCGGGATCCTAATCCTCGTAATTTCACCGCGCGGTCATTGTCTAGCAAGTAGAGTCGAACATCATACTTCCGCCCGGGGGCTGGTTTCTGGAATTAGACAATTGCGCAACCCTGTCGCGTTATTGTTAGCAACCTGTCACTCAGCTTACGATCACAAACAAATCAACAAGATACACAAAACACAAACAAACAGAAACAGAAACGCACGCGTAGAAGATAAACATTAATATAGTTTCAAACCGACAAGACTATCTATAGCCTACATTCCCAAAGTTTGGTCCTCGCCGGACCAAGGTCCGCCTCGCTCTCCCAAATTCCCAATCATTTCCTTTCCGTGCTCGCTACCGAACTCTCAGTCTTTCGCCCCGAGTACCTGAACAGAGCATTGGCACGCACGTCACGTTGGGGGCTGAACTAGGATTTACCTATCTTATCAATTAGATTTAGCTGTTTCCATGGTGCATTATTATAGACGGGGCCAGGCACAGGTCTCCATACTGCCTTGTGGCGTTGAGGTGAGGTGAGTCTTGCGCTCGATATCCAAGTAGGCGTGCAAGGCATCATAGCCAGCGCAGATGTGGCATGTTCCTCCAAAGTTCAACTCATGTTCAGGATCCCGTGTCCAGACATCAAAAAAGGGGGACAGTATCACAACGAGCTATTAAACGCTCCCTACCTACATACATCAGATCACCAAATACTAAGACAACCGCACCTCTCCCCAACAAACGCTAAAACTCAGGAGCCCTGACTACAACTTTCCCCACAATCGAAGGAATACGTATATGTACAATAATTAAATATTATGAAGTATTCGAACCGTGAGGGACTAGAGCTAGTCATGCTGCATTGGATCCGTCTAGATCTTACAATGGTCACGCCATGTGGTTGAACGGTTTTCGCCGGTTATCCGTTACTTTTTCTTTCTCCTTAGGATAATCGGCGGGTAGGAAAATATCGGGATTAAGATGGGGAGAGAGAGATTGATAGAAGGGCTGACTTATATGGCGGTTTTCGAGATAGGCAGGGTCGTCGTCGTCGGCATTGTTCTTTGATACAAGAGTCATCTATGGAACGAGACAGTGGGCCCATGAAGCCATACCTACTACGCGTTCGAGATTCATTTACCTCTTCGTTAGACCGAAACACGATCAGTCGTCCTTGACTCTACTACGGATGCTAACACCATCACATTGTCCACTGCCATATCTCTATATCGAAGGACTATCATGCTTCAACGACAAGCAAATACAATCTACACCGTGACATCCCTTCCTTCCGCCGACGAAATGTACGGTCTTTTCCCATCAATCATCAGCAATAACGACACTTATGGCTTGAGACAAGTGAGCTTAGGGTTTGTTAGTCAGGTTGGGTGATTTTGCTCTCTAGTAATTACAGCTTGGGGTCCGTGGTGAATGTGCAATTGGTATATGATTTAATTAAGTTTTGCAATCTTCTAGGGAGACCGAGAAAATGCGGAGGAACATGAGGTACAGCAGCTGTTGTCTTGCGTTTTCACCCCCATGTAAAAGGTCAATCTGAATTTGCTTGGTTTACACGGTGTTTTGTGCTAAAGTTGGTCGATTTGTAATTCTTTTGTGTAAGTGGAAAACGGAAAAATAGAGTACTCTTTACTCGTGGAATGTTGTAAAAGTCTCCAGGCATATTGTCTGTGTTGAAAGGTGTCGTAATGATATTCCTGGGATGTTGTTTCACGGGATTTTCCAGGATTGGTGGAAGAACTGCACGATGAGTGCTGTGTTGAAACCCTTAAGAAAATGATTCATACTTCAAATCCAATGTATTGTGATGTAAAAACAAGAATATGATCATTAATTATGTTTGTCTATTGGTCTAGTGGCAATTAAGGCTCCTTGGTTCATACGCCGAATTTATGTTGAGTTCTTGATATTAGAAGGTATCCATGAGTGAGAAGTTAAGTGCTAAATAACCACAATATTAGATTATGGCCCCAGTCCACATACACGGTTGGATTCAAGGACGAGAGCTAGTAATCGATTGTTCTTATAGCAATTACATCATACACTCATTGATCAGGCATCTTGGTAGTATGTTGAGAGAGTTGAAAGGTTGATGTATCTATTCAATTTAATGACGAAGCATCAAGTAGCCAACCGTAACAAGAAATTCTAGCACACAGAAACATTATAGTGTATGAAAGAGCACATGAATATTTTTGTTTGAAGGAATGGCTAAAATGGGTGATTTGTATGAGCTTCGAGGGATGCTCTGTTGATTGTTTATTGGAGGCTGACTTTGGATGGCTCTTGATTGGTCGAGATTGGTCGAAATTATTTAGTACATGTAAATGTTGAACTTTCAACAGCAATGATGAGGCCTTGTCAAACTAGTTCTGGGAACAATGTTGATAGCCATTGGCGCCAGATGCAAACTGCCTGTCAATACTAATTTCAGGGATGTTGTGCCTGGAGAAATCGCTATATCGGACGTCTCTAGGGCGAGGTCTACGAGAACATCTTTGAAGTCGTGTCAGATGGCGCATTGGTTCCAAGATATTTCCGCTTCTCTCTTTTGAAGCCTATATCCGTTGACATTCCAATAGTGTTGCGAGCAAGCAATAGTCACAAGTTCCACTGCCGCCCGCTGCATCACGTTCCGAATGTTCCACGAAAGTGCACGGTAATCTTTTAACTTTCTTATTCTGTCGGTATTTTGCCTGGGTTTCCATATATACAGCCGCCGCAGCTACGATAATCGAATTGTCCGGTGCGCCGAAAAAGTGCATGTCCTTCTCTCCTCCACTCACTGAGACCGGAGTGAGGCCTTAGTGGTGTCCCTTATCATCGTGGGAATCGTGGTGACCGTGCTCATCCTTGAACAAGAAATGTTCGGCCGCAAGGTATATGCCAAAAGCTACAGTCGCCGTTCCGAGGCCAGGAAGCGAGCCTTTGAAGCGATTGAAGCGAGAGAACGGTCCGGTGTATCGCCATGCTTCGCTACAGGGTGTTAGTATCCCGGTAATGGAAAAATCCGTAACATATGGAAGCCTACTATCGTGCCCAAGGATCGTGCTTTGCATTGCCAGCCGCCGCGGCGAACTTCTGAGGGTCGAATCCGGTAAGGGAGGGGCGTTGCGCCATGGCGATACTGGATATCTAGTCAGATATGTTCTCGTTCCAGTATCAATTGCAGATGGAGGGAAGATATGTACCGTGTTGGCCACATGATGTGCGTGTTTGAGTTGGATATGTGGTGTATGGGACAATCGTTGCTACATGACGCTTGTCTTGAGGTTCAGTTCACGATGTCTTGGCATATCAAGCTTGGGCCACAATTTCCCGCGCCGACTCGATGTGGGATCGCCAACATCGCCAACCCGACTCAACACACTCCAACGAGCACGCGCTGCGCACCCCTCTCATTCAGCTATTCTTCGTTCTCGAACTTAACAAATATTAGTGCGTCAGAAAACTACCATAAGATAGAAAGATCCCCACGGTTACGTTCCGGAACGAGTTTCTTACGGATGCGCTCCAACTACGAATACCTGCAACAGTATCTCCCACATCCCCGATAGTCAGTCACGATGCCACCGCCTGGGGGCCGCTTCCCGGGCCACAATCTGTCAAATCCTTTTGCGCATATGCAGCAACCTCATATGCAGCCGTCGCATATTCAGCAGCAACATCAGCAGAGTCTCCAGCACGCAGGATTCGGCGGCGGCAATCCCGGACACAATGTCAACCTTTTCGGCCACAATCAAAGCAGTTTCCAATCGAATGCTGCACTAGGAGCAGGAATAGGAGGAGCAGGACTGGGTGCAGCAGCGGGAATAGGCGGGGTCAGTGGTGGCACAGGACTCGATGGCCAAGAGGCGCGCATGCGATTTGCCCACGGTGCGCAATTGCAACAGGATGCAGCATTGGGTCGTGGACAAGATGGCACAAAGGGTATGGGCCAGCGGATACGAGAGGTTTGGCGCTCAAATCTGCATCAAGAGATGGACCTACTTCGTTCACTGGTCGACCAATATCCGTACATCAGCATGGTTCGTACACGGAATCTTCTCATCTGTCTCGCGTTTTCATTTGTCTCTAATCTGTATTTCCTATACAGTCGGTCCGCAATGGAGGCAGACCGCTGGTTATGGAAGATTGGGTATCTATTTTCTTGGCTCTTGTTTTTTTAAGCGTAGGCAAAGTGCTATGTACGATTGTGCTAATATTTACTTCAGGATACGGAATTTCCGGGAGTTGTTGCTCGCCCAATAGGCGAATTTCACTCAAAGGCTTCTTATCACTATCAAACAGTCCGATGTAACGTTGATCTACTCAAGATCATCCAACTGGGCATTACGCTATTCTCTGTCCAAGGCGACGTCCCTCCTTCGCACCTGGACTCTACACAGCTGAGCTACCAACCCAAAGCTGTCCAGCATTACGCAAACAACATCATCGTCTGCCCATGCACTTGGACATTCAATTTCCAGTTCTCTCTTGAGAACGATATGTACAATGAAGAATCCATTCAGTTGCTCAAGAAATCCGGCGCTGATTTCGAGAAACTTGCCACCCAGGGCATAGATCCTGAAGAGTTCGGCTCTCTTCTCACCACGTCTGGACTAATTCTCACAGATGATGTTAACTGGATATCTTTCCATTCTGGATACGACTTTGCGTACCTCGTTAAAATGCTCAGTAGCCAAACATTACCCGAGGACGAGGAAGCCTACCGAGCGCTTGTCCAAATATACTTCCCGAAATTATTGGATGTCAAGTTCCTTTGGCGTCATGCAACAACCCTCGTTCGCCGAGGAGCAATCGGATCACAAGCAACAAGCATCCTGACGAACCTCGGCACAAAGTCAGGTCTTCAAGATCTCGCAGACGAACTTGGCTGCCAACGGATAGGTGCTTCTCATACAGCTGGATCAGATGCTTGGTTGACCGGTGCCGTTTTCTGGAAGCTGAGAGACAAGGTTTTCGACGGATCTATCCCGGAAGACATGAATGGTCAGATGTGGGGTTTGACGGGAGTCGGTCCACCAGCGAGTGCAACGGCACAAGCTGCAGTGCTTGCTGCCCAAGGCGCTCAGACCATGGCTGGATATCCTGGAATGAACGGCATGATGTTCCAGCAACATAGAGAGGGACCGAGCACACCAACAAACCATCCTGCCGGCTTAGCGACCACCCCGGGCCCGTCTCATGGTGGCATCACCACGCCAGGCACCATGGGTACGTTTGGAGAGTTCAGATACAGTGGAAAATAGAATCGTTCCCGTTACTGCCGACCCCCCTCATACATTCCACACGTCTTTGGAACCTGCGCAGGATATCCAGTCGTAGGTACGATCACCCGCGAAATGTATCAGCAGCTTCGTTTCAACAAAAGCAACAGTTGTTAAGGAGAGCGCGCCAAGCACATGCGACGTTGTCTGGATTGATGCCACCCCCCATGAATACTCGGTTCCTTTGTCTTGTAATTTCTTATGCATTTCTGTGGCGCCTTTTGTGTGGCTGGAAAGACAAATCGGACGTGGTGTTTTCTTCGTTCGCTATGCAATGGGTATCGCCAGGCTGGTGTTCGGGGTTCTTTGCGATGGTTCTTCTCTACATGGCGCGAAGGCTCTTCGCTGGAGCTTGGGTTCTTGTTATTGCTTGAAATGAATGTATTATACTACGTTAATTGTGACTGTTCCTCAATCTTTTGTTGATATCTTGGATGATATATGCTCACTAACTTTCAGAAACCCTCTCGATCGTCGAGGAGTTGCTTTACACACCAAAGAAGATCATGTTCTCACAGTGCCTCTTAAACTTGCGCAACAAAGAATGAATGAGGAGATATTTTATAGGTGATATGAATAAACGTATATTGATTGGGTAATCTTTTCTGCCGTAACATGCGCCCCAGAAGGCTTGACAATGCTCCAAAATGCTAGATGCTCGTTCTCCCAAAACACACCACGTAAATCTCGCAGCAGTTCTTTTACATATTGAACCTTGTCCTTTGCTTCTCCATCTTTCCTTTCCATTGCCATTCCTGTCCGCTCTTGTACTGGACGCCTCTGTCGACACGTCGAAGCTTCAACTGTGAGGAAAGGTTAGTGACTATGCATAATCATTGATATCGGGTAGAGCTTACAGTGAAGCGAGGGCCGAGCTCCTGCAGACCCGTTTTGAGATTCTCGAGGATTTCCTTGTTGTCGGAACCAAGGACGGGCTTTTCGCGGCCCTTCTTCTCACGGAAGACATATCGGTGACGTCTCCAGAAGATGTAATCGCGCTGATTGTGCATTGTGACTACGGTTCGTCCTTGGAATTGGGGCTGCGGGGGATATAACGACTTGAAAAGCTGGGCGCAAAGGTGACCGAGAGGTGTTTTGAAATTGTTCAAGATGAGTTCCGGAACTAGATAGGTGTGTCAGAGAATAGGAAAGACTTTATGTTGAATCTTGATTGAACTTACTATGACCGGTTGAGTTACCATGGCCGGGGAGCTTCTTGCCTTCTATCCAGTTTGAAATTGAGAAATGGAAGTGGGGACCAAGTGTGTCACCAGTGAGATGCACAACATCCAATCCGTCCGGTTTCTTCTCGTGTAGGGCTTGCATCATGATAATGAGGTGTGTATAACCACGATTCTTGGCGAATTGTGCGATCTCGCGAACAGAGTATTTGGGTGCGCCGAAATGAGCACTGCGTCTGATGTAGTTGGAATTAGGGAAGAGATCGATCAAGATTTCGGCATGCTTATGCAATGTAGAGTTTATAGAGGTCGTGATGAGTATCTTCGGTTCAACTGGCGGCGCGAATAGTGCAGGGAACTTTTGCTTGAGGAATTCAGGGGAGAGCTCGAGGTTGGTAGCGGTTGAGGTTGTAGGGCTTGCAGCTCTCTTTGGCGCCGGAGCCTTTCGCTTCGGAGGCGCGTCTGAATCCGAATCATCGTCTTCCTCAGCATCTGAATCTGAATCCAACATGCTGTCGGCGTCGTCATCCTGCTCGTCTTCGTCTTCTTCGTCCTCGTCGTCTTCCATTTCCCTCTTCTTCAATTGCGCGAGCACGCCATCCTCATCAGCATCCTCCGGCGCTTCTTGTTCTAACCTTCTCCTTTTCGCCAGCTGCTCAACATCCACAGCCATTCCAAGCATGTCCTCTTCGTCTGCGACGCCTTCATCCCATGTACGTTTGACATCGATGGTCTTCGGTTGATTGTTTGCTAGTCGCTCTTCGCGCAAGCTTGAATCCTTAGCCTCCTCTCGCTTTCTCTTATGGCGCATATCCCGCTTGGCTGCTTCTTTCTCTTTCTTAATCGCAAGATATGTCTGCTGCCGCCGGAGCTTGTTTTTGGGTTTGAGGCTCGTAGGCATGGGGGTGGATTTGGAGAACGCCATTGTGAACGTTGGCTTCTGTTTCCCCTCAGTTCGACTTGAAAAACGCAAGTAATTACCACCTGCGCGTTGTTGCTGTGTGAAGTAAGGCTTTGCGCGTCTAGTTCAATTAACTGTCGCGAAGGAAGTTTACGAAATTTTGTTATCGATAACAAGATGGCTTAGTCATTCCGGAAGATTGAATTGCAAGAAGTAATTTGAGACTCTTGGCGTTTTATTTCACGTGTGAGTGCAACGGCGAGGAGTCATAACGTGCCGATACTTGATTAATTTGATTTATATATAAGTTCGAGTCTGTCCTCCTTACTCACTCAGGAGGTTCTCCATCTGTATGCGATCTGTGACGAGCTTGTTGCGCGCCAATCGCTTACTTTCACTTCGGAAGCCCTTGTTTCGTACCCCACCACCTCTAACTAGCCATCCCACCAAGAAGAGCTTCACTACAACTGCCCCCCACTACAAATTCCAGATCTCCCTTCCCAAGCGGAAACCAGAAGTCAACATGGGGTCCGATATGACAGCCAAGAATGGCAAGCCATTCGATCGCGCTGCTCTTGAGCAACTCATGAAGGTATGATGCCACGCGACATTGTTAGAGTCACACTGATTTCGCATAGCGCCGATTCTTCTACACTCCCGCATTCGATATCTACGGTGGTGTCTCTGGTCTCTACGATTATGGCCCGCCCGGCTCTGCACTCACTACCAACATCGTCGACATATGGCGAAAGCACTTTGTGCTCGAGGAGGACATGCTCGAGGTGGATTGCACAATGTTGACACCTCACGAGGTGCTCAAGACTTCCGGTCACGTTGATAAATTTGCGGATTGGATGTGCAAGGACCCCAAGACTGGCGAGATCTTCCGTGCGGACCATCTTGTTGAGGAAGTGTTGGAGTCTCGCCTCAAGGGAGACAAGGAAGCTCGTGGCGTGAAGGTAGAAGAGAAGGAAGAGGACCCGAAGAAGAAAAAGAAGAAGGTCAAGAGCATTCCAGTCGTGAAACTTGAGGATGCCGTCGTCAAGGAGTACGAGGAAACCCTTGCGAAGATTGACAACTACAATGGCGAGGAGCTCGGTCTGCTCATGAAGCAATACAACATCAAGAACCCTGCAACTGGTGGTGAACTTCTCCCACCTGTCGCATTCAACCTCATGTTCCAGACTTCCATTGGTCCTTCCTCCAACCTTCCTGGTTACCTACGCCCAGAGACTGCTCAGGGTCAGTTCCTGAACTTCCAGAAATTGCTTGAGTTCAACAACCAAGCCATGCCATTCGCCTCTGCCTCGATTGGCAAGTCATTCCGAAACGAAATCTCCCCCCGTTCCGGTCTCCTCCGTGTCCGAGAATTCTTGATGGCCGAGATTGAGCACTTCGTTGATCCCTCTGGCGGCAAGAAGCACCCTCGCTTCAACGAGGTCAAGGACGTAGAATTGGAGCTACTCAACCGAGAAGTCCAGCTCTCCGGAAAGACCCATGTTTCCACCACCAAGATCGGTGATGCCGTCGCATCTGGCCTCGTCGACAACGAGACCCTCGGATACTTCCTCGCCCGTATTCAGCTCTTCCTCCTTCGCATCGGCTGCGACCCCAAGAAAATCCGATTCAGGCAACACATGGCCAACGAAATGGCCCATTACGCCGCTGACTGCTGGGATGCCGAGCTTTTGACCTCGTATGGCTGGATAGAGTGCGTTGGCTGCGCTGACAGGAGTGCTTATGATCTGTCTGTGCACATGAACAAGACTGGTGCCCCTCTCCAAGTGTCCGAGAGGAGAGAGAAACCTCTCGAGTTTGAGGAGTGGGTCGTCGACATTGAGAAGAAGAAGTTCGGACCTAAGTTCAAGAAGGACGCCAAGACGGTGGAGACTGCCCTTGAGTCTCTCGCGGAGGATTTGCGCGAGAAGCTCTCTCTTGATCTCTCCAAGGATGGCAAGATTGTCATCGACGTGCCAAATGTTGGCGACGGCAAGGTGGAGCTGACCAAAGACTTGGTTACCATCGAGAAGCGAAAGCGTGTGGAGCATACCAGGGAATTCACTCCTAATGTCATTGAGCCATCTTTTGGTATTGGCAGAATATTCTACGTAAGTTCAAGGTATCTGAATATAAGAATGAGAGTGATACTGACCACACTTCACAGGCACTCTGCGAGCATACCTACTGGTCACGCGAGGGTGACGAGGCCCGTGGCGTCCTCTCTTTCCCCCCGACCGTTGCCCCGACCAAGGTCCTTATCGGTCCTCTATTCGGCCAGAAGACCGAGTTCAAATCATACTCCCAGGCTCTGAAAGCAAAACTCCGGAAGCTCGGAATCTCAAGCCGCATCGACGAGTCCGGTGTGTCAATCGGAAAGCGATATGCCGTATGTTGATCCGTCTTCCAAAGGAATTGCGCATGATATGCTAACAGAAATAGCGAAACGACGAATTGGGTACACCATTGGGCATCACCATTGATGTAAGTTACCGTCCGCCATAAAGAGGCGTGAAGTCAGTTGAAAAACTAACATCTCCTTCCAGTTCCAAACCCTCGAAGACAACACATATACACTCCGTGACCGAGACACCACGAAGCAGGTCCGCGGCGACATCGACCAAATCTGCGAAGCCATCTCCCAGCTCGTGGAAGGCACTGCTTCTTGGGAAGATATCGCAGCTAGACTTCCTGCGTTCGAATCTGCTGATGCCGAGTAAAAGAAAACGTTCGTTGAATGTCGGGTTAGCGATTCTCATTCGACATTGACATGTTGTGGTTGTGAACGATGAGGCATCGCAAAGAGGTTGGATTCATTAGCAGAGTGTATTACTGTGTGCGATTATAAGGGTACCATTTGATGTAGACTGCTGTGGGTATAACGCCCCTACGACATACGTAGACGGCGAAAAGCTTCAGAGTCAGGAATCTGGAATAAGTTAGATGAATGAATAAAACAAATTATGGCCAAATCAATAAGCGTATCTTCAGACTCAAAGATCGATGTGCCGGAGTATCTGTGTATCCTATTACTATGGCACATAAAGCACTACTATTGCCGCAGTACATTGAGCTAGAGCATATGATTTCGTGAAAGTAGACAGAATTTATTTGTTCTCGGATGCAGCAGGGTAACAGCTGCACCTAAGATTTGCGGCATGTTTGCTCGAAAGTGGCCTCAGATATGGGTTCGTCCGAGAGGGAAGTCTGCAAGACGGAAATTGGTCTTATTTTGATGTGAGCCTTCTATTATCGATATGCCAAATGGGACTTGCTGTTGCATCTGGTTAGTTGGATTCCTTCCATTCATTTCTTAATTGACACATTCGAGGATAGTGACCGCTCTGCGGCATTCTTCATTTGGCCCCACCCCTTTCAAATGGGGAAACCTACTTTCATTTTGACGACGGATATTGTCTCTTGACTACTCACTCTATAGTTTCTGGAGCTTCGGGACGCAGCAGCTAAGTAAGCCTTGGACGTCTGCCCTTGCCCCTTAGCTGATGATATTCTTCTCAATGGAAGAGCACACAAAGCTTTCAATAACTTAACCTAGCAGGTTGTCCACCAAAGCCAGGTTTGGAGCCATCGATTAAATTAAATGCATTCTGGGAGAGTATGCGCCGTGATCATTATCGTTCAAAACATGAGCAATCATACCGTTACGATTTCTCACTTCATTTTCTCAAACCAGGTAATTATGTGTACATCGGAAGCTCAAGCATCGTAGTTATATGAGTTGTTCACTTGAATTTCCATGGGAAGTCATTGAGTCCAAAGAATTTGGTGAACGTTTGAGTGTGATAGAGCCTGACCTGTCCTGTTCTAAGCAAAACAACAGCATGTCTACCTCGCAGCTGCCGTTTCTCCGCACCAGCAACCACCATCACTTTTATCTCGACTGCAATCCCTACGAAACATACAACAACCTCGCATCAAGTACTCCCCTTTGGCAACCCACCCTTCTTACAATCATCACTCATGTATGCTTCCGAAGACCGTCGTCGACAAAACCAATCGGGCCGTTTCGCATTTTAGACTTAGTCTGTACGGACCCCGCTCGCTCAGGCCAACGCGCCAGGTGGTGTGGTGTTCCCTCACACCTACAGCAATTCTCATACACACACAGACAGGACATACATAACACGTCCTGAATCCTGAGGTCAATTGCATCACAATGCAGGCAGAGATGTCACTCGGAACTAGGATCGGATCGTTGGTGAAGAAAAAAATAAATCTCCGACCCAGGGCCAGCGTTGCGGGAATTACATACATACTACACGATCAACCACGAGTGCTACCTCGTAGTCGTACTTGTATCTGTTAGATACTGGGCATCGGGACCGCCGACCGCACGTTCCCCTGTCATCCTCTATCCCAGCTCAGTGGAAAGTGGACGGGGCGGGTAGGTCCCGAATCCAAACAACTACCTATCTGACGTGCGTTCCTGTCAGCGATATCCAATGGATTGACAAATCTGAATCCAACAGCGTGGTCGGCGAGCTTCTCATCTTGGTGGACCGATGTTTGATGAACAAGGCTATGGAACTCTCTAATGCAGTGCAGGGTTTCTGTTGGATCCGTTTGATGCTGCAAATTCCTCCATTGTTCTAACTTCTCCCTACGGCCCTCCACTGTCATCCGTAGCGGGACAACCCCAGCAAAAACTAGGTCATCAATTGCATGTGCATGTGCATTTCGACCTTCTCTCCCCTTTATGCCTGGTCCGCCTCCACATTCTCCATCTAGAGCCTCACATTCTCAGCAATCCCCATTAGACACATCGCAAACAACGATTGGCCACGATTATCATACAGCCAACTGGGGTTAGATGCCCGACAACTGACGGGGGAGGGGTTCATGGGTCCTGTTATCCACCCAGCTTGAGCTCTCAGCCTAGTCATTACTCGTGTCCAGGTACAGTCTATTCGCCCGTCTCTGCGTCGCACGCTGTTACGCTGTACCATATGCTGGCAGTTGCTTGTTCTGCATGTACGGCAGCGCATGGGTTAGCAGTCAAGTTTGCACAACCATCCATTTATTATTGTAGTCATCATCCGTGCCATTGCTACTACAGCATTAACTCACACTACTGTCAAAGACCGTCTCCTTTCTCCAGCCCTGGGATTCGCCCAACGAGCAATGGCCTGCTAACGACGGCGTCAAGGCGTCACCTGCACATCTTTAGGCCGGCGGGACGGGACCTGGTGAGTTTCAGAGCTTGGTCGACTTTGGTCGTAGGCCTTTCCCAAGCTCCTAAGCTCCCGAGCACCAAAGCACCGCACCTAAGGTACTCTGTTGCCCGCTCTCCTATTCTCCGGTTCTTCTCTTCTGCACAGTTCTCCCGTTTCAGTCACAATTGTATTACATTTGCCTATCGCCAATCAATCAAACTCACGTCTCCGTTCCGACGGTACGGCTAGCTTAACAACCAAAAAAATCGTTCTATAATTGTTTTCTCTTTAGACGACGTAATTACTTGGGTTTTCGCAAACCCCGCGATCCAGCACACAACCCCCGACCCAACCGGAAGACCGTTTCTGTGCTCCTACGGCCGCTGGTACCTCTATATTGTGCTACACTTCGTTGCGCAAAGCAGCGTTGGATACTGTCTTACTACATCTTCTCATTTCACTTCCTACTTTACTTATTGTTATCGGCATGATGGTGGTACCCTCCATCTGTTGGTGATTTCTGACAGCTCGCTGTGGGAACGTACGACTCGGTGCTAGGGATCGTGGACATGCTTCCGTCCTTGCAGTTGTCGCATTGCAGAACTTGGTCTTAGCTGCTAAAGCACTCCCATTCCTACGACTGCGGTCGAGACTCCTTGCTTAGTCTACTGCAGACCTGGTGCTCGCGTTTGATATTATATCTTCCTTGCGGGTTAGTGGGGTCATTGCTGAATGCTGGCCCCGGACGATTTGCAGCACAGTAATTACACAAAGCGGCCCAAACGAGCTGGACGGACGCATACATAATATTCGGCACCCGAAGCAGTGGCTATCCAGTGCCCACATTGCATTTGACCCATCCATATCGCTTCTCTTTCGACTCCCCTGTGGACTCTGACACGCCACCAATCAAGAAGCTCTCGCCTAAACGGTTGCAAACTGCAATAACAACCATTCCCTCCCAGATACCAGGCGAACAACTGGGCGTATGATATTGTAACTACCATCCATTCGACGGACTTCGAGTTATTCAATCTTTTCTTCTACAGATCGAGCGGCGAGCGACGTTGTCAGGGCTTGAATTGCTGCCAGCTCGCTTCTTTCCGAACCCCCGGGCCTGCCCAACACCATGGAAGAGGAGGCGTTACCCGACGATCTGGTTATGGATCACACAGCCGCACGACATAAACGTTCCAGGACTAGTGACTCAGGAAGCTCAACTTCAGCAGAGTCAATGTAAGAACATACTTTTATTACCATCGCCCTGAAGCTGTCATCCTTTGCGTTGACCATGGCTGACACCAAACAAGCACCGCGTGCCGTGCCTCGGGGTCTCGCAAGTCTGTATTTGCTTTTTTGTTGCATCGAGATGGTGAAGAAGACTGCTGACCTGGCCATGATCTAGACATTCTACTCGAACTCTAAACTCCGAGGATTTCGAATTCGTCCAGGAGAATGGCCGAGAATATGGTAACCATACCTACTTCATGCCGTGCGATCAACTGGAGCAGGATCGATTGACTATTCAGCATCAAGTCTTCGTTCATGCACTGAAGGGGAAACTCACTACTACACCAATCTCGCCATTGCAATGCCGGATCCTAGATCTGGGAACAGGGCCGGGCAATTGGGCTGTGGCCATGGCTCGGCAGTTCCCTTACGCTGAAGTTGTTGGCTTAGATATGGCGGTATGGGATCTGGAAACAACGGAAGAAAATGGAGGAAGCCCCCAGAATGTCAGTTGGGAAATCGACGACCTTGACGTTTGGGGAGAAGACCCTCATCTTTCCGAATTGACCTTCAACATGGAGCATTTTGATCCATATCGGGATCCGATCACACCCCGTGATACATTGGAATCACCTTCCAAATCACGCCAGCCTCGAACGCCAGGCGAGGGCGATTGTTCGTTCGACCCTCTCGTACTTGATCCAGGACCTCAGGTCGGCTGGCACTTCAGCGAACCGTTCGATCTGATTCACATGCGGGGGATGAAGGGTGCCTTCGTACACTGGGAAGAAGTATACGCTGAGATATATAAGAGTCTATCACCTGGAGGTTGGGTGGAGGTCGCGGACTTTGAACTCATGCTGCCCGAAATGCCCAACTCGCAACTACCGCCCGGTGACGCAGCCGGCAACCTTTCGCAAACCCAACCCGATAACCTACCGCTACCCACGATTCGAAAACTATACTTTGCTGGCATGCAAGCTGCTTGGAAAGGTGGACGCCACCTAGGCACTTCGTACATGCACGCAACATACCTGGAAGATGCAGGGTTCAAGGATATAAGGACGACGTATGTCAATGTTCCTGTAGGCACATGGCCTGAGGACCGGGAACAGAAGAAAATCGGAAAGATGTTTCTTGTCGTGTTGCTGGAGAGCATTGAGACCCATCTCTTGAGGTTACTCACACAATTTGGAGATGCAGACAGGCTATGGTCAGCGGAGGAAGTAAGGGAACAAGTGGAACAAGGGAAGAGAGAGATATTCGATTGGAGCGAGGGCGTTGGCAGCGCCGACAGGAAGGAAGGCTGGTGCGCAAGTTTCAAGTGGATCATTGGTCGCAAGAGCAAGAACGCCGAATGAGAGACTGCATACCACCACACGATACGGAGAGACTGCAGATGTACCGCAGCTGCTACGACAACCACAACCACAACAAGAGAAGAAGAGGGAAAACAACAACAACTGCATATCCAAGAACTCACTAGAAAACTACCTTAATGAACTGCATATAATGACTAGAACTTCAACGGGCGAGGAAATATTCACTGGGGATAATTGTCACGACCGAGATGAGGCATAGATGGGGGGGGATGAGGATACCTTTGTGGTATGACCAAACAGAATAGTTAGCGCTGTTACCCCAAAATATCATCACCATGTAATGAAAACAGGAAGAGATTCGAGTGCTGTGGTTTCCTTTGGTGATTTGCTATCATCCATGTAGGCGGCCTACCCTCGTTGAGTGGGAAGGCAAGTACTCATCAGTGGCGGATGTTGCCTGAAAACTCAATTGCACAATTGCCAGAGACATATCTTAGTACTAATTCATATTCCGTATATTTACACGAACAAAATGTCAAGCTTGCGATGCCAAATTTAACCCTTTGAAACTCCCTACTACATGCTACCAAAAAAGCCCAAGACCATCTAAACGCTTCATATGGAAAGCAATCTCTACAAGTCTCCATCATCATCATCCCCTCCTGCTGCTGCCACTCAACGGCCTCTGCTCATCATCCTCCTCGTCAAACTCATCCAATTCAAACTCCTCGACGCCCCTCAATCTCTCCTCGTCGTCCTTCACCTTCGAGAACCCCGCCGGCGAGTCCGCAGGGTTCGGATACGGCGTCGCGCACTTTGCGCTCCTGAGCGGGGGATAGTACCGCCTGTAGGTGAAGTACGCGATGGACAGGCCGATCAGCGAGCCGGTGGTGACATCGTAGACGTCATGTCTGTAATCCTCGCACCTAGAAATCGCAATCAGCACCGCCCCGAGCAGGGGCGCCAGCGCAAGCAGCACCCTCGCGAGATCCGTCCTCGGCCTAAAGACGTGGCACTGGCCAGCGATGAAAAGCGCAAGGTATCCGAGTCCGCTGAAGGCGAAGCTGCTGTGGCCGCTCGGGAAGCTGCGCCAGCCGTCGTGCAGCACGTGGTGGTCCTCCTCGGTGCAGATCTCGAAGGTGACGAGTTGGTGGGCCGGGGTACCCTTCTCGGGCTTGCAGCGCGCGATGAGGTCGGGGCGGGGGCGTCCGACAGCGTTTTTGATTATGTCGGTGAGGAAGAGGGTGAGGATCAGCGAGATGAACCAGCCCAGGATCGTGACGTGCGATTTGTGGGCGCCGGGACGCAGGGCGAGGGACCAGGTGATTAGGAGGCCGAGGGGCACGGCGCCCGCGTAGATGAAGAGCCATGCTGTGTGTGAGAGTCAGATGTTGGTTGTCCGTTTCCCCATTTGGGGGTTTTGCAATTGAGGTAGGGAGGGTGTAGGTGAGTATGTGAGGTAGGTGAGAACGTACTGACGGACACTCGCTCGACTTCGGCGTGGGGGAATTGTATCGCGAGGTTATCGAGAGAAAACATGCGGTGGAAGGGCTCCACGAACATGATCAACTGTGTGGCAATGTCAATTGAGCACAATGTAGAAATGACTTGCGTAAGACATACCAAGATCCATCCTGTCAATAAGATAGCCAGACCGACATAGTCAGAGGCATAGGAGCGCTGTATATCATCCAAACGTTAGCTACTCTCCTCGAAGCTTCACCGATATCTCAGAGCTGGCGTTGACGACATACCTGCCAGAATCTGGCCGCAGCGCCAATAAAACCCGGGGATTGGGTGATTGTGTTTAGCCTCTGTGAGTTGCTACTCGTCGCATGGCCAGGCATTCTCAATTCGCTCAATGTATAAGGTGCATTGCTGGGAAGGAGTGGAGGGTTGCGGGCTTTTATGGTTTGGGAAGCTCTGTTCGTCGTGTGTCGAGCTTCTGGACTCGGAAGTGTGGCATGAACGATGGGGACACGAGTAAGATGACAGGGGTCTGGACGCGCAGTGCCGCTAGGGCTTATTGGACTTAGCTTGTGATTCCATATCTATATCGAAAATATAAAAACATGTACGGAGTAGATGAGAATTCTTAAATATGGCAACATTACAAATGATTTAAACGGTGTGAAGTAAGGACCCGAACCAGGTGGAAGTGCATTGCTGATGCGATGTTGGCTGAAGTCATTTTCTTGGATAAACCTAGCCTAAGACAATTCCGTCTTCAATATTGGTCCTGGGGAACAAGAACAAGTCCAAAGACAACTTCCCTTTCCAACTTCGAAGTAATTATTTATTGAAAATTGAAACGAATGTTTCCTTGTTAACTAGGTCTTGAGAACATATCTTCAGCCTCTTAAGCTCAATCGTTAATTTGACTACTTGAAACTAGTATTCAAATGTACGCATAACTCATAGTTACTTTCCATTCAAAGCAAAAGATAAAAATTATCCCGGTATGTCTTATTACATGATATGATTGTAATATATGGAGTTGGTCATATGGTGATGACGTACAGGTTCACCGATCTGATTATTGAATCACTTCTTACATCACGACGTTGACACCATTGAAGAAATGCGGATTGGGAAGTGCATGGTGTGAATTAAGGGTTTAGATTTAGCAAAGGACAGATGATGATAAAATACAGTCTAGTTTGGGATATGTATGCTATTATGTGTCCAACCTGGAAACCTGGAAGATATTCGCCAGAGTATAACTGGCGTCATGTTGTGATACTTTTGATGCTGTAAATGCCGAAATGAGAGATGGGTGTTTTGAAGGCAGGGTTCGATACTGACTCTTTGCCATACCGAAGCTGTGCGCACTGTGCCGCTTTAACACCTTGATGATCGATGCTGCCGCCCATTTTGGAACAGTAACTGTGAAGCCTCTAAGTTTCGAAGTCGTTCCAATGATGATATTATGCCGTAGGTGAAAACACACTCGACGACTCAATATATCTGCGACCGCGATATGGATTCTTCGACCCGTGACATCGTCGACTGAAGCTGTCCAACCATGCCAAGCAGAACTTCCACAATGACCATTAGAACACCACCGAGCAGTGCTAATATAAGGTCGATGCCCATGAGAAGGATGTTTATGATGATGAGACAGAAATTAATCATGCCAATGAAACAGTGCATCCGCGCCTGGAAGATGAACATCGCGGCCGAAGTGCTTGGTTGCATTTGTTCCATTTTCGCTGGGATTTTTAGACAAGAAGGCAATGGTTGTTGTGAGGAATACGTCCAGCGTATAGAGAAAGGATGGCCTTGGAATTAAAATCTGTTGCGAGGGATTGTGGAAAGGAAGGTCTTAAAGATACTCGTTGTAGGAAAGTGTTCACAGTCTCTGACTCCCAAGTGATGAGTGTTTGAAGAGGGTGACGCTCACCCCATCTTTTACTCAACTTCGCTTTCTTTGTTGACTCGACGCCTTTTGATGTTCATTGTGTGAACGGGGGAATGCTCGACAAGCGGAACGCCTATTTTTAGTTCATGGTCGGACATTGAGCTTTTGGGTATTTTCCCCGCTATTGTTCGAGCGACCGCGTTGATGTCTCCCATTTCGTCAATCAACCACTGCTTGTTGTCACATGAGGCATTCGGCGAAGTGACAAGTACAAGATTCAATGCAGCCAGCATGAATGCTCCATATTCCACGCAAGTGTCTCTTTCCATACCCGAGATGTCAATCAGGTCTAACAGTCTTTCCCATTGACTGCGCAGTGTCTCATCGTACATTACGATCGTTCTGTAAAACGAGTCGTCGCCATTGGACTTTAGGTCGTATGCGAGGGATGGCCACTCCATATCGGTAAACCATGTCCATATCCGTAGCAGGGCCCACGCCTTGTCGTCAAACGGTGGCATAATAGAGTCCTTGAACATGAAATGACGGGTTCTAAGTGATGCAGAATGTTATGAACGTTGTTCAGTAAGTAGTAAGTAGATGGGCAAAGGTTCCGGAGCGCGCAAATAACTTTCAAATCTCTTTGTTTGCTGGCGTTTGTTCTTCTGGGCGTCTGTGCTGTACTGCTATCATGGAATCGACCTCATGAATCTAGTCGACTGCATATAGAGTAAAAGCCTGGAAGAAGTCTGCGCAACTGCGGTTTTGAAGTTTCTTTGAATCATTATTCAAGCCCATTTTTCTTTGTGAAGGACTTATTGTTTTGGTTGTGGCAATGGCTACATACGTGTCAGTCAATGTATCGACTGTTTGTTCCGAAAGCGAACAATGAGGCTGCGAAAATACATGCTGGCAAGCGGAGGACATTACCATTGTCACTAGTCGAGCAGCCTTGCTCTCGCGCGAGGAGCGAACTTGGGTGGATGCTGTATAATCTCGCCGTCCCAACCCCAAAGCGTACCATTCTCTGCCCCGGCTCTTACAAAATCCTGGCAAACCTCAATTGGGCCTTCGTCTGCGTATAGTGATGGGATGTTGTAGGTCATGATCGTCATCTTCTTTTCGGGATCCGCATAATCCCAACCATTCCTAAGTAATTGCGAAAATCCCACTTGATCCGTTGCAACGTTTATAAGTAGTACTTTCATTGCTCTTCCCTTAGAAAACTTCGAATAGCAGTTTTTGATATTACATTCTCGCAAGCCGTCAGCTCGTGTCAATACCAAGGTCTGCAACTGGGGCATGCGCGCTATGTCGGACCAGAAAGCTTCGTCTGCGTCTACGTTGTAGAGGGCAAGGCGCTTCAGAGCTGACCATTTCTTCCAAACTGCAGGCTCATCACTATGTTGAATTGTGTCCAGAAAAAGTTCATCTCGAACACTGACAAATTCCTCGAGGTTTTCCAAACTGAGGAATCCCTCCCTCAAGATGCGACGAACATCAAGATGATCATCTTCAGGGTACAAGTTCCGAAGCGGTATATCGATTATGAGTCGCTTTAAAGACGCAGATGTATATTGGAACAGCTCTCGAACCCAGTGAGCCATGGGCTGGTCATCGATGTTAACGAATGGTGCGAGAAAAAGATTTTGTAATTTGCGAAGGTCCGGTCGACCAGGTATCTGGAGAAGAAAAGACCGGATACTGTATTCTGTGGCGAAGTATGCGCAGTGCTTGAGAAGAGCCCTGTTGGCTACTCGACGTGTTTCGTGACATACTAGTGTAAATGACAACAGGGTCTGGGTGATTGGGTGCGATGGAGACAGAAGCACATTTGGGTATTTTGGGAGGGAGCAAGTAATGACGTTGAGTACCAGCTCTAGCGGAAGGGGCATAGGTTTGATGTCCATTTTCAGATCGCTTTTGATCCAGAAGTATCAAGAGTCAAGTTGGAGAGGACTTGGGGATGGATTAAGTGGTGACTCCTCCACACAGGAGCGATGCATGCTAATCGATAAGGCAGGGGTATGCTGCCAGCCCTACCTAATATAGCTTAGCTTGGACCCCTCCCTCCGATGATGCTACAAGAATATTTCCGATGCCCCGCCATCCAAGAGCAAGAGAGCAATTGCATTCGAGTTCGGCATTGAGAAGCATTGGGGATTTCCAAAATGGAATTCGAGACAAAGACACGTAAGCAATCATTAATTCTTCCTAAGACCGTAGTCTGATCTTCATACACAGCACAATATAAAACCAGCGATCCGACATCGTTCGCCTACATCTCTGCACGCGAAAGATGGCCGATCATCATCACTCAAGGCATTGACGATGTCCATCGATCAGTCCACGCCTCGAAAGATGAGGAACAAATCAAAGAAGGAAAATGGATCGTATCAGAGCTTGCGAAGCTTAAGTATGAACTACAACATAACCGGGAGATCACTCCTATCCCCGATGATGGAGAGTCTGATGTCGAAGCCTATAACACGGAGCTCCAGGCTCTAGGAAAACCGACCTGGCACTCTGTAGCATGGCTTTACTCCGAATGCTACTTGTACAGGTGTGAAGCCCAATGTACCATCCCGCGGTCCTGTTTTGACGCTCATTTCTACCTAGGCGCATCGCGAGCATTTTCAAACAAACCCAACACTGGAAGTCTTACGATATTTTCGCTCGCCAGAAAATCTCAACCTTCAAATCATCTCGTCCTGCCGTCCTCGAGCTCGCCAGCCGTTATAGAGAAATCGTCACCGAGCTCGAATCGAAGCATACCATCAAGGGGGCTAAGAGCCAGGAGGAGCTCGAAGAGGCGGAAAAGATCTTGTTCGTTGAGATGAGCGAGATCTGCCTCTGGGGAAACGCTACAGATCTGTCGCTGTTGACAAATCTATCATACGAAGATATCCAGAAATTGCAAGGTTCCGAGGCACGCAAGGCTTCAGAGAAGAACATTTTGGTCAATGACCTGGACAAGGCTTTCGGTGTCTTGACCGCAGCTGCGAAGGCTGGAAAGAAGGACAGGCGTGTAGACATTGTTCTGGACAACGCTGGATTTGAGCTTTTTGTTGATTTGATCCTGGCTGGATATTTGGTTGCTGCTGGACTCGCCACTACAGTTGTCTTCCATCCAAAGTCGATACCGTGGTTCGTGTCCGACGTTCTTCCCCAGGACTTCGCAGCTCTTTTATCAGCACTCGCAAACCCCCAGGCTCTCTACTCCGAGCTCACCGATGACGAGGCACAAGCTGGAAAGACCGCCACTCCCCTATCTGAGACCGAAGCAGAGAACTTGAAGTTCTTATTTGATCACTGGAGCCGCGTCTATGCGGAGGGTCAATTTGTGCTTCGCCCTAACGACTTTTGGACTGCTGGAGGCAGCTTCTGGAGGCTCCCTGGTACCGCCCCCAGCCTACATGAAGATCTGAAGGAGAGCGAACTGGTGATCTTCAAGGGAGACTTGAACTACCGAAAGCTCACTGGTGATGTAAGTACCTGGGCTCATGTTCAACATCGCATATCACTGACATTCTTAGGCTGCATGGCCAGCAACCACACCGTTCACTGAGGCCATCGGACCCCTTGGACCGGGCTCAGGTGTCCGCGTCCTTGCTCTCCGCACCTGCAAAGCCGACGTCGTTGTCGGCCTCAAGGAAGGAGAGGATGAAAGGATCAGAGCCATGGAAGGCGGCGGTGGAGATAGTGGAGCCCGCAAATGGGCCTGGAGCGGGAAATGGGCCGTCGTTGAGTTCAGTGATGGCAAGGCGTCCTAACTGCGCAACACTACCATTGTTTTAATCATACCATCTGGATATTTAAGAATCGCATATAGATTAGAATGCATCGTATCAAGACATCATACAACTGCAAGCCGCACGTCGCTTTGTTTATACACGATACACCCTCCTCTGTCTATTACCTCGCCTTCCGCAAAAGAACAAAGAAACACCCTTTCGAGCCCTTCACCCCGGGCCCTAGCAAAACCCACTCCTCCCCATCCACCTTCCCTATTGCCAACATACAGCCCAAAACATGTTCGTTACCCCTTTGTACTGTATAAATCTTGCCCTTCGGCCCATCGAACAACCCATGCCCTAATTCCTTAACCTGCTTCTGCATACGTAGGGCTTTCGTAACTTTGCTTGCAGCTTCGCCTGGACGCATATTCCGCGCTATCATGGCACGTCGAGACTCGTTCTCGATTGCTTTTCGGAGACTGATGGCCTCTATGGTCGGGTTGGTGTGCAGGTGGATGTAGTGGTAGCGGGGCTTTCCCGACGAGTCACGGATTGTCTGAGGGTTGGCTGTGCGTGTGCCTTTAGTGGGGATTCTGGTGTCAGATATAGGTAGTGTTGTTGTCGAATGGGCTTGAGGTGGAGACGTGTGCTCATTTGGTGGTGGCGGTGGTTTTGATCTTGAGTTTGCGTTGGAAGTATGGCGACGAGGGCCTGCCTGCGAAGAGGATGGCTTTGTTCCGTATTCTTCTCCCTTTGACGAAAAGAGTTCGGGTTCGGTTGCATACGTTCTCCACGAGGGAGGCCCTTCATATGTTGAAGGGGCCGTTTGAGCGCGCAAACCTGGAGAAGCCCTGGGTTTTCTCATGGATCTATCTCTTCGGGTGGGCTCTGATGTTCGTCTTCGATGTGGTGCAAACAAACGCGAAAACACTGACTTTAGAGTGACTCTTCCCTCATGACTTGCTTCCCGTCTTCGAGGGGATTTAACTTTCTGAGTGGCACGAGATTTCTCGTTGGCTTTAGCTCGCCGAACTGCACTTCTTCCGGCATTATATCTTGCGCTTCCTGGGGCATTCTGGTCGCCCGTCTGGCCAACCTCGTTCCTCCATGGGAACTGGACTGGTCTCCTGTGGATTTCTCGCTGGCTCTATGGCACTGTTCTCGTGTTAGCTGTTGATCGAAACACTGTATCGGAATCTCCTGCCTTACCCCGACATTTCTCATTCTGAGGAGATAATGGTACTGTCGCGATGGTATTGTACATCGAATTTCTACCGCCTCTCTTTGGCGCAAGCTGAATATCATCCCCACATTTACACTCATCATTCTCGTCGGCATTACCATCCAAACCAAACATACCACCCCTCGCCATTCTCGGCCAAGTTCCAGCGCCTCGTCCAGCTCCTCCTCCTTGTCCTCCTCCTCGCTGACCACGGCCGCGTCCACCACGACCTCTTCCACCCCCATGACCTCTTCTCAGACTCCCACGTCGACGACCCGGCCCCTCGCCGTCCCTACGACCGAGCCAATACTCCGGCTCAACTTCCTCGAAAGCAGGAGGCCTGGCATCAAGGCCTCCATCCGGAGATATATATCCCCTAAATCCCCCCTCATTATTACCTCCCGTTCCTGGCTGTGGCATCGATGGTCTCCGTCCACCTACACCGCCCCCGCCGCCGCTGCTCCTGCCAGAGGGGATGAAACCAGGCATAGAGCCAGCTTGGATCTCAGCCAGCGCCCTTCTCGCGCGCTCGATCGTCACGAACAAACCTCCACCGGGTCCTATGTCGAATCCGATTTCTAGTTCTGGATGCCATATGTGCCGGGGCACGACGCTGAGGGGCGAGGGGCAGAAGTCGAGCCAGATTGGTCCGCCGAAAAGGCTGGTGAGTGCGGATCTGATGTCATGGCCGCGGTATTGTTGGTTCTCGAGGAAGGCTAGTTGGGCGTCTGGGGCGAGGATATCGGAGGGGGAGGGTTGGTGGGGTTGGAAGGATGGGTCGCGGCGGATGTAGCAGGGCATGTTGGTGTGTGTTTGTGCGCAGCTTGATATCGGGTAATGTTGAGGAAGTCGAAGTCTTTTCGAAGTGAGCAGTAGTTAGAACCTGCGTTGTGGCAGTTTCTTATAGTGAATTTTGGACGTGAATGTACATAATCTTGATCCGTCACTGTGAGCGCATTAAACACTTGGATCTAGCAAGGTGAGGAAAAGGTGAGTTGGGTTCGTTTTTTTGTATTTTCTATTTTTGAGCGTATAATACATCGGCAGTGTGAAAAATCAAGGCCTCCCTAGATGGATCTCTATCCATCTCCAGGAAATGTATATGTTGTTCCTGGGTACGGACCACAAGGTGGTCTCCGTACCCAGGGAACAGAAAAAAAATCAAGAAACTGCCATTTGCTGAACAATTGCAGTAAAGACTGCAAGAGCAAGGAGAAAGAAAAGAAATTGAAAAACCGTCTCTGAGGGAATCATCCCGTGTTGTACATCGGCCATCTTGAAAAGGGAAAGACGGGAAAACCGTCTCCGGAGAAAGTGTCTGTTATACAAGGCCGTACTGGAAGGGAAAATTGGATGCCTTGAGCCAAATGATACTGCCCGGTTCCGAGATGATGGTCCTTGGTGTTGCTGAGCTCCAAGGATGAAGAAAGGGTTGCCACCCTTACCGTAGTGAGGCACCTGGGGCTGATAAGTCATGGTGCTTTGGTTGTGTGGAGCATTCTGGCCGGGGTACATCTGAGATCCTGGGTCGCTACTGATAATACAGAGAGAAAACCTTTTGTTATTCCAAAAGGTATGTGAAAAGATGGGTATCGATAATGAGAAATGGGTATCGTCGCTCTAGAACATGAACAAAAATTTGGGTATCCATGGAACAGAAGAAACGCAAAAGACCTTTGTCGAACCGGAACGTGAGAGAAAATTTGGGTATCTGGAGGAAAGAAAGAGAAGAAAGGAAATTTGTCGTTCCGAAACGTGAGTGAAAAGTCCGTCTATCCTTTGAAAGTAGAGTCTCCTGTCGTCCCGAAACGAGATTGAAAAAGCGGGGACCAGGAGAGAAGAAGAGAGAGAGAGCGAGGTAGGCCACTTGTGTCGGTCCATCTATCCTTTGAAAGTTGAGTCTCCTGTCGTCCCGAAAGAAGATTGAAAAGGCGGGGATCAGGAGAGAAAGGAAAGAAAAGAAAAGAAAGAGAGGTAGGTAGGCGGCTTGTGTCCGAGTCCGAGTGGATAAGTCTTTGCTGCAGGGAAAGTGGATCGGCAGCTAGACTTATGGGGAATTCCTCGTATTCCGCGGTTGATCGGCAGATGGGCTTAGGACTCATCGTAAGGGAATACGAGGAATTCCCCAAAATCGAACTCGGACTCGGACTCGGGCTCGGGGGGAGGAGGAGGAGGAGGAGGAGGAGGAGAGGTGGCTCCAACGCCAGTGTTGGCTGACCCGAACAGGATGTCCAGGTCCTTTTCGAACGACGAAAGATCGAGATCCTCGCCGTTGACATCTAGGCCAGCCAACACTGGCGCCGGGTCTTGGGTCGGAGCCGGGGTGGGAAAGTACCCGGGAATCTCTTGAACTTGCCGCTTGTTTGGAGAAGCAGGCTGCATGGATTCTTGGCCGAAGTCCTGCGACTGTCGGCCTGGGTAGAGACCCGCTGCCGATTCTGGGAAGGCAGCGTCGTGGTTACGCTTCACTTGAGTGTGACCGTAGTCACGCACCTGGGGCTGATGAGTCATGGTGCTGTTGTCCTGTTGTGCGTTCTGGCCGGTGGCCATCTGGTTTCCTAGGGTGGAAAGACCGTTCTCGCTGACATCGGAGGTACCCATCTGGAATCCTAGGTTGAAAAAACCGTTCTCGCTGACATCAGAGGGGCCCATCTGAAATCCCAGGTTGAAAAGACCGTTCTCGCTGACATCGGAGGCACCCATCTGGTATCCTAGGTTGAAACGACCGTTATCGCTGACATCGGAGGAGCCCATCTGAAATCCCAGGTTGAAAAGACCGTTATCGCTGACATCGGAGGCGCCCATCTGAAATCCTGGGGTGGGCAGACCTGGGGTGGACAGACCGTTATCGCTGGCCTCGGAAGTGCCCATCTGGGATCCTAGGGTGAAGTGGCTGTTATCGCTAACATCGGAAGTGCCCATCTGAGATCCTGGGCTGGTGTATCCGTTGCCATCATCATCGGAGGCGTTTAGCTCAGATCCTGAGACGGTGAATCCGTCATCGATGCCATGAGAAGAGCCGAAAGAGGGGGGAGATGTGAACGAGCTCTGAGAGCCGCTCGGGGTAGTGGCATCAGAGTGCGAAGAGACGCTTTTAGCGTTGTTGTTGAACTCATGGTAAGAGTTGATGCTGATAGGTTGAATGAAACCTATCGTATTTGGATGTCCGAAGATCATCTTTGGTTGAAAGTAGTGGGACTCGCCTATCATGAAGACGTGTCCGTTGTCAGGGTGGACTGAGTGTGAAAGGCCAACCCCATCGGCATTTGGAGACTGTGCCTCAGATTGGCGGGAAGGCTGACCATGGTGAGCTTCAGGGGCGGCAGGAGTGAGCTTGCGACGTTTGGAACCATTTCCATAGCTAGACTGAAGGGTGACGAAGTTTGTCTGAGTGGCCTCATCGACGCCGGGTTCGCGAGTTGTGTCGTCGAATGAAAGAGTCTGCTTGCCTTTTTTCCAGGTCATCTTGAGGCTGTCCACAATGAAGCCTTTTTCGGCGAGCTTCTTGCGGTTCTTGAGGATGGCTTGCTGGAGAGCGCTGGCAGTGCAGCCGAGTACTTTGGCGACCCTGTCCCAGGGAATCTCAACATCATCTTTGCCACATTCTGAAACGAGGGCGATGACGATTTGCGCCCAGCATGGTTCATCCCACTTGAGCAACTTGGGGCGGGGGTCGCGCTTCTTTCTGCCATTGGCATGATGCTGAACATCTGGCTCCATGTCCTCAGCAGGGCGCTTCGAACCGGCCCGAGGAAGAGGAGGAGGGCTATCCTGATACTCGCTGCCAGAGGCGCTGGTCCTGGCCTGAGAATTGAAGTTGAAGTCTTGCTTAGACTTCATGGTTGGTTCGTTGTCTGCGAACGTTTGATTAGTCGACATGTTGGGGTAGTGAAGCTAGACGAAGGTTTTTGACGAAGAAGTTCGAAATAGCTTAAGCGAGGTTGCGAGTGAAATTGAGAAAGACGGCTTGCCAGCAAGCTCGAAAGAAAAATGCGTGATGAGAATGGAAGAGAGTAGGAAGTGAGTTGAGAAGGAGTTGGTTTGTGAGTGAGATGGAGAAAGACGGCTTGCCAGCAAGCTCGAAAGTGAAGTGCGTGATGAGAATGGAAGAGAGTAGGAAGTGAGTTGAGAAGGAATTGGGTTGTGAGTGAGATGGAGAAAGACAGCTTGCCAGCAAGCTCGAAAGTGAAGTCTGTGATGGAGAATAGAAGAGAGGATGGAAAGAGACGAGAAGGAGTTGGTTTGTAGGAACAGATCGAATATATCGAGAACTTACAATGAAGAGTGAGTTTCTGAGTGAGTTTCTGAATGATGAATAGGCTGATTGTATTGTTGGTGATAGCTATTGTACTGCTATTGTACTCAGAAGGAGGTTGTTATTGTGATAGTTGAAGCGATTGTGGAAAGGTGGGGCGGGTACTTTTATGCTCCCTCAGGCACGGGCCAGGGCCTCCGACGAGGCTGGCGGCTCAGATACGCTAATTGTCAACGGTAATGACGCGTGAAAGCGCTCAGAGGGTCCCAATTAGGTTAGAGAGAGAAGATTTGTGTAAAAGAGGGGCAAAGGCCTGCTGCCTGGCCACCAGATTGCAGGTAAATATGGGGAATTCCGAATGAGGCTCAGAATCACTGCTTGGAGCCCAGAAGCGAAGGCAGGCCACACGCACCCCACAATCAATTTTGAGCTTGGTTCTGATGCTATAGCGCGGCAAGGTACCCAAATGCAGCATTATATCCCGACGTGCCGCAAAGTGATGTCCGAATGATGTCGCTACAAGTTCCAATATTGGGAATAAGGCCACTGATGTTAGACCGCTCCGCCCCGCCCGCCCAAGTATAGCTCTTTCTTTTGATAGGGTGTAACATAGCTGGCAATCACAGCCAGCTACACCAGGACTCCCGTAACCAAAGTCACCTGGTAAACAAATCATGATAGCTATGGCCTGTGAGGAAGCGTCCCCGATCACTGATCGATTAACGTTTCCGGGCCCGGCCCAAGGTTTCGTGGGAAACATCATCGAGTAACACAAGACACAACGGATATTTCGAGTTAAGTTCTTCCCAAACTATTCAAGTCGTTCGTGTTCCTAGCTCTCCAAAGCCCACCCGTTGATGTATGGTTAGAAGTAGCCATTTCGAACAGGCAGTGACTCGAAATTTCCCCCCGAAAATGCCAGTACTCGGTATCGACATATCTCTTTCAACAATTACAAGCAGATCTCGGCCTTCGAAAGTCCAAGTTGCTTGACTGTCTTGAAGTATAGTCCTGCTCTCTTTATGTTCGTGCAGCTGCTTGAGGCACATACAGCGTCGGCCATTGGGCGGAAAAAGGGTCATTTTTGCATCCTCACAGTATATGGGCCCAATAAATATGCGATACCCTCCATGAAAGAGTTAGTATGTGGTAGAAGAAGAGTATTAGAAAGAATGAGGTTGATGTTGGAGGAGTTGAGGTTGAGTTTGGGTTTAGTATGCATGCATGTCGATCCTTCCGTTGCGGGTCTCGGTACCGGGCCGGACTAGGCGCCATGCGCTACCATGGACCCAATGGTTCACCAAGCACGTTTCTCGAAGCCATTTCTATTGTCTTAGCGGTGTGGGATCATCTTTCGCCCCGTGGCTACCTCCCAGTCAAGCATTGGACAATTTGAAGAGTAGGATGCCATTGGTGGTCGATGTTTATGTCGGAAGGAAACATCGCAGTCTGTCACAGCAAACGAGGCTGATCGACTACCCCGCATTCTCCCCATCGATGCAGATCTCAGGCCACCCGATTCCTCTTCGAGAAAGACATGGATGACAACAAAGAGATTAACCCACCTCAGGTATATTTTTAGGCTCGCTAGTATCGATAATAAGTTTGGCAGTCGATGATGGTGAATAGGGGTCAGACGATCAAGTCACGTGCTTTTGGCCATACTGTTGCGCATCCTAGTAACCTGCCAAGTTCGGCGTCGTTGTAATCGCTCATATTAGAATGCGATCATCAAAGGAATGAATTTGGTGTTGTCGACGTGGAATTCGAAAGCATCTTGGAAGCTTGAATACCCTCCTAGCCATCTGTTTGTAGCTCAGCCGGGTCCCTTGAGCCGCTGACCAATGAGGACTTAGCGCCATACGCTCTCATGTGAACATTATGCGGGGAAGAGGACATCTCTATTTCATCGAAAGATTCTTCCTTATAAGGAGTGAAAAATATACAGGATGAATTCGAAGTGCATTTTCCCGCAGAGATGGCCCTCGTCTCAACCTCCCGTGTCCTGTCGTGAAGGTGTCATGATGAGTTGGGCTATTGTTGCATCCAGGAGGAGCTCATAGTGTGGATATCTCCCCGAGCTGAATAGCATCTATCGTGCGATAGTTCCGTGGTGTGGCGGCATTGGTCTGCGATGTATAGAGCGACTTCCGGGCTTTGCATGAATGCAACCGTGCGTGCAAGTAGAGCTCGAATTTCGGTGTACCTTTCACCTGAGCATGCACCGATGTAGAATAGATAGATTATATATTGCGAACGATGTGTGAGTGCAACACCGAGCCCTAGAATATCGCTTCGAAGCTCGGTAAATCAGGACTGGGAAACGGACGATATAATTTGGCTTTCAGAGTTATTCTCTCCGCTCTGCATGCTCGGTAATTTGCCATTCAGGCCAATATGCGACATGCGATGAAACAACGCTCTCTCGAAATTCTATCGTAGAGACAAGACCAGAAGTCAAGCAGAGTTTGTCGCTGAGTATCTCTTGTAGTAGCGCTGAGGAAAGTTCTTGTGTTCCTACACCGATCGCAAACGGAGCTGCCTTGGGTTGGACATTCTGATCGGTAACGACCGCTACAGCGGTGATCGCATACTTAAAAGAGGCTGCGGAGATATAGGACCCATAAAGAGTTGAGGATAGAATAGTGAGTGAATATTTACCGAGGCATAAACCCAGGTGAGTCCACGTTAATGTAGCTAGTTTCGTAGCTTTATAGTAAAGTTGGTGCACATTGGCCATCTAAAACAAGCCGAAGACTGTTCGAAAGTCGATAGAGCAATTGACTCACTATCCCGTTGGCTCTACCCTCCGATGTGGCTCTTGGGGGCATGTAAAGAGAATTCATAGATGGAGTGGCGAGAGCCTTTCAAGAAAGGTTGCGGGATGAGTTGTTCCTGTGTAGACTCACTATTTATGTATATATTTCTCACCATGTTTAGAATCCAAACAGTTGCATCAGGGTTGATTGCGATTGCTCTGAGAACGCCGTTTGTACGGCGACGTGCGAAGTTCCGGCCTTCCAAGGCTTCTTCTCCTACGTGAAGAGGAAAGTATTTCCCAGCTTAGCGAATTCGGTGGCACACGGGCTATGGTCGATTGGCACGTGCCATTGGAGCAGTAGTGATGTTAACAGAGTACAATGTTACGGGGAAACGGGTTTGAAGTACTCCAAATAGTATCAGTGCAGATGAATCAGGCCACTACAGCTCGATCGTGATTTGCATGAAGTGCGGTTGAGACATATCCGGCTCCGCCACTTCTCTGAGCTTCGAAAAGGGTTGTGAATATACCTTGTTACGACTAAATCGCAGCAGTGATGGCAGTGTAAAATATCCATGAATGATTATAAGTATTTCGGATAAACGTAAGCTCTTGGGCATGGTGCTCAACGACAAGGTCTGGTAGATTTCCTTTCGTTTATGTAAAGTAAATCGTGACACGAAGACTAACAACTCCCCGAAAAGAGATGGCATTGGAATTGGATGAAGACGAAGTGGCATTAGAGTATGATGCATCCGTCCATGATGCCTATTGCAGAAGCACTTCGTCCGATCGATAGAAGAGCTAACTGTGTTGTGTATCTGGAAACATGCCATTGTAGTTCTGGTATGATACAAGTCATCCTCAACGTCTGAAATGCGCCTCTAGTTTCACCAAGCTTGTTGCATGCCGCGTAAGAGATGTACCGATAGTCCGTAGATATTTCTTTCTGTATTGTATATTGTCCCGACCTGATTTCGAACTCGGCCTCTCACATGTGGCTTTAACGTGGATGACCTTTCTGTGAAGTGATTTTGAAGTCCGCGACTGGACAAGTTGGGTCGAATGGCTTCCTACAGGCTATATGTTAGCAGTGGCCGCATACGCCTTCCCATGTCCACAGTTGGAGTGATGCTAGGAATCTAAATATATCTTATATCCATCTCTTTCATAGCTTTACTGCGTCTGTTAAGTATGTTCCTTGCCACATCTCGAAGATTCAGGGACCCAGCCGACTGAACCTCGCATGCGACATCGTGAACATATCGGACCCTACCAAATGTGTTGCAGCTCAATCGCGCTTTGGTATTATACCTCCTCCAAGATGCTGATGTGTGTATTCCTGGGTTTCTCCATGTACGTTACCAGGCTGAAGCCGTCATTGAACATGGTCGAGGATCGTGTTATCGTTGCTGGTGCTTGGATAGGCTCGTTCGTCTTACAACTGCCGCATATTCGATCAGGACCAGAATGGTCTTAATGAGTCTAGGACTGAAACACTTACGGTTCTGTGGTCTTTCTGAAGAACAAGAGGATGTGAGGTTGGCTTAGCAGCGAAGCGGGTCAAAAGGACGGCGTAATCTAGGAGAGTTTCCATGAAGACTGTGCTGCACTGCGTTGATAGATCGTATTTAGAAAGTTAGTAGCTTGAAATTGTAGGTATATTTATGGGGGAAATCCCAAAAGTTTGTCAGTTTTTACTTGCGCAAGCAAGCGGCGGACACATACTTAGTAGTCGGTGGATACATGGTTTTCAGTCAAGGGGTCACTGCGGCGCTTCGTGGTGATAGCCAAGGCTGTTAGCAATGATATGATGGACTTTATTGATGCTGATATTCCTGTGTGGTACTGAGTAGTCGGTCTTTTAGCCTTGATATTGTAGAGCAGACGCTAGAGATGGCAAGCGATCTCGCAGCCTGCGACAGTGATGGCTTGAGGAGCGCTCCAGCGCCGCAGTCTCTACGCCTACCGAAGGCGAAGTTTCTGCCGTTTTTAATGTTGCTTGAGTGTCGAAGCGGAAGTTCGTCGCTTGTACTTTATGGCCTCTTTCGTCCTGGGCAGCCGCTGTTGTCGTTGCCGCCATCGAGAAGCAACACATGCTAGCAATGAGGATATGGACGAGCGTGTAGCGTGCATTCAAAGGATCTCAATGTAAACTGAAGCTGTTCTGGAATCGTGAAAAGGGAGGGCGAGTTGTAGGAGGTCTGCAGCTAGATGAGGAAAGAAAGGTGTGTGCACCTGCGCGCGGCAGAGGGGCAGCGTCGGCAGGCACTGAGTTGAACGATCCTCAACCGTGCTCCACCACAGCCACCAGATATACCACAGTGTCAGTATTAAGCCTACTGAGACACAATATACTATCAGGGATACTCTCGGCTCACAGCGTTGTGTCAAATTGACGTGAACAGAATTGCGCATTTCGGTGAATTGCTTGCGCAAAGCCAGAACACTGGACCATAATGCCCTGCCGTACTGCAATACGTCTTGCCATGATACAAGTCAAGGACCAAGGCTTGGAACACTCATGACACATTTAATATAACTCAGTTTGCTCGTGTATGTTTGACTGTGGCCGCGAATGCCAAGTAAGCGTATAGCCAATAGTTCGTCTTTCCAGCCACCCAAAGGCAAAAGTTAAGCTGTAGTAGGTTCTAAAGAGATGCGTTTAGAGGAAGGAGCATGGATTTGGGCTTCACTTGCAAGTATGGCTCAGCAAAGATCAGAGGGTCACTTCAGAGACAACCCAGAGTTTGCTGCCACGGGCAGTGCAGTGAGCCTCACTGATAACAAATAGAATATAGCCATGATTCCAGTGTTTCAATTAGTTAGGTACCTAGGTAGTCAGGAGGAGGGCAAGATACGGCAGTAGTTACCTCCTAAGGTGAGAGTGGTGGCAGTCCCCCAACGATATGACCATGCTCAACCTCACCGCTCTCATGGGCGCCTTCCACTTTTATCTATTCACTCAACCGCTGCTTCCTATCTACTCTAGAATATATTATTGTCCTATATAAACAGCTACGTTTGCAACTATCTTCTGTAAACTTCGGTTTACCTGCGCCGGTAAGCGCAGTCATATCAGAGCCCATGCTAACATCTGATACAGGTACAAGTTCGAACCCCCTACGGGGAGGAGCTCGATAGAGCGCCAGTTTCTTTTTTTTGCTTTTTTTTGCTCTTTTTTTTGCTTTTGCTTTTTCATCCCATCTTTTATACATTCACATGTTAATGCTACGGGCCTTCACTTACACATGCGCGGCATAGGACGTTATAGGAGATCACTGACGCCCTACTAGGTCAATATGGAGCTCTGTGGGACATTTTGTGTGCAGGTGTATTCTAATATTCGTATAGTACTGCTCTATGAAGACTTGTTGTAGTAGTACTGGTCCAGGTAATTCCGCGTCACTGCCGCCCCGAAACTCCTTTTTGTGCCGCTGGTAGATACCAGCCTTCAGAGTCTCTTTCTACTCCTTCTATGTAGTCTTAATAGCAATACAAGTATACCCTGAATACGTGCTGTGTCCTGTTCGTTGTGTTCAAGCCAGCTCTATGTTCTGGATACGCACCCCACTAGTGCAAGACCTGGCCACCCTCACTGCTGATCCCAAGTGCCTCACCACTAACTTTATCGGTGCCCTGAACTCGACAGCCTTTCTGTTATGTCAACTTCATCCATTCTGGGTCTTGCATTGTGGAGCTCTGCTGAAACTGTGATGATGCGCTCTGAAGGGCCTCACTGCGCTCTCCTGGTGGGAGGCGACAAATAGCTCAGTGCGGCCTGGCTAGAGGCACGAAAGTTCCAGCCGATTCGGTTCCCCAGCGTTTCGTACAGACATGACACCAAGCTTCTTATCCTCGCTCTTGAACACCTTCGCGAAGCGTACGCGGTCAAAAGTCGTCTCAATCAGAGCCAGCGCGAGGAGCTTGCTCTTCTCGAGCAGTCTTATGATTCACCAGGTACAACACTTGCCCGGATGAAGCGATTTCTTCTCACCCAGCGTGCCTTCAAGGAAGTGGGCATCTACATGAACGACAACTACAACGCCATCATCCTGTATATGATATCAAGTCCACGGAAAAGGTCACAGATGCTATCTTGACCAATACCTCCGGTACACTCCCACGAAAACAGACACATGGATGAGACTTTTACAACACCTTACAGTGATGAAGTCATGAGAACTCATCACGACGCGTGAACACTTCACGTTCGGACTGTTCACACTCAGCTCTCCTCACCCTCTTCGACAGGAGGCTCGTTCCTAATGCATACACTCGCCCTCTCAAGATTATGCGTCGCTCAGTGACTAATATCTCACAGAAAGACGTCACAGCATCTACACCGCTCGGTACCGTGTCCCCCAGAACGCTTGCACCGGTCTGCAAGCACTTCGACCGACAACGTTGCGCGGACGGCAAACAAGAGCTTCAGTATCCTTCTCGACGAACTCCCGCAACAGACTCCGGGCACCCTTGATGCGAGCGCGCTACGTAGCTCGTCGAGGCAGTGGCGCGGAAATCGGTGTGAAGATAGCCTCAGACATGCTATTACGAACCCACCTATGACCCTAGTTAAGTTGATACGATGCGAGCTGGCATATTACAAGAAACAGACACGGTCACAGGGCACCGAAAGCCAGCTGCTTGATCTCGAGAAGGCGACGTCCACCACGTACATGAGCTATAGAACATACAGCATACCGCAGTGCTATTCCTTTCCATACACTATGGCCACATTGCACTTCAACTTACTACGGAGGAGACATCTGAAAATGCGTTAACAGTTGGCAGCAATTCGACACTATTACTTTCGTATACCTCACGAGGTTTCCACCGACGACCCTTTTCGCTCGTTTCCCCTCGTCCGCGTTGGGCTTTTCAGAAAGTCTATGAGTTTGAAAGATTGGATATACACAATTTGTTGCCGACGGGTATGGTTTGAAGAGTTACTGTGGCGCATGATCGCAATGCAAGGGGGTCTTTGGCGGCGAGCGCGGATGTGGGCTGGACGGCTGGGTAATATTCTGGGAGAGACACAGAATTGAGCTGAGATTGAGCGGACTAAGGCGCAAAGCGTGGGAACAATAATTGATATGGACGGCGTGTGAGGAGCGAGGGAGGCTATCGGGGCTCATACTTTAGATAGTATGGCCGACTTCCGTTGCGGCGGTTGGGAACAAAGGTTAGAATAACGTCAGGAATATTACGAGTGTGAAGGGTTGTCCAGGCATAGGGAAATGGGCGTGGTACACGTAATTTGGAATCAAGATCACAAGAACAGGTAACAAACGTCAGTGTTGTTTTACATGAACTATTGTTATCTAGAGGAGAAACAGTACATAGCAGGCTCTATGATCGAAATAGAGGCTTTGAAAAGAAACAAGATTATGCTATCAATCGCCGAAGTTATGCATGATAATTCATCCGCCCATGTCACGTATACTTCCAGTTACTGCGCTATGATTCATCTAGACATCGATGTGATCTATGACCTCAATGCCCCGCTGGCCCCGCTGGCCAACAACACCTTGCAATTACTTTCTCTGGAACTCTTTGATCTTCTGCTGGACAGCCTTCTTGACATCGATGCTCTGTGCCGACAAGCTGCCCCGCCTTCTCCTCTCATCGATCTCTCTCCTAACCTCATCCACGATCTCTTGTATTTCCCTCTCGGGATCATCTGGAAGGCCGAGTGTTGGAGCACGTTGATGCAAGCTATCTGCATCCGAGCCCTCACGGTGCAGCGTTTTGTCTTTTTGCACTTCCTCCCTTGCGGCCTTTTCGATGGTGGATACGTCGATAGGTGGGGCTGGGGGTTGGCGAGTTTGTTGGCGCTTGATGAGTTGTTGCCGGAAAGGAAGCGAGCGAGAGAAAAGAGCAAACGAGGCGGCGGTGCCAATCAAGGTGTAGAAGTAGACACGAGCCCAGATAGTGATTGAGTCTGTGAAAGACAGAAATACGAATGGCGCGGTCGTAAAGGCGAAAGCTGCTTGGGTAAGGAAGATGGTGAAGATGTCATAGTACTTCTTCGAGGGGAGGGGGGCTTTGCCATCAGGTGTGAGGAAAAGGGGGCGTACAAGTCGGCGTCCATCTATGGTGCTGTTAGTTGATATGAGTCTGGAGAAAACTAGAATTAGGACTTACTCTTTGCAATGGTCTGTAGGAAAGATGCCAAAACGAATGAAAGGTAATATCCGGGGTAGAAACCGTGCCAGAATGCGCTGGTCACAAAGGTTGCCAGAGTGGCACGGAATCCAGGTTTCTTGCCCTTTGGCGTGACGCGGAGGTACATGTAATTCCTCAGCCAGAGATTCGTGTTGATGTTCCATCCGCCTAGGAAAGCACGCGTGTTTTGGGCGAGTTCAATCTCCATCGGCTTGATGTTGGTGAGGCGATCCCACTTTGCGCGGCCGGTAACAGAGTCAATCCCGTTATAACCGATACCAGACAGAATGCACGCGCCTTCAGCCAGACTCCAGCAACCGTAGTACTTCATACGAGTGGTGATCCCGAGCATGTACAGCCCAAACACTCGACGTGGGAACCAGTATGTCATATACTTGGGACTAAGGAGTTCGGTAGTATTATACCACCCAGAGAATTTGAGGAACAGGACAATCCATATTGTCCCATAGATAGCCTTGATTGCAGCCGGAGTGCCACTTCGTGGAATTTTGCGCTTCTTGCGAGTAGGAGGAGCCTTCGAAGGATCTGTCCCAGGGGGCAGCGTAAACATAGTCGTCGATATATAACGGCTATAGTCACAATAGTCAAATGCTGGGCCAGCTAGTAGACTTGGAAAGAAGAGCACGTAGGCAGCGTAGTCGAGGAGTCCTGGTAGCTTGCGGATAGCGTGCTCCTTTTGAAATTCGGACAGCTCAGAATCAGGTAGTTTGCCATCCTGAACGTTCCAGCAGAATGCAGTAAGCTAGTGCAGTTAGTAAAGAGAAAGTCAGGGGGAAGTGTTTTGATCACCTTCATTATCATAACCATTTGCGCACCTGGATAGGGTTGTTAGCAAATGCACGTGACCGAAGAAAGGCTTACATACCAGTGATATCTACACTCGATGGATCGTTGGCCCTCTGGCGGTAGATATGGCTAACAGACATATGCCCCATGAGGAACACAAAGCCAATCCATGGCATATAGGGCGACTGGATCTTCGCTGAGATCAAGTAGGCGCCTCCAGCGCTAATGGTAAGGGTCAAGAGACCGTTCCAGAGATTGAACAGGCCCACCAAGTAGAAAAGAGCGACACTATAAGCGGTCAGTACACAGTAAGATAGATCCTGGCCACAACTGTTACCCTATGATGAATGCATTCTTCTTCCAAGGCTCCTTGTCCGGTATGCGCTTCAGGACACCAGCAAGAGGGTAAGACAGGTACCACGTAAAAACGAATTTCACTACAAGAGGATGAGCTTCTTTGGATGAAAGAATGATGCAATATAGGATTCATACATTCATCGGTAGATGTTCCAAGCGCATTGGATACATAGTTGAATGCTGTAAAACACCGTCAATAATCGTTCGTCTGATGTTAAAGCGGTAGCATAGACATACGTGCATTGATGTAGGGAAGCATTATGGCGCGTGGGACTAACGCAGGTCAGACCAGATGATGCAGGGCAGATCGCACCCGCAAGAGATGTAGAAGAGATGTAGAGAATAGGGTATGGCGCTGGGAACAGAGATTATATGCGGAGTTCCCTCATGGCAGGAGAAGCAATTTATTGAGCGAAGTCGGGATGCATGTGTCCTGAAGAAAGAAGTTCAACGAGTGCAGAGTGACGTCGCCCACATGAGACCAGGAAAATAATCCACTAGTCCTGAAGAGGTAGTAGCGCCTATACTCGTGGGCGGTAATGGAGCTCTGAGTGGCAGAATTTCTGGATCACCATCACCATCACATTCAATCTCACGCATCATCGCGAATACACGCGCCAGTGTCACCATTCTTGCGCGAGCGCAGTCTTCGCAATGAGTACCGTTTACAACCTAGAACCGAACCCCACAGCTAAGGTCTTACTACACACTACCGCTGGCGACCTCGAACTAGAGCTCTTCGCGAAACAAACGCCCAAAACATCTCGCAACTTTATCCAATTATGTCTCGACGGATACTACGATAATACCATATTCCACCGGCTCGTCAAGGGATTCATCATACAAGGTGGAGACCCGACAGGAACTGGTCACGGCGGAGAGAGCAGCTACGATGGCGAACCATTCGAAGATGAATTCCACAGCAGGCTCAAGTACAATAGGCGAGGACTCTTGGGTATGGCCAATACTGGGAAGAAGGACGACAATGGAAGTCAATTCTTCTTTACCCTAGGAAATACTCCAGAGTTGACAGGAAAGAACACCATGTTTGGAAGGATCGCTGGAGATACCATCTACAATTTATTGAAGATGGCTGAAGCAGAAATCGCGGATGGGAGTGAGGAGAGGCCGATGTATGCAACAAAAATTACTGGCACAGAGATCATTATCAACCCTTTCGAAGATATGGTACAACGGGTGCGCGTTGCTGAGCGGACCGAGCCGGAGGTCAAGAAAGTCAAGAAACCTAAGAGGAAGGCTGGCAAAGCCGTGCTCAGCTTTGGTGATGATCTGGACGAGCCCGAGGCTGCTCCAGTGAAGAAGAAACCCAAATATAATGCTGCTTTGGTCATGGCAGAGGATGGCCAGGGTCAATCACAGGAGGCAGGAAAGCAAGTGGAAGCAGAGCGTGCCATACCCATCCGAAAGCCTGTACGACGATCTCCTTCGCGGTCACCTCCACCACAACGTGCTCCAAAGTCTCCCATCCGGGAAAAGCCAAGGTCACCACCACCACCACCACCGCCGCCGCGCGAACCGTCACCCGAACAATCCAAGCTCGACCGTGTAAATGCACAGATCGCAGCAGTCAAAGCATCACTGAAGCGCAACCCTATTGCCCACAGTTCCGAAACAACGAAAAAGAAGTCGATATTAGACACGATGATACCAGCAAATACAGTGCGTGGCCGAAAACGAGGTGCCAATAACGGAGCCTCGGAGCAAGCGTCATTGGACATACTCGCAAAGTTCAAGTCAAAACTTGAAGCTGCGGCTCCACCAGATACAAGAATGAAATCACCCCCTCCAGTTGAAGCCATCGATGGAGAACAAGATGTCGCCGACCAGAAAAACAAGGACAACCTGGTCAACGGAGCAGATGAGGTCGCATGCGATTTGCACTTTATCGTCGGTTGTCAATCCTGTAAAGCCTGGGATAAACAAGATGAGGAAGAATCTGATGATGATGCCGGATGGATGGCGCATTCTCTCACATTTGCCAAGGACCGACTGGGCAAAGACCTCGAGTGGAAAAGGAAGAATGAAGAAGAGCTACTGGTCATTGATCCACGCGAACGTGCACAAGAATTAAAAGGACCAAAAGGTGGGAAAAGAGAATGGGATAGCGGAAAGGACAACAGGGGAAAGAAAGGCGTCGGATTAGGTGCAAGGTAATGTGTAAATATGCTAGCGAAACCTACCTATCTAGTTAGGTAGGTAGTTAGCATCTCAAAATTCGAGTGACTATACTGTGATGGTCCTACTCGCCCCCTCCCAGGCATCCACTGGTGTTCACGGACGGCGTTGCACGAAACGGAATATGGCTGAGTCTGTCTCAGATCACAATCGGTGGTTTGCTTGAGATAATGCCCGGTGGGCGAGGCGTTTGTCCAGGGTGGCTGTGCCTAATCTCCATTTACCTCTCAGTTTGGTGGGGATACTCTCCTGCACCTTGAAGACAACAATTAATATGTGCTGGACCACATGTCAGTGGCAAATAAATGATCAGTGATCAGGATACCTGCATACCCTGAAAAAATTCTGTTTTTATTCTGAATATACCCGTTACATTGCGTAAATCCGTTGAGCATGCAGTGTCAAAGAATGGTGACCCGACCACAGCCTTGCCAACCTGCGTGGAGCTGAACAGTTGGATTTACAGGCAACCAATGACACTTACCTTTCTCGTCACCGGTCTGAGTGTCACTCTCGCTTCACTCTCTATATTAGGCCTTCGCCCTAACATTGCTCGTACCTTAACAATACCTTCCGCTTCTCACCAAAGCTTCTATCTTTGATACCGTCCATATGATATATCTTGGAGCAGCGACAATACTCAACCTGCTATTGGCCAGTCCGGGTCGACGCACCTTCAATCTCAGGTCTCACTTCCATGCAGGATGAAAGCACCGGGGTTGAACTGGTTGACGGGTTTCCTTGGCTGGCAGCCATTCGCAGCAAATGCATCTCACGAATCCACCAGCAAGGTTTGGGTGATCGTGCTGAAATTAATTATGATAACACCCGTGGCTTGTGGTGCATTTGCGACCAAGTCATTGTACGAATTCGTCAGAAACCACGATGAGCTGAAGCAGCCGCCATATCATCCAAGGGTAGAGCTATCTCTCTTCCTGGTCTACATTGGAGTAAGTTATCTTTACACGTTTGTATCGCAGTTTAAAACACACGCACATACTCCGTGAACAGCTATTTCTTCGTCCGTAATTGTCGAGACATGGAGCTGATAGAAGACCGCAGCTTGTGGTCAATTTCGGTTGGTCCTTCGTTTCACCGGCGCTCTACCATAAATCCAAAGGCAGTTTCATCCTGTTCATCGGCCTCATCGACCTTGGACTCTCCGCCGTCATTGCATTCGGGGTGAAGACTCAGGCGGAGTTCCTGCCAGCTTCACGCAGTGCATGCTCGGCGGCGAAGGCAGCACAGTGGCAAGTCCAAGGCGATTACAAGAGCTTTTTCACCCTAGCCTTCGACTTAGGTCACGCCGATTCTCCATCAGCAAGTTGTCGAAAATTTGTATCAGACTGGCAATTGGCCGCTGCGTGCTTGTAGGCTTCGATCCGCACTTGTTCTCCTGAAGATATGACTTGAACTGACTCCTTGAATAGGGCCTTCCAGGTCTTGATATCTTATGTAGCAGTTTTCTACGACGAACGAGAGCGGAGTCTGCTCAATCCCTGGAGGCTTCCTATTTGCATCGCAATCATGATCATCTTCCCGATCATTATGCTTGACGAAATGGTGTTCCCTCGAGTCCGCTACGCCTACCGTTCGTCACTGAAGCTACTTCGAAAATTTCGAAAACCGAAACAGGTAGATATTGAGCTAAGTGGCCGTTACGTCCCGGATTATCACCACAACGGTTCCAATGCCAAACTTCTGCAAGTTCTTTACCTTGAGCACGCACTGCTGGCTATCGTTGAGAACCTATGCTACCAGGATATTGTCTATTTCAGCCTGAGTTCCAAGGCCGTGAGAGAGGCTATTTACCCCGGAAACGATTTACAGTATAGAGTTCCGAAACTTAAGCGGAATTGTTGCGAAGCAGAAACTAGGACGCATTGCATTTATTGCAATAAATGGATATGCACTGTAAGTTCTTACATTTCTAGTATCCCAGTCCAAGCTATGCAGAATAATGATGGTTTTCTCTTCAGACATGTATAACCGAGAGGTTTCTCCCAGGCATGTCAGGAACTAGGCACGTTACGAAATGCAAACCATACTGCGGGAAATGCTTCTATACGAGCTTCAAAAAGTTCTCTTTGTTTCGAAAGCGATATTGCAGATGCACCTCCACAGACCGAAAGCTCATACCTCAAAACATGTGCATGGGGTGTAGGTCGCGGAATGAAGCAGAGCTTCAAGATATGCGCCATAAGATCTATCAGAGACAAGCTCGAGATATAGCGATGGGTTTGAACGGGCATCCGGCGATATCTCTCTGTGAAAAATGCAAAGAGGAGTTAAAGCCCGGCATACGTTGGTGGATATGCGGCAAGTGTAACCTGGAGTGCAGGGATGCGATTCATCCGCCATATGTGCCAAAGAGGAAGGTTGACACTGAGATCGGTGGTGGAGTTGATGAATCGACTGATACAGGAAAAAAGCCGTGGTGGAAAGCTTTGGTGGGCTTATAGTCGTGAATTTGGGCTTGGTACACATCACATCTTCACGAACCATTATAGAGAGAGATCAGAAGAATTCATATATTTGGTATCCAATGGGCATATCGAAGTGTGGCAGAATAAAGTGATACATCAGTTCGAATCGGAAGGCCTATCAATCAGCTTGCAGGCAGTGTCGCACCAAATCGCAGGGATGTGAAAGCAACACAGCATGACGAGGCATGTCGACATGCTTGTCAACCAGACAACGCGTCTCAAAACACGATGTCAGGTGACTAGGTAGAGGTGGGCTTTCACCTTGAACTAAAAAGTACGACACTTTGACTACATTCTCTCACTACCCGCTCTCACGCAAGTTTAAATATTTGTTTCCGCCAGTCTTGTGCTCTTTTCAACTTACACCACAACAAGTTGCCCCAACCACGTACGAAGTCCGAGGCATCGGCACCAACACTCTACATTCCCAATACAGCTTCTTTTTCCTTTCCTTTACTCTCTCACAGGTCAATCGACTGAGCTATAATCTTAATACATCACTCTCTCCATCTACGGATTCCCCACAACGAAGACATAACAACACACAATCGTCCGGCCAACTTCACTTCAGTCACTTCATTTGATCATACCCAGAATACCAAATAGTCAAAATGGTCACTCTCGATTGGAAGGATTCCGTGACCAAGGAGAGGCTTCTTGCCGCTGTGATTGGTAGCTTCGAATCTACTGTGAGTGCCTTCAACGCTCTCACTTGATCAAATCTCACGCATTCCCCCAGATCAACATCAACGAGGTCGCTCGCCTAATGGGCGATGGAATCACCTACAACCAGATCGAGAACCAACTCCGCAAGGTTAAGGCGGATGCGAAAAAGTTGAAGGACGAGGCCAAGGGTCGTGGGGCTCCTCCGCCCAGCACGCCCCGCAAGGTGAAGACTCCCAAGAAGGTCACCGACGGTGAGTGCATAATAACCCCAAGCACTTTTCAAGTTCAACAACTGAGTTCATCTTACCAGGAGTTTCTTCCGGCAGGGTCAGCAAGACGCCCAGCAAGAAGGCCGGATCTCAGAATACCTCGCCTCTCAAGAAGCAAATCCTCGACTACGAGACGGATGATCAGTTCAACTACGGAGATGACGAGCTCTACACCTAAGTTTCGCAAGCTTGCAAGGGCTTCAACTTAACACTTGGTTGGATTACAGTGCAAGGCGGGGTTCAGGTCACGCTCTAAGTGGTCGTGTTTGGACTCGAACTTAGCTGTTCTACGGACTTGTAATTATCGGAGTCTAGGAATCTGGGATTACGAAATGCTATAAACGACTTTCCACAGTTCATGCATCGTGACTTCAGGCCTAATTTGCCGTCGTTGTTGCCGACAATTTGTGCTGTGTATGCCTTCAACGTTTCTTCGTGTAGAAGTGCAGTGGGGCTTGTTATCTCGCCAACTAATCTTCCAGCCGCCCAGAGCCTGAGCTCCGTACATACTCATATTTCATGGATCACGCTGACATCACCTCCAAGCCACCTCTACCATCTCTCGATCTCAAATTTTTGTTGTCTCCCATAGCAACAATGAAATCCATCCATCACCGCTCTACACCCAAGACTTAATACCATCGTGTGTCACCCACCCCAGGAATTCGCCGGCATCCTGAGTTCTGACTCATACCGTTTACATGGCAAGACCTTGTCCGCAATGCATATCGACATGCAGGAGATACTTCCGTTGAGGTTTCTGTGCTGCGATGTGTACGTTGCAGGTTTGTGGTTGAAGATGTGAGATGTCATCGCAGCAAGCGTGCATGGGTTTGGGTGCTAGTGCCATGCGGAGATGCAGCACGTATGCAGGGGACCACACTTTTCTAGGCAATCAGGAAAATAGATGCATTCATGGAAAATTGTGAGTGTTCCTGTGTATGCTGTGTTACAGATAGGACTGGTAGAGTTGGGGTACGTGAAATATCGTGCAGTATTTTCGGGCAATGTTTTGGTTGTGATTGATCTGTACTCCGTATTGGCTAGGCGTCCATGGCTTCGGTCTTGATATTGGATGTTAATGCAACTTAGGACATGCGTAGGCTGTGATGATCATACAGCGGAGGGTTTGTGCATCCGGCAGCCAGTGTTTGGCGGATTGCCACCATCTCGCACTAACAAATCTGGGGTTCGCGCTGAGAGGAGATGGGCTTTGTGAGTATGCTACTGAAGAAGACTATTGACTCCATACTTTATGATTTCTTTTGTACATATTCCTATATATCATGATGGTGCAAATGTCCATCCATGGCCTTGTCAGACCGGCTCGCATTCTGTCGTCCGAGGCAACCTAACTCACCGTGCATGCAACTTGTTATATCGCTTTTCCAAGGCATCGTCTTTATTAGTTACACTATGTCCATGTATCTATGGGTCAAATTCTACTCAGGTCACCTGAAAGCGTGTTGACGTGTTTCACACTCACCTGCTCCCCTACCCCTCCACTACGTACGTCCGTCCAAACATCTTCAGTCACTGCCCTTCCACTCGACCCGCCTCGCAACCAGACAATTGCCTCACTCCCAGCCACCCTCTTTGCATCCTCTCCGCTTATCTAATTTAGCGTCTCGCACCCGCTGTCTTGCTCTGCTCGCTTCGTCTCTTACCTTGTCACCAACAACCCATTCTATACTCTGTCTTGCTCCACTCTTCTGCCACAGCTACTTTCTTCTTCTGCCTCCCAGCACTCTGTCTCGAAAGACATCTCCGTTACAACTTAGTAAACAAACCACGATACCATTTGCAAGGCGTCGGCAGTACTATTGCTAAGCCTATTGCTTTATCTACCTTTACCTTTACCTCTCCCCTCTATCAACACACCTCACTAAACACATCACCGTCAAGATGCCTATGAACTGGTCTGCAGAGAATGATCGCATCCTCTTGATGAAGTTGGTTGAGACCCACAGAATCAACATTGATGCCAGTGACATTGCCCAAGCATGGCGTAAGTAGTCCGTCCCGATCTCTGATATAAAGGATGACTCTAATTCGTCATAGCCACCAATACGGCTCACCAACCTTCTGCTCGTGCAATCTCTGAGCGGTTCGTCAAGCTCCGCAAGATGAATGGTGGCAAGGAGAACGGAGCAAAGATTACAGTAGCTAGGAGTGGTGGAAAGCCACGTACTCCCAAATTAATTGGCACTATCACTCCCTCTTCCTCTGCTAAGAAGCGCAAGCAGAGGAAGAGCTCCAGCGAGGAGTCCGATGCAGATGACCATATCACCGATGATGACTCCCCCAGTAAGCGCAAGGCGACATCCACCCGCAAGCATGATGGCAGAAGCAGCATTCCCGTTCCATCCACCCCCACCACGGTCAAGAAGCATAGGCCTCAGTCCCTGTCTCAGTCGCCTGAGTTCCGCGAGGATGCTCGTCGTGCCCGTGAGCTTAGTATCGCTGCTAATGCAGGCCGCACACCCAGCTTCCTGGGTGTCCTTGGAACGACCGCACCTATGAACTTTAGCACTCCCGCCTTCGACTTCACTAGTGCTATGCCGACTCCCCATGTATCTCGCCATAACTCCTTCGACGCGAGCTTTGTCGGCAATAGTGCCGTGAACTTCGCCATGCTCCCCGATCAAGGAAGTTTCAACATGGCCGCCATGGGTGCTGCAAACGACATGAACATGTCCTTTGACGGCATAGGCCATATCGACCAAAACATGCTGAACCAACCCGGCATGGACTTCTCAGGAATGAACTTCGACTTCAGCATGCCCATGAACAACGCCGATCAACAGTTGAACCCCAACCCCCGCCAACCCAGACCCAAATACGAACTCCCCACCTTCCCCATGGCATCCACCAACTCCCTCCAAGTTCCCGAGCAGCGTTTCCAGCACCAAGACGTCATGGAGGCCCCTTCCTCCCCGCCCAGCCAGCGCGCTCGCTCCGCTCGCTCCGCCTCCAAGGCAGCTAATGAACACATGACGCAGTGGATCCAAGACCAGAAGGAGCAGAACCACGAGTATGGCGAGAAGAGCTCCGAGGAGGACTCCCAGGCTTCAGAATTCGAGGACGATGATGCCGGTGACTATGTCTAGGTGCTTGACTTCACCTGTCAACGGCCTGTCGAATACCAGACTCGTTCACGCTAAAGTTTCACTCTTGGAAGCATGAAAATGCGCAGGGTCGTAGCTCGACCTTCTTTTGGTCCCTAATTATTCTGGAACAAACCCGTCCTCTTTCTCACATAGGTTTCGATCATTCTACAACGACTTTAAGTCTCGATCGATATGAAACCCGTTACCTCACTTAGTTTGTTTTGGGAATATTACGCAGCACTGCTTCGGCTGAAAAAGGCAGTCCTTCACATGATGCGAATACCACCAGCACAGTAGCTGGACATGTATAGATAGCAATGGTAGACCAACCACTAATGAAATAAACATTCGAAACTTGATCCATTCTCTTTGTGTGATTGTTGGATGAGTGATTATAGTACTTGAGTGAGATGATGGATGGGGTAAAGTGATGGTTTGATGGTATCATAACCTTTTTACAACTCTGTGACCGATCTGGAATCTTTGTATCGACCGTAGCTTTGAAGTTAGAAACTGTTCCCGATGCTTCCTTTCACCTTTCTTTCCAAAGCTTCTACAATAGACATGAACATCACATAGACCGTGTATTGACCGAGGTGAGTGACGTTACTTCAACTCTGTTCGCCTTCTAATTGTCATAGGAAATGACAAGGAAAAATCAGTCGTGTTCTCTCAAGATTTAGCGTGCCAAAACGCCACGAGCGTAGATGAAATCACTGTGCGAAGAGGGGGGTAAAAATGTAGTTGCGCTATTCATAGTGCGTGATTATCATTTCATGATTTCAGATCTCTATTTCCTGTGAAGGCGGATCTATGTAGTGTCGTATCGTATTTATGCATGACCTCTCTACGAGAAGTGGAAACGCGAGGAGGAAGAAACCACGATGAGTGAGTTTAGTGCGCGTGATCGCAACCCCACCCGAAATCCCTCCTCATCTGCCTCGCACCAACCATCCAATCCTCAAGCTTGACGCTCCTCTTCGCATTGCTGGTCTTGTAGCCCTTTGGTGGTCTCACGTGCGGGTACCCGTGGCCATAGTCCTCGTCGCCGAGGCCCGTCTTGCCGGTCGCAATGATGTTGAGCCAGGCGGCGAGGCGGTAACCAGCCTTTGCTACCTGGAGCTGGACGACGGGGATGGCTTTGTCGTAGTATGCGCCGCCGAGTTCATGGTCGCGGACGGCATCCGCGCCGTCGGGGACGACGGTGGAGCAGACGTAGGAGTTGGAGTCGCGGGCCCAGACCATGGCGGTCTCGATGGAGTCGTGCTTGTCGATGCCGCGGAGCCATTTCTTGGAGTAGTGGGCGTAGGATCCGTTCTTGATCTCGCCGACGAGAGTGGTGGCCCAGCGGGTGGAGTCTTCGAGGGCGTACCCGCCGATGAGCTTCTCCGGGATCTCGGTGTCCCAGATGTGGTGGAGGTTGGCGGCCTTGCCGTCGAAGGTCACGTTGATCAGGTTGCCGCCAATCTCGAGATTCTCCACGTGCAGTGGCTGGTGGATGTCGCCGATGAAGTGGACGATCCATTTCAGTGCCTTTTGTCGCTCTACAAGGCTGATCTTGTGGCTCTTGGCTTGGACCCGCGAGGTGTAGTTTGCGATGGCGGATACAATGCAGCCTTCCTCTGGGCAGTCACGTTCATAGTCGACGTTGCAACTCTTGGGTGGTTGGTCGAGAGCGTCGATGTAGTGGAGAGGAGAGGAGAATTCACCCTCAGGTTCCTTGCGGTATGAGTCGGCCCATGTGGCAATGTGAGCAAGGTAGTTGGAGGATGTGTCGTTCAGAAGGTGCTGGGCGAGTGAAGCTGTCTTCTTATCGACCAATTGCTGGGCAATGATGGCGACGGTCGTATGTCCTAATGTTCCCCAAGCACTAACCGTGCTCGAGAACAGTGGTAGAAGAGCAAGTAGGAGAACCATGGTGGATGCCAATGGGTAGAGAAATATGAAGACGAGATGTGAGTGTCCTGGAGAAGGTGCAAAGAGGGGAAACCCCCTTCGCTATATACCTTCGTTATCAGAGGCGGCCTGGAATATTCTGGGAATTACTCATGTCGAATTTAACGATGGTTCGGTCATGTCCGTTAGCGATCGTCGCTTTCTGGGTTGATAGCATGAAGATGGTAATGCAGGTCCGTGGATGACTAACCCGTTTAGGAAGGCAAAATCATTGGACGGTGGACCGTAATCGGAAGATGGAACGATTGTGCAAATTGATTGGCTGAATGTTTGAAGACTGTGAGCCTGGAGATTGCGGTAAGGAAAAACACCCGTAATCAAGTGGCGGGTTTATCGACATTTGTGTTCAGTACGAGGTACTATAACTTGAGTTATACACAGACTGTTCCTCTAGTGGTACAATATCAACCAATACCAGTTTATGTCTACGCCGCGAAAACCAAAAGTAGGGTATCTTGATAATCAAACATAAAACAGAACTCCTTTGCGATGCGAAAGCTCGACTACTGCACGTCGACCTCGGGCTGTTGTGGGTTGAGTGGTCGCCGGTCCGTTGCCTCATATTCTTGAAATTCGAACCCCTCGCCTTCAGGTGCCTCTTCTTCCTCCTCCTCTTCAACTGGCGGGGGTCCTTCGAATAGTCGAATCCACCAAGCTGGCGGGTCGAGCGGGCTATGGTTGTTATGGAGAGGCGGGTAGACGTCGTTAAAGAAATACCAGACTGTAAGTCGTTAGTATGTGTCCGGAATCATTGCATCATGCAAGACGTACTGTGTCCAACGGCAATTCCGCACAACTCGTCCTTGGGCACCGTGCCGTGTATGACGAGAGAAAAGCATAGCAATACCCATGGGAGGTATGGCGCTTTGAACACAATGAGTCCGATGAAGCTCAACATGGTGTCTGGGTTCTTCCTGCTCCAGATGTACGTAAGCGTGCTCGATAACGCCGTGCCGAGGAACGCCATGGAGAACACTGGCGCTATACAAAGAAGCAGGAGGGAAGCGAACGTGAGCAGCCATGAAAAGTGTGCAGGTGATCGGCCGGACGATTCTTCGAGAAGGCGAGAGTAGCGCTGCATGAAGAAGATATGGTATAAGAGGTCAAGGCTGAGCGGTCCGAAGTAGAAGAAGTTGGTAATCAGTCTCCAGTACTGCTCATAACGTTAGATTATGCGCATATGCAGAGAAGTAATCCTATGGGGAGCATACCTGGCTTTTGTGGAAGACGGTTCGGAAACTGTAGAATAGCTGAAAGGGCGATATGATATGGCATTGCACAAGGACGCTTGCGCTCAGCGCAGCTGTTACCCACCAGCGGGTACAGACTGGTATCTCGTAGAACCATTGTTCTAGAGGGAATTGTCCCATCATGCCGTCACCGCCCGCGAGCACGTTTGCCATTGTGATGGTGTTCTTTATCGCTATGGAGCCGGTGCTGTTGGGAGGGTGGACGACGAGCTGAGGATGAGGGGAACAATGTATGAGTAGTGTTGCGTTAATGATGAGGACACGGTGGAGAGGGACGTTGGGTTTCGGCGTGTGGGCGCAGTTATATTGATCGCCGGTGATCGGGAGAGTGGCACAGATGGTAGCGAAAGTGGATGAATGATTACTCCGTATATGAGATCTCAGATGTTTGCAGACAAGCTGGTTTGGTTGTTCTTGTTGCTACGTAACCGTTTCGGAACCCGCCCACACCTCCGCCCACGTCAACCCCAAGATCTTACTGTACCTCGTCTCGTATTGTGGCACAGCTGGATGGGTAGGTGGGCAATTATGTGGGTGTGTATTGTACAGGCTAGTCCGATATTGTAATTAATTGATTTAGTGATTAGATCAGATCTGTTTTGGATATCTTCCCATTCTCCATACCTGTCTATTGTCACGTGCCACTGTCCTATGTGAATCTACCCACCCAAAGAGTCCGTGCGCATCTCCCCTCCCAGCCTTCCAATTGCTCAGCACACAAGGAGACAACCCCCCAACCACCTCCAAATTGCACAGAATGCTGCTCTTTCACCACAATCCTAGAGCATACCCTTCTTACATCTCATCATCATTAATTTTGTTGGTCGAAAAGTGAAGTACAACCGTTTTGCGCCAGTATTCGACGTACCTCGACACTGCATACAAGTACACCGTATACGCGACGCCAACGCGCTCCCGCCGTCAGGACCCACCATAGCTCACGAACGAACCACCGCTTGTTTTCACTCCCACATCTTCAAACCCTCCCGTACACCCTCAATTGCACAGCGCCAATCGCGAATTACGCACGATGCCTCCGAAAGGCCTGGCCAGAAAAAATGTTGCCCGTCCAACAAGAGGAGGAGGTACAGCTCGGGGTGGTAGAAGAAGCTCTGGCGGAAGGACAAGCACAGGCAGTAGGAAAAGCATAGGACAAGGTAGGCTAGCTTGCAAATCGAAAGGGCATATCTTGAATCAATACTGACGGTTGCGTTCAAAGTCGGACAACCAGGTCCAGCTCCAAAAAAGAGGCGCTATCATCCCGGAACGCTCGCGCTTAAGGAAATCCGTAAATACCAAAAATCGACCGATCTTTTACTACTCAAGCTCCCTTTCCAACGAGTGGTAAGCTTCATGACAGCGACATAGTCTTTTTGATCGCTTTACTTATATCTCCGCAGGTCCGAGAGATAGCAGTCAGCTATGCCCCACCCACAGAGGCTCCCCTACGCTGGCAAAGTCAAGCCATTCAGGCATTGCAGGAGGCAACCGAAGCCTTTCTGGTCAACCTCTTTCATGATGCCAATCTGTGCGCCATACACGCCAAGCGAGTTACCATACAACAGAAAGACATACAATTAGCGAGGAGATTACGCGCTGCTTGGGGTGCCCCGGTTTGACGAAGAGGCCAAAGATTAGGGTGGTGGAGTGTTCCTTTCTGGTGATGGTATAGGGTTATCGGGATGCACGATACGGATATTGGAAGCATTGGGCCATGTGGTTTTTACTCTGCGGCTCCCATTACACCAGGGAGGGAGAGAAGGCAAAGGATCGGCGTGTTGGCGTTCAGGAGATTACCAGCAGCAATTGGGTCTCTATGTTTTGGTTGCTATGACTATACCTCTGTGCTGTTCTATTGACTATTATCTCTGTTCAAATAAGAAATCATTAATCATGAAAGACTTGCGCATACCTGGACAACATAGAGTTTGCAATCAATAGCCTCCTCCGTTCCAGAGCTGGTCTCATCGGAAGTTGGAAAACCTGACACGAAAGCTCGCAACTAATACTATCCAATTATTCTACAAAATCTTTGAAGACAACATGACTATTCGTACATTCGACTTGAGAATCCTTTACAACAGGTCCCACCAGAGATGTGGGGTCGAGGGTAATCCCAGGTTGACCCCACAAACACCCGGACGGGCCGGACCACCAATCGTTCCTTCTGTTGGGGATATTCCTTAAACCCAAATCCATCATCCTTTCTAGACCTCAACTTCCAGAATGTCAAGACAAAGGAGGATTCAATGACTTACAAATTTCCCTTCCGAACCTCGCATAGGCCGGCACATACCTTGGCACGTACCTTTGGACGCTGCAAGTAAGCCTTGAACCTGGAAGAATACCCTATTTATCCTGTCCCAGAGGATACCAAGTATCCATATAACATACTTACCCTACGTTTCCATGCATCACTTCAATAAGCCCTTAGTTACCAGACATATGCAAGGGACCCTAACCTCACCGATGGTTAAAAGCAATGTACCATGTCTCGCGAGCAAGATACGCAAGTCCTCTTCGAATAATGGCCAAAATCGGATTTAAGAACTACGGCGATGTTTGGAATTGATGCCACCCAGGGAACGCCGCCTCGGAATCTGGATCTATTGGGTCGAAGTTGCGATCGACGACGGAAATAATATTTCTCAGTGTCTGTTGAATGCATTGCCGGGTAGTGATGAGGCGGGCTCTAGAACATTTTCGACCTGCAGTGATACCCTGGCAGCCGTAAGGCTGGTTTATTGCAATTTTCATGGGAGATGCAGTTCGCCCTGATGCATTCGCAGATTTTGTCTTGTTTATCTGTGCTCTTGTCAATACAGATATTCTCATTAATTCTAGAAGACAGCTAAACTATTAATGAATCGAATAAGCGCAATATAGTCGTTTGCTTCCTTCCACGCTATGGAACCGAAACAGACATCCCTCACACTTCAAAGAGCTTCACCGAGAGGGTAGAATATGTCAGGCCAAATCCCAGTCATCCCAAATCCTCTCTCCACATTCATTACCCGGGCCCACAGCGGAAGTCAAAAAGCCACTTCCGCCCACGAAGCGAGAAAACTTACTCAACTACAGCATGCGTCCTGCATCGGGAGTATGGAACAAATCACAGTTCATCCCAGCGTATTGGGGCGTAACCGGCATCCTGTCTCGACCAGGATTCTCCACGCGAGCCCGGGATTCCACAAATTTCGAAACTTTGGAAGAGAGAATTGTAATTGGTCTCTTAATTCCAGTAATCGATTTGATATTGGGTTTTCACTGTGTGGATGCAGAGGCTTCGGCGTGATGAACAGCCTCAAGTCCATGACATAGAGCTTCGTGCATAAGCGAGTCCTCAGGGCACTTGGGTTGTACGAAGCTATGGCCTCGAGCAAGCAATGGCGTACTATATGGACTGAGCTCCCCCGTGGATGATTGTTCAGACGAGATATTCGCTGCTCCTACCGGACATAGCTGTACGCAATGGCGCCAATGCTCTCTCTAGTAACCGGGGCTCTTTCAGTGGCTCTTCTGACACTGTCAGCGGCGGCCTTTCCCACCGAGAACAATACTTACGAGTACATTATTGTTGGCACTGGGCCAGGAGGAGCACCGCTTGCTGCCAATCTTGCTCGCGCCGGGCACTCGGTTTTGGTCCTCGAGGCGGGCGACGATCAGACCGAGAATGTGAACGTCTCGCAGTGGCTCAACTTCAATGCTGCTGGCAACGATCCCGCGACTAGATGGGACTTCTTTGTCAAGCATTCTGATGATGAGGCGAGAGAGGCGAGGTATAAGCATAGGACCTGGCGGAAGACGGACGGTGGGTTTTATGTTGGTACTGAACCTCCGCAGGGAGCAAAGCCTCTTGGTATCGTATGTCACTGATCTGCTACTTTGTAATTACGATTTCGCGAATACTAACAACCAAAAAGTACTATCCCCGCGCTGGAACTCTAGGAGGATGTGCAATGCACAACGGTTGCTTGACGATGAACCCAAATGACCTCGACTGGGATGAGATCGCGGAGACCACTGGCGATGATTCCTGGTCTGCTGAGAACATGCGCAAGTATCTTGTCAAGCTTGAGAAGGTCCATTACAACAGCTCATATGAGCATGGTCATAACGGATGGCTCGACATGACGATGCTTGATCCAGGGTTCACTACTTCGGCCGATGCTAAAGATTTGAGTCAGAAGGCTGCCGTAGCTGCTGGCTACTCTGCTGCCGACACCTCCAAGCTTCTAGCAAGAGATATGAATGGAGACCAGCCGAATCGTGACAATCTGGTAGGTCCATTTGGCGGTGTCAGCCACATTAATCCTAATGGACGGCGTTCGTCCCCTGGCTACTATCTCCGTGACACAGTGGCAGAGAAGAAGTACCCCATCACTCTCTCGTTAGATACACTAGCCACCAAGATCATCTTCAACAAAAACGGAACGAAACCCAAGGCCATTGGCGTCGAGTTCCTCCAAGGAAAGAGCTTGTACAGTGCCGACCCTCGCCATAACCCCTCCCAGAAGGGAACTCCAGGTTCAGCGTATGCTTCGAAGGAGGTCATCATTTCAGGAGGTGCCTTCAACTCACCTCAGCTTCTCCTCCTCTCTGGCATTGGTCCCGCAGCACACCTCAAGAAATTCGATATTCCCGTCGTCAAAGACCTGCCAGGCGTCGGCCAATCTGTTGCTGATAACTACGAGGCGGGCATCCTGTCGCTCGCAAGCCGCGCCGTCACTGGGCAGGGAGAGATCTTCCCCAATTTCTGGAAAACCAGTGTTGGTAAGATCCGTGACATCTACATGTGGTGTGGTTCCTTTGCATTCGAGGGATTCTGGCCCGGGTACGTTCCACCTCCATCCCCATAAACTTCACCATTCCACTGACACTGCCATCCAGCTTCCCCAACATCCCCCCATATTTCAACGGAACCTACGGACCCAAGCAGTACGAATGCGCGCTCGTGCACATGAACCCGCGCTCCCAAGCCGGCGTCATCGAGCTCCAATCCACCGACCCTCGCGCGGTCCCCGCAATCAACCTCAACTTCTTCAAAGAAAAGGGGTCGGACAAGGATCTCACGTCCATCCTCGAAGGCATCGAGTGGGTGCGCTCCTGGCTCGTAAAAGCCAACTCCTCGTCTCCCAACTCCCTCGGTCCGTTCCAAGAGCTACACCCCTGTGAGGGTGAGATCGGGAAGCAGAATTGTACGGAGAAGGCGCAGAAGACGTATTTGAAGGAGCAGGCATATAGTCATCATGCTACGAGCAGTTGCCGTATCGGTGCGGATCGCGATAAGGGTGCGGTGTTGGATAGTAAGTTTAGGGTTAGGGGTGTGGAGGGACTGAGGGTCGTGGATGCGAGTTCGTTCCCTAAGGTCCCTGGTGGGTTTCCTATTCTGCCGACTATGATGTTGTCGGAGAAGGCTAGTGAGATCTTGATCAAGGGATTGTGAATTGATCCTACGGGTACAGAGAGATGTGGATGCCAACGGATATGGGTAGACAGTTTTGTGGGAATGTGCGCAAGAAAAGCTAGTGGCGTCATTATTTGTGCTTGAAATTTACACTTTGCGCCATATCTTGAACTATACCCATGATATCTTGGTTCCCACATCGGCAAAGAACGTTGAACGCGGTCAGACACGTAGTCACGTGATAGTCTCGTTCACTGACTCGGAGAATGTAGTACTGGCATGGGTCCTCCTTCTCCACCGATTTTTTGTGAGCTATATGTGCTACATCAAAGTTTACGTTAGTAACAGAAAAGGAAACACATAGGTCAGACAAGTACGGAGTACACAATGTTCATTGCAGGATTGCATATTTGATCTTGTCTAACCTTCATCCATACCCGTTCAAGCTGAAGCTGCACACAAGACATACGCCACTGCATGCTTGAATAGGCTTGGCTTTTTGCCAGAAATCTCGTAGATTATGCTATCTACGAGGCAAATCGAGTCTACATACAAGGTACAAAAACGGTACTTCGCATAGCGGTATCCGCTCGATGTAGATCGAAACCTTGACATGAGTCAACATATCCTTCATCATCCCAGGAGACAATCGGCAGATTGCCCTTCTATTCCTCTGCTGCCGGCCTGAAAGTGGAAGGAGCACGCAAGTCCATCACCCTTGCCGAGCCTTGGCCTGCACCTTCCCCGCCCATTCAACCTCCAGTAACTATCGCCCATGTAGAAGCACATATCCAACGTCATTGACAAGGTTACCCTCAACGACTCGTCTCTGCAGGTATCCTGCCGCTACAGGCAAAGTACCCCGCTCCGTACCCATCATTCATGGGACTATCGCTAAGGAAGGAAGCTCCATAATATACAAAAAGCGACAATCATGCTTCTATTGTCGCTGTTGCTGGACGATAATGCGGCGTGACCGGGTATTGTGGAGGGGCTCGGGTTACGCTGGTGTTCAATTGTGCTGCGGCATGGATGCGATTGGGTGATTCAATCCTGGCGGTATAAGAAGAACCTGATCCCCCAGCCATTCTGGCGGTGCGCGACTCGGCTTGTTCAATAAGTCTTTTCGTGGCTGTTCTTTCGCTATCTTGGGTGCAGAACCTGTCGACTCTCGTTGGGTTGGAAAACATGTTCCACAGAGGCATCTCAGCAATTGCAGCACTCAGTGCTTTCTGCGGGGCTGTGCACGGCCAGTTCCCTCCTCCGCTTGAAGGAGTCAAGGTGCTTGATTCGAAGATCGAAGATGGCATCAAGATTAGCTACAAAGAGGTCCGTGGGCTCTCTGGGATACTGTGTGTTTATTTGCAGCTAACAATGGATCCTAGAACGATCTCTGCGAGACCACAGAAGGCGTGAGGAGCTACTCGGGATACGTCAAGCTTCCTGCGGGTAGTCTTGATGATCTCGGCGTGAGAAATCAGACATATGAGATCAACACGTTCTTTTGGTTCTTCGAGTCCAGGAAAGATCCTGAGAATGCACCATTGTCCATCTGGATGAATGGCGGGCCTGTAAGTCGACGCCTTGCAGCCAGACTATGTCAGTCACTAACAACCGCATTAGGGAAGTAGTTCAATGCTTGGTTTGATGCGCGAGCTTGGCCCTTGCTTCGTTCATTCCGATTCCAATTCGACCTATCTAAATGAGTGGTCATGGAACAATGAAGGTGGGTGCAGTGATGCAATTGAATCTATGCTCCGGCTAAGAATATCTTAGTCAACATGCTCTTCCTCGACCAACCCGTCCAAGTTGGTTTGAGTTACGATACTCTCACCAATGTTACTGTTTCGTCGTACACGGGCTCAGAAGGCGTCGAGGTTGCAGACTTCTCAGACGGGGTTCCAGAGCAGAACAACACCTTTTATGTCGGTACATACGGAAGCCAAAACCGCAATTCTACTACCCAGGGCACCGAGAACTCCGCACGAGCTCTCTGGCATTTTGCTCAAGTCTGGTTTCAAGAGTTCCCGGGATACAAGCCCAATGACAACCGGATTTCCATCTCCACCGAATCGTACGGCGGCCGCTATGGGCCGGCGTTCGCTGCATACTTCCAAGAGCAGAACGAGCGCATCTTGAACGGCACCTGGGATGAGGAGGGCCAAACACATATCCTGCATCTGGACACTCTACTCATCATCAACGGATGCATTGACCGACTCGTCCAATGGCCTGGCTATCCTCAGATGGCATACAACAACTCTTACGGCATTAAGGCCATCAACGAATCCAGGTACAATGAAGTACTAGAGAGTCTCAATGGCGAGAACGGTTGCTTAGCCCAGATCGAAGAGTGTCGTAACCTCAGTCTAGTATACGATCCCACTAATCAAGGATTCAACACTTCCGTCAACAAGGTGTGCCAGGCGGCTGAAACGTTCTGCACCGAAAATATCCGAGATCCATATTTCGATGCTGATTTGAATTACTATGATGTCTCTGCGCCTTCTGCGGCATCGTATCCACCACCCTGGTATGCTGGGTGGCTGAATCAGCCACATGTTCAACAAGGCCTTGGTGTTCCCTTAAATTGGACCCAATCGAACTCCGCTGTCTCACAGGCGTTTAGAGGCATTGGTGATTACCCGCGCCCGGGATGGAAGGAAGATTTGGCGTATCTGCTAGATTCCGGCATCAAGGTCGCACTTGTGTACGGCGACCGAGACTACGGTAAGTACCTCACCAACATTGATACATAAGTCCAGTCGCTTAAGAATCATCATAGCCTGCAATTGGTACGGTGGTGAGCTCCTCTCCCTAGCCATCGAGCACGAATTCTCTGAGGAGTTCCGTGCCTCAGGCTACACAGACGTCGTCGTCAACGGCACCTACGTTGGCGGTCAAGTCCGCCAGTACGGCAATTTGTCTTTCACGCGTGTCTATCAAGCTGGTCACGAAGTGCCAGCGTATCAGCCCGAAACCGCGTTCAAGATCTTCCAACGAGCGCTGTTCAATTTCGACATCGCTACTGGTAATGTCTCGACCACGGAGAACCCGGACTACTCGACCGAAGGCCCAGAGAATGTCTTCAACATCACGAACGAAGCCATCCCTATGCCTGGTGCGCAATGCTACGTCCTCGACAAGGATCAATGCACGCCCGAGCAATGGGAGTCCGTTGAAACCGGTTCCGCATTGGTAAGGAACTGGATTGTCGTTGATGGAAACACAACCTTCCTCTTCCCGGATTTGAACGGCACAACGGGCAATGAGACCCAACCGTCTGGAAGCCCAACGGCATCGTCTCCAGGGCCGTCTGCAACGTCATCTCAAACGCCTCCTGCGGAACCTAACGCTGCAGCTCTGAGGTTCGGCCCGTCGGGTGGGGCTTCAAGTGCTGTGTTGACGGCTGTGTTGGGAAGTTTAGTCGTCATGCTTTAATGATGGAGATGCAACATCTTTAGGAAAGGGAACGAGGCTGGCGTACTTAACATAAAGTGTAGGCATAGTAATGATAAATATGATGAAATATACCGTACAGCACAAAACATACTCTACAAAGCTCAACTTCAATCATTGTCTCCTCTTCAAATCTCCATATTGCCCTATTAATCTCCCAGAATTCAACCAGGCCCATATCAACCATTAATGACACAAGAAAGCCATACTTCTAACTTCCCCATCCACAATCCCATCAATAGCAAATCCACCGAATAGAAAAGTTCGGAGCATCCGGCACCCCACCATCCCCCAAAGCCCACGCCACCGCAATCCATCACCCGTACATTCCCTGCACACTTCCCCATGGCAAAATCCCCGATATCCGTAATTGCGAGTCTAGTTTCCTCGATTGGATGCTGTATGACTGAGAATGATCGACAGGGTTCAGTGATTATAGCGCAGATCGCGTTCGAGACGTTTGGTCTAGAGGGTTCGTACAACACCACCCACCTCATTGAACAGTTTGTACGACAGCGAGTTCCTTCTACTTACCTAACTCTCATTCCAGGATATATAAATATAAATACAGTATCAGAACAAACAAACACTTGAATGATCGATACAAAACAAAATTCGTTCTATAAATACGAAGGACCGCTGGTTGAACTCTTTTTGACGTCAGACTTCAACCATCGCCAAATACATCTCAAGTAACAAGCAACATGGCGCAGATTCCAATCGTGATCGCGGGCAGGAACCCCGACATCACGAAGGCTGTTAGGAAGGCTGTTTGGCCGGACTATGATGGTGAGTTCTACCTACCTTACCTACTCCCCTCAACAGCCCTCTGCGTAGAAAGTGTCCACGTGACACGCCATTCACTACCCATAAAGAAAGAAAGGAAGGCAGAAGATGAAAAAAAAAGACACGATATCTGACGAAATGATACACAGTAATCCACATAATCCTCGACCCGCACTCGGGCGCCAAAGACCTCCCCTCCCTCATATCCGGCACATCCCTCCCCCCTTCGTCAAACCCAGGAAGTCAAAACTACACCAAGCCGCCTGTGGCCGTCGCGCTGGGCGGAGGCTACGACGACGAGGCGTTCGAACTCATCAAATCGGCTTGCAGCGCGAAGAACGCGGACGGGATGGTCGTGGCGTGGTTACGGCACGATAAGAGTGGGTTGACGGAGGGTCCGCCGCTAAGCGACGCGGATGCGTTTGGGAGATGGATTGCGGAGAGGATGAGGGGGGTGTTGGATGGTATTAAGGTTGGGGAAGTTGAGGGGACGGGGTGGGAAAAGGAGGTTTTCATGTTTTGAGATCGGGGATGGGTTGATTTTGTTATGTGTTATGATACGACGTTCTCATGATTTGATGTGGTTTACAGATATCTATATAATACATGGTTTACGAGTACAACATGGTTTGATCATACATCTTTTGGGGAAGTGGGCTGTTTGAGGGCGCCGCCGCGATGGTATGTAGCCACGGCATTCTGGAAAAGCTCTTTGCACGGGACTCTGCTGCCTAGCTTCGCGCAGAGGAGGAAGGCTCCGCTGAGTTTTCGGTGGAGGCTGTAGGTTTCCTCTGGTGGTGGTGCGAGGCGTTCTCTCAGCATGACTGGGACCAGGCTTCGCACTCGGTCAGTAATTGTCTGGTCGCTGAAATCGTAGACGTCAGGTCCGTTGGCATCGAAGGGTTCGGCGAGTGTAAGGACAGATTGGATGTGTGCGTCGAGCATTGTTGGAGACTCGGCGCCGGTGAGGTATCCGAGCTCGATTGAGAGGTCGCGGATAGCATCTTTGTCACCCTTGGAAGCCCCTATGAGAACATTGACATAGGGGTCAACGAATTTGTCTGGGTATTCACGGCTTGCGCCGAAGTCCAGGAGCTCGATCTTTTGTTTTTCGGCATTGAAGAGAAAATTGGTCCAGTTAGGGTCCGTTTGCATGAGTTTGAACTCAACAATCTCTCGCAGGCAAAGGCGTAGGATTTGTGTTCCGATCCAATCTCTTTGGTCTTGGGTTAATGAGCGAAGCTTCGTAACGCCGACACCATCCATGAGCTCTGCAGTAAGAACTTCGGGTCCACAGGCTTCAGGGAAGACTTTCGGAACAATGAATGCGTCGGTGTCATCGGATAGTAGCTCGCGGAATCGTTGCTGGTATTCTGCTTCTCTTGTATAGTTGCACTCCCATCCTAGCTCAAGTCGAGCATTAGCAATGGTTTTATCGAGATACATTCCCGATGGCAGTAGGCGAGAGGCGGTGAGAAGGATCGACAGATTGTTCAAATCAGAATCAATTGAAGTTGCGACTCCAGGATACTGAACCTTAACTGCCACAGGCTGTCCGGTGGAGCGCAAGGTAGCTTTGTGGACTTGGCCAATCGATGCTGCTGCAATGGGAACGTCTTCGAAAGTCTCGAATAGATCACGCCAGTCAGGACCAAGGTTCTTAATGAGCACTTTGTTGCGTTGGCCGGCCGGCATGTAGTCGGCGCTGTCTTGAACTCTTTGCAGAACCTCGTGGATTTCCGGTGGAAGCATCTTGATATCTTTCGAAAATCAGCATACGTCTACACTTTCAATAAGACTGCCATACCTTGGAGACTAATCATCTGCCCAAGCTTGAGAGCAGCTCCACGCATGCGCGAGAGCTTCGCTACAAGAATCTCAATATTTCCCGGGCTTAACATTAAGGATCCGCCGGCTGCCGCCGCCGTTCCTGTTGCACGTCGAAGGGACTCTCCCACGGCTCCAAGAGCCATACTAGTACCAAGGCCAGCGTACTGCCAGAGTCGGCCGAATCTCGAAGACGGGACCCGAGACTCTCGCAGCTCGTACGCTGCTCTTCGTGGTTCTGTGGTTATCTCTCCGGTAATCTGCGATCCCGCTGTCAGTACATCAGCATATCTCGCGAAAACAATAATGCACTGTTTAGCTTACCTCAGATACAGAAGCAGGCAACGACTCCGCATCCTTTGCTAGCTCAGATGCGAAATCATGCATCTCCTTCTCGGTTGCACTTTGGGGCTCTCTGAGGGGCGATTCTGGTGTTGACGGAGTTTTCTGATCGCTGGTGCGAACATTGAAAGTGTCCTGATCATGTCCCTGGGCTGTTCGAGTATGATCGTAAGGAGTGCTGCCAGCTCCCTTAAGATCAAGCTGAGGTTTCGGCGCATACGGGTTGCCACCAAGCATTCTGGAGACACGTTTGGTGCGGAACACGTCTGTATTTACGCCCTCCGGGATCTGCTCTTGCTCTGGAACGGCCACTTCGTGTGGCAATTGCTCTCGTTGAAGTTCTTCCTGGCCAGGCTCGGGGGTTGAGTAGAACACATCTTGATTTAATCGGCCGTCATCTACATGATCATCACTTTCCTGTTTATCCGCTGTACTTTTGGGTATTTGCTCGCGTGGGAGCGAAGATGGCTCCGATTTCGTCTCTTTGCTTCTTGCGTAGAAGACATCGCGATCGTGGCCTTTTTGGAGCTCTGCCTCCTGGGGAGTGGGTGATACGTGCTGGATCGTGTCGACGCCGGAAAGTGTATACTGCCCTTTATCACTGGCCGAGTCGCCTGGAAGAGATCCGGAAGGTTTGCCTGGTAACGGAATAGTTGATCGCGTAGATTCCGTTGGCTTGATGCCTTCGTCTGCATTGCGCACTTGATGTTGCTCCTCCGCTAGCGGCTGTTTCGGCGGCTCCGGGACTGATCTCTCCGAGAAAGTATCCTTCCCTTGCAATCCGTTATCCAAAATGACTCCCTCGGAGGGTATGGTCCCATCAGCCAATGGGGAACGTTTAGCCTTCTCTTGTTGAACATCCAATTCACCCTCCGCCGGGGGCTCAGCCTTCGTATTTTCAACTGATCGATCGTAATGATGATCTTGCTCTAGTCCAGCCTTAACATCCCCATGAGGCCTTTCGCCTTGTACAGTGTCCTTGCGGGGAATATCTCCGTCGTTGCGGGCCGTTTGTGATGACGTAGTAGATGTATACGAGGGTTTATCTTCATTGAAGCGTTTCGAGAGGGCAATGGCGGCTTGCGCAGTGAGCGTGACGCGATCGGTCTGGTTTTTCACGGCTTTAGCTAAGGTCGATGTCCTGTTGTAGACATCGAGCTGTTGAGAGCGAAGGGCGACATGCTTCGAAGCGATTGATTTCGAGGCATTGAACAGCTTTGCGGCGTCAACGAGCCGCCTGCCAGCCATTGAGATGATTCAGAATGTGTCAATTGCGGGGACGCATCGCGGAAGCACACAAAAGATAGCAGTGTGTCGCTGATGTGAGAATAAGAGAATGCAATAAAATGTCCCGCTCACACGACGCAGCGAAAACCATCAGGTCCCGCGTCATAGCTTGATGAGGCTAAAGGCGAGGATCTACGCGCCGACTGCCCTGTGATTGGCTGGGCACCCGTCGCGACGGCCTAGACTCCTTGAGGAAACTGTCCACTTCAATTCACCTCTGCCGCTCCGATAGCGCTGACCCTCCAACCTCCGTTGAATCGTGAGATTGTGGTTGTTATTGGATTGAAGACATATCAGCTGATTGTTTGGCTGAAAACACCGCTGGAGATTGGTTCACGTACATAGCCAGGTTGGAAGGGAAACGGGCGAACAAGCGACGTTCTTTATATCCGCAAATAACACACGAGACAACAGGTGCCCGAACAATGGAGTTCTGAGCGTGTTACAATTAGACTCGCCCCATATACGCCCCATTAACGAACCTCCAACATGATAGTTGCTTGCCTCCAGTTCTCCCCTGAGCTCGGAAAGGTTCAGGAGAACATACGAAAGGCCGATCAGATTCTCCAACGGACTGCAATCCCGGCGAATATCGACTGGATCATCTTGCCTGAACTGGCTTTTACAGGTACGATATTTTCCTCTTCCATTGTCGTTGCACTTCATTGGTATTGTTATATATACACGTCTCTTCATGTGATGGCCTCTGCTTGATACCTCGGGTAACATGACACCCGAAGAAGTAATCTCGAGCAGAGAGGCGACCGAGCGTTTTTATGGGGACATGAGTACGAAGCATACCAACCGTCATCTAACAATTGGATTCAATTTAAATCCGACGGGCGTACATGCAGGCAGCGCATGCAAAGTGGCGGCGCAGATCAAAGAGGTCCAAACACTGACACCAAACGCAGGTTACGACTTCCACTCGCTTGAAGAAATAAAGCCCTTCCTGGAACCCACCACCTCAGGAATAAGCACACACTGGGCCATACAGGTAGCCGCCCATTACAAGTGTCACGTAACAGTCGGGTATCCCGAAATCACGACCACAGACCCTCCAGTGCAGTACAACAGCACAGTGACCGTCTCCCCGCAAGGAACCATTTTAGCCAATTACCACAAAGCATTCCTGTACTACACCGACGAGACATGGTCGGCCGAAGGTCCAACGGGGTTCTTTTCCGGTCCGCTGGGTGCGCTGGGTCAGGTGACGCTGGGGATTTGCATGGATATCAATCCGTACAAGTTCACGGCGCCGTGGACGGACTATGAGTTTGCGAATGCGGCGATCGAGAATGATACGTCTATCGTGTGCGTGTCGATGGCGTGGCTGTGCCATCTTTCGCCGGAGGAACTCATGACGGATCCGCATATAATGGACCTGGCGACTGTGTCGTACTGGGTGGAGAGATTCCATCCCCTGGTTGGGAGATCGAATAGCGGACCGGTTTATGTCATATTGGCGAATAGGTGCGGCATGGAGAAGGCGGTTTGTTATGCTGGGAGCAGCACCGTTCTGAAGATAGAGAATGGGGTGGTGAGCATGTACGAGACGCTTGGGAAGAGCGAGGAGAAGTGTTTGGTGGTGGATCTGAATGAGCGACCGAAGTTCCAGGTGAGGAGTGCAGGCGCCTGAATTCAATTGATGACGTTCAAGGTTGATTGATTGCTACATGACGGCTGGATGGTGCTTGGGTGTTTATTGTATGTTTTAAGGGCAAGAACCGAAGTACCCGTTATACCAGGCATTATCTGGGGGTTCATAAGTTGCTTCGGGGAGGGGCGCATTGGTATTGTTCACGAGAAATGTAGTTACGCGAGATCATTCATGGGTATCATACGAGAAACGTTTCGAAGGCGATGCCGAACAATACGGAATGGCAACGTGATAGTGAACTTGAATGGCGAATTGGACAAACCGTGAACTAGGGTTTCGTTCCCAGAGATGAATGAATGCGGCTTCTGATATCCCACGCATTCCTCACGAGTTGATCAATAAGGTCGAATGTAGTGAAAACGTCATGTTCATTTGGACAAGCAAGTGCAATTCATTGACCACTGCCTAAATCCTTCATGTGTATCTCAGCCCCAAGCGCCAGATTCAATAGTTGTTAACCGGTGAGTATAATTCATACACGACCCGTGTGGGGAGAAGTTTTTGACTTTCGCCCCCACTACCGTACGCTTATGCCTCCACACATGATGTCCACCACCACACACCTAGATCCGCCCGCCGTTCGTAATATCCATTCCCGTGCCGTTTTTGTTGAAGTTGAACTGATTTTGAAAAAGAGAGGGAAGATGGAGGGGCGAGTCGTTTATAGGCCGATACGGGTCTTGCGCCAGTGTCGTCGCTTAGCGTTGTATCTGAGAAATGAAAACGTTAGTCGCGTGCTTCAAAACCAGGAAGATCCTCTTATCGTTGAAGCGGGATCAGGTGCACGGCGGAGAGGAAGCGTACCGGATGGTGTTGTTCGTTCGGAGACGAATCCACTGAGGGATGGGGCGGTTCTGCTTCTGCGCTTTCGCAAGCTTCTGCTTGGTGCGGAAAGACTTGTGGCTCTGTGGAAAATGTCAGGAAATCCTGTATAAAGTATATCGAGTGTCCATGGGCGAGGTGCGTACCGGCATCGTGACTGTGGGAATCTGTCGAAATGTCGAGGATGGTGTCGTTGCAAAAGTGAGTGTGGATGAGGCGTATTGAAATTCCTAGATTCTCTCGCTTCGGTGTGGGCGCCAAGAACGCTTGCCTACTTTTGGAAACCGCTGACACTAATACGTTTTCGGACGCATCGTGACTTCCTCCATATGAACCGTCTGGGTAAACAGTACAACATTTTTCCTTCATAGCAGTTGGCTTTCGTCACTTACACGAACCATTTTCCATTCTTAACGACAGGATTATTAGTGCAGTTTTACCTGTCAAACTTTCACTGCCTTTACTGTGTATAACTATCGCGTTCTATTCTTGTAGCCAATCTACTGTCGCTTAGCTCTTAGCTGCGCTACACTCGGCATAAGACTATGGAGTCAATTCAAAGATGGTTTCATAGTTACGATAAGATACCAGTATTTGGAGATCCTCCAGATTCTGAGTGAGAAGTTGATCCTCAAATATCACATACAATTGTATTGACTTGTGGAGTCTGGTGATTAGCACGGCCGGCGAGGTCGCCACCATCTTCGTCGGCGAAGACCAAGTACCTGTCCAAGCCGACAAATATCTGCTTTGCTCAGTCTCGGATTACTTTCGATCTGCCCTGAATGGAGGATTCCTGGAAAGCTCGACTAAAATATTGCATCTCCCCGATGTCACGCCAGAAATGTTCAACATTTTTCTACTGTGGATGTACGCTCAGCCGCATGATCAACCAGGAATGCAATTCATAGGATTTAATTTGAATAATCGAGAGCGGAGGCTATACCGCAGATCTTTTCTGGCTGCCAGAAAAGCTACTGCCGGAAATGCTACTCTGCGTCGGTCTTCAATAATTTCGTTAGGCCTTTCAGGTGCAGACGAAATCTCTCAGTCACGGATATCATTACACCCTTCCACATTCAACCAATTCTTCATACCATTTACCCGCGGCCTACTACCCACCGATGATGTAGATTTCCTTACGCCTGGATGGGACTATACGCCTACTATCAGTCCTAGATCCGAAGGTAGTCCTCATAGCGAAGCTCCGTTCAGTGGCGTGTGGAATAATAAGAACTACTACGACATTGACGGCTTACCTATGCAAGAACAGCCAATCACTAGGAATCCGTGGGTAATGCACTTCGAAGCTTACTTTGCAAATCTAGTTGATTTGTATATCTTTGCACAATTCCTTTTAGCAAAGCAGCTACGTGACGACATCATCTCTGCCATTTTTGGGCACTGTCGTGCTGTAGGCTAGTGGCCGAACCCTAACAGGACACCCGAGATCGTCAATCTGGTGTACGATGTTTTACCCGAAACATCGACACTTCGTCGCTTATTATGTGCCAGTTGGGCACATTGCTTGGATCCAGATAACACGACGGAAGATGCGAAGAAGGTGCACAAAAAGCTGAATCCAGACTTCATCTACGATGTTGCTGTCCTGCAAACAACGCGACTCCGGTCAACTAACATCCAGGGTGAAAACTTCGTCGAGCAGTGCCAATTCCACGAACATAAGCTTTTTGGCACGAGACTTTGCAAACTTCGAATGGAGAAAAAAGTTGGTTTATTGATTGACTTAGTCGAACGTTGCAAGGCACTCGAAATGGAGGGTGAGTATGAGGAATGGGAGGGTAGACAAAGAGAGGGTAGAAAAAGGGAGAGTGAGGAAAGTGAGGATGAGGAAATCGAGTATGAGGAAATCGAGGATGAAGAAATCGAGGATGAGGCAATCGAGGATGAGGCAATCGTGGATGATGTGTACGGCTTCTTAGCAGGAATGGAGCTGTGAGATTAGATTGATTGATAACGCGGAGGGTGAAACATTAGCGTCCGCGGGCAAGAGAAACCTCCTCCTCTCAGAATATCTTTAATTGGGGCATGCAACAGTTTATTACAAGTAACAAGGTAGTTCCAAACGAGGCCGAATTGAATTCGCCAATGCTTTGTGAGACTCAAGGAACGAACTATTGTATTATTCCTTTTTGTTGATTTTTGTTTCCCGGATTGACAAAGGCCGAGCTGATCCCGAGCGCACAAACGTTGGCCATGACAAGTTGCTGGGCAAACATGACACGCCTGTCGGTGTCTTGTTACTGTGATTGACTGTTTCAAAAACATACAGATTAGTTCAGTTCAGTCCACTCCATCTTAGGAATAATGTCTTGATGTCAGTCGTAGCGTTGGCTAGATAGACAGTTCTTCTGATCGAAAAATGTGTTAATAGTACTCCGTACTCCGCCATAGATTGATAAGATAATAGGGGAATGTGATCCGGAAGACTCCATCTCCTCTCTTCCTTAGTAGTCATAATGGATTGATTAATTAACCATTTGTGTAATAGCTATTAGGAGAAATTCTTCTTTGGACGTTAGTTGAATCAATTGGGTTTAGAAGGTCGATCCATAGTTTGCCTTCCACCCCACTTGCCCCTACAAACTCGGGCTTTTACTTGTCATGAAGCTTGAGCCCGCTTGTGTAGTTGCTGCGAGATGGAGCAGGGATTACTTGCAGACAATTGATTTTTTCTACTAGTCATTCACAATTCACTGTTCGAGAAGAGTTGCAACTACTGCACCCTCTGTCGATCGACTCTGCACAAGCTTGTGATGCAAAGCCGCCGAACAGTTCGAAACTTCTCGGCAATGTCCTCTCCTGCAGTTTAAATCCCCAGCGGAGACCGAGTGTCTCTCTCAATGGCCAATTCCTCCTTTTCATAGTCAAGATTGACATAGCGAAAGCCGATCATTGGCAATTGATCCATTATTCATTCATTGACTGGGTGTTTCCTGGCTGCTTCATAACGGTGGTTGCTTGTCCCTGCATTCCGAAACAAGAAACCCGCCCAAAGCTTCGGTGATTCTTCAGTGGCGGCGCAATTCTTCAACAACCTTTCGCCGCCCTCTTCTCTCGCCTTCGTTGCGACGACAGTCACGCCCGCTTTCTTTCCAAAGTGCATCGACCCTCCATTGTAGCCTCTGCTGCAATTCGCAGCCCCCCAATTCCTCGCAATGCCCGACCGTTCGACCTCGCCGACGCGCTCGCTTCCCCGCGTACCCAGCCTCAAGAGCTTCCTCCCGCTATCTGAGTCCGAAGGGAACCCAATCACCACTCGCGGCCAGAATCTTGCCTCTCTCATCCGGGAGAATCAATCCCATCATTCGCGCCGCCCATCCACGCTTCGTAGCAGCGAGCGACGAGGCAGTGCGTCAAGCGCCGATGACGACCTGGAGGCGTTCCGACATGGCTTCGCGCTTCCTTGGGGCGAGCGCGAAGAGCGCAGAATGAGCTCTGGAGCTTCAATCCTGAACACACCCCAGATGCGAAGCATGCGACTCATCGGAAACTCGAATCCGAGATATAAATGGGAGCGATACTTCAAGACCGAGGAGGAGCTCAAGAAGATGAAGGCGCCGATCCGGGAGTACTATGAGCGCAACAACTATCTGATCCAGCACTATATGTACATTGATAGGCTTTTGGACTCTTCACTACCCCATGATTTGATCCAGGAGTATGGCCACCCTGAATCTGGTCAGGTCAACATTCCCTCCACCATTACCGAAGAAGAATCAATAGGCACGAATGGCGCTGCATCGGCTACCAATGGCTCGCTCACACCAGGCACTTTAGTTGATAGTGGCAAAGCAACACCGTCTCCCTCGACTACGACGAATAGCGCCAGTACCAATGGTTCCCAGGTCAAAGTGAAACGGACACCAAAGAACTTGTACAAGGTACCAGAGGCAGACGAGAGGACGCCTCTGCTAGCAGTTGATGACGATGACGATGACGACCCCGAATCGCCCAAGATCGAATTGCCAGAATGGGAGCCGGAAGAGGACGAGGATACCGAGAGCCCCATCGTCAAACTCGCGATCTATGTGAACCTAGCTGCCAATACCAGCTTGCTTCTCATGAAGATAGCCGTTACGATCATGACTTCATCGCTTTCCGTGATTGCCAGTTTAGTCGATGCGGCATTGGACTTCCTCAGTACTGCCATTGTTTGGTTTACATCCTGGATGATTGCGCGACAAGACCAATATGCATATCCTGTGGGACGAAGGAAGCTCGAGCCCGTCGGTGTGCTGGTGAGTGATCCTTCATGTACCGTTCAATATACAATGGCTAATATATCTAGGTGTTCTCCGTTATCATGATCACTTCCTTCTTCCAGGTTGGCATTGAAGGTGTCTCGCGACTGACAGGTGAAGACCATACCATCGTGCAGCTATCAGTATGGGCCGTTGGCATCATGGCTTCCACCGTGGTCATTAAGTTCCTGTGCTGGCTATGGTGTCGCCTTATTCGAAACTCGAGTGTCCAGGCATTAGCTCAAGACGCAATGACCGACGTCGTGTTTAACATTTTCAGTATCATTTTCCCATTGAGTACGTCATACCGTCCATATTTCCATACCCATCAACTAACACATTTCCACAGTCGGCTACTACGCAAAGGTCTGGTGGCTCGATCCTCTCGGCGGTATCCTCCTTTCCGCCTACGTGATCATCAGCTGGAGCCACACCTCCGCCACGCACATCCGCAACCTGACGGGCGCCGCGGCGACAGCCGACGAGCGAAACATCCTCCTCTACACCACGATGCGCTTCGCCAAGACGATCAAGCACATTCAGGGCATTCAAGCTTACCACGCAGGCGACAAGCTCAACGTCGAGGTCGACATCGTGGTCGATGAGGAGACACCTCTCAGGGATAGTCACGATCTGGGAGAGTCGCTGCAATATGTTCTTGGTACGTTCTTAACTGCTTCCCTTTCCTTTCATTTTCCACCAGGTACATAAGCTTACCAGTATAAACAGAGAGTATCCCAACCGTCGACAGAGCCTTCGTTCACATCGACTACACCGCGCACAACCTCCCAACGCACATGTCCCAACAGGAATAAAAACACACTCGTTTTCAATCTCTTTTTTTTTTGCATAGCCGTGGGTACGCCCACAACGCCATACCATGTACAATACACACATCAAAAACCTTCCTTCAATGTAGACCTCAAAACTACTCTCTCTCTCTCTCTCCCTCCATAGCTACAAAATAATTCAAACTCCAATTCAACAACCCACCCCAAGTTCTGACTCTTCTACCTCACCCCGACCACCGAACCCTGCCACCAATGCAACCCCACACCCCTCGGGTACTTCACCTCCATGACCTCCTCCTCTCGCGCGCCGAACCCGAACGACGACAATCCAGGTGGGCCTCCCGCCGTCACAGTCTGCGAGAAAACAGGGATTGGCATCGTGGTTTGGATTGTCCCGCTCGGGGTGGACGGTGAGGTCCAGTCGACGCCACGGAACAGCTCGTCGAGAAAGCTGTCTGTTTCGTTGGGTCCGGGGACTGAGGTTTCTGAGGTGATACTGGTATCATTGTGTACCTCGTCGGCGGTTGAATTAGTTTCCACCGGTGAATTTGAGATCGCTTTGTCCACGGTTTCTTCGGAGGCGAAGGAGGACGATGTGCGTTTCTGATTGTGTTGGAGCTGTCGTCCGTGTTGTTGCGCTGTTCCTCCCACACCGGATGTCATCGCCGTTGTTGATGGGCGTGTTGGTGTCATTCCTTCCTTTTTTCACTTCGATTCACTTGTGTGCACCAAGAGACAACTATCGATTGAGGATCGGCAGAGGTCTGAATCGGCTTTCTGTTTGGCCAGAAGGAGGGAGACGTAGAGAGGCAGAGAGAATGGATTGGTAGATTTTGTGTGATGATGTTTCGAAATGTTATTTCATGATCTCAGTTAGGGGGGCATGGTGGAAATATATTTATACGTTTCATTTTCCCAACCTTATTTACGAGAGTCCGGGTTGAATGATGTTGACGGGGGAGGCGCGTTACTATTGTTCTTTGCATTGAGATGTATGATTCGTTGTGTACACAGGGGAGAAGTAAGATGGGTATCGTGTGTGGTAGAACAAAGGGACTTTGTGTTATATGATCGTTAGACTATTGATTATACATCGAGGGAATTTGGATCCAGCTAGATGCAACAATAAAAAGGAATAATATACTACTACGCGTGCGTGATTTCTGGTCGCTTATATAATCTTCATAAATGGCGTCGATTATCATATCATCATGTAAATACAAAGCTTTTTGAAGTTGTCTAGCCCTGTGCTTCTTCCCACTGTGCTACCCGTTCACCAAGTCCCTTTTTCACATTCATCACTCATCAACAGTCCCATCCTTCCCCTGCATCTCCTTCCTCTCATTTTCTAGCAATACTTCTGCGATCCGGTTATTCCTTGTCTCAACAGCCAACCGCGTAATTGTGTCTGCACTCAGCACTTCGAACGCGACGACCGAATCCCCCTGCTCCTCAAACTCAATGCCCGAATCAATTAATGTCTGAGGGTCGACGAGCTGCTTCTTGATCTTCGTCCATCTCGATCCGGGCGGGATCGGGTCTGCCTGGTCGGGATCAGGAGTGGTTGGACGTGGATTTCGAACCATGTCTTCCACGGGACTTGCTATCTCGGAGTCTGCCTCAGGTGATCTGAGATATGACACGTATTCGTGCATGGCGTGGGCTGATGGCATCGCATTTGGATACTGTTCACCTTCTTCCTCTTCCTGCTTCTTCTGCTCAGTGTGCTCAAAGGTGCTCTCATTGACGTCTCCAGGGTCGAGGCTGATATCTCGGGTCCCAGTGAGTCGCCAGTGGAAGTCGTCAACTGGAGTGTATATGGTCTTTTGCATTTGGAGATGTTTCCCGGCACGCGCCATAGACGCAGGATCTAGATTGAGTTTCTGTGCAATATCGTCTTGGTGGTAGCCCTCCGTTTTAAACGGCAGAGATGACAAAAGTTCCCAGATATGTATCGAGTCTAAGATTGTTTTCTCCGCCAACGATTCGTCTATTGGTAGCTGTCTTCTCAGGTAAGGTTGTTCGATAGGCACTTCGGACGGCTCGGCAGGTATCCCCCCAACATCTACTGAAGGTTCTACATCATGTTCTTTCGGCTCGTTGGCGTCATGGTAGATGTCAAAGGCGTGTGGCCTTTCTGCGAGGGGTGGCCCACGTCTTGGCATAGATCGAATGGAGTCATTTCCTTTATACTGTTGGTTTTCGACGGATCCAGGCTGTGAAGTCGCTGTTGAAACTTCATGTCCTGGTTTGGGACTACTAGCCTCAGCAGCCGTGTTATCTGCTTCGGTTTCAACTAGTTTCTTTGAATTTACCATATCTGTATAAGTTCGTGCGAGAAGGAATGGATCAACTTCATTCTTTTTCGCAATGTAGCGTATACGTTCCTGTAAACTGTATGAATCTTCGCCTCGAAAAGGTTGCAACAGGCGCTTAATCAAGTATTCATACCGGCCGGACATAGGGATGTTCAGTCGGGACATGGATTCACGGCAGTCCAGAGTGCTGAGCTCTCGTTCTGGGGTTCCAATCCGACGCGGGTGTGCATCTTCGATGTCAGATGCGTGGAGCTGCTTGGTTAGCAGTGATGGCTTCGGTCTACTGTGTTCAACATCTTTGCGCCGAAAATAGTGTTGAGGTGAGACCGGGCCACTAGAATCATCACTGGAGTTGGACGGGCGGCGCCCATGGCCCATCAAAGTGTGTATTGTGTTGTGTTCTTCCTGCAGAGCAATCAGTACCACATCGAATCACGACCCATTAAACAGCTCACGTACCATAGTCAACTTTTCAGGGACTTCGAACACCCATGAATCACCCACCTACGTACCATTTAGTAATCTTGCATCAATCATACATAATCTAGACCTGTGAGTGGTCCCATGACTTACAAATTGCTCGTTGAAATCAGTCACTTCTGGCCATCGCTGACGCAGGAACGATTCAACATCTGACCACTGTGAGCTCTCACCAGCCCTTACCCTTTCCTGTACTAAAATCGGTGTTGGATTATCCCGAGTGCTCTGGAAGGTCCTCGCATGCCATAAGCTCTCGATAAGAGTATTGCTTGCTGCAGGTGTTTGGCTCCGGAAAAAGATATCACGGCCCCTTTTCACATCATGGACCAAGATCTCTGTGTCGGTGACCTTCTGAATGTTCACCGATTGGGTGAGCTCTAGCATCATCGGAGGTGGCGATATATCAGACGCATCCTCTGGTGCCACCACATCTGCGCTACCAGGCCGGATGATAATACGGCATGCATATGGGGAAAGTTGACTCGCCGAATCATACTCGTCATCAAAGATAACAGCATGATGCTCCGTTGGAGTAACGGCAGAGCTTGTTGCATGTGATTCATCCAGAGGTGTCACGTGAGACGTGTGCGGAATCTGTGACTGGATTCTTGCCACGAGGTCTTCGAAGGAGATATCCAGACTGACAAACGGCTGGGTTCGGCCTTCATCTTGATAGCTTTTCCTAAACATCCGATGCAGAGCAAGGAACTTTGAAAAGCTGTCAGAATTGTGTTGAGATCTCTGTTCACCAGTAATGAGGTCTTGGATACATCCATTTACCACAGTGTATCGCCGCAGAATCTTTTGTGCGGCGGTGTACCCAATCTTACATAGCGTTTCGCCATTATCGTAGAGCGCGCTCATATTGAGACATGTTAAGCAGGTCCGAGCATGCCCTTCGAACTCAAACAGAGAGGGTTTTTCGAGTTCTGGAGAGCCTGTTCTTGAGATAGATACGTCCTTGCCGGATGTTGCTTTACTTTGTGCCTCATCTGTGGCACTGGAGGAGAGTTTCGGCTTTATTGCGTCTCCAGGAGTGGATACCGAGATTATAGTCGAGTCATTCCCTGGCGCAGGAGAGGTTCGAGCTTCCCGTATTGCTTTATTCAGATTTCCCTCCTCAGGAGGGAAAAAGACAGGTAGAAGACTTTTGTATATAGCCTCGTCACTTGAGGAGTATACCACGAATATTATCGTCTCAATTCGAGTATTGAAATTCACAGTTTCCATAAACCTCTTTACTTCTTCTATCGCTAGCGAGGCACAATCGCGCGAAGGATAGTTAAGTGTTCCAGTTCCGATCGTCGGAATAGCGAGAGATCTTGCTTTCAGCGATGTTGCTGTCCATAAAATTTCTCGATATATTTGGCGAAGCAAATCTTTCGTGTCTTTTCGATATACTTTGGGGGGAATGACGTGAATGACGTGGCGGCAAGGCAGGGCAAAACCAGGTGTAACCTTCTATTATTAGCGCAACATCGCATAGAGTAAAAAGCATTCTTACCCTCACGTCACCTTGCTGAAGGTCGGTGAATTTAGAGCATGCCTCATCCATAGCAAGACCCGCCTTTTTGAAGATGGTTCGATCCAGTGTGCCCATCCCTGTGAAACCTGTGTCGGTGCTGTTTACAATGGCATCGCATTCGATACGTGTAATGCTCTCTCGTATAAAGCAAACCCCATAATTCAGATTATTGTCGGGTATGCTCTTTGTGGGCATTGGCTCGAGCTCACTGGTCTGATATAACCGCGCCAGTGTGGGAATCTGATGGATTGTGATGGTATCGGCTCGTGTGTGAGGTAGAGGGTCGCGGTGGAATTCTCGAGTATACATCACCTCCTCAAACTTATCCATGGCGTCTTCCCCACTGTTTCCTGTGTGTCTTGTGTGGTATTTTTCAAGGCTTGTTCGTACGGCGGTCATCTGTACCGTATCCGGTCGATAGCTGAGGTTTCTTCAAGTCAGTCCATCGAAGCGGCATGAGTTGTTAATGCAGAATAAGTATTTTCGAAAGCTCCGTGGTTATGGTCAGGAAACTTACTTTATGACTGATTCGATGAGACATTCCATAAACTCTGAACACAAGTTCAGCAGGCCCTTCAGATCTAGGGATTGGCTGACCCTCATATGGAAATTGTATTCCTCCCAAAGTGCTTTTGGCGTGGAGTGTCCATCCTTTGCCCGTTCTACCAGCTCTGCTACGCCTCCGCAGCATTGCTGTAGCACCGCACAAATCAGGTCAAGATCGCTAATGCGCGCAGCAACGCTGCCGGATATTGGACCGTTTCTGGTGAGGAAGAAATTTTTCATGATCTCTATCCTGTCCAGCATGGACTGGACCAAAGGATTTTTGAACAAGTCGAATTCAGGAATTTTTTCTCCGAGATCAACAAGACTTTCAATCATTTTTTGTGCTGATGAAGCGAATTAGAGCGACGAAAGAGCAAGAAAGAGGATACATACATTGTTCGTGGACGGAACGTATCTGGTGCCCCATTTCAACATAACTGCGGGCATTACTTTTCACTCGTGCTGCTCTCTCGATATCGCTATGGGTAGGTGGGAAGTAATATGGTATCAGGTCTTCATATGCTCGCGTGTCGAGCCGACTAATCTGGTTAGAATTGATGAAGATTGCGCATAAGAAAAATGGGAAATGTGTCTCTTACGTGTATAGAACAAATACAACCCTTTCAAATCCATGAGCTGGGTTGCTGTCCAGGTAATCTCGTAAAGTCTGAAGAGCAATCCTTGCTGCCGCACGTGGTGGAAACCCTCGACCGGCAGACGCGAGACTAGGAAACGCAAGCGACTTAATGCTGTACTGTGAAGCTAGACTAAGTGAGGCTGTATAACATCCTGTGAGAGCCTTTATCTTTGCTGCAGCATTGGCATTTGAGTAAGTTGGAACTGCAGTATGTATGATTTGGGAGCATGGCAGGTCGTAACCAAGTGTTCGTTTCGCTCCGCCCTCTTCCATTCCTCCAACCTCTCTGCATTCACGTTGAAGCCCTGGGCCTGCAGCTATATGTATACGACTGTTCAGCGTATCGTTACCTTTCATAAACGAGTTGGCTTTGTTTGCGCTATTGACTATGTTGAAGTAAGAATGAAGCCACTTGAATCCGTACGTAAAACATACCAATTGCGTCGACCTGAATGCGAGTAATGTCATGAAGACACAGTGACACGATACGGTTGTAGGCAACATCTGGCGCGTAGCTCTGGTCTTTTTGCTGCAGTTTTCCAGTTGTGTACAATGATTGGATAGTGGGAATCTCATCTAAAGTAAGAATTGGGGTTGCACTTGTGTCATCCAAGTGCGCATTTGAATAGAGATCGAAATCTACCTGTGAGGATGTTGAGAGTGCGTTAATGTCAGCATTGCCTTCGGCATAGGCCTCCTTAACATCTGGTTTAACAGGAGGGTTCCGGTTGAGGCATTTGAAGGTGAAGTTGAGCGTCTTGTTAGCTCTTCTTATTACCAAATCCTGGAACATACTGGCATTGAACCCTTCCATTGCACTTTTTGCGCACGGCTCGTTCGAAAATTGTACAGAGCCATCCCAGTAACCCGACCGAGGAGCAAGGCTCATTCCACGGAATTCGGCGCCTCTGAAGGATAGTACGTGCTGTGTAAACACGCGCACTGTCTCCTTATTCTCTTCCTCATCCCTCTTCTCGGAGCCTTCCACTGGTTCCTCGGGTTCGTTGGTGGGCCCATCCTTTTGCTGCGATAGCAGTATATCCAAACGGTTGGAGCTGGAGTCTGGAACACTGTTGAGTGCATCCGCAGATAGCAGACCCTGCCCTTCCGCAACAGGTCGGTCTATAACCACATCCGTTGAGACTGGATCACTAGGATGAGCTTCGGAAATGTCACCACCAGTACTGTATGAAGCCAATGTACCTAGGTCTTGAGAAGAAGTGGTAGACTGCGATCTTCCGCGAGAAGCTACACTACTACCACCATCTGAATCATCACCTGCAGAATCTGATGAAGGCAGTGCAAATGTGGCAATCCGTTCAAGGTGATTTGCAACATGATTTTGGAGACCATCACCAATGCCCTCAGCATCAGCCTTCACCAAGCAGATTGGACAACTCTCTCGCGAATCGATGGTGGATGTCTCGCCAACTTTTACAATGGTCTCTATCTGAGACTCCAGGATACTATTAGCGTGGCTCTGTCGCAGATGGGTCTCAAGGCCGGATGCATTGGCAAATACTGCATTTGGATGTTCTGGGCATCTCCAGGCTTTTCTATGGCTAGCCTCGTGTTCCGACCACTCGCGGCGACTGCGGAAAAGCTGAGTGGGGCTGTCGCACTCTGAGTAGGTACAGATATACGGCTGAAGATCTTGGAGCAGATGGGATCGCCATGATCTTCCCCTTCCATATCTTGCTGGGCAGATAATAAAGCAATACGGACACTCGAAATCCTTGTCGCCGTGTGCAGATTTTGGGGGAGGTGGCAGTTCAATTCCACGACCGGTAAGATCGCGGACTGTTGTCGCATAGCTGGTCACGCTTTTCGAATCGATGATTTCATCCAAGGATTGGTGATGCTGGGTGACTTCAGTACCAGAAAGAAGTGTTCTGCCAGTCTTCTCGCTGGAGGTCGGCTTCAGTGCTGTGATTGCTGGATTTTCAATTTTAGGTTGAGCCGAATCTTGCTGGAGTGGAATATCAGGTCGATCAACCACAGGAGTAATGTTATGAGCGGGGGTTTCATGCATAACTGGTACTGCTAGCTTGTCTCGGTGCCGTTTCCAGTACTTAAATTGCCGTCTACGCAGCGTGACAGCAAAGCTGAGGTGGTCAACGAGAGCATCATTTTCTATTTGCACTTGACTTGTTCGGCCCTCCCGAAGCGAGGTAATCAGTTCTCGGGTGTGAAGCAGATCCCACTGTGCGTACTGTTCGAGGATATCTACTCCTGTTTCCGGATCCTTGGGACGGTAGGAGGCAGCTTTGAGGGACCTGTTTCGAAGCGTTGGTTGTCTAATCCTAACGGACAGTTTGTAGAGATTGTCGATAATATCGACTACATCGAGGAAGCGCTGCTCTAACTCGGTCATAGGTGGTGTTGGATTATTAGAATCGTCTCCTTCCTCATCCTCGTCTTCGCTAAAGAAATCGTCCTGGTCCTCGTCTTCATCAGGCTCGGCGGAAGCGACCTGCTGTTCATATGGCAGGCGGGACCCTGAAACCACAGCAAGCGCTTCCGACAGATTCTCTTCGAGCTCGCTCAGAAGTTTGAGAGTATTTGAAGATAGTAATGGAGACTCTCGAAGTCGATAATCAAGAGAACTGTGCCCTTTCTATTTTCGATATACTCGTAAGCTTTCAAACCGTTCCATCGAGTGACAAAAGCACTTACTTGCAAGGCTCCAAGATTCCCCGACCACACTCGGAACCGCCCAAATTCATCCTCGAGTAGGCCTGTGTCTAAGCCCAGGGATGGATTTGAATCAGCAAGGGTACCTAAAAGGTCTTGGAATCCTCGCACGACCTTCACAGAACTATTGAGTATTGAAGCGGCCATACTGAAGGCATATCAATCGAGTCTAGAACCAGCATGCAGTCGCTGTTCTGATAGGTTTATACCGTCAGCAGGTAGCCGGGAATACGTGCTGCATACGTCTGCAGTCTGTTCTCTTCATGGCAGCATCAATGTAATACCGGGTCAATGCCTTTCAACTTTCAAATGGTCGAGCTGTTCTGGGGAATGAGCTGTTGTCACCTGTTTGAGTATAGAGAGCAATGGTGGGGTGTCGTTCGGCTGAATGACGAACTAAACTCCTTCAAGCCTCGAGGTCTTACTTGTACAGCCTCGATCGTCTGTTACATTACGCCTCATACCCCTCTTGACGACAATTCTCTCGAGGTTAAAGAAGATATATCTTCCACACAGAATGAGTTTCTGTAGAAAAGATGCTTCCATAGCTAACAAGTCGGTGCTGGGATCGCATTGAGAGCACTTCCGAACCCCACATTCAGCCGCACACGCCATCGATGCTGTTAACCTTCAACCTCATCGCTCACGTTTGTCTCCACACGTATGAATATACCGTCACTCTAGAACAATCATGAGCGGTGTTGAAGTGGCAGGCTTGGTCCTTGGGGCCCTACCACTAGTTATAGCTGCGATTGGTACGTGACGTCAAGCTCCAACGTAGCACATCCGGTAGAGGCCCTGACTAACGTCTACGAACCATAGAATCGTATAACGAAGGGCTGGATCCAATCAAGAGCATGATGAGATGGGAACGCCAGCTTCCTCAGCTCATTCGCAAACTTCGTAATGAGCACGTCCATTTTGCCCAGACCATGCGACAACTTCTCGAACCCATCACAGACGAATTCGAACTCGACGAGATGCTTTCTGAGCCGAGTGGACGACTATGGAAGGATCATGACATGGCAGAGAAGTTGCGTGATAAGCTACAGGAGTCGTTCATGGCATACCAGGCCACCATAAACGAGATTGAGACGATAATGAAGGAGATTGCTCGCAAGTTAGATGTTGATCGCGACAAGAAGGTAGGGGCATTCCTTGTATCTCCCTTGCATGCCGTATGCCAACGGCTCACGGCCTCCAGATGAACCATAACGACCTCGAGGCCATTGTAGCCGCGAATCCCCAGAAGAACAATAAGTTTGAATTCGGGAAGCGAGTTCGCTTTGGCATGAGCAAAAAAGGCATAAAGGCCAAATTGGACGAACTACATGAGTGCAATAAGGAGCTAGAGCGATTCACCGACAAGAGCGAGAAACTGGAGTCCTACCGGAAAGTCACCAAGCCCTCGTTCGCGAATCGCATCCAACGGATCCAAGGGTTGGCGAAGAATCTACATTCTTCGATTCTATCATCGTGGTCATGTGCCTGCCGTTCGAATCACGAGACTCGCCTTCAGCTAGATCAGAGAGGAAGTCTCTATGCAAAGGCTGCAACTAAACAGTCTACATTGACCAAGACATGCTTCGTCGTGTCCTTCACAACAATTGGTGACGACGTACATTCTTGGAGACGACAAGAGGCGCAGATAGATATAGAGGAAGAGGAGCAACTTCCCAAAAGGGTCGAATCAATACAGCTGAGGCCAAAGTCTGTTACACTTTCAATAGTGACGAATTCCAGCTGACTTGTGCCTCTAGAATAGGAAAGACTGTGTCGTTTGGCGCAAAGGCTCCACCACCATACTCAGCCAATGCGGACTCTACGACAGCTACGGCAGGGCAGGCCCTGAAAGAGGTAGAGGATCTATGTGCATCCATCCACCAGCTCTACAAAAGCTCGCCATGCATAGGCTTCTCTCTTAACAGCAAAAGCAGACTCCGCGGCGTATACCCCGTCCAAAGAACCTTCCCAGACAGAGACGAAGCGTTGCGAGAATTAATCACGCTCGACGAGCTCCTGGCCCATCCACCCACAGTGAACGGCCGACCCATGAAGCTGACCCGAAAGGAGCGATACTCTCTCGCCGTCACGCTCGCCTCGTCCGCGCTCCAACTGAATGCAACGCCCTGGTTCCCCGACCAATGGAGCGGCAAGGACATTGTATTCCACCGAATGTCGTCCCGCGGTCCCCAAATCGTTGACATCGACCATCCATACATCGCCTCCCATCTGGCCGCAGGCGCCGTTCACGCGACAAACGGCAACGCCCACCTTCACGCAATCGCGAAGCCCTCCCAAGGCGGCGGCGGCACCGCATTCAACAAGAACACAGTCCTCCTCGCCCTCGCAATCGCCCTACTAGAACTCTACTTCGGCGTTCCATCCACCTCCCGGAACCACGGACCTTCCTCAACGCCCAACACTAATTCCAACCCGTGGGCCCTCTGTGCCATGGCCTACGAATGGGCAGAGACGGAACAAGGCGACATGTCCGCCGCATTCTCCTCCGCCGTCGCTCACTGTCTCCGCTGCTTCAGCGACCCAGGCGCCAGTCTCCAGGACGTTGAGTTCCTCCAGGCTGCTGTTGAGAAGATCGTGCTCCCGCTGCAAGACGAATTGTACCAGTTCCTTGGGAAGCCGGGGCCTTGAAGAGTTTGAGGAAGTAGGGGTTTTCCGACCGACGACCATTCAGCCATTCGAGAGAGAAGAAAGAGAGAAGACTCTGCAACCAGGACTTTTCAAAGAAAAAGAGACGGACGTTCATACATGGCTAATATCAACAACTACCGCACCAACACCACCTTAAGGGCCAAATCCCAAAGCCCGGAGGAAAGAAAAGAGAAGAAAGAAAAACGATTCGGCTCGCACGAAATGGGTTTCAGTTGAATTTGAAATGCTGGTCTACTTACTCGCTCATCGCCATCATCATCACATAATGACAGCATACACTTAGCATTGTCATTTCACAGCTCAGCATTATCACCCGCACGTTCTCTTACGACACGACACACCAAACCAACAACAACACCAATACCAATACCAACCCCACTAACGAACCCTCCACGACTCAAACGACAAAACGACACGATTATATCCACCACCTTTCACCCCCATCTCCAAGGACTGGCCCTTTACTTCGGTTTACTTGACTCTACGTCACGCTTCTACTCATGGAATTCGCGTTACCCATCTATGCGTCAATCCGTCAAGATCAACATTCAAAGGGAAAGGGCAAACGTCCTCGCACCGACAAGAAAGACTTCTCCAAAGGAAACCACTCCTCATACACCCCGAACCGCATACATACCAAATTTAGCGTGACTATCACAACTTCATCTCTAGCCCACCCACCTACATATTTATACCAAAAAACCATAGCAATTTAAAAAGGGAAACACATATCTTCATCAAATGAACATCCATCATATCATATCAACCCTGCGTGAAATTCTATCGGTTCGCACCGCGTGAATGACGTAGAAAAAGGTGAAAAGAATCACATGTGTGCACATCAAAAATCAGTCCGCTGCCAATGGGTAAAATGATGTTTTATTTTGTCTTTTCGGAAACCTCTCTCTCACTCTCTCCCCCTCCATGTTTTGCCGTGAATAAGATTATATATTCCCCCTATCCCCCATTCATTCCCCTTCTGTCAAAACCCCCAAACGCAAAACACTTTACACACACATGGTCTACTCTCCCATGTGAGGAGGATGAATGATGATGATGAGACGCCAGATGTTCGCCCTTTCATTGAATCGCCCAATCTTTCGCCATTGCAGAATGAAGAAGAAAAAAAAGAAGAGGAAGAAGAAGAAGAAAATGCAAGGGGGCCTTTAACAGCAAGACTCCTTGGTGTTTGCTGTTGATCGCAGAGAAAGTGTAATATTATGCAGTGCATAGGTGTATAGTACTGCTATGATCGCCCGTATCCAGCGGTGATGTACGAAGAGAAAACATAAAGGTCGGGTCGGGGACGTTTTTTTTGTCCCTCAGAATACAAGTGTGCGTGTGTGATCATGACTCTAATGAGATGTGATGGTGCCAGGCATGCGTGGGATCTCCTATATCTCCACCGTCTTGAGTTCGGAGGCGTCTGCAACCGGGCTCTTGAGAGATCCAGGGCGGGGCTTCTCCTTGTTCTCCTTGTTCTCCTTATCGCTGCTCAGGCTGGCCCTTGCTGTAGGTAAGTCATCACTCGGTCGAGGAGTGTCCACGGAAATTAGGTTATCTGCTGCTCCGGCTTTGGCGTCCAGATCGGTGTGGACACGAATAGGCTGGGGAACCTCTTCGGCAACCCTTGCCAATGGACTCGAGAGCTTGCCTCTTGGGCTAATGCCTTTGGCCTTTTGGGACAGACGATGGGGGCTTCGGCCGCGCTCTTCGGGGCCGATCACTGGGCTCGAGTATGGGCTGCTTCCTGTGCTGCTTGGGCCTGCCGCCCCGGGTACGTTCGAATTGACACGAAGCTGGCTCTGGGGGCGCCTCTTAGGCGGTCGTCGCCCGTGCTTCTGGTCGCAGCGCCAGCGGAGAATCTCAAGATAGGGGGGCTCGACGTTCTGTCGCTTCTTAAACTCGAGAAGCTTCAATTCACCAGAGTCTTCGTCGATGTGAACCTTGTCCGAGCCGATGTCATCTGCAACCATGGCCAGTAGTGCTCCCCATGAGCGAGCAACGACATATTTGCAATCGTAATCACGGCCATAGATAATTATCTGACCCCACTCACCAGCCGGGCCAGGGGCGAGATCGACGGCGAGGTAGTTGCCTCCCCAGTCGCGGGCGAGAGGAATCCAAGCAGGGTGGGCATAGGCCTTCTGGACAGTGTTGGGAGGCTGGGAGTCCTGGCGAGCGAGAAGATCCTGTCTCCAGAGCGGGTTGCTGGCCTTGGGAACGTCGGCGACCGGCGGTGCGGTCGATGACCCGGCAAACGCCTTGACGGGGATCTGGGGAGTCCGGAAGTCTGGTTTCGAGTTGAGGAACTCGTCGGCGACCTTTCGCCAGTTCATCCACTCCATCACGATTTCCTCACAGTCTAGCAACATGCAGCCAAAGATAACACCCGTTGGGAGACCACCACGCTCCTGGCCGTCGTGGATCTGCAACGACTCGCGGACATCCTGTGGCAATGTGGCATCCAACTCATGCTCCAACTCGTTCACGTCATTCGCGGTGGCACCTTCACAGAGCTGGTCGAAGAGCTCCTCGTAGTGATCCTCGGCCCAACGGTCGATGCGCTTCCACGAGTGCGAAGGCGGCGGCGGCGGGGGAAGGCCTGCGGCAAAGTCCTGCATCTGGATCTCTCCATTGGGGCCCTTGTCAAACGTGTCGGAATCGGCAGTGGCTTGGCGACTTAGGGAACGCATTCCGGGCGAGTAGGGGGAGCTAGGGGAGATTGGGCCCTTGGGAGAGCCGATGAAGCCATTGCTTGTGGCGGGCTCATCGTGCGAGTATGGAGAGGAGAGGTCTGCTCGGGACTCGGCAGCGGAGGCAGCGATGGATGTGAGGGGTGCATGACGGCTCTGGGGCAGGGGGATGTGGCGACCGGTGCGGTAGGGAGAATCGTGGGAGGCGTGGCGGTCGTTCGAGGTCATTGTGTGCCAGAAGGAACGCCATGATTCCGCAATTCTAAGCGCGGTGTCAGTATTGCGAAAGAGGAAGGGAGGAGATTGTATGGTGGTTCTTGGGGGTGGTTCATACACTTGTGCCATGGCCGGCGGAGATTGACGGCGAGGACAACAACGAGGGCAGCGGAGGTCGAGATTGTTGTCGCTAGGAGACGAGAGATGGAAAAAGGGAGAGAAGAAGGAGGAGTTGTCGGAAGAACAGCGATGGTATCAAAGGAGTGTCTGCAGTGGGCGCCGGGGTTTTGCTGTTTGGGAGGTGGAGGAGAGTTGTGTGTTGTGTTGTGATGTAGTGGTGATGGTGTCGGTGACGGTGACGGTGGTTGTTGGTGAAGGTAAGAAAGTTGGGAAATGTTACTCGTAGGTGGGAGGAGCGACTACTCGTAACTAGAGTAGAATAGGGCAGGGAAGGGAAGGGCAATTAAGGATGGATTGGTAGTAGCGCCTTCGTCTTTCGTAGTCGTCGTCGTCTTCGTAGTTGTCGTGTAGTAAGTAAGTAGAGTAGAGTAGAGTAGTAAAGGAAAGTGTGTGTGAGAGAAGAGAGAGAGAGGGAAAAGTTGGAAGAAGGAGGAAGTTGCGCAGGCAGAGGTAGATAATTAGAGTATGTACTCCGTAGTTACTCCTTGCACACCGTACAGATAGAGTAGAGTAGGTAGGATAGGTATGGGTAAGTGTTACTGCGCGCGTATGTGAAGGAAGACAGAAACTGCACACAGAAGGGTAGTGTGAAGAGAGGCACGCACACAGAGAAGAGCTCTCACCCTCTAGACAGAATGCACACAGTACTAATTACAAGTAATGGCGGTAAAGCTGCGTCACCGACACTCTCTCTCTCCCACTTCCAATCTCGCCGCCGCGAAGGGGGTGAATTAGGGAAAAAAGGGAAAAGGGATGGAATTAAGCCTGCCAAGACCGACGCTTCGCATGCTGGGTATGTCCCTGAAAGGCGAAGATGATGATGAACGGTGCACCCTGCATCCGTTTGGATTGGCTACTCGGCTTGGTTGCGCTTAAGGGGAATTGGAGTGGGGAATCCAGGGCAACTGGGCTTCTGGATGGGCTTTTGCGTTTTGCTGGCTTGAAGGGCTTGAAGGGGGCTTGAAGGGGCTTCATGGGGGTGCGTGGGCGGCTCTGTCAGATGGCTACAATCAGAGTACCCGTCAACGAATGAGATGACTCGATTCACTATGTTCCGGTAACTACTTAGGTATACACAGGAGGTGGAAGGAGATCGTTGCATCGTAAGCTGCAGACTAAGGCGAGGCTGTCCCTCTTGTCCGTTGGCCGGACGTTTGACATTCACCTTAACTTACTATTAGTTACCGACAGTAATTAACATGTACAAGTACTCAGGTGTAGCTATGTTTTCTCGGAGAATACCGAATCCTGTTTGTATGCATACTCCGTAACGTTTGTAAATGTGTAGAAATGACTTACATTGTCGCGTGTTGTTTCACATTACAACTGTACCTAGAGTAGTTACTTGTATTGGCCTTGCAAAGACGAACACAATCCTCAGTAACTACGAGGTATTATGATTAAAGTGTTGATTTGTTTTGTTTACGGTCCCTGGTTTTTCTCTATTTCCCCTCCCCCTCCCCCCTTTGTTTGGTCATGTCTTGTAATTGTCTGGTACACTGTCATTTAGTTACTCGCTGCTATATACACACTCTACTCTTACTACACATGCGGCGTCAGAGTGTGTGCCTGTAGCCACCTACTTTAAAAATAAAGTAATACCTTAGGTACCTGATTAATACCTCTGGTCTACAATTAATCAGGCACAGCAACCGTCGCCGCATTCATCTTACATTTGTGGCACATGCGCCTGCATACCGCATACCACACTACCAATCCTCCCACATCACCACCTCACCATTCAATAATAACACAACAACACACATTACACTACGCCATGTAATGGTACGATACACTCCATTTCCTCCGACCGTATCTATCTCTCTATCTGTCCTGCTTCAAAAATCGCCTCATGTCAGAACAAATCTCACGTCGGACGGACGCACGCGCAAGAATCCGGAACATAGGTAATACAAAATCCATCTCTCCAGATCCTCCTGAGCGACGCCGCTTGCGCTCCATTGCGCTGTGCCGCTCGCGGACATGGCGGCCAGAACCTACACAGTATACACTCCTTCTCACACGCTTACACCCTGATCTACACACTATCATGATTATCCTCTTGGTATTTCCTATCTATGATAATAATATCTATTCCCCTAGCTATCAGTACATACGGCGTCCATCCCTCTACAACCTCACAGACTTGGTAACTTATCACCCGACTATTAATAGTCCCCCCTTCTTCCCCGCCCCGAACACTTTCATTCTATCAATAAAGAATAGAATCGCCACATGCGCCGCTGTTCTTGGATAGTCGCATGTGACTTATTTATTGTATTATTGCGCGAGTAGTGCTCTCTATAGGTAGTTTGTAGTTCGAACTTCGAGATGCGACAGACGCACACGCCGGAAACTCTCCTCATGTCGTCATCCCCATGTATACCTCACGTATCTACTCCGGTACGTCCTTCAACCTGAAACACACAAATCGCACCACACACAGGTAATCCCTCACCCAGAGTAAGTGCAGTCCGCTCCAACAGTCCGTATCGCTCGCCACAATCAATCTCTGGTACTTTCGTAGATCAGCATCCCCGCAAGCCCCATAACCCAGTTCCAACCTAACATCTCTACAACGTCAAACACGCCGGAAACATCGAACATTCCCCCGTAGAACCCCCATAGAAGGAAAAGAAAAGGAAGGAAGGGAAAAAAGCCTCCATGCAAGCCAGCCCCAGCGGACGCGCGGGAACGTCAACGCAGGCGCCAGCCCGCCAGCCCGCCAAACGGTAGGTAGAACGCCTGAAAGGTGTAATTATCCGCCACCCACGCGAGGCCTGGGTTGTGGTGGTCCTAGTAGGTGCTGTGTGTGCGGTGAGCTTCGTGACTACACGGTGTAATACTATACGCGTATTCCGTATTTCATACGGCTACAATTAGGGCGTGGATGTTCGATCATACTCTAGTAGGTACTCATTGTGAATGTTCAACATACGATGGTGTCGGTGTAGATACGATGCCAGACACCCTTGCGCCCGCCGTTTTCATAGGTACGCTGTGGGCGGCGGCTGTGATGTCGTGCTACATGGGCTGGCTGGCTGGCTTGCGCTGCGCTGTGTGGGGTAGAATGTCTTACATGACGGCGGCAGCGGCGGCGGCGAACGCAAGGCTTTTGTTCTTTGTTTGTTTCTGAGGGCGCCCAATGGGTGGATGCGTTGTCTCGAGAGATGTCGAACGTCGAACGAAGGATTGTACGGAGTAGTTGGTTAGGTATTGCCGTGCTGTGGGTTGATGGATGGATGTCAGGGGCCAGTTATGATGGATACAGACTTCAGAGTACGACTGTGCTACGAATACGCTACCCGCGAATCACAGATCCTGCAATGGGGAATGTTGTGTTCATGTGTCACGAGAGTACAATGGACATGAATGTCTCATGTGAGCGAATGGATGGTATGTTTGTCTGAAACTGCAATACCACACCGAACCAAAATCAAAAAAAAAGAAAAATTCAATAATTAGAGAATCCCCTGAGCCCAGTGAGCTGCGTCATTACTATTTGATTCGATAGGGGAACCTTCTTAATTATGCAGTGGTAAATAGGTAACCTGAAATAGTCCTCCTCCTTTGCTAATTGCTATTAAAAGTCTACACCTTAGGTAACCAACTGCAGGGCATTTCTTCAGGAAATCGTCAACATCAATTTCAATCAATTCGATAACCCCCTCCTCCTCCAGTCTACTGCGTTCGATTTCAAGCTTAAGTGGAAACATCCCCTCCCAACAACTCATCCAACTTGTCTAGACTAACAAACTAGAACTACGACCCCATTTTTTTTTACTTCTCCCGTTGACAGGCAGGCGTCCAGCACCCACTTAAGTTAATTACCAAACTTATGCGCCGCGAATCTCGCCGCCATTCGCCGGGGCGTAGGGGGATTTGCCGTCATCAGATGCTCGGGAGGGTGGACGTGGATTGGGTCCTTGTAGTTGTGAGCTGTAGTTTGGTTGTACGCACTTTGATTTCAACGAGGATGTTGGATCAAGGTGTATTGTTTTTCTTTCGCTCGCGAATTATATCCTTAACATCAGGAATCGTCGTTATGAACCTATGATCATATCTCTGAAGATAATTAGCAGGTAGATGTAATAGAGAAGTAGCGTTTCGTTCTCTCTTTCACGAGTGGTTCTTATCCTTATTTTCCTTCTTTCCTACATTCTCAAATATCTATAAGAATGAAAATAATGATCAAGAACATATACAACCAATCGCTGTTCCATATCTATCCAAAATTCGAAAGCCATTTCCACAACCAAAAACTGCTCTCAAAAAACCACACATCAATATGTACCTCAGACGTCACAACACGACGAACGTATCCGTCCCCGCTACACCATCATGTTTCCGCGCACCCTAGTCGCGAATACGAGGACCCCTTCCCACGTTCCTTAGATCCTGCTCCACGTGTTCCTGATCCGCCCTGCACTGGCCTGGCTTAATACGAGGGATTATGAGCTCGTATTGTAGGTTGCTCGCAGACTCGAGGATCGATCGCTGCGAGATGCTTGGGATGCTCGTTGTGCGGGTGGGTGAGCGTGGGCTTGATTTTGTAGCCTGCGCGCTTGGGCTGAAGGGGAGTATGGATGTCTTGGTACATTAGTAGTTGGTACCTTGGTAGTTCTCTGTTGTGTTTTTATGGCGGGGATATGAATTGCAGAGGAGCATTGGCATAGCTGGTTATCTATTTGTATATATGGTCGGTGTAGGCCATTTAGGAGAGCGAGATGGGGAAATATGCTATTGGAGGTAAGAATTTCTAATTTTCTAGGAAGGATGAGCAGCTTTATAATGTGCTTAAATTGTATTATGGGTTAGCGGAGACATTGTGGTGAGGTTTTGGATTTTTAAATGTTTTCATGATTCTGGTTGATTCCTGTGGTTTATATGAGAGTAGGTAGATGCAATATTCATGAGGAATGTCACTCTATGAACTGATCAACGGTCGTGTATAGCGGATATGAAGTCCCTAAACTCTTGTTCCAGTGGAAGCTTAGTTTCAGCTCCACCTCGATGAATTAATTGTCTATGGAAGTTTTGTCGATAGCAGAAAATTTCCATAGACATAAGCACACCTCGTACCTCGTAGCTACGTAACCAATCGCGGAGGTTGTCGTCCGGTCTGGCCAATTATGTCATAGCGCACCGGAGCCTAAAACCGACATTGAACTTTCTCAACTGCAACATTGAACCGTGAGTACCCAACACAACGAAGCCCACCATGGACGACGATTACACCATGGAGGATGACGCTGCTCTTCGCCAATTTATGCCCGCCTCTTTCGGCAAACAAGATGCAGGCGTAGACGTCGAGGCGCAAATCGAACGGTGTCGCAGACCGGTCGTGGATCCGCGCAAGCAGGCTGCGACGAGCAAGCCGGATAGCGACAAGGACTCGGACGATGATGATAGCGACGATGACGACGACGACTATGAAGACGAATTTCCAGTCTCGCACGGACTCGTAATCAAGACACACGAAAAGACGGTGACAACGATTGCACTGGATCCATCGGGAACGCGCCTTGTCACTGGGTCGACTGACTGCACGCTTAAACTACATGATCTATCCGCTATGACACCTACGACGATACGCGCCTTCAAGGAGGTGAATCCTTTTGTTACAAAGGCCTCCCAGACTGCCGAATCACACTCGATATACCAGGTCCTTTTCGGCCCTCACTCCGGTGGCCAGTTCCTTGTGATTACTGCCACATCGCAGGCGCGCATCTTCAACAGAGATGGAGATCAGATCAGCGAGTTCAAGAAGGGCGATATGTATTTGAGGGATAAGCTCAATACCAAAGGGCATACTGCGGAGATCACCAGCGGCGCATGGCACCCTACGAACCGAGACCTATTCGTGACGGCAGGGACTGATAGCACGGTCAGGATATGGGATGTGAACAATCGCATGGAGCAGAAGCACGTCATTGTCCACAAGTCAAAAGCGGCGGGTTCAGCTGGAATGACACGGATGACCGCAATAGCGTGGGGCACGGCACCTGAAGGACAGAACGGGCTCATTGTTTCTGCAGCCTTGGATGGAAGTCTGGTGATGTGGAATGGTGAAGGACCGTTCCATCGTCCAGCAGGTGAAATTCGGGACGCCCATGCGAAGGATACCTGGACAAGCGGTCTCGACATTAGTTCCGATGGTAGGTTGGTGATCACTCGCGGTGGTGACGACACCATCAAGCTATGGGATACTCGCAAATTCAAGGCACCCATCAACACAGTCGCGCATCCTTCAACATCATTCCAATATCCGACATCGAACATCCAGTTCGCACCCAACATGCAGAGCGTAATCACCGGATCTGAGACAGGCGATTTGCACATCCTCAATCCTGCTACCCTACGACCCGAGCTTGTCACTCCCGTTACACCTGGATCTCCACTAGTCACAGTGAACTGGCATCCCAAACTCAACCAGATTATCACCGGATCAGCCAACGGCCAAACTACGATTCTGTTCAACCCCAAGCTCTCCTCACACGGTGCCCTGACCATCCTCAGTAAAGCCCCCAAGAAGCGCCATCTTGATGATGATCCCAGCTTGACTACTGATATGGATCCTCTCGGCATGGCAGGAGAAGCTGTCGCTGGAGGCGGCGGCGGTCCTCAGCCAGGCTCCTTTGCCGCGCGCCACCCTACAATTGGCCTGACAGCATCAGGAAAATCTAGAGACCCTAGGAGACCACACATTCCCGCGACTACACCTTTCGCCAAAACAACACCTGACGAGAGACATATCAAGGAAAGCATCCCGCTCAGTAGTATGCGTGATGAAGATCCAGTCGAGGCCTTGCTTAAGTATGCACCAAAAGAAGGTGAGAAGAAGCTATTCACGGGTGTTTACGACCAGACCCAGCCAAAGACGATATACAAGGAGTACGACAGTGACGAAGATGAGCCGAGTAGCAAGCGCCCCAGGCGTTGAAAGCTTGTAGCCCAAAAGTTTGCATTGTTGGAGTTAAAGACCAGTTACTAGATCATATACCCATAAATTACTTCATCTTTCGAACAGAGCCCAATGACGGTTCCCTGTAATGTTTGAAAATTGACCAATTGCATCAAATGGAAATCAATCCGTCTGCATGGCATGTGGATTTACATAGCAAACATCTAATTCTTGGCAACGTCGCGTCAAGCTCAAGCGCGATAATAGTTTATATGATAAGAGGCCCGCGCGTCAACCCCCAAAGTAGCAATCTGAAGTCTCACAAGAAAGCTTTGAACGCGACGACGAAATCCCTACGAACACGGACTCACATTTACACCACCTCCCGACACGATATACCTCCGCACCGTAATTCGTATACTCCCAATCCAAACGTCACGATGTTCTCCCGTACCTTCCGCGCCAGCTCTCGCATTGCGACCTCCGTCCCCGCTCGTGCATTCTCATCTACACCCCGCGCCGAGCTCGCTCGCATGACTCTCGTCGGCCGTTTGGGTGTTCAGCCAGAGGAGGTTACTGTGACTGGTGACAAGACTCTCGTGAGATACGTTATCGGATCCTCTTCCGGAAAGGGAGACAACCAGAAGACTAGCTGGTTCAGAGTGGCAAGCTTCGTGCAGGGCCCTCAGAAGGATTTCCTGCTCAGCTTACCTAAGGGGTGAGTAGCAATGGCACCTTACGCATAATATGATTATTGTTGGTATGGAAAGAGACTAACAGAGTTTTTGTGGTCAGGTCTCTCCTCCACGTCGATGCTGATGCCCGCATTGACGTCTACGATGATGCCGAAGGCAACAAGAAGTCCAACCTGAGCTTGGTTGCTCGTATGTATCTCCTGAGGCAACACCATATATTGAATGATTATTGACTTCAACCAGGCAGCTTTGATGTCATCTCTCGGCCCCGCCAGGAGGACACCCCCGAGACCAACGATGAAGGCCTCGTCCAGGACGGCGCCTCCGCGTAGACCTCACAATTCTTGACATCAATCTCCTTACCTTAATGATACCTTTATAATATGGAGTCAGTCTTTCGACACAAGAGGGACGGGCGTTCGACTAGGGGACATAGATCTGGGTAAGGCTTTTCCAGATCTGCGCGCTTTGCGCTGGGGATGTGTCCCGCTGCTTCTAATGGACCACGACAGGAAATGTTTGCGTGCAGACATAATATGTATACTACGGCCAGACCCTTTTTCTTTGTATTATCTCCACTCTGTCGGCTTGTGTAGGGTCGGTTCATCAAATGAATGGGAAATTTCCACATTATACTAATCCACTTCATGCATCATGGTTGACAGGCTGACTACTCTTTTCGTACTCATTAGATGCTGTATGCGATTTTTGGCGAAAGGAACGCCCCACTTCCGAATGCGATATCGTAGAGGCGCAATGTCCTCAGCTGATGGCGTCGCGAATTTAACTCCGTACACCTCTTGCACCGAATCATCCAATACAATCAGGCTCCCTCCTCTGCCGACGTATGCGGAGCGCCACAGTCGGCGCCACACCCTTGAGGACGATCAGCTCTCCGCCCCCACGACAACACAACACGACTGTAAACCGTGCATGGCGGCCTTGACAGCTGAAGCTACTTTTTTTGGGGACTCAGCCTGGTGTTCACCCAGCAACAACTTCAAAATGATCGGCACTCCCCATAACTTTTGTCTCTCTTCCTCAACTCCACCATCATCATCGAAAAACCGTCCTCCATGATCACAATCTAATCTGTACAACAATGTCGAATAACACGACCTGTCCCGTCAGCGTCTCCGGCCTCTGGAACAACGGCGACTGCTCGCTCCTCTGCCGGAAGACGAAATGGTACGACGTCATCGTCTTCTTCCTCGCCAATTATGCGACCCACGTTGTGACGGTCACCTCGCGGCCGGGGGAAAGCATCGAGTTGCGGATTGTATACATGATGGGGGCTCTCCTGCTGCCGGTCTCTGGGGTGGTGTTGGGATTGCAGGCAATCCTCAGCCTTGCGATTTTTGCTCCTACGCCTTTGCAGCAAGCTGCGCGGGCGGGAGCTTTGTATACGGTGGTCAAGATCGATGACGAGGAGGACGAGGCTGAGAGGTTGGAGGAAGGTGGTGGTCGTGGCGACGAAGAACCTGGGGAAGATCGGGATAACCAGAGTGATCGGGGATATGAGAGGCCAGAGGATATCGAGATGATTGGGATTGCAGCAAGTCATAACGGCGAGGGGAGCTCGGGAGGTGGGGTTGATCCGCCTGGAAATGGTGATAATATCGATACAGTTGCCATCGATCACGCGTCAGGGGCAGGCAAAGAGAAAGCTATCGACCAGCCTGATAGGGACACGATTTCTGCAGCATCATCAACCACCAATGAAGCTCCTGTCCCTGACGAGGATGCTGACCATTTTCGACCCCGTGGGCCCACGAATACCCGCACAGACACCCGCAATACTTCTTCAAGCATGAAAGAGTCGAAACGACCGTGGCAGCGACAACCGATCCATGGAAGATGCAAGCTACCCCGAGGCTACGCATTAACCCTAGTACCACCAGATGCGAAATTCGAAGACGACGCACCGCGAACATTCAAAAACAAGAAGCGAAGGATCCTGAACTGCATTCTCCCGGGTATACAGTCTGTGGACGAGCCTCAAATAGAGGTTGCATGCAGCAACAACAGCATCAAATCCGTTGCCTCGATCGTCCAAGTCATCTTTGCCATCTCCACCCTATACAGGACCCGGGGCAACCAGATCAAACGATATGGATACGCAGCGTACGGACTCACGGTCACCCCTTATGCATGGATGTCCATTATTAATGGCTTCGGGAATATAATCCGGCCGCAATACTCCTCCATATTCGTGGTGGACTCCTTTCGATTGGCAGAGGTCCGAAGACTGCCTCCAGAGTTTGAAAACTGTGTCGACTCCACGATAGGCAAATTGACGGACGAAAGTGCCAAAAGTGCTGAGGTCGAGTTCAATCAAGCTAGGTCTAGAAACTCCAAGGCCAAATCCAAGAAGACGGACATTGGCTTTAAGAACCGCTTTACCCAGCAACTCAGGGCAGAAGAGAATAAACACACCTTTGGTTACAAATTTGGCTACAATATCGCAAGAATCCTAGGGAGAAGGAAGCGAAAACGTTCGACGAATTCCAGCAGCGAAGACGACGATGAAGAGCGCCAAGTAGTGTTCAAGCTTATGGACCTAGTAGACAACTCTAGCCCACTGCCACCCTTCATTGGTATATCTGTCCCCTTGATTGTGGTAGGGGCGCTGTCGGAATTCTCCGCTGGGGACAGCACTTATGCGCAACGAGTCTGGTTGATGTTGTGGTTAGCATTGGGTGCTCTCATAAACATAGTGTATATCATGCAGGATGAAAAGAAGCTTAAGGTGACAGGTACAGTTCCAATTATTCTAACAATCCTTATTTATGGCACGCCGTCTATCGGGGGATTCGTGGTAGTGGGGCAGATGATGCTTCAAGATGGTGTTTGTTCCAAAATGCTAGAGTAAAGTTAGATACCTACCTAGGTAGTTGACAAGAGAATTATAATCATTTCTAGACTAATTGGTTGACATGCTCGACTGGGACACCACTGGATATGACTGAGATATTCTAAATGAAGAAGATGTGACAGTAAAGGATTAATTCACGTGTAATACTTTTGCTAGAATAAGTGATGTTGAACCACTCACGTGACACCGCTCACCTCCGCTCTCCGCAACTTTTTTTCCCGCCGCATCGTCTACCACCCCCAACCCACCCGTAGACATCATGATGTTAAGCAGAAGAGCACACTCGCTCTGGGGACATGCGCCTCGCGTACGGTCGCTAAATCGTACGCGGCGGACCTTCGCGTCTGTCTCAGGTTCCGAACGGTATGGCATCTTCCTCCACAATCTCTCGTTCTGTGGTTCCAATTGTACTAATCGATACCAGACCTTACGATGTTATAGTTATTGGAGGAGGCCACGCAGGATGCGAAGCCTCCGCAGCAGCAGCGCGCTCCGGCGCTCGAACCGCCCTCGTAACTCCTTCCGTTCACAATCTCGGTGTCTGCTCCTGCAACCCCTCGTTTGGTGGTATCGGCAAAGGCACGATGCTCCGGGAGATCGACGCCCTTGACGGTGTGGTGGGGAGGATTGTCGATAAAGCGGGTGTTCAATTCCGTGTTCTCAATCGCAAGAAGGGGCCTGCGGTGTGGGGACCCCGCGCGCAAATCGACAGAGCATTGTACAAGAAATACATGTCGGAAGAGATGGTTGGGTACAAGAATTTGAGTGTAGTTGAGGGCAGCGTTGCGGACATCATTGTGGACAGGGAAGGGGAGAAAGAGGATGGAACATATGGGACGATCAAGGGTGTGAGGCTGGAGAGTGGCGAGATCATACCAACCGGCAATGTCGTTATCACAACGGGGACGTTCCTAGGCGGCGAGATCCACATTGGCCTTGAAGCATATCCCTCCGGCCGCATGGGCGAAGCAGCAACGTTCGGACTAAGCAAGTCGCTGCGTGAAGCTGGCTTTACGCTTGGCCGACTGAAGACTGGCACACCCCCTCGACTGGACAAAAAGTCGATCAATTTCGACGTCCTCGAAGCACAGGAAGGCGACGACCCACCGACCCCGTTCAGCTACCTCAACGACCGAGTGCAAGTCGAGGACCAGCTCCCCAGCTACCAAACCCGCACAAACGAAACCACCCACGAAATAGTGCGACAGAATCTCGACAAATCGATCCACATCCGGGAAACCGTGAAAGGACCGCGGTACTGTCCTTCCCTCGAAGCCAAAGTGATCCGCTTCGCCGACAAACCCTCACACCTCATCTGGCTCGAGCCTGAAGGATTCAACAACGACGTTATATACCCCAACGGAATCTCCTGCACAGTCCCACCAGACGTCCAAGAAGCCCTACTCCGCTCCATCCGCGGCCTCGAGAACGTGACCATGCTCCAGCCAGGCTACGGCGTCGAATACGACTACGTGGACCCGCGCAACCTCCGCAGCAGCCTAGAAACCAAGAACATCTCCGGCCTCTTCCTCGCGGGCCAGATCAACGGAACTACAGGCTACGAGGAGGCCGCCGGACAGGGCGTCGTCGCCGGCATCAACGCAGGCCTCCGATCCCAAGGCAAGAGCCCCATGATCTTGACCCGCGCAGACGGCTACATCGGCATCATGATCGACGACCTCGTCACCAAGGGCGTCTCCGAGCCCTACAGGATGTTCACCTCCCGCTCCGAGTACCGCATGTCTGCCCGCGCCGACAACGCAGACACCCGCCTCACCGCCATGGGCCGCGCCGCAGGCGTCGTCTCCGACGCCCGCTGGGAAGCCTTCAACCGCGAGGCCGATGAGGTCGCCGCGCTGACCAAGATCATGCAGGAGAAGGTGATGGGATGGACGCATTGGAACGCAGCGGGTTTCGCTGTCCGCAACGACTCCACGAAGCGCTCTGCGTACGAGCTCCTCCGCATGGCGAATACCACACCGGCTTCCCTCGTCGAACTCATCCCCGATATTCGCGCTTTCTCGTCTAAGATCCAGGACCGCGTACACATCAATTCGACGTATGCTCCGTATGTAGAGCACCAGACTGCATCGCACATGAGATGGTTGAAGGACGAGAGTCTGAAGCTTCCGATCAATCTGGACTATGATAATATATTTGGCCTTAGCTTCGAAGAGAAACAGGCTTTGAAGCTGACGAGGCCGGAGAGTGTTGGGCAGGCGAGGCGCGTGGAGGGTATGACGCCGACTGGTGCTCTACGTCTATTACAGTTCGTGAGAGGGATGGGGAGGGACAAGAGGGACAAGATGATTAAGGAGGAAGTAGAACAGAGAAAGAAGGTTTTCATGGGCGTCACCGAGGGCGTTGCCTAAAGGGTTCATTACTGGATAAACGTGTACGATGTTGGGGGAAGAATTTTGCATTGGCTGGCGTTATGAACAAGTGGCACAGCATACGGACAGGGTAACTGCTAGACGTCTGTCTAAGCACCAAGGGAAATGAAGTGTACGATATATAAGATACTTGTCGATACTTGAGAAGTTAATGATATTCCACTATATGATGTAACTATTGCTATATGCACTCCAGATAGGGTGTACTGGGTTTTCTCTGTAGTGACTGCCGAAACGAATATTAATGATGACCTTGGGAACCAACTCCTTATTAGAAAGAATGCAGAGTATCAAACAATTGCCTTAGCATGTTTGAACTCAATACGCGTAGGGAATGGAATGCAATTTGGTCGCTAAGATGCGGATGTAGATATGATAGATCAAGGGCGCATAATGAAGGTCGATATAGTGTTGAAATAAAAGAGTGTGGTGGGGCGAGATCGAAGTCAACTAGCAGCATCAAACCGTGTCGAAGGAGTTGTTTTTACTCTCAACATCACGTCTCTGGCCATTTTCTTGCCAGACCTCGTGCACAACGTGGACACCGTCGACTTCAGCATTTCGTGCGGCTGTGGGTCTTTCTGCTGCCCAGGCATGTGAGTACACACCTATCGCGTGAGGTTCGGTGTGTTGTTTCTCAGGCTCAACTGCCTCACAGGAGGACCGTGGAGCAGCGACTGGTAGTGACCGATTCGGACAGTTTCGGCGAGGCAACAATCGAGCAAAGAAGGATCGAGTGTTTTGAGTAGGGGCTGACGAAGAATTTGTTGTAGACTGTTCAATGATTGGTTCATTGGTAGAGACTGCATGGCACCAGATCGATGCAGAGCCGGTTGTGGTGGGTGAAGTGGGTTCAACTGTCGAACCAGTCCCCGTTGTTCCTGGCAGACTCATCTCAGTGACGGAAGAACTCTTTGAGAAGAATGTTTTTGCCTTATCGGCGTAAGTTGATGCCCAACTTCGAGTAAAGCGAGCGCTGGTCGGTGTTGAAGATCCGCTTTCTGAGACGACAAGAAGACCTGGAAAGACCCGACCCAAGCCAATGGCACAGAGCATTCGTTTGTAGGTGTTATAGGCATCGGCGCCTGTTCCGAAAACGATGAAGGCAACGTATCCTGTGGCGACTTGACCCCACTTGTCGAAGCGGACAGCACCACCCATCGGGACTTTTATGACAGTGTTCCAAGTCTTCGCGTTATGTACGCGGCTCCAGCTATACACTTCAACAACTTGAGAACTATGCCACCAGAGCATATAGAAGTTGTATGGAAGGTAAGCTATGATGACGAGGACGGACATCAAGAAGAGACGAATAAACCGAGACTGAGTGGTATTGCGTGCACTCAAGAGGCGATGAAATTCTCTACGATAGCGGAAGAGACGATAGATGAGAAGTCCTGTATGTGTAAGTGCTTGCTAGATATGAGAAGATGTAAGGGTCTTACTTACCAGCAAAATAGGAGGCAAAGCCGATGGTAATCAGTGGCCACATCAAGCTCAATACGATACTGACCCAGCTAGCATCATATGCTGGACCACAACCACCTATCTGATAGATGATATATCGTATAGGCTGAACAATAAAGTAGACAAGCATCAACAATGCAGGGTATCCCCAGCAGACGAGGCCCTCAAACACCTTCTCTCGTATCCTACTGCCGTGACTGGGGGCCACGACAATGTTTCGGGTGTCCATGACATTGGCTAGCTTCCGAATGATCATGGTAACGCAAGCAGCCAAAGCAACGCTGTAACCGACCAACACGCGAGCTTCGATGTCGCAGAGGCCGGCTCCACCGTACCATTCCAGGATATTCTCTCGAGGCCAGATGAGTGGATTGATGGAATTGAAGAAATTGCCGAGTATCGACCAAGCTATGAGTGACCAGGCGGCAATATTCCGTTGCGAGAAATGCCATACTAATGGCGGGATGCAAAGAATCCAGGCAGGGAAGGCGAGAATAGGAAGGATTATAGCGTTCGGGGGGAGTGTCTCTGGGTCCATGCTTGGTGTTGCGAGGTATGTGAAGCCTCACTGATTGAGTAGAGTGGAGTAGAGAGCAAAGAATAGAAACCAGGACACAAGAAGTTGAGCCAGCTCTCTTGAGAGGGCCTGGTATACCAGCTGTTAAGGGGGAGGGAAGGAGCAAAGAGTCAAGTTGGGAAGGAGCGGAGGGGCGCTTTGAGGAGGAAATAGACAGATCTGGATCCTCTTTCAAATTGCACTGACGAACTGTAGACTACGGAATGTCTTCCGTCACAGGAGAACGCGATGATGGTCTTTGTTCTCTGGTTGATATGTGTGTGCTTAGAGACGTTTCCGTAGTGTAGTTCAAACAGAGAAAGACGAACCCGTAAAATGTAAGGGACTGTTTGGTGCTGTTGGGCAGGAAAGGTGGCTTGAAGTAATGGAAAGTAGAGAAGTACTCTGAAGTAATGGAATGATGAAGAGTAGTAGAGTCTACAATCTTCAAGAGAAAGTTGTCGCCTTTCATACTGGACTCTGATCTAGGTACTTATTCCAATTCGATGAATAGGGGCACTATTGTGACAGTCAATAGGTGTGGAGTAATCACTTTCGCGCCTCCTCTTCTCGCCATATTGACCTCCTGTGTCAGAATATGGGACCGTGAAGTTGGATTTCGAGACGGTGGGTCGCGTGAATCATGTCAATAAGGCGTTCTGTTACCTGTGGTTGGCTAGTGTGCTTAGAATGTCACTTTTCCGCAAATGGGTCTGAATAGAAAAGTCGCCCAAAAGCTGAATCGTCAATAACAAAAGAAAACATATCACCTCAGACATGTCTCTGAAGCAAATGAAAGGCCAATTCACGGTGGTTCTGGAGCGCGGAGGTGTCGTCGTTTGGTCATTGAGAGAGGGAAATTCTCAGCTTTGATGTGACTAGAGTCATGGTCTATTCTGGCTGCTGAACAAAAGAGTTAAGGATGACTGGATCCATGAATTCCTATGTGAGTCATTTCACTTTTACTGCAACAGTTTGTAAGTTTGGATACCTCCTATGTGGTAGAATGAAGTAGTTGGAGGTCAACTAATCGTTATACAATTTACCGAATTAGGCGATGACGTAATGCGCGACCTGCTCACGTAGGAGAAGCCTTGCCGAGGCATGCCCGACATCCGACCCCAAGATATACTTTGCCCATTGAGGCGTCCATGTCTACTTGCAAACTATCACGACGCGTTCGCTATGCGTCGGCATCTTGTTTCTATAATTCACAACAGGTGTCGTCGTTGCGACTGCAAGCCAATTACTTAGGTACGCGTTTCGGGACGTTGCATTCCCTCCAGTAATCTCAGCTTCCGACGCTACACCACACTATACATATTGCTCCACGTCGTCGCTATGGCTGAAGGTACACCTTCTGAAGCGGCCGCAACGAGCTCGCAAATACACCCGTTGCTTCGTCAGAGAATGTTGAATCGTGCGGCCACCTTTTCCGAAGGAGCACAACCTTTTCAACCTCCAAATCGACGTCGAAGCTCCATCCTTTCCGATTATTCAGACACGCGACCCTCGTTCCGATCCTCAACCGACAACCTCCTGCGTCCTGGTGGGCATGATGCGGAGAAAATGAGCACCTCGGAGGAACCCTCCTTTTGGCACTCTGCCCCTTTGGCTTTTGCTATTCTGCCCGCACTGGGCGGTCTCCTGTTCCAAAACGGCAGTGCTGTCGTTACCGATGTTCTTCTCTTATTGTTTGCGTCCATGTTCCTGAACTGGTGTGTCCGAGCACCATGGTAAGTTGGTTCATTAACCAATCGGTGGTTAGTGCTAAGATCCTCACAGGGATTGGTATTATGCTGCACAGTTGGTGCAATATATAGACGATGATGAGGACGAGGATATGGAGCCTCCAAATGATACGATCCCCGAAGGGGTCGAAGATGGTCCGGACGCCAACGACACCGACAATGTCGACTCACAGATCCCATCACCAGCAAACTCTAAAGAAACCGCTTCTGGCGCATGTCAACCGACCGCCGCACAGAATGAGGCATACCGTGAATTGGCGAGAGATGAGATCATGGCTCTTATTGCTTGTTTTATAGGACCATTACTAGGAACTTACCTTCTTCATGCCATCCGATCACAGCTTACTCGCCCAGCAGAAGGGCTAGTCTCTAACTACAACCTAACAATCTTCGTTATGGCCGCCGAAATCCGCCCAATATCGCATGTTATCAAGCTGAAACAGGATCGCATGGCCCATCTCCAGCGGATAGTTCGCCGAGACCGAAAAGATCAAATATCCGGTGCAGAGCTGTCGGAAATATCAAGACGCTTAGCAGACATAGAGGCGAGGACACTGGACCCCACCGTGAACAGCGACGTTGAGACATCTAAAATAAGTGCAAGTGTTCGACAGGGCCTTCAACCGCAGCTAGACGCGCTTAATCGCGCTGTTCGACGATATGAGAAGCGGCAAGCAGCCCAGTCGATCCAGATCGAAGCTCGTTTCCTTGAGCTAGATGCCAGACTGAAAGATGCCCTTGCACTAGCAGCAGCAGCAGCTCGTACAGGCCAGCGTCCGGGCATGATCACAATACTGTTCACCTGGATTGTAGGGGTTTTATCGTATGGGATAGATACAAGTTGGGCAATCGCGACGTATCCGTTCCGACTCATGAACGTTATTGCACAGGAGATGAAGTCAATGTTCATTGGGACTGATCAGCAGCCTCGAAAACGAGTCAAGGGTCAGAATAATGGGGCTTCCTCGATATCGATGCCTCGAATGCAGGCAAGGAACGCAAGATAACAAAAATGCGATCCCTCTATCTTAGTGCTTGTAAAGTCAAAACCCAGAATTGCCCGTCATCTCGTGTCGTCCTCTCCGGTTACGTATAGCTATCAAAGCGGACCCCCACAGCTCCTGGAAGCTGCATGACCCGTGCCGGTACTAACTATTCGGGCAATCCGAATGCTTCCCGTATCCTCACTGTTTTCCGGAATCGGAGTCTGTTACAGGAAGGAAGTATTGCATTGCAATGCTACCGCCTACGTCGTGCCATCTTTTGCCGCTCACTGCTACCCCGCGGTCGACGTTGCCCCGCTAAAATAGTAACATAGTGGGCCTGAAAGGTAACTTGAGCACCCTCATCGTGTAACCCTGAAGAGTACAAAAACGAAGTCTCCTGCTGTTGCCAATATACGTCATTTATTTCAGTTTGATATTTCATATTCACCATGTCTTTGCAATCCGATGTCGTTGTAAATGCTTCCAAGTTCGATCGATCAACTATCGACCAAGCAACAAATGATTTCAATGCTAAGCTAATTCAAATATGGAAAGATGGACCTCGCTGGTACGAGGTAGCTAAACTCCCACCGTAAATGTTCCCCGGATCCTCTACTGAGAGTAGTCTAGGTTGGCGCAGCAGAATACAGAAAGTTGAGATGGGAAGGCAAGACACCATTGATGAAGCCCGTCGTACTCCCAGAGGGTATCAATGGTACATTCCCGTCACGAGACCCGGGGCGTGAGATTACATATCGAGTGTTCAAACCATCCAGTGGCGTGTCAAAGGGAATACATTTGCACATCCACGGCGGCGGATGGGTGCTCCAGTCGGAACATTAGTACGATAGCAACTATCTTATTTCCGCTATGAATTGTTACTAAGTCAAAGTAGTCAAGACCCTTACCTGAAGTATCTGGCGGACCATCTTGAACTTACTGTATTTTCAGTGGGTTACAGATTGGCTCCAGAGGATCCATGGCCTGCCTGTGCACACGATTGTTACGATGCCGCGGAGTGGCTCATCAAGAATGGACCTGAGAAATTCGGAGGCGAGCTTATGTTCACTGGAGGAGAGGTATGATTCAAAATCCAGTTCCTGCTTTCCACCATCACTCACCAACGTAACATAGTCTGCCGGTGGTCATCTCGCATGTCTTGTCGCACTGCACCTCCTCGAAAAGGTCCCCAGCTTCGCCTTCAAGGGACTTCTTCTCAATTTCGGCTGCTTTGATCTCTCTGGTTTCCTACCACATGTGACACACCACGAGCTCGCACTTGTCATCGACCTTGACATTATGACGAAGTACATTGAAGTTCTTCTGCCCAATACCACCATGGAACAGCGTCGAGACCCGAGTATCTCGCCATTTTTCGCGGACTTGCGTGGAAAGAAGCTACCACCTGCGCTGTTTACATGCGGTAGCGAGGATCCTCTGTTGGATGACAGTGTGCTGATGGGTGCTAAATGGGCGGCGTGGGGCAACGAGGCTATTGTTAAGATATACAATGGTGCGCCTCATGGATTTATTCAGTTTACACCTGGCCTCATCCCCGCGATTCAGGAGGGTTTGGATGATACTGAGGCCTTTGTTAAGGCTAAGTTGGCAGCGTAAATAGTCAAGTAATGTTGGAGGATGTTCACTCATAATGCAGAATGGATAGCTTTCTTCAATAAGCAATAGTTATAGTTTTTAAAATTCTACTTGTCTTGCCAAAGCATGCGTGACTGGTATGCTGCCATCTTTTTATGCGTAATCGCATCTACTCACTGGCAAAATAATTGAGAACCATGATCGACTGACGATTTTCCTGAGCCAGCACATTTGCTAGACATTTATCTATCAACAGCCATCCTCAATAACTGAACCGAAGCGGCTCCGATAAAGTTGGCGACATGGCCATACCGAAAAAGGCTAGCTGGGGTTTGGGGATTCAGGTCCGGCGATAACCTATGTCATCCCGCAAAAGCTACAAAGTTTCAAGGCTAAACCCTCCGCCGATACTGCTCTCGCTTCCTCCTTCTAACACACAATGCCTTGACATATCAATCGTCTGAACGGATAAAGGCATCATGGAAGCGAACGGAAGCCCTGAGCGGCGCCGCAGCGCCATGTATCGGCGAAATTCGAATCTCAGCACGTAAGTTGACCTCGCACATAGCCGAGTGCATGAGCATGTTCAAGATGCTCTTGGACGATAACGTCATATTCAATACTTCTCTTGTTCTGTTGGACGAGAGCAATTGCGATATGAAAAGACCAAGGTCTGACAATATTCAGGGCGAGCTTCATGACAGACGTTGAGATGGCGCACGACGAGGTGATTGAGTTACAACCCATTATCGCACCACCTGGACACCGACTGACGTCCAAAATCCAGGTTTTCTCCGGTCCAATGTCAGAGAGTATGCCGACAAGCATATCTTCATTTGCTCATCGCCGACCACGGGCCGACTCGACCGCCAGCTTCACATACTACGACGATGATAGGGATTCAGAGGATGGCGTGGAGGAAGATGCCATCGCTGAAGAGTACGGAGAGATTGAGTATGACGAGGACTTCTCGATAGAGGACTTGGAGAATGGCGATGCTTCACCGCCGCCGCGTCCGCGGAGGAAGTCTTCGGCTTATTCGCGACGATCTACCGAATCGAGGCGATCCGCCGATGCGCCACTACTCCAAAGACACCACTCTTCCTCGTCGAGCGTTGGTTCAGCAGATGGATGGAGACATGGCAGAACGAGCCAAAAGATCTATATCCTGACCGAGGACCTGACTATTGTTGTTGCTGGTTTCAAAACGTCAACGATACGCTCCGCCTTGTACTATACAATTTGTATAGCCACTGTTGGGTTGGGGTGGCTCATCTTCCGATGGCTGCCACGATGGCGAGTTGCTCTAACCGGAAGGGCTTCGCCACTGAAAGAATGCGATTGGGTTGTAATCGAGAATCAGTGGGGAGAGATGGCCGTACAAGACGTTAACCAACAAAGCTATGGACGTTCCCTATCTACAGTTTTCGGGGACACAGAAAAGGTTTCAAGAGGCGGAGACTTTGACGACGATTTTGACCCAGTCATAAAGCACTTGCGCTCCTTGGACTATCGGTATATTCGCTTCTGCTACCACCCTGTCAAGGACAAATTTGTCCTTGCAAATACATGGAAGGATCCTGCTTGGACGGACATAGCCGCGCTCAGAGAAGGACTCGATGGAGAAGAACGCGATTACAGAGAACTGGTATTCGGCCAAAACTTGATCGACCTTGAGGAGAAGTCTATCGGTCAACTCTTGGTCGATGAGGTCTTCCATCCGTTCTACGTTTTCCAGATTGCCAGTTTGTTTCTCTGGTCCGTGGACGAATACTACTACTATGCTGCGTGCATCTTCGTCATCTCCGTCATTAGCATTGCTAGCGCCCTGATAGAGACCAAGGCGACCTTGAAACGCCTACGAGAGGTTTCGAAATTTGAATGCGATGTACGAGTACTGCGAAGCGGTTTCTGGAGGACAGTCCCGTCAGCCGAACTGGTTCCGGGTGATGTCTATGAAGTCACCGACCCTGCTCTCACTCAACTGCCTTGTGATAGTCTGCTCCTTTCTGGTGACTGTATAGTCAACGAAAGTATGCTGACTGGAGAGTCTGTACCCGTTTCTAAGATTCCAGTCACCAACGAATCCCTGGACCTGCTCAACATGAGTGCATCAAGTATACATCCGGAGGTCGCACGGCACATGCTCTTCTGTGGTACCAAGATCATCCGCGCCCGGCGACCACAGGACGATGGCGACGACGAGGCAGCTGCTCTAGCTATGACTGTTCGCACTGGCTTCAACACAACTAAAGGCGCACTTGTTCGATCAATGCTGTTTCCAAAGCCATCTGGTTTCAAGTTCTATCGCGACTCCTTCCGATACATTTCAGTCATGGCGTTCATCGCTGGTATTGGCTTTGTTGCATCGTTCGTCAACTTCGTCCACCTCGGACTCGCATGGCATCTTATTGTTGTACGTGCACTAGACTTGATCACCATTGTCGTCCCTCCTGCACTTCCGGCTACCTTGACAATCGGTACAAACTTTGCCCTTTCCCGCCTGAAGCAGAAGCAGATTTTCTGCATTAGCCCGCAACGAGTGAATGTAGGAGGTAAGCTCGATGTAGTATGCTTTGACAAGACCGGCACTCTTACGGAAGAGGGTTTGGACGTTCTTGGTGTACGCGTTGTCAATCGACCAGACAACCGATTTGGCGAACTGCTCACAGAAGCTCCCGATGTGCTCCCAAGCTCGCAGTACGAGAGAGACCCAACTTGTGATTATGCTGTGCATAAGGCAGCACTTTACACAATGGCGACATGTCATTCGCTACGGTTGATTGATGATGAGCTTGTAGGCGATCCGTTGGACGTGAAGATGTTCAATTTCACAGGATGGTCATTCGAAGAAGGAGAACAGAAAGCCGGTGCAGATCTCGAAGATCCTGATCAGAAACTGTCGCCTTCCGTCGCTAGGCCCCCTCCGGGACGTGAATTCGATATAGACGACCCGGAGCACGATACCAACAGGAAACCGGTCGAACTAGGAGTTCTGAAGTCTTTTGAATTCGTTTCTCAACTGCGACGAGCAAGCGTTATCGTGCGCCAATTTGGTTCCAAGAGTGGTCAAGTCTATGTCAAAGGCGCTCCAGAATGCATGAAGGAGATTTGTCGGTCTGATTCTTTTCCAACAGACTACGAAGATTTGCTGGCATACTACACGCACCGTGGCTTCCGCGTTATTGCGTGTGCGACAAAAACGATTGACAGACTCAACTGGCTCAAGGTACAAAAGATGAAGCGCGAGCAGGCCGAGAGCGACCTAAACTTCGTCGGATTCATTATCTTCGAGAACAAGCTCAAGGAGAGCACAACACCTGTCATCGAGGAGCTGGAAAGGGCAAACATTCGAACGGTCATGTGTACCGGCGATAACATCTTGACTGCCATCAGCGTTGCAAGGGAGTGTGGTCTTATCAATAAGACCGCCCATTGTTTCATACCGCATTTCGTGGAAGGCGATTCGCGAACCGCACTCGCTAGACTGGCATGGGAAAGTGTCGACGATCCAGTCTTCAAGTTGGATGAAAATACCCTTAAGCCATTGCCGCCACCTGCAGAAGCCGATGTATCTCTGCCTTACGACATTTCCAACCTCAGAAACTACTCTCTGGCTGTCAGCGGAGACGTGTTCCGCTGGATTATCGACTTTGCTTCCGAGAAGGTACTCCGTGAGATGCTTGTGTGCGGACAAGTATTTGCTCGTATGTCTCCTGATGAGAAACACGAACTCGTCGAGAAACTCCAAAGCATTGACTACTGCTGCGGTTTCTGTGGCGACGGAGCCAACGACTGTGGTGCTTTGAAGGCAGCAGATGTCGGCATCTCATTGTCTGAAGCAGAAGCATCCGTCGCTGCGCCTTTCACAAGCCGAGTATTCGACATCTCCTGCGTCCCCGAAGTCATCAAGGAAGGTCGTGCCGCGCTCGTGACGAGCTTCAGTTGCTTCAAGTACATGAGCTTGTACTCCGCCATCCAATTCACCTCCGTCAGCTTCCTCTATGCCTCCGCGTCCAACCTCGGCGACTTCCAATTTCTCTTCATCGACCTCCTCCTCATCCTCCCCATTGCAATCTTCATGGGCTGGTCCGGCGCCTACCCAAAGCTCTCCCGCAAGCGCCCAACCGCCAGTCTCGTATCCCGCAAAGTCCTCACCCCATTACTCGGCCAAATCGTCATCTGCGTGCTCATCCAATCCCTCGGCTTCGAATTCGTGCAAAAACAGCCCTGGTACAAACCCCCCATCATCGACAAAGACCACTCCAACTCCCTCAACTCGCAAAACACAACCCTCTTCCTCGTCTCCTGCTTCCAATACATCCTCTCCGCCGTCGTGCTCTCCATCGGCCGTCCCTTCCGACAGCCCATGTCCCAGAACCTCCCCTTCGTCACCACCATGTTCCTCACCCTCGCCATCACCATCTACATGCTCTTCGACCCGGCGAAGTGGGTCATGGAGCAGATCGAACTCACATACATGGACACGCAGTTCAAGTTCTTCATCCTCGCGCTCGGCCTGGGCAATTTCGCGGTCGCGTACTCGGCTGAGAAGTTCGTGCTCCCCGCGCTGGCGAAGTGGATCGGCATCGTCAAGGTGAAGATCAATCCCAAGTGGAGGAAGAAGAGGAAGGCGTATAAGGAGATTTTGGAGGCGATGCGTATGTGAGGATGCGGCACGATGGAATGGATTTATTTGGCATCTATGTAGATGCTCAAGAAAAAATGTGCTTCGTCTCGGCAAGACAAGACATGCAAGAATATTATTCATTTCGTGTATCTGTATTTTGTTGGGTTGCATAGCACGTACGATTAGATCGATCTGTATCATGAAATGTCATTGCATTTGAAGCACCTTTAGATCATCAAGATTTGTGCATCCTGACAACAGTTCATACTCGTCCGTACAAGTGTAATGATGCACTGAGCTATCTAGGTACATACTACCACCCCGCTTTTCTCAAGCCCATCATGCAAAATGTCTGATCATTGTATGGCTATGCACTTACTCGAGAAGGAGCAATTTATCGGCAAAGCGTCCGGTCAGCAAGGCACGTCGGCAAATGATTGTGAAATGCCAATGATGTATTATTACCTCTGTGTGCGCTAGGCGCTTTTGTGTGCATACTGAGAGCTTCAGTCATATATATACAGTCTATACTACAATATCAAGGTAGGAGGGGCAGTCTACAGACGATCCAGCATAAGAGGTGCAATGTCGATCACACGCATAGATTGCAGTGCTCGACGTGCTCTAGTGAAAACGTCGAATCGTGACAAGCAAACCTTTGAGATCGAAGCCAAAACGCCACTTGTGCGAAGCTGTAGGCGGCATCAGCAATAATCCAATGTATGTGACTGTCATGCAAGCAAGCAAAGAGCGGCAATGGGAACAAGCTCGGGCAGGCTCGATCGCCGCCAATGCTTTTGGTCAATTCGTACTGATTATATCGGCTGTCTCCCCATTTCCAACCTTCGTCCGTTCATCCATCAATCGTCAATCGTCGTGCTTTCGTTTCAAAGAAGATAAGGAAAAAAATTGGTAAAAATGAGACCGTGTGCTCTCCCTAGTGCTCCAGCCAAAGAAGAAATAGATAGCCACCCAACGCCATTCGCAGAATATTTGAAGTCGATCAACTCGCCGGGAAAGAGATTCGTAGAGATAGTTGGCGAGGATTTTAAAATTTACAGAAAGGGTGTGCAGGCTGAACGCGTGGATCGTCCGTCGAACGTATACGTTTATAAGATTCCTCGAAGCGCATCCTTTTGTTGTGGTGTAAGAGAAGTCGGGAACTTGATGTTAACGCCAACAACAAAATCTCCGCGCTCGTTCGGCTTCTTGCTCTTTGGCATTCCGAGACCTGGGAAGCGTTCGGTAAAGGTTGGGCCAGTGGGTCCTCCGTTGCTGACTTGAAGTTGTTTGCCATCGATGGTTGCGACTGTCCGTTTCCAACCAGTCAATGCCTCCTTCAGATCAAGCTCGATCGTGTGTTTGATGTCATCACCATCACGGGTGAATAGAGGATGTGTTTTCTGTTCATTCGTTAGTATATACGATGCCAATAAGGGGAGGTCATGCACCTACCTCTGAGATGATGAAGTGTAGATCCTGTGTTCCACCCTCCACTTGGTCTCCGACGTCAGAGAACTTGATCTTGCTGCCAGCCTTGAGACCTTTCTTGATTGGTACTTCCAGAATGCGATCTTGCGTGCTTTGCTTATTGGTTGTCTGATCGTATGTCTTTCTCTTGATCTTCATCTTCTTGGTTGTGCCATTAAAGAGTTCCTCTAAAGACACTGGCAACGGTTTCTCGACGACCGTAACTTCCGGCGTTGCGGCTCTGCGTCCACCATCGAATCGTGTGCCGCCTGGTCCTCTCTTGGATTTGGCTCCAGGCATACCGCCGGGCATACCGCCCATTCCAAAGCCACCACCAAAGCCACCAAAGTCATCATCATCCATTCCAGCACCCCCACCACGGAAGAAGTCCGAGAATATGCTTTCTGGATTCGAGAAGTTGAAGCCAGCACCTCCCCCGCCCGTCTGGAAGTGGAATGTCCGAGTACCTCCGGGCATGCCGCCTGAGGAGGCAAATGGGTATCCGCCCGCGCCTTCGAATGGGTTGCCGCCTCCTGCGCCAGGCTCGGGTGGTGGCGCTCCGCCGCGTAACAGGAACTCGAGGCCATACTGGTCGTACGTCTTGCGTTTTTCCGGATCGGAGAGGATTTCGTAGGCTTGTGATACCTCTGTAAAATGTTGTTAGCATAGTGTTGTATGATGATGCATGTCGGCTGATGCCTTACCTTTGAACTTCTCGGCAGCATTCGGGTTATCTTTGTTCTTGTCGGGGTGCCATTTCAGAGCACCTTTTCGATATGCCTTCTTGATCTCATCTTGAGAGGCCGATGGCGAAACTCCTGTTGGAACATTAGTCTTGTTCTGTGGAAAGGCGAAGCATCAGGCTGCTGATGCTCATGAAAACAACAAACAGCGGGGAAGAGGATGTAAACTTGGAAGCAACCTACCCAATTGATCGTAGAGTTTGGTCTCTTTGACCATTGTGAAATACGATGGTATTCGGAGGAAATGGTAAGGAATATATTGAATTCGGAGTGTTTTCTACTGAGAGAAGAGCGATTTGTCGGAACGTGTGAGTTCTTTAATGTCAAGGTTGAACAAGAGTCTCCCCACTGTTTGAGCAGGAGCCACCAAGCCTGACTGCCCAAGACGTCAGAGCTAGCCACACATGGAAGTTTCGAGAACATTCGACCAATCCAATCTCTCCGTCACAGCCTCACCGAACTACACACAAACACCCTTTCTTAAACCCAGATGCACCGGCTTCATTGACGATCTCGCAAACAAAGTAAAAAAATGCAATGTGGGATTCACAATACTATATGTCGTATGGTACAATAGTGCACTGCAAAGGCTGTTCTCTCTCTACCGATTACCGCGTTTCAATCGCCAGCCATTCAATGAGGAATCTCACAACACAAGACAATGTCGGTGCACAGTTTTATGGAAATTTTGAACTGATTTTATCCCAAGCTATATAGCCACATATCCGAGTCGTAGTACAGAGTAGTACATACTGGAAGAAAGTAGAAACAATGCTTCATTTTGAACAGCCGTAGCCAAAGAGGTTTCGCCGAACTCCACTATCCCAATCCCAAGAACGCCATCTCGACGCGCCGTTCGCGTATGCTACAATACAGAGCATGGTCCAGAGAGATACTGCCATGTGCGAGATGCACCATTTTGTACTTTTGGAGTATGGTATCCCGTGACGGAGCAAACAACACGCATTATACGAGGGTCTGTTCAGTCACGCATTGCTCAGAGTGGGTCGCTTAATCGGAATCGCTGTCGTCGGCCTTGCGCTTCTTCTCCTTCTTCTCCTTCTTGGACTCCTTCTCAGCCTTCTTCTTCTCCTTCTTCTCCTTCTTCTTCTTCTTGCGCTCGGCCTCATCGTCGGAGCCCTCATCCTCCTCGCGGGACTTTCGCTTCTTGGACTTTCCAGGAGTCTCGACGGCAACCTCTGCCTCCTCGTCACCAGCGGGGGCGATTGCAGGGGCCGCAAGGACCTCAGCAGTGGAAGTAGTCTCGGCCAAAGGTGCTGATTGTTGCTCGTTGGCGTTGAAGTCCTTGTACTCGGTGTTCCACTTGGCAGGAGTCTTCTCATTAGGTCGGCCGAATTTCTGCATCAAAGTTAGTATGGATCAGCTTCGAGTGCTACTTTGGAAACATACGTCGAGGGTTCCAGCCTCCTTCATCTTCTTCTTCTCAGTCGCGACAGGTCCCATTCCCCAGCGCCTGGGGTACAAGTCACGCTCCATGATGACACGCTTGATCCTGGCAACAACGCCGTGATCGCATGAGGACATCTCGACAGCAGACATTTGCGCGTAAGCCAAAGCGATGGCCTCTCCCTTGGTGGTCATGAGGACGACCTCCTCGTGAACCTCAATATCTTTCTCTGCAATGATGGTAAGTATTTACTTTGTTCAAATGAGTAGTTTCCAACGTACCGAATCGGAGGAGACCAGGAATCATGAGTTTGGCACCGTAGCAGATGGCGTTGACAGAGCTGTCCTTCACGACGACGCGCTTGTAGCTCGTGAGCAAAGTCTCGAGGGGCGAGATGACCTGGCGGAGGTAGGACTCGTCGCGGTTGTTGTCCTGAAGCCACTGGGCATCGAGGACGTCATGGAGAGTGACCATTCCCTTGGACTCATCCATGGCTCCACTCCTGACACGACGGAGCTCCTGCATGTGCGCGCCTACACCGAGAAGAAGACCAAGATGCACGCAAAGAGTACGGATGTAGGTTCCAGCCTCGCAGCTAACCCAGAAAACACCAAGCTGCCTCTCATTGTCGAACTCGTACAAGTTGCTCTCGTGGATGGTACGGATGCGCAATTGACGCTTGACGGCGGAAATGAGCGGGGGACGCTGGAAGAGAGCGCCGGTGAGGGTCTCGAGAGCACGGGCGAATTGAGCCTCTCCTCCGGGAAGCTTGTCGTGGAGACGGATGACACACACGTACTCCTTTCCAGCACCCTGCTGGGACTTCACGAGGCGGGTCGCGCGGTCGATACAGACGATGAGACAGCCGGTGACCTTAGGATCGAGAGTTCCACTGTGACCAGTCTTCTCCACTCTGTTACGTCGTGAGCCAAGATGTTCACGGGTGGAAAGTAGGCAGGAAAATTTACCTCAGCATGCGCTTGATCCAAGCAACGACTTCGTGACTGGAAGGGTTTGAGGGCTTGTCAAGGTTGATAACGCCAGAGCTAATGTAAGACTTGAGATCACGCGAATGAGGCGCGCAACCGTGGGGGATAGGAGTGAAATGTGCGGTGCGAACAAGCACTGTGAAAGGTCAGCGAAAAGTGCATTGGAGCTATGTGAAGAGCTACCCACAGTCGCTCCAGTTCTTGAGGAGAAGTGGCCATTCGCTGGTATCAATGGCTGGCGCGGAAGCCGCAGGCTTCAGCGTGTAATCAGCATCTGCTTTAACGAGAGCCATGGCGATAAAATGTGGTCGTTAAATCTGCTTGCTATAGCGATGTATGGAGGTTCGAAGTTCTTCCCAGAGAAAACATTTTTGGTTGCGCCAAGTTTTCAACCACGCTATAGCTAGCCCATACAGGACTAGCTCCCTCTGCCACCCTCGACCATCAACTTTCGAAGTTCTACAGAACATTGCCATTCATACAGCTATGGCGGCGCCACGATGTTCAAGAGCCCTGCTGGGTCCTGCAAAAAGAGTCAATGTAAGAATTGAAGATTGAGAAAACCTGAATAGGTGCTTACTCGCTGGCGATAGCTCTCCACCCCAACCTCTTGCGCTCGAAGTTTTTCTCACTCCACCCAATTAAGAGACGATGCGAACAATGGTAGCAAGACGACAGGACCACTGGCTGAGGAATTGGAGAAAATGGGCATCAATCCCGACGAGTACAAGATGTAAGGATCCGGAAGGCTGTCAAAGAGAGATGAACATGGGCTAATGCATCGTGCAGGCTGTGGAAAAGTCACCAGCTAGCAGAGCGGAGATCAAAGAAGCGGGAACCAAAGTCCAAAGAAGAATCTGAGAAGCGATGGAAAGAGCTCCAGGATTCGCCCGATCACAACACCCTCCTTCACGCATACAAGAGAGCAGGGATTGAGCCTATAAAACTAGCAAAGTATGGAACACCTCAAACCGTTACCCCACTGAGCCACATCTGACAGAGAACAGGAAAATGGGCATTGAGCTACCAGGCGGCGAGAAACCAAAGTTGGACGTCAAGACAGAAAAGGAGCTCGATGCTCTCCGTGATCCCTTGAACGTCAGAGCAATCCACCTCCGACCCCTCCGCCGCACACCCACACACGGTATCCCCGTATGCGATCTTCAGCTACGAACGTACTCGATCCGAAATCTCGAGTTCTTCGCCGACTTCGCCATGCGAGCAGCATACTTCCTGAACCTCCCAGCCCGCGGCCCAATCCCCCTCCCACGGATAACAGAACGCTGGACGGTCCCACGATCCAATTTCATTTTCAAGAAGTCCCAAGAGAACTTCGAACGTATCACCATGCGCCGCCTCATCCAAATCCAAGACGGCCACCCTGACGTCGTCAAGGCATGGCTCGCATTCCTCCAAGAGCACCAGTTCCACGGTGTGGGTATGAAAGCGAACATCTGGGAGCACGAAAGTCTAGAGGATGCACTCAGCGTTGGTTCGGATATCAAGGAGGGTAGCTACGAGGGCAGGAGAGAATCTCCAATGTTGGAGAAGGTCAACGAGATCCTGGCAAGCAAGGGCTTCAAGGAGGCTATGGCAGGGCACAAGGTTCCCGAAGTTGAGTCGCGGCCTTGAAGAACAGCATTGTGTACGATTACTTACTGTGATTTGGCATTGGGTTTTGCTATATATTCGACGTGAGAAGGCAAGACATATAGTCCCCAAATGTATCAAATGTATATATATCATGCCACAATTCTCTGCATCTTTTTTACCATGTTTAACGTGTGAGGTTCTTGAACCGACTTCAGGCATCACGAAGTTTTAGAAAGATTTTTGTATGATCCTGTCGAAGGTGAAATCTAGATATTGCCATCTATATGACGATCAGACTATCGCTCAGCGGGTCCTGCCACCAATACCCCCTCCAACCGTCTTTCGACTCCCTCACCACCTGAATGATATCTATGACGAACAACCTTATAAGGTCCGTGATAATCCAAAGCACCAACAACAATACCAATAACGCCTTCACTCTCTTCATCTGCCGCCCTCCGAACACCCGTACAGACCTCTCCGAGCTGAAGCCCAACCTCCGCAAGATCTCATGGCGGAAGACGTAGATGAAAATCAGCAACAACAAGCTCTGCAAAACCTGAAAGAAAATCCTACTCGCGCCCCTCCCGGACGTTACGAGGAAAGTGACCGCCCCGACGGAAGTGTACAACCAACGGTTGTCGCTGTCCGCTATCATAGCGATGATGAGATGCAGCAGCATGGACAGCAGCATCTCGACGATGAACTGGCTCGACTGCGTCATCCCGAGCCAGTGACTATGTTTCCCCTCCTTCGCTTCGAAGGACTTGCTGACCGTCCATCGCAGACGGAGGATGAGCGTCAGGATGCTAACGACACCGCACGCCGCGCTTGCGATCCCCATGGCGCCGTTCCGGTGGTCAAACGACAATGCGTCGCCATCGTGGCTCTGCATTCTCCGCACCCACATGACGATGGTGCCGACGGCCTGCGTGACTGCGAAGAGCGCTGCCAGGAACTTCCCTGCCCAGACCCAGTCGAAGGGGATGTAGGTCTTCTCCGCGAAGCCGTTGCCGATGTTGAGGAGGTGGACGCTCTCGTTGTTCTTCTCCTCGCCTTCTTTGTCGATTTTCAGGTGTGCGTGCTGGCCGAGCGCGGCGGAGAGGTAGAATCGGAAGTGCGTTTCGTCCGAGTCTTCATAGTTGCGGCAGAATTGGATGATGGAGCGGATGGCGGAGATGGCGAATTCGATCACCGGGAGGGTTGGGACGAAGAGGAAGAAGAGGAGGCGGAGGGCTTGGAGGTGCGAGCGGTTTGGTCGCCGCGAGAGTGCGGAGAGGTAGGCATAGCTTGCTAGGGCGAAGATATGGGTTGTGAGGGTTTTGATAACGAGCTCGAGGGGCGTTCGTAGGCTTTCTTCTTCTCCTTCAGCGACAGCGGACATGATGGGTGGGAGTTGACGATGGCGGAATGGATTTGGAGGGCATTGTCGAGGAGAGGAAAGGAAGGTTTTCAGGCATGGAATTAATTACCATGTCCCGCAACTAGAACTAATTCCTCAGCACCAGGGCAAGAGAAGGGAATAGCGTGTGGCTGATGGAGTGTTTCGAAGCTGCAGACGCTGTGGGGGCCTAAGTTAAGGCTGTGTCGTGATGATCTGCATCGTACCTATCTTGCGCCTCGAAGAGGAGTAATCCGATCGTCGAGCGAGGCTGCGAAGGTAGGCAACGATTTGCTGACAGAATATTGCCCCTTTGGAACGTTGAGGTCAGACAGGTTACGTTAGTTGCATTGTGGACGCTGTAGAGCTTGATATGATGCCTTGATCTAGCTTGTTCTCTAGCTGCAGATGAATGGATGTACGACTCTGCAGGTACGTACTGTGTCACGAAAGCATATGCACTCTGCCGTTGGGCTCGACTTGGCTCTAGAGCTTGAACTGAATAATACTCCGTACAAGATGCTTTGATAGCCTGAATCATTATTTATTATTGCAGTCTCGTATGCTTGGACGCAACTGTTGTAGAGGTTTACATGGTTGGGGTGACGTCGTTGTGTGTGTATCGATAGTGAGCGGTTGCCGGGCAACGGGGGGACTAATCAACAACAACGGTTGAAAAGTTCATTTCTCAAGCATAACTATTAAGGTACGAGCATAATCCAAAAGCAGCCACACATTTCGAACATTCTCCACACTCCACACCTCACACACATTACTCAACTACCTGCGTTTCCAAACTTCAACTCATACTTGCACTCGCAACATTCGAACCTCTCTATCAATCAACCATGTCCTCTCCCGTTGTTCTCGCTGCTCGCGACACCAATGTCCAGCTCGCTAAGCCTACCAACGCAACCGAGAACGAGAAGCCTAAGAGCCTTGAGTACCATCGCCAAATGCTCGAGTCGCGCTTGAAGGATGACCAGTATGTTTTACTATCCTTGTGTCTTCTTTGAATTTCTCACTGATGTTCCCTCTAGGCCTGCGCAATATGTCTCGCCTTCCGACGAGATCATGTCGCCCGCTACCCAGAAGCTGAATGCGTTCCGCAACAAGCACGCTATGAAGAAGTATGTTGGAACCCTGAACGGAAGCACTATACCATGCTGACCTATCCGTCTAGATCGAAGCCACAGACGCTGTTTAAGAAGACCAGCACCAAGAACTTCGAGTCCAGCAAAGCTTCGGGAGCCGCCATGTTCGCCGACATCCCAAAGAATGCTCCTCAGAAAGCGGCAGAAGAGGACAAGATGTGATGAGCGTCGACTTTCGCCATTGCAAGGCCATGTCGCTTGCACTTTTTAGCGAGCTGACTGACTCATTGTTTCTTAACCCTTCTCTCCGATACCCATGTTTATATTAACGACACTTCATTCTTGGGGAGGGTGTTCGATTCCTCGGTCGGGGGACGGCACGACGGTTTGGGCTAGGATTATTGCAAATGCAAAGGTACCCTTGGAGTTTATGGTAATACGGTCGCCAGGCTGGCAGGCTTTTGTAAAATAGTTTAATGGAACGGAAATGAATTGGAAATGCGTGTATTGTGCTTTCGAGGAGTTCCAGTCTCGATTGTTGTAGATTTGACTATCATGAAGATCACGACTAGCTCAACCCCACATTGATAGATGCGCCATCGCCAAGCACCGTTTATCTTGCCCACCTCACAGCCCTATTCCTCACCACCATCCTTCATGACAGCGTCTCTAGAGGATCAGCAAACTTTGAAAGATGAGATAGCTGATCTCGAGAGGCGGTTACAAGATGCAAAATCACGATTGAGTCAGAATGAACTTGTCGGTACGCCATCGCTACCGTCAACCGATACCGGTACGACATTCCATGCTCCTTGCTATTGCGTCCGATCTTACTGACAATATTGCAGGTTTTCATGCTCTACTGCTCCTCTCAGACTCTGCGCTGCCTTTAGGATCCTTCGCATTCAGCAGCGGCTTGGAGTCCTATCTTGCGCACCATAAGTTGGCCGCCTCCTCGATTTCGCAGTTTACGTCCTTCAAGACCTTCCTTCGACTCTCGCTAGCCACACTTGCCAGCACAGCTCTTCCCTATGTTCTAGCCGGGTATCGACACCCAGAAGACATCGAAACCCTAGACAATGACTTTGATGCGAGTACACCGTGCACTGTTGCGCGAAGGGCAAGCATAGCACAAGGCCGAGCGTTACTCACTGTCTGGGATCGCAGTTTCAAGGCACAATATACTACGTCGCACTCTGAGTCTGAAGGACAAATCACATCGGCAGATGAGTCCAAAAAGATTGCAATAGAGGCTTTGAAGTCCTTCTCAGCCGCTCTGCGCAAGTTTGACTATATCAATGCACACCTGGCACCACTCTGGGGGTTAATCACAAGGGTATTGTCGGTCCCCCTTCGCGATGCAGCGTACCTCTTCCTGTTTTCGCATGCGCGCACTGTGATAAGTGCTGCAGTCCGTGCAAGCGTTATGGGTCCTTATCAGGCTCAAAACGTGCTAGCGAGCTCGGAACTGCAAGACAGGATCAGAGGGCTCATCGAGGAAGGGTGGGATAGGAATGTCGAGGACGCAGGGCAAACTGTGCCGGTTATGGATCTGTGGGTGGGAAGACATGAGAAACTCTACAGTAGGATCTTCAATTCTTGAGACAGGGTCGACGGTCAAAGTACGAGTATGTAGGGGAATGTCGTGTAGGGGAATGTCGAAATCGTTTAGTGCAAAGAGCCCGATGGACTTATCTAAGAACCAGAAGCGGAAACTTGCTGACGATGATCTTCTCAACGCCTGCATATTTATGGTTATGTATTGGGCGAAACATATGAAATGCAGTTCTTATGCCTTATCCGCGGTGACCGAATTCCCGACGTGCAGCCACTCATCTGACGTAGATGCCCCGCGTGGGTTGCTGCGACCAACTTACTAGTCGCGGGGCGCAATGAGCATTCAGCGTGACCAGAATGTCGTGCTAACTAGTAATCCTGTTATTCCTTCAAGGCAACAAAAATAACAGATCTTATACCTTCTTCACATTTCTTCATACATACACTGACTATAGTATGCGGACATACCATACTGCCATGTCTAGATACAGATGAAAGCTCACAACTTCAACTCACTTTCCTTCAATATATTCTAATATCAATACCGTTACCATGTTTACCATAGGTCCAGCGTTCGTGACGACACTACTCATCGCCTCTGCCCAAGCAACCAACGACTACTCATGGATCCATAGATTCGCATCCATCGGCGACTCATACGCTGCCGGCCTTGGTGCCTCAGAGCGACTAGACTGGTCCTGCTCTCGATACAACGGCTCCTATCCCAGTCTCCTCCACTCGAAATACCTAGGCCATCCCTCGAGCAGAAGTGAACAGCTCCTCGCCTGCTCTGGAGCCACCACGGCGGACGTAATCGAGAAGCAACTCCCACACGTCAAGAACAACACCGACCTGATCACCATTACCGCTGGCGGCAATGACGTCGGACTCACGCCGGTGCTCAACGACTGCATATACAAGTTCTACGCGGCGGGGGACTGCGAGTCGTCGCTCGCTGAAGCCCGGGAGAGGATTGCGGATAAGGGGAAATTGCACAAGAACATGACGGAGCTGTTGGATGCTGTGAAGCCGAAGCTGAATAATACACGCGGAGTTGCTTATGTGACTGGATATGCGAGTTTCTTCGGCGCGGACGACGATACTTGCGATAATGTGACGTGGGCTGTGTGGAAGGAGTTCGAAGCCGACAAGCCACTGCTGACGCTTGCGATGCGGAAACAACTCAACGAGCTTGTGCGGTCAGTCAATGACATGTTGAAGAGTATCACTGAAGCCGCGGGACCGAAGTTCCGGTTTATAGACTACGATGAGCAGATCAAGCATGCAAAGGGACGATACTGCGAGGCTGGGGTCGTCGAGCCGGCCGCCAACCGCAAGGGACTCGATTTCTACGAATGGGATACCGTTGACACAGGCGAGAGCGTGGATACACTGGAAATGACAGGCGACGATGTCCCTCGCGGCTCATTTGAAGCATATATTTCGGAAAGCATTGCCAGGACTTTGAAAGAGCATCCAGAGTGGGAATTCAGCAGTGGCAGGGGGTTGGTCAACAAGACAAAGATGCACGACGAAGGACTCGCTGGGGATATCGTCTGGTGGATGCTACCCGATACATGGAAGCGCGTCTTCCACCTTCGACCCGGCGCCCATGAAATCATTGCTCAGATGATAGTCGATGATCTCACGGTGGTCGCCGTGGAACAGCAGAGTCTCAACAAACCTGCATCTCTCATCTTCTTTGGTGCGGCGACGCTCAGTGCCATATTTGTGTTCTTGCTTCTCCTTGCACTGTACCATCGGAGGAAGCATGCGTTAGCGACGAAGCATGATGGCTACCAGCTGGGAGATTCGATGTATTTTGATGACGATGAGGTTACGCTGGCGGCAGTACCGACTGAAAGTCCACCTGCGAATTTCAAGCAGTATAGTACTTTTGACTGATTATTGGCGGGCATAGTTGTATGATTTCATGACGTTTACGATGAGATGGTTACATTCTGTTTATATCCATTTTTGCATTTTCCATCTTCATATTTCTTTCCTCTGAGGGACAGCGTCTCGGAACACTTAGTGTTATAATTCAACATGAAACTACTAGGTACCGGACTGATGTCTAGTTTCCTTTGTTTCAAGTCTATCTAGATAGCGGGAACTAGATCTAATGTATGACCATTCGATTGGGCACTACGCACGTGGGACGCTTTGTGTCTGGCGTGTCCATGTGGATGTGGGAGGGTCTAATAACGCCTACTAACACACGAGGAGGCTTCAGATCCCTTACACATGCATGGAATAGGCTGTGTCTTTTTTCTTTCATTTCAGTGACACCTTCCACTTCGTATTTGATCTTATGATTCCTCTCAGAGCGCATCATGTCTACAGGCAATACGTATTGGAAGAATGGTGGTATTAGGCCCATTGAGGAAATGCCGAAAACGTGGGGAGGCGAGCGCCCAATTGCTGTAGTCTCCTTCCCCCGAAATGCAGGAACATTTCCAAGTTTACCAGTTTATCGATAACGAACGTGTGTGTGCGAGAATACATAATGAGTGGGACCTCGGCGTGCATTGGCCCATCCATCTCATTACATATTGTATTGATCATGAACGAACGTACGGAGTAGAACATGAACAATCCCAAGAATACAATCCAGTAATCCCCCTCATGACCACCAGTTCAATCTGGCAGGAAACCCGAAAGGAAGAAGATGGACGCGGTGAACTGAGTCGCCTGACCCACCATTAGGATCAAAAGTCTGGGGTCACGAGCTCCACTTACGAGCCACCAGAGCTTGGTTTTGGGTTTTGGTCTCTCTTCCAACCGTCCGAGCTTCCCCCATTCTTACTGATCATACCGGTGGGAGGATCACTGCCATGCCCAGTGTGTCAGTGCCAGTCCCAGTGCCCACCTATTCCACTCGTACTAAATGATCGTCATCGTCAGCTCCTGTCTCTTCTTCCTCCCCCGCCATGTTTCTTGACTCCTCGAGTCTCCATCCATCGGTCTCAGCGTGAATGTCTCATCCCATCCCTTGAACCTCCAAATCACCCACCATGCCACGTCCTGCCCGCTATGATTTCCAGACCCGCCCCGTGGCCCATCCCGAGGCCATCGTCGCTGGCGACAAATACCGCTTCACCATCCTGACCGATGGCCTCCTCCGCTTCGAGTGGGCCGAGGACGGGCGCTTCGAAGACAGAGCGTCCACCTTCGCCATCAACCGCAAATTGGCCGTCCCAGACTTCTACGTCTGGGACCGCGGCCATGGCATCGAGATCGTGACGAAGCGCTTCCACGTCCTCTACAACAAGAAGAAATTCAGTTCAGAGGGCTTCCACATCAATTTGAAGGGCGCCGTGGCTGGAAAGTGGTCGTACGGCCAGCAGGTGTCCAACCTGGGCGGCACCACCCGTACCCTGGACACCATCGACGGCAGGTGCAGAGTCGAGAACGGTATCCTGTCGAGAGACGGTTTCGCCGTCCTCGATGACAGCAACACCATGATGTTCGAGAGCAATGGCTGGATCGGCCCCCGCAGGTCTGGAGAGCGATCCGACCAGTACATCTTCCTCTACGGACACGACTACCGCGACGCATTGAGGGCGTACTACGCTGTCTCTGGCAGCCAGCCTTTGCTTCCGCGTTTCGCTCTGGGTAACTGGTGGAGTCGCTACCATAGGTTTGATAGAGAGGAGTATCTCAAGCTTATGGACCACTTTGATCGCGACGACGTTCCCTTGAACGTTGCCACCATTGACATGGATTGGCATTTGGTCAATATTCCCGGCGAATATGGTAGTGGTTGGACGGGGTATACCTGGAACAAGGACCTGTTCCCGAACCCAGAGTCTTTCCTTGAGGAGCTTCGCGACCGTGATTTGAAGGTAACCCTTAACGTCCATCCTGCGGACGGAATTCGAGCATTCGAAGATCAGTATGAAAAGGTTGCGAAGTATCTCAAGATCAATCCCAAGACGAAGGCCCCTATCAACTTCGATTGCACAAGTAAGGAGTTCATGGATGCATACTTCGACATTGTGCACCACGAGCATGAGGCCCAGGGTGTCGACTTCTGGTGGATCGACTGGCAGCAGGGCGACAAATCCCGCATCCCCGGCGTTGACCCGCTGTGGGTGCTGAACCATTTCCACTTCCTTGATATTGGCCGCGGTTCTCAACGCCCGTTGATTCTTTCTCGTTTTGGCGGCCCAGGTTCCCAGCGCTATCAGATTGGCTTTTCTGGAGATACCCACATGACCTGGGATTCGTTGCATTTCCAGCCGGAGTTCACTGCGACGTCATCTAACATTGGATATGGATGGTGGAGTCACGACATTGGTGGTCACATGCACGGCTTCAAGGACGATGAATTGACTGCTCGTTGGGTGCAACTCGGTTGTTTCTCTCCTATCCTTCGTCTGCATTCCTCGAACAACATCTTCAACACCCGCGAGCCCTGGACATTCGGCCCTGAAGCCTGCAAAGTTATGGAGGACACTCTTCGACTCCGCCACAGACTTATCCCGTACTTGTACACCATGAACGCTCGCAGTGCATCGTTCGACGAACCATTGATCGTGCCCATGTACTGGGATTACCCAGAAGTAGACGAGGCATACAAAGTCAACAACCAGTTCCGCTTCGGCAGCGAGCTGATCGTCGCACCTATTACACAGCGTCGGTCAGGCTCTACTCACCTCGGCTCAGTCAAGGGATGGTTGCCAAACCAACGCTTCGTAGATATCTTCACCGGTACCGTATATGATGGTGATCGTGAGCTGACATTCCACCGCAAGCTCAGTGGATATCCAGTTCTCGCACCAGAAGGTGCCATCGTCCCGCTCGATGCTGCCTACCGCTGCAAGAACGGTTCTCCGAACCCAGAAGCCTTTGAGGTACTTGTTGTCGTTGGTGCAGATGGCTCCTTCAACCTAGTTGAGGACAACGGCACTGGCACTCACGTTGACGAGAGCGACTTCTGCATGATCGATGCCGACGGTCACGAATCCGCATCTGACAACGTCCGCTTCATCTACACTCCCATCACCTACAAGCAAAACACCGGAACCATCAAGATCGGACCAACCTCCACATCGGACCCCTCGATCCCCAAATCCCGCGACTGGAAGATCCGCCTCATCTCGCACACGCCGCAGAACCACGCCGAGATCCGCTGCGTCATGACCTCGTCCAAGAAAGCCAAGCCCATCAACTACACCGCCAAAGCCGTCGAGAACGGCACAATGATCACCCTCGGCTCCGTCCCCACCGACCAGACCTGCATCATCGAGCTCAGCTCCTCCCCACAACTCGACGTGCTCGACCCCAAGAAACCGATCTGGCCCATCCTTTGGGACACCGACATGATGTACGACCGCAAGTGGGACGCATGGGGCGTCATCGAGTCTGGACAGCCTCTGAGCACCAAGGTCGGCAGGCTGCAGAACATGGGGCTTGGAGACGATCTCTTGGGCGCTATCCTTGAACATTTGCTTGCGGATTCGAGATATGGAAGTTCGTGAACGACAACGTCTTCGGAGGGAGAATGGGGACGGTGCCGTTTTGCGCTTATGTGACCAATGATATGAATGGCAGATAGATCGCATGTGGGCTTATTTCACAGCATTTTGTATGTACGCGACTACTTTTGCATTCGCATGATGTGACGTTTGGAGAGTGGATGTTGGTAGATATACGACTTGAGCGTTTCGGAGTATCGTTACTGTACTTGGGTAGTTACCTTTGATGAAAGTCATTCGTTACTAGCAATCTACACGATTCATAACCTAAACGTCATTCTTAAATTACTTGTTTTGTCAGATTTCCCCAATTGAGAGTTACGTCCGCTCTTCCACGTGCTGCCTCTCACGTGAACCAATTCAAATGCTGACCGCATATTTTGTTTGAAATACAGTTTGTTTCACAATTCTATCCATCCTGCTGCGTTTCTAGTGTCCAATTGAAGTAAGGGTTCGAGATTGAGCTGTTGTGTTCTCCCCGGTCGTAGTTAGTTGGCAAGCTTACATCCAACTCGTAAAACTCGCAGGAAAGGCTCTATTGGGTATGTCTCTCGCGAGGCTGTTGACGTAAGATTTGTGGAACTTGCAAAATCACTTACGATGTCTCCCTAGCACCATCATTGACTCTCGATATAAAGAATTACCCTTTTCCTTTGACCTGCAGCGCGACATGAGCTCAGATCCACACCACCACCATCCCCACTAACTCTCGGGAACCACATCCTCATCCAATCGCAATCCACCCTCCCTCCAACCAACCAACCCTCAAAAAACCTCAAATACACCCTCCTCCCAACCAACCACCCACGCCATATCCCCCCCAAAACCAATCCCCCAAATTTCATAGTATACCAGAGAGCTCGCCATGAGCCTCACAACCCGCAAACCCCCCCTCACCCACTCCGACCTAATCTTCCCCTCCCAATCCCTCTCCCTCTCCACAACCCTCACCTCCCTCAAACGCTCCGCCCTCTCCATCCCCAACCGCCTCACCTCCATAATATCCGACTCCCTCTTCGTGCAATCCGTCTCCCGCATCTACGCCCTCCCGCTCGTCGCCAACGAGCGCTGCGGGAGCTGGTACATCCCGCCCTCCCTCAAAGCCGCAGGCGTCTACTTCAAGAGCACGGACGGCCACGCCAACGAATGGAGCTTCAGCACGCGGCGCCTCAACTACCAACTCTTCGACGTCGTGGAGGAGAGCGGCGGGTGCGTTGTCGTGGATTCCACGCGGAGGGGCAAGAGCATGCCTGATGCGTTGGCCAAGACGGTGCCGGTGTGGTGCTGCGTTATGAATCGCGCTATCTACCCCGAGAGGAGGGGGACGGAGGCGGGGAGATTGTTTACGTCGCCAAGGGCGGTGGGGGGGAGCGAGCATGCGCAGATTGAGGAGAGGGTTGATGGGTTCGTGGAGAGGTTTCTCGAGATTTGCAAGCCGGATTTGGGGGCGTTGAGGGGGAAGTTGAAGGGGAGGTGGTTGAGGCCGATTTGGGTGGTTCAGGGGGGGGATTTGCCGGATGAGAGGCCCGTTTTTGAGGATTGCGTGCCTGTGGTGCTGTGTACGGCGTCGAGGAGGGTGAGGGGTGGGGAGGGGTCGGAGGGGGGTTATGTTCAAGGTGCTGCGGATGATCATGAGGCGTGGTCTTGTGGGCTTACGCCGACGGCGTTTTGGGAGAATAAGGAGTTGTTGTTGGGGACGAATGAGGAGGATTTGCCGGAGGTGATTAGGGGTCTTGTTGGGGGGTTGGGAGGTTCGAAGGCGGTGCCGGTGTTGGTTAAACCGACGACGAATCTGTTTGTTTCGTCCAGCGAGAATCTTGATATCGATCCATTTGATGTCATTATCAGTTGCACTCCGGAGGCCCTCAGTACGACCAACCCGGAACACGTTAAGACGAAACAGTATCTACATCTTGCCTGCCAGACGCTGAAGCTAGGATCCCGGGACCTTCGCAATCAGTTACAGTCTCTGGAGGCGTTTATGGCTTCAGTGCCAGATCTCAACAGTCGGAAGATAGTCATATGTTGTCCGACCGGCAAGGACCTTTCGATAGGCGTTGCTCTCGCGATAGTATGTCTTTACGTCAACGACGAGGGCGTCTTTACCCCTGAAAAGAGAACGAAGGTCGACAAAACGTTCATCAAGCAACGGTTAACGTGGATCACGACCGCAGCACCAGGCATGAATCCAAGTCGAGAGACACTGAAAAGCGTCAATAGCTTCCTCATGCCAGACCCATACAGCAACTCTCAATCGCCGTCATCAGCCTCACCACCGAAAACAAAGTCACTCCTCACACTCCTCCCTACCAACACAACCACAACCACCTGTCCGATGGCCACAACCACCTCTACTCCCCCTACAACCACCACAAAAACCACCAACAAAACCCCCTCCCCAGGCTTAGACCCCCAAATCCACATCCCCGTAACCGACATCCCAATCTTCGACATACCCTCCCCCATCCTCCGCGCCCACCGCCGCTCCATAGCTCCTCACCAACCCTCACCACCTCTCCCACCACAACCACAACCACAACCGCCCTCCCAACCCCTCGCCCCCCTCATCCACCGCACCCTCCACAACAAAGGCGCCCCCTGGACCTTCACCCGCACCCTAACTTCCACCCTGCCCTCCCACCCCTCTGGCACCGTATCCGGAACCGCGACATTCACACCCCAACCCCCTAACAACCCAGCGTCAAAGACGTTGATATACAGCGAAGAATGCACGTTCGTGACGAACCAAGGCGTGTCGTTTACTGCGAACATGAAGTACGTGTACGTCCTCTCTCCTCCCCCTACTTCCCCCTCCACCGAAGAAGGGGATGAAGAAGGGGGTGGGGGGAAGGATGAGGGAGGGTGTGAAACGGTGAACGTGCACTTCCACACCCCCTCCGCTACATCTGAGGATGTGGTGGGTGATTTGTTTGTGTCCATGGGCGAGGTTACAGCAGACGCCAGGGAGGGAGGAGAGGGGGAGGATGGGGTGTTGGTTGCCGAGAATAGGGCGACGCATCTCTGTGGGAGGGACTTGTACGCTGCGAGGTGGAAGTTTGGGAGGGGGTTCTTGAATGGTGGGGAGAAGGATGGGGAGGGGTGGTGGGAGGTTCGGTACGATGTCAAGGGGCCGAAGAAGGATTATGTTAGTGTTACGAGGTATGTTCGGGGATGAGTTTACGGTGACGGGTTTAGAATTAGATTTAAAAAGCGTCATTGGTTTGAATTCGATGGGCTGGCTGGCTGGCTTAAAGCCGCCGCCACTATGGTGTCTGTCTAGATAGAAGGTTTGGGTATCATGTCATATATATATCTGGTACAAAAGGCGTAAAACAAGTGGGGGAAAAACGGGAAAAAGATCCCAGCAGCATAAACAGCGTATATCGTCTCAAAAATCAGGCATCTCGTCATCATCCACGATCTCCTCTCCGGGTCGAAGCGCAAAGCCGCCCACGTTGGCAGCTTGCTGGCCCCTCCTCTTGCGGCCCTTCTTCTTCCCGTTCTCCTTGTCGCCTCCGTCTTCGTTGTCGCTGAAGATACCCGCCGCGTGTCGCTGTTTGCGTTCTTCTTCTGCGACCTCCTTCGCGGCGTTGATCTCGATGCGCATGCGTGCTTCCTCCTCGGCGAGCTCCCGCATGATGTTGTCCGTGTCTTTGAACTCGTCGTTGGTGCGGCCGGAGTGCGTGAGGTAGCTTTCCCAGTCGTTGTTGCGGCGCGGCGCGTTGAGGACCTGCTTGATGCGGGCTGGGTTCTCGCGCTCCTCGCGGACGAACTTGGTTTTGATAGACCGGCGCGTGGTGCCCGGGAACAGGGAAGAGATCATCATGAAGTCAGTGCCGAAGCGGGCGAGCCCCGCGTAGAAGTGCTCTGTGGCTTCTGCGTTCCAGCGCTTGCCTTGGCCGGGGAGCATGAATTCCTGCGGGTGGCGCTTGTCGTTCTTCATGAAGGAGCGGCTGGTGATGCGGGTGGTGAGGTCGTCTTCTTGGATTTCTTCCATCATGTCGATTTCGGCGTCGAGTTGGGACTCGCGGACGCCGTTGTTGTTGGTTGAGAGGACCATTTGGCCGTTGATGAGTTGGAGTTGCGGCCCGCTGCCGATGTTGGTGGTTGCGTCGCGGGCTTCGCCGGCTTCGTTTAGGGCTGCGTCGACGGCGTTGCGGGCTTCGGCGCTGGTGACGAGGGCTTCTTCGGCTCGTTGCCGCTGGCGTACTTCTTCCCAGTTGATTTCGCGCATTTTTCGTTCCCGCTGGGAGAGTCTGCCGATTTTGATGTTGCGGGATGCGAGATTGTCCATGAATGTGGCTCCAGGGTCTATCATTTGGTCCTCGGCATCTGAGGGTGTGGCTTCGCGTTCGGCACGACGCCGTTGAGAGGGAGGGAGGTCCTGGTTTTCGCCGTCGGCTTCTTCGCGAGTGCCTGATTCTGCTGTTGGGCTCTTTTTCTTTCGCGGGGCCCGCTTCTTCTTGGGTTTGGGAGCTGGGGGCTCTGCTGATTCTCCTTCCTGTGCTTCGCCATCTGGAGTTTGGGTGGCAGCTGCAGCTTTCGTCTTTCTGGTCCTGCGAGTTTTTGGGGCTACGGGTGGCGCTGAATCTGCTTCTTCCTCTGGGTTCACGACCTCTCCATTCACATCCGCTCCATTTGCATCTGCTCCAGCATCCTGCTTCTTCCCTCGGCGACGTACCGGTTTTGGTTTTGGTTTGGCCCTTGTCCTAGATCTAGTCTCTTCTGCCGGTGCCTCTGTCTGAGATTCGCCTGCGCCCGTCTCTTCATTTTCTTCTTCAACTGTTGGTTTATTTACAGCCTGCCATGGCAATGTCCGTCGTCGTCGGGTTGTAGGCGACTCTTCTTGTACAACCTGATTCCCGCCCGCCGCAGTTACTTTTCCAGCAGTAGGTTCAAGCGCGGGATCAATTGGTATATCGTCTCTAGATTGAACAGGCACATCTTCGGGTCTGGTTGATTCGGAATCTGCGGTCGAGGATTCCAGAGCTGGTTCTGTAGTTTCTATGACTGTTTCCTTGGTGGCTGCTTTTTCCGTCCTTCGTCGTTTAGCTGGCCGCTCAGGTTCCAACTCTTCCGCGGCTTGACGATCACTAGGTGCCTCCGAGGGTACCTCTGTTGGAACATTGCTCGCATCTTCAGTCGACAAGGGCGTAGATTCTGGTGTGGGAATGGGGCCGCGTATGGTCGGCAGGGGCTCGGCAGTTGGAGGAACAATAGGCACATCTTGAACAGCCGTCCCTTGGGAAGCGGCGGGAGTAGGTAATACGGGTTGTGTGGTGGTGTCTTCGACAGGCAGTGAGTCTGGAGGAGCTTCGTTCTCGGCTGCTTCTTGGGTATCGGATGGTGCCGCTGCCTTTGTGCTAGCAGCTGGTGGTGCAGGTCTTCGACGTATCGCCTTCGGTCCAAACTTCTTGCCCGCGCCACTCTTGTTGATGAAGGAACTGAAACCTGGCGCCGGTTTTAGGGCATGAGATTTATCAGTACCCCCGGCGGGCGGCTGCGCGGAGCCGCCCTCTGAAGACATGGTGGCTCCGGCACCTTAAATCGCGTGGTGCAGGCACAGCGTCTTGTCGAATATGCGTAGGCGCAAGATTGCTCGAAGGGTGTTGAGGAGTTCGAGGTACCTCTAGCCTCTAGTTATCAAGAATTCTATGACTAGATGGTCCGTGTGTCGCGCAGGAAGACGCTAATGCACGGTTAGTGGTCACGTGCTCAGGGATCCAAGTTCTGAACCTTCCTCCTCGACTTTGCTCGTTCAACTCCGCTCTTTCCCACCACCGGGCTCACACGACTCAACCCACGCTCCTTGATACGAACTTCACCTAGTCCGCCTCCAATTCGCTTCTCTACCCCCTTTTAATGGTTTGAAAGGCTGCCCGAGTTCTCTTCCTTTCTTCCCGATCCACCCTCTCTGGCTCTGATGAGGCTCGAAGCCAGAACCGTTGCAACCCCATCTCTTGACGTCGTCAAGATGGAGGACCGCAAGAGACCCGGTGGGACTGATGACTCTGCGCCGCCTGCAAAGAGGCAAGCCGTGACTGTCAACGGTACAAAGTCGCATCAAGACGCTGACCTTCCATGGAAAGATGACATCGAGGTTCGCACCCCTATCCGTACTCGCATTCGCTCGCCGCGATCCTGCATCGACATCGGCTAATCGTGTCATAACTACAGTCATACCAGAAGGACGCCATCCTGCGTCAGATGCGCGAGTACAAACGGGAGAAGAACACGGTGGAAGCCGAACTTCGCGAGATCGAGAAACGCTCGAAACACCACGATGATCACCTCCGCACGATCGATATCTGGTTTGATCAGGTCAGTAGAATAGAATCACGCCGCGTTGCATTTTGGTGTTAATACGTGTTTAGATGCTCGACGAGATCAAGGTTTTGAGTGGCGAAAAGCTACCCGCACCAGCGCAAGACGGTTAGTCATCGATACGGTCTTTGTACATTGAATATTTCGCAACAGCAACGCTGACTTTTACAGGTCCTGCACGCTCCATTCCTCCTGGTCTTTTCTTCGAGGAACAGGAGAATCTTTCGAAGCACTTGGGTACAAGGAAAGATAAAATAGTTTCCGCACTTTCAGGATTGTTTGCTCGGTATCCTCCTAGCAGCCCGGAGACTGCTGCTTTACAACAGCAATTGTCGAAATTATTAGCAGCACAGAAAGAGCACATTTGCGAATTGCAGAGAGTCAACGCCGAAAAGGAACAACTCTCGGACCGCCTGGATACTGCTACGCACCGTTACATGATCGCGGAAAAGAAGATTGACCGCATCAAAAGTGCCCAGGTCCAAAAGCTTGAGAAAGCTGCAATTGCCAGCACTGCAGCGAAAGAAGAACCGTCATCTTCTACAAAAGAGGTGGCAGAGGCTGTTAACGGGCTCGTCAGTGGTACTATTAATGAAGAGGTGGAGACTGCGCGAGACCAAGCACTAGCAGAAGCAGCTAAGCGGAAAGAGCAACTGGATCAGCTAGAGGCCGATAACAAGAAGTTGACTGAGGAAGTCACTGCTTTGAAAGTGAAGCTGACTGGTTTGTCCGACGATGATTACGCCAAAACCGATCTTTTCAAAGTTCTTAAGTCACAACATGAGGATGTTATCAAGCGCATCAATAACTTGGAGGCAACGAACATCCAGCTACGGGAAGAGGCACAGAAATACCAAGCAGAACGGACAGCTTACCGTATCAAAGTGGATGATGAGGCACGGGCGACCATTGGTGAAAGTGAGGGTAATGTAGCCCGAGCTGAAGCAGACTTGGCCCGGATCCGAAACTCTCGAGATGAACTTCTCGCGAAGGTGTCCATCCTTGAGGCGAGCAACACGAATAATGATGCTTCGAGAGAACAGACGAAAGAGATGGTTAGTGCGTGTGAGAGCAGGATTGCCGCCTTGGAGTCAGAGTGCAATCGGTTCCGCCTGCAAGCATCCGATTCAGAATCGATGGAGGGACAATCCACAACCGCATTGGACAGCATGTCACCAGAGGAATTACGCCACAAGATCACGACTCTGGAGAGTCAGTATAAGCTACTCAGCAACGAGTTGCCTGCAATGGAAACGGCATGGAAGAAGGCTCAGGCAGTTGCAAGTAAAAAGATTTCTGAGTTGTCGACCTGGGAGGAAAACATTTCTAGGGCCAATGCAGACAAGGCCAAAGCCGATCAGAAATTCTTCGCAGCCATGAAGGCTAAGGAGATGCTCGAGCAACAAATCCGTGTCCTTCGTTTGCAGGCAACGAAGAGCACCGAGATAGTTGCGCAGTTGAAGGATGCAGACATGTCGAGCCGTTCTCTTGTAGATAAGCTTGAGAAACAGTCGGCTGAAATGAGATCCCAAATGGAGGAACTTTCCATTCAGCATCGACTCCTACAGCAGAAGGTCAACGAGGGAGGTATCCTCTCTGATGGTCAGAACACTCAAATCTCCGAGCTCAAGAAGCTACTGGAAACCAAGGATGCAAACTTCATCGCCGCTAAGCATGCACAAAGAGAGGCAGACGCCGAGAAGGAGAAGATGCAGGCCCAGGTCCAAGGGTTGGAGAAGCAATGCGAGCATTGGAAGCAGAAGAGCTTGGGTAACCAATCTGATGAGGCTAGCATGATGCAGGTAAGTGCAGCTGTCCGGATCAGAGACAATGTGGAACAGAGTACTAACGTAGTGACAGACTATGCTGCAGTGCCAGATCTGCAAGAACAACTTCAAAGACACAGCTCTCAAAACCTGCGGCCATATCTTCTGCAATGGCTGCGTCCAGGACCGACTCATCAACCGCGCTCGAAAATGCCCCAACTGCGGCAAGGCATTCGGCGCCAACGACACGATGCGGGTACATCTATGAACAACACTCCTTCTACTTTCAGGTCCCTCATTCCCTCGGACAGTCTTCTCCAAGTCGACGCACGTTCCATACCAGCATTGTATACTACACCCCCTTCCGGAAGAATTTCCTAATCGACTTGGACCAATTGTCTTTCCCCAAACTGGAGTATTTGCTGCTTCTCAATCACCATCACCGATGCACGGAGTCAAACAGGAGCAGGCGGGTTGGCACTTTAATGCTCGGTGTTCTAAGGAGTTCTTTTTTTCAACACCACAAATCTCTGCCACTTTAATATCCGGCAGAGCGAGACCCGACGGTATCCACAATTCGGGTCGGCGACTTTGGCAACCTTTTTTGCGCCTCAAATTACTGTTTTTTGTCACTTCGAGATTTTTCGGATCCATTCGTCTTTGGTTGGGTACATGAAAGATTCCCTCTTCACTATCAATCAATCCATGGGTTGTGTAGGGACGGAACCGGACGTATTCGCGCACCCCGACCAAAATCTGTTTTACTAGTCACACTTTCCCCTTCCCCGGACACACAACTTTGCGTCTGTCTCCTTCTCTTCACCACGTCTTCTTCGATGGTGTGCTCGCCCTACGATCTGGGTTAGAAATTTGTTCTTTTTGGGTGTTAATTGCGGCAGAGAAAATGCGGAAAGGATGAGGAGTGAAGGTGGAGGCGGAGGATGATCAACCTTGTGTGGAACGCGTCTGGGCGTGTTAATGCCATGTCAAATGTCATGTACGACTTTGCGTTACCGGAAAGAGAGGGGTTGGGCACAGGGGAAATGGCGAGGCCTTCTGGATCCTTTTGAATGCAAGCTCCTTGACTCGAGGGAGCCATGTATAGATAGACACACAAACAACACACACAGTTGCGGCAGGCAGAAAAATGATGGTGTCAATATCACTATGGCGTATGTACTGTGCTTGCGTCTGCCCCCTCACCCCATATCCAGTGTGCTCATCGCGTGCCCCAGCGCCGTAGATAGGAATAGGATAGAGTGACTTGCAGTAAAAAAAAGGAGGCCGTTAGTTTATCAAGTTCTGTTCGATCAAAATGCTGTCTTGACGCAATGAGCTCTCGAGCGTGGTCCACATGGAAAATACATATATTTGACCTTGGTTGGAATTTCGAATTTGGATTTATGGATTGAGGTACTTTTCTTTCTTCTTTTTATTGTATGTTCGAGATTTCGTATGTGTTGTATTGTATATGCCCAGCTATGTGTGATTATATGTCGTGGGTCGCGAGGGGTATCTGGTGTAATATGTCGTGGCAATGTACATATTCGCAATCATTCACACGTCTTTTCCTTCCTATCTTACAGCTCTCCACCTCCCTCATGTATCATTTTCCTACTGGCTCGCTGGCTCACTGGCTCGCTCGCTCGCTCGCTCACTCGTTCACCGATGACCCTCAATGCCCCCACCATCCTGGTCCCCAAACGGATAATTAAACTTCAACAACGCATTCAGCCCCCCGACCCAATGATCCTCATCCCGCTCTTCCGACCCAACAGTGCCGCGCACAATACACGGCACGCCGCCGCACCACTCGCCCGCCGCGTTCTTGACCGTCTCGCCCAGCACGCGGACCTCCATGCCCGACCCCAAACCCCGCGAGATGCGCTTCCCGTCAATCGAGACCTCGACTTCGCGGCCGCGGTTCTTGTCGCCGAGGCGCAGCGTAATCGGCGTCTCGGCAGGCAGCACCAACGGGCGGAAGGACAGCGAGCGCGGGCAGATGGGCGTGAGCAGCAGGGACGGGACCAGCGGGTGCACGATGGAGCCCCCCGAGGACAGCGAGTATGCGGTCGAGCCGGTCGGCGACGAGATGATCATGCCGTCTGCGACGCCTTCGGTTAGGAAGCGGCCGCCGACGAAGACGTCGATGATCTTGAGGTGCGGGGACGAGCCCCGGTGCACGATTACTTCGTTGAGCGCGTACGTGTCGCCTTCTTCTGAGGTGCCGTTGATGCGCTCGCCTGACGGGCCGAACACGCCGACTTTGAGGCGGTTGCGCACGAGGATGCGGGCGGGGCGGTTGGAGCCCATGGTTTTGCCGCGGATGTCGGTGTATGAGAGCGGTGGCTTGTCGAGCGGGTCGTCAGGGGATTGGGGGAGTGCCTCGCGCTCGCGCTGGAGGTCGGATTCGGCGCGCTCTGGGAACTCGAGTTTCGAGTAGGCATCTGGGGCGCCGGACATGTAGACTTCGCGGAAGGCGCGCTTGTATTCTTTGAATTTCCACTCGCCGAGGAAGCCGATGGTGCCCATTGCGAAGGAGAGGATGGGCGGGACGGTCGCGGAGTGGGAGAAGAGGCTCGAGGCGCGGAGGATGGTGCCGTCGCCGCCGAGGGTGCAGACGAGGTCGGTTTTCTCGGGGAGGTGTCGGGGTGTCGAGGTTTCGTTGGAGGGGGTCTCGTAGGTGTAGATGGGGAAGGGGAGGGACTCGTGGACTTCGGCGGCGGCGGAGGGCTCGAGGATGATGTTGATGGAGGGGTAGGTGGTCGCGAGGTGGGTGGTGTATTCTATTAGGGATTTGGTGATTCCTGGGGTTCGTTTCTTCTTCGTTATGAGGATGTTCCGGGGCGGGGAGGGCCATTGTAGTGCGAGGAGTGTCTTTGAGGGACTCTGGATGTAGGATGCTTTTATTCGGTCTGGGAGTTCGGATATGGGTTTGATGATGGGTCGAGGGGTGGTTGAGGAGAATTGTCGTGGGTGTGAAAGGGTTCGGCGGGCAAGCTGGAGCCGCCATGGGAGAATGCGGTGTTGTAGGAGGGAGCTCATGGCTGCTGTTGTGGGAGGTGGGAGGTGTGGGTGAGAGTGAATGTATGTTGGAGGGGAGTAGGCGTAAGATATAACTGAACTAAGAAGTGATGAAATAAATTATGAAGGTCGGTGGTCGGAGGTTGGTTGGCTCTTGGGCGGGGCCGACCTAATGTTAATGTCTAGCACATGATTCGCACAAGGCGGGGTGTGTGTCTCTGGATTGGGAGGCCATGTGCGCATGCGGGTGAACCCAAGAATCATCCATACCCGTACTTGATGCTAGCAACAAAGGGTGTATATTACAATACTCTCCTAGAAAACAAACATTATTACAACATCTATACAAGATGTGATAACGCAGGGACAAGATGCCAAAGGCCTTGGAGTAGTCGCATCTTGGTGGGAGTGTAATCCAATACACATGCACTCATATATTAGTATATGTAGAGTTAGATACACGGACAATACTGGTACTTGTATGGAGTGTTTACGTAGGTACAGAGTAATTAGTGCGAGTATGCTGATGATCTTGTCTCTTACTTGGAGAGCGTACATGTATGTACTACGTCAAGACTTGGAAGAGAGGAAGCTCGTTTACTCGTATCGGGGATTATCTTGGATCCACTGGTAGCCTATACGTGAGGCCCAAGCTCCATTCCCTCTGCCTGTAGCTATTCAATAAACAGCCCTTCTCTAAGGCTGACAGGCAACAATTTTGCAGTCATCAGCATTTAAATAGGTAGTCAGTATGATAGTCAAGCCATTAATGGGAGCTGTAGTAATTATTAGGTGGTCATAGTACCCGTAACTACGGGTTGTCATTAGTGATGAGTGTTTCCATTCCCGGATTGATTTGTCCGTCTGATTCGGCTCGGATCTACAACATTTCCACTGCCCGGGAAACAAGTCAATATTGCCATTACATCTTGACCTTGGTCTTGATGTAGTGTAGTTGTAGTTACTTGGCCTCTACCAGACTCTAGGCTCTACTCTAATTACTACCAAGTAGGTGTACTATACCTTGGGTACATATTCATATGACCGTAATCGATACCGCTTTCGTATTTCCCCCTCCATCGCCGTATAGACGTATTCGTTCCCTGCCTTACTTATGTTTCTCTCTTTCTTACGAGGAATTACTTAGATACTTAACCTGGACCTCTACCTAGTTATATTCCCATTACCTACGGTATCCAGTTGTATCATCGAGTGGTACCGGAGGTGCTTTCCCTGCCGTACCAGCGAATCCCACATCCCCAACCTACCAGCCCACCAGCCTTGAACCAGCCAGCCAGCCAGCCAGCCAGATTAGGCCCCGTCACTCAGCCTCTTTTGGGGGCCTGCCACTGCCTGCCTACCCTCTCGTCTCGTCTATCTTCATCCATCTCACACCTCGCATCCTCCGATCATCCACCCACTCAATACAAGTACCATACCATACCACACCATACCATCTCATCCGGTACTGATATGGCACCTGATTCATTCCCATTACCGTCCTCCTTCGACTACTCACGCTCGTCCTCCTCATTTTGACTCATCAACATACTCTTTTATTTTATTATTCTACAACACTTTCATACTTAACATGCCCTCCCTCTAGCTCGCCGCATCCAAGTCTTACATCCACAACAACGTTGTCCGAAGTGCCTGACACCGAGACCACCGCCCGCCTCTGAGCGCCGACCACTCCCACTACTCCACTCCACTCCACTCCAACTACTCCCACTACCACTACCACTACTAGTCATAGTCAACCTACAACCCCGTCGTCCTGGTACCTCATCATCGCTCTACTCCTTCTATTCTTTCCTCCTCCCCCTTTCTCTTTCCTTACCTCCTCTTATTCTATCATTCTCTTTCCGCTCCTCCTGCACTATGCCTACAACCATGACCACCGAAGGCGTCAGGCAGCGCCTTCCGCCTGCTTCCGTCATAGAGAAGAAGGAGCTCGAGAAGAAGAAATTACCAGCCCAAGAGCATCCTGGAGGTGCTGTAAAGCATGCTCCATGGAAGCAAGCTATTCGCATGTCTCTTTTCGCTCTCTATTTTAACAGCTGTTGCATCGCGTGAGTACCTGTCTACATTTCTGCCTGCCCTCCAAATGCCACCCATCTATTGACATGTGACAAACGCTAATACGGACTTTCCAGCATCTTAATTACGCAACTAATCGGTGCTCCACTATATTGGCACAGTAAAGACTATTATTATGCATGGATGGCTATGACCAAGCAGCAGTTTGGTCTCGTCGTCACCACCATGACCAATTGGTGGGCCCCCGTGAAAATGAGGGTCAGCGGCGACGAGAGCGTTCGCGGTCAGCTACGACAGACAGAAGATGGCAGGCTTGAATGCGACTTTCCTGAGCGAATGGTCCTCATCGCAAACCACCAGGTCAAATGCCTCTACCCAGCTGGTTCACATGCCTGCTAACAATGAGTAGATCTACACGGATTGGATCTATCTATGGTGGGTCGCATACACTTCAAAACTCCATGGCCACATCTACATCATCCTCAAGGAATCGATCAAGTACATTCCCGTCCTCGGCCAGGGGATGATGTTCTATGGCTTCATCTTCCTTTCCCGCAAATGGGCAACAGACCAACAGCGTTTCCAATACCGGCTTCGCAAACTAAGTTCCAGTCACAGCGGGCCTCTCTCTGGCTCACAGACTCTCGATCCCATGTGGCTGCTCATTTTCCCTGAGGGGACCAACTTATCCGACAATGCGAGGATTGGAAGCAAGAAGTGGGCTGACAAGAAGGGTATCGAGGACTTGCGACATACTATCATGCCCCGAAGCACCGGCCTTCTGTTCTGTCTCCGAGAGTTGAAGTCGACTGTAGACTATATGTATGATTGCACCGTTGCATATGAAGGCGTACCGTAAGTAAAACTCAATCAAGTCAATCCTGAACATGTTGCTAAACAAATATCGTAGTCGAGGTCAATTCGGCCAAGACCTATTCGGCCTCCGTTCATCATACTTTGAAGGCCGACCTCCCAAATCCGTCAACATGCACTGGCGCCGTTTCGCAACCAAGGATATCCCCGTCGATGATGACCAGGTTTTCAGCGACTGGCTTCTTGCACGCTGGCGTGAGAAAGACGACCTCATCGAGTACTACATCGAGAATGGCCGTTTCCCCGCTGATCAAGGCACAACTCCCAGCACGGACGGGGCAGCAGCCGTCACAGGTGCGGGCTGGATCGAGACGGAGGTTCGACCAAAGACTCCCCTTGAGTTCCTGCAGATCTTTGTGCCTCCAGCGGCGCTGATGTTGGTCATCAACGTTATCGCCAAATTCTACAACATCATCCTCAAGACTCTAAAGATTAGATGAACATGGCCCGCCGCTCCTGCACTCATTGTAGATATCGGCAAGAGACCGGCAGTCTGGCTTTTCCTTTTCCCGGATATGATAGCGGTGCTTTGGTATATTCCGTCAACTGTTGACCTCATGATGATCGAATCTTTTAACCATCAAGAGCTAGATTTGGGCACCTTCAGGCGTATCTCTCTCCTCCCACATGATTTTCTTACACGTCATGAGCAATCACTACATTTTGTACTCGCTTGGGCACAATGGCGCAAGGTGTCGTCAACGGCCAGCATTGGTGTTTTTTCTTGGCTTTTCTTTATCGGCTCCCGGATCTCACTTTTCGAGAGTAACGAAGGCTTTATACCCTTTTTCCTTAGTTCGCGGACGTAGGAAATGAATTGACGTTGAAATGGTATCACTTTACTAGTGCGACTTGAATTCGACTGCGTATGACATTTATGCCTTTGTCGAGTAACTGCAGCTCCAAGTTGCACTCCAGATTGGGAAGGGGGTGGTCGGCGACAGCAGGAGCCATTGGCACCCCATACCATATTTAAGTACTTCACGCCGTTACCTATTACCAACGGAACTCAGCTCCTGGTCAACATGCTGAGTTTGGGTCCTTCGTTATTTCAAACCAGAAAGGATCAGGCTAAACGCTTCGCCACAGTTTAACTGGCCTTGACTGGCTGGCTTTGCGGATCTTATGCATTGTTTTTTTTGTCATAAGAAGGTAGTTCCCAATGTCCTACCAAGCTAGCCTTGCTTCTTCGAGGTGGTGCCTAATTTGGTGAAAGATTTCGACTTTGGCCTTGCTTTTTCGATATTCAAACCGTTGCTTCACGGATCCATTTCCACTCGTGGGCATCTTCTCGTTCAACATTTCTGAGAGCATACCAGGTCTCAACCAAGTCCATGCACACTGTTCCCGAGGACCAGCTTCAAGATATCGAGAGCTGTTAACCTGGACTGGTGACAAGGCTATGTGAGTTGGGCGACTAATGGAGCAATAAGAACTTACGAGTAGAGTTAGGCCAATGGGAGAGATGTGAATGACCAAATGCGGCGCCTAATCGTCCCAATGAGCGACCAATAAGTGCGTCTTTGCATGCTGAAAAACGCACGTCCCCTCTTCACCATCTATCCCAGCCTCAGCAACGACGTCCCTCGTACCTCAACTCGTAACAAACGAAAACCTCAAGTTCGGACTTTTCCCATCTTAATTTCGAGTATCATACTTATTCATTTGTGTATACTTCAAGAGTTAAAGAGGACATGAGAGACCATGGCGACCATGGGCCAAAGGCAACAACCAATTCCATACGACTCACGCAGCTATCTCGCTCAGGTTAGGGTCCAGTTTTCGGATCATCCAGACGTCTATAACCGATTCCTTGATATCATGAAGCACTTTAAGAGCGGAGCAATTGATACCACAAGTGTTATAAGCCAGGTCTTAACTCTTTTTGCTGGAAAACCTAATTTGATCCAAGACTTCAACACCTTTCTTCCTCGAGGCTACAAGATTGAGTGTGGCACAAATGGAGATCCAAACGCTATTCGAGTCACGACACCAACGGGTACAACGGTATCAACCATGCCAAACGCGGTCCTCGGTCCCACGAGCGGTGCGAACGCGCTAGATGGTGGCATTCACGATGGCCCGGCTCAGCAAGGAGAGACGTCTCGACCACTCGACCTTGTGCTGGACTCCGAACTCCCTACTACATTTCGAGGCCCTATCACCATTCATTCATACCCCGAAATTAATGATAGAGGGCGACGATTCACTCGAGAAGAACACTGGGAGGCGGGACGAATCCTTGGGAACGGAGCATTTGGAAAAGTGCGCCTGGAGAAATGCATTAAAAATGCAACAAGCCAGCGTTCTATCCGGGCAGTGAAGATCGTCAACAAACCCTCGGATCGGTCTATGTCCTTAGATCTCAATCGAGAACTAGAGGCGATCTACAAGTTCTCACATGATCGGGTAAGCTGAACATTTTAGAGGCACGTACTACTTATCTAAAAGTGATAGTAGTACAAACGATGGTTCGTCAAATCATTTGGGTGGTTCGACAATGAAAGTTCCATCTTTATTGCTATGGAATACTGCCACCATGGAGATCTTCACCGCTGCCTTAGCGAACGCAGAATAACTGTAGGAGAGGTTCAACAGCTCACATTCCAAATACTTGAAGGTCTTGACCAGATGCATCGGAATGATTTCGCTCACAGAGATCTCAAGCCTGGGGTATGATCAGTCCTGTTATCAGCCAAGTAATGTCTAACTTTATTAGAACATTCTCATTAAAACAATGCCGCCAGACGAAAAGTGGTGGATAGTACTGGCCGACTTTGGCATCAGTAAACGCGCCGATGGAAGCAATGGACCTACATCAGCAGCCAAGGGCACACTCATGTTCATGGCGCCAGAATTGCGTGGCTTTCAGGATCGGTTCAAGCCAAGAACTATAGCTGACTTCAAAGCAGCCGACATGTGGGCTTTTGGGGAGATCGTTGTTCTGATGCTGACCGGCAAAGCTACATTTCAGAACGACGGAGAGTTGATGAGATATTGTCAAAGACAACGGAGATTCCAGCTTCCTGAATCTATATCTATTGGAGTCGATTGCCATGAGCTGATCGCTGGTGTAATGGCAGCAACCCCCCAGGATCGAATGACCACAAGCCAATGCCTACAACATCGCTGGATAATGTCGCTACATACTGAGGAAGAGTTCAGTACGCTCAATTCGGAATACGGTGGTCTATTGCTCCCGAGAATTACTCGAGATGAGGAATTAGCTTCAGCTGGTTGGTCAAATGTATCCGATCCTGAGGAGTTGGCTTCGGCTGGTTGGTCAAATGTATCCGATCCTGAGCATACAACCACATTATCAATAGCGCGACAGATATCGCCGAAGCTGCCACCATTGGAAGGGCCTGTACAGACTCTTAGGGGCCATGCGGGGGAAATCTGGTCAATGGCCTACTCACACGACTCTACCCGGCTGATATCAGGGTCACAAGACGGGACGATCAGGATCTGGAATGCGAGCAGAGAAGAGTACATCCGAAATTCTGTGAGCCGTTCCTATAGGAATTTCGGGGAACGGTATATCAGTCCTGTATATTCAGTAGCCTTCTCGCATGACTCTATCTACATAGCAGGGTCAGCAAAAGGCACAATCAAGATCTGGTATGCGGACGGCAGGGAGCACCGTCAGACGTCTAAGGCTTATTGGGGGGGAGGGGAAGTCCTTTCAGTTGCCTGGTCGCACGACTCCACCTGGCTGGCATCAGGGTCATCCGACGCCACGATCAAGATCTGGGATGCGAGCAACGTCAAGTGTCTCCGGACGCTCAAAGGCCATAGCGATAGGGTTAAATCAGTCGCCTTCTCGCACGATTCCACCTGGCTAGCGTCGGGGTCAGCTGACACAACAATCAAGATCTGGGATTCGAGAAGCGGCAGGTGCCTCCATACGCTCGAGGGCCATGAGAGTCGGGTTCAGTCAGTAGCCTTCTCACATGACTCAACCTGGCTAGCATCGGGGTCATCCGACCGCACGATCAAGATCTGGGATTCGAGAAGCGGCAGGTGCCTCCATACGCTCGAGGGCCATGAGTTTCGGGTTCAGTCAGTAGCCTTCTCACATGACTCAACCTGGCTAGCATCGGGGTCATCCGACCGCACGATCAAGATCTGGGACGCGAGCAGCGGCAGGTGCCTCCAGACACTTGAAACCCCTGAAATGAATGAGGTCCGATCAGTAGCCGTCTCGCACGACTCCACCCGGCTAGCATCAGGGTCAATAGATGGCAAGGTCAGGATCTGGAAGGTTCAGCTACCATAGTCGTTCGGTCTGGTCAGTGACCTTCTCGCGCACGACTTCACCGAGCTGGTGTTAAGAGTCAGACGATGATACGGTAATGCAGCGACTGATTTCCGGTCTGGAGTATGTATGGGTATATGGATATGCTTATGTTGTGGGGAATGAACTTCATGTATCCTAGGAAGAGCGTTAAAACTTTTAGACCATCATTGCTTATTGTACTTTTCCATATTGTTATTGAATAGCGTACCATGGATGAGTGTGTATTTATAGATTATGTTTTCGCTAAAGCAAAGCTTTGAACAGACGAAAGTACAGATTCAGGTGCATTGGTATCCACGTGCGCAGTTTTACATCAAACATCTACCCCATAAGCCAAATGAACACTCCAACCATGCTAACATAGAGTGACACTCAACCCCCCTCACCACGAACCTCTTCAACGGAGAGAAACGCAGATTTTGATGCCAATGATACACAGGACAAAGAGAGCACGTGTTCTCACATAGCCACTGACAACGTGGCGTACGGAGTTTCTTCACTTCACCGACGAACATATCATCATGCTCGTTTATCATTACCCTACACCCAAGCGTCTAGAAGTGTAAAAGTCAACCGAGCCACGCCGATTGAACAAAATTACAAGGGGGAGATGTACATCTCCATTCTCCCGTTCCCTTTCCTTTATCTTTCCCGCGGGACGTTCAAAGAAGCAGGGAAGTTCCCCAACGAAGTCTGTTCAGCATCACCAATATACTACACTACACTACACTACACCACAATGCAAAAGAAGCCGCCATAGAACATTTCCATTTCCATTCCCACAGAACCAGATCTAGATCTAGACCCCCACCCCCTATCAATCTGACACGAACGACCCATCACACCACGTGTGAATAAACATGAAACACGGATGCTATTCAGGTACGGCGGCGCTGGATAGGTAGGTGGGAAGATGGCTACGCGGGTCCATCGATGACGAGGACGATGATGGATGGGTATGAGTGTGTTGGTGGTTGTGTGGTGTATGGTGTATGTATGTAGGTATGAGTACATAAAGTGGTCGACCGACCGACCGAATGAGCATGAGTCAATCAATCAGCCAGTCAATCAGTCACACAAACCAAGGTCCCGGACGAAAAAGTCAAGATTCAGAATAGTAATCCATCCATCCCACGCCCGTCCGTCTCAATAAAAAAAACGCCATAACGTTAGAAAAGAAACAGAAAGAAAAACCTTACAGCCAAACCCAGTAAGATAGATATGACGTTAACGTCGGAGTTTGTAATGCGTCCCTCCGATTAACAATCAAACTCCACGCCGCTAAACCGCTCCCAGTTACCATGGAGATAAGCTGCTTGGCGCGCGCGGAGGGAGGAAAGCGGTGGGCTGTGATTGGCCAGGGTGGCGTTAAGAGATGCTTACACTTCGTACGTCCCTTGCCACGAGCGTTGGTACGGTGGGGCGTTTGATTGGTGGGTGGATGTACGGGCTCGGTTTTTAGGTAGGCGAGAGGGGTTGTACGACGAACGATAATGAACCTGCGTGGTAGGGTAGGCAGACAGGGCAAGCCACAATCAGATTCTGTTCGTACCTGAGGGTTAAGTCCACACGGGCATTAGTAAACCCCATGTGCTAGTTATGCCATCCCAGATGACGATCTTTGTGCCATGCGGTGGGTGTTGGTGCCTGTCATCTTGGCACATTTCCCTTTGAATTGCGCAATAGGGTTGGGTGGAATTATGGGTTTGTAATGTCCGATTTCGTGCGTTATTGTCCCTTTTTTTCGTCTGACTGTTTTGTAATGTGCAGCTTGGGGTCTTGTTGAGGTTGAGGTGGAGAGTGAGATGGGTATAAGTATGGGACGGTGCTGGTGTTGAACTATTTTTCATCATCATCAAACAGTTTTCAAACATCGAGTGTCTTCTACTTGTTTATCTTTTTGAGATTATCTCTTAAGGAATTCGATTTCCAGATTTGAAGAACCACAACTAGTATCAACGATCCATTAGCGTCACATACACACATTGTACCCCCGCGACAACAACCATGTCGGCCCTGATCCGCGACGCGCCTATCGGGCAAATCATCAGATACGCTACCAACAACCGCGTCCTACAATACCCAGAAGAGCGAGCAGACTTCAAGCTCCCAGCCGTCTATGCTCGTCTCCACCCCAAACTCGAACCCATATCAGAGTCTGAAGAAGAGGAAGAGTCCTCCGATGAGTCTGGAAGAGAAGAAGCTGTCAACCTATCAGAGAAGCAATCAGATTCCGACGAGCCGTCCGACGACTCGGAGACAAACCTCGCCAAAACACACACTGCGCGAACTGTAGATACAGTACGATCCCAGGCCTCGCATGTGGGTGCTACGACCGCGCTCCAGCGGTCAGTGTCGAGGGCGGATCTCGAGCAGCAGTACACAGCCGCGACGATCGAGAAGGGGCCATCTCGACCCATCGAGCCAGAAACACTGGACGATGGAACCATACTCGTCGACTGGTACTCCACTGACGACGAGGACAATCCTCAGAACTGGAGTTTCGGGAAGAAGGCGGTAGTCCTCACCCAGATCCTCTTATACACCATGTCCGTCTACATGGGCTCTGCCATCTACGCTCCCAGCGCGAGCGGCGTCATGAAGGAGTTCGGTGTGTCGCTGAGCGTGGCATCGCTTCCTCTCTCCATGTACGTAGCAGCCTACGGCATCGGCCCGCTGCTGTTCTCGCCGCTGTCTGAGATCCCGGTCATTGGAAGGAACCTGCCGTACATCATCTCGTACGCCATCTTTGTGATCCTGCTCGTGCCGACGGCACTGGTCGACAACTTCGCTGGGCTCGTCGTGCTGCGTTTCCTCCAAGGCTTCTTCGGCAGCCCCTGTCTGGCCACTGGAGGCGCCTCCCTCCAGGACATCTACAGCCTCGTGAAGCTCCCCTACGCGCTCTCCATGTGGGCCTTCGCCGCGACCTGCGGCCCAGCTCTAGGACCCATCATCTCCGGCTTCAGCGTCGAAGCCAAGAACTGGCGCTGGTCACTCTGGGAGATGCTCTGGCTCAACGGCCCCATCTTCCTCGTCCTCTTCTTCTTCCTCCCTGAAACCTCCTCCGCGACCATTCTCCTCCGCCGCGCCCAACGCCTCCGCAAGCTCACCGGCTCCACCCACCTAAAATCCCAATCCGAGATCTCGCAAGCGTCCCTCACCGCCCGTGACATCACCATCGAAGCCCTCTGGCGGCCCTTCCAACTCGTCCTCCTCGACCCCGCCATCGCCTTCACAGCAATCTACACGGCCCTCATCTACGGCATCTTCTACTCCTTCTTCGAGGCCTTCCCCCTCGTCTACATCGCCACCTACGGCTTCAACCTCGGCGAAATGGGCCTCACCTTCCTCTCCGTCACCGTCGGCGTCGTCCTCTCGCTTGTCTGGTACTGGTGGTACATCCGGTACCGCGTCGAGCCCTCCATCCTAACCAACGGCCTCGGCGCGCCCGAACGCCGCCTCATACCCGCGCTCTTCGTAACCTTCCTCGTGCCCGCGGGCCTCCTCATCTTCGCCTGGACCGCCCGCTCCGACGTCCACTGGATCGCCTCCTGCATCGGCATCGTCGTGACCACCATCGGCATCTTCCTCATCATCCAGTGCATCTTCCTCTACCTGCCGATGGTGTATCCGCAGTACGCGGCGAGCCTGTTCGCGGGGAACGATTTCTGCAGGTCCGCGCTCGCGGCGGGGAGTATTCATTTCTCGTATCCGTTGTTTCATGATTTGGGCGTCGACAAGGGGGTTACGTTGTTGGCTGGATTGACGGTCGGGTGTAGTGTGGGCGTTTATGTGTTGTTTTTCTTTGGGGCGCAGTTGAGGGCTAGGAGTCGGTTTGCTGCGAAGTGAGGGGGTGTGGGGATGCGTATGAATATGGTATGGTGATGGGTTTGAGTTTCTGCATGGCGTTTTTGGTTGGAGTTTTGGGTTTGATTTTACATGGTGGTGTTACGATATGGCGAGATGACGATGAAGAGTAATACCCAAGACGAACGAACACTACACCACAGAACTAGATAAAGACTAATACGGAGCGCAATTAATAATGGACTTTTTACTTCAAACAAACAATCTCTCATTATGACGAGTCACTGTGTTTTTCTTTGTTTTCTCTTCTTTATCGACACTGATGACGGACCTAGAGAACTATAGTCACCCCCTTTAGTATTACATCATCAACCAAGGAGCCCGGGGGTTTTGATAGCTTCTTTGCTGCTGCGGGACTTACGTCTGAGTATAGAAGCACATAGTACACGAAACATTGGAGTACAGTACACAAACACAAGAAGAGGATTAGCATTCGATTGCTCCCCGCCAATTCACGTAAAGGGTATAGGAGGCGTATATCAGCGTACAACACAGATGTAGTGCCGGGCTGTGGATGTCCGTGTCCACGGCGTGGCGTGTGTTTCTAAATGAAGACCAGTGTGTCGTGTCGTGGTTTTACTCCTACCTAGTGTCGGTTTTTTGTCGATTTGGACGATTGATACATACTCACTCCCATCGCGTCATCACTCACTCATCAATATAAACGTCACATCACATCCCCCAACTTCACCCATCACCCATCAACATTACAAATCCAAATACCAAACCCATAACAGTCAAAAAAAATATTTAATAAATAGTTTACTCCAAATATACACATTATCGAATCGAATCTCCCTACCTCCTCCCACCGCTCTCCTCATCCTCCACCACATCCCCAGTACCAATCTCCCTCCTAATCCCGCGCCACAGCTCCCCCAACGTCCCACTAAGACTCCTCTTCCTCGTCGCAGTGTTGCTGGGCACGTCGTCCGTCGCCGTGCGCCGCCGCTCAAGCGGCGAGTCGCACATTGCGTTTTCGTCGATCTCGCCTGCGCCGATACCGAGGACTGATTCGCGGCGGCGGGTGGAGAAGGACGAGGAGGGACCCGGGGTGGTGGGCGTGCGGAGAGAGGAGTTGCGTTTGAGGTCGGCGACCATTGTTGCTAGGGAGGCGGAGAGCGGGGAGGCGAGGAGGGGGCCTGGGATGGAGGAGCGGGGGTTGTTGAGGGCGGAGGAGGAGAGGGTTAGGAGGCGTTCGGCGGTGTCGCCTCTGCGGAGGCGGGGCGGGAGGGTTGAGGGGGTCGTGGTGGTGAGGTGTGGGTCAGATGTCCCTCGTGTTGGGGTCTGTGGGAGTGGCGATGGTGTTGTTGATGTTAAGGGGAGGGTTGGGGTGGAGGTTGTGGCTTGTGGGAGGATGGCTTCTGAGGGGAGGACGGGGGTTGAATAGGTTGAAGCGCGGTTTGAGAGGAAGGATGATGGTGGCGCTGGCCGGATTCCTGAGCCTGTGGAGGGGCGGCCTGGAGGCGTGCGTGGTGGAGGTGTCCATGGGTTTGTAGCGTGAGGTGGAGGAGTGGAAGGGGAGGGCGTGGCGGGTGTGAATTGGATGTTTGCTTGTCCGTCTGTGGAGTTGTTTCTTGACGGGTGTTGGGAGGAGAAGGTGGAGTTGGAGCGCGCGATGTCGATGGGAGGGGACGATGCTCGCACGGTGGAGGTCCGTCGACTGCTCGTCCCCGCCTTGTGTGCATCGCCGTCGTCTAGTTCATCGTGATACCGCTCCTCCATGAGATTGATGGAGTAGTCGGGTTCGGGTTCTCGGTCGTCGTCTTCCTCGTCGTCGTTCCGGCGTGTTCGCCCACTCGTAATGAGCCAGACACCCATGAACGTCAGGGCGCACCCTCCGACGAACTTCCCAGCGTCTCCTCCCGACGTCCGCTCGAAGTCGCGGTAGAGAATCGCGGAACCGAGGATCACAGAAAGCGTAAACAGGACGAATTGCACAGGAATGACCTGCGTGGCGTCGAAGCGCTGGAGCGCCCGGTTGATATACTTGATCTGCATGACCGCCGTGAAAACCAACGTAGCAACCATGAGATACGTGACCGGGAAAGTAATGGCGCGCCAGAGGGTGTACGAAAGCATGGAAGCGACTCCTTTCGTCGAGAGTGCGGTATAGCCACCTACACACATCGTTAGCATATAGCCCTTTTCTCAATATCAAATCGATCAAAAGACCAAACTCACCGAACAATCCCACCAACCCCAAATCAATCAAGATATTCTTCTCCCCATACCGATTACTCAAAACCGACAGAATAACAATAACCGCCGCCGTAACCCCCAAATACGTCTCAAACTCCCACGTCGTGATCAAACCCCAAATCTCATCGGGCCCCAACTTCGGATTATTATCACTCGCGGACAACACCACCGTGACAGCGCCCCCAACCGCAACCAACACCCCCAGCGCATCCCGGAGACGAAACGGCTCCTTCAGCATAAACGGCGCGATGATGCAATTCGAAATGAGCGCGACGACGCCGAGCGGCGACACGATGGACGCAGGCGCGAACCCATACGCCAGGAAATTCCCCGCCTCGCCCGTCGTCATCATTATGATGCCCGCCCACCAGTACGGACTCTTCAGGTACGACGTCTGCTTGTACGCCTCCTCCTCCTCCCCATCCCCGCTCTCCCCCTCGGACCCAGACGACTCACTCCCCCCCTCCTCCCCGCCCACCGACTTCGAACTCCGCGTCCGCGTCCTTCCCCCGAGCAACGGCGCCCGCTCCGTGACCTCATTCCCCCCCTCCTCCTCGTCCTCGTCCTCCTCGACAATCCCCGCGTCGCGATAACGTTTCCGAATCTTACTCCTGCTGCTGTTTCTGCTCCGCCGCCGCTTCTTTCGCAGTTTCTCCTTCGCCTGCCACTCGCGCTCGATGCGGATGTGCGCGTACCGCTGCATGTTGAGCGCGAACGAGATGAGAATGTTGCCCACGATCGCGGTTATGATGCCGATGAGCGAGCTCCAGTTCTCTGGGTTGAGGTGGCCGGTTCCTCCTCCTCCTCCGCCGCCGGTGCCATTGTGGGGGGTGTGCGAGAAGAGGGGGATTGTTGTGCTCGAAAGTAGTGTGGTGGTGGGTAGTGATGTGGTGGATGATGCTGGACCTGCAGCGTGGAGGAGGGCGGAGGTGGTGTCGTACGGTGATGGGAGAAGCATCTTGTGTGCTGCCCTCTCTGTGCGTGCGTTCTGTGTTCGTTTGTGGTATGTTGCGGCCGCCTGCCTGCCTGCCTTCCAGCCTACTGCTGCTTGCGATTCAAAGCGAGCGAGCGTGCGTGGGAGGGAGGGAGGGGGGACGGAAAGTGTGGCGCGCAGAGGCGGGTTTTTGTTATGCGAGACGAGGAGAGGAGGTGGTGAGGTGGTGGTGGTGGTGGTGGTGCACGGGGATGATGTTCGGTCGCAGGTGCTGGCTGGGCTGGCTAGCTAGCTGCGAGTGGCTAAGGTGAGGTAGCTAGTAGATACGGAGTATGTACTTGTAGTTGATGCGTATTCGTCGCCGTATAGGTAGGCTTTCGCTCGTTCGTCGTACCTCGTAAAAGATTGGATGGGGATACTGGATACTGGGTAACTGGATAATACTGGATAGGATTGTCGATGAGATGAGGTCGGGTACACCGGAGATAAATGTGGACGGGGGACGTCGGGTTTGGGTTAGGCCATGCTACGAGTAACAGCTAACAACTATGCTATGCTATCTTGCTAGTTATAAGTCCCGCAGCATAAAACCAATAATTGATTTCTTCTCTTTTTCTGCTCGAGTCGCGGTAGTTCGTTCGTTACTAGCTAGTCTCGTTCCTTCGATTCGTCCGTCGTCGAAAAAGCGGACGAGGGAAAAAATAAAAAAGAAGGAGGAGAGTACTCCGTAGTGTCGATGGGCGTATTCCGTATGTAAGGAAACCAAGTACTTGAATCTCCCCGTACCATCCAGAAAAAGTCAGGCAAAAGGTTTGAAGTTAGCTTTCTTGTACTCCGCAGTCCAATGTATGTACCCACCCATGCATACATATACGCCCATCCCATACACAGTAACTACCCTCGCCTCGTAACGGGCTCACCCAGGCAAGAAACCCAAAACGCATACCCGTTCCGATCTCCCTCGCCCAAAGCTCCAAGCTCCAAGCGTACACTCCCAACACAGGCCAATCAAACCCACGCTTTCCCTCTCCGTGGCAGGGATTCCAAGCCTTGCCATGTTCGTAATGAGGCGTGGGAAGAGAGGCTGACAGTGATGATGTTGGATTCGAAGAGTCTCCGGTGGTTTTTGAAACTCGAAACTCGAACATCTCGTCTGTTTTAATAATAGTAATTAATGCGCTCCGTACCTTAATCCTATTCCATTTTGTTCCATCCTTGTACACACTCAATCCAACCCTCAAACTCACAATAACTTACGAGGTAGGCAGCGTAGCTACTCGAAAGTCCCCGCATGAAGGTCACTGCCAAAAACAAGCCCGAGAAGTTAGAACCGCGAGCGACACACAAGTCACCGATGTCACCATGCATATGCCAGTTCCACATCCCCAAGCTCCCCCAATCCAATCCCATCCCTTGCGTTCCCCATCCCCGATGTTTTTTTGCTTGGGCACCGGGCCGAGTGCGCCAATCATACGCTCTTAATTGTCCATCTTCTCCTCCATACTCCTCTCCTCTATACTCTGATAGTTACTTAATGCGTAGGTGTCTGAGTAGTTATGTGTACTGTAGGTATCTGTGCATCCGTGTACATTACCGAGGATTCGAACTCCTCCGATTCTTGTTTTGTTTTCCTTTCTCTCTACTCTTCCTTGGGACGTCCCCCCGATACCGACTAAATAGCTGCATGGGTAGGTATTCTGCACCTATCTGACTGAGCAGTGCGTCGAATGTGTTCGTCGAATCAAAAACAACACAGTACCATTACCTACTCAAATCCACCTCCCCGGTGCGCATTGGCGTCTTCCCTCCTACATTACATTACATTACATTACCTACCTATGCCATGGGAGTTGAGTCTCCCATTCCCGCATCTCTCTCTCATCTATTTGTGACTGTTACGTATAGAACAATTTTGTATGTGGGTATCTGATAATGTAGTCTATACGTACATATTCAGTTTCTCCTCTCTGTATACGTAGCTTTTAGGAGGGAAAGATGTTATGTTGGGGGGGGGGGGGTGTATGTGTGTGTGTGTGTGTCGTTGGCTAGATCGGTCTGATCTCATTACTTGTAGGATATGTGTATCATGTCATGATAGTTACATAGGTGGGCAGGCAGGCAGGCAGGCAGGTAGGTAGGTAGGCAAGTACATTTCCTTTCCTACTTCTCGTTCCCAGTGTATGTACAAGGAATCTACAGAGCAGTTTTCAATTCAATATTCATCAACTCGATCATTCTATTCATTCAGTTCAACTCAATCAATGCAATCACATCACATCACATCACTCCATCCAAACCATCGATCGCACATGGGAGTGTTTCCTCAAATTCCCATTACTTTACAAAAGCTTCCCTTAGACCTTTTTATAATATCTAATCGTACATTTCCATCACCATCACCTCAGTCTCCTCCAAACCACCCCCTCACCCCCGACCTCCAACCCCGACACCCAAACCTTAACCTTTCCTCCACAAAACACACACACACTGCGCACCATTCGCAAGGGGAAAGAAAGAAGCAAACCACGAAAAAGAGAGCCATGGAGGTGTCCTATCACGCGATGCAAGCGAGTCGTTTGCAGGCAAATACATAGCGCGTGACATTTTCCTCGATCCCAGGCTCTCCCGTTGTTGATCGTGGTGAGTGATTCTTTTTTCCCAACTCGCTCGTGGTGCGTGCGTGTGGGTGTTTGTGCGTACTTGGTTTTGAGGGTTGTGGTGGAGAAGGGGATGGGATGGGATGGGAAGGGAAGGGAAGGTGGAGTGGGTGACTGTTGATGGTACTGCTTACTGCCACCGTACATGCTCTCTCTCGCTCATACCGTACGTTGACAATTGCGATTCATGTCGCCTTTGTTCGTTGATGAAAACCCCCTCTGAGCTCCCCATGTCCTCCATAGAAGGGAGGAAACTTCCGATTGGGGAAGCAAATTGAAGATCCAAGGACACTTGCAAAAGAAAATCCCCCACCTTGCCAAAGTTCCTTTCCTTGATGCTTCCGATTGATGTAACTGTGATTGAGAGACAAAAAGAGAAAATAGCAAAAAAACAGAAGAAAGAACAGTATGCATCCAGAACGCCTTTGATGATGTCCCGAATTTTGGTTGTGTGTATGTCCTAGTCGGGGCTTGGACAGGAAGAGTGACCTGAGACATCTACTAGATGTCCAGTTCGATCTCGTCGCTGTTCTTGACGTCGACGCCATTGCCAGCGGCATTGGCATCTTCTTCGATAGGAACAGGCTCGGGCTGTGCAGCGAGGTATTTGATCTTAGCATCTACCGCCTGTTCACCAACGACCGACTCTTCAACCTGTGCCTTGCGCTGGAACACGGTGCGCCAGCGGACGGCCCAAGCGCGGACGTATTGGCCGTCCTCAGCGCTTAACTCGCCAGAAGATTCACGCTCGATGAGTGTGTCGGCAGCGCCGGTGGCGACTCCAGAAAGTTGGTCGTCGATGTACTTGAAGAGTTCGCGGGCGCTCTCGCGGTCCTTGGTGAGGGTGGCTTCGACCATCTCGATCTGCTCCTGGGGCAGTCCTTTCTGGAAACGGGCGACAATGATCTGGCGGTTTCGGTTCGCGACCTTGCTCATGGTGTTTGATACCATCTCGAACACCCAGCTCTTGGCCAGGACCTCGCCGGCACCGAGGAAGTCGCCAAGGGCCCACTGGACAACGGTGATAGGAGCGAGGATCTGGTAGTTGAGAAGAATGTCGATGATTCGCACGGCGACACCAGGTTGGTCCTTCCAGTACTCGACCACGCTCGCAACGATCTGGCGTCGAGCAGCATCAGACTCGTTGGCGACAGACAAAAGGCGATCCTTGTTTCGTTCGATGCAGGACAGAACGTGGGACAGAGATTTAGCGCCCATGCGGCAGATTGAAGTGACGAGTGCGTCAGTAGATGGCACAAGCACATCGGCGATGCCCTGCTCAACAGCCAAGGTATGGATCTTGTTGATGATTTCCTGTATGACCTCATCGGAGGCCTTTTTGCGAAGCTGGGTGATAAGTGCCTGACCTTCTTGAGAATACGGAGTACCTGTTCACTTGTCAGCATCGATTCATCGTTACCAAATTACAACCAACATACTTGGATCGTCGTATTTGAAGTCAGGGCTGTTGTCCTCGTCAAGGCGATTAGGAATGAGGTAATGCATCTGCTCAGGGACAGTTGAGCGAATACGCTTAGCAAATGAGAGACGAATCTCCTTGTCGATCGCAGCAAGAATGTACGCCTTCTTTGGATGAAGATCAGATAGAGGAAGGTCCTCAAGCCTAGCATTTGTTAGTACTGCAAGAGAACGACGCTGCAAGATACTCACCATTCAGTCCAGCGCCATCTGAACTCAAAGTTACTCAAGTGGTGGGTGAACCAATCCAAGAACCTGTTGACCAGCTCCAGATCCATAATGTCGATGTACTTGTAGACAGCGCGAATGGCTCGTCCGAGGGAAGGCGCAATGGCCGTAGGTGCAATCTTGCAAGCAGATGTGATGATGGAGTGGTAGAACACCAGCTTATGCTCCGGAGCAGGCAGCTTGAAGATCTGCGAGAAGATTGCGTCCATGATCACATCTTCAGGCTTGAAGTGAGCCTTTTCCTCGTTGATCTCGCGCATCAACTCGAATGAAGTGCTACGCTTGGCGAATACACCGACGGTCCAGTAGTTGTCGATTTCGATGAGCAATTTCGCGGCAGCATCTCTATTGAAGTGAAGTTGGTCAATGGTATCGACAATGGCGTCGCGGAACAAGGACGATGCGATGTTCGTAATATCAGGAACCGTGACCAAATCCTGGTTGCCATAGAGTGAGAGATAGGACTCCGGGAAGAGAGGGCGCGAGCCTGGGTTCATTGGAGAGGGGATCTCGATGGTGGGGAATGGGTGAGAAGCGGGAGCATCGGTCATGGTGTCCTCGCCCGCTTGCTTGCGAAGACCCTCGCGGTCAAACTTGGGAAGAACGACGAGAGGCCAGCCGGTCTCGGCCTCGGTGGTGAGCTGTTGCTGAAGAAGGCCAATAACGCTGTGGTATGCCAAAGGCTTCTCCTCGCTGTCGGGCAAGTAGGAGTGAATGAGTCCCTCCATAGGAAGCATGTTGCTAGCGACGATACCGGTGTTATCGAGGACGTCCTTGGCCTGAGATTCGAAGGCACTTCCGGAGTATGCGAGAGCGTAGGGGATCGTCAAAAGGATGATCTTGACCAATTCAATTCCAACAACCTAAGCCGTGTTAGCTTCGAGACTTTATTTTCTGATGAATATCACCCTTACATCGTTCTCATTGGCACTCTGCAAGTCAACGACCGTGTCGAAAAGCTGGTTCAGCAAAGTGAAGACTCCATCCCCGTCATAACGAGCCTGCAAGCAAGCAAGGAAGCGCAACATGAGCTTGAATTCCTTCCAAAGACCTCCATTGAGGGCCTCTTGGGCACGCGACGAGACGCGCTTGAGCGCATCGGCCATGATCTCAGACTTCGCATCGTTGCCGTAGAAGATGACAGCTGCAACGAAGGGGATCTTCACTGGCTGCTCAAGGATACTGCATGCTATGTCAGCTTCACTTACGCCCTATGGAATCGGGTGGTTATCCTACAGCTGAATGATGATGTCGAAGTAGTCGTTCCTGAGCCTTTCGTCGTCGTAGTTCTCAGCAAAAACCTTCGCGAGCTCGATGGCCTCATCCTGGGGAAGTTGCGCAGAGCCGGCGATGTTCAAGGTCATGCGGCGAAGTTTTGCGAAGGGAACTTCCTCGTAGCGGCGACGCGACGCTGGCTGGTCATCTCCGCCTCGTTGGCGCTGGGGAGGGCGGCGGCGGGGATCGTAGTGATAATCATCCTCATCTACAAAAAAAAGTTCAATTAGTGAGAGTCCAAGCGAGGGAGAGGAGAAACCTTGACTTACCGTCGCGAGCACGCTTGCGGTTTCCGCCTCCTCGGTAGCCGTTGTTGTTGCGTCTGCGCCTGTCATTGTCATCATGTCTGATGTCCATGTCTGCCATCGTGCCAACGACTTGAGCAAGCTCGAGCTCTGGACCGGACGGGTCTGGGGAAAGGGGAGCTAGACACGGCACTTGATCGGGGTCGACGTAGGTAGTATGCCAGCTTGGGGCGACGGAATGATCTGTGTGGAATGCTCCTCCACTCTGTGAGTTGACAAGACCACGACGTAGAGGGAGTGGTTGGATGCGACGTTGGAGTTGGGAGCTAGAGAGCGTCAAGTCGCGACCGGGGAAGTAAAGGTGAGCTTGGGGGTCTTGGCGGTGATCGGTATCACGTGACCACGGAGGCAGACTTGCCATTCGGGTTTCTGCGTTCACTTGCGGACTGGAAGTAGGAAAGGGAGGTGGCCACATGCCTTGGACATTATTGAAATGTCCGAAATATCCAGGAAAACCGGGTTGAGCAGGATATCCAGCCTGCCCAAATCGACCAAATTGGCCAAATTGAGGAAGTTGAGGTCCTCCAGTATACCTAGACTGAGGTTCCCCAGTATACCCATGTTGAGATTGACCTTGTCCGGTATACCCAGACTGAGGTCCTCCAGCATACCCATATTGAGCTTGACCTTGCCCACCATAGGCAGGTTGAGGCTCCCCAGGGTTCGTGTAGGTTACCCCCTCCATACTGGGGTAGAATATTTCACTGTCACTGTGCAATACTCTGGCCTTTTCATTCAGTTAACTAGGCTACGATAAAGTTTGGTTGGAGTCAAGTCACGGAGGGGATGGAGACTACAGTTGTAGACTGAAGGAGAGCGAGATAGGAAACGAGAAGCAAGAGACATGGTGGATGGATGGCAGAAGATGAGAACGCGGGAGGAGGTGGTGGATGGTGGGTTGGCAGCCCCAGGCCAGGGTGTAGGAGGAGAGAGTGAAAAATGATACTTACGCAGAGTGATGTTGTTGTTGTGGTGTCGATGGCAAGTCTTGTTGCGAAGCTGGTCGTCTTGGAATGGGCTGCGTCGAAGAAGTTGGCGATGGGGAAATGAAGGTGCTCGAAACCAGTGAGGATCTCCACCTCCACCAAGAAAGGCCGGAAGCTTTGAAGGGCGTTGAGTTCTCGTCTTGATGTTGGGAAGCGTGAAGTTCTTAACGTCGTATCGATGAAAGCATAAACGTTGGTGAGCGAAGAAGAGTTAAACGACAACGAGCGTTGGAAAGGTTGTTGGGGGATGAGAGAAGAGTCGTTAGGTGGTGGAGAGAAGAAGGAATAGTCAACCTCAGCGAGAGAGCGGGCACTCAGTTATATAGTTGTCAGGTAGGCGGCCACCTTTACCTGAGGAGCGCGTTTGTTTACCTCAGTGTCGAGGTGAAGTTGGGGCTCTCTGGCTCGCCGCTCTCTCGCTCGCTCTGATCGATCGCCCTCACTTAGACTGTACGGGCCACTTCCTTTCTCACCGCTCGTTTTGTAGTGCCGGAAGGGAAGTCTGTTGTGCCAAGAGAGAGAGAGAGGTGAGAGTCACTGAGTAAGAGAGAAGCGAGCTTGACATTTGTGATATCAGACGTGAAGTGGGTGTAAGGAGCTTTTCGACGCGAATTTGGTACACGTGATAGGCGATTGATAGGGTCTATTTCCAGTGAGAGGAGTAGAGGGCATGTAATGAGCTAGTCAAATGGTCTTTGCTGCAGTGGAAGCGGAAGTGAATTAGGTGTTTCGTTGTTGTTGTTGGGCGTACGAGCAAGGAGGGAGATAGATTCACAATGGAAGATACGTCTGGATGGCAATGTCGAACATCAACGGGCAAGGTGACAAGAGGCGTACAAGCTGCAAGTCTGGATCCAAGTTCGACGAACCAAACGCCGTCGAGGTGAGTCTCAGAAATGGATGGTTGTTCACGCAAATGCGTCCTTCAATTCGATTAGGAGTCATGTTCTGGCTCATCATGATACGTCGTCATTACCGTAGCCATCAAAGGAAAGGAGATTTCGTATGCCAGAAACAACCAAACTCCTATGAGAGACGAGACGAGAGACGATGAGACCACCACACATTGCACCATGGCACCAAAGCACCAAGCGAAAGAAAAGGACAAGAGATGAGGGAGAAAGAGAGTCTACTTATCATGGAGAGCCAGCCCACCGTTGAAGGCCGAAGAAAATAAGATATGCCAGAGCCTGCGCCATTTGTAGTAGTAGCTATTTCCTCGCTTGCCTGCCTGACCCTTCTTCTGCCCCTGCTTTGACACAAAACATTTCTCGCCCTGACATTATCCAGGCCATCATTGCAGATACCGATACCCGACTCAAGTAGCGACGCCGTGGTCTCTCCCACCGATAAAACGACGAAGCATCTGCAGCGACTGGAGAAGAGAGCCTTTTCGCCATCATTTGCAGCCAAACAATCAAATAGAAACATCCGCATGCAAGAGACACACCCTCAATGATGCGTACCAAATAGAAAAGAGAAACCGAACCCCGCCCGAAGATGTTTTGCCAGACGGTCCTTTGACTTTTATCGACCACCCCCAGTTTCTCCCCCGATCGCAACCATCTGCTCGTCGACCAATCCAGAGAAAACAAAAAGGGAGAAATGAAATACATCTACCGCGTCCGTCTGTAGCGAGCTTGAGGAGGCAGACGAGACTTCCGATTTCGAAGAATTCGAGAAAAACCAACCAGAGTCATTCTGGGGGCGTACGCATGGAATGACGTTCGTTCGTATCGTTTTCAGACGAGCACACAAATATTGCGGGGGAAGGGGGTTGGATTGTACATGTTGGCGTAGACCACCGGGGAATAGGCGCCGTTGCAGAACTCTATGCAAGTTGTGCAATGTGCTGGCGGAACATCTTCGTCCATGAAGCGAGGAGAACAGATGCCGCGCCGCGTGAGGAGACGTTAATTCGTATCACGTTAACGCTTCGGGATCTTAATCCAGCCGCGCCATCATTTGATCCTTGTTCTTTGGTTTAAAATTGGGCGATTCGAAATCTAATCCACGAGCGGCAAGTCCCGGGCGGACGTGCGGTGGCACCAATTGCGGGTTGAGCGGAGGAGCGATGGAGAGTTCTGGAGAGTTTACGTTAGCTTTTCCGCCCACGACTTGAAATCCGAAAGGAAGCTGGATTTACCATGAAGATCGAAATTGAACAAGTTCGGAAGGTCCCGAGTGGCGCCACCTGGGTGGCGTGAATCAGGGAGACGGGTATTTGGATCCCTCAGCTCGTCAAAGAAGGGGTGGATCATCGCATCGATTGCCGACAATCGTTGTGTTGGTGTGTATTCGAGGAGTTTCGAGATCAAGTCGATGGCGTTGGGGTCGGCCTTGCGGAACACCTGCGGCATGCTGTGAGTGAATGGAAATGGAACGCAAGAAAAACAATAGACGTACTTTGTTGAATGGGTGCGGCTTGATCTGGGGGAACTTGTGCTCCATGTAGTTGGGATTCATTGTTCGGATCTGGTCACGAGTGGGCGTGCCCAGGACTTTGATGATCTCAACGAGCTGGTCGATGCCTGACTCGCCGGGGAACAATGGCTGCCCAAGCATGAGCTCCGCCATTACGCAACCTGTGGACCAAACATCTACCTGACCATTAGCTTTCTGGGGCGTTCTTCTCGCAGAAGTTCGCAAAAAAAATGACGTACCGATCTTCGTGGTGTAATTCGTCGCTCCAAAAATGAGTTCCGGCGCACGGTAGTACCTGGAGCAAATGTACGAAACATTGGGCTCGTTCTCCACCAAAATCTTCGCGCTTCCGAAATCGCAGAGTTTGAGGATGCCGGTGGATGGGTCGAGGAGCAAGTTCTGGGGCTTGATGTCTCTGTGGCAGATGCCTTGGGAGTGAATGTAGGCGAGGGAGCGGAAGAGTTGGTAAATGTAGAGCTTGACTTCCAAGATGGGCATGACGGTCTTCATCTTGCTGAAGTAGCGCGAGGCACGATACACGGTCTCGGGGACGTACTCGAGGACGAGGTTGAGGTAGACCTCATCCTTCTGTATCTGACGGCGATTAGTAACGGGCAGTCGCAGAATGCACTGCGGCGGGTGGGCAGGAGGGAAGGACTCATGGGGAACCCGGGTGGACGTACACGCTCTCCATTGTTGTAGAAGAAGGCCTTGAGTTCGACGATGTTGGGGTGTCGGACAATGCGCATGATCTGCAGTTCACGGTTCTAACGGACGTCAGTGCCTTGGATTCGGTTGGGGTCGACTACTCAATGGCAGGCGGCATCGCGGGGGCCAACTCACCTTGAAGCGCTTGTCCTGGAGGACTCGCTTGATGGCGGCGTCTTCCCCGCTGGGGGACAGCTTGGTCTGGAAAACGACACCGAAGGAACCATTGCCAACAATCTTGCACTGGGTGTAGGCCAAGTCCTTGTATTCGCCCGTCTCGCCGTCCTGCACTTTCTCACGGATGACCTCTAGATGGACGTTAGTTGGCGACGATGATCACGATGGTGGTGATGATGGGAGGAGAGGAGTAGCTGGGGCATCGGGCGGGGTGGGGTCCTTACCGCCCATTCTCAGAGACGAGAAGGCCGATGGCCGGTTCTGGGACATGATGGATGTTGGAAAACGTCGTCGATGTTGATGATCCGCCGAGCGCGCTCCGGAATGCTATCGCGAGTGAGGTGGGTGGTGGTTAAGTAGGTTGTGGGAGGGGCGTTGAGAGGTGGTGGTGCGAAGGAGAGCCGTAGTGGGCGGAGTAGCAGGAGTAGTGGTAGCGGTAGTAGTAGCCGTGATGGTTGGTGTTTGGGTGGTAGTAGTGGTGGCGGTGATGTGATGGAAGTGAGAGTACGCAGCAGCAGAGTTGGTCGAGGGTATGGGTGAGAAAGTGAGGGCGGGCGAGGAAGAGAGTAGTAGAAGAGCAGAAAAGTAAAAGTGGAAGAAGAAGAGAAGAAGTTGGGTGGAGGGAAGTTTAAAGTGGGTGTTGAGGGTTTTGGTGACGACGGAAGCTGTTGAGAGATGATGGGGGGGAGGGAGGGGGGGTGTGCGCAGTGTCTGTGGTGGTGGAAGGAGGGAAGAGGGAGGGGGGGAGTGGCTTGTTCGCTAACGAGGAGAGAGAGAGAGAGAGAGAGAGAGAGAGGGCAGTAGCAGTCAGTATTAGCAGTGACAGCAGCAACAGTAGAGAGGCGGAGGGCAACGAGACTTGGTGGTGGTGGTGGTGGTGGTAGTGGTAGTGGTAGTAATGAACCAACAACAACAGGCCAAACAATCAAACAACCAAACAGCGACAACAACAACGAAAACAGTAGCAGTAACAACGTAGACGTAGCAGAGCAGCAGTGGCAGGTTTGGCAGTTTAACAGGTCGGATTATGTCGATTATGAAATGGAAGAACAAGAACAAGAAGAAGAAGTCGAGGTGGCGGGTGGTTCGAGGGAATAGGAATAGTAGGATGGGGCAAGGATTGGCCGGGAGGAGGTTATTTGATGGAGATTATACAACAACAATGACCAACAGGAGGAAGAGTACGAGTAGCAGTAGCAGTAGCAGTTATGAAGAAGCAAATGACATGAAGATTTGCAGCGGCTCTCGAGTCTAGCTTGGTTGGTGGCACAATAGCTTGTTGTCAGTATACTGGTCGTATGTATGGTATATTGTTTGAAGCAGTAATGGGATAGGCAGAAATGAGATGCAAATTGTAGATTCACATAGTTATGGACAAAGGCACTTGGTGATTCAGACATGTAAGACAATCAGATAGTCAGGTAGTCACAATAGTAGTTCTGGTGAGTAGTGATGGGAGCCTATGACTACGACTACGACTATGAGTAGCTATTGGTATGAGTATGAGTATGAGTATGAGTATGAGGTATTAGGTAGTCATTAGGGATGGAATATGGCCCCATGGGTATGGTATGGGTAACAAGGCATAGGTAGGTACAGGTATTATGGGTCGAATGGGGATTGGACAGATATGGTTAATCAGGTTGTGTGTGTTACTTTTAATGGCATGGGATGGGATGGGATGGGATGGGATGGGATGGGACGTTTCCCAATGGATCATGGATCATGACACGCATGAATGGATGAATCAACAATGAATGCTTGGATGAATGAAACTGTACTGTATGAATTATTGAGGACGAGGATGATGATGGTGATGATGATGATGGAACCCGTCCAGTGCCATGAGCTGGGGGGGCGCGCGCCCTGTTAGTTAGCGCAGACGATGCAAGCTGTAGCTTTTTTGAGGTCTTGTGATTCAACGCACGGGGTCATTTTCCTCCTTCTTTCTCTCCATCCATTATCCATTATTCCATTATTCCATTACTCTACCCCTTCGCCTTCGCCTTCGCCTTCGCCTTCGCCTTTCTCCTAACTAGGAGGTAGCTACCTAGCTAGTCCTTGACTCTTCACCTTGAATGACTTGACCTCGACCTTGACCTCGACCACCGTCCTGAAACGGGGAATCTGGACTGACCTGAATCTCAATCCGAACCACATGGGGCCATGAGGCTGATCCCATTCTGGGATGATGCTTTTACTGGTTCCCATATCCATATCCGCCGACCAAATAAGAGTGGTGGCGGTTCATTACCTATGCACACCCATTATTATTCCATTATTATACTCCTGCTTCTATTTGCTAATGCTTCCGCGTACCTAGGTACCTGGTACTGTTACTCCGATTCTTTCTTCCTTTTCTCTATTAGTTACTCCGTACATTCTCTTCATACAACATAACTACTGCGTGCTACCAATGAAGTGTTCGATCAGTAATGAATGTCGGAACAACATAGTCACCAATGATATCGCCTCTGTACTTCCGACGCTCTCCTAAGGAGCTCCACTGCTGTCAACAGTCAGAATCATTAACCACATCTCCCTTGTAACAATAATGCTTTGTTGTACGAGGTACATACACTTGATAACCACCACTGCTAAACGCCGCAATGCCCGTCCGACCAAATCCATTAATATGGATTACATAGCTACATGCTTGCTGTCGGCGCTCCGGGCGACGGCGGCGCGCTCTACAATATCTGAAGTCACTCGGTCACTGTTCACTGCACAGTGCACACTTCACACTAACTAATTACTGCTACCAACCGGGCGGGGAACCCAGCGGCGGGTCGTCGGCGTCGGCGGTGGTGGTGCTGGCTGGTGCTGGCGCTGGCGGTCAATCCGAAAAGATCGTCATCATTGCTATATTTGCAAGCCAGATTAATCTCCTAGTCCTACCATGCTCTACCAGATACAGAACCATGGGAAGACAAGAAAAGGAAAAAGGTCATCGTTTGAGCAGAGACGGAGGAACAGGCGTGATCGATAAGTTCACGTCGTTCCTTTTTTGTTCCGATTCGGGGTTGGAGCTTGGGCTTCCATGTCGACCGACGGGCGACGACAACGATGATGAGGACGATGATGATGATGATGAACCTGACCCTGACCCTGACCATGTCCATGACAATGAACCAGGGCCATGAGTCCATGACCAGCCGCCCACCAGTTTGGCTGCAGGCAATACGGGTAGGTGTCTGTGTGTCCGTGTCGCCTGTGCGTGCGTGTGTGTCTGTGTGTATGCGCGTGCGAAAGTTGATCATCACTTGACAATGATTCGCTACGATTCAGACACACACGCACACACAAGCACAGAGACAAGAACAGAGTAGAGGCAAAGGGAACGAGGGGATGGGCTCCTCTGCGTTGGGATCTGCCCTACGCTACGTGGTGGGTGAACAGGTCAGGTCTACAAATAGCAGGCTCCAGTTTTGTACGGTACTGCACGACAAACCTACTGACTTGTAGAACAGTTGATGGCCACACAGAAGGAAGCCAGAGAGACAAGGTGATACATGCACAGAGACAGAGACAGAGCGAAGCAAAAATATAACAAAGACACAACTAACCACCCACCGTCCATGGTACTGCACATCATGTTCCACGTATGTATCTTCATATCGAATAAGTACCGATCCGGATCCCTCTCAAGCAGAGAAGAAAAATCCATCCATGGCCACATCGTTTCCCTTCATCCATCGCTACCTAACGATCCCTGCGCGCTGCGTGCCTGATCTGAGCCAGCAATCAATCATCGTGCTTCTTCAAATTTTCCAGCCAGCTCAATCAATCATGCCAGCGAATGAATAAAATGCCACCTGTGGACGAATCCACGACCGACATGGCAATAATAACAATAATAATCCACGTGCATGTTCTTGTCTTTACACAGTAGTCCTTTGTCTCTCCGAGTTGCCTCAGTATTAACTATACAACAAGCAAGGTACCTACTGGGTACGAGTAGCGTGCAGTCTCCACAGTGCACACGTGAATGACCATTTCTTCCCCCTTCCCCTCTCTCCCCACCTGAGCTATCATGAGGCTACTTCACCAACCTTAACCTCTTACTGCTTAACTTGTCGTCGACCCAGTTATAATCATCAATCATGGGTCCCAGCTTGTCGGCTCATCATTTTGTAGCCTCTTCTCTACAGTTCAACCATTGCTTCGACATTCTAGGAAGTATCTAGTAGCTCTGTTGGCCAGATAGACAGGTATCCTTTGACAATTGGAGTCACTAGGAACGATGACAATGATCAGCATCCTCCAATTGCCACTTCACTAGTCCAATCCCAAGTGCTTCATACTAGATATTACACCTCAAGAAAAGTTATAAAGCCTTCGTTGAATGTCTGCAAAACCGGAGAAGAGGTTGGAATGTCGGAGAAAAAAGCCCAACGATGAATTGCTGTACCTATCATGCGGACTCGCTATGTGCTGCAGCTTAGCGTAGCCTCGTCCGTTCCTTCGTTCCTTCTCAACCCAATTTTCTTGCTGCAGGGCCAGCCAACAGTGCAGCTTCCTCAAGTCATTTTTCCACTCAATAATGAATGGTAGTGGTATGTTGTTACTGTGTACGGAGTTATGGTATGGCCACAACCCCACCATCACAGCACACATCACTGACACCACTCCACTACCACCATTACTACCTCCATTATTATTACCACAACCACATTTGCCATCCCGTTCTTGGACTCTGCTGATCATACCAATCTTTTCCCTCAATTGATCAGTCAATCAATCAATCATCCATTCGATCACTACATCAATCAATCAATCATGAGCTTGCCTCTGACCATCCCCCATCTATCGCCCTTCTCACTCCCACTCCCATTCCCTGACCCCAAACCCTCACATATCCATCGCCACATCTCCCAAACCGTCCTCCAGCATCCTCCGACGCCTCTACCGCCGTCCATCTCTCCCCATCAGCATCATAGCTCCCCCAGCAATCGTCCAGGCTTACCCACAAGGACGAGCTAGGGAGCCAGCGTGCCAGCCTACGCGTTAGGAGCGCCGCCGCCATGCTACCGTACGTACGAGCAATTGGGCACACGCACGAATGAGAAGGCCGGCAACACGCTTCGAGCAAATCAGAGCGCAGCTTTATCGTGCGACCGACGCAGCAGCAAGCGCAGGACAGGACAAGAAAGACAGGCGCCAGGGCGGGCCCTCACACAACTAGAGGTTCACAAGTCCACAACACGACAGTAAAGTCAAGTCGAGTGTGTCCACTGTCCACCAGGAGATTCCACACTATTACCTCCGTACACAGGGACAGTATCGAAAAAGGACTCCACACTAGGAGCACATGACTTCCTGCGTCTAACCTACTCACCCGCCCGCACCGTAACTGCACGCACTCTGCACCCGCACCGCACCGCACCGTCCTGCAGAACAGAACAGCACAGCCCATGGCTCTGCTCTGTTTCCCCCCAATCGTTTACACATCAGAAATATTGGACTTGCTCCTTCCCCTACCCTACCCTACTGGGGCATGCATGTTATGCATGGAGTTTCCTTGCCGTGCCTTGGGGGAGTTGGGACCCTTTCCCGCCCTCTCCCCTCCCATTATTTCTGCGATGACGATGGAATGTCCTGGTTAGATCTCGGGCTCCCGTCACGCCCGCGAACTCGTTTCCTGGCCCAACTCGCCAAATTCCAACTCCCATCCGCAGGCGAAAAAGCTGCTCCACGCCCCCAATGACGGTGCCAATCCGCGTGAGGCTGCGGCACTCCCATACCATGGGCGCCGCACCGCACCGCACGGTAGGCATAGGCACGGGTGCGAAGCGCCGAATTGCCGGAGAACCACTACTGCTCAGTGGGCATTGCACAAAGCGGCCGCTTGGACTGGATCGAGCCAGAGCTGCGTTCAACCCTGGCTCCGTTGGACATTGGCAAAAAGAGGTTCGTGCAGTAACGATAGATGACCTCACTAGCTCCTTCACCTTTGCACACCCCGTCTCGTCGCACAATCACAAAAGCACGTGCCGTCGTGCAAGAGTGGAATCTGCGCGTGCGACCGTAGATGGTAGATATCTACGGAACACTGGCAATACGGAGTAGTTAATTAGTCACTGGCAGGAGGGCTGAATCGACGTGCCAGTCTCTGGTGGAGGGCGCGGATGTGCGGGTTCATGCGAGTCGACAATGCACAACGCCCATCGAGGCGTCCTTCTGAAACACATAGCAAAATTCCCCTCCCCCTCCCCAAAGTGCGTTGGGCTAACAGGCTTAGCAGTCCTTTAGCAGACCGCTAGCAGTACCGTCTGCCAAGGATCAATAATGCAATGAATCTCGTGGTCGATGATGGTTGACGGCTACGTCCTGCTAACTCCTTGCTGGTATGCTACCAACGTACAGCCTACAGCTGACAGCTTACAGGCCAGCTACACCTACATAGTGCTCGTCTCGTACACACACAGTAGTCAGTCGTGCCAGTCGTGCCAGTCGAGCCCAGCCCGCAGTAGTTGAATGTTCGAGGAGAGAAAAATCGCGCCAGGCCCCTGTTCCTACGTCAACATGCAGTTCTGCAGTTGTTCATCCTGTTGCAGTTTGCGTCTGTGCGTGCGAATAATGCCCGCCTCGCCAATCAAACGCTCGGACGCCCAACGCCCACTTCCTCGCACGTGACGATCCGACTTCTTCAGACTGCTCTACTGTGTAATACCCTAAGCTGCCTTACCCTTTTCCCTTGCCTTGCCTTACCTCAACCTAACTTGACTTATGCAGGTGGTCTGACAGTCGTAGTGCAAAGCAAACCACTTTTTGATTAACTACCCAGATTGAACAGCAGATTCATTAATGAACTATTCATTATTGAGAATACTGTGCTTCGTATGCTGCACAAGAAAAAAACACAACTGCTCTCGTGCTTGCGTTTGCGTGATGATCATGATTCAATGTCCGACATGCTCCAATTATAGAACTATCATCTCCAGATCCTCGTAGTCGCTCGTTACAATTCATACCTGCGGATCTTCAGAGATCCTCGCTCTTCTCTTCTCGGAGTGAGACTCAGCCATTCCATACATTTCTCAATTCATCAACGATCATCACCGCACCGCCGCCACCACATCCACATCCACTCCCATTCCCATTCCCATTCCCATTCCCCTTCCATCCCTTCAGCCTTATGTCCACATTCCGGCGGACATCATCGTCTCGAGCCTCCGCGCCGCGTTACACCCAACCAAACCCACAAATGCCAATACTCCCTCGACGGCCTCGCGCCTCTACCGCTGAACGCGATGCACGCAGGCAAGCAGGCGGGCGCAGGCGCAGGCGTACGAGCACAACATACCGTCACACGGTGGTGGGTGTCCGGCGGAGGGTGGGATATGCTCGGGGGTGTCGTTGTCGTTTCGGCATCTTGATAGTGTAGACTTGTATCGAAATGTAATGCTTTTTCCCCTAACTCTAAAGGACGTGAAGGTATGGGGTTTTGTAGATGAGGTTGTCGTGCCTCGTACAAAAAACGTGAAGTCTACCTTTTCAAACAAATATCACACCGGTTGTCCACGGTGCGGATGTGTATGTTCCCATACATACAATGCGAATTGATATCCTGACGTCCGAAAAATCCAAGTCCGGTCAAGATAGCTTGCGTAACCAAAGACAAACAAACAATTAATCAACCGACCAAGAAAAATGAAGTGACATGTTACTCAAGATCTTCGAATCAGGGATGGAGGGGGGGAGGGGGTTTTGCCTTCTTTCCCCCCGCCTGCCCCCTCTTTTTGGGTCTGTGATTGATTCTTTGTTTTGTTCGTGCGGTGGTGGTAAGTCGTAGACGGAGTTGAAGATTTGGGGATTTGGGATTGGGTTTTAGAGGAGTGTTGGTGTTGGTGGGTTGATTGATGGGTCCATGGAGTAGGGGTGCTTTGCACGAACTCAGACCGCAGCCGTTTTCTCGCCGTGGATTAGAGGAGAGAAGGGGGGGGGATTACACCGTCCGTGACATCTCTCTCAACTACCTTTTCAGCCTCGAAGATAACGGCATACTGCGGCGTTCCTTCATCCTTCACGTACACCGAGGACGACGACGGGGACGGGTGGATATCGCGACGTCCAAACCAAGCCCCACGTCCGGCGGGCGGGCTGAACGTCAAAGGTAAGTGATCTGTCGTTCTTGTTCTCCCCTTCTTCCCTTCTCTGTTTCTCTTTTTCGGTGTGGCTTGTACGGAAGTGCTATGAAGGTGGGATAAAGGTGATGAGATGGGTGGATAGGTTTGATTGGGCTGCGGTTTTGGAAGATAGATGAGGAGTGTGGAGTGGAGTGCAGTGGAGGGTGGAGATGCTGTCTTAAATAAATGAATCATATCAGAAGAGTCACTGCTTCAATTACCCTTC